CTTGCCGATGACTCGACCGACTCTGCGTTTGACGCGGTGGAAGACGTCCCCTCTTATGCTGATGCCGCGTCGCGAATGCGGCGATACTGGGGGCCGGAGGTGGTGTCGTCGCGCAAAGCGGAGAGGACTGCATCGGTGAGCTCTGTTCGTGTTCCGGTGCCGTTGGGGGTTTCTCTCTTGGAGTCCGACACGCCCCTGATCGACGTCGACGACTTCGCCCGACCCGCCGAGCCCGCGATTGTGCGCGCCCGCAATATTATTGCGTGGACGTTGCCGTCTGGGCGAACGCTGCGTTGCCTCGTCGACTCTGGTTCGGAAGTGGACTTGGTGGATCAGGATGTCGTGCGAACAGACCCGAGTTTCACGACGTCCCGCCTTACCGCGCCGCTGCACTTGCGCCTCGGCACTCGCGACAAATCTGACCGCTGCGCCGTGTTTGCCAACGCCCTCTTCACGTCCGGTTCCCTCGACCTCGGCTTGCGGGCGTTTTTCATTTGCCGTGTGACGGCATATGATGCTATCCTGGGTTTGCCGTTTCTGAAGGACACCGGCATGCTGGTAGGCTGGGGCGTCTTCACCGTCGCACGGCCGGGCCCTTCGCAGCCGGTCGCCAAGGGCACTCACGAGTGGGATCGCGCAGTCACGGTGGCGCCCATCTGCTCCGGCTCTGCCATTGGCTACGATCACCCAGGGTTGCTTCCTGACGACGAGATCATTGGCCTCGAGCCGCACAACCCTCTGCTGGATGTCGTCGACGACCCGGCGCTCGAGGATTTGTCTGAGTCCGAAGCACGAACACGATTGGCTGCCTTACTCGAGAAATACTCTGATGTGTTCGTAGATTCGCTCCCAATGGACCGACTCCCGCCTTATCGACCCGTCAATCACGAAATCCCTTTGATCGACCCCAACGAGAAGGTCAAGCCGAGGGTCTATCCCCTTGCCGACAAATATCGTAGCCAGTGGGCGGAGCATTCAGCTAAGTACACTCGCGGTCGCTTCTGGGTTTCTGGTCCGATCGACTCTGCGGCTCCGGTCTTCGCCATTCCGAAAAAGAACTCCCAGACCGCTCGCTTTGTGATCGACCTCCGCGCTCGCAACAGCAACACCGCCAAGCGTTTTTCACCTATCCCCGACATGACCAGTGTTCGCTACGAAGTGGCACGTTCGCGCTACCGGTCCAAATTCGACGTGGCCGCAGCGTTTGAGCAGGTGCGGGTCATACCCGAGCACGTCGATCGCACCGGCTTCGCCACGGTCACGGGCACGTACACGTCGCGGGTGATGCAGTTTGGGGACACCAATGCGCCCAACACCCTGAACTTGTTGACATCGGCGATGTTTCAGCCGTGCCTCTCGTTTGCCAAGATCTTTTTCGACGATGTTCACGTCCATTCCGATACTCGTCGCGCGCACTTAAGACACATCGAGATTTTGCTGATGACACTGCGACATTATCGGTTCTACTTAGGATCCAACAAATCCGAGTGGTTCTCAAAGTCGTTAGATTCCTTGGGCGCGATCATCTCCGACGACGGCATCGAGGTCGACCCGGCCAAGTGGGAGCGTATCCGACAGTGGCCGACTCCACACAACAAGACCGACGTTCAGCGTTTCCTCGGCACCGTGAATTGGATGCGAGATCACCTGCCCCACCTCTCGATCACCTTGGAGCCCATCACCGCATTATTAGCGCAATCGACGTCGTGGCGTTGGAACGAGCGCGAGCAGCAGGCCTTCGACACCGTCAAGTCCCTCGTGCCAGCAACACTGCGACCGATCGACGGCGCTAAGGTCACCTCCGGCGAGCACAAAATCTACTTGTTCACCGATGCCAGTCGTGTTGGCATTGGCGCTTGCCTGGCCTCGGGCCCCACTCGTTCGCAGGCCATTCCTACGCGATTCTTCTCCGCTAAGTTCAATGGCGCTCAGCTCAATTATCACGTCACTGATAAGGAGTTCTTAGCCGTCGTTTCGGCGTGTCGGGCGTTCGAGCAGCACTTGATCGGTTACCCCTTCGTCATCGTCACCGACCACCAAGCCCTTCGCACGATTAAAACGCAGAAGTTACGCCAAACACCCCGGCACATCCGCATGTGTCTCGAACTCAGCCGTTTCGACTTCGAATTCGAATTCATTGCGGGCAAGAACAACTCCCTTGCCGATTCGTTGTCACGCTTGTGGGAAGTCAAGGAGGGATCGCCCGAGGATCAGGTCAAGGAGAATGAGTTGGAGGATATGTTCTTTGATGGAGAACGCCACGGATTCACTACACACGGTGAGAGCCTCCCTGAGGAACGTCCTTACACCTCACCATCTCCCGATCGGTTGCCTCCTGTTGATTTTGCCTTCGGGCCCCAACGCGACGATTGCGAGGCAGGCTCTCCCGGATACTACGCGCTCAAGGACGAATCGCAAGACGAGGACGTGAATGGACGGGATTTAGGGAATTTGTTCTTGAAGGAAGAATGCCACGAGTTCACTACACCTGGTGAGAGCCTCCCTGAGGAACGTCCTTACACCTCACCTTCGCACGATCGGTTGCCCCCTGTTGATTGTGCCTTCGGGCCCTGGGATCACGGCTACGACGCAGGCTCTCCCGGTTCCCATCGTCTGGCCGAGAACATTATGGACGCCGTCGACTCTTCTACCGGCCCCCTTTCTCCTCCCATCGCCGTCAATCGAGTTCATGCTATCGCCGCGGCCCCCGCCAACGACGCGCCCATTCCAGTCGATGCCGACGCCGATGAACTCGACTTACTGGGAGCCGCCGCCGATGAGGTCAACGACGCCCCTGTAGTCCATCGACCGCCCGACCCGCTGCCGCAACCTTTCCTCGACGCCGTCATCCGAGCCTACGCCCACGATTCGCAAGCCCAAGTCATTGTTGACGACCCGCTGTCATGGCCGATGTTTCGGGTGACCGAGGAAGGGAGGATCTTGCGTGTACATCCAGATGAGTCTCTTTCCCTGTTTGTGCCTCGCGGTCTCGCTACCGGCGTTGTCGACTCCGACAAGCTCCCATCGCTGCGCGAGCTCGTGCTTTCGGAGATCCATCGGAGCGTCGGGCACGCGGGACATCGCATCACCTTGGCCGCCATACGTCCTTTGTATTGGTGGTCGTCCATGTCTGCCGATTGCGCCAAGTTCTGCCATTCATGCGAAGATTGTGCCCGAGGCAAAGCGTCCACTCAAGTCCCTTATGGCCGACTGCATCCGATGCCGATCCCTTCTGGCCCATGGGAACAAGTGGCCATCGACTTCATGACGGGACTGCCTCCGGTCGAGTTCGAAGGGATGATGGTCGCTCAAATCATGGTGGTCACTGACACTTGGGGCAAGATGGTCCACCTGATTCCCCTCCCAGCCGACGCCGACTCCGAGCTCGTTGCCGACAGGTACTACGCCACCATCTTTCGACTGCATGGGACGCCTTCCGCCATCGTTTCCGATCGCGATCCCAAGTTCACCTCGCAGTTTTGGCGAGCATTGCAGGCGAAGGTCGGCACCGTCTTGCGGATGTCAACAGCGGCGCACCCAGAGACCGACGGATCGAGTGAGAACCGAATCAAGATGGTCACCCAAACCCTGCGCATCATGGTGTCGTCAAACCACGAGGCTTGGGCATCTCGTCTTGTTGAAGCTGAGTTCGCTCTTAACTCTTCCGTTGCGGTTTCCACGTCTCTGTCGGCTTTCGAGGCGACTTACGGTTACCTTCCTCGACGCTGGCCCACCGATTCCTGGTCTGTCTCGGACGTCCCGCGTGCGGAAGCGTTTGCCCGAATCCGACAGTTACGGAATCTCGACGTCACGGATGCGATCATTGGTGCACGCCTCGATCAGACTCACCAGGCCAACAAGCATCGACGCCCGGATGATCCCGCCTTTCGGACCGGCAGTTATGTCTATCTTTCGACCAAGAACCTGGCAGTTCCTGAAGGGATGAAGTCGAAGTTGTTGCCGCGCTACATTGGTCCTTTCCGTATCCGAGCGGCCATTCCAGCGACGTCCAGTTACGACCTCGAGCTTCCCCCAGCAATGTCGCGAGTGCACAGTCGCTTCCATGCTCGACTGCTTCGCCCCTATGTTGAGAACGATGCTGAGAGGTTCCCTGGGCGTGACCCCGCAGTTCTTTTTGTTGAAGATGTAGCCGACGCGGCCGACAACTCCGCCATTCCGGAACGGATTGTTCGCGATCGTCGGAACGCTCGGGGCAATCGTTCGTTCTTGGTTCGATGGATTGGCCGTAAGGACATCGATGACACTTGGATGTCAGAGCAGTCCCTCCGCTTCGACCATCCATCCCTACTCGACGCCTACCTGGCACAACTCGATCGCTCAAATCGCCGCCTGTCCTCCCGGTAGACTTCCTTCTGGGGGGGACAATGTCAGGCAAACAGCGATACACTGACAGCAACACTCGAAGGAAGTCCCTGAGGTAATGTGCAGGTAGAGTTGAGGTCACCAAATGCTTCCCTCCATTCAAGCATTGTGGGCGTGATGGCGTAGTCGTTCGGCGCGCGGGCGCGCACTTAATGGTCGCGGGTTCAAGGCGCGCAGAGCGCAATCTTCTCTCGGTTTTTGTTCTTTTTGTTAGCTGAGGCGCGGCCTCAGGGTTTTTACCGGTGCTCCCGCGAGCAATCCTTTTTCCCCCTGAGGCGACCTCTTGGAGTAGCTGAATTGGCTAAGTCCCCTCTGCGCCTGAGTGCCTCCCTTTTGTTTTTAGCACCTTCCCACTCAGCCTGGTCCGCCACATCTCCGAAGATCCCTTCACCTTCATCCTTCGTTTTCGATCTCGTTGGCAATAAAGTCCGATATACTTGACTTGCTGCGAGCCTCACAACCGCGTCCCCTCCTCGGTTGTCCCTCGGTCGCCTGCCCCCGCCCAGTCGACCTTCCTTCGGCCTGATCCCCTCCTCCGCGTGTAGTCAACGTCTTCTGAAGAGGACGTTGCCTGCCAGGAACTCTACCCGACCGTGCCGATGCCATCGACCGTGAAAATGTCGAAATATTTGCTGTCCGCCAAGTCTCCGACGGTGTTGCCGGTAATGTTCGCAAGTCCCTTCTCACCGTCGCCTCGACGCACGAACGCGCCCGGGCCTATTACGAACACCTCGACCGAGAGTACAACCCGACGTCATCACAGTCTACACTCCGTCTGCTCCACTCATTCTTCAACATTCCGCGCGCCCCCATCGAGGAGAAGGGCTTCGTCGAATGGATGACCGAATTCCTCAACCAATCGAACTGCCTCGAGTCCGCCCAAATCACGATTACCGACGTCATCACGGCTCGAGCCCTCACTCTTATCCCCGACGAACTCGACGCATTCCGGCAGTACATGGAATTGCACAACACCGACCAGCTCCCAACACCGTCAAACTTAATGGCCCTTGCGCACAAACAGGTCAAGAATCACCACGACACTCGCAATGCCAGCTCGACTTTGACCGCGTTTGCTGCAACACCTTCACCGTCATCATCTTCGTCCAAACCGAAACTACCACCGGCTCGTTACCTCTGTCCCGCCTGCAAGACCGGCTTGCACCGCGTCCGCGACTGCCCCGATGACGAAGCGCGACAACGTTACATTGACCGGCGCAACCAACAACAACAGCAATTCGCGACTCGAAACACAGATCAACCGGAGGATGAACCCGTCGTAGCAACAGTCTCGAGGTTCCAAGATTTCCCAGAGCCTTCCACAAGCGCCGGTCAGAATTGGTAAAGTCCCTCGCTCCCTCCATCCGCTCAGGTCCCCCTACACCGGTCACTACGTCGTCGATTACACTACCTATCCCAACCTCCCTTCGTGCTCTTCTGGAAGCGTTCGAACGAGGGGGGGTGTTGAATTTCATTCTACTACAAGCGTTCGAACACTTCAACCTTGGGCCGCCGTTGTCAGGTCCGCCCATTTTCGCCTCGGCGCCTTTGCCTTCGCAGCCAAGCCGCCGCCCCATTTTCACCTCGGCGCCTTCGCCTTCGCAGCCAAGCCGTCGCCCTCCTGCCTCGCGCCGGCCTGCTCAACTCACGCCCGCGCGCCGCCGCCTCCACGCCGGGACTCTGGCCGTCTGCCCTCCAGTCTTGCTGAGCCAATGCCTCCACTTAGTCACCAGCAGCTTGCCGCCGCCGTCCTCATGTTCCATCGGCCATCAAGAGTATCGCCCATGCATGACGCCCGCCGTTCGCAACCTGAGTCTCGTCGCTATGGACTCCCTCGCTCACCAACACTCGACATCGTAGATAGGTTTCCCCTCGTGGCCGTTGTCCAACACGACCCCTCTCAGCACCCGAATGACCCACTTGGAGTTTGCCCTTGATGCTTAGCAGCGCATCCGCCCGATTTGCAGTAGATCCTTTGCGCGCCCGCTTGCTAGAACCTTGTCAGACTCGCGCTGGCAGGCAACGTCCTCTTCAGAAGACGTTGACTACACGCGGAGGAGGGGATCAGGCCGAAGGAAGGTCGACTGGGCGGGGGCAGGCGACCGAGGGACAACCGAGGAGGGGACGCGGTTGTGAGGCTCGCAGCAAGTCAAGTATATCGGACTTTATTGCCAACGAGATCGAAAACGAAGGATGAAGGTGAAGGGATCTTCGGAGATGTGGCGGACCAGGCTGAGTGGGAAGGTGCTAAAAACAAAAGGGAGGCACTCAGGCGCAGAGGGGACTTAGCCAATTCAGCTACTCCAAGAGGTCGCCTCAGGGGGAAAAAGGATTGCTCGCGGGAGCACCGGTAAAAACCCTGAGGCCGCGCCTCAGCTAACAAAAAGAACAAAAACCGAGAGAAGATTGCGCTCTGCGCGCCTTGAACCCGCGACCATTAAGTGCGCGCCCGCGCGCCGAACGACTACGCCATCACGCCCACAATGCTTGAATGGAGGGAAGCATTTGGTGACCTCAACTCTACCTGCACATTACCTCAGGGACTTCCTTCGAGTGTTGCTGTCAGTGTATCGCTGTTTGCCTGACATTGTCCCCCCAGAAGGAAGTCTACCGGGAGGACAGGCGGCGATTTGAGCGATCGAGTTGTGCCAGGTAGGCGTCGAGTAGGGATGGATGGTCGAAGCGGAGGGACTGCTCTGACATCCAAGTGTCATCGATGTCCTTACGGCCAATCCATCGAACCAAGAACGAACGATTGCCCCGAGCGTTCCGACGATCGCGAACAATCCGTTCCGGAATGGCGGAGTTGTCGGCCGCGTCGGCTACATCTTCAACAAAAAGAACTGCGGGGTCACGCCCAGGGAACCTCTCAGCATCGTTCTCAACATAGGGGCGAAGCAGTCGAGCATGGAAGCGACTGTGCACTCGCGACATTGCTGGGGGAAGCTCGAGGTCGTAACTGGACGTCGCTGGAATGGCCGCTCGGATACGGAAAGGACCAATGTAGCGCGGCAACAACTTCGACTTCATCCCTTCAGGAACTGCCAGGTTCTTGGTCGAAAGATAGACATAACTGCCGGTCCGAAAGGCGGGATCATCCGGGCGTCGATGCTTGTTGGCCTGGTGAGTCTGATCGAGGCGTGCACCAATGATCGCATCCGTGACGTCGAGATTCCGTAACTGTCGGATTCGGGCAAACGCTTCCGCACGCGGGACGTCCGAGACAGACCAGGAATCGGTGGGCCAGCGTCGAGGAAGGTAACCGTAAGTCGCCTCGAAAGCCGACAGAGACGTGGAAACCGCAACGGAAGAGTTAAGAGCGAACTCAGCTTCAACAAGACGAGATGCCCAAGCCTCGTGGTTTGACGACACCATGATGCGCAGGGTTTGGGTGACCATCTTGATTCGGTTCTCACTCGATCCGTCGGTCTCTGGGTGCGCCGCTGTTGACATCCGCAAGACGGTGCCGACCTTCGCCTGCAATGCTCGCCAAAACTGCGAGGTGAACTTGGGATCGCGATCGGAAACGATGGCGGAAGGCGTCCCATGCAGTCGAAAGATGGTGGCGTAGTACCTGTCGGCAACGAGCTCGGAGTCGGCGTCGGCTGGGAGGGGAATCAGGTGGACCATCTTGTGAAGAGTCCACTCTCAGCTCGACAGGGGCGCCTCGGTCGTTGCGCGCACTTGCTAGCCCGCCCCCGGCGGTGGGGACTTAGACGCGCGCGACTGCCTCAGCGCGCCAGCGCCGGCGGATTCATGCGCGCGCCCGCTAGCCCGCCCCCTTGCGGTGGGGACTTAGGCGCGCCGGCGATTTCACCCGCGGCTGACTTAGGGATGTACATTGTCACGCGCCTGGGACTATCCCAGCGTGGCCCCCCCCCCTTTCTGTTTCTTAGCTTCCTTCTCATCACTTCTGTTCGACTCTCAACCTCTCCTGACAGTAGTGGTGAACGTCTCATAGGTACGCTGAAATAGATCACTTCTGTTCGACTCTCAACCTCTCCTGACAGTAGTGGTGAACGTCTCATAGGTTATAAGCCCACGAGCCACCAGCTGGCATGACCACGACACCACCCCTCGCGACGGGTGCCAACCCTCCGATTCCCGCCGAACAGCTCGCCGCACTTACATCGCTGCTGTCGGGTCTCACCGCTGCCGCTTCCGGCACTGCCACACCCGCCACGACGTCCGGCACCACTCGCACTGCCTTTCCAAAGCACGCACGCTTGGATGGTGCGAAGACCTTCGCGAACTGGACACGCCAACTTCGCCTGTGCCTAGCGGACGACATCCGCTCGTACGTCCTCGACGGTATCGCACCCGACGACTGGACACCTTCGCAACGCTCCGCTCGCGACGCCGTCGCTCGTGAGGTCCTTGCGAATTCGATTGACTCGGCCGAAGTCTCGGCAGTCCTCGACAAAATCCCTACCGCCGACCTGACAGCGCCGACAATCTACTCGACGCTGAAATCGCGGTACGCCCCTGACGACGCCACCCGCACGCTCGAGCTCTTCTCACGACTCTGGGGTTTCCGTCCCATGCCCGGCACGGTTGCCGAATTCGACGGGTGGATCATGGACTTCAAAGCCGTTGCGCAAGAGATCATCGACACAAAGACAACTATCAATGATGTTCTCGCCACACTCCTCCTTGCAATCGCCCACCCGTCCCTCGAGAGCTTCAAGGCGTCGTTCACCGATGAACAGCGCACGCAACGAACTCTCCCCGACATTGATTCGCTTGCCGACCGTATGCGAGTCCAACTTCGGTCAACGAACATCCCCAGCACTCAATCGGCCCTTCTTGCCTCGTCGTCGTCACGTTCTACTCGTCTCAAGTGTCTCGCCTGTCGCAGCCCTTCGCACCGAGTCGCGGAGTGCCCTACGAGGGCGCAACACCCGCCGCCAGGACCCTGTCGCTCCTGCAAGAAGAAGGATCACTGGTCTCTCGACTGCAAGAAGGCGCTCGAGGACGGCAAAAAGCCCGACACCGCTGACTCGACCGTCGACTCGCAACACCATGTCGGATGTCTCGCCACCGGTCTTCTCGCTCGTCGTCGCCAGCTTCGCAACCACTCTTTTGTCGTCGACTCGGGCGCCACTTCGCACATGGTCTCGGACAAGTCGCTGTTCACGACCTATCGCCATATCGCTCCTACGAAGATTGGTGGTATTGCAGGGGGCATCAACGCCATCGGAACGGGAAACATCGCCTTCATTGCCGCCTCGGGTCATCCGATCACGCTTACCGGCGTGCTGCACACTCCGGGCCTGTTTGTCAATCTTCTCTCGGTCTCTCGACTTTGCGACACCGACGATGTCCGTGTCGCCTTCACAAAACACGGCATCCACATTGACAAGGACGGCAACGACATCGCTGAAGGCGCACGACTCGACGAAGGGCTCTACTTGCTGGACGCTGATCATTCCAAATGTCAGCACCTTGCTCTCCTTTCTCGCTCACAGTCGTCCGTGCCCCTGCTGACTCTCCATCGCTGCCTCGGCCATCTCGCACCGTCCTCCATACAGAAGATGGTTGCCGCTGGTTTGCTGGAGGGTCTCAGGGCCGGATATAGTGACGAAGAGGTAGAGAAGTTTGTCTGCAATGCTTGCCTCAGCGCAAAGGGCCATCGTCTTCCCTTTCCCGATTCGGATTCGCACTCCTCAGAGAGACTCGGCCTTGTACACAGCGATGTGCTTTCCTTCCCCGAGCGGTCCTTGACTGGCAAACGTTACCTGGTCACATTCCTTGACGATTACTCGCGCAAACTCTGGGCCTACGCAATCGGACACAAAAGCGAAGTCTTCGGCATATTCAAAACTTGGCTAGCCGAGGTTGAACTCGAGACGGGTGCGACGCTGAAGGTCCTCCGAACCGACAACGGTGGCGAATACTGTTCGAGAGCGTTCACAGAGTTCTGCAAGACACGAGGCACCCGTCGACAATACTCTATCCCACGCACGCCTCAACAGAACGGTCGTGCAGAGCGGGTCAATCGTTCCATTGTCGAAGGCGTCCTTGCCCTCCTTGTCGACGCCCACCTACCCAAGACATTCTGGGAGGAGGCTGCAGCTTATTTCGTTTACTGCAAGAACCTGTGTCAACACGCGGCCCTGGACAAGGCAACACCAAACTCCGTCTGGCAGGGTGACCACACCACTGCCTCGGCGCTTCACCCGTTCGGCTGTACAGCTTGGCTTACGGTCGCGCCCGAACTTCGCTCCAAACTCGACCCGAAGGCGGTTCGCGTTTTTTTCACCGGCTACGACCTGGCTTCAAAAGCCTTTCGCTTCTACGACACTACAACACAGAAGATTATACTTGGCAGAAATGCCACGTTCCTCGACACTGAATTCCCCGGATTACATGGCGACCCCACTGAGCAAGACGGCGACACGCACTTCGCCAGCGCTCCCACCACCGAATCTCAAACCGTTGTCAAGACATGGACCCCACTAGTAAGGTCGGCGCACATGGACGTCTCATCCCCCTTGATGATTCTGCCATGAGCGCCGTTGACGTGGCCCCAGGGTACACTGGCGGAACCTTACTTAACTTCACAGATGCCGAATCGTCCTCGTCACCGTCGCCTGCGTCGCCCTCATCACCGTCGTCTGCGCCATCGCCTGCACTTTCACCATCGTCGGCTGCGTCATCGTCACCCTCGGCCTTACCGACCGACTCTGAAGACTCCGCCGATCCCCTCGACCTCCTCGGCTCACAGCCCCAGGTTCGCCTCGATCTACAGGACGTGCACCACCCAGACTTCAGCACGTACCGCGAGCCCGCATCGGCTGAGGAGTCGCCCGACGAACTCGACCTCATTGGGCGCCACTCTCGCGACGAATCTCCGGACGAAATCGATTTCCTCACCCGACACCACCGCGCCTTCATCGCCATCGACGACGACACCTCTGACACAGAGGCAATTCAGCCAGTCAAGTCCATCACGAGCGACCCACAGACCTGGCGCGAGGCGATGTCTAGCGACAAGCGTGAAGTATGGGCCAAAGCCGCCACCGACGAGTTCACCTCCATGCGCGACGACTTCAAGGTCTTCACCATCGAGGACCGAGCCACGGTGCCCGCGGGTGCGACTATCGTTACATCCAAGTTCGTCTGGAAAACGAAACGGAACGCACTCGGCGAAGTCACTGGACACAAGGCAAGGCTGGTCGCGCAAGGCAATCGGCAACGCGACGGCATCGACTTCAACGAAACGTTCGCACCGGTCGCACGCTTCTCCTCGATACGCTCACTCCTCGCGCTGGCGGCCGCCAACGGCTTGCACGTGCACCAGGCGGACATCGACAAAGCATATCTGCATGGCGACCTTGACCACGACATCTGGATGACGGCACCGCGCGGCTTCGACCTTCCCAGCGACAAGGTGCTTCGCCTGCGACGCTCCATCTACGGGCTCAAACAGGCTGGCCGAATCTGGAATCGACACATCGACGCTTCGCTTCGGGCCCTCGGTTACACGGCGACGGGCACCGACCACTGCGTATACTCTTGGCTCGATGATCGTCAATGTCCACACTACATCGCACTGTACGTCGACGACCTCCTGATGATCAGCCCGGAACTGGCCGAAATCGAACGTGTCATCTCAGGCCTGGACCAACGCTACGGAGTCAAGCGCCTCGGCCCGGCCGAGTATATCCTCGGCATCCAGATCAGGCGGTTCGACGACGGCTCTATCGCCCTATCCCAGGAACGGTACATCATGGACGTGCTCGCTCGGTTCCACTTCGACACCACGACTCGCGGCACTACAGTTCCGATGACTCCCGGCCTTTCGCTCACTGCTATCCCGGGTCAAGGCACCGAACGGATCAGGTCATGGTATCTGCAGGCTATCGGCTCGCTCCTCTACATTTCGCTCGGTACCCGCCCTGACATCGCCTTCGCCGTGTCCTACCTGGCCCGCTTCGCCAACAACCCCGGTCGTCGTCATTGGATTGCGGTCAAGCACATCCTACGCTATCTCCGGGCCACGTATCGCAACGAACTCGTGTATGCTCGCGGCCAGGCTCGCATCACGGGTGTGGTAGGCTACTCCGACGCGAACTGGGGGGCCTGCATCGACACATCGGTGTCCACCATGGGCTACGTCTTCTACATCGCTGGCTCGGCCGTGTCCTGGTCGTCCAAACGCCAGTCTCGAGTTGCCGATTCGACCACCGACGCTGAATACCTCGCCCTCTCGCATGCTGGCAAGGAAGGGATTTACCTCAGTCAGCTGCTCGAAGAGCTCCATGTACAACCTGTTGCACCGGCTCACATCTTTACTGACAACGAAGCCGCTGCTGCAGTTGCTCACGATCCTGTCCGCGTCTCTGGCACTCGGCACATACGCTTGCGTGAGCACTTCGTTCGGGACATGGTGAATCGGGGCGACATCTCTCTCTCGCATGTGGGTACCAGCGACATGGTGGCCGACATCTTCACCAAGGCTCTCGGCCCAAAGGTCTTCTCAACGCACTGCTACGCCCTCGGCCTTCGCACTCGACACCCGCGGCTTGGGTCTGCCTCGCATTCGCGTGGGGGGGGGTGTGAAGAGTCCACTCTCAGCTCGACAGGGGCGCCTCGGTCGTTGCGCGCACTTGCTAGCCCGCCCCCGGCGGTGGGGACTTAGACGCGCGCGACTGCCTCAGCGCGCCAGCGCCGGCGGATTCATGCGCGCGCCCGCTAGCCCGCCCCCTTGCGGTGGGGACTTAGGCGCGCCGGCGATTTCACCCGCGGCTGACTTAGGGATGTACATTGTCACGCGCCTGGGACTATCCCAGCGTGGCCCCCCCCCCTTTCTGTTTCTTAGCTTCCTTCTCATCACTTCTGTTCGACTCTCAACCTCTCCTGACAGTAGTGGTGAACGTCTCATAGGTACGCTGAAATAGATCACTTCTGTTCGACTCTCAACCTCTCCTGACAGTAGTGGTGAACGTCTCATACATCTTGCCCCAAGTGTCAGTGACCACCATGATTTGAGCGACCATCATCCCTTCGAACTCGACCGGAGGCAGTCCCGTCATGAAGTCGATGGCCACTTGTTCCCATGGGCCAGAAGGGATCGGCATCGGATGCAGTCGGCCATAAGGGACTTGAGTGGACGCTTTGCCTCGGGCACAATCTTCGCATGAATGGCAGAACTTGGCGCAATCGGCAGACATGGACGACCACCAATACAAAGGACGTATGGCGGCCAAGGTGATGCGATGTCCCGCGTGCCCGACGCTCCGATGGATCTCCGAAAGCACGAGCTCGCGCAGCGATGGGAGCTTGTCGGAGTCGACAACGCCGGTAGCGAGACCGCGAGGCACAAACAGGGAAAGAGACTCATCTGGATGTACACGCAAGATCCTCCCTTCCTCGGTCACCCGAAACATCGGCCATGACAGCGGGTCGTCAACAATGACTTGGGCTTGCGAATCGTGGGCGTAGGCTCGGATGACGGCGTCGAGGAAAGGTTGCGGCAGCGGGTCGGGCGGTCGATGGACTACAGGGGCGTCGTTGACCTCATCGGCGGCGGCTCCCAGTAAGTCGAGTTCATCGGCGTCGGCATCGACTGGAATGGGCGCGTCGTTGGCGGGGGCCGCGGCGATAGCATGAACTCGATTGACGGCGATGGGAGGAGAAAGGGGGCCGGTAGAAGAGTCGACGGCGTCCATAATGTTCTCGGCCAGACGATGGGAACCGGGAGAGCCTGCGTCGTAGCCGTGATCCCAGGGCCCGAAGGCACAATCAACAGGGGGCAACCGATCGTGCGAAGGTGAGGTGTAAGGACGTTCCTCAGGGAGGCTCTCACCAGGTGTAGTGAACTCGTGGCATTCTTCCTTCAAGAACAAATTCCCTAAATCCCGTCCATTCACGTCCTCGTCTTGCGATTCGTCCTTGAGCGCGTAGTATCCGGGAGAGCCTGCCTCGCAATCGTCGCGTTGGGGCCCGAAGGCAAAATCAACAGGAGGCAACCGATCGGGAGATGGTGAGGTGTAAGGACGTTCCTCAGGGAGGCTCTCACCGTGTGTAGTGAATCCGTGGCGTTCTCCATCAAAGAACATATCCTCCAACTCATTCTCCTTGACCTGATCCTCGGGCGATCCCTCCTTGACTTCCCACAAGCGTGACAACGAATCGGCAAGGGAGTTGTTCTTGCCCGCAATGAATTCGAATTCGAAGTCGAAACGGCTGAGTTCGAGACACATGCGGATGTGCCGGGGTGTTTGGCGTAACTTCTGCGTTTTAATCGTGCGAAGGGCTTGGTGGTCGGTGACGATGACGAAGGGGTAACCGATCAAGTGCTGCTCGAACGCCCGACACGCCGAAACGACGGCTAAGAACTCCTTATCAGTGACGTGATAATTGAGCTGAGCGCCATTGAACTTAGCGGAGAAGAATCGCGTAGGAATGGCCTGCGAACGAGTGGGGCCCGAGGCCAGGCAAGCGCCAATGCCAACACGACTGGCATCGGTGAACAAGTAGATTTTGTGCTCGCCGGAGGTGACCTTAGCGCCGTCGATCGGTCGCAGTGTTGCTGGCACGAGGGACTTGACGGTGTCGAAGGCCTGCTGCTCGCGCTCGTTCCAACGCCACGACGTCGATTGCGCTAATAATGCGGTGATGGGCTCCAAGGTGATCGAGAGGTGGGGCAGGTGATCTCGCATCCAATTCACGGTGCCGAGGAAACGCTGAACGTCGGTCTTGTTGTGTGGAGTCGGCCACTGTCGGATACGCTCCCACTTGGCCGGGTCGACCTCGATGCCGTCGTCGGAGATGATCGCGCCCAAGGAATCTAACGACTTTGAGAACCACTCGGATTTGTTGGATCCTAAGTAGAACCGATAATGTCGCAGTGTCATCAGCAAAATCTCGATGTGTCTTAAGTGCGCGCGACGAGTATCGGAATGGACGTGAACATCGTCGAAAAAGATCTTGGCAAACGAGAGGCACGGCTGAAACATCGCCGATGTCAACAAGTTCAGGGTGTTGGGCGCATTGGTGTCCCCAAACTGCATCACCCGCGACGTGTACGTGCCCGTGACCGTGGCGAAGCCGGTGCGATCGACGTGCTCGGGTATGACCCGCACCTGCTCAAACGCTGCGGCCACGTCGAATTTGGACCGGTAGCGCGAACGTGCCACTTCGTAGCGAACACTGGTCATGTCGGGGATAGGTGAAAAACGCTTGGCGGTGTTGCTGTTGCGAGCGCGGAGGTCGATCACAAAGCGAGCGGTCTGGGAGTTCTTTTTCGGAATGGCGAAGACCGGAGCCGCAGAGTCGATCGGACCAGAAACCCAGAAGCGACCGCGAGTGTACTTAGCTGAATGCTCCGCCCACTGGCTACGATATTTGTCGGCAAGGGGATAGACCCTCGGCTTGACCTTCTCGTTGGGGTCGATCAAAGGGATTTCGTGATTGACGGGTCGATAAGGCGGGAGTCGGTCCATTGGGAGCGAATCTACGAACACATCAGAGTATTTCTCGAGTAAGGCAGCCAATCGTGTTCGTGCTTCGGACTCAGACAAATCCTCGAGCGCCGGGTCGTCGACGACATCCAGCAGAGGGTTGTGCGGCTCGAGGCCAATGATCTCGTCGTCAGGAAGCAACCCTGGGTGATCGTAGCCAATGGCAGAGCCGGAGCAGATGGGCGCCACCGTGACTGCGCGATCCCACTCGTGAGTGCCCTTGGCGACCGGCTGCGAAGGGCCCGGCCGTGCGACGGTGAAGACGCCCCAGCCTACCAGCATGCCGGTGTCCTTCAGAAACGGCAAACCCAGGATAGCATCATATGCCGTCACACGGCAAATGAAAAACGCCTGCAAGCCGAGGTCGAGGGAACCGGACGTGAAGAGGGCGTTGGCAAACACGGCGCAGCGGTCAGATTTGTCGCGAGTGCCGAGGCGCAAGTGCAGCGGCGCGGTAAGGCGGGACGTCGTGAAACTCGGGTCTGTTCGCACGACATCCTGATCCACCAAGTCCACTTCCGAACCAGAGTCGACGAGGCAACGCAGCGTTCGCCCAGACGGCAACGTCCACGCAATAATATTGCGGGCGCGCACAATCGCGGGCTCGGCGGGTCGGGCGAAGTCGTCGACGTCGATCAGGGGCGTGTCGGACTCCAAGAGAGAAACCCCCAACGGCACCGGAACACGAACAGAGCTCACCGATGCAGTCCTCTCCGCTTTGCGCGACGACACCACCTCCGGCCCCCAGTATCGCCGCATTCGCGACGCGGCATCAGCATAAGAGGGGACGTCTTCCACCGCGTCAAACGCAGAGTCGGTCGAGTCATCGGCAAGACGACGTAGATCTGCATCACTTGCCGGCGCGGTTGGCTGCGGATTACTTGATGAGACTTCGACGTCGACTGAAGAAGAAGCCCCTTCTTTCATTCGGCCAACGGGGTCTGCGGGAGGGCAAGAAGGGCGCGTCATTGAAGCGGAAACGGAACTCAAATGTCAGGAGCACAGCCTGCACTGCCATCAATACTCGAAGGAAGTCTCCCAAGTTTGCGGCCGGAGTCGACATCAGCTACCGGTTTGTTCGTTGCAAGCATTGTCGGCGCGATGGTGTAGTCGTGAGGGCGCGCGGGCGCGCACTCAGTGGTCGAGGGTTCGATCCGCCCGGAGCGTGATCTGCCTTTTGGTTTCTTTTCCTTTTTGTTATCCGAGGCCCGGCTTCGGGGTTTTTACCGGTGCCTTGCAGGCAATCCTTTTTACCCCTGAAGCGACCTCGTGGTGTAGTTATTTGATTCAGTCTTTCCTTCGCTGGGAGCACTTCCCTCCCTTTGCTTTTGCCACCCTTCCCCTAGAGCTTGGTCCACTCATTATCATGACTCGTACCCTCCCTCTTTTTACCCATTTCGCTGGCAATTAAGTCCGTTACACTTGATTTGCTGCGAAGCCTTCCGACCGAATCCACTCCTCGGTTGCTCTCGGTCGACTGCCGCCGCCCAGCCGACTCGACCTTCCCATCGGCCTGGTCAGCTATTTCTTGGATCGTTTGCCCTTCCTCTTTTGTCCGACCTCGTTGGCCACCATAGTCCGGTACACTGGACTTGCTGCGAGCCTTGCAGCCGCGTATCCTCCGCGGTTGCCTCTCGGTCGACTTCCGCCGCCCAGCCGACTCGACCTTCCCACCGGCCTGGTCAGCTATTTCTTGGATCGTTTGCCCTCCCTCTTCTGTCCGACCTCGTTGGCTACCATAGTTCGGTACACTGGACTTGCTGCGAGCCTTGCAGCCGCGTATCCTCCGCGGTTGCCTCTCGGTCGACTGCCGCCGCCTCGGTCGACACCCCCTTCGCTCCTTCGCGCTTTCGCGCGCTCTCTCGCTCTCTCCCTCGTCTCTCGCGTGTAGTCATCGTCATCCCCTCCGACGTTGCCTGTCACTTTTTTCAAGTTCGGCATTGCTAGCGACAGTCCCAGCTTCTCTCACCGCTCAGTCCCACACCCTGGACGAGCATTCCCGCCCTCCCGCCCTTCGTCTTCGCGTCGTCCGCCTCCTCTCCGTTCGGCCTCTCGAGTTCGGCCTCTTTGACGACCGCGTGGTTCCTCCCCCCCACCCCCCACACCTCCCCCACCCCCCACCCCCCCACCTCTTCTTACCGTCTCGTGACCGCCCTCGTTCGCCCTGGAATCGCTGTTGACTGTGAGTTGAGTGATCGCCATGGCCGCCGAGTGTGACACGTCGCGCGCCGCTGCCGCAGCCAGCGCGCCGCGCCTCTTCGCAACCGCGACCCCGGCCGCGCGAACCCGCCCAAGTCCGCCTGCCACCACACTCGTTTCGCACCGCCGCCGCCTTATTGCATGGTCGCCTCGTGCCCGCCTCGTTCGTCCTGGAATCATCGACTGTCGTGTTGAGCGATCGCCATGGCCACCGAGCGCGACACGTCCTGCGCCGCTGCCGAAGACGGCCCGCCGTCCCCTTCCGCCAATCCGACCCCGGCCGAGCACGGCCAACTCCGACCGACCCGGCCGCGCGAAACCGCCTAAGTCCGCCCGCCGCCCAACTCATTCCGCACCGTCACCGCCTCGCCGCACGGTAGACTTCCTTCTGGGGGGGATAGTGTCAGGAGCACAGCCTGCACTGCCATCAATACTCGAAGGAAGTCTCCCAAGTTTGCGGCCGGAGTCGACATCAGCTACCGGTTTGTTCGTTGCAAGCATTGTCGGCGCGATGGTGTAGTCGTGAGGGCGCGCGGGCGCGCACTCAGTGGTCGAGGGTTCGATCCGCCCGGAGCGTGATCTGCCTTTTGGTTTCTTTTCCTTTTTGTTATCCGAGGCCCGGCTTCGGGGTTTTTACCGGTGCCTTGCAGGCAATCCTTTTTACCCCTGAAGCGACCTCGTGGTGTAGTTATTTGATTCAGTCTTTCCTTCGCTGGGAGCACTTCCCTCCCTTTGCTTTTGCCACCCTTCCCCTAGAGCTTGGTCCACTCATTATCATGACTCGTACCCTCCCTCTTTTTACCCATTTCGCTGGCAATTAAGTCCGTTACACTTGATTTGCTGCGAAGCCTTCCGACCGAATCCACTCCTCGGTTGCTCTCGGTCGACTGCCGCCGCCCAGCCGACTCGACCTTCCCATCGGCCTGGTCAGCTATTTCTTGGATCGTTTGCCCTTCCTCTTTTGTCCGACCTCGTTGGCCACCATAGTCCGGTACACTGGACTTGCTGCGAGCCTTGCAGCCGCGTATCCTCCGCGGTTGCCTCTCGGTCGACTTCCGCCGCCCAGCCGACTCGACCTTCCCACCGGCCTGGTCAGCTATTTCTTGGATCGTTTGCCCTCCCTCTTCTGTCCGACCTCGTTGGCTACCATAGTTCGGTACACTGGACTTGCTGCGAGCCTTGCAGCCGCGTATCCTCCGCGGTTGCCTCTCGGTCGACTGCCGCCGCCTCGGTCGACACCCCCTTCGCTCCTTCGCGCTTTCGCGCGCTCTCTCGCTCTCTCCCTCGTCTCTCGCGTGTAGTCATCGTCATCCCCTCCGACGTTGCCTGTCATCAAAGGTCGAGTCTGAACACGCTCGAGTGGAATGGGGACTCTCACCTCGGGATCCTCGTCACCACCTGCGACCGAGGACCACTCTTCGTCATCCAAGTCGGCCACAGCGACCACTGAGAGTTGGACGGCGACCGGGGATTGACGCTCCGCGGTGCAGTGCTGCGAGAAATGACCGCCTCGTCCGCAGTTGAAGCAAGCCATGCTGGTGGGTACCCCGCTGGGCGCCGGGGAAAACCAGGTGGAGCGGTCCTTCCACAAGTGCGATTGCTGCCACTTAGTAGCGCGGTCGACCCATCGAGCTCGTCGGATCTGGAACCTCTCGTCGACGGTGGGCGTGTTGGTCGCAGGTGGGCTCACTCGGGGAGCTTTGACGATCGCGCCATAGGTCGCGGTGCGGCTTGGTGGGGTCGGAACCGAAGGCGGAGGAGAAATGTCGTCGGCGATAGCGGCCCACTCGGTAATCTCGTCGATGGACGGGACCTTCAGTCCGAATCGCCCAATTGTCACCAGCGAGTTGTCGTGGTATTCACGTAACATTCCCGCCCGCACTTCCCGCTTGGAGGAGTCACTGAGCGATTGGTAGAAGGTCGTGGCGAGCTGAAGCGGCGACAGGGTGAAACTATCGTTGTCGTGCACGAAGGCACGGTACCGCGCCCGCCACTCCCCGACATGGTCGTAAGCCCGAGACGACGACTGGCGACATCCGTGGAAGTCTTGAGCCACTCTATCGGCGAACCCGGGGTCGGGCCAACGACGTCCCACTGCCTTCATGAGCGACGTCCAACAATGAGGGCGCCCTTCTCCAAGCGCGTCCCTCATCGCCTCGACGGCCCAATCGAGCGGGGATTGGCGGCGCTGTCGGGTTGTCGTACGAAAAAATAGCGTCGCCACAAGCTGGATCACTCGGCTCGTGTCGAAAAGGTCGGAGGTGGAGATGTCGCACAAGAGAGAAAGATACGACTCCCCAAACGCAGTGAAAATCACCAACCTTTCCGGATGATCTCCGGTCCATAACCCTTCCCGGTCCGGCAATGTCCCTCTCCAACGAGAGCTAATCACCGCCGAGGAAGGGCCGTCCCTAATTCCGCTGTGAGATTCCCCCCCAGGGGTACGAGCAAGGGGGTCAGCGGCAGCTCCCGGGCGTCCCAAAAATGTGTGCGGGGGGACGTCCAGGGGGACCGGTCTCACCGGCAGAGCCTCCCCGACCTGCGCCCCAGCAGGTGCGGTGGATTCTCTCATCAATCGTTCCACCATCTGCTCCAATTTGCGGATGCGTGTCTCCGAGTCGCGGCGCAGGGCTTCCGATTCTGCGAGGCGGGATTCAAGGGACGTGATGACGGCGGCGGCCTGGAGCGGGTGCGGCGAATGCGTCGGCGGGGACTTAGGCGGATTCACGCGCGAGGGGTCTTCGCGGACGGGGGCGGTGGTGTCTCGCGACGTGTCGGTGGGTTCGGCCATGGCGAGTTCGCGGCGTAGCGGTTGGCGGTTGTGGGGAGAACGGATGCGAGCTCGAGAAGGATGGAAGAAGGGGTACGAAGGGATGACGCGTTCGTCGTCGGACTCAGTGAATGAGGTGGCGAATGACCACGACGCGTCAGCGGGGGATGAGTTCGGCAACGGGGAGGAAGCTGACGACTCAGGGGTAGTGGACGATTGCTCGTCCAGGATGCAGGATAGAGCAAGGGCAAGCGAGATCGAAGGTTGGCGGTGCCGGACTTGAAAAAAGTGGCAGGCAACGTCCTCTTCAGAAGACGTTGACTACACGCGGAGGAGGGGATCAGGCCGAAGGAAGGTCGACTGGGCGGGGGCAGGCGACCGAGGGACAACCGAGGAGGGGACGCGGTTGTGAGGCTCGCAGCAAGTCAAGTATATCGGACTTTATTGCCAACGAGATCGAAAACGAAGGATGAAGGTGAAGGGATCTTCGGAGATGTGGCGGACCAGGCTGAGTGGGAAGGTGCTAAAAACAAAAGGGAGGCACTCAGGCGCAGAGGGGACTTAGCCAATTCAGCTACTCCAAGAGGTCGCCTCAGGGGGAAAAAGGATTGCTCGCGGGAGCACCGGTAAAAACCCTGAGGCCGCGCCTCAGCTAACAAAAAGAACAAAAACCGAGAGAAGATTGCGCTCTGCGCGCCTTGAACCCGCGACCATTAAGTGCGCGCCCGCGCGCCGAACGACTACGCCATCACGCCCACAATGCTTGAATGGAGGGAAGCATTTGGTGACCTCAACTCTACCTGCACATTACCTCAGGGACTTCCTTCGAGTGTTGCTGTCAGTGTATCGCTGTTTGCCTGACACGCGCTCCTTGTGCTTCCCTTCCTCTTCTCTACCGCTTCCCGACATTAGCCAGACTGCTAATCTTCGGTAGAGAACAGGTTAGTTGAAATCATATCGACCGCTTCCCGACATTAGCCAGACTGCTAATCTTCGGTAGAGAACAGATCGTCCAGCCGCACCGCCGTCTCGTCAGACCGCGTCTGTGCCGCCTTGCGACTTCTCCCAATCGGACCGTCCGTCGCAACCGTAGCCACGTCGACGCGCCCAACAGTAGCCCCAGCGGTCGCTACACCCAGTTCCGAAAAGTTCCACGACCTACACTCTACAGGTTATGAGCCCAGTTCGACCCGAACTGCCCCGATTTCCAGCAGCAGCTGCGAACCCCACCACCGACGCCATCCCGGCCGCACCCGATCACACCGAACCACCCGACGCAACCGACGGCACGATGTCGAGCTCCGCCCACGTCGACGACTCCCTGGCTGCCCGCATCGATGAGCGCATCCACCTGGAGGTACAACGTCGTCTACGGGAATTCTCCATGTCCCCCACCCCAGATCGCAAGCCGCTTCACAACATCGATATTCCCCGCCACCTTTCAACCTGGCCGGCCGACGCTCTGCTCTCTGACGTTGGGACCTTCCGAATCTGGGACCGCACGCTGCAAGACCGAGTTGGCGCGACAATTTACACGTACATCACCACCGGAACTCTACCCGACCGTGCCGATGCCATCGACCGTGAAAATGTCGAAATATTTGCTGTCCGCCAAGTCTCCGACGGTGTTGCCGGTAATGTTCGCAAGTCCCTTCTCACCGTCGCCTCGACGCACGAACGCGCCCGGGCCTATTACGAACACCTCGACCGAGAGTACAACCCGACGTCATCACAGTCTACACTCCGTCTGCTCCACTCATTCTTCAACATTCCGCGCGCCCCCATCGAGGAGAAGGGCTTCGTCGAATGGATGACCGAATTCCTCGACCAATCGAACTGCCTCGAGTCCGCCCAAATCACGATTACCGACGTCATCACGGCTCGAGCCCTCACTCTTATCCCCGACGAACTCGACGCATTCCGGCAGTACATGGAATTGCACAACACCGACCAGCTCCCAACACCGTCAAACTTAATGGCCCTTGCGCACAAACAGGTCAAGAATCACCACGACACTCGCAATGCCAGCTCGACTTTGACCGCGTTTGCTGCAACACCTTCACCGTCATCATCTTCGTCCAAACCGAAACTACCACCGGCTCGTTACCTCTGTCCCGCCTGCAAGACCGGCTTGCACCGCGTCCGCGACTGCCCCGATGACGAAGCGCGACAACGTTACATTGACCGGCGCAACCAACAACAACAGCAATTCGCGACTCGAAACACAGATCAACCGGAGGATGAACCCGTCGTAGCAACAGTCTCGAGGTTCCAAGATTTCCCAGAGCCTTCCACAAGCGCCGGTCAGAATTGGTAAAGTCCCTCGCTCCCTCCATCCGCTCAGGTCCCCCTACACCGGTCACTACGTCGTCGATTACACTACCTATCCCAACCTCCCTTCGTGCTCTTCTGGAAGCGTTCGAACGAGGGGGGGTGTTGAATTTCATTCTACTACAAGCGTTCGAACACTTCAACCTTGGGCCGCCGTTGTCAGGTCCGCCCATTTTCGCCTCGGCGCCTTTGCCTTCGCAGCCAAGCCGCCGCCCCATTTTCACCTCGGCGCCTTCGCCTTCGCAGCCAAGCCGTCGCCCTCCTGCCTCGCGCCGGCCTGCTCAACTCACGCCCGCGCGCCGCCGCCTCCACGCCGGGACTCTGGCCGTCTGCCCTCCAGTCTTGCTGAGCCAATGCCTCCACTTAGTCACCAGCAGCTTGCCGCCGCCGTCCTCATGTTCCATCGGCCATCAAGAGTATCGCCCATGCATGACGCCCGCCGTTCGCAACCTGAGTCTCGTCGCTATGGACTCCCTCGCTCACCAACACTCGACATCGTAGATAGGTTTCCCCTCGTGGCCGTTGTCCAACACGACCCCTCTCAGCACCCGAATGACCCACTTGGAGTTTGCCCTTGATGCTTAGCAGCGCATCCGCCCGATTTGCAGTAGATCCTTTGCGCGCCCGCTTGCTAGAACCTTGTCAGACTCGCGCTCCTTGTGCTTCCCTTCCTCTTCTCTACCGCTTCCCGACATTAGCCAGACTGCTAATCTTCGGTAGAGAACAGGTTAGTTGAAATCATATCGACCGCTTCCCGACATTAGCCAGACTGCTAATCTTTGGTAGAGAACAGATCGTCCAGCCGCACCGCCGTCTCGTCAGACCGCGTCTGTGCCGCCTTGCGACTTCTCCCAATCGGACCGTCCGTCGCAACCGTAGCCACGTCGACGCGCCCAACAGTAGCCCCAGCGGTCGCTACACCCAGTTCCGAAAAGTTCCACGACCTACACTCTACAGGTTATGAGCCCAGTTCGACCCGAACTGCCCCGATTTCCAGCAGCAGCTGCGAACCCCACCACCGACGCCATCCCGGTGTGAGGAATCCACTCTCCGCTCGGCTCAGGACTTAGGCGCGCGGAGCGAACCGGGCGCGGACTTAGGCGCGCGGAGTGAGCCGGGCGCCCCGGCCCAGGACTTAGGCGCGCGAAGCGAGCCTGGGACTTAGGCGCGCGGAGCGAGCCTGGGCCATTGGCTCAGCCCCAGGCTCGCTGGCTGTGGACTTGGGGCGCGCGGGTCTCTTATTGTTAGCTTCCTATTCATCACTCTTGGCTATAACTACATCGCTGACGTAGTAGAGTTGATCGAATAGGTATGTTGAAATGCATTCATCACTCTTGGCTATAACTACATCGCTGACGTAGTAGAGTTGATCGAATAGGTTATAAGCCCACGAGCTACCAGCCCCGCCGCTTGAGGCTTTTTCGCTCGAGCCCAGCCACTCGAGCCGCACACGTCCATCGCACCATCACATCATGGACAGCTCTCCCGCCTCGCCTTTGGCCCCCAGGGATCCCAGCTCCCCTGAATCTTCGATCGGCGAACAAATCGCCACTCTACAGGCCCAGCTTGCCGCTCTGCAGGCCTCGCAACCCGCCGCCGCCGCAGCCGCCGCACCCCCGGCCGTCACCGTCGTGCCGGGGAACGCCGCCACCGCATCCAAGGTCGTGTTTCCCAAGCACGCTCGTCTGGACGGCCCCAAGTCGTTCACCAACTGGTTGCGTCAACTCCGTCTTGCACTCCCGAACCAGGTTCGTGGTTACGTTCTCGACGGTGTCGTTCCCCCGACCTGGACCGCCGACCAGCTTGCCGCACGTGACGACGCCGCCCGGGAAATCATCGTTGGCTCTATCGACTCCGCCGACGTATCGGCCACCCTCGACGCCATCCCCAGCGACGACCTGTCGGCACCGCGCATCTTTGCCGCTCTCAAGGCTCGTTTTGCACCGGACGACGCTACACGCACTCTCGAGTTGTTCGCTCGCCTTTGGGACTTCAGGAAGATGCCTGCCTCCGTCGAGGCCTACGACACTTGGCTACGCGAGTACATGTCGATTGCTCAGGAAATACGCGACGCCAAAACATCGCTCAACGACGTGCTCGCCACCCACGTGCTCGCCATGGTCCCGTCTTGCCTCGACAGCTTCCGACTCACGTTCACGGACGAGCAGCGAAACCGACGCGACCTTCCCGAACTCACGACGCTTACGGACCGCATTCGCATCCAGCTTCGTTCGGCAGGACTCTCGACCTCGCATTCGGCCATGCTTGCCACCAGCTCCCCCTGCCCCGCCTGCCGCGCTCCCGGTCACCGCCTGCGCGACTGCACTTCACGTGCGAAGCACCCGCCCACCGGCCCCTGCCGCCGATGCCACAAGAAAGGTCACTGGGCACTCGACTGCAAGAACCGGGGTGAACAGGCACGTAGCAGCGACGACACCCAGGACGACACGTCTTCCTCCGCGGCCTCGCAACCGAACGTCGGCTATTTCGCCTCCTGCCTCTTCGCTCGTCGCCAACTCCCAACTGACGCCTTTGTAGTCGATTCGGGTGCCACGACACACATGGTCGCCGACCGATCTCTATTCACGACTTATCGTCAGACGGCACACACCAAGATCGGCGGCATCGCGGGCGGCATCACGGCTATCGGCATGGGGGACGTGGCATTCGTCGCCAAGACTGGACACCCGATCACGCTCCGTGGTGTTCTTCACACGCCTGGCCTACACGTCAACCTCCTCTCTGTCTCTCGCCTCTGCGACACCGACCGCGTTCGTCTCGCCTTCACCAGCGACGGCATCGACATCGCCAAGGACGGCCGGGCCATTGCTCACGGTACCAGGGTCAACGACGGTCTTTACCTTTTGGACGCGGATCACACCAAGTGTCAGCATCTTGCCTTCCTCTCACGCTCTGAGTCTCCCGTGCCCCTGCTTACCCTACACCGCTGCCTCGGCCATCTTGCCCCATCCTCTATACAGAAGATGATTGCTGCAGGTTTGCTGGACGGGTTTGGGGCCGGGTACAGTGACAAAGACGTAGAGGAGTTTGTTTGCAATGCTTGCCTTGGTTCCAAAGGTCACCGCCTTCCCTTTCCCGACTCTGAGTCGCATTCCGCCGAGAGACTTGGCCTCGTGCACAGCGACGTCCTGTCGTTCCCCACTCCGTCCTTGACCGGGAAGCGCTACCTTGTCACGTTTCTAGACGACCACTCTCGCAAACTCTGGGCATATGCGATCGATCACAAAAGCGATGTTTTCCCGACCTTCCAGACTTGGCTCGCCGAAGTGGAGTTAGAGACGAACGCGCGGTTGAGGATCCTTCGAACCGACAATGGCGGGGAGTACCGATCAAACGCATTCACGGAGTTCTGCAAATCCAAGGGCATTCGTCGTCAATACTCTATCCCTTACACGCCTCAACAAAACGGTCGCGCCGAACGTGTCAACCTCTCCATCGTCGAGGGCGTCCTCGCTCTCCTTGCGGACGCCCGTCTGCCGGCCACCTTTTGGGATGAAGCGGCTGCGTATTTCGTTTATTGCAAAAACAGGTGCTCACACTCAGCTTTGGCCAAACAGACTCCAGAATCCGTTTGGAACGGCCAACGCACCACCGCCACCGCCCTCCACCCGTTCGGCTGCACAGCCTGGCTCACGGTCGCCCCGGACCTTCGCAGCAAGCTCGACCCCAAGGCCGCGCGCGTGATCTTCACAGGTTACGACCTCGCCTCCAAAGCTTTCCGTTTCTTTGACCATTCCATCAACAAGATTGTACTTGGTCGCAATGCCACCTTCCTCGACGACGACTTCCCCGGCCTGCCAGTCACCACGCCCGTCGATGCAGACGACACCGACCGTCAGTTCGTCGTTCCCGCCGACACGCCCGCCCCTGCCGTCAAGACGAGGACCCCACTAGTAAGGTCGGCGCACATGGACGTCTCATCCTCCCTTGATGATTCTGCCATGAGCGCCGTTGACGTGGCCCCAGGGTACACTGGCGGAACCTTACTTAATTCCACAGATACCGAATCGTCCTCGTCACCGTCTCCTGAGCCGTCCTCGTCACCGTCGCCCACAAACCCTTTGTCACCGTCGCCTGCGCTGTCACCGTCGTTGGCAGCGTCATCGTCACCCTCGGTCTCACCGACCGACTCTGACTACTCCGCCGACCCTCTGGACCTCATCGGCTCACAGACCCCGACTCGCCTTGGCCCACCGGACGTGCACCGCCCAGACTTCAGCACGTACCGTGAGCCCGCATCGGCTGAGGAGTCGCCCGACGAACTCGACATCATTGGGCGTCACTCGCGCGATGAATCGCCGGATGAAATCGATTTCCTCACCCAACACCACCGCGCCTTCATCGCCACAGACGACGACGACCCCACCCTCGACGCCATCGAGCCCGTCAAATCGATCACTAGCGACCCCCAGACCTGGCGCGAAGCAATGTCCAGCGACGAGCACAACATCTGGGCTGAGGCCGCCGCCGCCGAGTTCACCGCCATGCGCGACGACTTCAAGGTGTTCACCATCGAGCCTCGCTCATCTGTACCGCCGGGCGCCACCATCGTCACCTCCAAATTCGTCTGGAAGACCAAGCGCAACGCAAGCGGTGAAGTCACGGGGCGGAAGGCACGTCTTGTAGCGCAGGGTAACCGACAGCGCGACGGCATCGACTTCTCAGAAACCTTCGCACCCGTCGCCCGTTTCTCCTCCATTCGCTGCCTCCTGGCTCTTGCCGCTGCCAATGGCTACCACGTTCATCAGGCCGACATCGACAAGGCTTACCTCCACGGCGAGCTCGATCATGATATCTGGATGACGACACCACGCGGTTTCGACTTCCCAAGCGATAAGGTTCTCCGGCTGCGACGCTCAATCTACGGTCTCAAGCAGGCCGGTCGCATCTGGAATCGTCACATTGACACATCACTCAGGAATCTGGGGTACAAGGCAACAGGCACTGATCACTGCATTTACTCTCGCATTGACGATCAGCAGAGGCCTCACTATATCGCCTTGTATGTTGACGACCTCCTCATTGTCAGTCCAGCCCTCGACGAGATCGAACGTGTCATCTCCGGCCTTGAACAGCGGTACGGCGTCAAACGACTCGGCCCCGCGGAGTACATCCTCGGAATCCAAATACGCCGCCTGGACGACGGTTCCATTGCTCTATCCCAGGAGCGCTACATCATGGACGTGCTGGCCCGTTTCCACTTCGACACCACGACACGCGGCACTACGGTGCCGATGACGCCCGGCCTCTCGCTCACGGCAATTCCGGGTCAGGGAACGGAGCGCATTCGTTCGTGGTACCTACAGGCCATCGGCTCCCTCCTCTACATCTCCCTTGGCACTCGACCCGACATTGCCTTCGCCGTCTCGTACCTGTCCCGGTTCGCCAACAACCCCGGCCGCCGCCATTGGATTGCCGTCAAACACGTCCTTCGCTACCTTCGCGCCACGTACCGCGATGAGCTTCTCTATGCCCGCGGCCCAGCAAAAGTCACGGGTGTGGTTGGTTATTCTGATGCGAACTGGGGCGCCTGCGTCGACACATCCATTTCAACGATGGGCTACGTATTTTACTTGGCAGGCGCCGCTGTCTCTTGGTCGTCGAAGCGTCAGACTCGGGTAGCGGATTCCACCACTGATGCCGAGTACCTGGCCTTGTCGCACGCGGGTAAGGAAGCGATCTACCTTAACCAACTCCTCTCCGAGCTCCACGTTTGCCCAATCGCTGCAGCTCACATCTTCACCGACAACGAGGCCGCGGCCGCCGTCGCTCACGACCCCGTTCGCACCTCCGGCACCCGGCACATTCGCCTCCGCGAGCATTTTGTGACAGGCAACGTCGGAGGGGATGACGATGACTACACGCGAGAGACGAGGGAGAGAGCGAGAGAGCGCGCGAAAGCGCGAAGGAGCGAAGGGGGTGTCGACCGAGGCGGCGGCAGTCGACCGAGAGGCAACCGCGGAGGATACGCGGCTGCAAGGCTCGCAGCAAGTCCAGTGTACCGAACTATGGTAGCCAACGAGGTCGGACAGAAGAGGGAGGGCAAACGATCCAAGAAATAGCTGACCAGGCCGGTGGGAAGGTCGAGTCGGCTGGGCGGCGGAAGTCGACCGAGAGGCAACCGCGGAGGATACGCGGCTGCAAGGCTCGCAGCAAGTCCAGTGTACCGGACTATGGTGGCCAACGAGGTCGGACAAAAGAGGAAGGGCAAACGATCCAAGAAATAGCTGACCAGGCCGATGGGAAGGTCGAGTCGGCTGGGCGGCGGCAGTCGACCGAGAGCAACCGAGGAGTGGATTCGGTCGGAAGGCTTCGCAGCAAATCAAGTGTAACGGACTTAATTGCCAGCGAAATGGGTAAAAAGAGGGAGGGTACGAGTCATGATAATGAGTGGACCAAGCTCTAGGGGAAGGGTGGCAAAAGCAAAAGGAGGGAAGTGCTCCGAGCGAAGGAAAGACTGAATCAAATAACTACACCACGAGGTCGCTTCAGGGGTAAAAAGGATTGCCTGCAAGGCACCGGTAAAAACCCCGAAGCCGGGCCTCGGATAACAAAAAGGAAAAGAAACCAAAAGGCAGATCACGCTCCGGGCGGATCGAACCCTCGACCACTGAGTGCGCGCCCGCGCGCCCTCACGACTACACCATCGCGCCGACAATGCTTGCAACGAACAAACCGGTAGCTGATGTCGACTCCGGCCGCAAACTTGGGAGACTTCCTTCGAGTATTGATGGCAGTGCAGGCTGTGCTCCTGACATTTTGTCCGTGACATGGTCAATCGAGGTGATATCTCTCTCTCACACGTTGGCACAGCAGACATGGTTGCGGACGTATTCACCAAAGCGCTAGGCCCCAAGTTTTTTGGTACACATTGCTATGCTCTAGGCCTCCGGACGCGACATCCACGGCTCAAGTCTACCTCGCGTTCGCGTGGGGGGGGGTGTGAGGAATCCACTCTCCGCTCGGCTCAGGACTTAGGCGCGCGGAGCGAACCGGGCGCGGACTTAGGCGCGCGGAGTGAGCCGGGCGCCCCGGCCCAGGACTTAGGCGCGCGAAGCGAGCCTGGGACTTAGGCGCGCGGAGCGAGCCTGGGCCATTGGCTCAGCCCCAGGCTCGCTGGCTGTGGACTTGGGGCGCGCGGGTCTCTTATTGTTAGCTTCCTATTCATCACTCTTGGCTATAACTACATCGCTGACGTAGTAGAGTTGATCGAATAGGTATGTTGAAATGCATTCATCACTCTTGGCTATAACTACATCGCTGACGTAGTAGAGTTGATCGAATAGGTTATAAGCCCACGAGCTACCAGCCCCGCCGCTTGAGGCTTTTTCGCTCGAGCCCAGCCACTCGAGCCGCACACGTCCATCGCACCATCACATCATGGACAGCTCTCCCGCCTCGCCTTTGGCCCCCAGGGATCCCAGCTCCCCTGAATCTTCGATCGGCGAACAAATCGCCACTCTACAGGCCCAGCTTGCCGCTCTGCAGGCCTCGCAACCCGCCGCCGCCGCAGCCGCCGCACCCCCGGCCGTCACCGTCGTGCCGGGGAACGCCGCCACCGCATCCAAGGTCGTGTTTCCCAAGCACGCTCGTCTGGACGGCCCCAAGTCGTTCACCAACTGGTTGCGTCAACTCCGTCTTGCACTCCCGAACCAGGTTCGTGGTTACGTTCTCGACGGTGTCGTTCCCCCGACCTGGACCGCCGACCAGCTTGCCGCACGTGACGACGCCGCCCGGGAAATCATCGTTGGCTCTATCGACTCCGCCGACGTATCGGCCACCCTCGACGCCATCCCCAGCGACGACCTGTCGGCACCGCGCATCTTTGCCGCTCTCAAGGCTCGTTTTGCACCGGACGACGCAGTCGTCGCGCATGGCGGTGAACTCGGCGGCGGCGGCCTCAGCCCAGATGTTGTGCTCGTCGCTGGACATTGCTTCGCGCCAGGTCTGGGGGTCGCTAGTGATCGATTTGACGGGCTCGATGGCGTCGAGGGTGGGGTCGTCGTCGTCTGTGGCGATGAAGGCGCGGTGGTGTTGGGTGAGGAAATCGATTTCATCCAGCGATTCATCGCGCGAGTGACGCCCAATGATGTCGAGTTCGTCGGGCGACTCCTCAGCCGATGCGGGCTCACGGTACGTGCTGAAGTCTGGGCGGTGCACGTCCGGTGGGCCAAGGCGAGTCGGGGTCTGTGAGCCGATGAGGTCCAGAGGGTCGGCGGAGTAGTCAGAGTCGGTCGGTGAGACCGAGGGTGACGATGACGCTGCCAACGACGGTGACAGCGCAGGCGACGGTGACAAAGGGTTTGTGGGCGACGGTGACGGCAGGGGCGGGCGTGTCGGCGGGAACGACGAACTGACGGTCGGTGTCGTCTGCATCGACGGGCGTGGTGACTGGCAGGCCGGGGAAGTCGTCGTCGAGGAAGGTGGCATTGCGACCAAGTACAATCTTGTTGATGGAATGGTCAAAGAAACGGAAAGCTTTGGAGGCGAGGTCGTAACCTGTGAAGATCACGCGCGCGGCCTTGGGGTCGAGCTTGCTGCGAAGGTCCGGGGCGACCGTGAGCCAGGCTGTGCAGCCGAACGGGTGGAGGGCGGTGGCGGTGGTGCGTTGGCCGTTCCAAACGGATTCTGGAGTCTGTTTGGCCAAAGCTGAGTGTGAGCACCTGTTTTTGCAATAAACGAAATACGCAGCCGCTTCATCCCAAAAGGTGGCCGGCAGACGGGCGTCCGCAAGGAGAGCGAGGACGCCCTCGACGATGGAGAGGTTGACACGTTCGGCGCGACCGTTTTGTTGAGGCGTGTAAGGGATAGAGTATTGACGACGAATGCCCTTGGATTTGCAGAACTCCGTGAATGCGTTTGATCGGTACTCCCCGCCATTGTCGGTTCGAAGGATCCTCAACCGCGCGTTCGTCTCTAACTCCACTTCGGCGAGCCAAGGACGGCCGGGCCATTGCTCACGTGAGCCCAGAGCAACCAGCAGGTCATGAGTTCAATCCCCCCTGGGGTCAGGCAATTTTGCGCGCATACACTCAGCGTCCCGGCCCCCGCACTTGCCCAGCAGCGTGCCAAGCACCCTGGCGCATCGACAGTGCTCACAGTGCCCAAGCTGCACTTGCCCAAGCGACCTGATCAACATGCCCAGTTGCCTCACAGCCGCACCCACTGCCACAAGCTCTTCAGCTTCGCGCACAGGGGGGTGTTGAACTTCGCTCCATCTCACTTCTAGGACAATATGCGCTCACTGAAGAGAGGTGCCTCGCCTTTTGGTGCAGTGGTATATTGTTCTTTCATACCCTCCTCGGTTGTCCCTCGGTCGCCTGCCCCCGCCCAGTCGACCTTCCTTCGGCCTGATCCCCTCCTCCGCGTGTAGTCAACGTCTTCTGAAGAGGACGTTGCCTGCCACTTTTTTCAAGTCCGGCACCGCCAACCTTCGATCTCGCTTGCCCTTGCTCTATCCTGCATCCTGGACGAGCAATCGTCCACTACCCCTGAGTCGTCAGCTTCCTCCCCGTTGCCGAACTCATCCCCCGCTGACGCGTCGTGGTCATTCGCCACCTCATTCACTGAGTCCGACGACGAACGCGTCATCCCTTCGTACCCCTTCTTCCATCCTTCTCGAGCTCGCATCCGTTCTCCCCACAACCGCCAACCGCTACGCCGCGAACTCGCCATGGCCGAACCCACCGACACGTCGCGAGACACCACCGCCCCCGTCCGCGAAGACCCCTCGCGCGCGAATCCGCCTAAGTCCCCGCCGACGCATTCGCCGCACCCGCTCCAGGCCGCCGCCGTCATCACGTCCCTTGAATCCCGCCTCGCAGAATCGGAAGCCCTGCGCCGCGACTCGGAGACACGCATCCGCAAATTGGAGCAGATGGTGGAACGATTGATGAGAGAATCCACCGCACCTGCTGGGGCGCAGGTCGGGGAGGCTCTGCCGGTGAGACCGGTCCCCCTGGACGTCCCCCCGCACACATTTTTGGGACGCCCGGGAGCTGCCGCTGACCCCCTTGCTCGTACCCCTGGGGGGAATCTCACAGCGGAATTAGGGACGGCCCTTCCTCGGCGGTGATTAGCTCTCGTTGGAGAGGGACATTGCCGGACCGGGAAGGGTTATGGACCGGAGATCATCCGGAAAGGTTGGTGATTTTCACTGCGTTTGGGGAGTCGTATCTTTCTCTCTTGTGCGACATCTCCACCTCCGACCTTTTCGACACGAGCCGAGTGATCCAGCTTGTGGCGACGCTATTTTTTCGTACGACAACCCGACAGCGCCGCCAATCCCCGCTCGATTGGGCCGTCGAGGCGATGAGGGACGCGCTTGGAGAAGGGCGCCCTCATTGTTGGACGTCGCTCATGAAGGCAGTGGGACGTCGTTGGCCCGACCCCGGGTTCGCCGATAGAGTGGCTCAAGACTTCCACGGATGTCGCCAGTCGTCGTCTCGGGCTTACGACCATGTCGGGGAGTGGCGGGCGCGGTACCGTGCCTTCGTGCACGACAACGATAGTTTCACCCTGTCGCCGCTTCAGCTCGCCACGACCTTCTACCAATCGCTCAGTGACTCCTCCAAGCGGGAAGTGCGGGCGGGAATGTTACGTGAATACCACGACAACTCGCTGGTGACAATTGGGCGATTCGGACTGAAGGTCCCGTCCATCGACGAGATTACCGAGTGGGCCGCTATCGCCGACGACATTTCTCCTCCGCCTTCGGTTCCGACCCCACCAAGCCGCACCGCGACCTATGGCGCGATCGTCAAAGCTCCCCGAGTGAGCCCACCTGCGACCAACACGCCCACCGTCGACGAGAGGTTCCAGATCCGACGAGCTCGATGGGTCGACCGCGCTACTAAGTGGCAGCAATCGCACTTGTGGAAGGACCGCTCCACCTGGTTTTCCCCGGCGCCCAGCGGGGTACCCACCAGCATGGCTTGCTTCAACTGCGGACGAGGCGGTCATTTCTCGCAGCACTGCACCGCGGAGCGTCAATCCCCGGTCGCCGTCCAACTCTCAGTGGTCGCTGTGGCCGACTTGGATGACGAAGAGTGGTCCTCGGTCGCAGGTGGTGACGAGGATCCCGAGGTGAGAGTCCCCATTCCACTCGAGCGTGTTCAGACTCGACCTTTGAGTTCCGTTTCCGCTTCAATGACGCGCCCTTCTTGCCCTCCCGCAGACCCCGTTGGCCGAATGAAAGAAGGGGCTTCTTCTTCAGTCGACGTCGAAGTCTCATCAAGTAATCCGCAGCCAACCGCGCCGGCAAGTGATGCAGATCTACGTCGTCTTGCCGATGACTCGACCGACTCTGCGTTTGACGCGGTGGAAGACGTCCCCTCTTATGCTGATGCCGCGTCGCGAATGCGGCGATACTGGGGGCCGGAGGTGGTGTCGTCGCGCAAAGCGGAGAGGACTGCATCGGTGAGCTCTGTTCGTGTTCCGGTGCCGTTGGGGGTTTCTCTCTTGGAGTCCGACACGCCCCTGATCGACGTCGACGACTTCGCCCGACCCGCCGAGCCCGCGATTGTGCGCGCCCGCAATATTATTGCGTGGACGTTGCCGTCTGGGCGAACGCTGCGTTGCCTCGTCGACTCTGGTTCGGAAGTGGACTTGGTGGATCAGGATGTCGTGCGAACAGACCCGAGTTTCACGACGTCCCGCCTTACCGCGCCGCTGCACTTGCGCCTCGGCACTCGCGACAAATCTGACCGCTGCGCCGTGTTTGCCAACGCCCTCTTCACGTCCGGTTCCCTCGACCTCGGCTTGCGGGCGTTTTTCATTTGCCGTGTGACGGCATATGATGCTATCCTGGGTTTGCCGTTTCTGAAGGACACCGGCATGCTGGTAGGCTGGGGCGTCTTCACCGTCGCACGGCCGGGCCCTTCGCAGCCGGTCGCCAAGGGCACTCACGAGTGGGATCGCGCAGTCACGGTGGCGCCCATCTGCTCCGGCTCTGCCATTGGCTACGATCACCCAGGGTTGCTTCCTGACGACGAGATCATTGGCCTCGAGCCGCACAACCCTCTGCTGGATGTCGTCGACGACCCGGCGCTCGAGGATTTGTCTGAGTCCGAAGCACGAACACGATTGGCTGCCTTACTCGAGAAATACTCTGATGTGTTCGTAGATTCGCTCCCAATGGACCGACTCCCGCCTTATCGACCCGTCAATCACGAAATCCCTTTGATCGACCCCAACGAGAAGGTCAAGCCGAGGGTCTATCCCCTTGCCGACAAATATCGTAGCCAGTGGGCGGAGCATTCAGCTAAGTACACTCGCGGTCGCTTCTGGGTTTCTGGTCCGATCGACTCTGCGGCTCCGGTCTTCGCCATTCCGAAAAAGAACTCCCAGACCGCTCGCTTTGTGATCGACCTCCGCGCTCGCAACAGCAACACCGCCAAGCGTTTTTCACCTATCCCCGACATGACCAGTGTTCGCTACGAAGTGGCACGTTCGCGCTACCGGTCCAAATTCGACGTGGCCGCAGCGTTTGAGCAGGTGCGGGTCATACCCGAGCACGTCGATCGCACCGGCTTCGCCACGGTCACGGGCACGTACACGTCGCGGGTGATGCAGTTTGGGGACACCAATGCGCCCAACACCCTGAACTTGTTGACATCGGCGATGTTTCAGCCGTGCCTCTCGTTTGCCAAGATCTTTTTCGACGATGTTCACGTCCATTCCGATACTCGTCGCGCGCACTTAAGACACATCGAGATTTTGCTGATGACACTGCGACATTATCGGTTCTACTTAGGATCCAACAAATCCGAGTGGTTCTCAAAGTCGTTAGATTCCTTGGGCGCGATCATCTCCGACGACGGCATCGAGGTCGACCCGGCCAAGTGGGAGCGTATCCGACAGTGGCCGACTCCACACAACAAGACCGACGTTCAGCGTTTCCTCGGCACCGTGAATTGGATGCGAGATCACCTGCCCCACCTCTCGATCACCTTGGAGCCCATCACCGCATTATTAGCGCAATCGACGTCGTGGCGTTGGAACGAGCGCGAGCAGCAGGCCTTCGACACCGTCAAGTCCCTCGTGCCAGCAACACTGCGACCGATCGACGGCGCTAAGGTCACCTCCGGCGAGCACAAAATCTACTTGTTCACCGATGCCAGTCGTGTTGGCATTGGCGCTTGCCTGGCCTCGGGCCCCACTCGTTCGCAGGCCATTCCTACGCGATTCTTCTCCGCTAAGTTCAATGGCGCTCAGCTCAATTATCACGTCACTGATAAGGAGTTCTTAGCCGTCGTTTCGGCGTGTCGGGCGTTCGAGCAGCACTTGATCGGTTACCCCTTCGTCATCGTCACCGACCACCAAGCCCTTCGCACGATTAAAACGCAGAAGTTACGCCAAACACCCCGGCACATCCGCATGTGTCTCGAACTCAGCCGTTTCGACTTCGAATTCGAATTCATTGCGGGCAAGAACAACTCCCTTGCCGATTCGTTGTCACGCTTGTGGGAAGTCAAGGAGGGATCGCCCGAGGATCAGGTCAAGGAGAATGAGTTGGAGGATATGTTCTTTGATGGAGAACGCCACGGATTCACTACACACGGTGAGAGCCTCCCTGAGGAACGTCCTTACACCTCACCATCTCCCGATCGGTTGCCTCCTGTTGATTTTGCCTTCGGGCCCCAACGCGACGATTGCGAGGCAGGCTCTCCCGGATACTACGCGCTCAAGGACGAATCGCAAGACGAGGACGTGAATGGACGGGATTTAGGGAATTTGTTCTTGAAGGAAGAATGCCACGAGTTCACTACACCTGGTGAGAGCCTCCCTGAGGAACGTCCTTACACCTCACCTTCGCACGATCGGTTGCCCCCTGTTGATTGTGCCTTCGGGCCCTGGGATCACGGCTACGACGCAGGCTCTCCCGGTTCCCATCGTCTGGCCGAGAACATTATGGACGCCGTCGACTCTTCTACCGGCCCCCTTTCTCCTCCCATCGCCGTCAATCGAGTTCATGCTATCGCCGCGGCCCCCGCCAACGACGCGCCCATTCCAGTCGATGCCGACGCCGATGAACTCGACTTACTGGGAGCCGCCGCCGATGAGGTCAACGACGCCCCTGTAGTCCATCGACCGCCCGACCCGCTGCCGCAACCTTTCCTCGACGCCGTCATCCGAGCCTACGCCCACGATTCGCAAGCCCAAGTCATTGTTGACGACCCGCTGTCATGGCCGATGTTTCGGGTGACCGAGGAAGGGAGGATCTTGCGTGTACATCCAGATGAGTCTCTTTCCCTGTTTGTGCCTCGCGGTCTCGCTACCGGCGTTGTCGACTCCGACAAGCTCCCATCGCTGCGCGAGCTCGTGCTTTCGGAGATCCATCGGAGCGTCGGGCACGCGGGACATCGCATCACCTTGGCCGCCATACGTCCTTTGTATTGGTGGTCGTCCATGTCTGCCGATTGCGCCAAGTTCTGCCATTCATGCGAAGATTGTGCCCGAGGCAAAGCGTCCACTCAAGTCCCTTATGGCCGACTGCATCCGATGCCGATCCCTTCTGGCCCATGGGAACAAGTGGCCATCGACTTCATGACGGGACTGCCTCCGGTCGAGTTCGAAGGGATGATGGTCGCTCAAATCATGGTGGTCACTGACACTTGGGGCAAGATGGTCCACCTGATTCCCCTCCCAGCCGACGCCGACTCCGAGCTCGTTGCCGACAGGTACTACGCCACCATCTTTCGACTGCATGGGACGCCTTCCGCCATCGTTTCCGATCGCGATCCCAAGTTCACCTCGCAGTTTTGGCGAGCATTGCAGGCGAAGGTCGGCACCGTCTTGCGGATGTCAACAGCGGCGCACCCAGAGACCGACGGATCGAGTGAGAACCGAATCAAGATGGTCACCCAAACCCTGCGCATCATGGTGTCGTCAAACCACGAGGCTTGGGCATCTCGTCTTGTTGAAGCTGAGTTCGCTCTTAACTCTTCCGTTGCGGTTTCCACGTCTCTGTCGGCTTTCGAGGCGACTTACGGTTACCTTCCTCGACGCTGGCCCACCGATTCCTGGTCTGTCTCGGACGTCCCGCGTGCGGAAGCGTTTGCCCGAATCCGACAGTTACGGAATCTCGACGTCACGGATGCGATCATTGGTGCACGCCTCGATCAGACTCACCAGGCCAACAAGCATCGACGCCCGGATGATCCCGCCTTTCGGACCGGCAGTTATGTCTATCTTTCGACCAAGAACCTGGCAGTTCCTGAAGGGATGAAGTCGAAGTTGTTGCCGCGCTACATTGGTCCTTTCCGTATCCGAGCGGCCATTCCAGCGACGTCCAGTTACGACCTCGAGCTTCCCCCAGCAATGTCGCGAGTGCACAGTCGCTTCCATGCTCGACTGCTTCGCCCCTATGTTGAGAACGATGCTGAGAGGTTCCCTGGGCGTGACCCCGCAGTTCTTTTTGTTGAAGATGTAGCCGACGCGGCCGACAACTCCGCCATTCCGGAACGGATTGTTCGCGATCGTCGGAACGCTCGGGGCAATCGTTCGTTCTTGGTTCGATGGATTGGCCGTAAGGACATCGATGACACTTGGATGTCAGAGCAGTCCCTCCGCTTCGACCATCCATCCCTACTCGACGCCTACCTGGCACAACTCGATCGCTCAAATCGCCGCCTGTCCTCCCGGTAGACTTCCTTCTGGGGGGGACAATGTCAGGCAAACAGCGATACACTGACAGCAACACTCGAAGGAAGTCCCTGAGGTAATGTGCAGGTAGAGTTGAGGTCACCAAATGCTTCCCTCCATTCAAGCATTGTGGGCGTGATGGCGTAGTCGTTCGGCGCGCGGGCGCGCACTTAATGGTCGCGGGTTCAAGGCGCGCAGAGCGCAATCTTCTCTCGGTTTTTGTTCTTTTTGTTAGCTGAGGCGCGGCCTCAGGGTTTTTACCGGTGCTCCCGCGAGCAATCCTTTTTCCCCCTGAGGCGACCTCTTGGAGTAGCTGAATTGGCTAAGTCCCCTCTGCGCCTGAGTGCCTCCCTTTTGTTTTTAGGACCTTCCCACTCAGCCTGGTCCGCCACATCTCCGAAGATCCCTTCACCTTCATCCTTCGTTTTCGATCTCGTTGGCAATAAAGTCCGATATACTTGACTTGCTGCGAGCCTCACAACCGCGTCCCCTCCTCGGTTGTCCCTCGGTCGCCTGCCCCCGCCCAGTCGACCTTCCTTCGGCCTGATCCCCTCCTCCGCGTGTAGTCAACGTCTTCTGAAGAGGACGTTGCCTGCCAGAGCGAGGACGCCCTCGACGATGGAGAGGTTGACACGTTCGGCGCGACCGTTTTGTTGAGGCGTGTAAGGGATAGAGTATTGACGACGAATGCCCTTGGATTTGCAGAACTCCGTGAATGCGTTTGATCGGTACTCCCCGCCATTGTCGGTTCGAAGGATCCTCAACCGCGCGTTCGTCTCTAACTCCACTTCGGCGAGCCAAGTCTGGAAGGTCGGGAAAACATCGCTTTTGTGATCGATCGCATATGCCCAGAGTTTGCGAGAGTGGTCGTCTAGAAACGTGACAAGGTAGCGCTTCCCGGTCAAGGACGGAGTGGGGAACGACAGGACGTCGCTGTGCACGAGGCCAAGTCTCTCGGCGGAATGCGACTCAGAGTCGGGAAAGGGAAGGCGGTGACCTTTGGAACCAAGGCAAGCATTGCAAACAAACTCCTCTACGTCTTTGTCACTGTACCCGGCCCCAAACCCGTCCAGCAAACCTGCAGCAATCATCTTCTGTATAGAGGATGGGGCAAGATGGCCGAGGCAGCGGTGTAGGGTAAGCAGGGGCACGGGAGACTCAGAGCGTGAGAGGAAGGCAAGATGCTGGCACTTGGTGTGATCCGCGTCCAAAAGGTAAAGACCGTCGTTGACCCTGGTACCGTGAGCAATGGCCCGGCCGTCCTTGGCGATGTCGATGCCGTCGCTGGTGAAGGCGAGACGAACGCGGTCGGTGTCGCAGAGGCGAGAGACAGAGAGGAGGTTGACGTGTAGGCCAGGCGTGTGAAGAACACCACGGAGCGTGATCGGGTGTCCAGTCTTGGCGACGAATGCCACGTCCCCCATGCCGATAGCCGTGATGCCGCCCGCGATGCCGCCGATCTTGGTGTGTGCCGTCTGACGATAAGTCGTGAATAGAGATCGGTCGGCGACCATGTGTGTCGTGGCACCCGAATCGACTACAAAGGCGTCAGTTGGGAGTTGGCGACGAGCGAAGAGGCAGGAGGCGAAATAGCCGACGTTCGGTTGCGAGGCCGCGGAGGAAGACGTGTCGTCCTGGGTGTCGTCGCTGCTACGTGCCTGTTCACCCCGGTTCTTGCAGTCGAGTGCCCAGTGACCTTTCTTGTGGCATCGGCGGCAGGGGCCGGTGGGCGGGTGCTTCGCACGTGAAGTGCAGTCGCGCAGGCGGTGACCGGGAGCGCGGCAGGCGGGGCAGGGGGAGCTGGTGGCAAGCATGGCCGAATGCGAGGTCGAGAGTCCTGCCGAACGAAGCTGGATGCGAATGCGGTCCGTAAGCGTCGTGAGTTCGGGAAGGTCGCGTCGGTTTCGCTGCTCGTCCGTGAACGTGAGTCGGAAGCTGTCGAGGCAAGACGGGACCATGGCGAGCACGTGGGTGGCGAGCACGTCGTTGAGCGATGTTTTGGCGTCGCGTATTTCCTGAGCAATCGACATGTACTCGCGTAGCCAAGTGTCGTAGGCCTCGACGGAGGCAGGCATCTTCCTGAAGTCCCAAAGGCGAGCGAACAACTCGAGAGTGCGTGTAGCGTCGTCCGGTGCAAAACGAGCCTTGAGAGCGGCAAAGATGCGCGGTGCCGACAGGTCGTCGCTGGGGATGGCGTCGAGGGTGGCCGATATGTCGGCGGAGTCGATAGAGCCAACGATGATTTCCCGGGCGGCGTCGTCACGTGCGGCAAGCTGGTCGGCGGTCCAGGTCGGGGGAACGACACCGTCGAGAACGTAACCACGAACCTGGTTCGGGAGTGCAAGACGGAGTTGACGCAACCAGTTGGTGAACGACTTGGGGCCGTCCAGACGAGCGTGCTTGGGAAACACGACCTTGGATGCGGTGGCGGCGTTCCCCGGCACGACGGTGACGGCCGGGGGTGCGGCGGCTGCGGCGGCGGCGGGTTGCGAGGCCTGCAGAGCGGCATATGAAGGAACAATATACCACTGCACCAAAAGGCGAGGCACCTCTACTTCAGTGAGCGCATATTGTCCTAGAAGTGAGATGGAGCGAAGGAACAATATGCCACTGCACCAAAAGGCGAGGCACCTCTACTTCAGTGAGCGCATATTGTCCTAGAAGTGAGATGGAGCGAAGTTCAACACCCCCCTGTGCGCGAAGCTGAAGAGCTTGTGGCAGTGGGTGCGGCTTGTGAGGCAACTGGGCATGTTGATCAGGTCGCTTGGGCAAGTGCAGCTTGGGCACTGTGAGCACTGTCGATGCGCCAGGGTGCTTGGCACGCCGCTGGGCAAGTGCGGGGGCCGGGACGCTGAGTGTATGCGCGCAAAATTGCCTGACCCCAGGGGGGATTGAACTCATGACCTGCTGGTTGCTCTGGGCTCATAACCTATTCGATCAACTCTACTACGTCAGCGATGTAGGAACAATATACCACTGCACCAAAAGGCGAGGCACCTCTACTTCAGTGAGCGCATATTGTCCTAGAAGTGAGATGGAGCGAAGTTCAACACCCCCCTGTGCGCGAAGCTGAAGAGCTTGTGGCAGTGGGTGCGGCTTGTGAGGCAACTGGGCATGTTGATCAGGTCGCTTGGGCAAGTGCAGCTTGGGCACTGTGAGCACTGTCGATGCGCCAGGGTGCTTGGCACGCCGCTGGGCAAGTGCGGGGGCCGGGACGCTGAGTGTATGCGCGCAAAATTGCCTGACCCCAGGGGGGATTGAACTCATGACCTGCTGGTTGCTCTGGGCTCATAACCTATGAAGGAACAATATACCACTGCACCAAAAGGCGAGGCACCTCTACTTCAGTGAGCGCATATTGTCCTAGAAGTGAGATGGAGCGAAGTTCAACACGGCAAGCTGGGCCTGTAGAGTGGCGATTTGTTCGCCGATCGAAGATTCAGGGGAGCTGGGATCCCTGGGGGCCAAAGGCGAGGCGGGAGAGCTGTCCATGATGTGATGGTGCGATGGACGTGTGCGGCTCGAGTGGCTGGGCTCGAGCGAAAAAACCTCAAGCGGCGGGGCTGGTAGCTCGTGGGCTTATAACCTATTCGATCAACTCTACTACGTCAGCGATGTAGTTATAGCCAAGAGTGATCAATGCATTTCAACATACCTATTCGATCAACTCTACTACGTCAGCGATGTAGTTATAGCCAAGAGTGATGAATAGGAAGCTAACAATAAGAGACCCGCGCGCCCCGAGTCCACAGCCAGCGAGCCTGGGGCTGAGCCAATGGCCCAGGCTCGCTTCGCGCGCCTAAGTCCTGGGCCGGGGCGCCCGGCTCACTCCGCGCGCCTAAGTCCGCGCCCGGTTCGCTCCGCGCGCCTAAGTCCTGAGCCGAGCGGAGAGTGGATTCCTCACAGATACTGCCCTTCGCAGGTTGGGGAGGGATAGGTGGCCGAATCGTTGGTGCAGAGTCAGGAGAGGGATGGCGGCTGCTGCGACCGGTGACACCGTGCTGCGGATTGGGGTGGCGTCCAGTGTCGACAGTTGATTCGCAATGAGGGATGCCACACCTATGAGTTGACCTTGTGACCGGAGCTCGATGGTCTTGCCAAAGTGGGTGTAAACGCGCTCGCGGCGCAGCTGCATGACCGAGATCAGGTTGGCCGGAAGGTCGGGGACGTAGTAGATGTTGCAGAGCTTGATCGTTCGTTGTTTCGACGTTCGTATCGTGATCGAGCCGGTGCCTTGTGCCATGAGTGACCCACCAGCGCCATCGACGGCGACGTGTGACCGTGTGTGCCAGGCGTCGAAGAGAGACGCGTCCTTGACCATGTGGTGGGAGGCGCCCGAGTCGAGTACTATTCGATCAACTCTACTACGTCAGCGATGTAGTTATAGCCAAGAGTGATGAATAGGAAGCTAACAATAAGAGACCCGCGCGCCCCAAGTCCACAGCCAGCGAGCCTGGGGCTGAGCCAATGGCCCAGGCTCGCTCCGCGCGCCTAAGTCCCAGGCTCGCTTCGCGCGCCTAAGTCCTGGGCCGGGGCGCCCGGCTCACTCCGCGCGCCTAAGTCCGCGCCCGGTTCGCTCCGCGCGCCTAAGTCCTGAGCCGAGCGGAGAGTATGAGCCCAGAGCAACCAGCAGGTCATGAGTTCAATCCCCCCTGGGGTCAGGCAATTTTGCGCGCATACACTCAGCGTCCCGGCCCCCGCACTTGCCCAGCGGCGTGCCAAGCACCCTGGCGCATCGACAGTGCTCACAGTGCCCAAGCTGCACTTGCCCAAGCGACCTGATCAACATGCCCAGTTGCCTCACAGCCGCACCCACTGCCACAAGCTCTTCAGCTTCGCGCACAGGGGGGTGTTGAACTTTGCTCCATCTCACTTCTAGGACAATATGCGCTCACTGAAGTAGAGGTGCCTCGCCTTTTGGTGCAGTGGTATATTGTTCCTTCATATGCCGCTCTGCAGGCCTCGCAACCCGCCGCCGCCGCAGCCGCCGCACCCCCGGCCGTCACCGTCGTGCCGGGGAACGCCGCCACCGCATCCAAGGTCGTGTTTCCCAAGCACGCTCGTCTGGACGGCCCCAAGTCGTTCACCAACTGGTTGCGTCAACTCCGTCTTGCACTCCCGAACCAGGTTCGTGGTTACGTTCTCGACGGTGTCGTTCCCCCGACCTGGACCGCCGACCAGCTTGCCGCACGTGACGACGCCGCCCGGGAAATCATCGTTGGCTCTATCGACTCCGCCGACGTATCGGCCACCCTCGACGCCATCCCCAGCGACGACCTGTCGGCACCGCGCATCTTTGCCGCTCTCAAGGCTCGTTTTGCACCGGACGACGCTACACGCACTCTCGAGTTGTTCGCTCGCCTTTGGGACTTCAGGAAGATGCCTGCCTCCGTCGAGGCCTACGACACTTGGCTACGCGAGTACATGTCGATTGCTCAGGAAATACGCGACGCCAAAACATCGCTCAACGACGTGCTCGCCACCCACGTGCTCGCCATGGTCCCGTCTTGCCTCGACAGCTTCCGACTCACGTTCACGGACGAGCAGCGAAACCGACGCGACCTTCCCGAACTCACGACGCTTACGGACCGCATTCGCATCCAGCTTCGTTCGGCAGGACTCTCGACCTCGCATTCGGCCATGCTTGCCACCAGCTCCCCCTGCCCCGCCTGCCGCGCTCCCGGTCACCGCCTGCGCGACTGCACTTCACGTGCGAAGCACCCGCCCACCGGCCCCTGCCGCCGATGCCACAAGAAAGGTCACTGGGCACTCGACTGCAAGAACCGGGGTGAACAGGCACGTAGCAGCGACGACACCCAGGACGACACGTCTTCCTCCGCGGCCTCGCAACCGAACGTCGGCTATTTCGCCTCCTGCCTCTTCGCTCGTCGCCAACTCCCAACTGACGCCTTTGTAGTCGATTCGGGTGCCACGACACACATGGTCGCCGACCGATCTCTATTCACGACTTATCGTCAGACGGCACACACCAAGATCGGCGGCATCGCGGGCGGCATCACGGCTATCGGCATGGGGGACGTGGCATTCGTCGCCAAGACTGGACACCCGATCACGCTCCGTGGTGTTCTTCACACGCCTGGCCTACACGTCAACCTCCTCTCTGTCTCTCGCCTCTGCGACACCGACCGCGTTCGTCTCGCCTTCACCAGCGACGGCATCGACATCGCCAAGGACGGCCGGGCCATTGCTCACGGTACCAGGGTCAACGACGGTCTTTACCTTTTGGACGCGGATCACACCAAGTGTCAGCATCTTGCCTTCCTCTCACGCTCTGAGTCTCCCGTGCCCCTGCTTACCCTACACCGCTGCCTCGGCCATCTTGCCCCATCCTCTATACAGAAGATGATTGCTGCAGGTTTGCTGGACGGGTTTGGGGCCGGGTACAGTGACAAAGACGTAGAGGAGTTTGTTTGCAATGCTTGCCTTGGTTCCAAAGGTCACCGCCTTCCCTTTCCCGACTCTGAGTCGCATTCCGCCGAGAGACTTGGCCTCGTGCACAGCGACGTCCTGTCGTTCCCCACTCCGTCCTTGACCGGGAAGCGCTACCTTGTCACGTTTCTAGACGACCACTCTCGCAAACTCTGGGCATATGCGATCGATCACAAAAGCGATGTTTTCCCGACCTTCCAGACTTGGCTCGCCGAAGTGGAGTTAGAGACGAACGCGCGGTTGAGGATCCTTCGAACCGACAATGGCGGGGAGTACCGATCAAACGCATTCACGGAGTTCTGCAAATCCAAGGGCATTCGTCGTCAATACTCTATCCCTTACACGCCTCAACAAAACGGTCGCGCCGAACGTGTCAACCTCTCCATCGTCGAGGGCGTCCTCGCTCTCCTTGCGGACGCCCGTCTGCCGGCCACCTTTTGGGATGAAGCGGCTGCGTATTTCGTTTATTGCAAAAACAGGTGCTCACACTCAGCTTTGGCCAAACAGACTCCAGAATCCGTTTGGAACGGCCAACGCACCACCGCCACCGCCCTCCACCCGTTCGGCTGCACAGCCTGGCTCACGGTCGCCCCGGACCTTCGCAGCAAGCTCGACCCCAAGGCCGCGCGCGTGATCTTCACAGGTTACGACCTCGCCTCCAAAGCTTTCCGTTTCTTTGACCATTCCATCAACAAGATTGTACTTGGTCGCAATGCCACCTTCCTCGACGACGACTTCCCCGGCCTGCCAGTCACCACGCCCGTCGATGCAGACGACACCGACCGTCAGTTCGTCGTTCCCGCCGACACGCCCGCCCCTGCCGTCAAGACGAGGACCCCACTAGTAAGGTCGGCGCACATGGACGTCTCATCCTCCCTTGATGATTCTGCCATGAGCGCCGTTGACGTGGCCCCAGGGTACACTGGCGGAACCTTACTTAATTCCACAGATACCGAATCGTCCTCGTCACCGTCTCCTGAGCCGTCCTCGTCACCGTCGCCCACAAACCCTTTGTCACCGTCGCCTGCGCTGTCACCGTCGTTGGCAGCGTCATCGTCACCCTCGGTCTCACCGACCGACTCTGACTACTCCGCCGACCCTCTGGACCTCATCGGCTCACAGACCCCGACTCGCCTTGGCCCACCGGACGTGCACCGCCCAGACTTCAGCACGTACCGTGAGCCCGCATCGGCTGAGGAGTCGCCCGACGAACTCGACATCATTGGGCGTCACTCGCGCGATGAATCGCCGGATGAAATCGATTTCCTCACCCAACACCACCGCGCCTTCATCGCCACAGACGACGACGACCCCACCCTCGACGCCATCGAGCCCGTCAAATCGATCACTAGCGACCCCCAGACCTGGCGCGAAGCAATGTCCAGCGACGAGCACAACATCTGGGCTGAGGCCGCCGCCGCCGAGTTCACCGCCATGCGCGACGACTTCAAGGTGTTCACCATCGAGCCTCGCTCATCTGTACCGCCGGGCGCCACCATCGTCACCTCCAAATTCGTCTGGAAGACCAAGCGCAACGCAAGCGGTGAAGTCACGGGGCGGAAGGCACGTCTTGTAGCGCAGGGTAACCGACAGCGCGACGGCATCGACTTCTCAGAAACCTTTGCACCCGTCGCCCATTTCTCCTCCATTCGCTGCCTCCTGGCTCTTGCCGCTGCCAATGGCTACCACGTTCATCAGGCCGACATCGACAAGGCTTACCTCCACGGCGAGCTCGATCATGATATCTGGATGACGACACCACGCGGTTTCGACTTCCCGAGCGATAAGGTTCTCCGGCTGCGACGCTCAATCTACGGTCTCAAGCAGGCCGGTCGCATCTGGAATCGTCACATTGACACATCACTCAGGAATCTGGGGTACAAGGCAACAGGCACTGATCACTGCATTTACTCTCGCATTGACGATCAGCAGCGGCCTCACTATATCGCCTTGTATGTCGACGACCTCCTCATTGTCAGTCCAGCCCTCGACGAGATCGAACGTGTCATCTCCGGCCTTGAACAGCGGTACGGCGTCAAACGACTCGGCCCCGCGGAGTACATCCTCGGAATCCAAATACGCCGCCTGGACGACGGTTCCATTGCTCTATCCCAGGAGCGCTACATCATGGACGTGCTGGCCCGTTTCCACTTCGACACCACGACACGCGGCACTACGGTGCCGATGACGCCCGGCCTCTCGCTCACGGCAATTCCGGGTCAGGGAACGGAGCGCATTCGTTCGTGGTACCTACAGGCCATCGGCTCCCTCCTCTACATCTCCCTTGGCACTCGACCCGACATTGCCTTCGCCGTCTCGTACCTGTCCCGGTTCGCCAACAACCCCGGCCGCCGCCATTGGATTGCCGTCAAACACGTCCTTCGCTACCTTCGCGCCACGTACCGCGATGAGCTTCTCTATGCCCGCGGCCCAGCAAAAGTCACGGGTGTGGTTGGTTATTCTGATGCGAACTGGGGCGCCTGCGTCGACACATCCATTTCAACGATGGGCTACGTATTTTACTTGGCAGGCGCCGCTGTCTCTTGGTCGTCGAAGCGTCAGACTCGGGTAGCGGATTCCACCACTGATGCCGAGTACCTGGCCTTGTCGCACGCGGGTAAGGAAGCGATCTACCTTAACCAACTCCTCTCCGAGCTCCACGTTTGCCCAATCGCTGCAGCTCACATCTTCACCGACAACGAGGCCGCGGCCGCCGTCGCTCACGACCCCGTTCGCACCTCCGGCACCCGGCACATTCGCCTCCGCGAGCATTTTGTCCGTGACATGGTCAATCGAGGTGATATCTCTCTCTCACACGTTGGCACAGCAGACATGGTTGCGGACGTATTCACCAAAGCGCTAGGCCCCAAGATTTTTGGTACACATTGCTATGCTCTAGGCCTCCGGACGCGACATCCACGGCTCAAGTCTACCTCGCGTTCGCGTGGGGGGGGGTGTGAGGAATCCACTCTCCGCTCGGCTCAGGACTTAGGCGCGCGGAGCGAACCGGGCGCGGACTTAGGCGCGCGGAGTGAGCCGGGCGCCCCGGCCCAGGACTTAGGCGCGCGAAGCGAGCCTGGGACTTAGGCGCGCGGAGCGAGCCTGGGCCATTGGCTCAGCCCCAGGCTCGCTGGCTGTGGACTTGGGGCGCGCGGGTCTCTTATTGTTAGCTTCCTATTCATCACTCTTGGCTATAACTACATCGCTGACGTAGTAGAGTTGATCGAATACCTCCTTGAGAGGTATCCGAGCAGGTCGCAACACGGTCTTGGGCAGCAACGCTTTCGCCTTGAGCAACTGACCCACGCGCGACCACACGTGCTCGTGCTGTAGGGCGGGTTCCTTAGAGTGCTGCCAGAACCCGCGTCGATGACCAACCAGAGCCCATCCCTTCCCTTCGTCCCTCCAGTACAGGTCCGCGATCTGCGCAAACTTCGCCACCGCGTCCGCATCGTCATATGCGTGCTGGGCACCTTCAGCATAGAGTGAAGGGAGGCGAGGCGGAAGCGAGAGCAATTCGGGAAGCGTAAGGAGTTCGGACTTGATGGTTGGAACTGTGACCCTGGCCGCTGCAACGACTGCACCCCAGCGCGTCGAGTCGCGATACAGCTTCTCGACCCGAGCCGTGCTGCTGAAGAACCCCCACGGACTGAAATCGCGGGTCGCAGCGACGAGGCACCTCCAGCTCTCGCGAGCTAGGGGCGCCCAGATCGCCTCGTCCGAGCCCACCACAGCATCCCAAAATCGAAGCGCCACCGAATGAACAATGTCGCCAATCGAAATCAAACCCAAGCCACCGTCCTCCCGAGCCTGGAACACGAAATCGCGAGCGACGGTATTTCGCCCTGCTCCTCCCCAGACAAAGTCCGTAAGTGCCGTCTCCGCCGCCTTAATGAACCATTGAGGCGGTATGTCGAAGGACAGCACGTGGAGGACCGTCGAGATGATGTGAGCGTTGGCATAGAAAACCTTCCCACTCGGCGAAAGTGTCCGGTCTCGAGCGGCGCGGGTCTTGGCCTTGATCCTGTCAAGAACATGGGTCCAAAACAGTTTCGAGTCACCGTGGCGAAAGAAGGCATAGCCGCACCACTTGAAGCTCTCCCCCTCCTGCATCTCCCAAGTTTGCGGCCGGAGTCGACATCAGCTACCGGTTTGTTTGTTGCAAGCATTGTCGGCGCGATGGCGTAGTCGTGAGGGCGTGCGGGCGCGCACCCAGTGGTCGAGGGTTCGATCCGCCCGGAGCGCAATCTGCCTTTTGGTTTCTTTTCCCTTTTTGTTATCCGAGGCCCGGCTTCGGGGTTTTTACCGGTGCCTTGCAGGCAATCCTTTTTACCCCTGAAGCGACCTCGTGGTGTAGTTATTTGACTCAGTCTTTCCTTCGCTCGGAGCACTTCCCTCCCTTTGCTTTTGCCACCTTCCCCCAGAGCTTGGTCCACTCATTATCATGACTCGTACCCTCCCTCTTTTTACCCATTTCGCTGGCAATTAAGTCCGTTACACTTGATTTGCTGCGAAGCCTTCCGACCGAATCCACTCCTCGGTCGCTCTCGGTCGACTGCCGCCGCCCAGCCGACTCGACCTTCCCATCGGCCTGGTCAGCTATTTCTTGGATCGTTTGCCCTCCCTCTTCTTTCCGACCTCGTTGGCTACCATAGTCCGGTACACTGGACTTGCTGCGAGCCTTGCAACCGCGTATCCTCCGCGGTTGCCTCTCGGTCGACACCCCTTTCGCTTCTTCGCGCTTTCGCGCACTCTCTCGCTCTCTCCCTCGTCTCTCGCGTGTAGTCATCGTCATCCCCTCCGACGTTGCCTGTCACGACATGTCTACAAGCACCATGGGGTCCCATCCAGCATTGTGTCCGATCGTGACCCAAAGTTCACGGCCCATTTCTGGAAGGCGCTGCAACGGAAGGTTGGCACGGAGCTGCGCATGTCTACAAGCGCTCATCCACAGACCGACGGAGCAAGCGAGAATCGGATCAAGATGGTGGTGCAGTCCTTGCGTCTTCTCTGCGCCGGAACCCCTGATAACTGGGCATCTTGTTTGACAGAAGCAGAGTTCGCCCTCAACTCGGCAACGGCAGGCGCCACGGGGTTCTCCGGTTTCGAGACCACTTACGGATTTCAACCACGCACTTGGGCTGTTACGGATGTGCCCCGGGCCGATGCCTTTGCCGATAGTCATTGCCTTCGTCTCCTCGATGCCACCGATGCCATCCTTGGCGCGCGACTCGACCAATCGATCCAGGCAAACAAGCATCGTCGACCGGATTCCGCTGAGTTTCAAGTGGGCAACAAAGTATACCTGTCCACTAAAAACTTGGCTTTTCCCCCAGGACAGAGCCGGAAGTTCTTGGCACGCTACATTGGGCCCTTCACCATCGTAGCAGCCCATCCGGCGACGTCAAACTACGACCTGGACCTGCCACCCGAGATGTCTCGCGTTCTGCCTCGCTTCCATGCCTCGCTGCTGCGCCCACACTTCCCGAACGATGACAAGCGCTTCCCCGGTCGTTCATTCGGGCAGTGTGTGATCGAGGACGCGGCCGACCCTGCTTCGGACTTTGCGGCAATCGATGTTGTGTTGAACAATCGCTTCCGGAACAACTGTCGCTCGTTTTTAGTGCGCTTTGTGGGCCGTCCGGACGCTGATGATGTGTGGATCGACGAGGCGGTGTTGCGTCTACAAGCCCCTTCAAGACTTGACGAGTACATCCGGAGGCTGGATCGGCAAGGGCGCCAATTGGCCGGCCCAACACCTCGCCGTAGGGTCAATTCTGGGGGGGGATAGTGTAAGGATTTGGGTGATCCAATACCCAGGTGAGCTGTATCTACCATCCTTCCTATCCTTTTCCACGCGCCTCGCTTAGTTTCAGCCTTGTGTGTGTTCAACGCTGACTCCACCCTTCGTTTGCTCGTCTTTTCCCTTCTCCTTTCGAATTGACCTTCCGTGTATGTGACAACCCCGCCTTCAGCTCGACAGGGGCGCCGCTACCTCGGCGCACCCGGGTGCACGCGCTTCCCTCGGCTGGGGACTTAGGCGCTCGCGCTCACCACGGCTTGGGCGGGTGTTGATTTAGCGGGGTTTCTTTTCCAGTGTCACTTCCGTGAACCACCTTTTCCCCAAGTGGTGAAACTCCCCCTCTTGTGTAGATCAAGGCTTGGCTTCTGGGTCACCCCTTCCTCGAATCGGTCCCTGGCATCACCGCCAATTCTCCTCCCTCTATCCTTCCGCAATTCTATCCTCGAGTCACTGTTTGCCTGTTGCCTCGCCGTCATGAGCCCCTGGGTCGTTCACGGCTGCTCGCCCTCCCCCCGATTCCTCCTCCCGCCACCGCCTTCGCGTCACTCAACATAGTGGCCGATTCCCCCCCTTCGCCTTCCTCTTCGTTCGGTTTCGATTGTTGACGCTCTCGTAGAAGAATCGTGAGGGTTCCCTACTTCGTTGAGGTAGTGCCCTTTCATCCGGGGCCGGAAGTGGTGTCGTCTCGCAAGGCGGAAAGGACTGCTTCGGTGAGCTCTTTCCAGATTCTTGTGCTGTCGGGTGTGTCTCTCTTGGCGTCCGCTGCGCCCCTGATCAACATCGACGAACCCGACCGACCTGTCGAGCCCGCCATTGTACGCGCCCGCAACGTCATCGCGTGGACGCTACCTTCTGGAAGGGTTTTGCGATGTTTGATCGACTCTGGGTCAGAGGTCGACTTGGTAGATCAGGAGGTGGTGCGAGTCGACCCGAGCTTCGCAACGGCCCGTTTGACTGCGCCGTTGCACTTGCGCCTCGGCACCCAGGATAAGTCCGACCGATGTGCTGTGTTCGCCACCGCTCCTTTTTCGTCTGGCGCCCTAGATCTCGGTTTGCGACCATTCTTCATTTGCCGTGTAATGGCGTACGACGCCATCTTGGGGCTGCCGTTTCTTAAGGACACAGGCATGCTCGTTGGTTGGGGCGCCTTCACCGTCGCGCGCACCGGCCCTTCGCAACCCGTCGCCCAGGATACGCACGAATGGGACCGAGCCGTCACCGTAGCACCTATCTTATCCGGTTCTGCCATTGGCTGCAATCACCCTGGGTTGCTCCCCGACGACGAGATCATCGGCCTCGAGCCACACAACCCGCTGCTCGATGTCGTTGACGATCCGACGCTCGACGATATGTCTGAGTCCAAAGCACGAACACGATTGGCTGCCTTACTCGAGAAATTTTCTGATGTGTTCGTAGATTCGTTACCGATGGATCAACTCCCACCGTACCAGCCAGTCAACCACGAGATCCCGTTGATCGATCCCACCGAAAAGGTCAAACCCCGGGTGTACCCCCTTGCCGACAAATATCGGAGCCAGTGGGCGGAACACTCAGCTAAGTACACTCGTGGTCGATTCTGGGTTTCGGGTCCGATCGATTCTGCGGCTCCGGTCTTTGCCATTCCGAAGAAGAACTCCCAGACGGCTCGTTTCGTGATCGACCTCCGCGCGCGCAATAGCAACACCGTCAAGGGTTTTTCGCCCATCCCGGACATGACCAATGTTCGATACGAGGTGGCTCGATCGCGTTATCGCTCTAAATTCGACGTGGCCGCGGCATTTGAGCAGGTTCGGGTCATACCGGTGCACGTCGATCGCACCGGCTTCGCAACAGTGACGGGCACGTACACGTCGCGGGTCATGCAGTTTGGTGACACCAATGCGCCCAATACCCTCAACCTCTTGACCTCGGCAATGTTCCAGCCGTGTCTCCCGTTCGCCAAGATCTTTTTCGACGATGTTCACGTCCATTCCGATACCCGTCGCGCACACTTGAGACACATCAAGATCCTGCTGATGACATTGAGACATTACCGGTTCTACTTAGGATCCAAGAAGTCCGAGTGGTTCTCAAAGTCGTTGGATTCCTTGGGCACCATCATTTCCGACGTCGGCATCGAAGTCGACCCCGCCAAGTGGGAGCGTATTCAGCAGTGGCCGATCCCGCGCAACAAGACCGACGTCCAGCGTTTCCTCGGCACCGTCAATTGGATGCGAGATCACCTACCACACCTCTCGATGATCTTGGAGCCGATCACCGCGTTGATGGCGCAATCGACGTCGTGGCATTGGAACGAGCGAGAACAGCAGGCTTTCGATACCGTCAAGTCCCTGGTGCCCGCCATCCTACGACCGATCGATGGCGCCAAGGTTACCTCGGGCGAGCACAAGATGTACCTCTTCACGGATGCCAGTCGGGTTGGCATTGGCGCTTGTTTGGCGTCCGGTCCCAACCGTTCGCAGGCCGTTCCAACGCGATTCTTTTCCACTAAGTTCAACGGTGCTCAGCTCAACTATCATGTCACTGATAAAGAGTTCTTGGCTGTCGTCTCGGCGTGTCGGGCGTTTGAGCAGCACTTGATCGGTTACCCCTTCGTCATCGTCACCGACCATCAGGCCCTTTGCACGATAAAAACCCAAAAACTGCGCCAAACGCCTCGGCACATCCGCATGTGTCTCGAACTCAGCCGTTTCGACTTCGAATTTGAATTCATTGCTGGCAAGAACAACACCCTGGCCGATTCGTTGTCGCGTCTGTGGGAGGTCAAGGAGGGATCGCACGAGGATCAGGTCAAGGAGAATGAGTTGGAGGACATGTTCTTTGATGGAGAACACCACAAATTCACTACACCCGGTGAGAGTCTCCTTGAGGAACGTCCTTACACCTCACCTTCGCACGATCGGTTGCCCCCTGTTGATTGCGCCTTCGGGCCCTGGGGTCACGGTTACGACGCAGGCTCTCCCGGTTCCCCTCATCTGGCCGAGAACATTATGGACACCGTCGATTCGTCTATCGGCCGCCTCTCTCCTCCCATCGCTGTCAATCGAGTTCACGCTATCGCTGCGGCTCCCGCCAACGACCCGCCCATTCCGGTCGATGCCGACGCCGACGAACTCGATTTGTTGGGAGTCGCCACCGATGACGTCAATGACACCCCTGTAGTCCTCGTTTCCGACCGTGATCCCAAGTTCACCTCGCAGTTTTGGCGGGCATTGCAGGCAAAGATTGGCACCGTCTTGCGAATGTCAACCGCGGCACACCCCGAGACGGACGGATCGAGCGAGAATCGGATCAAGATGGTCACCCAAACCCTGCGGATCATGGTCTCGTCAAACCACGAGGCTTGGGCATCTCGTCTTGTTGAAGCTGAGTTCGCTCTTAACTCTTCTGTTGCTGTGTCCACGTCGCTGTCGGCTTTTGAGGCAACCTACGGCTACCTTCCTCGATGCTGGCCCTCGGATTCCTGGTCTGTCTCGGACGTCCCTTGTGCGGAAGTGTTTGCTCGGATCCGACAATTACGGAACCTCGACATGACAGATGTGATCATTGGAGCACACCTCAACCAGTCCCATCAGGCCAACAAGCATTGACACCCGGACGACCCCGCCTTTTGGACCGGCAGTTACGTCTATCTTTCGACAAAGAACCTGGCAGTTCCTGACGGCATGAAGTCGAAGTTGTTGCCGCGCTACATCGGCCCCTTCCGTATCCGAGCGGCCATCCCTGCGACGTCCAGCTACGACCTCGAGCTCCCTCCAGCGATGTCGCGAGTGCACAGTCGCTTTCATGCTCGACTGCTTCGGCCTTATGTTGAGAATTATGCTGAAAGGTTCCCTGGGTGTGACCCTGCAGTTCTTTTTGTCGAAGACGTAGCCGACGCGGCCGACAACTCTGTGATTCCGGAACGGATTGTTCGCGATTGGCGGAACACTCGGGGTGCTCGTTCGTTCTTGGTTCGATGGGTAGGCCGTAACGACACCGACGATACTTGGATGTCAGAGCAGTCCCTTCGCCTTGACCATCCGTCCGTCCTCGACGCCTACTTCGTGCACCTCGATGGCTCGAACCGCAGCCTCGCCGCACGGTAGACTTCCTTCTGGGGGGGACAGTGTCAGGATGACAGCGTGTACTTGAAGGAAGCCTTTTTTTTTTGTAGAAACCGTTCATCATATTGCCCCCAATTCCTGTTCCCCTGATTGGCCTACGGAAAAAACTAGATGGAAGTCGATGATGATAACACAAACCGCCCGCAAGATGCGAGAAACGGGCCAAGTCCACCAATCTGATACTTCGGATTCAAGTGCCCCAGCCAAGCGGTTGCTCCCCCCCAGGACACGAATGAGAGAGAGAGAATATGAAAAAGAACTGGCGTACTAACGACAAGAGGCCCACCCCGCACCCACTTCCCAACTCGGTCGAGACAAAGACAGGAGAGCGACTGCGCAGCTACCCTGACCCGCGAAGTCCCCAAGTCTATGCTCGGTCACAACAAGACGCGGTGGAGGCCCCTCAAAACCTCCACCTCAGCAGTACCTGGCCCCTCAAAGCCGACTTTCTGCCTGTGTCTGCTGATCCCTCCCTTGACTCAGAACCCCGAAGCCAAAGAGCGCGAGCCACCGTCGAGTCAATCCCAAATCGCGAGCCGGTCCATGAGCAACGGAGGCAGACCTGTAATAAAAGAAAGAAAGATGAAGAAAAGATATTTAGTATACAGTTTTTGTAAGAGGATGTGTGATGTGGGTGTGTGTGCGTGTGGAGTGGGGTGGGGGGAAATCGAACCTAGCCTCTACTGCCCTCGCCTGCCTCTTGCTCCTCCCGCCCTCAACTTCATCCTCTCCTCCAGTACCACCCTCCTCCTCTCCACGCTTTCCATCCTCGTCCCGTGCTTCTGCATCCTCCATCTCCCACTGCTGATCATCTCCAAAACCATCCCCGTGAAGATCTCGATCGTCCTTCCCGCGCCTTCCTGTGCGCTGAGCTTGGCCTTGAGCTTGGGGAGGCCAAAGAGTCGTTGAAGTGTCGTGTACTCGGCGCCCTCGATCGCGTCGCAGAGCACGCCCCTCGCCGCGATCCAGACGTTTCGCGAGTCGAAGCAGCCGAAGAAGTAGTGATCGGTGTTGTCCACCGGCGCTTCGCAGACGAAGCACGCGGGAGAAGCCCCCCAAGGCTATGTGCGGGTAGAGTTGACTTGGCTAGATGCTTGCCTCATTTCACAGCATCGTCGGTGCGATGGCGTAGTCATGAGGCGCGTGGGCGTGCACTCGGTGGTCGCGGGTTCGAGGCACCCAGACCGCAGTCTTCTTTCGGTTTGTTTTATCTTTTTGTTAGCCGAGGCGCGGCTTCAGGGTTTTTACCGGTGCTCCCACGAGCAATCCTTTTTACCCCTGAGGCGACCTCTTGGAGTGGTTGATTTGGCTAAGTCCCTTCTGGGCCTGGCACAGTCCCTTCCCTTTAGTTTTACCACCTTTCCCCGGGAGCTTGGTCCGCTCTTCTCTTTTGTTGCCCCTCCTCTTCTTGTCGATCGTTTGGGAATTAAGTCCGTTATACTCGATTTCCTGCGAGCCTTTCGACCGACTCCCCTCCTCGGTTGCTCCCTTGTCAACTGCCGCCGCAACAGCCGACGCTTCCTGAAATCCCCCCCTCCGTACCAACGTGTGTAGACGACGTCATCTCCTCCGACGTCGCCTGTCAGTTCGGCTCAGCCGTTTTGCTCCGGGGTGTAAGGGATCGTGAGTTGCCTGGTGATGCCGTGATGAGAGCAGTACTCGATGAAGGCTTTGGACGTATATTCACCGCCGTTGTCCGTTCGTAACGTGCGGAGCTTGAGGCCCGTTGAGCGCTCGATCATGGCGTGCCAACGCTGGAAGGTGTCGAAGACCTGACTCTTGTTCCTCAGCGCGCTGACCCACGTCTTCCGGGAGAAATCATCGATGAAGGTGACAACGTATCGTTCCCCATCGGTGGTGGGTTCGGGCAGAGTGAGGACGTCGGAGTGGACCAGTTCGAGTGGTTGCGAAGCGCGAGAGTCCGATGTTGGGAAAGGTGTCCTTGTTGCTTTGGCGGCTTTGCAGGTGTCGCAGGAGAAGGCCTTGCATTCGGCCGCAGAGTACGTCCATGTTTGACCTTGGAGTTGACCCGACGAGACTGCCCTTCGCAGGTTGGGGAGGGACAGGTGGCCAAATCGTTGGTGCAGAGTCAGGAGAGGGATGGCGGCTGCTGCGACCGGTGACACCGTGCTGCGGATTGGGGTGGCGTCCAGTGTCGACAATTGATTTGCAATGAGGGATGCCACACCTATGAGTTGACCTTGTGACGGGAGCTCGATGGTCTTGCCAAAGTGGGTGTAAATGCGCTCGCGTCGCAGCTGCATGACCGAGATCAGGTTGGCCAGAAGGTCAGGGACGTAGTAGATGTTGCAGAGCTTGATCGTTCGTTGTTTCGACGTTCGTATCGTGATCGAGCCGGTGCCTTGTGCCATGAGTGACTCGCCAGCGCCATCAACGGCGACGTGTGACCGTGTGTGCCAGGCGTCGAAGAGAGACGCGTCCTTGACCATGTGGTGGGAGGCGCCCGAGTCGAGTACAAGGGTGTCATTTGGAAGGTGGAGCTCACAGTTCGATGGTAGACGATGTTCACGCTGGGCCGGACTGTCACGCTCACAGTCGGGTCCAGGTGCGACGTGTCAAGTTGCGTCATGGTGTGGTAACAGCCGGTCGCATGGGCGAGGGCGGTTTCAACGGTGTGGTACAGAGCGATGATGATGACGAACGCGATCATGATGGTGGTGAAGGCATCGTTGTAGCAGCTTTAGCTCGGGCTCATAACCTATTAATCGTGTGTCTCGAGAGGGGAATGGATCGGCAACCAGTAAGTACACGAGACACAGTACGAGTTGTAGGAAGTATATTGGAGCGTTAGGGGGAAGACTAAAGAGGCTCGCGGTGCGAGTGCGCGAAATATCTCTAAGTCCAAAAGGGGTCCGAGCGGCGCGCGGCTGGCTAGGCTGGGCGCGGGCTGGAGATCAACCTAAGCAAGAGTGTATGGAATTCAACACATCGAGTACTGCTCTCATCACGGCATTACCAGGCAACTCACGATCCCTTACACCCCGGAGCAAAACGGCCGAGCCGAACGGACAAACCGCACAATCATCGAGGGGACGATTGCCCTGCTCCAACACTCGGGACTGCCCATGACACTCTGGCGCGAGGCCCTCCGGTACGTTGTTGACACCAAAAACCTCAGCCCGCACAGCGCCATCGATCACAAAATCCCGGACACTATCTGGTATGGCAAACCTCCCAGCACAGCAAACCTGAGAGCATTCGGCTGCCGCGCCTGGCACACCACCCCTCAACACAAGCGGGCAAAACTCGACCCCAAGGCCAAACCATTCATCTTCGTCGGCATCGAAAACAAAACCAAGGCCTGGACGCTGTACGACCCAGAAACAATTTCGTTCTTCCAGAGCTGCGACGTCAGATTTGATGAGAACATCTTCCCCGCTCGAGATGCCCCGACTGGCCTGTTGAATTTCATTCTACTACAAGCCTTCGAACACTTCAACATTGGGCCGCCGTTTGTCAGGTCCGCCCATTTTCAGCCTCGGCGCCTTCGCCTTCGCAGCCGAGTCACCCCCTGTCCGCCGCCTCCGCGCCAGCCTGTTCAACTCACGCTCGTGCGCCGCCACCTCCCACACCGGAACTTTGTCAATCTACCACTCCTGTCCTTACCGAGCTGTTGCCTCCGCCTAGACACCGTCAGCTTGCCATCACCACCCTCATGTTTCATCGGCCATCCAGAGCATCGCCCATGCATGACACCCGTAGCTCGCAACCTTTGACCTGTCGCCCAGGACTGCCCCGCTCGCCAACACTCGACCATGGTAGATGAGTTTCCCTTCGTGTTCGCTGTCCAACACAGCCCCTCTTTGGAGTTCGGTCTTCTAGTTTGCATTGTGCCCGCCCAGTTGCCTTAGATAGCCTGCGCGCCCCCCTTGCTAGAACCTCGCCCGACTCGCGCGCTCCAGCGCCTTTCTTCCTCTTCTCTACCGCTTCCCAACATTAGCCAGACAGCTAATCTTCGGTAGAGAACAGCCCGCACCGCGTCCGTCGTCTCAGACCACACCTGTGCCGCCTCACGACTTCTCCTGTCGACCGTCCGTTGCACTCTTGCCACTCGACGCTCGACCAGTAGCCCTAGCGGTCGCTACGCCCAATTCCGAACACCTCTTCGGTCCACACTCTACATGCTCCTCGCTCCCCGTGCCCCAACCCAAAGTGTCGCAAGATGCATTGGCTCAGGGACTGCCCCGACACTGCTTGGGCAGCCTCCTTCCGCGCGCGTCGTGCCACCGGTTCCGGCTCCGTGGAGCTCAACACGACCTCCGGTCGCGTCGCCGTCGCTGACATTCTTCATGTGCCCTCGTTGCCTTGCAACTTGTTGTCCGTTCGACACCTCGACCGCCTCGGCTTCACGGTCTCGTTCAGCTCCAACGTCGCCACCATCCGCAACGCCGCCGGCACCGCTGTCGCCACCGCTTGGGCCATCGCAAACGACCTGTACACTCTGGACCTCGCCGCTGCACCTTGTACGCCCCACGCTCTGCTTGCTTCGCCCTCCCAGGTGTCCTTGCTTACCCTCCACAACCGCCTCGCGCACCTCCCTGTCCTCCTTCTCAAGAGAATCGTTCAGAAAGGGATGGTTACCGGTGTGGCGTGGGATTACTCGGACGAGGAGTGTAGAACCTTCAATTGCAATGCATGTCTCGCTTCCAAAGTGCATGCCCTCCCATTCGCTCGCTCCAAGTTGATTGCCTTGCAGCGCCTCGGCCTGATCCATGTTGACCTTGCCCAAATGCCACACGTTAGCTTCGGTGGTCATCGCTACATGCTTGTGATCGTCGACGACCACACCCGAAAGCACTGGTGCATCCTCCTTGCCCGCAAGAGCGACACCTTCCCGCGCCTTCGCGATTGGATTCTTGAGGTTGAGCGAGCGACTGGCGACAGCGTCAAGACCATTCGCTCCGACAACGGCGGTGAATTCACGCTGCGCAGTTTCGTCGATTTCTGCTGCAGCAAGGGCATTCGTCGAGAACTCACGATACCCTACACGCCACAGCAAAACGGACGGGTTGAGCGCCCCAACCGCACCATCAAGGAGGGCATCCTTGCCCTTGCCTACTCGGCCGGTGTCGACTCGCGACTCTGGGGTGAAGCGGCCATGTACTTTGTCCGATGCAAGAACATGACACCCCATGCCGGCGTCAGTGGCGAAATCCCCGACGCTCGTTGGTATGGTTACGCACCGGATGTTTCCTCTCTTCGCACCTTTGGCTGCCGTGCCTGGCATTGCCTTCCTTCGGCGTCCTGCTCTGCTCTCGACCCTAAGGCCATGCCTCTCATCTTCGTTGGCCTCGACGACCATTCGAAGGCTTACCGCCTGTTCAATCCGGCGACTCGCAAGGTGCTCCTCAGCCGGAACATCCTTTTCCATGAATCCGAGTTCCCCACCTCGACACAAATTCCCGCCTCGTTCTCTCCGGCCAATCCTCTCCCGGATGTTGTTGCGTTACGCCCTGACCAGGCTGACCTCCCCCAGCCACTGCTCGCTGTCCCCCCCCCCCCGCTCCCCTGCGCCTCGCGCTGAGCAGCTTACCCCCGCACCTGATGCCTCTGACCAAGGCTCGCCGGCCCTTGCTCGTAATGTCCCTGACCAGGAATTGCCCACACCCTTCGCCTCTGACCAAGGCAGCCCCGACTCGGCACTTTCTACGCCTTGTCCCTCTCCTCTACTCCAGCCCAGCTCCTACGATTTCTCCGCCCTGTGCCTTGCCCCGGAGTTCTCTGATGATGTCGATGACGCCCTTCACTCGCCTGCGCCTGTGTGCTACCTTGCAGATGCTGCTGCCGCCCTCCTCGATACTTCTTCCGTCGACCCCGCGGAGCTCGTTGCGCCTGCACGCGACCCTCCCCACTGGCGTGCTGCCATGGCCTCGCCCCAGGCGGACAAGTGGCGTCTTGCGGCTCGTGATGAATTTGACTCACTCTCTCGTGATTTCTCCGCTTTCACGCCCATCGACCAATCACTTGTCCCCGACGACGCCAAAATCATTGGCTCTCGCTTCGTCTTTCGCACCAAACGCGACCAGTTCGGGAAGATCAAGTCTTACAAAGGCCGCCTTGTCGCCCGCGGCGATTCCCTGCGATCTGGTATCGATTTCGACGAGACTTTTGCGCCCGTTGCCAAGTTGACTTCGATCCGTGCTCTGCTGACCCTGTCTGCTGCCCGAGGCTATCACGTTCACCAGGCCGACATCGACAAAGTGTACCTTCATGGAAAGCTCGACAAGCCTTTGTACATGCGTGTCCCCGAGGGCATCGCCCTGCCCAGTAAAGTTCTCCAATTGCACCGTTCCCTCTACGGCTTACGCCAGGCTGGTCGCATCTGGAACGACGAAATTGACTCTACCCTCCTTGGGTTGGGTTACGTCACCACTGAGTCCGACCATTGCGTCTACATCAAAACTGTTGGGGACGTGCACCACTACATCGCGCTTTACGTCGACGACCTCCTCATGATTGGCCCCTCCCTACCCGAAATTGAGCGTACCCTCCAGGGCCTTGAACGATGTTACGGTGTCAAGCGCCTTGGTGAAGCGGAATACATCCTTGGCATCCAGATACGGCGTTCCTCCGACGGCTCGATCACGCTAAGCCAGGAGCAGTACCTCAAGGACATCCTCACTCGTTTTGGCATGTCGAACGCCCACCCGGTTGCCACCCCGATGAAATCCGACCTCCACCTTGAGATTGAGATCAACCCTGCCCCGTTTGCGGACCGCACCCGCTGTCTTCAGGCCATTGGCTCGCTCATGTACGCATCCACTGGCACTCGCCCCGATCTGGCCTACGCTGTCGGTTACTTGGCTCGATTCTCCCAGTCTCCATCCGAAGCTGCCTGGGGTGCTGTCAAGCACGCTTTCCGTTACCTCGCTGGAACGCTCTCGCACGGCCTGCGCTATTCCCGCGGCGACCCTGCTCCCATGATTGGCTACTCTGATTGCAACTGGGGTGCCTGTGTGCTCTCCTCCAAGTTGACCATTGGCTACGCGTTCCTCTATGCCGGTGGCGCCATCTCGTGGTCCTCGCGCCTCCAGTCTCGCGTGGCAGACTCCACTTGCGACACCGAATACCTGGCTCTCTCGCATGCCGGCAAGGAAGCCATTTTCCTGCGTCAACTGTTTGGTGAGCTGGGTCTCCCCTCTTCTGCTCCGACTCTAGTACTTGGCGACAATCAAGGCGCCAACGCCCTCACTAAGAACCCGGTTTTCCACGCCCGCACCCGCCACATCCGACTTTGTGAGCACTTTGTCCGGGACATGGTCGCCCTTGGTGATATCGCGGTCCAGTACATCAACACCGCCGACATCTTCACCAAGGCTCTAGCCCGCGACCTCTTTGCGCGTCACCGCGGCCGCCTTGGCATCTGTTCTCCCTGATGCTCGAAGTCGGGGGGGTGTGAGATTCTCAAAGTACTTTAATTATCTCTTATTTCCTTCTAGCATCATGGCCCCTGTGTCTCTTCCCTTATTCTCCTTCTTGACCCGGCTTTGCCATCTATCTTCCGCATTCTGGCCAGACTCGCGCACTTGCTCTCAGCTAGCTGGCCCCGCGCGACTCTCTCTCTCCTGCTCAAGCAACTTCTTGGTCTGGTCTCCCTTGGTCCGTCGATCAGAGACTTACCACTGCTTGAGCAGGTCTGTGCGTTGCTTCTACCTCTCATAGGGAGCGCACAGCGGGTCTAAGTCAAACTGGGCGGGCGCATTGCGAAGCTACAAGACCGAACTCCAAGCGGGGCATCGAGGCTCTAAGAGGGGCTGTGTTGGACAGCGGACACGAGGGGAAACTTATCTACCATGGTCGAGTGTTGGTGAGCAGGGCGGTCCGGAGCGACAAGGTGCAGGTTGCGAACTACGGGCGTCATGGATGGCCGATGCTCTGATGGCCGATGACACATGAGGACGGTGATGGCAAGCTGACGGTGGCAAGGCGGAGGCAACTGTTCGGCAAGACAGGAGAGGTAGATCGACTAAGTCCCGGCGTGTGAGACGGCGGCGCGCGAGCATGAGTTGAACAGGCTGGCGCGGAGGTGGCGGACAGACGGCGGCTTGGCTGCGAAGGCGAAGCGGCCGAGACGAAAACGGGCGGTGGCGTGCAGGCTCAGCAGGCAACGGCCGGACGGATGGACCAGGATGTGGACGTGTTGACTAAGGGGCACATGGGTCGATGGAACGAGGCTGGTCGTGTGTAGCTGGCGACGAGGCTCGGGTAACAGGGGCCGCAGCGAAGGCGCGTGGTGGCGAGCATGGCAGAGCAGGCAAGGCTGGCAACGACGGGCAGACGGACCGAGATGTGGACGAGTTGACGAACGGTGCACATGGGTCAAAGAGCGAGGCTGGGCGCAAGGGTCATGCGGCGAGGCTCGAAGGACAGGGGGCGCGGCTGAGGCGAAGGCGCGAGGCGAAAGGCGGACAAGCCCGTCAAACGGCGGCCCGATGTCGAAGTGTTCGAACGCTTGACAGAATGCAATTCAACAGGGGTCCCCCCAAGGCTGGGGCTGTGGTGGGGGCTGGTCGCATTGTCGAGGCCGTTGCGAAGGCCGTCGGTCGTGTGTTGGACCGCTGTTGTTGGAGTGCGGCGACTTGGGTCGTAATGGCCGCTCGGCGTTGCGCGATGACGTCCCACTCTTCACGTCCAATCCGTTCGAATACTTGATAATCAAACTCCCCGGGTTGCTCCGCCGGTGCATCACTGTAGACGTCGGTTTCCGAGACCACAGCTGGGGCGGGAGCATCGAGAGCGAGTCTCTTGAGTGAGAGGTCGGACCATCCAGCTAGCAACGAGACGACATGCGTGCGGAGGAGTCGGCACAGCTCGGGATCAGTGCCGAGGAGAACAAGCTTGGCGAGTTCCTGATCCGAGACGACCTGGAACCCAATCTCCATCTGGAGGACGCGCATTCGATCAGAGAAGTCCTGGAACGCGTGTACATCGTGACCCGTCACTTGGTGTTGCCGGTGCAACACCTCGAGTTGCGTCCAGACGAAATTGGCGGGCACGGCGCGGCGGATCAACTCCGACTTGAATTGGGCGTACGGTTTAGCAAGGTGTTTGCTCAACCCTTGAGAGAACCAGTTTTTGAGCGCCAGGACTTGCAACCCCATACCAGCGCCTTCGATCTTGTCGTGGTTGGCAGTGACGGGTACACGGGCCACGCGCCGGTTGTAGTAATCCAGGTGTATGAAGTATTCCCGAAGAGCCTCCATCGAAGTTTGATGCAGCTGAGGTGGGTCACTGGCTTTGTATACGTGCGTGGGCGGGACAGGAGTGGACATGGCGGGCTGGCTGGGCTGGTCTGGGCTGGGGGGGGGGGGGGCGCTGGGCTGCTAGTGCTGCAGGGTCGTCTTGATTTGAACAATCCTGGCTAGTCGATTGGTTCAATGGTTCAAGTACGGCCGGCCCGTAGGCCGTATCGTTGGGGTACCAATGAACTCGACGTTGTCAAAAAAAAAGTGAAAGGCACGCTGTCTCGGACAGCGGAGCCTCACTGGTGACCGAAGATGTCAGGTGCAAGTTAAATGGATTACAACTAGCTTCTGGTGTCAGCTCGATGAAGAGAGAGCTGAAGAAGCTAGGCGCGCGCAAACTCTATTTCTAATGCCTGTGGCCCATCGTAAGGCCTTGCCTTACACCCGGCCACCATGACGCCAAAGACCCCCACCTGTGACAAAGGTGAGCGCGGCTGTCTTCGCTAAAGTCTGCGCCACATCCCGCGATGGAGCTTGATGGTTGGTGCGCATATTGACTTGGTGCACGACCTTGTTTGCAGACTCGGCCACCGACGAATCGAAGAGCTTAGGAGGCCCGAAGTGGCGAATGGCCCCTTCAAGCTCGAGAAGGTAGTGGTACTTGATGTTGAATTCCATACACTCTTGCTTAGGTCGATCTCCAGCCCGCGCCCAGCCTAGCCAGCCGCGCGCCGCTCGGACCCCTTTTGGACTTAGAGATATTTCGTGCACTCGCACCGCGAGCCTCTTTAGTCTTCCCCCTAACGCTCCAAACTACTTCCTAACACTCGTACTGTGTCTCGTGTACTCACTGGTTGCCGATCCAGTCCCCTCTCGAGACACACGACTTAACAGGTTATGAGCCCGAGCTAAAGCTGCTACAACGATGCCTTCACCACCATCGTCACTTGCCACCATCATGATCGCGTTCGTCATCATCATCGCTCTGTACCACACCGTTGAAACCGCCCTCGCCCATGCGACCGGCTGTTACCACACCATGACGCAACTTGACACGTCGCACCTGGACCCGACTGTGAGCGTGACAGTCCGGCCCAGCGTGAACGTCGTCGCACTCCTAGGTCGTCTACCATTGAACCGTGAGCTCCACCTTCCAAATGACACCCTTGTACTCGACTCGGGCGCCTCCCACCACATGGTCAAGGACGCGTCTCTCTTCGACGCCTGGCACACACGGTCACACGTCGCCGTCGATGGCGCTGGTGGGTCACTCATGGCACAAGGCACCGGCTCGATCACGATACGAACGTCGAAACAACGAACGATCAAGCTCTGCAACATCTACTACGTCCCCGACCTTCCGGCCAACCTGATCTCGGTCATGCAGCTGCGCCGCGAGCGCGTTTACACCCACTTTGGCAAGACCATCGAGCTCCGGTCACAAGGTCAACTCATAGGTGTGGCATCCCTCATTGCGAATCAACTGTCGACACTGGACGCCACCCCAATCCGCAGCACGGTGTCACCGGTCGCAGCAGCCGCCATCCCTCTCCTGACTCTGCACCAACGATTCGGCCACCTATCCCTCCCCAACCTGCGAAGGGCAGTATCGTCGGGTCAACTCCAAGGTCAAACATGGACGTACTCGGCGGCCGAATGCAAGGCCTTCTCCTGCGACACCTGCAAAGCCACCAAAGCAACAAGGACGCCTTTCCCAACGTCGGACTCTCGCGCTTCACAACCACTCGAACTGGTCCACTCCGACGTCCTCACTCTGCCCGAACCCGCCACCGATGGGGAACGATACGTTGTCACCTTCATCGACGATTTCTCCCGGAAGACGTGGGTCAGCGCGCTGAGGAACAAGAGTCAGGTCTTCGACACCTTCCAGCGTTGGCACGCCATGATCGAGCGCTCGACGGGCCTCAAGCTCCGCACGTTACGAACGGACAACGGCGGTGAATATACGTCCAAAGCCTTCATCGAGTACTGCTCTCTTCACGGCATTACCAGGCAACTCACGATCCCTTACACCCCGGAGCAAAACGGCCGAGCCGAACGGACGAACCGCACAATCGTCGAGGGGACGATTGCCCTGCTCCAGCACTCGGGACTGCCCATGACACTCTGGCGCGAGGCCCTCCGGTACGTTGTTGACACCAAAAACCTCAGCCCGCACAGCGCCATCGATCACAAAATCCCGGACACTATCTGGTATGGCAAACCTCCCAGCACGGCAAACCTGAGAGCATTCGGCTGCCGCGCCTGGCACACCACCCCTCGGCACAAGCGGGCAAAACTCGACCCCAAGGCCAAACCATTCATCTTCGTCGGCATCGAAAACAAAACCAAGGCCTGGACGCTGTACGACCCAGAAACAACTTTGTTCTTCCAGAGCCGCGACGTCAGATTCGATGAGAACGTCTTCCCCGCTCGAGATGCCCCGACTGGCCAACCGAAGCCTCGCGCGACGTCCACTGCTGGCGACTGGACCTTCGTTGACGCTGCACATGGCTCCCGCACTGTCCCACGTCTGTCACTCCCGCCCGTCGTGCACGAAAATCGATTTGCCGCACTTGAGACCGACGCGAGCGACGACGCAACAATCGAAATGTCCGATGATGGTTTTGATACCCCGTCCGACATGTCCATGGCTCAGTTCTCGCTGTCACCCCCTGCGTCGGACGTGACCGATGACTCGGCCGACCCCATCGACTTCCTGTCATGCCCGTCTCGCGCCGCTGCCTTTGCCGCCACCACTGCAGATTCACCGGTCGTCGAACTCGAAGGGCCAACCGAGGACCCCCAGAATTGGTCGCAGGCGGTCAAGTCAGGTAAAGAGGAGATCTGGAGGCAAGCAGCAGCCGACGAGTTTCACTCCCTTACCACCGAGTACAAATGCTTCACCCCTGTTGACTCCTCCTCACTGCCCCCTGGCGCCAAAGTCCTCGGATCCAGGTTCATCTTCCGCACCAAACGCGACCAACTTGGCAAGATCACTTCGCACAAGGGCCGGCTCGTTGCACAGGGATTCTCCCAGCGCCCAGGTATCGATTACGACGAGACTTTTGCCCCTGTTGCCAAGTTCACCTCCATCCGAGCTCTCATCGCCCTGGCCGCCGCCAAGAAACTCCACGTCCATCAGGCCGACGTTGACAAGGCATACCTCCACGGCGAGCTGAAGGAAGACCTCTACATGCGCGTCCCACAAGGTGTTGACATGCCCGGTAAAGTCCTCAAGCTCCATCGATCGATCTACGGCCTCAAGCAGGCCGGCCGAGTCTGGAACGAGCACATTGACTTGACGCTGAAAAGCCTCCACTACCGCGCCACAGCCAAGGACCACTGCGTGTACGTACGACGCGACGGCGACCACTACCACTACATCGCCCTCTACGTCGACGACTTGCTGATGGTCAGCCCCTCGGAGGACGAGATTGAGCGCATCCTCAACGGCCTGGAGCAAAAATACGGCATCAAGCGACTTGGCCCAGCCCAGTACATCTTGGGGATCCAGATCAAGCGACAGGCCGACAAGTCCATCATCCTGTCGCAAGAGGCGTACATCACGAGCATCCTCCGCAGATTTGGCATGTCAGACAGCAGCCCCGCCTCCACGCCCATGGCCCCGAACCGACAGCTCGAACATTCGCTCGCGGAAACATCCAAAACTGCTCGGACACGCTACATGCAGGCTATTGGATGCCTCCTGTACGCCGCCACCGGTACTCGCCCGGACATTTCCTATGCTGTCGGATACCTCGCACGCTTCTCTGCCAGTCCCACACCCGAACACTGGACGGCCATCAAGACCGTATTTCGGTACTTACGTGGAACCGCACGTCTAGGCCTGCACTACAGCTCTGAACAAGGCAAGTTCTCAGGCTTCACCGGTTACTCTGATGCAGACTGGGGAACCTGCACCACATCGTCACGGTCGACCATGGGGTACAGCTTCCACCTGGCCGGATCTGTCATCTCTTGGTCCTCCAAAGTGCAAAACCGTGTGGCCGACTCCACCACAGACGCCGAGTACCTCGCCCTCTCACACGCCTCCAAGGAAGCTGGTCACCTCCAAGAACTGCTTATGGAACTGGGCATCGACACACGAGCTCCCGTCCAGCTGTACGGCGACAACCAAGGTGCTATTGCTCTCGCCAAGAACCCCACCCTTCACCACCGGTCCCGTCACATTCGCATTCGTGAGCACTTTGTACGCGACCAGGTCAGGCTGGGCACCATCCAAGTCGACTATGTGGACACAAAAACCATGGTCGCCGACATCTTCACCAAGGCACTTGGACCCTTGGTGTTCAAGGTACATCGTGACAACCTGGGTCTTCGAGGCTAAGTAAGCTTCGAGCGAGGGGGGGTGTTGAATTCCATACACTCTTGCTTAGGTCGATCTCCAGCCCGCGCCCAGCCTAGCCAGCCGCGCGCCGCTCGGACCCCTTTTGGACTTAGAGATATTTCGCGCACTCGCACCGCGAGCCTCTTTAGTCTTCCCCCTAACGCTCCAAACTACTTCCTAACACTCGTACTGTGTCTCGTGTACTCACTGGTTGCCGATCCAGTCCCCTCTCGAGACACACGACTTAACACTTGACGCGAGCCAAGGTGAATGTCAAATTGCGGGTCATCGAAGCTTGGACAAATGCTCGCGCTAGCTCGCGATAGTCGTCCTGTGCACGGAATAAATTCCCTTAGTCTCAAGCTAGCTTGCCTCATCATTTGACGGATACCAAGCCAACTCACGGCGTACTGATCAATACTTATTGCGGAGGGAGTGAACATGTGATGGGTCAACTTTCCAAGGGAGCAGCGATTAGTCACTGGAGTGATCATGGACCGGCTCAACATGACCTCAGCGATGAAGGGAAGTATCTGCGCGATCATTCGACTATCGTGACCATCGAGGCTTCCCTTGTAGTCGACGTAGAAATTCGGCTTGAACCGTTCACCGAGCCCAGCTGTCGAAAGCGAACGGAAAGCGCCGCGCATGAAGTCGACGGCTGTGGGTGTGAGGCCCGCCATTGTGTCAACCCAAAGACATTTGACAGGACCTAGCAGAAGGACGTGGAGCATGTCAGGAGGTGTGTCACGGTGGACGTCGAAATCTGCGGCGAGCTTGAACTGTCAGATGCGTCCCAAGCCGTGCAAGCACCGTCAACTCAGTGACTTACGAGGAATGCGGAAGAAAGGGCCGAGAACGGACCCAGAGGCTTTGAGTTCGGACAGCCGAGCCGAAGCGGCTGCCCGTGCTCGAACTCCGTTGGCGGTGGCAATCTTTTTTCGTTCCTTGGCGCCGGCATTTTGGTACATTCTCGCCAACTCGGCATTTGGCTGAGGCAGGCCATCTTTGCTGTAAGGGATCTTGTGGGTCATCTCGACTGCATAGGCTTGGCGGATTTCTTCAATGACTTTTGCGGTGACTTTGTCGCGCGTGCCTGTGCTCCTTTGCAACTCCTGAACCCTGTGAGCGGTGCCGTCACGAGTCATCGTCTCGATCTGCGCCCATGATTCCAACATCGTGCTCTCCGCGTTACGTTTAATGGGTGACTGCAGAATTTACAGCTCCGAGTTGTCAGCTATTTGCATGACGCACGAAGCAAACGCGGTCAAGCCATGACTCACAGTAAAGTAAGTCCTTAGGGTGTTGAACGCAAGTCGGTCGGCGGGATATCCGGCCCATCGACAGCAGCGGCAGGGGAAGCGTGCTGCGGCCCCAATTGGACGGGCAGAGACTTCGGCGGCCATCGGTGTGTCGTGTACCGTGTATAGCAGTGGCGTCAAAAACTGTACAGGTGCTCCGGTACGACCATCAATGGCCTCAACGGGCGATGAAAGCGTGGCACTAGAGTTTGTTGCATGAGTCAGCCGATATTGCCGGCTGGCTCGACACAGTCACATCACACTCACATAATGTCCGTAAGGACAGCCTCCGCTAGATCGAGTGCCTCTCCCCAAGCGGTCACAGCGATGTGTTGAAGCGAGAATCGGCGGCTTAAATGCGAAGTCGGCAAACCCAGAGTCTGAATCGAGCACTGTTGCATGCGCCGGGGGCGAATCAGTACAATGTAATATCCCACATGGGTGTTTGGGAGTGAGTCTGCACTGACCACGAACATCTTGTAGTAACGCTTCGACTCTCCACCGCCAAAATCATCCCAAGAACATGCGCAGCGGGACAGTCAGAAGTCGGCCGCCTCGGGCTGCGGCTCTCGAGGCACTCGACGCCGGCAAACAGGGTAGCAGCACCTCTCGATCTGCAGACAGTCCTGCGTGCGCAAGGTGGCCGTGTCAGGCGTGGGGAAATTTCCGACTTGTCTCATGCACTTACGTATGATCATCCTCCTCTCCATCTCCACTTCCCTTGCGATCGGAGACCCGAGTAACTCCAACGGCATTAGGGACCACGCCCGGTCTGAAAGTGGCGACGACGATAAGTCCAGCATATCCGCGGGCGGGAGTTGAACGCAAAAGCTACCATCGTCGCGGAGGACCGCAGGAACCGCCAGTGCGCAGAGTACGTGGTTGTGGGTGGCGAACGAGTCGATTAAGAGGTATCCTCCACCTCTTTGAAGTACAATTTCCTGGGCGAAATAGTCGATGCCGTCATGCGAAGCCATCGGTGTTCGAATGGGTGCCGGTAATGTGTGGCGCCAGCGCGCAGTCTGACAGGCCGATTGCACAAAATCTTTGTCGTCATAGGAGGGGTAGAACTCCAATTGCTCGACGAGTGTGGGGGTAGCCAGCGCCTGCGGGGATATAAGAGAGCGTGCGTCAGGCGAGGGCACTGGCTGGGGTCACTGGACGCGGAGTCAGAGTGAGTGCCACTGGGAACGCACTGCAATGACAAAATCAGATGGAGGAATGATGAAGATTGTGCGGTTGTTAGGAACAACAACTGGCCGGGGACGGAACAGCTGTATTTCGTCGAGTAGGTTGCATAGGAAGGTTTTGATGGTTTTGATCGAAGGCAGCTTGGTCACGCCGAGAACTTGTGCAAACTCGAGTATTTCTTGGAACTCTTGCACGCCCATGCGACGGTGGGGTGATCGCCAGAAGAGAGACACCACGCACATCTGTGGTCAAGAATTCGCAGACCAGAGTCAGCATTAGTTAGTAAGCTGAGAGGGCTTCGGCGCTCGGGTCACGATCACTCACAGCTGCGCTCGGAAAAGGGAACCATTCATCGCTTGGATGCGGAACGCTCGATGATGATGCGCGGTGGCTTGAGCTCTTGACGAGTTCGGCATTCACTATAATTGTAAATATTTGCCCATGATGTATACGTAGCATAGGACAAAGAATACCTCCCATGACTGCTGAACTGACCCTTGATCATATGCGCCAGCGTTCGGGGTCGGCGCCAATCTCTGTCGATGTCGTCGTCGTCTTCGGACCCGCTGACATCACCCTCACGGTTTGATTCAAAGTCGTCTAGACTCTCGTACGCAGCCGATATATCTTCAAAGCCATGATCGTCGTCATTATGGGCATAGTTTTGCGCACTGTAGTCGAAGTCGGGTGTTCCGCCCGACAAGGGTGACCCATCGCTGCCGAGCTGGTTTTAGGGCAGATGCAGACACATCAGATCGCGTAGTCTCAACATTGGAAGACCTCCGCTCGCTCACAGAAGAGATAGAATTGTTGGTGTCGAATAAAAGTTCGTCGTTGTCGGGGGATGATACCCAGAAAAGATCCCCAACACCGGTACCTTGCAGTCGGACTTGGTCTTTGCACATTCGTCTTGAAATGGGCCCGGGCTTGGGCAAAGCTCAGCCGTCGATCCTTATGTCGAGGGCAGACTGCGCAGCAGTATCCGATGCTCCTAGAAGAATTCGTTATGCTGATGATTGCTTCTGTGGTAGAGAGGGCAGCGAAGGATCGAAGGTTGAGCCACAGTCAGTGCCACGTCGAGAATGCGCGGCGCGTGCGACCACAGGCATCATGAGCAACCTGATTTCTCTACAAGATCATCGAAGAAGCGTTGATCCGGATCGAGCCTCTCGGATGCTGGCATAGTGCGTAAGTAAGTTGTACGCCGTAAGGGTCGATTGAAATGGGTAGCACAAGGCCAAAAGGTGCGGCGCGGCTTTCTAATAATAATAAGCGCTCACACTGCTGAGTCGTGCGTCTGCTGACGCGTCGCGTTTTTCAATGAGGTACCTTGCCGGAGATCAACTTGTTTGCGTTTTAAATGCTGGATGTGTAACGATGAATGTTGCACCGTCTCAGTCTTTTCCTTGGATTACTAGTCATGAAGCCAATCATTCCAGCTTTTTTTAAGTTTGTCATACACTCAGATGGTGCAGACCACTTAATGGGCAAAGCCAATCAATCCCCCCTGGGATGTCGTTTTCGTGATCAGGTCATTCACCCAGACCAAAGCGTCTGATCCCCAGCAGCTCATGATCCCCCGCGAGAGCCCGCGAGGGCCTCAGGCGAAACCTAAGCTCAACTAAGCCCTCCCTCTGGGAGGGGCTTACGAGTTATCGGCGCGCTTGGCCCAGTTGCCCTCCGAAATTTCAGGGCCATTTTGGGGTGGTTCTCTGTAACTTGGCAAGTAGGCGCATCCATGCAAAAGTGAAGGATACTATTTTTATTTATGCTCTAAAAATGACATACCCCAAGTGGCGAGAGCTTTCATAAGCTGTGGGTGGAGCTGCAGCGATCCGAAGTCTGCGATTTTGGTCGATCGGGCCTCAGATGGTCCGAGCGCATCGTGTAATTGGCGCTCTCATCATCGGCGAGCCTGCTAATTCGGCTTGATCCCTTTGCGTACGCTTCGCTATTCTCCTCTTTTCACGATCACCGTCGTCCACGTCAAGCGCGACAATATCTAAAACCAAAAATGACCCGAACAAGCAGACGCCATACCTCGTCAACTCGCCAGAACAACCGCCGCGAGGCGGATCTGTTCGCTGAATTTCGTAGCCGCGATCTCGCTATGTCAATACCTATCGTGGTACTTCAGCCCATCCACACGATTTGAAGGGCGTTCAAACACACCGACCAAAGCTGTTCAACAGCAACTGGTCCAGCCTCAAGCGTGTACTTGATCTTATGCTACGACTTGCACCGAGGATGGCGCAGAGTCAAGACGCCGAATCAATGACTGGATCGCCGAGCAGGTGGGCAACACTTCGTACTTCTCGGATTGATTCTCCGGATTCGAAAAAGCTACTGAATACTTGCCTTATCCGCGTGCAGGCCGACTCTAAAGAGATGAAGCGAACCAAGTCCGCCTTCGTCGCTAGCCATGACTTGACTCCTGAAGTCCTCGCATCCGATCACATCGACGCCCGGCTCGATGCAATCGCCGAAGACAACCCATTAATCAGCGGACGGGTTCGTACCTTGCTATCACAATGCGGAGACCCTCCACCGGCCGAGCCAATCAATCGCGACAAGGACCCAACAGCTTCCACTGATGTCGAGATGGAAGAAGCCACCCCGGAGAATGGTTCCGATCCGGGGCAAGAACAAGAGCCTGGTCACGAAAAAAGGCGTATCGAGTTTGTGAGTGTTTCTGACCCTAGCTCGGCTGGGTATCGCAGCGAACTGACACCAAAAATCAACACGCTGGCCGCAGCTTTACCGCAGTGTCATGGGTCAGATCGCATTCGCTTTCAACCGAAGGAACAACGCCATGCAGCATCGCAACGGTCTCATGACTCTCGCATGTGGAGCGAACGAACGATTGACAATGTTTCTGTACGATTGCGGCTTGACGACAACTCGCTGGGCGACTCTCCAGGCAGCTGCGAGCTTGACGAAGGCGAATTCGACGAAACTGAAGGAGATTGGCTCGAACAAGTACTTCCATGTGACCGTTGACAACATCGACGTCACACATCATGTCAACGATCGGCAATTGGATCGACGTACCGAGCTGCTTCATGGAACTTTTGGTTACGCCCACATTCAGAACGGAGATATTGCCGGCGCTTACAACCTTCGAGCCTACTCTGCACATCAAGCGTCTTTACCGCGAGAACCCACCTGGGAACTTCGTGATGAAGCCAATCTGGCCGCAGCTCATCGCCGCGCCTGGGAATCCCGCTTCGGAGGATTGGGCGTGTAGCCAACCTCAGCGGCCTCACGCTTGCCCTCGCGCGCGGCGCCGCAGCGTCTCTTGACCTTAGTCCTTTCATAGTATGTAGTCTTTCTTCGCCTGCGAATTACACCGTTTATGCTTTCCGTTTGGACTCGGAATCAGTAGTGAGGCTCGAGAGCGATCTCGTGCCTTTCACTCTGCGGCGACGTTTTGGGCAACAAGCAACGGACAGGCTATTTCAGCGATATATGAAGAATCATTTCTGTACTTCATATCGTGGTTTTCTACCTCTGATGAAATCATGTATTTGAATATTATCCTCCCGTCATCTCAATGGGTGTCCACTGGTAATAATAAAATAGGCGCGGACCTTTTCTTAATTTCGAATAGGTCAACACTCTTTGGCGCTTGGTGACAGTCTTATTGATGGATGCCATGTGCGCAGGTCAGAACGAACGTTATCAAGGCAGGTACTGTGCCGTGAGCCAAGTCACGGCCTTACCAGCGTGGACTGATCACGTCAGAAAACGGCGGCGGAAGATGAGGAACGAGCGAAGTGATTGAAGCCACGCGCCGCCTTAACAACATCATTCCACTATGATCTTCGAGCTTACGCCGAGTCACCGATGCATAAGTCCCTTCGCAAAGAGGGTGCACATAGATGAGTAGGTCCGAAAGCACTGGCTGCTCGAGTGCGGGACGCTGGGGGGGGGGGGGGGGGAGACAAAAAAAAGGATCGAGGATCGGGGGCTGGGGCGTGGGCTCTTCGAAAAGCCACGGTGCCAAGGTCAAGGTGGAGATCCCTTGAGGTTTGGATATGGTTTAGTCTTGACATGTGACTCGGCCTGAGACGCAAGCTGCGCTACAACGCCCTTCGGGCACTGAAGCGAGCGCCGCAAGAGGGCTCAACGAAGTTGACACGAGTGGACACTACATGTAAAGCCATGCATATCGAAAGGTCCGTGGTGCCGATACTGGTTGAAGTCTACTGCAACACCGCTAGGACGAGCCATTGGTACCAGGACGAGCGAGAGCAGCGGGTCGAAGGTGGTATGGCGAAGCACCCAGAGGCATTCAGTAAAGAAGCGTTCGATCCTGGTAAGACAGCTTGAGGCTGTCTGGGCGCTTGCACGACGACGACAGCTATGGACAGTGGGGATTAAAGTGCGTCGGAAAGGTAGAACGATGCAAGCAGCAGGGCTTGAAGCTGCGCTCGCATTTGGCTTCTTCAGGATAGGACCCGGAAGGACTCGGACCTACCCGGACTGGACCCGGAATTCCGGGACAGCCCGGGACTACCCGGGAAAGCTCTTTTTTTTATTTGATAGACTTCATTAACAGCATAATTATAATAATACCTAGAAATCTTCGGAAAAGTCGGAGGGAATGCTGTTACGCACTCGTCCAAGGTTTTTTTTTTATCTGATAGATTTCAATAACAGTCGTCGAATTTTATTAAGGCCTAGACCAGTGGGAACCCGTTAAATTAACGGGAGGGTGAAATTCAAATAGCAGGAGAATCGAACAGTCTACATGATTTCAACAGAGGCTAAGAAAACACACTACAAAGTACAGCAAAGAAACAGTTCTCCATTCATCGCCCAAACAGCCTGCCCGTTGCTTGTTGCCAAAAACGTCGTCGCAGAGTCGGTTCAACTTGGCTTCAAACACTCGTGCAATGAGATCCGATCGGCGGTCGGTTGCATGCTTGGTCGTTCGGCCCCAGTGCAGCCTTGATTTCCGGCCCCTCGGGGTTGCACGTCACCGTGATGAACAGCGAAGGCTTTCCATATTTGACGACGCACGCCATCGCATCTTGGTAATGCTGCGTGTTCTCGCGCGGTCTATTCTTGAACGTTGAACTTGAAATCACCGAACATCCAATTTGATCCGGGGTCAAGGTGATGATACCTTGGCCCGTGGTGAGGCGGTCAGGCGGAGGTTTTCTTGATGCAACTGGAGGTAAGTTGAGTCGATCGGTCTAGAGTCTCGACGTGGGAGTATCCTTCATCACGAACGCGAGGAAGGCACGTTGGGTGCAATGCGGGATTGAGAAGTAGGCCCTTCCTTCCTGCGCGCGAGGATCATAGCATCCACATGATGTTTCTATTCTTCTCCAAAATATTTCGGAGGTTGAGAACGTCGGTTCTGTTCGAAGTCGATGCGCCAAGGACCAAGCATGCTTGAGTCGTTCACGCGCAGTGGGTTGTAAGGTTTGGCAGCCTCTCGGTAGGTCCAAGCTCAAACCTCGGACCGACGGACCGACTTGCCTGACCTCCCTTTCATTTTCCTGCCTTTGACTGACAACCATTGTGCATCCCCTTGTCATCCTTTCCTGTTTTTATCTCATCTGTCTCTATTGTCCTAGGTCACCACAAAGAGCCACGTTGTCTACATCTCTCCCTTTCATTTTGCCAGATCTCCCTAAATAGCGATCCGTAGCTCTCTACTCTCTTTTCCTCTGACACATGAGCTGTTGGTATGCGCAAGCATCTTCGGGGTATCAGTAATCTCTTGGGTCATTCAGTGTTGAGTCTGTGGTTCATCCGTGAGCAAAATCTTGCCGGGTGCTAGTGTCGTTCCGGCGAGGTTCCGGCAGGCCCAGCGCGAGAGCGAGCGAGTGCTCCCGAGTGCCCGAGTAGACGAGGCCCCACACTACCTTCTTACGGGCGGTCCAGCCGCGGCGGGGCAAGACAAGACACGGTCGGCATGACGTACATCATGATCATCGCTCAAATCGCAGTTGTTACTCTTGCCATCCTTGAGGCTGTTGCCGCTCCTCGTCGAGCGTCGACTGATTGCAGGTGTTCCACTCTCGAGGAACACGATCCCTCCTCGCACGGGACCGAACTGTTGAATGTGCTCGGGGTCCTCTTCGGCATGGGCATGTGATGAAGCGACTGGGGTGGAAGTTGACCCTGCTGTCTGAGGTCCCGCCATCGTTGACCGGTGTGGACACTGCAGAGGCAGGCAGAGGCGGTCGTCGCGGGTGCGCTAATGTGTTCGTAAGCTGAGATGAGATTAAGCCAGATTAAGCCGAACCCCGCAGAACCCCGCCAGTGCCTGCCGCCTTCTATTTCCGAAGCTCATCCTTCACTGGACCCCCACTTTTGACTCACACTTGACAATCAACTGGTTTTGGGACTGTCTATTTGTCAAGCAACATCGAGAGTACTACCGAGGAGCCTGCCTTTACTTACGCTGCCGCTGAGTAATCTGGGCTCCTTACTGTATGGTTCGGCAGCCACTCGGTAGGTCCAAGCTTAAACCTCGGACCGACGGACCGACTTGCCTCCCTTTCATTTTCCTGCCTTTGACTGACAACCATTGTGCATCCCCTTGTCATCTTTTCCTATCTTATTTCTCCCTATTGTCTTAGTTCCCCACAAAGAACCACATTGTCCACCTAGCTCCCTTTCACACCTCCAAATTCCTTAAATAGCGATTGGTAGCTCTCTTCTCTCTTTTACTCTCTTCTCATCCTTCACTGGACCCCCCACTCCTGATTCAACTTGACAATCGACTGGTTTTGGGACTGTCATTTCGTCAAGCGACATCGAGAGTATCACCGAGGAACTCGCCTTTACTCACACCCCTGCTGAGTAATCTGGGCTCCTTACACTTAGTGCGTGTTCGGCTGCACTTTTAAGCACTTTTAAGCCCACTTTTAGGGAAATCCTCAGCCATTCTGAAAGCCTTCCTAAAAGTGCTTAAAAGTGCCTAAAAGTGCCGTGTACGGTTGCGTTGCTAAAAGTCCCTAAAAGTGACTTTTAGGGACCATTCCTTAAAAGTGGTCCGAGGGCACTTTTAGCACTTTTAGGGACGCACTCCGAGCTTCGACCCGCTTAAGGCTGGGGCGCGCCTGGGACGCGCTCGGACCGCTCAAGTTGGCCTCGGTTGCAGCATTGGGTCACGGGCGCGTCGGTTGGCCTTCGTCGCGTCACGTCGTGCGCTGTCGACCATGGCCAAGAAATCCGCCCTATCACACTCAGCAAGCGACGACGACAGCGAGAACCACACCGAGCACTCCGCTCATTTGAACACTCTGCGCAAAAAGAACAAGAGCAAGAGCAAGAGCAAGTCGAGAGGGACGCGAGCGGAGAACTGGTCCGTTGCGCAGACCACATTTTTTTGGCCCACCTCTATGGCAACAACATGCTGTTCCCCAAGCTTCCTCTGAAGTTTCCAGTCTGGAACATCATTTTCGCTGCGATGGTGAAGCAACACCCCGAGCGCAAAGAGAACTGTAGCCGAGACCAAGTGAAAGCTCTCTGGTTCAAGGTGAGCCGTGTGGCGACGTGAGGAGACGCGTCGCCAGTGACCGCATCCGTCCGTCATGTACTTCAACTAACCCTGTCGTTCCTGGTTTTGTAGAAAAGACACAGAAAATGACGAGACGTTTCAATAGATTGCATCTCATGGGCGGTGGTTGGGACCACGTGCTCCATCGACCGGCATACTCGGACGAACGATGGGCTGCCGTGGGTCCGAATGGCCCTGACCCTGCCCCAGCTCCCGTCAATTCGGACGCACTGATAAACGCGTGTACGAATGATGTACTTCATCAGCTCGAGGAAAGGACCCGGAGTGGAGTCAGGTGCACTCAGGCTCGTTTCCGTGGTACTGGGACGCGACAAAGATCATTGGTATCAGCTACGCTCGCGGCACCGACATCACCGACATCAACGCGCTATTCAACTCCGGGAAGAAGACCGCTTCTTCATCAAAGAAACGAGCGCACTCGCCACAATCTGAGCAGTCTGGAGCAGACCTACGCCAAGACGCGGAAAGCGAGGGCGAAGACTCACCAGGTCCTTCGCTCGCCCGACTGGGCGTGCAGGACATGTCGCGTCCCTTCTGGTCACCCTCGCCTGCTGCTGGCGCGCAGGCTCGTGTGCACGTGAGTACCTATTGTCAGGAGCTCTCCCCACGTCGCAACCCGGGAATAAACATCAAGTATGTGTCCTGTGATGTTCTGCGCCACTGATCCGTTCGCATTATGCCCCGTAGACAAAGACCGCCTTCGCTTCGCTGCTGAATCCGCTCGACCCGTGCCAGTCTTCGGAATCGGCTACGAGCAGCAGCAACGGTTGGAGCAAGGCAAAGCGCGAGAGCCGTGGAAACAGCGAGCGATTTACCTACTTTCAAGACGATCCAATGCTCAAAGACGCCGTAGCCAATCTCGCCGGCCTTCAGAACGCCACCACATCACAGAGGCTGACCCACTTCTCGAAACTAGTGGGCGCACTCAGCCTAGAAGCAGACGATGTTCACCTGCTAGCCGATCATGCTCTTCTCACGCCGACTCCGCAAGACATCCAGACGGTGCTACTCCTGGCTGCCGCGGGAGTATTGATTGATCTCCGCGGCAGGCAAATGCTCAATCGCCTCTCATTTCAACCGGTATCGTCGAGCAACGCGCTGCCGAGCCACGAGGCGCCGCAGTTCCCACTTCCCCCGATTCGCTTCCAACCCGGAATCAACCGTACATATTCTTCCTCGACGTCTATGCCCGGCGCGGCCCCTCTTTACGGCAACTGGTCCACTACCTACTCTGGCAGTCCCGCAAGCGGCGGTCAATGTTCTGAGAGATCCGACGGATGCCTGCCCTCGCCTTTTGGTCTATCGGGTTAATCATGCTGCATCAACCGTGGCAAGCTCAACATCCACTTCACTTGCTCTATCAGATGTATTTTGAATGTTCAATTCGTAGTGGTCATTGTTGCAATACACTCTGAATGTGAGGAACAAGCCGAATCAATTCCCTCTGTCCATAGCAAGTAGAGCTCCCTGAGTTCCGCTCTCCGTGACGATCGCTCATCTGGCGCGTGTGCAGCCAGTCGGCGGGCCTCCGCTTTGTAAGTTTGGTAATCCGCTCGGTGATGTTGTTGAAGAGTCCATAACGAAGATTAGGCCGGTTCGGACCGAAATTTGCCGAGGCAAGGGCGGGTTTCGTCTTTCTTTGGCCGTTTCGTCGAGGAGACGGCGTTGCAGACGCCATTCAGTATACTTCTGCAGTGTGTACGCTGCCGATTCGACGGCAGAGTCTATCTGCTCGTCGGATAGCGACTGGAGGGGTGTATCCATGACTTTGAGATGTTCTCATGCAGGGATGCGCATTACAGAAGCAAGACACGCGTCTCCTTGTGCAGGGTGTTGCGCTTCGAATTACAACCCATGCCAGGTTCAAACACGTGACCTGAACTCGTCCGGTGAGCTCTCGCCCGTCAGATCGTTCCCGGCCTCCGCATCTTAAAAGTGCTTCCTAAAAAGTGAGGTGTTCGGCTGCTAAAAGTGGTCCTTAACCGCGGCGCGCGCCGCTTTCAGCTAAAAGTGAAAAGGTCCTAAAAGTGCTTTTCCAGCCGAACACGCCCTTACACGGCGTAAGTAAAGGCGGGTTCCTCGGTAGCGCTCTCGATGTTGCTTGACGAATAGACAGTCCCAAAACCAGTTGATTGTCAAGTGTGAGTCAAAAGTGGGGGTCCAGTGAAGGATGAGCTTCGGAAATAGAAGGCGGCAGGCACTGGCGGGGTTCTGCGGGGTTCGGCTTAATCTGGCTTAATCTCATCTCAGCTTACGAACACATTAGCGCACCCGCGACGACCGCCTCTGCCTGCCTCTGCAGTGTCCACACCGGTCAACGATGGCGGGACCTCAGACAGCAGGGTCAACTTCCACCCCAGTCGCTTCATCACATGCCCATGCCGAAGAGGACCCCGAGCACATTCAACAGTTCGGTCCCGTGCGAGGAGGGATCGTGTTCCTCGAGAGTGGAACACCTGCAATCAGTCGACGCTCGACGAGGAGCGGCAACAGCCTCAAGGATGGCAAGAGTAACAACTGCGATTTGAGCGATGATCATGATGTACGTCATGCCGACCGTGTCTTGTCTTGCCCCGCCGCGGCTGGACCGCCCGTAAGAAGGTAGTGTGGGGCCTCGTCTACTCGGGCACTCGGGAGCACTCGCTCGCTCTCGCGCTGGGCCTGCCGGAACCTCGCCGGAACGACACTAGCACCCGGCAAGATTTTGCTCACGGATGAACCACAGACTCAACACTGAATGACCCAAGAGATTACTGATACCCCGAAGATGCTTGCGCATACCAACAGCTCATGTGTCAGAGGAAAAGAGAGTAGAGAGCTACGGATCGCTATTTAGGGAGATCTGGCAAAATGAAAGGGAGAGATGTAGACAACGTGGCTCTTTGTGGTGACCTAGGACAATAGAGACAGATGAGATAAAAACAGGAAAGGATGACAAGGGGATGCACAATGGTTGTCAGTCAAAGGCAGGAAAATGAAAGGGAGGTCAGGCAAGTCGGTCCGTCGGTCCGAGGTTTGAGCTTGGACCTACCGAGAGGCTGCCGAACCTTACAGGGCAGTTCTTTTCATTTCATATCTCTATGCTTGGCGTCTATTTGATGTTATAGTCTTGTACTTGAAGAGGCCACAATCAAATTGAAACCACTGCTAGCACTTAACCAGTACTTAACTCAGGCTGGCCGGCCAGACCCTGCCACCACCCTGCCAGATCAGTGCCGAGACCATCCGAGACCCGTGCCGGCGTGACGGAGGACCCGTTGTCCCGCAGTGCCCCGCGCTTTCCTGGCTGACTATATTAGGGCCGACGTTGGCGGACGCGTCTGCAGCGTGCACGACCCGTTATCATCTGCGCAACGTGCTGGTCTGGTGCCAACCTCAAGCCACAATTGTAGTGACGCACATGCACGTCGCTCTTCCGAAGCTGGTCCCATCATCATGATTGGCTAGAGGAGGACACTGACAGCCTCCACAATGCTCTTCACAGGTCGACCCAACTTCACGACCGACCGAATGGTATCTCGTTCTTGCTACTGATCAGCCGGCAAGGACGGGTGCGCCTGGCCAAATGGTACACAACGATGTCGACTAGGAACAAGAGTGCGTCATTGCATCCCCATGCATAGCATAGCGTCATTGCCTCGCGTGCATGGCAATGTGACTGCCTGGCAGACAAGCTGGCCAGCGAGAAGAAGAACCCACGTGGAACTCCCATCCTCCTGCTGATCGGCAAGGTCGGCCGAGAACAGACGTACCGTCTCTGACCATGCTCTGGATATACAGATAAGATCATTAAAGACGTGACACAACTTGTCCTTGCCCGGCGGACACGGATGTGCAACTTCCTCGAGTACAAAGGTGCGTGGACATCGACGAAAGCCTCGAAGAGGCCAGGTCGGGGCTAGGAGGTCGGCGAGCACAGAGCGACGGCTGATCCGTCTTCCTTGTCACACAGATTCCAAAGTGGTTTACCGAAGATATGCAAGTCTATTCTTCGTCACTGGTATCGGCCACAGCGACAACGAGCTTATAACACTTGAGATCATTCATCGGTAAATGGCTTCCCAACCTCGCTAAGCCTCAGTTGCCAGTGCACTGAACATGTGCCTGCTCTTCTATCAGCTATGTCGAGGTCTTGGATCGCTACTTTGGCAATGTATGCGAGCTGGACTTGTGAGTCCGTTGCTCAGCCATTCGGCGTCTCTAGCCAACCCTGTCCGTCATCTGCGCAAAGCTTAACAGTCTGCCCGTCATTGCTCCAGAATCTTCAATTTCCAAAAAGCGTACTCGGTAACTCTCATCTTCTAAGTGGAACAGCCCAGTTCGAGCTGAAACTGACGGTTTGCTTCGAGCTCGACGGCTTTCGTAACAGATTCTTGATGAATTGATCATAGCGGGCGAGATGCAAGAGTCGAGCAAAAAGTCGGTTTTGCGTGCGGTCAGTCAGAGCAGATGGCGTGGTCCAATGTCACAAAACCAAGATAAGCTGACGTGGTTTTGATTGTTTCTTGCAGGTCGGTCAGAGCGATTCAATCGAGGAAGCCGAAACAAGCGAAGATTCACTGGCACGACTTTCGTCCGGACACGCTAGGGGTTAACAGCAGCAATAATTCTTGACAGTATTATTTCTATAATCTGTGTGTTCTCCGATGTCAATGCAGCTCCAGGCATCTCATGACCCTACGTCTGATCAACCCTCCGCCTACGCCGACGTGGACCTTCGATTCTTACTGCGATTTCTTGATTGTCTTCCTCGGGACGGCAGTAGCGGACCTGTCAATCAATTGTCGCCCATCGTCGCTTGCTTCTCCGTCCTCGCGTGTGTCGACTGCGGGAATACCCGCGATCATTCTCCAGAGAATTCTGCCGCGGAACATTTATCTTTATCAGCGGAGGCGACGGCACGACGGACGGTTTAGTGTCGTCTCACCTCCAAATCAAGAAGGACCAGAATGTGTTGACGAGCTGCAAAGCCATGATGGGAGCGAATATTTGATATCTGTGCGTATGTTCGGACGAAGGTTGTGTCGAACGGTGTCAGCTCTCCTCGGTGAGCGCGCGTGAGATACGTTGGAGGAAGCAGTTGCAATTACTTCAACCAAGGAGGCAAGACCAGAGTCTGCCGGCCGTAGAGCAGCCACCAGCCGCTGGGATGGTCTGCCGCGGCAGTCCAGCTTCGGTATTCATGCGGTATCAAATCGAACTCATTCCAAACGGAAAAGAGTATGCGTATGTTGAGATAATGCCGCATATAGCTGATCAGAATGTCGAAAAAGGAGCAGAGGCACGTCAACAAATGCTGGGTCGCATGCTTGCTGGCTTGCTGAGAGCGCATCATAAGAGGGGATTCGAAGACTTACTTCCAAACGCATAGAAACAACACGAAGCTGCATTCTGATGTTCGCTGAAGATTGAGATAGTTGAGACACTTGGACAGCTGCCCGTGTTATTTCAGATGCTTCCGCGTCAGTGCTTTGGACTCGAGTCTCAGTTCCTTCAGCACATACCGCAAGACAGATATCCGGCAAATCCATGGAGACGAAGATAGCTGTCCCGATCATGGTGAGGTTGAGGAAGTCTGCATGTGACGCCCTCGAGACGGATAAGCGGTTCGAAGTGTGTCGGAAGGCAGGAAGACAAGGCTCACAGCTCCAACCCACAAGCCAAAGTGTAACCACATGGTGTATCACAAGCTCCTTGAAGTCCGATCGAGGCTTCTCGAGGCTGTAAAGTAATGCAGGGTCGATCAGATTCATGCAGAAACAAGGGTGCTTTGCGCACTCACCCAAGGATCAAGACAAGCATTTGTTGACACCAATAAGCCCTGGATTGGAAGTGAGAAACAGTCGGCAAAAACCGCTTTTCGGTACTGAAAGAAATGAGAGCTCATAGTGACTTACAGCTGCAACAAGTAATAACTCTTGAGCCGGCCTTCCATCCGCCTGACCAGACAGGATGCCACATCAAGCCATCAATGATTGACCCACCGGTACAAAAGCATGCGAGAGTCGTTGTGGGCCTACCAGTGAGGATACTCAAGCCAAAGGTGCTTCGTGTTGTACCACCACGACTTCTGATGTGACATGACCCACTGGGACGAGGAAAGAGATTTGTTAGTTGCAAATCTAATCGCAGATCGGATCTGTCCATTGATCGAGAGCTTCGTACTCGGGCCACGCCAAGTCTCGGTTCTGGGCAACAGCACAAATTTGAGATAATGAATGCCCGGACGTACCAAACCGAATGACCCGGACGCAGAAAAGTAGACAATCGCATAGGCTTGCTCCATGAATCTTTGAAGCTTCGCTTCCGAGCTGAGCCCGAGGCGGCGGGCGATGGGCCGTACGATGAACCTGGTCGTCGCCTCACGCATAAAGGACAACACTACAATGTAGAAGAGTACAAATGCGAGATCGAGAGGACCTTTGTCGAATCGCGGCGTGTTTTCATTCAATGCGGGTACGAGCGGATACGAGATGAAGAGAAGTGGCGACAAGGGGTTGATGAGCTTGGCCGGTCGAGTGTATTCGATCGCAGCCCAAGCTCCAGATATCAGAGCAATGAGCTTGACGCTCTCCGTGGGCTGTACGAGCCATCGTATGAATGGCGATGCGACGGCGGAGGCCGGCTGTTGGGCTCCCGTCGGCCCATTGCGGCGCTCAGTGCTATAGGACGTCGGCTCAAGCTGTCGCAAAGCTTCCTTGACCGAATTGGACCGCTTCCGCGCCATCAATCACCCAGTGGCGGTCGTTTGTTCGCCGTGGTGCGGGAAGTTGGTCGAGTGACGACCTTCAAGTTGACGACCGCGCCGCAACGCTCAAGTGGCTCGAGAGGTAACAAGCTCAGACAGGCTCAGACAGGCTCAGACAGGCTCAGACAAGCTCAGGGCGCTGCCTAGCGAGGTCTAGCGACGGCACAGTACGGCACTGCGACGGCTAGCGACGCCCTAGCTCGGCCTCGCGAGGCCGAGCGAGGCCTAGCGCAGCCCTGCGCAGCCCGTCGGTTCGCCGACGTAGTCCGTCCTAACGCTCTCAGTACGCTCTCCTGCCACTGCGCTTGCTCAGGCTTGCTAGCGCTTACTCCCACCTGCGCCGGCCTGCACCAGCCGCGCGCCCACTAACATGAAAGACTACGACCTTTTGGTAGTGACGACGGATAACCCGTTGAGTGGAATTTCTCAAATCGCTGCGGTGATACGGCTACAGTTCTTTTGAATCGATTCACGTAAAATGGGTCGAATCGAAACTAATGTGTCGGGGGTTTGCTTATTTTTGCTCCGGCGCCGGCTCATGCAGCCATCTATCTACCTACGGTAGCTGGCGGCTAAAGTCCCATTCAAAAGGGATTGCGTCTATCAGATAATAAAGAGGGATGAATGGCACTGGACAGCACGGGCAAAGCCTATCGTTAAGTTTGCCCTTTGATTTCTTCATCAACAGTGGCCTGGCGCTGCCTTCTCTGACTGCGTTGCAGGTGGGACGGTGCAGCAAGATTCGAACGTTTGTCCAAGATGAGAGGTCAACTTGTCTATGTTGCAGCGATTAGACAGCACCCGCAGGTAAAGGCGCACTTCTATGACCTTCCCGCATTGCTGAAAGCCCTCTCCCGCAGTGTTGATGGTGACTTGGTCCCCACAGCCGGTGAAGTGACGAGCAGTGTCGGTTTTGACTTGTCATCCAGCATCCTCCCAAAAAGCGAATCGAGGGTTCGGAACCCGTAATCCGAACAAACTGCATGATCGCGCGAAATGGTCAGCTGGAGTTAAATGAAGCACACAACAAGTCAGTCCAGATTTACCGAGTATGCCACCCACAATGCCGGCCAAGCGAACAAGGAATTGTAAAAGCGTTGTTGTACGCTCTCGAATAGTGAGCGACATTGGCTCGATATCGTACTTGAAGAAAATGCCTGCCCGAGAAGCACGCAGCGACGTTAAAAATGCGATGACAGGGAGAAACGCAATGACCAGAACCGGACTTCGCGTACCGGGCACACCACGGCCGTGCTCAGTCTCCCGGCTCATGTCGGTGACCGAATACTGGTTTGTATCGAGTATGCGCCGGCCTGCGTCAATGTAGGTCGTCGACACCACACTTAAAAAATACTGGAAGATGTGGAACGCTGTAGCTCTTTGAGATCAGCATACGTTAAGGCAAAAATCAAAAATCAAAAAATTGCTGCCGCGAAAGAGCTCACGAGCATTGGTGGTTTCCCTGCCAATTCATAGGAAAGAGCGAAAAGTGCTGAATGCGTTAGAATGGGCCCGAGAGTACAATCGAATCGTGAAGGACTTACACGGAATTGTCGAGTGGTTGAGCGATTTGTGGGAAGAACGGCCCGAAGCTGAACTCATGGATCACATGGCTCAAATTCATCACTGCGAAGAGCCGACCAAGTTTGAGCGCCTGTGGAGGCTTTATCTCTGTCGCTTACAAACCACATCGAACGTACATGCGTGATCGGTATGCTCCCAGCTCAGGTAGCCATGGCCCAAGGTAGTCTATGGGGCTCACAACACACCAGCTTGATCAATCATCTGAGACGCCAAGTCAACCACAGTCTCATGTTGCCTCACAATGTGCAGGTTCCCCGTCACCTTTTTCACGGTCACGTGGCCCCATATCTGGAACGGAGAAAGCAACCTTACGGGTCAGAGCCGCGTCAATATGTTCGGAGTCGCGCCAAGCTACTGACACGACAGGCCGGTCCGTCCTCGACAATGTGCTGTGTCTTCGCAAAAACTATGCGCAGAGTGCCGTCAGTCAGTGGCACACGCGAATGCCCTATGTCAACGCGACTCATGTTGGCCTGCATCACCTACCCCTACGCCCTCGCGAGCTGCTGACCATCCGAGAGGCCGTCATCCCGACTTCCTCATGCAAGTTTTGAAGTCGCTGCGCTTGCCCGATCTCGAAGGTCGTCTGATAGAAGAAAAATTGCGTCGCATTGAGCTGATCTTGTTTGGCTACCGAACTCCGGTTGCCTGGGGTTGTAGTGTATGCCGACCCACCCCATCCTTCTTGAACTCGTCGCTGACATGGAGCCGGTCACCAACCGCATCCCGAATGTCCACGGTCAAATCTGAGCACCAACGATTCGACACGATTGCCAGCATCAGAAAAGCATCATCCATCGGCGTCGCTGACTAAGTGTGCGAACGGCACGCGCCGCCAGCGAGTTGAACAACGTACAATGGCAAGGGGTAGCGACGGTCGCGTCGAAGTTGACCTGCAACTCGTGACCTATTCCTCGGGCAACAGAAAACTGGTAACCGGGTTCGCCGTAGATGTACTCGCGTAGCTCAGTCCACACGAGTGCGGCGATGAAGAGGGCAAGCAGGACGGTCAGCACGCCGCCACGAGCGGTCTGCTCTTTGTACGTCGCGTTCGTCTACGTCCATGCCGAGCGTGTTTCCCCCCAATCCCGCGAGGAGCGAGCCCGAAACCAGACCACAAACACAGACGACATCAGTCAATCGCTCGGGACAAGTGGCTGTAGCGGCGTCCTTCCCGCACCCACCTTCTTGAAGGCGTCAAACGCGTTGAGAGGAGGTGGAGTGGCGAGTACCGAGTTGAAGTATCCGCGCGACTCGGGTGCGGCGACAATGTCAGACGCCTGAGTCGAGCTTGAGAGCACGGCCGAGTGCTCGGGCAACGCGGCTGCCATGTTACCGACAGCAGTACTCCGTGAAGTGATGAGAGGCTTGTCAAGGCGCGGTCCGGGTGAAGTGACACGTGACGCGTGACGCGCAGCCTCACGCGCAACCTCGCTCAACCCTCAAAAGTCCCTCAAATATGGGCCGCCTTTTGTCGTTTTATTCGATTTGAACACACGCGCGCGAGATTCGCTGATCATGACACGCGCGCGGCTGCTTGATGATGTGCACGCCGATTTGACGACACACACGCGCGAACTTGAACACACGCACGCGGATTTGAACACGCACGCCCGTGCTTCGCCTTCACCGTCCTCATTCTCATCCGACAACGCTGTATGAGACTATCCGACTTCGGGCTCATCAACCATAGATGGCACAAGAACGATCGCCACAACAAGTATGCCGGCTGCGACGCCATTATCAGGTGTGCTGGTGCTCAGTGAGCTCGTACGACGCCGTTGCTGCTGCCGACGCAAGCATCCCGGATTTCCACTCGTTCAAGCTGCAAATATCCGTATGAGACTGTGAGTGGCAGGTCACAACTACAACCCCGCCCATTCAATCATTACTGGTCATTCATCGTGCTATGTCTCGAGCAACCGTGTGGCTCTTCCCCAGATACACAATGACGCTGCGATGCATCTCGAGCGATGAGTACTGCTGAGATTGCGCGCTCTAGGGTCTTTAACGCCTAGACTTGCTACTAGACATGCTACTGTTTTGGTTCGTACATGCGGCATTACATTTGCTGCACCTGCTGCCAGCTTAGGAAGTCACGGTCCACCCGCGCATCCGCGCACCCGTATACACACCCCGGTGCACACGCCCTCCCACGCCGGCGTATTTCGTTTAGGAGAGCCGCTCGGGCTACCACTGTGGTACTGTTTGAGGTACGTTATTTCATTACACCTGGGAGGATTCACTGATTGGGAATTACACGGAGAGCACGGGAGCAGTTTCCATTTGGAAGGCTTTATTTGTGGCTGCACAAGATAGACTAGTACTAGAAAATTTCTAAAGTTAGTAGACAGTCTACGCCACGTTAGTCCCGCTGAGCTTGATCTCGTGCGGCAGTCATCAACTTCGTGCGTCAATCATCAACTTGGTGCGACATATGAGACGCACGGCGTGCCTCAAATGGGGTCTCGCGCGAGTGTGATGTGATTGCGTGGGGTGTAAACCCGGGGCTCAGGAGCGTCAGAGCGCGGGGAGAGGGTGGTGAATAGGGCTGGGTCACTAATTGTTTTGGCCCCGTCACTAATAGGTGACAAAAGTCGGACCCTCGGTCACTTATTATTGTCACTGTCACTTATGTCACCAGATTTTCGCCTGTCACTAATGTCACTAAGTCCAATATTTGGTCACTAATGTCACTAAGTCCAATATTGGTCACTAATGTAACTGAATGGAAACGATGTACATTGCACTGTCGGAGGCAAGCTCTAGCACTCAACATAAACAAAGTGTGCCAGAGAGACCATCGTTACATGGTCATGTCGTCATCAGGTGACCAAAGATCCATCGCTTCGTCTTCCGAGTCGTCGTCCAACACCACTGCTGGGAGCGGAAGCGATGTTTGTTCGCTCCTCAGATGCTTGGTCAGGATCTGGAAATCGACCCACTCGAAGATATCCAGCTGGGCCGGAGTCGTGACCCGGCATTTTCGTGTTGGTAAATAGCATTCCAGACTTGTCATTCACATTCCAGGGTCGCCATCAGGTACAAGCAAGTAGACCGGGTCTAGACCGGTACCTAGTACCTATGGGTACTTAGTGACATTAGTGACAACGATTTCTGGGACCCCCTTGTCACTAATCCGTCACTAATTCGTCACTAATGTCACCTATTAGTGACCCAGCCCTAGTGGTGAACTCGGGTCTGGTGCGAGTCATCACAAGTGAGTGCGGGGTTATAAATCCGGGGAAAATATCCTGAAATTCATTTTCGTTTTCTGGCGCGTGCGTTGAAATGTTGGAGGAGAGTTCAAGTCGCTTTCGCGTGTGTTCAGATGTGGTCTGGCGTGCGTCATCATAAGTCTGGGGAGCGTGAGAACCTCGCTCGAGTGCGCCTGAAGTGGGAAAGAGTGTTGTCAAAATGGGTCGGAAACAAGTGAAAAGTGCGAAGGAGTGTATAAATGCTACTTCGTGGGTCAAAGATAGCGCTGACGCGTGTGTTCGATGCGTCGAGGTATGTCACAGAGGGTCTGGCGAGTGTCAGTTATGTCTGGTGTGTGCTGTGAAGTGGTCTCGCGCGCATTGTCATTGCGCCGCGCGTGTTCACTCGGGATAAAACGACAAAAGGCGGCCCATACTCAAAGACCCTCTCAACCGCACGGCGGCGGCCTCGAAGTCTCGAATTCAGGTGGCTATAATCCGCAACGGCGCCATAGCTGAGGGTTGACCATCTGCAAGGCTCGAAGTTCTCCTACTGTATTGATCCTGTGATGCAAGACGTTATAGCATCAACTTGTCAGCCATTGTCAGGGATGACAGGATATTGGGCAATGGGCAGAGTGACCAAGGGTCGGCTCCGCATTAGATCTGATCTGATCTGATCTGGCGGTGATCTGATCTAATGCGGACCCTTGAGAGTGACCACTGCAGTGACCACCGGGCCACCGGCGACCATGCATGATGCGTGAAGGGCCAGGCCGAAGCGCACGAGTCGCGAGTCCATGATTTAATCCTCTTGTGACCAAATATCATGTTCTGGATATAATGTCATCCCTGGCAATTGCTGACAAGTGGATCTTTCAATATATTGCATCCCATAAGCAATACATTAGGACAAGGTGAAGCTTTGCAGACGGCGGTCACCGCTGCCGATTACAGCCACATGCCACTGCACATGATGGACTCTGTGCGGTTGAGCCCGTAGCCACGTCAGCATCGCGCGGAGCTTGAGCATCCAATTGCAATTGCTTCCCGGACGAATTCCGAGTTCGTGAAATTAGAGTTGAGTGCCACCGCAGATTTCAAGTACCTAGTAGGAGGTAGTAGATAGACCTGACCACTAGGTACATATGAAGGATGAAGTCGGGTATGGAGCGTGATGCAGTGCGAGGTGTGGAGTTTTCTCGCTACGAGGTTCAAGACTTGGCCTGGTACGTATTACGTACTGCCTTGGAAATCTTTCCGCCGGAGAGAGTGACACTCAGGCTGCAGGCTGAGGAGCATCACGAATTCGCACAGCTGCGACAGGCTGCGACTCAAGCACGGGCCGACGCGCGTCATCGACTCTTCCCGGCCACTCACCTTTGATTCCGGTCCATTTCCTACAAGGAGCTCATCGTCCGCGCTGTGGTAGTGCCAACAACAACCAATTGTGCTTGAGAGCTTACCGGCCCATTTACATCTGCCAAAGCATTGGTCATGGTGGCCGAACAGAGGGGACGTCCCGGTCGCATCGAACGGCAACGATCGTGCTCCTCCGAAGCAGCGTTCGAGCAACAGCAGCGCTCGTCGGGAAGTCAGCTCATCGTCGTAGCGAACCGGTAAGCGAACTGAGCGTCCTTGGCTTCGAGGGGGCTTCTCACTGGCCTCTGTTGTGCTGACTTCACGTGCAATTCTAACTACCTCTTTCGGTACTCGTCAACCGCCGCGCGTTGCCGCGGGCGTTGCTGCAATTCCGTCAACGCTCTCCACTCAAATCGGAACATCCGCCCTCGCCTCCTCGATTGTGGATCAAGACTGCCGGTCTCTGTGATTGCCGACCCGACTGCTGAGGGCGGTTACCGCTTTGTCCCGTCCAGTGGGGGGCTCGCCTCGGCGTTATCGGGGTGCAAGAAACGCATGGATTTCGTGGTGAGTCACGGCTCCGAGGACATGGACGAATGGCTCGTCTGCCGTCGGAGCAGCGCCTTCGGCTACTGGATGGAATTCAGGCGCTGCGCCGTCGCAATCCGAAGCATCGAGGGTTTTGACTTGCCACAAGCCTCCACTATTGAGCATGCAAATTCCTGGTGCTGACTCCGCGCTTCTTGCCTGCTTGAAATTTGTGTCATCGCGCATGATCACACAGTGGATCGGCTGGCCAGGTAAGCAAGCGTCCAGCATTGGCCGGGGCACATGCAGCGGTCCTGCAGGACAGGCGTACTAATCCTCGAATTTTCTGGGGTTTCGGGGCACTCCAGGTTTTGATGTTCCTGAAGTCGATCGAGACTTCATCACCAAGAAACTGCAGACCGAATTTTCCTGCAGCCCCGTGTATTTGTCGGCGGAGGTAGCTGAGCGTTACTATAATGGTTTTTCAAACAGCATCCTCTGGCCCCTATTTCACTGTAAGTCTCGCTGCGGAGCCAAACTCTTCACTGGTCGTTGCAGCGTACGAATGCATTTTGATGCGTTCTTACTCCAGATCATCCGGGAGAGATGTCCTTCGACGAAACCGACTGGCTCGCTTACAGGCAAGCAAATTTATTGTTCGCGGAGACTGTGCAAAAGCTCGTGCAGTCCGGCGATATTGTTTGGGTTCAAGGTGAGCTACCTGATGCTCATATACCAGGCAACGAATCTACTGATAATCCGGGATGCCTTCGGCTTCTATCTTGCCTAGACTACCACCTATGTCTCGTCCCGCTCTTTCTGCGCGATCTGCTTGGCCGAAGTCCCGCGTCGATGGGGGAGGACGCGCAAGGAAGCGTTGCTGGCATGTTTCAGGGTCTGACCCTAGGACCACAAGCGGCCTCTCCTAGGCCGGGAAGCGAAGAACCGACCGGAGTGAACGGGACACACAGCCGCACTGTGATCTCGCAAGTACAGATTGGGTTTTTCCTTCACACGCCGTTCCCGAGTTCTGAAGTCTTCCGGTGAGCCTTGCAGGTTTGAGCCAACGTAATGTAGGCCATGAACTGACACTAGAATTCTGGACGTCACATGAGTGTTCTGCCTGTCCGGCGGGAAATTCTCCTTGGAATGCTCAATTGCGATCTCATCGGCTTTCACACCTACGACTACGCTCGACACTTCTTGTCCAGCGTATCTCGGTTACTGGGGCTCAGGTCTTTACCCAACCGTCAGTTTCGCCCTCATTGACCTTTGTGTCTGTAGACGTGGAAGTCTCCCTGACAAACTGAACCACACTGCAGGCGTCGAGTTAGTGGGCCGACATGCCACCGTGGGGACGTTTCCCATCGGCATTGAGCCGAGCACGTTTTTCGATGTATGCCAGATTTGCCTGTGTCGGATATTCCCCTCAACAGCTGACATGGTCTGCCACCCCTGGTCGGCCCCGCAGTGCCTCTCGCGCGATTCGGTTGTGCAACGCATCGCTGCGCTACGCCGCCGTTTCGAGGGCGTCAAGATCATCGTCGGTGTTGATCGCTTGGACTACATCAAAGGCGTTCCGCAAAAACTTCTTGCGATGGAGGAGTTCCTAGATGATCATCCTGAATGGATCGGCAAAGTTGTATTGGTCCAGGTCGCGGTTCCATCCCGTCAAGACGTCGAAGAGTATCAGAACTTGCGTGCCTCGGTCAATGAACTCGTTGGCCGCATCAATGGACGCTTTGGCACAGTCGAATTCATGCCTATACATTTCATGCACCGCAGCATCCCCTTCGAGGAGCTCACAGCTCTGTATGCAGTCAGCGATGCGTGTCTGATCACGTCAACAAGAGACGGAATGAATCTGGTCAGTTGAATTTCCTCAGGCCCATTTGCAGTTTTGAAGTTTGACCTCACGCGGCTCAAACTTCCCAGGTCGCCTACGAATATGTTGCCTGTCAGCAAGAGCGTCACGGAGTGCTTATCTTGTCTGAATTCGCGGGTGCTGCTCACTCGCTCAATGGTTCCCTCATCGTAAACCCTTGGAACACTGGAGAAACCGCCGCAGCGATCAATCGCGCCATGACCATGGACACCGCCACTCGACAGAAGAACCACAGTCAGCTATTCCGATACGTCAGCAAATACACAGCTGCACATTGGGTCAGTGGAGCGCAATGGCAGAAGCTCGTGATGAAGTGCTCTGATGCACAACTCCCACCCATCCCGTCCCCAGGGCACAGAGTTTGTTGCAGAGTGAGTTAGAATGACGCCACGGCGCCTTCCTCTATAAGTTTGTTGTGACTGATAAAATGCTCAATTTGTTCTTCCAGATTAATGGGAATAGCAGAAAAGGCCGACGCAGATTCAGGGTTCAATCCGTCTGGTAAGTGCACGAATGCATGACCGTGAAGTCTCAGTGGGACGGTCAGGAAACACTGAGCAGCTGACCGTAGAAAACAATGTATGTACTCCAGTGCCAGATCACGTTCGCCGTCTCACTCAGACGCAGCTTCAGTGAATGATTACTCGAACTTTTCCAAGAGCCTGTACCCTGTTGGACCAAGCTGAAAGGTGTGAATGAAACGTGCGCAATTTGATCGGGATCAATACAAAAGCGACACGAGTGGGAATCGTCCCCACTTTCCACTCTTATGAGTGCTGGCCAAAGTATTCGTGACTCTCTTCCTCTTGAACGATGGCTTAGCACAAGACTACTACATAGCCAGTAATGGATGCCAAAATTGTAGACCGCTCAGACCAATTCACCAATTCCATTCCAGACCGATCTCAGACCGAATCAGAGCGATTCAGAGAGGGATTTCAGACCATTCTGGTGAACCTCGGCGGGACTCCGCGAACAAGTATTCGAAACGATTATGAAAGCTCAACGGGAGCGTCTGATACCATGCAGCATTACCTACAAGATTCTGGTTCACGCGGTGTCAGACCGTATCAATCTCAGCTCTTCAACACAGAAAGGGCGACTCGAGGGGTCTGACGATTTTGCACAAGTTTCTGCCTACGTACGACACTTACCGAAGCTTCACCATCATCGCGAGGGACCTTGGATCAGAGCTTTCATGAGCACAGGAGGCGAAGTCTCGCCAAAGAACAGGGTTTGCCAGTGCAGCACCTGGTTGCACTCGGTGACGACGATGACTCCGTTTGCCCACATTTTCCGAACACCGTCAACCGCTCCAAGTTTGCCAGCCGGGTCCCTCCCGAGCTACTTGACTGCAATAGCATGCACTTACATTGCAGTTGACATATTACCCTGCACTGTACCATCCTAACACAGTCCTCGTCGTGTACTCGGTAACTCGGAGGAGAGCATGAAATAATCGGGCTGCTGGAGAAGACACTTCCGATTCTGCGTTTTTGAAAATCATTCGAACCGGGCACCCATTTCTTCACTCTTTCTCACAAACTCTGAAGTGAAGACAAAATATCCTTCACAACGTCGGGCAACCGAATCGAATTGGCGACTTTCTCCCCTTTCGCTTTTGCATATGAAGCGGCTACTAAGCTGGAATGAAAGTCAGGGGCCCTGCAGGCAATAACCCGGGGCTGACTCTGCTCAGGCAGTCCTAATGGTGCTATGTGAATACTCATGGAATGTCCAGTCGTCCCGGCACGGACGGATTTACAGGATACTTGCATTCTCTCTATTCCCTAAATTCTGACTTGCCGCGAATACTTGCACACATTGAGAGACGCCGGCGCTGCCAATGATCGATGACTATCGATGATCCTCCTTCAAGTTGATCAGGCAGGACCAGGCTAGACCAGGCTTGAGCTCGCTTGAGCTCGCTTTTCGTGCGGTCCACGGCGCCTCGCACCAGCATTGGCTCTTTCACACCGCGCCGACTACTCGGCCACGCCATCCACATTGTGCGAAACGTTAATTTCAACGCACCAACCCGTGCTCTGATGTAATGGTCAACTCTGCGGGATGCGACCATCTGCTTTCAGCGCTCAAGCGGGGCACTCACTCGTTGGACAAGTATATCCTTGCCATTCGCTGGGGCTCCCAGCTGCTGGATGCCCGTGCAATCACTTCAAAGGCAACAAGTGTGAGCACTCGCAAGCCACAATTGATCGCCTAAGCAGGCCACGTCAGAGTTGCCGATACTTGCCGTTGATACTTCCTCTCGGGCTTTCTAGATCTATCCCTCGTGCTGCTCAGTCTGCTCCGCAACACCGCCTCGGCCATGTTTATGCCTGGACTGCGGAATGCTTTTATGTGGGCCAAACGCTCACAGCAGATCTCATCTTCTCCAACATGCAGAGCAGTTTGACCACGCCCAATGTACGTGGTGTTTGCCCGTCTTCAGCGGGACATGGTGCGCTCCGAATGCGATTGCTCATCTTCGATGTTGCTCTCATTGCGCACGTGCTGGCCACCGTTTTCCGCTCAGTTTGGGATGTGCGTTCGCGCGCCATCTACTGTGTTCGTTGCGACGACTATATATTTCATCCTTCGATCGAGCGTCTCGTCGCAAGTGAGGCCGCGGCAGTGGGAAAGCTAAGTAAGCACGGAGAGCTGGCAGGCCAAGCCGAACCGTTTCTGCATTCCGCAAAGGCCTGGCGTTGCTACTTTTGGCTAACACCGCGCATCGATATGTTTTCCAATGCAATTTTTTCAGTAAACAGGACTGAAGCCACTGGCCATGGGGTCAAAGGGGCTCTGAGCCGTGAGCACAATTTTTACGAAGCGCAGATCAGCACTCCTGATCCGAATACGGCGCTTCCTTTCGCTAGCCCGGGGAATGCGGAATCTTGGCCAAACGTGCTATCTTAGCGTCGTCCTACAAGCGTTCATCCATAATCCGCTCCTGAGAGCCCACTATCTGTCGGATCGACACAACCGGAAGCTCTGCGGGGAATCGGCAAAACATTCGGTCTGCATCGCTTGCGAGATGGATCGTCTCTTCTCTGACGTAAGCTTTTCCCTCTCTTCTTCGTTCCTTTAATCCGGACCTGTGCTTATTGTCACCGCTCATCCGATGTGGTGCGTGGCTCAGTATTGCACAACTTCAGAGTCCCCGTGCGGTCCGACTCATTTTTTGCATGCCATTTGGCAAAGCTCAAGTGATCTATCCGGTTACGCCCAGCAAGATGCACATGAGTGCCTGATTTCAGGTACGCCGACGTGCGCGCCCATGACAACAGCATCTCGGCAATGCTGACAACATGCCTACGGATCTGTCGCTGCAGCTCTCAACCAGCTACACATGTCAAGCCCAGAAAGCTCGCCTTCGACCGACTGCAACTGTGTAGTGCATTCCACGTTCGCTGGCCAATTACGCTCGCAAGTGACATGTGGAAGATGCAGGACAACTACCAGTTCCACAGAACTATTTCTCGATTTGAGCCTCGACCTCCAGATATCCGGTACCACCGCGAGCTTAAACGATTGTCTAGAAAGGTGTGTGCCGCTGACTGAACGCTCCCGGGCGGTGTATTCAGGACTGAGGCGATAGGTCCTGTTCAATTGCAGGTTTACCAGATCCGAGCAGCTGGCTGAGAACGCCTACAAGTGCACGAGATGTGGCGATTCGATGCATGCTGCGAGTAAGCAGCTGAGCATCGATCGGATGCCCCCTGTGCTTTGCATCCAACTCAAGGTCGGCGAGCGAGGCAATTATCTCAACGAGGCAGCCTCAGTGAATTTGCTGACGGCATCTGCCACCTGCACATTTCAGAGGTTCGAACACACGCACAGCTCGCAAAAACTCGACAAGCCAGTGCGATACCCGCTGGTGCTAGATATGCAAGCATTCATGTCGCAGCGGCAGGACACAGCGTTATCACCATTGCATCCTGAGTGAGTGAGAGGCCGAGACTCAAAGTAATACCAAGCTGCTGCTAATGCGGAAGCGTCATAGAATCGGCGCTTCGGGCCCCAAGATCTTGTATCAACTCAACTCGGTTGTCTCTCATGAAGGATCGCTTTCAACTGGGCATTGTTAGCATGTCAGCTCGGATCTGCGCAAACTGTCCCTTTGCTTACAATAACAACAATTTGACAACAGATACGGTGTTGTGTCGAGGTGACGATGATGTGCGTCGCACAATCGATTTTGATGTCGTAGAAGAAACCGGGAGCTTGGCTGATTTATACTGCCTTGACCAAATTGGCCGCAGTTCTGGAACTTCGACGACGAAAGAATTCGGCGGGCGCCGCTGAGTGAGGTCTTGAACGTGCCCAGCGCCTATCTTCTGTTCTACGTTCAAGGCCATTGATCACATAGCACAGCATACCCCAGTTTTATTTCTCTACGCTGTCGTGCTTAGTTGGAAGAAGACATATATTTTCAAAACAGGGATGTCTCCGCGCTCACCTCGAGGAACACTCGCTGCGAGCGCAACAGACAAAGCACGCAGGAATATTATCTTGACTTTCACAGGACAAGGGGCCGATCTTGTATGCCGACATAAACAGTATCAACCGGTTTCAAAATTAAAGAGACACGCATCCGGGTGAGAGGAAGAAAATAATTTGAGGTATTTGAAGCCTGAATCATCGAGGAAAAGGTCCGTGGGCAGTAGTAGCATATGGACGTCCATACAGTGTTACGGGATCTGCCATTTGCCCAATTGCGGGTGGGGAAAGTTCACAGCCTGTCAGATCTGTTCCGCGAAGGTTGATTTCTGGCCTTCTGCGACGTGGTCCGTGTCAGGCTGATGTCAAGGAGGGCCGGGGAAGGAGATGAACCATCAGCTCACACGGCTCAAGACCGATCACTCGAACGTGGCGGAAACGCTTACCTTCGATCCACTGGTCTCGCCTTCACCGTCGGGAGCCCCAGCGGCACTCTTCTTTTCAACGGCGTAGCCGCTAGCATTCGTCTCAATTCCCGAATCGGCGGCAGGAGCCGAGTAGGAAGGCACCTCTTGAGCGCCCGAGACAGGCGCAGCCAGGCGAGGAGCACCACCCTCTGCGTTGGTATGTTCGTGTGCGGCGGCAGCATGCTCATGCTCGTCCTCGTCCTCGTCTTCCTCTTCTTCCTCGGACTCTTCTTCGACCGAGGAGCCCTCCTCAGACTCCTCCTCGGACTCCTCTTCGCAGTAGCCTGCCGACCTGACAGCCGCAGGAACAGGTCCAGAGCGATCGAATGGCTCCGAAGAAGTCAGATAGACCTTGCTGAGCTGCTTGCAGTCGTTCCACCATTCGAGCACTTCGTCGTGACTTCTAGCGCGGAAAGTGAAACTGGCGTCCATCGCAAAAAGACCGTTCTTTTGACCAACGTCACCGCCGAGTGCCTTCTTGCCTTCGATGTGGAACTTGTGAGAGCGAGCGTTGGGGCTCGTGGGTGCGCCAAGCGTGCACTCGGGAAGGAAAAGCGAGAGCTCCGGGTTGGGGTGCTTCTCAAGATCAGACGAAGCATGCTCATGAAGATAGCCAGCCGGAGTGAGAATATAGAATGATTCTGAAGTTTGGGCGCGAAAAGTCAGCGGAGTACGAAGATCGAGTCGACTCCGACAGTGCGAAGCTCTGATATACTCACCCTTGTACGTCTTCGTGTAGCGCTTCTTGCGCTCGAGGATACCTTGGTGGACGGGAATGACACTGGGGTCGTCCTTCCCCGGGTAGTTGATCGTCAACGGGTTCCTCAATGGCGTATCGGGGTCCAAGAGATACTCGGAGCGCGAGGCGAATGCGATCCATTCGGTAGTGGGTGCTACGGAGCGCATGAGTTGCCCCATCGAGGCCCACGTCTCCTGAACTTGCGCGGATGCTCGAGCGTTCCACTCGTCAAAGGTCTGCCACGCCATCTGGATCGCGCGAACGACGCCTTCCTCGAAATGCTCGGAATTTTGTTGCATAATGATGATGCTCTTCTGGAGAGCATTCTCTTCGTGTACTTGCTTCTGCAACTGGCGCTCAACGAGCGAGTTCGTGTACCTGTGCACGTTACACTCTCACTTAAGTCTCATCGCTTTGGGTAAGGAAGCTGTGGTGATAAGGCGCAAGACTCACCAAGGGTCCTCCTTTGCATGAACGCCCATGGGGGTATTCTTGAGCATCGTAATGCTTCGGGCCAGATCCGTGATCATCTTAGTCGAAAGCTCGCGTTCCTTCGCGACAGCAGCGGCGAGCTTGCCGGTGTCTTGTTGGATGTTCTTCACATGGGCCTTGAGCTCGGTGCGTAGCTTCTGCAAATGCTGAACGATCGAGCCCTCGACAGTCTTGGCCAAGTTGGCATGCGAATCGGCAATCGCGCGGGTTTTTTCGCGCTGTGGACGCACACGCACAGATACATAGTGGAGCTTCATCAGCTCGGTGTCGCGAGCCGACTCAATGTGGTGTGCCCGTTTCGACCACTTACGACCCCGTAGAAGATGTCTTGCACGCCACCTTCGCCGAGGAACTGGAAATGAAACGTAGTCAGGCGTGAGTCCGTGCTGCCCAGATGCCAGATGGAGAGACTTATACAGAGAGCATGACCGACCTGGTTGCCCTCACGGAACGGGACCTGGATGACACCGCCGAGCTTGGTCAACTCTTTGGCGGTGTTGCTCTGGCATGGCCGTAGTTGAACGTTTTCGTCAGCAACGTCGAAGGAACCAGCCCAGAAAGCGCAGTTGCAAAATCACCTCGATGTCGGCAATGCCCTCGAAGTAGGCGATGAGGTTCTTCACAAGCCTCTTCCACGCGTTGAAGCGCTCGATCAGGACATCGGAAGGGCGTAATTCGTGACTGGTTCAAGCGGGCGGCGAAATCCCACGAAGAAGAAACAGTTGACACCATAGCAGGTTAGTCAGGGTGATCGGGTCTTCAGAAGCATGCGCTATCACTCACGGTCCTAAAGAAGGGGTGCCAGTGACATCGGTGGGGCAGACGAGTCAGTCCGGCGAAGGGGCGGATGGGCGGAGGGAGGGACGGTCAGGCAGCACGAATCAGCGTGCGAGGCTTTGAGACAGGAGTTGCGTCATAGTCGATATCACCACGGCCTTGCCCAAAGGGGACTGTACAGCCGTCTATCAATATCAGGAGGCCTGCTTGATGCCCCCATACTAGCACGCATGCCGCATGCCGGCGACCCGCCTCCCAAACCCGCTCCCCGGCCTCGCCCCCCGAGGCGGTGGGGGCGTGGCCTGCAGAGGGGTAAGTGAAGCTCGGCCTTGCCTGATGAGACCGATCGGCGAGCATCGAGTCGCTGGTGTGACTGACGTTCAGCTAGCATGTCGAGGGTGGCATTGGATGAAGCCTCGTGTAAAGCGCGCCAGGCGCACAAGGGTGGACGGTCCCCCAGGTCTACCGCCATGTCTACGAGGTGATGATGAGGCGGAGTGGACTAACCGGTATTCTTCTTGATCAGCTGCGAGTTGCGTGAGGCCATCGACGACTTGCGGGACACGCCCGTCGCGACCGAGCGCGGACGCTGCTGCTGTTGCTGCGATTGGCCGTATTCCATCTTGAGTCGATCGGTTTGGATCAAGCTTCAGCGATGCAGTGGGGTGGAGATCTGAGCAAAAGGGGGCTTGGCGTTCGAGGAGGTGGGAGGAGGTCGATGGAAGCAGGGAGCGGGTGGGCGCGCGCGCCTCGTTCGAGCCCACCAGAGCCAGCCCTAGAAGCCAGAGCTAATATATAAAGGGCCAAAGCCTCCCAATTCGATGTGCGTCATAGCTTGCTCGGGGTCATCGCCCCAAAATGGCAGCTCGTTGAGTCGTCTCGCAGGTTGCAAGCCGCCGCATGCGCTTGGAATCATCTAAGTTCACTTCAGTTCATTGTGACCATGCCCCTATTACCCGCTAGCCTTCCCTACAGTGGGTACGATGCGAGCCGATTACCTCGTCTGGTGGGCCGTGCCACGGTGGCACCAACTTGAAGTTGGTAGCTGTTGCCAGCAGCCAAGTGCAGCGGCAACTTATAAGCAGCATTCGATTGATCAATATATTGGTCGGACCACTAGTAGACGATGACTACGGCGTGGGGATTGTTTAGATGAATACTTTCTCAGTACCTAATGTTGCAGACTCCCTCAATTGGCCCTTTGTAAGGGGATGCCTTACAGAACAGCCCCATAAGTAGCCTCTGAGTAGCTAGAACTGTCGAGTTCTAGTTACGACTTGCTTTTAGTCTAGCGGTCAAGACGACAGATTGTAATTTATGCACATCAGAGGCGCATACCTTACACCCTTGCACTTGAAGACCGCAAGAAATGCCATCAGAGTGCAGAGAGGAGGAGAACAAAAAGTCTACGCTATAAATTACAATTCGGAACGAGCGAACGATGAGATCATTTGGGGGCATCCCAGAAAGAGACGACCGGGTTGTATTGGAGATACGGAAACCGACTATACCTACTGCTAAGCGACATCGGAAGGCGGGCAGCAAGCGCTTTCCCGACACGAATCGGTTGCACAGAGCACCGCACACGAGTCGAGCTCCGGATCGACATTGATCAATTTGGGCTTTGCATCAATGATCTCGGGCTGGATGGTTCTGTGTGGCACCATGCCATGTTCGCCGTGATTAGCCTGGCGCAACACAGCTCAACACATGGCGAGGCCAGGTCACCGAGGCATCGAAACCAACTCACGAGCTATGGATCCCGAAACGATGCATTACGCGGCGAATTTTGCTTGAGACTTCGATCATATCATCACTAGCGGTCATGACATGCACCGATGCTACGCTCTTGGATTCGGACAACGACCAAACGTGCAGCTCTGCGGAAATCCGGCAGACGGCGAGCCATTAGCGTGAGGCTGGCACAGTTGTTTTTGCCACAACAGCCACATACCGTGAACATTGGCCACACCCGGTACATTCGCAATCGCCGTGCGTAATCGATCAAGCGGGATGGAGGATGGAACACCTTGCAAGAGGATGAAAGACGCGGATTTGGCTGTGTCGAAAGGCGCACCAGATTTGAGCCTTAACTCCAAAGACACATCCCTTCAATACGCCTGTCCCTTACCTAGAGGCAAAGCGCTCGAGAATATAATGCAGGTGATGACGAGCGAAATGAGTGGATCGCTATACATGCGCCATTCGTAGTCGGTCAACCAGATGAAGAGGCCCGCCCCGATGACACCAACGTTGCCGAGCTGTTACGACACAGCCCAACAACGGAAGAAAGCAAAGTATGTGTTTTAGAACGATCCCAGACCAAAGTATAATCAGTATCCGTTTTTGACTCCGGACCGTAGGGGTCAGGCTCACAGCATCACCTAGTACATGCAGAAAGACGCCGCGCATGTTCATGGATCCATCCTGACCAGACGCGGCAACGTCAGCGTCATGGGATTGCCCGTGGCCGTGGTCGTGACCAGGTCCCTCCGATTGCGAATCGCGCCTGGCATGAGCTGTGGATTTTGTAGCAACCCCATTGCTCGTAGAAGCCGTTGCTCCATAGCCAGCCTCGTGCGCCGCCTTCACGATGTTGCCACGGAGCTCGCCAGGGTGCACGAAAAGCTCGTCTTCGGCACGGATGTCTTCACCTTCCTCAATATCTTCTTCATTCTCGGGAAGCGTGGATGGACTCGTAGAAGCCAAGTGGGAGCGAGACGCGGATGGGGCAATCGCGAGCAAAGGGGTTCTGTCTGACGGGCGGCCCGATTGGTGATCTTGTGGAGGCGGTCTGTCCGACTCTACGTCTCGAGTTAGTGGTGCATGGTTATGGCCGCCACCATGTGAGTGACCTCCACCGCCTCCGCCGTGGGAGTGGCCGCCGTGGTCTGTCCTCCGTCGAAGACAAAATGTGAACATCAGGTAAGCTGCAGGACCAAGCCTCGAGGTCGAAGGCAAAGTCCGTACCATGAAATAAGAAGAGGCCGACTATATTTGATACAAGGCCCGCAGTTCCAACAGCAACGATCAATTGGGGATTGGTGACATCTGCAGCAGCGTTATTGCGCCGTGTCAGTGCAGCCTTGGGACTCGCCGGCCAGCGGAGCTCAAACGGACCTGCTTGGTTGAGGAATCGTGCGATTGCCTCCATTCCGATCGAAAAGCACAGAGCCAAAAGGAAAACACTGTTGATTAGAGCACCCAGTACCTCGGCACGCTGCCATCCATAACTATATTTTGGCGAGGCCGATGAGCTCTCGGCTAGCTTCATGGCTTGCATGGCGACGAGTAGACTGCACACATCATTGAGCTAAGCTAGGCGCAATGCCTTCAGCATTGGTGACTGTTCCTTGTTTTGAGATTGGCAATGGATGACTGACCCTATAGCGCGACAGGTCCAGCAAAGGCACATCGCACAGCCAAGGGAGTCTACCGTTAACGGAGCGGCGAGCTTGCACTCAGAATCGCTGCAACTTGATCACGACATACATATGAAAGCTGTCCGCAACAAGGGCGAGGCTGCCAACTGCGGTTCCGACACCAAGCTCCAAAATCAAGAAGGCTGTGTCGACTGTGTGGAACGGCCCGGGCGGTGCAAGTCGTCAGCGTCAGCCTCAGTTACCCAGAGCTTGGAAAGCCGGCTCTGCCCGAGTTGGCTCGTTGAGACGAAGGTCTCACTGGCCAAGAGGAGCTTCAACCGGAAGCTACGAGACGAAGACGACGACATGGCGATGTTCTATGAGCGATGCTGGTGTACCGCTCGCTGGTGCGGGTGGAGAACGGACAATCGCTAGGCGGCACGCCCGTTTGTAAGCGCGCCGCTTGTATCTGGGCTAGTCTGGGCTCTGCCAGTCTTTCAAAACACTCTGGATACAAACAGAAAGTTAAGTTGCGAAAAACGAGGGAGAAAGGGAGGGATATAGGAAGCCACTAGTAGAAAGCAATCATGCTTTTTTGATGTTTATTATCAGTCTGGGGCGACTCGTGCTCAGCAGCATCAAATTCAGCATGAATCTCCTGAAGGAGCTTTGTCGGGCGCACCACGTGGAAGGATACTCCAGGAGGAATCCGCTTGCGAAAGAGCTATTCCTACAAGCGCTCCTTTGGTCGTGCGATCCCAACTGTAATGCTTGTTCAAATGGGTATGTTTTGAGAAGGCAACAAGCGGCGAGTCCCGTGACTCCGCCCCCATTGCTTCCCCGAGCACAGAGCAGTGGCATACGCATCAAAACCTGTTGACGTGCTCCAAACCGAACTGAACGAGGAAGCCCAGAAGAATCGCGAGAACGTCTCGGCGACTACCTCTAAACAAAGGATGCACAGACGTCCACCGCTGGGTCCCGAACCCGAACAAGAAGTACCCGGTAAAGTGACATCGCATTTTGCCGCAGCATCCGATCAGTTCGAGACCGAGAACCGTTCTGAATGGAATGATTACTCATCGACGCTCGTTCCCGTCTCTTCTGCTGCCTGGTGTGTTCCGAGAGAGTCTTCGGGCATAACGTACGATGGGTGCCTGAAGACGACATCAAGCGTGAGGAATCAGGGATTTGGAAGGTAACCAACTCTACACTACGGACGGACCTCCGACCCCCGACTTACGAGTTTTCAGCTTGACGGGGCGCACTCATCCATCCCCGACGTCTTCATCGACCGAGCGATCCGATTGATCAGATCGCGTACTCGCCCACGAATAACACGCTTCAGTGCTCACTCTGTCGAGACTGCTTCAAACGCTCGTTCCCTACCACAGGGCCACCGACTAGTACGCCCCCGAGCAACGGATTTTATCGCGCACTGGATCACGTCCCCGCTGATGTCCGAGATTGCCTCTCCAACACGAGTCAGCTTGAGCACCTCGTCACTGTGCGCGCCAGAGCCTACAAGATCATGTACAAGCTAACTCGTTTCGGAGATCGCAAAGCTCAACAAGAATTTAGGCGCGGAAACACCCTCATTTTCAGCCAGAACACCGCTTCGTTCACCGATGTACTGCCCATGTCAGTCGAGGAACTCGCTGACAGTGTTTGCGTTTTATTCTGTGCAGGGAGCCCCAACCTTGCGGAGCTGGACAAGTGTCGACCCATGATCGTGAAGCAGAGTCGGATCCACTGCAAAAGATGCTCAGGTGGTTGATCAACGAAAGCAAGAATTCGGCTTACTCTGCCGTCTCCTTTGATGGCCATCGCACAGCTCGTTCGACGCAGTTCCGGTGCGCTCAACCCGACCTCTACAGCTTCTACGGCGGTTTCAGCTTCGACTTCGACTTCGGCTTCCGTCTGCGTTGCTCCCCAAGTATCGGATCTACAAATCGCCGATGGAAACTGTCTCGTGCCCGACGTAGCTTTGGCGAAGGTGGTGACCGCAGAGACAGTGGAACCAACATCATCGCTCTTTGAAGGCTACACAACAACGCATAACGACTTTGATGAACCAGTATTCGAACACATACATGTGCCGCCACCCCCTACCGACGAACCAATTCACTCATGGCTGCTCTTTGAGAAAGCTCTCCGTTATTTCAACCGAGACAAGCCCACCTTTGTCATTCCGACAGGCGACGCCCCTTTGTGGGAACCTTCGGACGAGCTCGTGTTCTCAAAGCTGTGGCCACACCTCGATCCATTTGGTCTCGTCGGTTTCTGTGTGGAGCCCGACCTCAACATTTCTCTGGACGAGCAAGTCAAACATTTGCTCAATCTATACGACAGCGATTTTCGATGCGACCCGTCTTTCCCAGTCATCGTCTCGAACATGCTCCGCCGACGAGAAGTATTTCGCCAACTCGCTTTTCGGGTCCCCAATGGCTCGAATCGCAGCAGCACAGTTCGAAATCGATATGGATGTTTTTTCTCCGAAATGGTCAAAGAATCCCAAGGACACGAAAAGGTACAAGGCAACAACAGAAGCAAAGAAGCATACCAACCGTATTCTGGCGGAATTGCAAAGTGTCCGAGACAAATTTCACGGCACAACTGCGCAGATGCTCGACATGAGGAGTGGGATCCGCGGATACGTCAACGCGTTCGGTATGTACACCCTCTTCGTCACCATCAACCCAGCAGATTTACACGCACCGTTGATGACGAGGTATCTCACAGCCTTGGGCGCATCAAGGACAAGTTTCTCGACCAAGCAGATACCGTTTGGGCCAACGACAAAAAGTCATCTAATCGTGGATTGCAACGCTCTTCCCACTTTGAAAGATTTGTGGGGGAATACTGACACTCCATGCCATTTGATTCCCATGTCTCTCAGCGGTGGACACATTCACCACACCTAGCCAGGCCGTCTCGCGCCCAAGTCGCTCCCGGAAGTCCCGATCTCTCAACGTCAACTGAAACCACTTCTTATAGCTGACTTCGGTGAACGCGCGATGTGGGTCCCCGGCGCTGACGACCACATGATGCGAACACACTCGTCCAGACGCGGACTGTGACATGGGCGAAGTTGAGTGATCTCAACTTGATGTCGAGTGATCTCAACTTATGCATTTACACCCCGGCTGTGGCTCGATCTCGTCTTGTCTGCAATGCTCATTAACGTTTGGCACACTTACACTCATTCATGTGAACCGAACTGACTCGCGAACTCGGTGCTGCATACCCGATCCATGGCACGTTCTTAGTAATACTAGCTGACGCTGTCAGTCGGTGTTACTCCGTCAGAGGTTCAGGGACCCGTCGCCCCCTCCGGGGGCGCGTTAATTATAATCGCCCAGGCATAAGCGGACAGCCCATGTGCAGGCTCTCGTGGTGCGCGCACGAACCTGCACGAGAGGCTGGCATGACGTGCTGACCGGAAGGTCGACCGGTCACTACTAGTAACCCCAGCGACCAGACCAGTGCGAAGGGTGTGGGGTACTAGGAAGCCTGGGCGTAGACTGTAACACAAAACAGCACCCTCACATGGAAACAATCAGTGTTCAAACTGATCACACACAAAGTACCGATTCCAACCGCGCCGTAACTAAAGAAAAGTGTCTGTTTGTTTGAGAAATTGCCGTCTGACGAATCGGATAGTGCCGGGTTTCACGCTGGTCTAAGCAAAAAGTGCCAGCGTGAACAAGACGCTGAGAATAGATGCGCCCACCCCCAATAGGACTTTGGGGTTCATCGAGACTGCACCGGAAGTGGTGCGGACGGCCGCGGACGAAGTCGCGGCAATGGCCGAAGTCGAGGCTGTGCTGGCAGTCGAGAACACGGTCACAACGGCCAGAGTCGTGCTCGTAGTGGTCGTGGTAGACAAAGCAGCCGTTGTGGTAACTGGAGTTGTGACCACGGCGCCTGACAAAAATGATACAGCACTGTCAGCTAGCGAAAGTATCCGCGCCTGTCCGCGCAAACATAAATCAAAGCCCCTGAACAAATTGCACCGGGCGGATGGCTACGCCACGGACTTGCGAGGAGCTCCGGATCGGAGGACAAGGTGCTCGAACATGAAATCACAACTTACTGGTCGACGAAATAGGGCTAGAGGACGGTGCATATGAGGAACTGGATCCGTTTGATTGGCTCGAGACTCCGGATGCAGATGTGGATCCCTTAGATCCCGAAGCGGACCCCGCAGAGGACCCCGAAGCGGATCCGGATGCTGACGCCGCGGAACTGGCGGCGGGGCTGGCGGAGCTGGGAAGGGCCAATGCGTGATCGACATGATTAAGACACGCATTCAAACGTGAAATGCAAGAGAGCCCGTCGTTGTTTACCTCGCGCGAGTGACTGGCCCGGCATTGCCATTGATCGTGTTTTGAGCTACGCAGTTCGATGAGGCGCCCGCAGCGTGAGCCGGAGGAGCGGGGGTGGATCCATCTCCTTGCTCATAAGTGGTGAAACCACCACCGGAGACAGGGTAGATACCCGGCGGGTAATCAGCTCCATCACCTTCGCAAGTGCTACATAGAATGGACCAGCCTTGTGTCAACAGACGACAGCGTCCTGATTCTACGCGCGTCAGCCCAAGTACAAGACTCACTCAAAGCCACTGCCGTACTGTCCAGGATCGTTCCAGCCGCAGCCTTGAAGGTCGTAGATATGTTGGCACCACAACCAGGCATCGGGCACGGACGGCTTGCACACGCGGATGCAGAACTCAGTGTCACTGATAAATTCGTGCCATTCATACACTTGGGTTCCACCCGAGTAGACGACCCCGCCGACGGGATTTCCTTGACCCGTAGCACCATGAGGGTCCAACTCGCCACCCTGCAATCATCGGTCAACAGGATAATCGTTAAGATGAAGCTCAGGTCCGAAGTAGCCATCGAAGTCAGCTACGGTACCTCGTCGCCTCGTTGTACGTTCTGCAGACAAAGAATTCCGTGTTCAGTGAAGAGTGCGCCATCACTACGACATGAAAGTACCCGTCATTGCTCACAATCTTGGTGAAGTCACCTGTGCCGGTGATCTGGGTGTAATGCGGGGTCTCCAAGAAGTCTGTGGACGAGTATGAAATGTCCTCAGCACATTATTCTTCGGGATCGCAGCCCTTGCTCGGCGTGGCTTGAGCACCGTCAAACTCACGAGCCGATTTAATCGTGCCCTGTTGGCGGAGTGACGTGATAAGAGTGAAGAGAGCATGTCAGTCCCGGTGGTCAGCACGCGGTCGTGTGAAAGCAGATGGGAACGAACCGCCGGCATGCTACGCGTGCCACGGTTTGGCGCTGTGCAATAGGCAACTTCATATGCCTCCGAGTCTCCGATGGTAACGCCGGCCCTCGGAGGAGCAAACAAGCAAAAATCGTTGAGAGAGCTGCACAGAACGTCCGAATTCCGAGATTAGTTATCAACCGGATGGGTATCCTGACGTCCTGACAGCGACTGCGCGGGTGTGGTTTGACAGACTCACTTGACCTGAAGCGTTCTGGACATCGAGCTCTGCGAAGGCACAGCCACGCGTCAGCATCGACCGAGCACTTTGGGCGGTGACTTCTCCCACTACAGGCCGCACTTCGGAGTTGGTCTGGCCTGCGACAAGCGTAGGAGACGCGACGGCCAGAGCTGTGGATTCGATGCCGACGCGAGGCGGTGGTCAGAACGCGAGGTTCACGGGACGGAGCAATGCGGGTAACGGCGCTACGCACCCATCAGGCCCATCATAGGGGTGGAGCGGGCGTTGCGCATCTTTTGCTGAAGCGGCGAGGTGGGGAAAGCGATGGGAAAGAAGGTGTAGGAAAGGAAGGGGAGCAGGGTAGAAGGCCCTGGGGGTTGCTTTTGAAGGGTGGCACGAGGCTCTACGAGGCTCGGAGGCGCGGAAAGTCAACCAACTTCAACAAACCTGATTCGTCGAAACAACACGCGAGACGCGCGCGGCGTCTCGCGGCGTGTCCGGAGTCCGAGGATTCTATTTGATCGGAAATGCCCGGCGCGCGCTGTCGCGAGCTTCAGCGCCCCGTGTGCGCTATTTTTGGACGTCTGCCTAATGAAGTTAAGGAAGGTCGAGGTTTGCAACTGCAGTGGCGGTGGCGGCGGGGAGCTTCGAGCTTAGACCTGAGAAGGCTGTGAATGGGGGAACCGGTAGGAACCGGTTTAAAGCGAGTCAGTACCTACCGCACCGCACACCAATCAGGGTGGCCGTGCATCATGCCCTGCTCCCTATTACTGCCTACCATACGTCTACTGTAGGTAAGTGGTTGTAAGGTGGCGTGCATTGTGCAACAAGTCAAGCCAGACTAGGAATGATCTCGCGTGATTGGGCGGATGATACACCTTGGGCACCTTCCCTCGTCGATCTGGAAGGAATTTTGCCAGCGGTTTGAGGCTTGGGGCGAACGACGCGATCAAACTTGTAAAGCTGTCGTGCAGAAGAAAGTCGGTGACGCGGGTCGCCGCCTACCTAGTATGTATCAGTATCTAGGTGTTTGCTCGAAGTAGATACCTAGGAAGGAGAAGGTGGCCAGGGAAAACTTTCTACCTACCTGCTCCATGGGCAGACACTGCATACTACTAAAGCCTCCAAATCGTGCTCCTGAGAGCACGGTCCAGTGACAACGCGCAGTCCTGAGCAGTCCCGTAGAGCACTGGTGACGGCAGGTTAAGAATTGAGGTGGCCACTTTAGGGTATTTCCAGCGAATTAGGATCATTTCGTGATAGTAAGGCATAGCCGACAAACGTATCGTTCGTGGTGCCGCTCGGCCGGCTCTCCATTTCTGACAGGTCTCCTCTGCAAGCTGATAAGATAATCATCGTCGAGGTAGTTTGAGTACAGTGCATACCACATCACTATACACAAGTAAACGCAGTTGCCGTTGCCGCTTTGCGTCAAGTAGGTACCTGTGCACATCAGCCCGGGCGGGGGCCATCCCCTTCTCAAGGCACCGTATTCGCTGGGTGATCGAGGGATCAAGCGCGCCGTCGGGCGCGAGCACTACTCGGCTCTCCACCCTTCACTGTTCAAAATCAGCTTGTAATAGAATCTGATCACGTCTAGGTGAGCCGAAACGTGCATCCGTTCGTCCACGGTATGGAAATTCTTGAGTTTGTCCATCTGGGCGGGCAGAAAGCGGTAGATGTTGTGGGTCAAGTTCCACGTCCACTTCGTGTCGGTATTGGCTGTCGAAAAATATATCAGTAGTCGTTCGCGATGATTTTGCTAGCACGGACCATACTAGTGCACTGCACCCTCGTGGGGTGTGCCGCAGCGCCAAGATTTTTGCTCGTCAACGCAGACTCACCGACCATGCCAGACGGAGCGACGATTGGCCTGTCGAAGACGTGTCTGATTGTTCCACTCATAAGCTCGTACGCCGGTCCCGAACTCGGCGTCAAAGGAGCAGGTTCGATCTCGCTTCCCTCGCGATGGATCAATCGAACAACCTGCTGAGTCGTGCCATTGTTTGACCCGTAGGCGTCAAAGGTCAAGTTTGCCGACCTGACCACCGGTTCTAGGATCGAAGAGATGCGAGCTTTGTGCGCCGCAACAGACGAATCGAACTTGATTCGATAGTTGATAGTAGCATGGGTGTACTCAGGAAGCGCGTTGACCTGGGCATAACGCGATGACCATAAGTTCTCCGCTCACCCTCACCCGGTATACTTGGCTCCTTTTGCGCAGAGTTACTCACCTTGACGCCACCATCGACCAAATCGATGGCTTGGGTCGTCGAGAGGAAAGCCCGGAGAACCTCGCTCGACTGAGAGAGGTCCTCGCTTAAAGCGTTCCACTTCGTTGGATCGCGAACACGCTTTTTGAGAGTGCTGCTCATGTTTCCATGGTCGGCAGCGCATTGCAGATAGCTGAGCATCGGATGCCCTTTGTCCATGCTCGGCGGATCTGGATGGTCCTCAAGCGCAACCAGTAATCGCGACATTATCCCAATGCCCGTGTGTCGACCGTGCGGGACCGAGGAATGCCCACCCGGGGTGAGGACCTCGAGGTCCAAGTTGATCGCCCCCTTTTCGGCCAGCCCTAAACGAGCGAACTGGACGCCGTACGACTGATCCAGGCCCGTGAAGCCCTCGTCGAGGATGAGGGCAACACCGTTCTTGCCATAAATCTGCTCCAATCGCTGGGCAATGGGTCGAGCAGACCGCACCCCGCTGATCTCTTCGTCAAAGCCAAAAGAAAGCACGATCGCTCTTTCCGGTGTGTACTGTTCGGAGAGCAGCTGCTCGATCGCGGAGAGAATCCCAATCAAAGTGTTCTTGCAGTCTGTTGTGCCTCGGCCCCAGATCCAACCATCGGAGTCGACGTGTCCCGAAAAGGGCCCATAGGTCCATTGCGATTCTGTTGAAGGATTGACGGGCACCACGTCTTGGTGGGCCATAAACACCTGCGGCAAGTTGTCGGAGCACCCACACAATCAGCCCGTCGAGCAGGAGCCAGAGGAATCACACTTACGATGGGTTTAAGCTTCGAGTTCGTGCCTTGGTAAGTCATAATGAGACCAAACCTTGCCACTTTCTCAATTTCCAAATGGGACCAACTGTGATCAAAACAGGCGCTGTCAGGTCGGCTCACACCACCAGATGTCAACTTGCCTGAGCCGCCGGGCACACATACACTCGAGGAAAGGTTTTTTCAATGTACTCGTGCTGCTTGGCAAAGATGTCGAAGCGTGGTTCCTTGAACGGGTCGCTGCGCATGTCATCGTAACTCTGCGTTGGCTGTGAAGCGAACAGGTCGATGGCCGGGAGCGTAACTAGTGCAACGGTCAGCCGACGGGTCCGATCAGCAAAGGGACCGAAAAGACGAACAATCTGCACAGCCCCGATGAGTCGCTCGATAGCTAGTCGAGAGTAGTGCTCGTCCTTTGCCGGTTGCCAGTCGTGGCCAACGTTGCGGGGTTCGGTTTGCACTGGGCACGAAGCGCCTCCCGCGATTGCGGCCGACCAAGGCCAAGCTCCGTGGTGCTCATAATCGTGGAAAAGGAACCGCAGCGGCTGATGAAGGATGCCGGCCCAGGGTGAGAGCGTCGCCAGACAGTAAAGTGAAGGGATCAAGCAACTGGCAAGCACGACCGACTTGACGGTGTTGACACGGCGTCTCGATTCGGTTGCCGAAGCCGGCGGGCCACCTTTGAACGTCTGCATGAGTTGGGGTTACACGGATTAATGACAGCGTCGAGGGGATAACGGGCACCCTGTGAGCGCAGAGAAGGAGCAGCTTGCAGGACGTCGCCCGTGGGAGCCCGTGGCGGGTCGGCCGCGCTACTGCCTGCTACTGCCGCGCTCTGCCCTGCTCTGCCGCGCTCTGCCAGGCTCTGCCGCGCTAGTCACTGCGATACGGCTGGGGCGCCCATAGTACATGTACGCAAGGAACGATCGGTGCGAGCCCTTCTCGACAGTTTTCGCCGCGCCGAGTAGTGGCCACTTTGGTGAGTTTCGTCCCCCCAGCCTCATCTCGCTGGATCAGGCGCTGGCCCGTGGATGGCCATAGCCCAAGGTAGTAATCGAGTCAGCGAAACGAGTCATAGCGATCATTGAACCCCAACATCTACCCCATTATATTTTTGATCCTCTGAACCCATTTGATGGGTGCCTCAGGCAGCACACCGACGCTTGCGGGCTGCAGCCCCCCACCCCCACTCTCCCCCACTCGATGCGAAACCGGCCTCGCGGGTCGAGTCGCCGTCGATGGCACAAAGACGGCATCTGTCGCCCCTGCCCACATGTGCATACGTGTAAATGCATACTCCTCTCTGGCCCATTTCAACACCTCTGCACAAGATTGCACAGCCATGCGCCCTCGTACATGCTCAGAACGAATCGACCTTCCGAGACCTTCTTCGTTGCGAACCCACCGCTGGGTGCACGTCCAACCGAGGCGGAGTAGGAGCAGGGCGAGGATCACACTCCTCATGGAGTAATCAACAAAACATTAGGCAGTATGGAGAGTCAGTAACTAAGGGAGAATATCTGTGGGTCTTGGCAGGAACGTGCAAAGGGGCAGTGACTCGATTAAAGGGCACGTCAGGCTCAGGCTCCCCGGGCGAGTCGCAACCGAACACCTTCGGAGCAGGCTGAAATGAGGTCGTATCTAGTCCACACTCGTGTAAAACCTAAACAGCAATAGAAAACACCAATGCACAGCAATGCACCCGCATGCACCGGGGTGCAGTGCCGGCACCTGACCACGAACCAGTCGAACCGCTCCGCGCGGGACACTCGGATCCGACTTCCAGCGCATACGCCACCGTGCACGACAGTGCTTGTCAGTGTACGTCCGTGCACTTCCATGAGACGACCTGTAAAATCCAGACGCGCACGTGCATAAGCATGGTGTATTCGGAAATCGAGCTACGATTCCGTGACCGTCGGCCGCTCACCGCTGACCCGCTGATTTCCTCCGGGTATGAAAAGGCCTACTTAAGTTGATATTGATTCCTTGTCTTGGGGTACACAGGACTGCGCTCGGAGAGGCCGTCAAACGACTTTGAGGTTCGGCTTTCCTCCCGAAATCTGCCAAAGTCTGCGTTCACATTACCCGTTAGCGTTCTCGAGTGGACTACTGGCAGGAGCGTTGGTGAGGTCGCCACGTGAGTCTCCGTCTCCTTTGGACTCCTTTGGACACCGTGCAGGTGATGTAGGGTGCAGGTCAGCTGCTGCATTTCACGGTGGATCTCGTAGGTGGCTTGCGATTGACGATTGACTAATGCAGATGAACCCGAGTATCAGTGCGTTTTGGTCGAAGAGAGACCAAGTGTTCGCGCCAAGGGTCCGCATTAGATCAGATCAGATCAGATCTGATCTAAACAATTTCAGATCTGATCTGATCTGATCTGACGGGGGTCAGATCAAGTTCAGATCAATCAAGCCTCGAGACAAAAAATCCAAAAGTAGACGGTACCTATAGATGGTGCCAATGTGATTTGAAATGCCAACTGCGGCGCACCTGATCACTGCATGAGAGAGAAAGGAGCGCGCCATCTGCCATCTGCACTGGCATCGCCGCCGCATTGGGTGTCGCGCCTGGCCGGTTGCCAAAGGCGACCAACGGGCGCGCCGAGCGAGTCGAAAGGCGAGTGCGGTGTGAGTCACTTCCTCTCACTAGAACCATCTGTTCTCGCTCGCAACATCGCCTGTTGCTCGCTCGAAATTTCAGAAATTTTTGCTTTCCACGCCTTCCCACGCCAACAAACCTCTTTCTCCCCACTGTCTCGTTCCAACACGAACAAGTGTCCCACTTGCGGCGATCGCCATTCCCATGTCGGACATCAATCTCGGAGGCGGCGAGACCGTCGCCCCCCCCCCCCCCCCCCCCCGGACCGCGGGGGGTGCTGGCGGAGCTGTGGGTGCTGGCGGTCCTGTTAGTGCCGGTACTGGCGGTCCTGTTAGTGCCGGTACTGGCGGTCCTGTTAGTGCCGGTACTGGCGGTCCTGGTGCTGGTTCTAGCTGTCTTGGTGCCGCTGATGCGGGTGCGAACGCGTCTGGTGGTGGGGCGAACCCGCAGGACCTAGTACTAGCCTCTTTCGGCCGCGAACTCTACAGGGGTTTCCAGGCGGGGGCATCGGATTCCCAAAAGAAGTCGTTCAGTTCATACAAGGTCACAACGTCTCACTCTCGTCCCAGTTTGGTTGCGGCCTACGCGGACTCGCCGGTCACAGTCTCGTCAGAGCTGTTTGACATCGCGTCCAACGCGGCGACCAGAAGCGATACCATTGAGTCTGTTCACACCTGGAGCCAGCATCAAGTCTCGGCATCGTTTGCGGATCGACGTTCTTAGACCACCCACTCATTCGTCCCAGCCACGAATTCAACTCGGTTGCCTGCACTCGTTCCTCGTCGGGAGCCTTGTTTCACAAATTTTCCAATCGCCAGTGAGTTTATTCGCAATCCGCGCACCTTTGATACGGCCATGTTCGGCTTTACTTCCATCACACAGCCATGTTCGACTCTACTTCTATTGTACGGCCACGTTCGGCTCTATTTCATATGGCCACATTCGGCTTTATTTCGTATGGCCATGTTCGGCTGTACTCCTGATGGCCATGTTCGGCTTTACTTTGTATGGCCACGTTCGGCTTTACTCCTTATGGCCATGTTCGGCTTTACCTCTATGATATAGCCATGTTCGGCTTTATTTCATATGGCCACATTCGGCTTTATTTCATATGGCCACATTCGGCTTTATTTCGTATGGCCATGTTTGGCTGTACTCCCTATGGCCATGTTCGGCTTTACTTCGTATGGCCACGTTCGGCTTTACTCCGTATGGCCATGTTCGGCTTTACTTCCGTCACACAGCCATGTTCGGCTCTACTTTTCTCGTACAGCCATATTGGCTGTACCTCTATCATTTGGCCATATTGGCTTGACTTCTATCGTCCGGCCATGTTGGCTTTACTTCTATCATACGGCCGGATCCGTCCTCGAATGTGGTCGCTTTCTCAAAGCCCCTCTTTGGCCCCGTATTTTTCGGTGCCTACGTTTTCCACGCATCCAGTGTCACCCGCCCAGGTCTTAGCTGGGCATTCCACACAGACACTTCTTTTTCGACCTATCTACTACAGACCCTTCTCAACGGGACACTAGTTTCCTGTTCATGCCTCTTCCGAGTCAGCGAGAGCCCCTAGGTCGGGGTTGGATAAGCTCTCCGCTCTCCGTTCCATCACAGTTTACGTGCGGCGTTGACCGATGTCGCTACGCCCCTCAACGTTAATCGATGGCAATCGGCCATGAATCGCCTTCGCGTATACTGTGGCAACACTTCTTTCGAGCAAGTCGCTTTGATCCCGACCCAGATCCGCGCGGGTTTCGACTTCGGCCTCCGTCACCTTCCCAGGGAACCTTTTGCTCCGAGCAAGCACGTTTCGGACGATGATGACGCATTTCGTGAGGTAGCGGCTAGCGAAATTTCCCGTTTCTCCATGCAAGGGTCGCATCGCGGAGCTTTTTGACTACGACTGCTTTCGCCTTCAAGTCGGCCCTCTCCGCTCGAATTCGCTGTCGGTGATCAGGAACGACGCGCACCCGGTCAATCGCGGACGCGTCTCCGGTAATGTGAAACATGGGATCTGAGGATCGCCCAGAAACTCGCTTGGTTTGTGCTGGGGGGCGAGCTCTCCCTTCGACCCCCTGTTTCCCCCCTTTCGGCCTCGCTCGCGGCGGCGCAATCTGCGCCGGTTGGGTCGCCGGTTTCTTCGCGGGGCCGTGTCGTGGGGAAATTCGCCCCCAAGCCCAAACCAAGCCATTTACTATTTATATTAATCAACAGAGTTCGGCACAAATGACGTTCAGTCGGAGACTGCTCGTCGTATTACTTGGCCGACACGAGGCGCTCGACGAGCGACGAAGCGCCCGCGCCACAGAAATACTACAGGGTGTGGTCCTCTTCTGATGGGCCTTCGTTGCAGTGTCGACTCCTCCATAGTGCGCGCTGTTTGTGGCGTTTGTTTTAGGATGGAAGAGTTGATAAGAGAAAAACCCGCACTCCGTAACAAACGGAGGGTTTTCTAAACAGGAGTTATGAACAAGTAGGGTGGGAGGGAGGAGCTCAAAAAAATGGTCGATCGGCTTTGCTCAAAGAGCGCAGGTCCGATTAGTAACTAAAACACTGCAACTGACTTGGGGGATAGGGCATACCTTTGCTCGAAAAGCGCAGGGCGATGGCAGGGGAGGAAGGCGACGCGGTAGGTAGACGCGGCCAAACGAGGTCTGTATACAAGGTAGCCCCATGAGTCAACTTGCCCAACAAGGACAGTCGTGATCCGGAATGCGAACCTTAGCTAGAAACAGCGAGCCGCGATAGTGCGAGTCTCGAAAAGTTCGCCCTTGCTCTAAGCAGTGGGTGCGATACGACCTTGCAAAGCAGCGGGTACGGCGGCTGCTTACAACGTAGTGGCAGGCTAGCTCATCAGTCCAACTGTCCAACAAGGGCAGAGGGCTTACGAGGGATGTTACCCACTTTGAGTGAGTAGAGACTGGCAGGGGGGGTGCCGGAACCACAACACGAAACGCTAAGGCGTGCGGGACGACGAGGGAGAGGGAGAGGAAGGGCCCGCGCGCGCCAGCGGGTGAGCAAGGCGGGAGGCCCAAGGGGGCCGAGAAGAGTGCGTGCTGGCACAGGGTCCAAAGAATGCGTGTTCGAAGAGTGGAGCGCGAGCGGGCCCCGTTAGGCCGAGACCAGCGCGCTTGAGCTGTCCGCGTCAAAATCTTGCAGCAAAGGCCGAAAAGACTATCAGGTGCTGACTCATTGCAAACACTTTCTCATAGGGATCATGCGACCCAATCCAGTCATTAGAAGCGGGGAGCTCCTCCAAAAAACGGCGGCTTAGCAAGGTGATCACTTTGGAGGATGATGAGGATGAGGATGAGGATGAGGTTGTGGAGGAAGAAGATGAGAATTTCAACATGTAGACATGTAGAGGTCTTTATGTGCCAAATTAGGCAATTTCATGTCTCAGATCAAATTGATCTGCTCAGATCAGATCAAGATCAGATCAATCAAGGCAGAATCAGAAAAATCCAGATCAGATCTGATCTGATCTGACGGTGATCTGATCTAATGCAGATCCTTGGTTCGCGCTTAAAAGCTGTTCCGGGAAGTGCTCAGAAGTAAATGTGAGCAAGTGTGGGCCGAGGGAGGCCGAGGGCTCGGCGAGCTCCGGCGAAATTCAGCAGGATATCAGCGAGCTGCCAGCTGCTGCCAGCCTCTGCCAACTTCTGCCAACTGCCTCCGCCAGTGCCGCCCAGCTGAGCAGAGCGCGACGACCACTTCATCTCGTGCCACCTCACCCCACATTGACACCCCCAACACAGTCAACGCACAGCACACCATGCCCTACACTTCAGCGCAGTTCGACAAAGCCGTCGCAATGTCAGTACCTTTCCTCTGTAGTCATCTTGCTGTCGCATGCCGATCGCTTACATCGGCCACCTTCTTGCTGTGCTCTGTCTGTGCTCGCTCTCATCCTCCCCATCCTGCCCTACGCCATCGCCATCGCCATCGCGTTCGCTGTCGCCGTGGGCGTCTTGTCGCCTGATCGATCGATCGCTCGCGCCGGCGTAGTGTCGGCCAATTGCCCAAGGATGGACCCGTGAAGCCCTCTCAAGCCGATCAGCTCGTTGTGAGTCTCGCTACCCCGGGGCGCGCGTCATGCGCTGGAGTGGGGAGCATGCGATGGCGGTTCGACCGGCCGACTTCCTCCCGGGCGACCACCGCTGCGGGCAAGCAAAGATAGAGGGAGCGCCGAGCTGAGTGATCGCGATCAAGGCGCCGATCTGCTTGCTATTATCTCGTGACTCTCCGTCGAACGCTTGCATGGATGGACTCGGCGATGCGAAGAGCTTGTGCACTCGTCCTTGTCCCAAACGGTTGTCCGCCGGCGACGTCTTGTCGTCCGACAAAACACGAGTCAGAACCGGACTCGCTCGCAATCCTATCATGAGACTGGATTCTATCTCATTGGACCGTGAAGGTGGTCGGGCTTGCTTGATACTAATGTAATCGCCGGCTCGAACTCCTCGTACCAGTTTTATGGCTTGTATAAGCAAGCGACCGTTGGCGACGTCAACACCTCTCGACCGGGCATGATGGACTTTGTGGGCAAGGCCAAATGGGACGCGTGGAAGAAGAACGAGGGCCTCTCTTTCGACGACGCCAAGTCCAAGTACGTCGAGGCCTTCTTGGACATTCTGGCCAAGAACGACAACGAGGAGGGAGCAAAGTACAAAGCCGAGGTGAGTTCATCGGAGAAGGGAAGCATATTGCGGAAAGCAGGGGTTGTCAATGCCCTTGACCCCATGCGCTATTGCGATGCGACGATGTCTTGGGGCACGAACTACTGTCGGACGGGCGACCGAGCTCACCATCGTGGGCTTACTGTCACTCCTCAGATCGAGTCCGCTTGAGAAAGCTTCGTTTCTCTTCTGAGCCTGTTCAACCTCTCGTGCGATGCAATATGACTCTACGTTTATCATTCGGTCACTTCAGACTAAAGGAGCTGCAACCTGCATATAGAGCGGCGGTCATTCGGCCCATTTGAATGCAGCCCTCAATCTCACCGCAAATCCAGTGAAAATGCGTTCAGTAAAACGCTGTCTCTGCTGCTCGATTTGTTCATAAAGCCAAAAGTCCTTTGAGCTACGCGTGCAAGATACCTCTATTCGTCTTCCCCTGCTGACAGTTTCGATTGCGTCAAGAATTTCTCCAGCTCATCTCTGATGACTTGCCCGGCCCTCTCGTCCTGAAAACCTTCCCTTCTCGCGCGCGCCTTCGCCTCAGCGCCTCTAGCTTCCGCCTCGAGAACGTGGAACTCCCACCGGCCAGCCTCGAAGTCTTGTCGGTTCAGCTCAAGCGCGACACCTCTGGACGTCATCAAACGTTTCAATCCGAATTCTTCCACAAACAGAGGCCGCGGGACTGCGCCAAAGGCGGGATCATAGAAATAACCATGGTCAGTTCTCGTGCCGTAGATGAATTGCGAAGAGGAACACAACTGACCATAAACGAATGGGGTATGGTTCGAGATGGTTTCCGAGCAGGTGCCGTAACCCAATTTACCCAAAACTACGTCCGCCATTGCGGTCAAGTCGGGAACATAAACGTCCTTGTCGCTGGCGTAAAAGTTTGCGGGCAGGTCGTTTCGGATCTCGTTGTTGTTGCCCGCAAGGCCGCACACGATGGCGATCCATCCTTTCGGCAACAAGCCAGCTTCTTTGGAGTTCACGTTCGTAGGGATCTCCAGCGAATGCGTCGAAAAACCCGAGGACTGTCGCATGAGCGGGGTAGACAGCGGGGACGGCGGTCTCGAGCGTGGCCGAGGGATCGACTGGCCTCCAAAGGAAACGAGCAGAATCTTGGCCTCAAATTGTTCTTCTGGGACGTCCATTGAGGCGAGCAGGGCCTGACGAAACGCCGGGGTGTGCACCTTTGGGGAGGGAGGCCGAACCAGCAATGGAACATCGATCACCCGTGCTTTGGGTTGCCCCTGCGGTCGGGTGGCGGGAATCGAGGACGTCGGCCGGGAAAGTAAGGCATCAATCTCGGCAGTGAAGGAGGTTCTATGAGCGTTGACCCATTTTCCGGACGGCAGCGGAGCGTCCGTGTCAAATCCCGGAATAGGGATCGCTCCCGGAAGTCGCAACAGTAGAGAAGCGCATGCGTAATCGGCAATGCTCTGCTCGACTAGGGGAGAGAGGATCGAGTCGGAGATAGGCGGCTCGAGCGGTTCTCCGGTCAAGGACGGAAGACTGGCGAGCGACAAGTAAGAATAGCACGAGTCGAAGGTGAAGCTAAAGTCACACAAGACAGGTACATAATCAAGCCACATTAGTACCGCAACCTGTGGCTGTGACGAAGATGTGCAATGACTCACTTGCTGACGATGACCGAGGGAATTCTCGCTCCGTGTCCAGCGGCGCTGCGGGTCGTCGATCAGCAAGGGGTGTCAACGTCTTGGCGGGTGGATTGGCCTTCGATTCAACGTGACAAAAGCTCAGCAGCCATAGCAGCACAACTGACCATCCGAGGAAAGTTGAATCGCTCAATACACAGTCGATGCTTTGGCCTTTGAGCCAAGCGATTTCTTCTGCGAGTGTCTGAGGCCGTTGATCTATAAAATTTTTGAGCAAGCGATAGGTCCCCTCTCGATCCACATCGTACGCCTTAGGCTGCACGATACCGGCATCGACGTTTCGGCGACGGTAGTACGCGTACGATGGTAGCGGCGTCGTGGCCGGTACGGGTGCCGCTCTTCGCAATTCCGGGGAGGGTATCTCGGAAGGTGGCAGAACCGCGGAGAAGGGTTGCGTCGGTGCGTTTGTCACAATGTGTACCTCGTGGCCAGCATGTAAGAGCTCCGATGTAAGGGCTGACACCCTTGTGGCGTGCTGCGACGACGGGGTGAAGGGTCGGGTTAGTGTGTGGTCACAGGAGGGCTGGCGGGCAGGCCAGTATTCGATAGGGTGGGGGAGCCAGTGTCGACGACAGCTGACTCGGTCTGAGCTTCTGGCGCGTACGCACCCCGTAGCCATGACCACTACAATAAAAAGCGAACCTATACCTGTGCCTGATTGCGTCGATAGACATGCTCGACTCGGGTGGCACGCTTGAGTCGCTGAGAGAATGCGTAGCGAGCCCAGCACGCGTCGACGTGGTCGACTGCTGTTTGCCGCAGTCCTCGGCTCAGCGCTCAGTTGGGACAGGTTGGGACAGGTTGGGACTCGCGAGCGCGCGCGCGCGCAGCGAGCCGCCTCGGACGCTTTTAGTCGCGCGGTCGGGCCCGCCATTTGTTCAATCTGAAACGCGTGCAGTGGCACTTCTAGGCAACTCATCACAGGGAGCAGGGATAAGAAGTGGGAGTCTAAAATCGGGCGATAGTTACCTAGTACTCTCGTGACACGGTACCAGTCAATTCGCAATTCCTACCCCTACCTGCACAGTGCCTGAAATAGTGAGCTGTAAAAGAGAAATTGGCAGTGATAAAATTTCGCGCCAGCCAGATCGTCCACCTGTCACATTGGACCAACTGCAGGAATAGTCTATTCAGTCTGATGGTTTGTACCTATACCTACAATGCTCTCGGAAATCTTTCTTCCTCTGCTTCTTTAATTCTATGCAGGTCTTTGGCCTGTCTCCCACCTCAGATTCGATGCACCGAAACGCGCGCCGGGCTTGGGGACGTCGGATACCTGGGTCCGACCGCAGCCGGCCGCGCGATCGGTGGGTCTGTGGGGTATCGTGGGGTCTCTGGGGTGGGGTGAAGCGATGGGTGAAGCGGTGTCTAGCGGTCAGTGCGATGACTGATGAGGTCACGGGCTCTTTGTTGCGACTCGAGGATCTGTTCAGAGCTGCGACAGTGCCCGCCGCCCGGGGTACACATTACAAGTCGCACCTAGCCTCGACGATGAACGACTATTTCACTCTTCAGCCATCACACGCACACGATGAATTCCCGACACCGAGTCTCGAACGAGAATATGTCTACCATTCGCCATTGGACTCGCCCGAACTGAGCAAGGCGCACGACGGGAGCATCACGACGGCCGCGACGCCGGCGCCAGCGCAGACGATGACAGAGTCACAGCCCGATACAGACAAGCGAACAGTCGAGCCTGTTGAGGGAGCCCGAACAAAAGCTGTTCTAACCCCGTCGGAACTGGTCAGTGTCTTGTCCCAGGAGAGGGACCCACCACCGCCGGTGCAGGCCCGTGAGTACAACCCCGGCCTTCACCTGCCACCTCAGGCATCCATTCGGAAGGTTGATTGACCCGCCTGCGCAACTGCTCTGCAAATATGATTGCCCCAGGTTTTCTACATGGCGGTCCCCCGCTGTCGGACTTGACAGCCCCATCGGATGCCGTGGCAACCCAAGCGTCCAAGCAAAAGCCGGTCGCAACGAGCAAATGGCGCGCATTCACCGATTCCGAAGATCGGGTCCTGCAACAGGGATGGGAAGCGCTACAGGCGGAGAAGAAGGCCGAGAAGGACGCATCAGTGTCGACGGGGGGGAAAAGGCAGAAGGGGAAAGTAAAGACCGAGCAGGCCGTCCAGGATGGTGCCGAGGACCCAGGTCAGTCCAGATTTGAGTCTGTTGCTTTTGCTATGGGGTGGCATGCCATTGACATGAGCGGCTGTGGCTTCTCTCTCACAGATGGTGAGACGCTTTTTCGATACGAAGAGTGCGTTGTGTATGTCTGACATGTTTGACCTCGCACTCGCTTGTTACTCGCCCGCAGCCGAGATGCCTCATTGCTTTCCTGTGGGCCTGGACAAGCTTTTCACCGTGTCCCTCGCCTCGTCCCTACTCTACCCAGCATTCTGGCAAGGTACCCCTGTGAGAGTGCTACGTGCCCATTGGTTCTACGCGCCACCCGCATCGAAAGCAACGAAGTACAAGACCCTGGCGTCCCACCAGATCAAGGCCTATCCGGTAGATCCGGAACTGTCGGCCTCACTCGAGCGGGCATACGCTCACATCCGCCCCTGGGAAGAATCGTAAGCATGCATGCAACACAGGCGCCCAAAGCATGCCCACTGTTTCGATCGGTGTCACTGACACGGTCGCGCGCGTGCAGGTACACTGCTGAGCTCGCTTCGGCGTTGAAAGGTGGTGTTGAGGCCCAACTCAAGCTCAGCGCACCACTCGGTATTGACAGCGAAAGCGGAGAAGCGAACTCGGGCATCGAAGTCATTTTCCAGGGCGGAGACGAAGGCCGCGTTTACTCCAAGAGCTTTCTTGGTAGTATCGGCAAGTCGCTTTGGAGCAGCGGCAAGTCGTTGGGAGGGGGCCAGGTTGTCCTGCGCGGTCAGTTTACGTTCGCGGCAGTCATACAAGACCTGCACAGGAATGCTGAGCCTCGATGTGTTGCTCTACATCCGTTATGAACAGGCTGGGATGCCATGAGAACGTACCATGCCCGGAAGGAGAAAGGGGGGACGCCCGGGAAACCCGTCACCACCAAGAAGATCGGCGCACTGAGTGACGCCGCCGCCGAATCGTCCGACAATGAGAGCGTCACATCACGATCCGACGCCAAATCCCGCCGTGGATCCAATGCGTCGGCTGCCAAACCTGCTGCTGTAGATGCAGGTGCGGGTGCAGCTGGTGGGTTTTTCGCCGCGTTGAAGAGCAAGCTCGGCGGTGTACCACTCGTGGGCCACCCGCTTGACGGGGGGGACGATGACCTCAATGTCGATATCCAGGGGGAAAGAACGAATGACACGCAAGAAGCGATGGATGGGCCAAGAAACCAAGATGGGGATGATCAGGGAGGGGTAGGAGAAGTTGACGAGCTCGTCTTGGTGTGTCATGGCATCGGCCAGAAGCTTGCCGGAAAGTATGAATCTTTCTCGTTTGTGCATGCGTGCAATCACTTCCGCACCGGTGAGTGGCAGACGTGAGAATTTTTTTCCTCCCTCTGCCCCGCTCAAAATTGATCATTGCCCGATTCGCCAGCTTGTACCAACTTATCTGCGTCCAACTCGCTTGCTCCACTACTGAGCAAGAAGCGAGCCCAGTTCATCCCTCTGCTTTGGCGCACCGATCTTTCTTTCGACGACGATGCCGAGGATACAGGAGACTCTGCCGAGGAGCACCTACGCAACCAGTTTAGTCTCGATGACATCGAAATCAAGGGGTCCATCCCGCTGCTGCGACAAGTTGTTTCGGGCCTTGTGCTGGATGTTCCGTTCTATCTGTCCCACCATAAGGGCAAAATGCTTAAGGCTGTCGTCAAGGAGGCTAATCGAATCTACCGTCTGTTCTGCATGCGCAACCCTGGATTCGCCGCTAGAGGCGGGAAAGTTTCGATTATTGGGCACTCGCTTGGATCGGCATTGTGCGCAGATATCCTGTCCACTCAGCCCACCTACGTCAAACCGCTCAGCGAAATGTCGAACGCGGAGAAGTACTCGGACTCACAGTTTGTGTTTGATACCCGACTGTTCATCCTCGTCGGGAGTCCAGTAAGTGCCGCGCCACCTGTGAAGCGACTTCTGCAGATACGACTGTTCTTTGTTCGCTCATCCAGCTGCTCATCTTTTGCTCAGCTCGCTTTTTTCCTGCACCTCGGTCAAGGACAGCTCATCGCGCGAAGGGGACGTGCACGAACACAGAACGTCGGGCGCGATATCGCCCTCGACCGCGCCGGCCGCTACGGATGCATGGCGATAGATGCGGTTTACAACGTCTACCATGAGACAGATCCCGTCGCCTTCGCTCTCAATGCTACGGTGGACCGAGAGCCAGTTCTGTCCCTCAAAGCAATGCAATCACGACTCAACAGCTGACGGGTATATTTTTCTTTCTTTCTCCTGCAGATATGCCAAGCTGATCAAACCAATTGCAATTCCTTCCACGAATTCGACACTGCTCGAGAATCTGTCCGACACGTATAGCCGGATCAGCAATGTGCTCGACATCAGCCGTTTCTGGTCGTCGCCGGAGAAAAACGAAGCTGTTGAAGGCTCAAAGAACGAAGGACCTCCCGGATCAAGTTCTGGTGCTGAGGCAAACAGTGCAGAGAAAGTGGGGGGAGGCCAATCCTCGTCGAAATTTGCTGCGAAACCGAAGATGCCAGCTCGGCGCCCGACGAACAAAAGGATGCCGAGTGAGATGCCGATGGGCAAGCGCGAGTTCGAGTCCGTCTCGCGGGCGGAGCAAAGGTGAGTGTGGAAGGAGAGTCACGCTCACCATAATTTTGACGGCCAACCCTCTCTATATATTCTTTGAAGGTTTAAGGCCCTCAACCCTCAAGGTTGCATTGACTTCTACATGCCTGCGGAAGGTGTGCGATGTTTTCCAACGGGCGCTCTGACTGCCGTGTGCCGATGGCGCTGATACTCCACCTTGACCACTGACTTTGTGACAGGCATCAACCAGTATATCGATGCGCTGTCATCCCATGCTAGTTATTGGTCCTCGGATTCGGTGGCGACGTTCGTTCTGACTCAATTGTTCTCGCCAGAAGATGAGCTGGCACGAACGGGGCGCGAGGAGATCGGAACCGATGTCGCCGAGCACATTGAGCAAATCCGTGAGGAGGAAACGGAGTGAGGGAACCGCTTCTAGACTGTATTCGTTATCTCATCACAGGCACCATTATGACTTACCCAGCGCATCTGTTGCAATTTCACGCATGTCTTCGCTTCGCCGTGCGCGTGAAGTTCGCTCCGGCCGCCAGGCCATGGGCTGCTAGACAGGAAGACAGGATCATAAAATCTGCATTTATGAGCTGCTGTGAATATGAGGGCGGAATAGGATCGTTTTACATCGAGCGACCATCGCCCGAGCCAGCAGCGCCGTCGATGGTGGCTCCCTGGAGAATCAGGTTTTGGAGGCCGTCGCGCGTCGATTGGAAATACTCTCAAACCCTTCGTACAATCACGTAGGCATAGCTTATGTCCTTGTGAACGGTTCTTTTCTTTCCTTAGTGTACGCTTCTGGTAATTGACAGCAGCACCGTTGCCATGGCAATCGTGAACCAGAAGTGACCTCTGAGGAGATTTCATGTCGCGTTCAACTTCTTGCTCCACCTGTCGCCGGGACCCGTGCGATTGGTCGGTCAGCCCGGCCACCTTTTCGATGGCGCGAGGAGTCATCGATGATCGTCGCGTAAAAGGTGGGGCCTGGAGGGCATCGACAGACTTCGAGAAATTTTATTCTCACACCTCCTGCTAGCATAGCAGGGTGTAATCCTGTGATACTGCTTCCCTATTTTCCGATAACAGCGCTTCAGGTAGACGCTTTGCGCCGTGCCTTGAGCGGTAAGCATGGATTGGCTCGACGCTGAGCGCAGCTGAGCGCTGCCAGGCGCTGCCGTGTAGACTCTCCCCGCCTGGCCCAGCGCCTTTGGGCGAGTAGAGGCGACTTCTGGCTAGTTCTGGCGAGTTGGGGCGCAACAATGTAGGCGCGTTCGCCAGCGCGACTAGCCGTCTCTCGCCCTCGCTCCTCTTCTGTGTCTCTGACTCGGACTTTCTCGAGCCGGCTCGACCTCAACTGCGGCACTTCCAACGCTCGTTTATCTTTCTACAAAGCTCACTCTGGGATCCCCCTACTCGCGTCTTGCATCGCCCGTCTCGTAACGCCTCATCACGTTGCTGCGCACCTGCAGCCACCCGCCCGCCGCGCTCTGATCGCGCGTCTGGACGCGACAAGCAAACGAACGAACAGGTGCTCCTAGCTCTCGACGTACACGGCTACGTAAGATCGGTGCGTACAACGTTGCGATTTGGCCAGTGTGATCCGGCAATAGTCTTTCTGCCCCAAGGCGCATCTTGATGCCATTATCGACACGTTGTTCCGCATGCTGATCATCGATCGAATCTGAACGTTCCCTTTCTGATTGGGCCAGCGCGCAACTCGACGCGCGCAAACAAACCGCCGCCTGCCCTCGCCTGCCTGCGCTCACCTCGCCGACGTACGAGCCGCGAATCGTTCGTTGCGACTACACTTTCATCGACCCAGTCTGTGCAGCAGAGCCGAATCATCTCGCAATGAGCGGTGCTGCCAAAGATTTGTCCACAGCGGCAACCCCGCTTCACAACTCGACCAACACGACCGGCACCAACGCCTCGATCGCGTCGTCCATCAGCAACCGCCGAGGCTCCGTTTCCACACCTTCCAAGCGACTCTCTGCGCTAGTTGTCGCAGCCCCCTCTGCGGATGACTTCCGGAAAACGTTTGGGCAGGAAACGGCTGCGCCCCCTCAGCAACTCACAGCGACAACAAACGCGTCAACCGATCGCCCAGTCAGCGCAGGCGCGGAGAACGACGTGGCCATCTCGTCCTTGGATGCGATTGCCATGCCGGCCGCGCGTCGACCTCCACTCGAAGTCGGTCTTGGCCTTATGCTGGACGAGAGTTCCCTCACGTCCGCGCGCACCTCTCTCGAAGTTGACTCCGCGGCACAACTCCCAACTTCGCCGCCTCTCTTGAGCACGCCTGCGCTCAACGCGTCATCACACGTGTCGGTCAACCCTTCTACTTCGATCGGTGGAAAAGCGGCGGCAGACGTGCGTCAACTACTGAGTGAACTTGGGATCGACGATGACATTTCTGCGGCCCATAGCGTGGAGGAACGACCTCGGCCCAGCTCGACGCCCTCACCGACGAATCGTGCTGCTGGCCCACCTGGGTGGAACAACTCCGCAGCATTGTCCGGCAGCAATTCACCGCCCGGGACGTCTGCGAGCGCGATGTCTTCGCTGTTAACACGGCGTGGTGATACTCTTCCTCGGCTCAGCACGGTCACTACGTCTTCTGGATCGACGTCGTCGCCGCTTATGATTTTCACCGGATCGCCCAACCCCCAAACGACGCCGCGTTCGTTCTCGCCCTCGTGCTCATCGCGAACGTCTGTGTCGCCAACCCCTTCGCCTACAGCGCATTCGACGTATGTGGTGCCCGTTACTGCTCGAACGCCGACGGGCTCCGCTTCGGCATCGGGCACCTCTGCGCCTATGGCCCGCGTCGGCTCGGCCGTAGCCTCGGCGGCCATGGATCGGAATGCGTCCGGATCCAAGTCCCGGACCAGCGATGTGCACTCGCGACACCAGAGCCTGACGTCAGCATGTGCTCCCGTTACGAGCTCCTACACCTCGACCACTCCAGATCTTGGCAGCGGCCTGCTAGCTACCCTCAGCCCTGCTAACGGTGCCCTCTCCAGTGCAAGCGCGTACCCAGCATCACCGACGACTTCGCAGCGGGGATGGAAGGTCTACGACTGGGGCTCGGGGTCATCAAAAGAAAAGGACGTATTTTCTTCCCCCACAAGGACCAACGATGAAGACCCCCGCAAGGGCGCCAAGGGCGCGCCGGGACATCCTTCTCGAACCGAACAGCTCGTTGCGCTCCCATCCACGCTGCTCGGCCTTTTCTTGGCCCCCCTCTACGGCTCACCGCGCGACCATGCCCACTACTCTCCGACTCTGAACGCGAGCACTATGCCGACGGCAAAGGCAAAGCGACAGCCTCTGCTACTGCGAACACTTCTGCTCGCCTATCTCGTGTTCTCGACCGTCTTTTTCGGCCTGCACCTTGCCTCAGTCATCACCGGCCGTCCATCACAACCGCCCAAACGTTTAGGGCCCCGTGGCGACGAAGTCAGGGGGCTGCAAGTGCCTCTCGGCAGCCGCGAGCTTCCCCTCGCTGGAGCAGGAAAGTTCGTGCTCGGCAAAGTCGGCGCCGAATGGGCCCAGAAGGTCGCCGAGGGTGTCAGGTGGGGCAAGATGGCTATCGTCCCCGCACCAAATGTGCCCCTCGATGCCATGGCGGACATCTCGCCCGAGTCCTCACCTTTTGATACCGTTCGTCGAGTCGGCAGCGGTGGTAAGCTTCCTTTCCTCTTGCGTAAGGTGCACCCTCTGAGTCTTGCCGTGACTGACCCCGGACTTGACGATTCGAACGCGCAGCAATCGCAAATCGACGACCCGAGGATAACCCGTTGACATCATTGACACACACGTACCGGTTCGCGAAAATGCACGAGAAGATACATACGGGTCAACACGATGAGATCGTTCCCTACGCGTTCAGAGCAACAGGAGTTCCCAACACCCAAGATGTTACAGCCGCGCTGTACTCGAATGAAGCCTGGCTCTCCGTTTTGCCGGCATTCCTTGAGGCCTGGAATGGCCCCGTGTCGCTTGTATTTGAGACGGCGCATTCCAGAACCTCAAGCCTTCGGTCGGACTTGATGAAGAAGCTCGCTGCCCTACGACAGTCGAACGACTCGGTCCGCAAATACGTCGACATCCACATCGTAGGGGCTCCAGTCGGCACGAGTGAGCACATGCTGAATCGTTCCCGGGAGCGTATGATCGAACGACCCCTGGCCCGCAACTTCCACCTCAACCTGGGCCGATTTTTCGCACCGACGGAAATGGTGTTTCTAGTGGGTGACGCACGTATCACACCAAGCCCCGGGCTGAACCGTCGACTCAACGGCGCAACTGTGCGTGATTTGGTTTTGTCCCGCGGTGATGCTGTCGTGGTGGCATCATTCGCTTTCGTTCGTGATCCTCGCAACGACCCGAAGACGTTCAATCGACCATCTTTGCACCAACTGCGAGCACAATTGGGACTGCCTGCTTCAAGCAAGTGGGCTGGGGTCGCGCACGAAGAGTTTGATGTTCTCGCTGCAGAACACATTCAGATGCTCGAGTCGACCTTGCCTCTCGCGCGTGCAGAGTGGCCGACCAAGAAGGCTTCGCTCGTGACGCTTGTCAATACACGTTCAGGCTCACCGTCAAATCCGACCACAGCACGCATGGCTCTGTTCGATCGCAGGTGGGATCCCAACCACGGGCCGACCAACTGGTACCTGTGGCGCAAATCGGCTACGGACGCTCGCCTTCTCGAGAAACCCGAATCGGGCGGCGGTGTCGGCCTCGGCGTGGGTGGTCGTGTTGGGGGAGGTAACGATGTTTACCGCGTCCTCGACTACGACCTCCATTTCGCGCCTTTCGTCGTCGTCTCCAAAAAGGGCCAGCCGTGGTGCACCGAGCGCTTTGAAGAGATGCCCGCTGCTTGCGTCTATCAAATGTACCTGGCGGGTGCAGAGATGTGGGTCTTGCCTGATGAATGGGTCTTCACCAAGGAGATGATCGAGAAGCGAGCCGACTCGCACAACGAGGACCCCGCGGAGAAGCTCAAGAACTCGATTTCGTCGCGCTTGTACGGCAAGTTCCATCAAGAAGCCTGCATGCACTACGGTCGAGAATTTCTCTCCCTTTCGATGTGGGATTCAGAAAAAGCGCAGAATTGTCGCAAGACTTGCGCGAGGGTGAGTCAGAGAAGAGATCTGGTCTCGGGAGCCTCATGATGTCTTGTTGCTGACCTGCTCATGGACGCCTGCACTTTCAGACGTACGCATCCTGGGGGCTGGGGCACTGATTGCTTTGCGAAGACCGACGCCCCTTGTGACCTGGCTCTCTTGGCTCGTATGAGGCTTGAACCGCTTCTGTATTGTACTTTATCGTTCGCTCGCTCGCTCGCTCGTTCGACAACCTCTTCCGTCATGCTACCCCAAATAGAACTCTCTGGCGCGCATCGCAACTTCGTTTCTTCTTCTTTTTTTAAGCTCTCGCGCATTCACGTAAAGTGGGGATGAATGCAATAATCCTCCCATATCCTGGTCCTGCTTCGTCTGACTTTGCCTCGCACCGCACCTCGCACAGCACAAAAATCTACGGCGGGGCCCATCATTCGTTTGTTCTTGTCGCTCCCCCTAATCCAGAGACTTTACGTGTGTTGATTGCACTGCTGTCCTATTCCGAGTAGCCGGTTTCGACATCTAAGTTAAATGAGAGCACACCAAGATCCTCGAGACCTCTCCAGCCGAGTCGGCTGCGGAACGTATCAAGCGGTGTGGCATTGCTGCACCTCCGTTACCTTCACGACACCTTCATCCAAGCTTGTACAACGTGGCCAGCATCCTCCTCGTCCAAGCTGACGACTCTCCACCCTCGCAGGAGCCTGTTCATCAAGCTGCCAAAGAAGAGCGCGACGATCGTGCTGGTCAAGATGATGACGTTGTAAGGCATGCTGAAATCGGGCGTCGGCAGGCTGAGCAAGGTCGAGCTCGTGTGCAAGCGCATCCACTCGCCGCGGGCACGCAGAGCGCTCGGTCCTTTGATCATCTCGGTCGAAGACAAATTGGACGGGCTGAGAAGGACGACGCTGGCCCCAAGGATTTCGAAGCCTCTGTGTGCGTCAGACGGGTACTCGGTGTACCATAGGTAGGACGATTCATACACCATCATCAAGCGTGTGGTCGAGCGAGGTGGCAAGCGCAACAAGGCCTGCAAAGTCGTCGCCCGCGACCGCGCGATGGGAGGGGTATAGTCGAGGGAGAGTACGACTTCGTCTGCGACATCCGCCGAGTCGGAAGGGGTGCTTGAAGCCGCGCACAGCGTTGAAACGAAGGCTCGCAGCCACCAGGGCCAGGTCTCGATCCAAATAACGTCGGCGTTTGAATCAAGATTGTTGATGAGCTCGATCCCTATCCGACCGCGCTCTTGCCCACTTCCGTGTAGCAAACGGCGCACGATGAGGGGCGTCAATTCAGGACTTGAAGTTGGCACTGCGTAAGGTGCCAAGAATCAATTAGTTTTGTTGAGGCGGCGCAGCTCGTTAAGACTGTATTTCGGCTCACCGTGCTCAAACACGTTGACATCGGGCCAATCGACTACGATATTCAGAGTCTCGTTGACTTTTTGCAGTTGCGTGGAACGTCAGTGAGACTCGTTCCCGCTCAATTGGGCACCGGGCATGCTCACCTTGCTTCGTGTCCCACCGGACGACGTCTTTGCCGTCGACTTGAACGATCGTTCGCCCATGCGACGACGGCTCTATTCGGAATGGGTTGATCGAGTCGGTCGGTATCGCGACCTCTACTGATGATTCTGTGGCTACGGGGCAAGCTTTTTGGAGTGTACGGTCATACAAGGACTCGAACGAGAAATCTGCCGAGAACGAGTAATTCGAGTCGAGCTTAGTGGCAGGGATCTGGATCGCGATGCCATAGGACTGTGCCACACCTCTTCGTCCGAGAAAGCCCTTGAGGCGGTCCTGTCGTATCGGGTCGGCAACTGTTCCCACTTGCAGTTGTATCGAATTCACTTGGCCATCACGCAAGACATGAACTCCCAGCAAGGTCCAGTCGCTATCGAACAGGCGATGCGGGTTCAGCAGCGACGAAAGCCCGGCGTAAGAGGCGCACGGAAGGAGGGAGAGGAAAGGCGTCAAAGACTCGGTGCAAGTCGCAGAGAGTCGAGGCATTGTGGCCCGATAGAGTCGGTGTTCTAGGGGGAGAGGGGCACGCAGAAACGAGCAGGTCGTGAGGGATCAGCCGAGGCGCGACATACATTGGAAAGTCGTCTTCAGGAGAGGCGACTAGTTCGGGGACCAGGGTTTTCACGCTTGGCTTGTGGTGCACTCGTCTCCAGCCTTGCAAAGGAAGACTAGTCGAATTTACGCTTCTTTCCCCCACTCACCTCGCTCATCGACACTGCCTCCAAGCACGTTCCCCCACAACGGTCTGCTCTCGCCCGCACTGATGCCGCTTGTCACGCCCGTACAGAACATTCCACCGAGCGCGTTCTTGAAGTCGTCCCAGCGTTGCTCCTCGTCCCTGGGGCTTTCTCCCTCGAGCAATTCGAGCCAAGCGACGAGCTGAATCCCCGACACCGCAGTCGATCGGGTTGGCCAAGACGAGGCCCAGCGACCCGAGGAGAGCGTCAGGTCGAACGAGGTGACCCGGGAGTGATATGCCAGCGCTGTGAGCTCTGGTGGAAGGAGTGTGTGGTGGTGTGCTGCATCGGTGAGCCGATCCGGAGGGGTGAGAGTCGGTTGGATAAGTCAACTGTCCCACTGGAAGGGTCGAGCATGATGAGGCGATGGGAACCAGGGGGCGTCTGGCGATGAGACTGACTCTTGGAATTCGGACCTAGCCGATCACCGGCATCTCTCCAGTGAGCCGCGGTGAAGGTGAAGTTGAAATGCGAGTGTACCTTGCCATCGCGGAGAGGGGTTAGTCGCAGCGATTCGCCGTAGATTTCACGTGGGGGTGCGCCGGACGAGCTCGCTCCCGGGATCAGCAACGGCAACAGCACGAGCAGCGCGTGAGGAAGCGATGCCCAATGCATCTCTGGCTTGTCGGTGGGAAGGCACTGTGCTCAGTCGGAGCTGGGCCCCGAACAGGAGCAGGAGACGAGCTCAAGCCAAGCCCGGGAACATTTGGAACTCCAAGCTCCTTCCACGACGAGGCCGGGCGACGCGCCGAGTCGCCCTTCCGACTACTATCTGCCTGCCTGTTACTCGCTCTCATCGCGGTCGAGAATTGTCGAGACGGGTAGGACCCGCCAATCGAATGTCTTGTCTGCGTGCCTCAACGGCATCCCCCGCGGGACCGAGATCTACATGCGTCGGCCGGGAGGCCTCGGCATTCCAGCTGTTCTACCTTACAATGAAAAACGGAATGCCGACACCAGTCGGAGCCGCTGTGCAACGCGGCCTGAGCGATTACGTGAAAAAAGAGAAAAAGCAAAAAAGGGGGCCCCCACACATCCCGACTTCCTCTCCATCATCCCCAACCTCGTCCGACCTGTCCTGACGTCTTGCGAGTTGAACGATGTCAGCAGCAGCTCGCAACTTCGGGTTCGAGCAGAGGGGGCGAGCGGAGAACTTTGGTTGTTTTAGGCAAACGGGGTGAGCATATGACTCACCTTTTTGTGGCAAACTTTTTGATCGTCAATATATCCGTTATGACGTCTTGAACAACCCAATGGCCGCAAGGAAGCACCCTGTGACGCCAAATCTCGAGATGTGGCCGAAGGTGTAGGTGGAAGCGGATGATGTAAGCAAGAGGAGGAACGTCGGACCCCTGAGGCATCGGTCCCCTACGGGAAATCCACGCAACCGCAGTTGACCGCGGTTGGACGATGGCGCCGAAGTTAACCGCAGTTCAACCGCGGTGCCCGCGGTTGCGCGGATTACCAACTGCGGTTGCAACTGCACGAGGTCGCCAACTTGGGAATGGTCCATTACGCCCTGCAATTCTCAGTTGGCTCATAGACTAAGCGAGAACAGCCTGACTTTGAGACCTTATCTAGTGCAGCAAACAACTCGTGATATAGTCTCGAGTGGTGCTCTAATTACATACATCAACCTAAGAATGTGTAACATCTCCAGATTCGAAGATGTGGTGGTCTTGGAATTGGACAAGGTTTCTAAAGGATTGAAGCTAATGAGCAATTGGAGAAACCGGGCCCCTGTATCTTCAACCGGACGACCGAATGGAGAGCGCTCTGCCTCGTGTCAGTGCCAGGCGTCGACTCGGCGCAGAGGGGTCGCAGTTGAATGTGGAAACACAGATATCGCATATGTGTCGGGAGCTGTTACAGCTGGCCCTGCGCCTTGCAAGCTCGGCCGCGGTGGGAGGCGACCGCATCGTATTCGGGATGATGGACACGAGTTGGCGGAGACGCTCGACGCCGATCAGGCTGAGGGTGCGAGGACCATCCACATCGAATCTCTCGTACAACCGCCGGATGTCCATGGCAACTGGGAAGACATCGACCAACGAAAGCAATCGCTTCTCCTTCAGCGTCGTTATACCTAGCTCAACAAAACACACAACTTCGCCGGCGCGCTGTGAATTGTCGGCCTCCATTGATATCTGTGGATCCCAGATTGGCTGTCAAGAATCTCTCGGCTGACATCAGATGCGATGAGTTGTTTTGGTGGTACTCACTCGCACGAATCTAGCCGTCTTGCAGTTGACGGTGCCTTGCGTATTTCGCATCTCGTTACCAGATCCGAGCAACGTGATTGCCGATGCACCTGCACCCTCAAGGCGCCGCCATCCTTCGTCGAGCGAGCTGCCAAAGCCCATCGCATAGATGGTTCTTGGTGTAGTCGTTTGCATTCGACCCCAGAGAGTTATCGACGCGACACTGCCTCCGTGGAAGACTGCGACCTCTTCGGTCAAGTCGACGAAATTTTGCGAAGGGCGTTGCGCCGTTTTCTTGAGCGTGTGCAGCTTGTAGGCCGGCAGCTGGGCATGCAAGGCATGATCCCTCGGCAAAGTGTCCCGGAGATCTTCCATTGTAGGGATATCGTACTTGAGTCGGAGGATCATCATCATGTTCCGCATCTCCGCCGATTCATGCCAGACTCGACGGGTTTTGACTTGCTTCTCATCCCCCCTTTGATGTAACCCATCATCGTCTCCGTTCCGCAAGCCGAGTACTCGCGAGGCGGCCCCATTCTTTTCATAACATCGGGAACGTGCATAAGATCGTGGCGGGGGAACAGATGAAGGAACTCGGGATCTCAATCATAGAGAAGCTTCTCGCGCAGTAGCAGCGTCTGTTCGATGAGAACATAGAGGTAGGTGTACGTGATGGGAACCTCGCCCTTTTCATCGAGCTCGTACAGGCGAAGTTTTTCGAGCCGGTCCACGTCCGGTAGGCGATCGAAAAAGTCAACGGAGTCATCGATGAAGACCGATGTCTTCATCGCCGCAAACATCCGGATGGTGAGCGCCGTCAGTCGCTCGAACTCGGGTTCCTTGAATTGCTGGTACGAAAGCGGTCCCAGGTCACGCAAGATGAACAGTTCCCGTTCGATTGCTTTACAATTTTTCCTTTTCTCGGCTAAAGGCCTGACAATCACACCCTCCACTCTCGCAAGGTACGGCCGAGACAACAGCTGCGCACGAGTCATGCGAGCGATCGCGTCGGAGGTCAACGTCATGGAGTGCCTGCGTGCTTTCGAGTCCAAGTCGCCGACGAGGATATTGATGAAAGTGCTTCCACTGTTGATACCAATCAGATGCATATAATCCAATGGTAGGAACGTGGAGTAAGCATCCTTGAACAGGTCAAGCGCCTCGATCGGAGCTTCGCCTGAGATCCCCGTGCGACGCCGCAGCGATTCGAGCTTGGTCGGGTGTCGTTTCATTGCTTCACCCACCCGACGGTAGTGCTTGTAGTTGCGCTCGTTATCCAGTCGAACGTCCCGTCCACCAGGGGTTTGGAATGTCGTGGTGGTGTCGACAAGCCCAGCCCACTCGGGATGGTCGAGCACCGATACGATCACTCCCTCGTCGTTTTCGAACGCTTTCGCATGAGGAACACAGAACGGCAGATAGCCTTTCGTGTTTCCAGGTGCGTAATGAGGTATGCTGATGATCGAGCAGATCAAGCACGAAACGAGGCCTCTTGCTCCCACGAGGTTTCCAAGGGCTGCTTGCTCCAGCGTGTCGGCTATGCAAGCCACGATCCTGTCTCTGCAAAGCACGTGCCTGTCCCGAGCGGCTGAAAAGTATGTACGCTCCCCTTCGAAGATGTAGAGCTGTTGACAGAGTGTTTCGAGGAATGACTTTTCGTCTTTGGGTTTTTGAGGGCCGTTCACGGAGATGACAGTGCGATGATAGCTTCCAACGAAGTTCGGGGGGCAAGGTCATGGGTATCACCCCAGAGATGTGGGTGTTGACCTTGCGATTGGCGTTGGAGTGCGCGAGCACTTCGGTTCCGTCGGAGAATGTTGCAAGAGGGATGTCATCCGGCTTGAGATCGCCGTTTGCGTAAAGCCTTCGTGCGTGTAAGCCGTCGACCCATCGCTTCACGACCGGGTAAGAGCCCGAGCCACTGCCTGACGCCTTGTACAAGTCGACGACCTCGTCGCTCGGCTTGGCATTGGCAAGGGTAGGGCCGATTACTGGGTGTGCACGAAGCGCGTTAACAAAAGGGGCGGGGTCATGAAAGCGCTGCGTTGACCGCTCAGTTTTCTCGCAATTCTTGCCCAGCGTGAAACGTTTCTCGCGGCACCCGCGCGTCGGACACTCCTCAAGATCTTGGAGTCGTTTGGCGCCATAGGACAGGCAACCTTTGGGGCACTTGCCGACCTCCAAAGTTCTGAAGCCGGTGAGATGTCGTATCGCTCGGACCATTTTGTACTCGGACATGTTGCTGAGGTCAGCGTCGTGGAAGGTGTAGGTGCGCAGTGAGGTTAGTCCAAGCGTCCCTCAAAAGCGATCCCCGGCGGCCAGTCCGGTCAAACATTACAGTAAGTAACTTGTTGCCGGGATCACATTGGAACCTCAAGATAACTAACCGTACATCGAGCCTGTACTCGATCTAACCGTGCAAGAGCTTCCCGCTTGGACTTCGCGTGAAATTGAAGGGCATTGCGGCCTCCTTGGACGGGCCCCTCAAATGCTCACGGCGAAGAATCGCAAGGCGGCGGCGAAAGGACTATTTCCCGTCAGTCACCCCTATTCCGCTGTTACACAGCTTTATCTCTTGCGAATCAGGAAACTAACCAGCATGCTTGGGGTCAATCGGTCCTTGCGTAGGAGCTGGCGGCTCAAATCGATGGGCACTCTCAACTCCAGCATTCGGAGATTGGCGGATGGGAACTTGGGCGCGCTCGCGCTTCGCGCTCGGACCTCTTTGAACTTGGACTTAGAATACCCGATCTGCGACTAGCGCAGCTCTCTCTCTCTCTTTCCTTAACGTTCCCAATCTTTTTCTATTCGGCATCTTTGTTTGCTCACTGCGCTGCTCCTCATAGGTTAGTGTAATACATCATGAAAGTTCCCAATCCTATTACTCGGCATCTTCGTTTGCTCACTGCGCTGCTCCTCATACGTCCAACCTGCTTGCAAAAGTCAGGCAAACTAACCAGATTTTTGCCGATTAGATTTCCAATTTCCAATCGACTTTCACTGCTTGAAGCGCGCACGAAGCGCGCGCCGCCTCTCTCCCTCCTGCTCCACGCATGCCAACATCATGGTCGCCCCCGACTCAACTGAAGCGCCCTTGGCATCGCCAACTTGCAGCATTCGACTCACCGACTTGATCGGCACCAAGTCAGTGACTGAGTTTAGATGACTTACAATCTCGATGCTACCCGGTCACTCAACATGGCCCGTGCTTTTGGTGTCACGTGTCCGACCCGGCCTCGCTCGATAGTACGTCGCACCGATCACGCTGACGCAGATCCCACTGATCAGCAGCTTGTTCCACCGACTCTGTGATGCTCCCCAGGTTAACTCGCCATCTGGTATCCTTAGTTCGTGTACTAACCACATCAATCAATTGTTCTGCACTGGGACCTAGCCTTGCTCGGCGGTCCGAGTCACATGCACTTGTCTCTGTTCAGGAAGCCCACAGGTGGCCATTCTTTGACTTCGAGAGAAGTGTGAGCAAGCTTGCTCTATCGTCCGCTCGCTGATGCCAATGTGCTTGCATTAACATCGAGAACAGTGCCACAGGCCACACTGCTTCGCCTCCGAGTCGATGCTGTAGACGGGAGCTTCGAGGTGAGCAGTCAGTCGGTTATCCAAGCTCGACGAGAAGATGTTTAAGATGTGTACAAGCATATTTCAGGACCTGATGTTGAACTATAGGGTGAGTCTCTAGTTCGCTCCTACACTATGACCGGGCTGATTCTGATCCGTCGCGCGACAGCAGGCGTGCGTCCGATCGACGCTTCGAGTTTGATCAGTCGAGTGAGTCAGCCACCAGACTGAGTCTGAGGTAATCCACTGAATATAGCGCGACACTCATCATCAGCCTTGTGTGTCATTGACAGGTTTAGTGGCAAGATTCGAGGGTGGAAGGTGAGTCGGCGTTGCTGGGCCCGAGTCTTCGGGCCGATCCGACTTAGCGATTTCACGAGTTGAGGCCGAGTGCCTCATCAGGCCTCAGGCTCAAGGTTCGTCTCTTGGTTCGAGTCGTATGCTTGATATAATGCAATGGCATTGGCAGCGCCACTTTACTATATCTTTACTGTACATGCAAAGGAGAGCGAAGAAAGGGATAGTATAGGCTGCTACATTATTACAACCGCGGTCACAAAAGTTCGTAACCGCAATCACTTAAATTGGTCTACTACAACTGCGGTTAGTGCGGTTGCGACTGCGGTTGGGTATTTTGCAACCGCGGTTAAAGTGCACCTCCGCAATCCACTTTCTAGGCCTGAAGTTGAACCGCGGTTACTTTCGAATGGCTGGACGGGCGACGTCTGTTCCACCAACCGCGGTCAACTGCAGTCGACTGCGGTCCAACTGCGGTCAACTGCGGTTGCGTGGATTTCCCGTAGGGATCGGTCGCTCAACGTGCTGTGCACCATTTCTGTCGGTAGCGAGCGTGTTGCGCTAGAGGTCAACCGGTGACGAAGGTAGAAACACACATAAGCAATATGGCCATGCCGCTCAGTTCCGTATACGACCAACCAGTAGTCTGAACAAGAGACTGGCATTGCTAAAACGTCAAGTGCTTGACGAGGAACTCGGCCGTTTCGAGGTACGCCGCCTCTCGTTCAGGTAGAACAGCCTTGGTATCATTGTCCACGAGATCATGATCGCCATTGGGTACGGTGAAGAGAGAGCCCGCAGAGAATCCAATCAGACCAACTCGGTCGAGATCAACGGACACGCCGGTAGGAAGCGAGCTCGAAAATTCGAAGGTAGCAAAGTAGGTGAAGAGGGCCTCGACGTCTTCAAGTTGATCGTAGATGGTCGAAGGATCGAGCATACGGTAATCCGGATAGACGATGATGACGCCCGAGGCGAGTAGAGGCTCCAGCAGCGACGGTGGAATCATCGCATCGCGACGACTGCCAACGAAAAGTGCTGCGCACGTGAAGGGAACTATGGTAATAGTGAGCGGACGATCAGAGAAAGGGGGGGGGGGGCGATTGCTATCGAAGCGCAGAGACCGAGATGCCGAAACCGAGAAACACGCAGATAATGAAACCGAGAATGATAGATTCGCAGAAATGTCCTCTTCCAAGCGGTCCTCCCCTCCGAAAGTCGCCTCCCTCCAAAGTCGGTCTGAGTCGTGTCTAGTCTAGTGGTCTCTCTCCGAACAAGAAGCGAGTCTTCCCTCCAACGCCAGGACACTCCATTCCCCCCGGGCCAGCTTCCTCCTCTTTTCCGACACTCGGCCTTCTGATCACGCCATACTTCGTCCTGATCACGCCATTCCTTGCTCCTGTCACACGGTCCCTTGCTCTGAACTTTTATCCGCTCATGTGACGCTAGGCCGAGTTAGCCGAATCTGCGCTTCCCGACTAAGCGACTCCAGCCCGATTTCCGAGACCACCGAATTAGCCGACGCCCGCGTGAGTCGACTACCCTAATGCAGCCGACAAGATCGGGAGTCCCATCTCATTTCCGACAACAGGAGCCTCATTTCCGACTTTGCTGCACACGACGGGATCCCGAGTACCACAGAACCCGACGATGAGAGTCACATTAAAAATTTAATATGTCAGCCACAGGGCAATTCGAGTTTAACTGCTCTGAAAATAACTAGCACTCACCTCCGCCGTGAAACGAGACGAGGACGGGCCGGGGACCCGAAGGTTCCTCTGGCCACAGCTGGACATCGCAAGTTGGATGGGCAGGCCCGCCTTGGAGACGTGGTACACCAAAGTGAGGCGGCTTGTTTCGTCGATGAATGACATCATGTTAACCGTGGTCGTGTAACTTCTACGCTTGAAGGTTCAGCCCCGCGATCGCGGGAACACACGTTGACGATCCTCGGGTTGGTGCCACAAGCTTGCGGGAGGCGACGAGGCCTGAAGTGTCTTGCTGCTGCTACTAATAGGCTAGCTTGAGTTGTGCTAACGCCAGATCAGCGGCGGAGTCCGATGCATGAAGTGACTGAAGTGTCGTTGAGGGCCGAGATACCTGCTTGGAAGGCCTCAATCTACCGAAGGGAAGCATTTTGTCAAGGGATGGACAAGTAACTACGTAATTGGGCTCGGTCGTCGGTAAGTGTGATAATAGTCCCACTCAAAAACGCCCGGTAAGGCCGGTGCGGGGCTAAATTCTGAGTCTAAAACCCTCCGCGCGGCAGAATAGGCTATAGGTGCCTGGGGCTAGAAAGCCCATGCAGAAATCTAGGGGGCGAGCGCAGAAGGGACACCAGGACGACAACAGCAGAAAATCGCCCACGTGAAAAAAAGGCCACTCCTCTGCCGAAAAGCAAGAGTTTGCCGAATCGGCTGCGAGTGCGACGGGCCGACGGCTGGATACTACGGCGCTGGGGGCTCGGTCGGAGTCGACGCGGTGGCCGAAAGCCGGGAGAAAAGGCCCACTCATACGCAATTGGGCTCCCAGGCTCAAGCCTGACACTGTCGAGTTCACCCGACTGAAAGTACTCCGGGACCACTCGACAATCAAGCTGATGGAGGTGACCCGAGAGCCACATGACCTAGCCAGTCTCATGGTAGATTCTAGAGCTCGGGCCCCTGACTCATCGACGACGACCCCGCCGCTCAGCGCGGGGACCGCCGGGGCTCAAACCATCGATCGTGATCGTTCGCCCTCGGCGAGTAGTAGCACAATCGCTTCCGAGGTCGGTCCGCAGAGGAAGAGGATCACTCGAGCGGTACGTTCTCCATTCACGGCGTCGTCGAACCTCGCAGACCCCACTCGGTCAGGGTAGCCTGGCTAAGCATGGGCATACCATCCGGCCAATTCACCCGTGTCGGAGCGAGCGGAAGCTGATCGCTGACTCGAGTGTCGCTTGCACTTTCGGCTCCTGGACGCAGTGTGATCAATGCAGCCACAGGCGCATCAAGTGCCTCAACGAAGGCGCAGAGGATTCGGCGTGTTTACCATGCGAGAAGGCACAGCTCGGATGCACCTACCTTAAAGTTCGTCCTCACGTGATCGCACGCGTCCACCTGGTGCAGCGCGCAGCCCCGACTCGGAAACGCCGAGGAGGGCCCACTCTGCTAAACAGGCAAGCTGATCCCAAGATATCCCACCCTCCCTTCACCCACCACCCAGGAGCCCAAACATCGAGGCCCAAAGAGGAAGAGGGTCGAGAGCCTGACACCATCGACATCAACGCATTCTGCCGCACCGCCTCCTATAGCGGCCGCCGCCCAGGTCAGTGCAAGCACCGTCCGGGCGGTCCTCACCTCGCAGGCGATGTCATGCCAAGTGACCACCGTTTGCGTGCCGTTCTGGCGGGAGCTGACATGGCCATGATGCAGCAGTCACAGTTCCTTGGACAGTCCGCACATGCGATCGCTTCTACATCGCGCATCCCGCTCCCATCTTGTGAGTTCAGCAAGCGCGGGAATAGCGGGTTTGGGCGCCGTGGGCTGGGCTGATCGGACGCTTGCGTTACAGACCATTCCGTCATCGCTGCGCCGCCTCAGGCCAACGGCGCGAACAACACCAACCCTTTCCCATCCCACCTCTTGAACGCGGTCGGTGCTCATGCGTCAGTACCCGAAGTGTCGACCGATCCCTCGAGCGAGCAACAGTCGGTCTACGATGCGCTGTCCTTGTTTACGGGGCCCCACAATCAAACTGTACCGAGCTACGGAGCCGACAACTACGCTTGGACGGACTCTGCGATGCTCAAATTTGACTTCAACCTCCTATCGGCTCTAGTATGTTTCCAACAAATGAAGTCCTGGTCGTCATATCCCTTGCAGCCCTCGGCCCAAGACCCCTAAGCTGACTTCCCATTGTTTCCACTAACGCCGCAGGAGTTCGGCCAGGACGAGTTGCGCGTGACCGAACCGTTCGAAACAGATCACGAACATCTCTTCCACCACCCCTCGCGGATGACCTCCGGCTCGACAAGTCTTGGCTCCGATGCGAACGCGCATCAGATCCGGTCTGCGAGCACGAGCTATCTGGGCACCCCGACCCACTCGGCATCCTCGCCATCGACCTCCCTCCCACTCGACGAGCACATGCCCCACTACTTCACCGTTTACTTTGATCGGTTTTGGCAGCTGTTCCCCATCGTGAATCGCCAACGGCTGACCGCTCAGGTCCAGGCGAACGAGCACCGGCGACCGGGACCGATTGCGCAGCTCGTCTTGTCCATCGCGGCTCTTGTCGAGACGTCGGACTATTTGGAGAACTCGCCTCACGACGGAGACCCGATGAACACACGCGTCGGGCCTGTGCTATCCTACGCCAGGACGACAGTGTTCTCGCCACTTCGTGAAGAGGATGTGCAACTCGACCAAGTCATCGCGGTGATGAACCTCTTCGTCGCCGAAGACATCCTTGGCAACCGTCGCGCGGGCTGGTACCGTCTTCAGGAAGCCATCACGCTTGCGCAGGTGCTGCAGCTGGACCAAATACCACAGCATGCCCATGCTCTCGATGGAAGCGACCAGGGCGCCATCGAGGGCCTCAAAACATTCTACATCCTCTTCATCTGCGAGCGCGCAACGTCAATGTTACAGCGACTGCCGACGATTGTACACCGCCCTCTACGACTACCCGACAACGCGTACCAACTGACCCAGCAGCGACTCTCAGCCCTTCCGCCTTCTTTGTTCAGTGGGTTCCCGATGCCGCATCTGCGCCTCTTCAGCTTGATCAACAGTCAGGTATTGAGTTGCTGGCACGGCACCTGCTCGGTCGCCCCGAATGGATGTACGGCCTGGTCCGTCGACAAGGCCTTAGCGCTGCAGCGAGACTTAGCGAACGAGTTTACATCCGCACTTAACATGTACAGGAACGCATTGAACGCGGTGCCTTCCACAAACGGGATCCAGAACGTCAATTTAGTCGTCACGACTGCCTGGCTTCGCGAGTAAGTCTTGCCTTTTCACGTACCACGATTCTTCGTGTGAGTGGCTGTGAGTGGCTGTGCGAATGCTGACATTTGCAAACTTATGGAACCGCAGCCGCTTCTGGAATATCTGCCAGGCGCACGGCCTCGTTCACAGAGATTCAGGCCCTGAACTCAGCCCCGCTTACCCCTTCAAGATCTTGCGCGAACTCGTCGACATGTTTGATCACTTCAAATCATCAGACACCGACGCGGCACTCGACTGGGGGGCGAAATTGTACGACATGGCTATGACGGGTATCCGCATCGTCTCACAGGAGCAACTCGTGCTCACGCCCAAGTCGACATCACCGAACTCGGTCAACGAGTCGATCCGGTCGCCACTCAAGCAACAGCTCATGCCGATCCTGTTCAAGATTCTCGGATTGCTCACCATGGTGTGTCCTCATATCATATGAATTGTGTCTTCCCTGTTCAAATAAATGGGCACTGATTCGCATCCTCTGTGTGGTCTCTTACAGTACAAGCATGCCCAAGACAAGCTCTTGCCGGACCTTGTGAAAGCTCTCGCTACCATCTCTTAGTTCGGTCCTTGATGCGCGCACGCGCCCGTGTATCATGCAGGTTATCCCCTTCTCTATCGGATAAGTATAGCCAGGAATGTTGTAACAAAACCGCTTGCCTGAGGGAGAACCCTGGAAGTGTTTGGAAAACGCTAATTGGATTGCGCATGGTGACTAGCACCAACGTTAACAGGTATCCTCACCACCTCCTTCCTCATTCCTTGGCATCGACGGTCTTAGCGATGGCCCAGTTCAACCCTTCTTCGATCGGGGTCCACCAATCTGCACCCTCGGGCCAGAGCTTGGGGTTCCACTCGGTAAAGCCTGCTCATGAGATATCGCTCCAGTCAATCGATTGCCGCGTGATGAGCCCCTCGCTCGCAACATCATCACTCACCATGCTCCGCGTTCTTTCCAATACCAACGCGAGTCTCGACGCCATGCTTCTTGAGCGCTTCGACCACATCATAGGAGTGTTGCATCGGGATCAACGAATCACCCTCGGCGGCGAGCATGAACGTCGGCGGGAACCAGGGGCCGAAAAAGTCGAGAAAGTTCGCGGCGGCAGGGTAAGGTGGGTTGCCCCAGAGTAACGAGTCGTGGCAGTTGTACTTGACGCCGCTGTTGACCCAGATGCAACGTGGGTGATCATCGGGGAGGGGCATCGAGCTAGAGGTGTGGGCACATTACCAGTCAAAGTCGAGTCACGATGGAGAAGTCCTAGGAGCGCGGAGAAGGGACTGACTTGGTCTTGAACGAGCACCAGACACGACCAGCAAAGAGTTTTTGCACCGCCTTCCAGCCTTCGGAGTTGTTCTTAACCAATTTTTCCTCCAGAGCTGAAGTCGGGTTATCCTGGTAGCCGTCCTTCAGGCATGCTGGATACGCTGGTACAGCCGCTCGGGGCTGGAAGATCTCGGCCTCAAGGTGCTTTTCGTTTTACGTGTGCACATCGATAGGCTGTGTACGGGGGGGAGAAGGAACCGCCGATGAGACTCGTGGGCGAGTGAAATGTGGATGAGGCCCAAGACAGGAGCTCGACTCGATTCCTTACAAGGCAGAGGGTGGAGGTTCCACCGGTACTTCCTCCAGCCGCAAAGGCTTGCTTCACATCAAACTTAGGAGCCGAACCACTACTTTCTTGGCCAAGACATCGTTGAGCTTCGTTTGGTAGAAGATGAAAGCGTCGAGTACGTCCTCTCGGCAGGCCGATTGCTTGACGCTGCAGGTGGGAGGTGGAGCACGTTTTCCTCAAAGGTCAACGAAAGTAAAGCTTTCCGGGTGAAACTTCTCGCTGGAACGAACTTACTGCGGCGCCAGTCTATATTCCGGAGAGAGCACGGCGAAACCCTTGCTCAGGAGGTAGCGAACTTGATGGTGCGCGAGGTCCGAGCTGGCCCCGACCGAGAAGGCGCCCCCGTGAGCGTAGCTGTGAAGTAGCCAGGCGTTGATCGCAATATTCAGACTGAATTATTCCCATCTCCTTTGAGACCCTATCGAGTGTGACGGACAAACTCACAATGCCACAGGCAAAATCTGGCTCGAGATCGCCCCTTCAGGCAGCATCACGTCGAGATGGCAGCATCACGTCGAGATGGCAGCATCACGTCGAGATGGCAGCATCACGTCGAGATGGCAGCCCGGGGTCGGTCCGCCCTCGGCTTCGCAGTCATCAATCGCCTTGAACAGAACGCGGTACGAGGGCTTGACAGGCTCAAAGTTCATGTAATCAAACGTCATGATGAAAGGTCTTGTGGAGTAGGGCTGGCTTGGCTGAGTATGCAAATGAGATGCTCCTCTCGGGACTGAGGATTCGGATGGTGGAGAGCGGAGGTATGTGGGGAGACTCGAACGCAGTGTGTCGACTCCAAATGATATGTGTGTGCAGACCTATGTCCCCGGATCGGCACAGCGTGGTGACAATGTGAGAGTTCGAGCGAGTTGTGGACGCCGAAAACTTGGATCCGCGAAGAAGGTAGCCCAAGATCGACTCGGACGCTAGGGAGTGGATGATCGTGAACAAGCTAACAGCGAACAGAGAGACGAGGGGACCAGGAGGGGACTAGGAAAGCGGTAAACGCGTAGGCAGGTGAGAACTTACTCGACAGCGATGATGAAGAGTCTAATGGAGCGAAGACCGATGATCGAATCCTGGTTGGAAGGTCATAGAGATGGCGCGAGCCGATGACTCGAGCGAGAGGATAGGATCATGCGGGGTTTAACCGCGCGCGGGGTATTGACCGGGCTCTCGTCTTGTCTCGGAAAGCTAGTTAAAGACACCGTTCAGGCCCAGCGAACCAATTCGCCACCAGAGAGGGGCTCGCTTGGGTCCCCTCGTGACTGAGGCAAAATGATGCAGCATGCAGCTGAATGCAATTGGCCGGATCGAAAATTATTCAGCTAGTTGTATCAGTACGATCCTGCACAAAGAAAGAGGCGAGGAACTACGAATCACGTGTGAGCTCGCGATCGACAGGTTCAATCTACTAACTGCGCCGCACTTCTGCATACTTCACGGCATCTTCTGCATCATGCAGGGCATCTATCGATACAGCGCACGGAACAGACTATTTACGCCTCCTATAAAAGGCACTAATCCAGCTCTTGCTGCAGTCATACAGAACTGGTCCCTGCAGTGCCACTGCGAGCTTGGCACCTCGACCAGTAGCAGCCCCGACTTCTCAGCGTCGCGTACCCCATAGTGATTGCGGTGCCATTGAAAGTGTCTCGAAATCTTCTCAGTAGCACGGCCTGATCAAGTACAAATATATACTCCCCCACTTTACCAAGCCAAGAAGCCTGCATCTAGGTTCCAGAGTCGCCGATGGCGCAGTGGAAGCGACATTCCCGCTGCGGTTCCGCCAAGGCCGGGATTAGTACGGCGAGGGCACAGTATGAACAAGTCCCAGCCTACCCAGAGTAGAAGTTGTGTCACTGACTGAAGCTGCTCAGCTCAGAATGCCGTCTTCGTCCTATTTAACCTTATGACCACGTACTGGGCAAGCGTGACCTCAATGTCCGCCCGAGTCGACACTAAACTGGCGCAGAATCGTTATCACTTAAAGACAGTATACCTCAAGCTGGAAAGCATAGATGACCGGTGCTTGCCCCCTCGCACCGTGGTAAGGACACACACGCTCCTCAAAGTTTCTTCGAGTCGTCGGACCTTTCTTCCTTGCGAACCGTGCAACAAGCCTCTTCCTGCGAACCCACAGGAGTGCGCAGCAATTTTCCGGTTGAACGATTTGCTTCGAGCTTCGTTCGCATCGAGCGCCCGATTGAATTAAAAATATCGAAAGCCAAGTTAGTTTAATTATTAAACTGCGGGATTACTTTTGTACATTATGGTATAGCAAAGCGGTCGATCAAAGATGATATGTAATGATAAGGGGAAACGATGGAAACGAGACCGAAGACGAGGGAGACGAGATACGAGAGAGCGACCGGAACGGCCGAGAGACGAGAGACGAGAAAGGAGCCCAAACCGAGAAACGAGACCGAGTACGAGAACGGAACGCTGAGACCGGAGACTGGAGACGAGAGACGAGACTTAAATCACGCAGAAAGTGAGAACCAGCTAAGATGCTGTATTGGAGCCTAGAAGTGGTCTGGCTAAGAACAAGAAGCAAACTCCCCTCAAACGTTCCGACCATTCAAACCGCTGCGCTCCTTTCATTCCCCTTCTCCCCTTCATCCGGGCATCCGGCCCGGTCTTCCATTCAAATCCCGCCACATGATTCGTCGCTGACAGTCAAGTCTCGAATTACCGAAGTACTGAGTTTATCCGGGACCGCTTAATCGTTGAGAATTCCGCCGAAACTAGTGGAAATTGATCCTGCCGAAACTAGTGGAAATTGAATCGACTCCCGACTCGGCCGTCGAAACGACTTCGGAACTCGACCCTGCTTCGATCGAAACGACTCCGCTACAACCGCTGCTTCCGACGGGATCCCGAGTGCCACAACATGGCCCCCAGGAAGGGTTATTGCTCTGCACCAAGGATCTTACCAGGGCTGCCTTTGTGCGGCGATTGTCAATATCCAAGCCGGAATGCCGAAGCGCGAGCTGCGCAGGCCGTGAACCTTGACCGGAACAATGATTTATCTGGCCTATCGGAGAAATAGGGTCTTTCATTATATGGGGGTTAAAACGTAGACTCCTATAGCCCTCGCAAAGATTCCTTTATATCCGCGCTCACACTGGCCGGTTCACCGAGATAGCGATCGGTTTTTAGTTGACTCACTGGTGCGCTTCTTCAGAAATAGGGGCAGTGCCTTGGTGTGTACTTATAATTGCAGTGTACTAGGTACCACGTCTTCCAGGAAAGCGTGCAAAAGATGCTCGAGACATTTTGCCGCATACCGACAATTCACCTGACAACACGCCTCCCACTCCCCTGTGAGCGGGTGAACGCTCAACGCTCACGCGCTCACGGGTAATTGCGAACGCGGACGTGAGCTTCCCAGCTTCGACGGTGGCCTCGTTCTCCACTTTGGCTGTGGAGAGCATGGGAAAAAGTGGGCTCTGCAGCGCATTCTCAGGTCGGTAACTAGGGAAGTATCAGAGCTTAGTATCCAAGAGTGCACGATAGTTCTCGGGCAGAACGTCGCCGCGGGAGACAACTAAACCCTGAGCCGTCGTTCAAGCTTTTTCACGTTTACCCCTCTAAATAAGATCAACCATGCCCGAGTTTGGTGTGGGAGCTCCACAGTCCGAGTGACTGGGTCAGGATCACTCGTCACAAGTTGCATGTTTACCCAGACGGATCAGCGACCTCTCCGTTCTCCCTTCTTCTCTTCCTTTCTCCATCCCTCTGAAACTCCACAAACATTACCCCCACCGGTTCTCCCTTGCCGGCATCCGCTGCATCCTACAAACACCATTCGAGTTTCCCCGAAATCCTTCTTGCGCTCCCGGACATCGCCCTTCGGCGGGCACTCCCTCACGATCCCACATCATCCTCGTCCTGTCAGGGGGACCACCAAACTGCGTCTTGGCCTTGGCGGGCGCGGTGATTAGTACCCTTCCGTGCGGTCGTAGCCTCATGTTGATACGTGGCTTGACGATCATCTGTATCATCGAATTCGCCGCCACTGACGTCGCCACGACGGCGACCTTCGTCTCGACCCCAAGTAGTGATCCGAACCGAAGTCTCGTCGATCCCTCTCAGAGAATTGACCGTTGCGTACGCGACCTTTTGCCACAGTTCGACCACCGCTACCCTCACTTACTTCGTCATCCGCTTCATCCTCCAAAAGCCTCGGTCTTGAAATTTACCTCGCTTTCGGTGGAACGACCTTCCTCAGCACCATCAAAGCCTACTTGGTCGAAGTGCGGTCGAGGTCGAGGAGATGTACAACGACAGGATACTGGCTTGGAAGTGCAGCACGCACGTGTACCACGACAGCTTCATGTCGCCCGTGCTCTAAATGAGATCCAACGTGGCGAGAAGGGAGGTACAGTTGTCTGAGTATCCGAGGTTCTCTCTCTTGGGTTGTTCTGAAGATCTCTTGTGATGATTCGGCGATTGCCCGATTGCCGGCTCGACTCCTTTGGGTCTGGAACAATAATGTGCGTAGGACAAGAGATGAACATACATAAGCTGAAGATTGTAATTTTCTTTCTTTTAAGTGCCATACTCTACGAAAGTTAGAAGCGAGCCAAGGAAGAAGCCACAATACGAGCGCTCGAGTTGCACACTGAAAACGATAGCCTGTCTGTGCGCTCGGCTTGAAACTTCAAACCGAGCTCAAGTCAGCCTCAATAAGAGCTCAGATGGACCAAAAGACAACCTCCATCGACCAAGACCGTCTCGCCCGTGATGAACGAGTTAACGAGTAGCATCAACGCCGTACTTCCAACATCCTTGGCTGTTGAAAGAGGATTCGGCGCATGCACCTACTTGAAGGTGCCTTCACTTTTGGTGTACTGGTCAAGGCGACCAGGATGGTTTTACAACAGGCTATGAGCCCAACGAGCGATGCTCTTGTTGTTAAGACACAACATTGGCGTCGCCTGAGCTTCCGAGTGGGGTGGTGAAGCCGAAGTCTTCATTTGCGGTGCTTGCTGCATGATGTTTTGAAAAAGAGAAAGGGTTGGTCAAGAATCAGTTCCGAAGCCTGACATCACCCCCATCAGGCGATCTTTCGCAACATACCCTCAATCGTACTCCTCCCCCACTCATCGACCATGCCCGGCCTCGTCATGCCCGAAGCGAATAAAGCCGGAGCGATCGCATTGACCCTCACACCCAGTGGGACGATTTCATGCGCCAAGAGGGCGGTCATGACTCCCATAGAGGCTTTGGAGAGTATGTAAGGGATTCCAAGGCCTGCTGTAGCGGGGTCCTGCGGGATCGGCAAAAGAGGTCGGAGTGGATCAGACTTCTTGAAAAGGGGCTACGTGAAGACGGAGTGTCCAGAGGCTGTGAGAATGCGAGGAGAGCTCACCTTCGTCCAAGCGTTCATACTAGCCGTGTTAACGATGGTAGGCAAGAACTTGTTCCCATAAGGCGCCTTGGTCTTTGAAGCCACGAGCAGAGGGAGGAAAGCCGTGGAAAGGAAATAAGGGCCGATTCTGCGAGGATGTGGGGGTCGAAATCTGTCAGAGTGTATTTTGCTGTTTCATCCCACTTTGTCTTCCTGATTATGATTAGTTACTAGTTGTTGATATTAATCGCCTCGCGCGGCTCGTGCCTGCCTCGCGCGCGCTCCCTTAGCGCTTCTCTTCTTTCTCCAACTATCTTTACTATCATCTTCGGCTCTCGTACTTACGCATCTCGTGCCTCGGCTTCAGGTTCCTATAAAAATCAGCGTTTCTCCCTCTTTGACCGGGTGTTGCTGCTCTGAGCTCGTACTTACGAGTTCACCCTATAGGCATCATAAAAGTCCTGCTCGTCCAACTTGTCGAAATATATACTCCTCGACGAAATCGCTGTAGGCGGGACCTTGGTTGGTCCTTTGCCCGGTACACCTTTTCGGTCGGAAGAAAGACCAAATGATTAGGGGAAAGCCTCTTTCAAATCAAGCTCACAACGATGGATGCCCACTCACCTGCATTGTTAACAACGCGGTGACATAACCTTCCTTCTCCCCCACCAGCTTCGCCAGTCGCTTCGCCTCGTCCTGGCCACTGCAGGGCCAAAAATAACTCTCCCGACCATCCGCACAACGCTCAAGGGCACCCCGCCCTATTCTCCCCAATCAGCCATTCCAACATACCTTACTCCCGCAATCCCCTTTCAAACCCTTCAAAGACCCCGCACCTTTGCCCCTACTCTGAGGCTGTTCAACCCTCATCAGCTCATTCCACTTGCCCGCCGTCTTGACCACTTGCTCCTCATCCAATCTAACAATATAGACTGTCGCTCCGTTGATGGCCAAGGTCGTGGCGATGTGCAGGCCTATGCCAGTGCTTCGGCCTAAGAAAAGCGTGTAGCTGGGTTACGATGTTGCCCAGCGAAGGGAGGGTATGAGCGTTCATGGGATGGAAGAGAAGCGATGATGTCAGTGATCTCAAAGTGGGGCCGCGCTTCACACCGGCGATTGGAGTTCTCCGCGCCGGAGGACCGTTTACGAGCCTAATGTTGCTTACCCGTGACGACGGCGACGACCCCTTTTAGATCGAACAGGGAAGAAGCGTGCAAGAGTGTGGTGTCGGGTTTGCTCATTTCTTTGGATGCGAGGAAGTGCGAGTACGAGCTGAGGTCACGGGTCGGGATGTGTGAGAGCGCCGCGGCGGACGAATGAGATCCGGAAGCGATTCATCCTGGCAGACTCTCACACTCGATCTCGAAGAGACCCTTCGAACCTAAACATATCCGAATAGTCTTGCATTCCCACCTTTGGGCCTGTCTGAGTAGTACGCAAAAAGAAACACAGAAGAGAACTCTCTCTAGCGAAGAAAGGTAGTCTCCTGATCTCAACTCGCGATCAGAATCTTCCTCCCTTCTTCGATCCCAAATCAGCAAACGCTCTTCACACCAGCTCGGAATCCTCCCTCTCTTCCTCCCCCTCCTTTGCAAAGCCCCTTTCTCAAACACATGCCCTCCCTCCTTCATTCAAACAACCGGATCCTCCCTTCCTCCCGCACTCTCCGGCCCACCCCCCAAATGCGTCTCCTTCGCGGTGACGGTAAACACCTTGGGCATCATAGTCCGATCATGCAAGTGAGGGAACGAATCCAAGCTCGAGTCCGTCGAGAGAAGAGAGTAGTTGTCGGGCTCGCCGGGCTGAGGAGGTCCAGAGAGGGGCGTTAGGGGGTTACTTTTGCGGTGGTTCGGGAATGGAATGCGTTCTACGGTTCACGTACGATTTGGATCGGTGCGGGTGCGACGTATTCGATCGAGGCCATGTTGGGGAGGAAGACTAGAACCATATCGTCAATCGAAATCGAGCAGACAGTCGGCGTCGGTCGTCGCCCAAGGAAACGAGATAATGAGGGGAAAGCAGATCAGATCCGTCAGCTTTTGCTTCCACACCACCTCTATGTCCATCATACATTCAATGAAACCAACTCACCTTGTCCAAGTTCGCCCTATCCCCAACCAACACGCACACCCAATCGAAAGCCCATCACCCCAACATCAGCAATCGCACTCAACAAAGCACCCCTCACCCCGCATCCCCAACCTCTTCGATTCCACTCGGACTGACCTTCATCTCATCCCTAGGCGGTGCGGCGAACGGGACCCCATCATGCGGTGCGACCTTCTTCCCCGGTTCGACCTTGGTCTCTTTCGTGACGGCGACGGAGGAGCTGAAGCCTCGTGTACGAGTCGGCGTGGCGGAAGTGGCAGCACGGAGGAGCACAGCGCGGGAGCATCGCTGGAGGAGGGAGGTGGACATGATGGGGGCGGCGTGTAAGTTATTGGTGTAAGTGTGCGTGGTGATAAGTAGGAGCAAGAGGGAAACGCCGCGCCTGACTCCATGACGGCATGCGGTCGGTGCGTACGCTGCGAGCCGCGAACGATAAAGCCACTGGGTCACGTGATGGCCATTTGCCTGCAATGCTCTTCGCATGCATATCCACTGCAACATGAAAAAACGAATGGAATGCCATAGTCTACAAGATCACGCACATCCTTCTTTCCAATCCTGGACAACAAGGCAAAACACAAAAATGGCAGGCACTCCGGATCCGATCATGTACAACAGTCCCGTCCCAACTACTCCCCGCCCATCCCCATCCCCATCCCCATCCCCATCCCCATCCCCACCCCCACCCCCACCCCCTCCTCTTCACCAGTCCTTTCCCTCGTCGTCACGAAACCCTGCACCCTCTCGGCCCTCCCCTCCCCTCTCATCCATTCCAAATCCCACAAGTCCTCCACCGCCGCGCGTTTACCGGGATCGCGCACCAACAGCCTCGCGACGACGTGCTTGACTTGCGGAGTTATCAATCCATTTCGACCCTCGATTCGAGGCCAGCTATACTCCCCTTTGGCGATTTTGAGCAAATACGTTCTCCGTGCTCTACGCGCCTCGTCCGACCCTGCTCCTCCACTTCCAATCGCGCCGACCGTCCCCCCCACCGCACGTTCTTCCAAGAACGGCAACACCCCCGTCACCAACGCGTAAAGCACGACCCCTAAAGCCCACGCGTCCGTCCTCCTCCCGTCATAAGGTTTACCCATGATCAGCTCGGGACTCGCGTACGCTTCGGAGCCACATCGAGTGGTCAGTGTCGGTGCTCGAACGTCGATGAAGCGCGAGAGACCGAAATCGGTCAATTTGACAAACGGCCGAGGGAGCGATTCCAGGATCGCTTGGGGCGACGTTCCCGTTTGGAGCGAAGGGAACGGTCTAGAGACGAGCAGAACGTTCTCGAGTTTGATATCGCGATGCACGAGACCGATGCGGTGCATCCACCCGACCGCGGCGCATAACTCGCCAAAGATGCGCCTCGCAAGCCCTTCAAAGAGTGACTCGTGCCATAGAGCGAGAAAGTCGAACAATTCTCCGCCTGCGCAATAGTCCAACACGAGCACGGTGTACAGAGGCGTCGCGAACGACGTCGACAACGAGACCAACGAAGGGTGGTGGACCGTCTGCGGGATCGCGGTAACTAGGGTCAGCGTTTTCCCTTTCTCGTCGAAAAAGGCAATGCTGCGGCCGGCTGAAAGATCTCACCTTGAGCACCTCGACCTCCCTCACAACGCTGATCCTCATTCTCTGATGATCTTCATAACTCTTCTTCGAGATGATCTTGAGCGCATAAGGCTCGGCCATCGGTCCCTCGCCTCTCCTTCGTCCCAAGACGACCCTCGAAAACGCGCCTTTGCCCAATATGCTCTCGACGACGTAATCGCCCAACATGTCCCCTCGTTTGAAAGGTACCGATTCGTCGTTTTGCGAATCGAGCGTTGACGACGAACTGGGCACTTGGCGCATCGTCGTCGACGTGGAGCCGTGAGTCGTCGATGATGCACTCGCTGCGGCCAATGGAGGTGTTGTCCTCGCTGTTGTAGCTTCGTGGCTTCTCGTCGGTGTTCGGGAGGCAAGAGCATCACTGTTACCGTTCGTTCGACGGACCCCGTCCGCATCTCCACGTGCCAGTATCGGTACCGACGACGTTGAAGTCCCAGACGTCGAGTCAAAGAGCAATTTCGTCGACCCACTCGTGCCCGCACCCGCACTTGTCGTACCAAACATCCCCCCAACCGTGTCCCCCGCATTCCCCACCGTCAAAGGCCCGTTCTCCATCTCGGACAACCTCGCCCTCGCGGCCCACCTGCCCGAAGGCGTCGCTTTCAAACTCGTCATCATCGCCGCCGCGTCCTCGCGATCGAGCCAACTGCCTACGCTCGAAGTTGAACTGGCGCGATCTCGACCTGTGAGCGCACTCACGACGGTGAGGGAGGAGAGGAGATTCGCTGGATCGACGTGGGGATTAACGGCATTGTTCGTTTCTCGTCTTAAGGAACTGGTCCGGGAAGGTGGATTAGGTGGTGGGCTCAAGACTGGCGAAGCGACGTCGTTGTGGGTACCAAAGAAATCGAGCGTTTTGCTCCTCGTCGGTGCAGTCGTCGTCGTCGTCGCAGCAGCCGAAGATGAATCGCTCCGACTCGTCGGACTCGTCGGACTCGTCGGACTCGTCGGTGGTTCAAGACCGGTCGACGCGTCAAGCTGAGGTGGTGTATGATGCAAGTTCTGATTCGGGGGTTGAAACTGAGTGAACGTATCACTCGGCGAGTCCATTGAAGTTCGCCCGATCGGACTCTGATACGTATCGAACAAGGTCGACGCTCCCCTCATTTCCTCGAAAACGCTATCGGCCCTCGCTCTCGAATGCCGTAAGCTGCCTGCACTCGGTCTCCCATTCCAAGCGTCGCTGGCGCCCGGTCCAGTGGGATCGGTCCATTCCCTGGGTCCTTGAGGGGAAGGGAGGGGGGTCATGTTTCGTTCGCCATAGTTGGAGAGCACGGGACCGACGTCCGAGGCGGCTGAACCCCAGGAGGGGGTTCGTCGCGCGGGTGAGGAAGGGGAAGCATCGCTGCGACAGTGCGGCGAGACCGAGAGGCGAAGAGGTGGCTTGGTCGTCGTGGTCGCCATGACTGAATTGTTGCCCGAGTGATGGGTTGAGTCGGTCGTGAGGGATGGGATCGGACGTGGCGACTCGTCCCCCACTTGATGCTCCACCAGGCCAGTCACGGCTAGTTGCGTTACACGGGCGAGTTGGCGAACGATGAGCCAATCCTGAACACGTCTGCACCCACCAGAAAGCGCCACATGGAATGTCAGCCCCGAACACGGGAGGCTTGTCCTGATGGGAAACCCCTCAAGAAGAGGAGGCGAGGCAAGGTCGCAGCTCACCCGAGAGGGGACGCCGAGCCGACAGCGAACGAGGGTGTGTTGAAACAGGACGTCGACGTGTGGGGAGGAGGACTGCGCTCGCGGAAAATACAATACGAAACTGGTTAGTGTCCGTGGCGCACACGTGGACGTCGTCGCACGGACAGTAACAGGGCGCCGGTCGTCAACGGCTGCACGTGCACGGGCTCTGGCAGGCACCCGTTCGGCGGGGTTCGAAACCCGGCCGGGATCACACACACTGAGTGATTACACAGCAGCATGCAACTCACCGAGGGGCCGAGTATGGTCTTGCAACTCGAGAGATCGCAATCCTGCCTGTGGTGCTAGGCACCCCCTCCACACGTATGCTCGTCCGGTCGTCGGTGGTTCCACTTCGACGAATCAAAACGAACTCGGGGGCCAGCCCAGAATCTCCGTGCGTCTCACTGCAGTCGAAGAGAGAGAACGGCGTCCGTATACAGACAAGAAGCACACAGAAAACCTCGATTCCTGTCCTACTCCTAGGTCGTGTCGATTTGCACTTGGCTTTGATGATGAGAGCGAGACGGAGACGGGAACCAGGCTGGCCGACTGACTGCCCGAGTCAACGTTGAACGTTGATCGCCCCGCGTACGACAGCGTACGACAGCGTATGACGCGTGCCGGGGCAGGCCGAGGCATTTTCATTGCCGCGCCGGAGCGAGGCTGGGGTAGTCCTTGCTTCATTCGTGTCGATTTTTGCTCTTGCAAGGAGAGCTTTCGTAAAGGCTACCAACTGAAAAACCCGCATTGAAAATTTCACCCCAGTCTTACTCGCGCGCCCGCACCGCTCACATCTTCTCCAACGGTTCGAGGGTCAAGAGCCTCATCGCACTCGCCAACACGTCCTTGGCGGTCACATACAACCACAACCTCGCCAACGCGACGTCCCTCTCCTGTCCTTTGACGAGCAAGGTCTCCCAAGCGGACGAGATCGCATGACACAACCTGAACGCAAAGGTGACGATCGTCGCCGGTTCGTGGTTGATCAGTGCCGCTTTGACGACGTGCGGGTAGGTCGAGATGAGCACGACGATTTCCCGCGCTTTGGGCTCGGTCAGTAGAGAGGTGTTGATCGCTGTAGGACGTTCGGAGGGAGGGGGAAGCACGAGCTCGGGCGCGTTCTTGCGCTCGACCGAGCACAGACGAACGTGGGCGTATTGCAGGTAGGGGCCTGGCGAAAAGGAGCGATCAGGTCCCAACTCTCCATACGTGCACCGTGTTCTCAACTCAGGACTAACCGGTATCGCCCTCGAACGAGGTCATACGACTCCATTCGAACTTGTAATTGTTGACCCTCTTGGCCGCCATATCCTGCACCTTGACCGCCGTAATGCCCAACTTGTCACTCGTGCCCAACGGATCATCGACGGCGTTGTACTTGGCCTCGTTCTTCTTCATCTGTTCGTGCATCACGTCCCTCGACTCGTTGAGGATCTGATCCAAGAACACGGCCGTCCCCTTTCGGGTCGACATCCCAAGGACCATCCCAAAGTTGACGTGTTGCAAACGGTTCGCCCAAGGGTACTTCATCAACTCGAGTACCTTGAACAGCTGCGCGTTGTGCAGATCCTGTTGACTGGCGACGACGTAGATGGATTTGTCCATGCGGTACCTCTCCCAACGTTCAGCCGCTCCACCGATATCACGCGTGATGTAGACCGACGTGCCGTCCTTTTTCCTCACGACTGTCTTGCCCATCTTGTACGGTTCTAAATCGACCACGAGCGCACCTTGCGACTCTTCCACCACGCCCAATCGCTGCAACACGTCCAGCGCATGGGTCTGACACTGCGCACTGACTTGGGATTCACCCGAGTAAATGTCAAAGTAGATATTGAGCCTCGCGTAGGTCTGTTTGTACTTGACGATACTCAGATCCCTGAACTTGCGCCACAACGCCAAAGCTTTTTCGTCGCCGGACTCCATCCCGACGAAGAACTCGCGCGCGCGCTCGTGGACGAGTTTGGCTTGCTCGGTCTCGTTGCCTTGTTCGTCCTTGGCGGAACCGTCGACGTTGATCTTGACGTAGACGTCGTACAAGTGCGTGATGGCATCCTTTTGCAACTCTTCTTCGCTACCGTACTTTTCGAAACCGACGGCGAGGATGCCTGAAAGGGAAGCGTACCATGCTCAGATGTTTATCCTCAAGGAAAAGCGGGAAACGAGGTCGCTCGCACAAACTGACCGAATTGTTTGCCCCAATCACCCAAATAATTCAACCTGACCGCATCCCAGCCGTTCGCCTCGTAGAGGTTGGCCAAGAAAGCGCCGATGATGGTGGACCTCAAATGACCGGCATGGAAAGGTTTGGCGATATTCGGACTGGAGAAATCCAACACGACCCGCTTGCCGTACCCGGACAGGTTGCTGCCGTAACCACCGGCCTTGAACCTCGTCACACCTTGAGGCGGTTCTTCCCGCGTGAAATCGAGCGCGTGCAAAGACGCCGGTGGTTCGTGCGCTCCGATCGGTTCGAGGTAGGTCAGACGGTTGATTTGTTCCAACACGAGACGGGTAAAGTTGGCGGTGTGGGCGTGGTAGGTGACGAATGCGCCTTGGACCGACACGCTCTCCAGGTAGTCGTTGGGGACGAACTGTGCATCCCACGGTCCGAATTAGATCGCCGCCTCTTTCCACTCGCACACATCCCGAACTGAAACTCACCTTCTCCTTCAACGCCTCCGCCACCGTCTGCGGCTTCCCGGGCAGCCTGAACCTGGGCAAAGCGACGGTCAAGTCTCCCAAGGACCCCTTGCCGGTCCTACCCGTCTCTACGCCCTCATAAGCCTTCTCGAGAGGGACGGCCAGTTCTTTGGAGAGGTGATCGGCGACGGCGAGCTTGAAGGCGTCGAGCACGCACGCTTCGGGGGAGGCGTGCGAAGGCAGCGAAGGGAGAGCGGGCGAGAGCGAGGCGAAACGGAGCGGCTGGGTCGACATGGTGCGGCGGCCGAGTCGAAGTAGCTGGGGTGGGTGCGCAGTGGGAGTTCGACGGAGGAGCGAGGGCGTGTTGAAAGTGGTGGTGGTGGTGCCGAGGGGGCGAACGAGCGCAGGGGAGCACCCCAAAGCACGACGGAACGCGGTGGTGAGCAAGACGGTAGCAGCAGGCGCGGGACAGCGAACACCGCGTAGAGGGGCCACTGTAGCGGCAGTGGACGAAGACGATAGATCCTAAGAGTGAAGGCTCGGATGATCCCTCGGAGTTTTGGGAAGGTAGGACAAGCACCAGCAACTGATAAGGGAAGCGCCAGCTCGCAGCCGCTACCTTGCGAACATGCGACGGCGCGCTCGGGCCAGCACTGGGCCAGCTTGGGCCGACAGCTCACTCCGAGTCAAAGCCCTCCGACCGATCAAAGTTCTTTCGCCACACTCTATCCCACCACGCATAAAACTCTAATTGAAACAACAAGCTTTTTTCGACGCAACAGACGCACCTTCCATCCATCACCTTGCGTTCCCGACCCCATTCCCCTCCTCCCCATGATCGTCCGCCTTCGCCTCGGCGTCCTCCTCTTCCCTCCTCTTACGGTCCCCCTCCTCCAACAACCAAGGCGCCAACCCGGGCGGGACCTCGCACATCCCCACGCTCGGAGCGCCATGCAAGTACCTCAACCTCTCCAACGCGTCGATCCGAATCCTCTCCAACAACGCTTTCGAGTTCAAATTCTCCACCCGATTCCTGCCCTGCACCAAATCGGGATGGAGTTTCCAATCCGGGTTGAAGAAATCGTCGTACGCTGTATGGGGTAAAGTGTTCGGTAGATCGGTTTGCAGGTCCAACAAGACCGCGGTCTCGTAGGTCCAACACCTCGAAACGTTCTTGATCGTGTACCCTCCTCCGCCCAAGACGATGAGTGGGATTTGGAACGACTTGATGAACCTCACGCATTCCCCATGCGCCGCGATCGACAAATTGAAGCAACCCAGCCGATCACACCCCAACGAATCGGCCCCACATTGCAGTACGATCGAACTCGGTTGAAAGGTCGCGATCGTCGGTTCCATGATCGCCTTGAACAACGAGACGTACGACTCGTTGTCGATCCCATCTTGTAATGGGATGTTGAGCGTAAAGTATTTGCCCAGGGAATGTCCAATCTCGGTCATGTCCCCTGTACCGGGGAAGAAATCGGACGAGTACTTGTGGAACGAGACGGTAAAGACCCGGTTCGAGTTGTAAAACGCCTCTTGTACGCCGTCGCCGTGGTGGATATCGATATCGATGTAGAGTACTCGCGCGTGAACCCTGGTGCAGAGATCGAACCATCAACTTTCGCTTGCTCGGATCCGCTCCCGTTTCCCCAACAAAAAAAACTGACCTAAGCAACTCCAAGATCGCCAAGACGATATCATTGACGTAACAAAACCCACTCGCCTCTGCCTTTTTCGCATGATGCAAACCCCCACTCCAATTGATGGCGATGTCGGTCGTGCCTTGGACGATCTTCCTCGCGGCCATGAGGGACGCGCCGGCGTATTGGCGACAATAGTCGTACATGTCGCCAAAGATGGGGCAGTCGTCACCGACGTTGAAGCGAGAGAGGACGGAGGTGAATGCGCTGACGTTGTCGGGTGTGACTCTTTACCCGGACCCGAGGCAAGAGTAAGAGCATATCAGATCAAGGCCCGCTGACTCGTTCGTGAACGGACCTACCTCGATAAGAAATCGACGTAATCCTCGTCATGAAAGGTCTGCAGCTCGTCCGCGGTCGCCGGTCTCGGGTCGTACATGTCCATCTTGCGATGCAGCCCATAGCCCATCACGAGGTGGTTCGTCAGAGTCAAACGGTGAGGTTTCATCGGGTGACGTTCCTGTGGTGCGTGACGAGAAGATGGGCTGAGGTTCAGTCGGGTCGATGGAGAGAACGGAGGAAAGAAGCGCATTCGGGGTGGCGCATTCGGTGTGGACTGACCCCGAAATGATACTCGCCCACTCCCTTGGGAAAGTAGTAAGAAACCCTAGGATTCGAATGGGACTGTGCATCGAACCCTACCCAACTTCAGTTCGCCGACTCTTGATTGCGCGTACCCACCCCCTCGCGAGGAACTGACCCCGATCGCCGCCTGACCAGGTCTCCAGTCCTGACCCTCAACCTGCGAAGCCGAAGTCGACACTGCCGAAGAGGCTCCATGTGCGTTTACGATCGGTTGGTGGGGTGCATGTCGGTCGTAGAAGAAGGCCGAGGAGCTGAACGTCGGTTCGAGCAAGGAGCCCATTGGCTTGAGCGCCGCAACACGTCTCCGAGAGGGAGGGTGGACGCTTTCTGTCCGATTCCAGTTGCGGCTTGTTCGTGGTCCGAGGGGTTGGTGTGGGGCGGGCTATGGAGAGGCTCAACAAGGGGAGGAGCGAGAGAGTCGACCGCGCGCAAGTCACGAACGGAACGTCGGCGAAGCGAGCTCGGCCTCGCTCACTACACAAAGAGAGCGGTGAGGATAGAGGTTTTACTTTCGAGTGCATCTGTACAGATAGGTTACTCTACAGCTAGAGAGAACAAGTCCTTTCCCATTCTTCGACACTCCACCTCCGCTTCGCCTTCCTCGTCCTCGACTCATACATTGAACCCCAACGACCTCATACACCTCCGATGCGCCTCGACGATCTTCTCACATTCCTGCGCACTCGAACCCGCTTCATCGACATTACTCCCAAAGCGGAGGAAGCAATCGTCCCTCGCTTTCTTCGTTTCAGGGCAAGCGCAACACCTGCTCTCGTCGGCATCACGGATCGCCAGGATGAGTGAGATAGACGCACCGGATGAAGAGAAATGCTTCGATAAATGCGTACGGTTTCAGGCCCTCGGGATTCAGAGCGTTCACAGCCGGGTTCGCGGCTTCACTGTGGGTCAAGACCCTCGGCGATGCGGATGGTGCCACACCCGGCGAAGATGGCGAATCGACCGCCAAAGTCGACGGCGAAGCGGACGCTGACGAACTCGTGAAGGGCCACATCGTTGCTGATGACTTTTTGACGAGTCTTGGACGTTGTTGAGTTTATATTGCTTGGGGGTGGGACGTGGAAGCGAGAGGCGAGAAGCGAGAAGCGGCAAGCAAGTAGTGGCTGACTAACGACTAACCGCCACAAGTCGCGGCGTCGGTCAGTGACTCAGCACTCGGTCGGCCAAACGGCGCGAAACGGCGATCGCTGGGGTAAACTTACCGGGCGACAAATGGAGAACGATGAAAACCAGAGACGGATCCGATTCCCAGCGCCTGCACCCCCTGGTACGACAGTGCTTGACAGTGCACATCCGTGCAATTCAGCATCGTAAAAGTCGAGTTACTATTTCTACCCTTCGAGCTGGCGCCCCACTAACTTTCGCAACTCCAGCCTAGCTGCCACTCTCGAGCTCTCCTCAACCAACTTCAATCTCATCCTCAGCGAGTAATCAAATAGTTTGATGGACAGATTGGAGTCTCTCGGACATATCTCGGACTTTATGAAAAGAACCGAAACCGACTTTCCGTGAGTACTCATAGCTTTACTCTACCCCGGTCGACTTGTCTCCAGTGGCTCTCTCTCCCCTTGACTGACTGCGCACTTGCGCGAACCGCTTCAATTCGCTACCCGCGCTCCAACTCCGACTCTCCGTCCGACCGCAGGCATTTCGGCATCGAGCCCGGTCATCATTCAAGTCAACTGGCTCGATTCACACCACGGCCACCACCGCCGTACGTTCTACGAATATCGACTGAAAACCTTGCTCTGATGCCTGCCCAACCTAACTGTGAATGATCCGGCGCGATCGATTTGGATTTGTTTGTCCGAGGCTGAGACATTGAGCTGTAGTTGATTGGTTTGGCGTGATAGAAGAAGAAAATGATAACGAACAGAGAAGGAATGATGAACGACCATCAGCGACCGCTCGTACTGAGCGGACCAGGGGCGGGCCCGCTCGATCCGGCGTCGATCGGTGGACGTGGGATTGTTGCATCGCTCGGAGACGTCGGAGGTGGAGTCACGGAGTTGGGACCTCCCCCATACATGAGATACCAGACCAAGCCGAGTCCACCGGCAGCGAGACCCAACATGATGGCGCGGTTGTCGTCAATCATCTTGCGCGGCGTGTTGCTGCCGGGCCCACCGACGCTCTCGACGTAGGTGCGACGTTGGGGCTGTTGCACCTGTTGTGCTTGCATCTGCCATCACCAAGACATGTAAGAGTGAGTGACTGATCGAAATCCGAGGCTGATGGCGGTGATAACGACCTACGACTGGACGGTGGGCCAGAGCCGGCGTCGCACGAATACTTCCACTCGTCATGCCGTGTCGGAGCGAGTTGGCCGCACGAGGGCTTCCGAGGCCGAGCATGATCATGATCGGATGAGGTGGAGGTTGCGAATGTGAATGTGAATGTGGGCGACAAAGTTGATGCTAATACGTGTGCAGAAGAGTTGATTGCGAGGTGAGATGTCCCTGCTTGACTGTGCGACGAACGGCGGCAAGAAGAGAGATGCAGCGGCCGGGAGAGCTTGGCTTCGACTGGCCCGCGCGCTGCCCGAGGTCGACGATCGGGTCGCTGCGGCGATGATGTCAACCCCCACATGGCTCCTCTCCCCCCATCTCGCTTCCTCCAGCCTCCGCGTGACGATCGAGATGACTTTTGGCGATCGAGAGGGATCTTGATCTTGTCTTGTCTGCACCGACTCCAGATACCTACATACACAGAACTGGGTTGCTTCCTGTTCTTGTCTCGATTGTTCAACATAGAGCCGAAAGACCACCGAGCTCGATCAAGCTGAAAGAGGAGTCCGGGACCTCGAAAGCGGCGAATATCACGAAAACACAGTTATTAGGGTTATGTATTGGCACGAGCAAAGTATTGTGAAGGAAATGAAGAGGGGAGAAAGATGCCAGAAAAGTATAGAACTGATCATGTAACGAGACACATTTCGAATCCAGAACCCTGAAATGTTTAGTGCGACGAGCACAGCAGCCAGTCTCGATCAGATGGCATCGATACCCTCGGACCAAGGCTGATCAGGAGGACCACGCTCGACATGGACCTTGCCCTCGGCGTCCATCTTGGCGAACTCGGTACTGGCGTAGATCTTGAGTTCGTTCAAGCGAGTCGCCTCGGCCGCGCCGATGCCCAGCGTATCATCGCAAATCCAAACGACCGGTGCATCCTCGTACGTCGCGGGGTGCTGGTACTCTCGTTCGACGTTCTTGTCCTGAGGCGGCTCGTAGCCTTCCTTGCTCTCCTTGCGGGGAGGGTAGGCGCCGACGGACGCATCGTGGCCCGCAGAAATGGGAGTCGTGCTCTGAAGGTAGTGGCATTCGTGGGGAGGGAAGCGGACATGGGTCGTGTGCCAGTGGAAGACGGCAACGAGCGCAAGCAGCAACGCCATCAAGACACCACCGGCCAATCCAGGCTTGGAGCGCTTGCCCGTCGCATCGGTCGCGAGGAAGAAGAGACCGCACAGGCAAACGAGTTCGAGGTAGAGCGAGACAAAGACGGTGACCATGGCCTTGCGCATGAACTCGCCACCGGTCTCGAGGCTGTTGGGTTGGTCGACTACCCAGATGAGCGTGTACTTGTAGAGGATGTACAGGAGCACGAAGGTGAAGAGACCAAAGAGCGTGATGACGGGCTGGATGCACGAGTAGACGATGCCGACGCAGAGCAACAAGGCGACGGGGGGCCACGTCGTCGCCAGCGCGATCGCACCCATCTTGTTGCTGAACTTGAACTCCTTACGAGGGGTCGGGCCGGAGAGGATGAAGCCGAGGTGGCTCATCACAAAGGGCACGGCGCGCGAGATTGCCAGACCGAACGAGGTGAGCGCATCTGGGCAGAACAAGTGAGGAGTCAGATCAACACAGTTGAAGGTGTGCACGAACGTGAGGGGCGGGACTTACAAAGAGCGAGCCACTGCAAGAAGAAGGTCGAAGCGGTGGGCAGCTTTTGTGCCAAAAGCGTCGGCAGTTGAGGCAACTGGGTCTTGATGTTCTTCAAAGCCGCGGGGAGACCGGCTACAGAACGCACCAGCAAGAACGATCAGTCGTTTACTTATGTTTGGCGTCACCTATGCAACGGAGGACCCACACGAAACAGTGACAATCAAGAATCCGTGGATGACCTGGAAAAGCCAGAAGCGCACAAAGAGCTGCTTCTCAATCTCACTCTTGCGAACGGTGCCTTGCATCTTGCAAAAGAAGCGCAGGACGATCGGCAAAAGCATGAAGAGGACAGCCAACAAGACGGGAGGAAGGATACCTGCGATACATACACAAGGATACTCAGCACCTAGCATGCACAGAGTTGAACGTGCGCGAACTGACCTTGAATGATACCAATGACGGTGGGAGGGATCTTTCTCAAGAAGCTGAGGAAGGGCACGGTCGAGGAGAGCGAGTTGATGTTGGACAGCACACCGACGAACGCGACGGGGATCGCCCAGATGATGATGAGACCGATCGTCAACGACCACGACAAGATCTTGCGGGATGCGCGCATCGCAGGCGCCATCTTGAGGTTCGACCAAACGACGTCTTCGGCCATGATGTCGACTCTAGGTTCAATCTTACCGGCGGTGACGGCCTTGTCAACGCGCATCTTGTCCTTGGTCGAGGCCGTGGCCGGGTCTACGGAGCTGGCGAAGGCATGGGCTTGTTCACGCATAGCGAAGCGGACAAAAATCGTATCGCCCATAGGCAGTTCGTTGAAACCAGCGCGCGCCTTCTCCAGCTCGGCGTCCTTCTCTTGGATGTAAGCGGGCGAGTCGTTGAGGGTGTCGACCTTCTCGCCGAGCAAGCCCATGAAGCCTCGCTTGTGGCTCGGTTGCTTCTTCTTGGGAATGTATTGACCAATCAACGAGTCCGCCTCGACGTCCGCGGCCTTGGAAGCCTCGGGCAGCTTGTTCTTGCGCTTGTTCTTGGCCGCGAGGGCAAGGACCGATCCTTCGGCGTTCTCGAGCTTGGCCGTTTCCTTGTTGCGTTCGTCGTAGACGTCTTCCATCTTACCGATGATGCGTGACAACCAGATGTTGGTGATCTCACCCGTCTCGCCGACGAGCTCCTGCACGCCTTCACGCGAGCGGTACTTTTCGGGGACGTTGCTGATCACGACCGTGCGCGCGGCATCGAGGTTGGCGCGAGCAGGCGAGGCGAGCCATTCCTGGCGCACTTGCTTGTAGTGACGGTACTCTTGGTCAATGAGGTAAAGCGTGTAGACTATCGAGAGGCAAGGTGGTCGCAGAATGAGGGTCAGCATCTCGATCGCGGGCTGATGCGTGCGAAGATCACGTGACGCGTCGAGCTTACGCGTGAGCAGGATCGCAACCAGGAAGTAAGCGATCAGACGAAGTTGCTGCGTCGTGGCGACGTTGCCGTACGTAAACTTGTTGAGCTGTTGTGATGAAACGAAAGCAAGAATATGATTTAGCCTGGTGATGACACCGTTTCGAGAGCCTCATGACGATGGCACGTACGCCTTTAGCGCTTGCTGCTCCCGTGCCTGCGATCGGCATGAGGATGAGCCAAGTAACGATGAAAAAGGGGCCAAAGATCATGACTGCGAGCCTGTGATCGGTGGTACGACATGGCCGAAGTTTGCATGTCCAGTCAAAATGATCGTCGTCGTTGTAGTAGTAGATGCCAAGCCGCGATAAAGAAAGGTTTCGGAACCGCCAAGGAAGGAAATATGGGAGGAGAGGGTCATCGATTACGTCAGGGATCCAAGCTTGTTTCGTTCACCCAGGGTTTTTTTCCTCAGGCACCGCGGAATCGGACGCGCGCCGTCGGCTCGGGCGGGCTCGTTTATCGAGACTGCATCAAGTGGGGAGCTAAAAGACTAACCTAATGAAGCGCATGAAAAAGTACGTGTCGGGACCTTGGCTGTGGAGGATCACATCATCGGATGTCGTGACGACCGTTTTGAACCATTGTATAGGATTCGTCGGGAGATCAGGTGCTCGTTTCCTGCGGAGGCACAAGGGAGGTGGGGCCACGATTCGAGCAGCGTAAGCAGAGCTGCGACCGAAGTGATAGAAAGAAAGAGGAAAAAAACAGGCGGTTCGTCCAGAGAACTAAATACTCACTCGGGAGGAGGGAAGATGGTACGGGGTGCATAGACGGCCTGGTTCCTCTTTCGCAGCGCGAGCCAGACGACGAGCAAAGCTCCGAGCACGACCAGACCCGTGACGAGCGCCGAGATGAAACTAGCGGTCGAGTTGGACTGATCGGTCGTGTCGGCATTGGTGGCAGACCTGAAGAAAGAGAAAGCGTCCGAGTGTAAGCTCCTGCGAAAGACGCTCGCGTGGCAGCAGCACTGCTCGATCGGATCCCATGGATGAGCCTTTGCCCAGTGCCCTCGCGGAAGCGGAGCACGTGAATCGAGCGAGAGCAAGGCGGAGGGAAGCCCCAGCAGGGAAGAACCCCGGGGTGGCAGGGAAGGTACAGCAGCCGCCACACACTACTCACATGATGGTCTTGACCCTTCTTCAGGTGTGAAAACTCTGAAAAAAAGCGCGAGTGAAGGTGAAGGCGAGAGCGAAGAAAACGACCAAGAGGCTCGTGCCGAACGACTAGCGGAGGTCCTGTTGACGTTGACGCGCGTTGACGCGCGTTGACGTAGGGCAATCTCAGCCCCAGGAGATCACCGGCTGGCAGCCGCAGGCAGCCGCGCGCCGCCCACGCACGCCGAAGCCGCACGGGCCACGGCGACGTTGGTTAAATCGGTCTAGGCCCTTCTGGAAATGCGACCCGTCCGCAGCTTCTAGTTTACTTTTTCTTTCCAGCGGGTTTTGTTTTTGCCCTGGCTATGTTCTTTTTCCAGCACTCGACAGAGAATAACCTCTGTCAGACCCAGAGAAAATGTCCTCTCGCCTGCACAGCCCCTTTCTACACCGCCACTGTAAGGTATGCGCCTCTGATGTGCATAAAATACAATCTGTCGTTCTTGACCGCTAGGCTAAACGCAAGTCGTAACTAGAACTCGACAGTTCTAGCTACTCAGAGGCTACTTATGGGGCTGTTTCTGTAAGGCATCCGAGTCCCCTTACAGCCACCCACCGTGCCCACTTAATTTGCAATAAACCCCGGCCAGATCAAGTTCCGTCCTTCACCTCTCCGTTGTGCGCTGTAGCCACAGGAACGTTCCTACCTTGCACTTGATTCCTGAAAGATCTAGACCACGTGGAGCCTCAGACACCTGTGTCTCATCGAGTGAAGCACTTGCTCTTTCTGCCGCGGCCGATAGGAGACGTTTGTCTCGGAAGCACGGCTCGCAAAATTCGGCCTAAGCCCATTCACCGTCACTCTGACTCTGCACGGCCCTTTCAGTCGCTCTGGTCTTTTTCACCTCAAACAAATAACTCAGTCATCCACTTCCACCAGTTGGTGATATTGCTTACAAGCACTAGCATGGTTAATCTCTCGAGTCGCCGTCGATCGGCGATCGGACCATCGCAAGCTTATTTCGGGGGGCCGCTACGCGGTCACGGCCCACACTGGAAAAGCACGTGAAACTCGTGATGAATCCATGTCGGCCCACGTAGGAGCCTTTCCAGCTCCAAGCTTCCGGTCTTCGAGAGTCAAGCTCGAGACGAGAATTGGAAGAACTCAGGAGGGTTTAAAGATACCTGACAAATGTCGATCATGGTTCATTTCTTGAGTCGCGCGAAATCAGCTTTTCGGGTTTAGTGTAAGCTCGTCGCCCCTCCCAAAGGGAGGGGCTTGTGAGTTATCGGCGCGCTTGGCCCAGTTGCCGTCCGAAATTTTGGCCCTGAAAAGTGCCCCCTTGCTGTAGCATGGCATATATTGGTGCTATCTGAAAACTGGAGGGATACTTCTTTACTTAATCATTATTGATGAGGCTTCACCGAAGCTTGAAGTCTAGGAACGTTTGATCATCTCGCTACAGCAGCTTGAATCAACTGATTCCGAACGAGACGCAGGTCGGCGCACGGACCAGTCGTAGTCCAGTCCGCGTCGAAGGCTGTCGAAGGAGCTCGCCTCCGCCAACGCGCGCTTTCGTGTTCTTCTCTTTTCCTCCCAAACCCCTTTGCCTTCCTCCCGTCACCTTCCGCCGGCGTTCACGCGCCAACCGTTCACGCTGCCTCCCTGCCCATTGCACGATGTCCGATTCCAGCGAGGGAGAACACGACTCGCTCTCGGGCGTCGCTTTGCGGGCGTCGCTTCGTCCCCTGCCAATGCAGACGCCACGCCTTGTGCGCGGCCCCGCCTCGCCCGAAGACGATCCGGTTTTTTTTTGCCAGCCGTTCGAACAAGAGGACCAAGCGGCTGACCACCGCTCTTTATCCGGTCACGCATCGCAGGCCGAGCCGGTCGAGCTTGCGAAGCTTCGTGTCTCCTCTGAACACTCGCGACGCATCGAACAAAGCGAGCACTTGCAATGCGCAAGTCAGTGGCGTTGTTGACTTCGTTTGCGATGTTCTGGCCACACCTTATTCAGCGTGCACAGCTTAACGATCTCGAACTCCTCGTCGCTTTCGTTGGGCTGTACACGCACAATGATGTGTGGCCAGAACATCGAGATGCAAGCTTTGAGGTTTAAAGGACCGATTCGGGTCGTTGCCTAGGCACGACCCGCGAACGAAGTCAACAGCGCCACTGACTTGATCTTTGCATGTGATCGCTGGCTTTGGTGGATGCGTCCCGAGTGTTCAGAGGAGAGACACGAGGCATCGTCTCGACTCTTGAAGCCGTTGCGGAGGCCGGTAGCACGCGGTTCAAAGGACAATCCCACCGTCAGCCCAGACCTGGCGAGAACAGAGTAGAGTAAGATTTCAAAGGAGCTGCTGACGACTGCAAAAAGCCCACAATCCGGACTTGTCTTTACCGAGGCCTCGTTTGAATAGCATCCCATAAATATTCCGGCTTGAAAAAAGTGCTGCATTGCATTCATTCCACTTTGTGTCGCTCTACAACAGATCATCCTTGATTGTCTTCCCATTCGCCAACATCAATCGAGTGATCGTGTCGCACGCTTCGCCCCTCGTCAAATCCTCAATGATGAGCTGGCCCCCCACTTCCTCACGCCCAGGGACCCAGAAACTGTCAATAAACTTAGTACTTCCTTGCTTCCGTTGTTTGAGCAAGTTACGGATCAAATTGTGCTGCTCAGAGCTTGAGTCTTTGGTTCGCCAGCGAGTGTTGGGCTTTAGATAGAGCGATGAAATTGTGTCAACCCTCTCGATCAACGCGGCAAGGTCATCAGATTCGTGCAGCAATATCTTCGAGTGGGCTTTGTTCGTGTGCCCAAATGCGCGCCAACGCGGATGATCGGCCACTTCTGCGGGTACTTTCCAGACGACAATACTCGATACGCCGACGGACATGCCGAACTTGTCTCGGCCGACGATGACACAAGGGTTGTCACTGATTTGGTGAAGCAACGCCCGCGTTGGAGATTTAATGAACGACAACATTTCGTGTGACGAAGATCTTGACAACGTTGCCGAAGTCGAGGGTGAAAGATCGGAGACGATTTTCAAGTTGGTCCCAAGATCTGCTCAAGCCGCCATCAACATCTCCTCAGTGAGCATCTTCACCCAGCATCGGGTTCACTTTTCTCGATATAAAGCAGGTGGCACAACTAACCCATGTGTAAGAGAGGGACCGAATATTCGGATACTCCGGTAGGGTCGTTGCTGTATTGCTCAGAGATCCACAAGTCCCATAAATGTTCTTCGAGAGGTTTTGACTTTGAAGCAGATGGCGTACATATCGGGTGAAACTGGTTGCAGAGCCGAACCAGAAAATCCGGTCCAACATTAGGAGACTGCATTTGCAGAGCGAGTAACTTCATGTTAAGTCTTTGACCAGCTTCCTCTTTGAAATAGTAGCTCGTAGACCTTGTCAACAATCACTGCTTTCAGATTCGCTCGATTGATCTTTTCCAACTTTGAGCCGCGGCCGTGCCTCAAAATCTGTAATTCATTGTTGCCACTCAGTGGAGAAAGAAACATCTAATCCATTCAGAGAGCACTCACAGAGGGTGTACCAATAATTACTGAAGCCTCGAGCTCTGGGGTCTTGTGTTTCCCCAACACTTCCGGGAACTGCCCGTTCATACAAAAAAAGGGGGTGGAGCTCAATCTGTCTACTTTGGCCGAGCTGCCTCGTCAAAAGCACTCACAAGCTTGTGTTGTAATGCAATTCGGGCCGCACACGAAATATGTTCTTCCGATCCCACCACAATGAGTACCTGCCCCTTGACCTCGCTGAGATCGAAATAGTTCGACTTTGACGGGTCTGAAACGGCGTCTCCCCAAGCTCCTGAGCGAGGTGTATCGTTGGCCGAGCCGCCAATCGCAGCGGGCGAACCGGAAGCGCATCCAGTGTATTCAGGGGGAGTCATGAGACCGCTTTTTGGTTCTTGTTCATCAGTTTTACGTTCGTGACGCCATGAGAATAGAGTACGGCTCTGTATAAGGGTGCGAGGCATAAGTTGGACGTGCGGGCCCAAGAAAGTTGATACGCGACGATCGCCGAACGCAAGGTGACCGACGCCGACGCTACGAGTGCCGAAGGCTTGGTGCGACTGATACATCGAGGGAACTTGAGAACGTGCTGACGGCACCAAGCTCGAGCGTAGTCCAATTAGACTCATCATGCCCAGTGTTGAAGGAATCATGATGCCCAACGGTGTGGTTAAAAGGGGAAAGAATGCGAAGCCGGCAAACTGCCCGTTGAGTTCGGTGCTGCGAGGGGGTGCTACTGCAAGCGTCGCGCGGCTTTGGGTACTAGGCGAGTTGTTGCGCGATGACATGCTGCAGCATCAGCTCAGTCCGAGAGGAGAGGGCGACCCAAGCTCTTGTGCAGGAGCTACACGTGAACATGTTTCAGTAAGCGATAATAGATTGACAACTCGTATCAAAGCGCGAAGGGCAGAGATATGGCTGGCGCCGTGCGATCGCAAAACCGAGCCCAGCTTACCCCCCACCCCCACATCCCCCACCTCCATCCAACCGAGCCCTCGTGCGATCGGGAAGGAACGTCGGGCAAATAAATTGACAACGAAAAAAGAGAGAGACCTTTCTTGTGGATCTATCACACCTTGAAAGCCCGTCTTCCGCCCGCTCTTTGTCCAAAGGGTGCTCAAGGCTCTTCTCGATCGATCGTGCTTGCCGAGCTCCTCCTCGCTGCTGAGCGCTGATGCGCGATCGAGGCTCGGCGGTCATAAATTCCCTCAATTGGCCAAGTCACTTGATCAGTGACGGCTAGCAATGTTTCGTGGGTGTGTGTGTCTGGGGAGCAGGTGTATTTAATTCTGATGGAAAAGCACCTTGTCGTTCCATGTAGGCACGATCTATGATGCCGTCAAAAAAGGTCAAAACAGCCAACGATGGGATTCTTCGCGGCCAAGGCCCTCCAGCTTTAGCGGGAATGGACAGCGAAGAGAAGTGTGCAAGAGAGCGAATTTCGTTTATTTTACACTGTGGTAGGTAAATGGGTACGGGCAGATCTCACGGTGCATGATGAAGAACAAGTAAAGAAGAGAAAGCGGAAGATGAGACGAAGGGGGATTAATTCGTGACCGCGCGTATGTAGTGAGCGAAGGTGTGAAAGGCTTCACCCAAAAGCATTAAACATTTTCTGAAGGTACAGAGCGACCACACCCAAACAGCAAACACCAGGCTCAAACCAGTGCCTCCACGATCGTGTTTCCTCGCTCGTCGATCGCGATCTGCTTGTTAGCCTTGGACGCTCGAACAGGATGCGGCGCCGAGAAGATCGTTTCGAGTTCTTCGAGCGTGCGGCCTTGGGTCTCCACTCCGAGGTAATACCATGCGAGTGCTTCAATACAACTGCGGAAGAAAAGGGGCAACAAGGAGGTGTCAGCCGAGCAAACAATATCGTCACCGCATTGTGTCGCTGATACGCTGATCGAGCGGGATGGGTTCGCCAAAGCACCGAGCAGAAGACCACATGTCGAATCACTCACTCCCACCCTGTCAATACAGTATAACATAGGAACAATAAATTTAATGACGGGAGTCAGCACGAGGTATGAAATCATTGAACGAGCGCTCGAAACGAAGGCTCGGCGGCTCGGCTGGGCGTGCCAACTACGTCCATCACGCCCTTTTGTCAGCGTGCCGCTCGAATACCGAGCTTCGCAGCGAGGCTCCTAGCCACGATTCGGAATCGGAATCTCAGCCCGTCACATCAGAAAGGCTTACCAACGAAGAACCAGATCAAGTTGTACTCGATGTTCTCAAGCGCGATCGGGATCGCGTAAGTGTTGATAAAACTGACGCACGAGACGAAGAAGGCGTAAGCAGCCCTGGTCGGAAGAACCCAAAAGACATATTTGGTCAGTGCGATCAGCAGACAAATCTGCCCAAAGCTTGTTCGCCTATGGGCGCATTGACAGAGAAGCGGCAGACAAGGGGTGCATCCGAACGGCTCGAGTGCAAACCGTGCTCGCCGCCCGCGAATGTCTCCGAACTTGGCGAGCGAAGCAACGTCGCATCGAGGCAACTCTGCAAACGCCATCACTCACATTCCCTTCGCCCTCGTATTCGTCTGTAAACACTCTACGGCGTATAGAGCTTGAAGTGGCGAGTAAGTGAAGGAGTAGACAATGTTGAAGAGGAAAAAGGAAGCGATGGCGAAGCGGCCGATGTTGAGGCTGTGTGCGGTCAGGCCTTCGGTCGCCCACTGTGCGTCGCTCGTCACGTTAAAGCATCAGCATCTTCAACCCCAGCGGACGTCAGAGTGGGCCGGGATAGTGGGTGACCCACCAGATGTGTGGCCATGCCATTCATCGCGAGCCAGAACGCGCACGCCAAAGTCCCCCATACCAAAATCGGTCGTCGCCGAACCGAGTCCGCAAGCGAGGCGCCGATCCCCGCTCCAATCGCTGACGTGATGGTGTTGACGAGGTTGAGGATGAATTGCATGACTTTCGAGTAGCCAACGTACGAGTAGATCTGGAAATTGAAGTACCCGAGACCGTTTCCCGAAAATTGACCGGCGATGCTCATCAAGCCGACCATCAACGAACGCCACCTCGCATTCTTGGTCCGGAAGAGTTCGGAAAAGTCCCACCATCGTTTGTCCGACGCGTCGGTTCGGATGTCCTCAACCATCTCGGACCACTCAAGCTCGACGATCGCCGAAGCTGGATCACCGTTGCCGTGGTATTTGACGAGAAACGCGCGTGCTTCTTCGCCTCGACCTTGAGCGATCAACCAACGAGGCGACTCGGGGAGGAACATGACGGTGGCGATGACAACGCAGGCGGGAAAGCATTGCGCGAGAACTGGAATGCGCCAAGCCCAGTTCGAGTGAATGTACGACGTGCCGAGCGTTATGCCCGCGGCCGGTATGCTGCCTGCAAACCACCCACAGTTGTACGCTCCCGTCGCTCGTCCTCGCCACGATGGGGGTGCAATCTCGACGCAGTAACTTGGCGAAGCGGTCGTGGTGATTGCAATTCCGAAACCGAGGATGAAGCGCCCGGCGATGAATTGCGCCTTGGCCTGCGAAGTCGTCGCGACGATCGACCCGAGTACGATGCCGACGCAGCCAACTTGCATCCCGATGCGACGTCCAAAGTGATCCGCTATCGGTGCCGAGACCATCGATCCGAACATCTGTCCGATGGTGTAGATGGCGAAAATGATGCCCGTCGTCGATCCGACGAGGCCGGCGTTGAACTGGCGCTGATATGCCGCCATGTTGTTGATGCTGGCCATGAGCGAGCCATCGAATCCGTTCGCGGTGCTGCAAAGGAACGCGGTGAAGCTAAAGGTGGTGGTGGCGCAAGTCGAGCAAAGCGAGGAATGTTGAAGATGAAAGGTGAGATATGATGCGCGTGTGTTCACAAAGTTTCCATCGAGTCGTAAACGGAAGCGATAGAACAGGAGAGTCGAAAAAGCGACCAAAGCGTGCTTAAGATTAGCGACGACGCGCTCCTTTTCGCCTTGGCGCCTTGGCAACTAGGTGTCTGAGCACCTAGTAACCTAGCTCGAGCGGAGTTGACTCACATTGCTGCAAATAGCGTCAACGAAGCTGTGTGACCAGGAAAAAAGATGAAGTCATGTTTGATGTTAGTACAAGCACGACCATGCGGGTGAGAACGTCTTGCTTCTGTCATCTCCTTCGGCGTCTTTGATGCCTTGACGTTCCTCTCCTCGGGCGGCCCTTGAAGACAGGGGGGATCTCCACCCCGCACGTGGTGGCTCGAGCGGCGATTTGGTGGCCGACGGTTCACGACTTGGGGACGGGAAGAGGGGAGAGGTGTTGTCGCACGGACCGGAAGTCGGAGAAAGCGCGCTTTCGAAAAAATGACACCAAAGCTCAAGCAAAGAGAACTGCCCACAAACATGTTCTAAGCTCACCTCTGGACCTGATGTCCATCTTGCCCGAAGCGTGCACCGCCGCGGTCAACGCGGCCGAGCGCACCACCTGGACGGGCGCGGCGCCGGCATTGTCGAGCTTGATGCTCTCAGCGCCACGCTGGCGCAACGGGTTGAGATGCGCTTGCGACGACGACGACGACTCCTCCTCGCTGCCATGCGTCGCCGCTTTCTCGAGATCGGCTTTGGTCGAGGTCGTTTGGGTGCTCGTCTGGTCCGGGTCGATCGCATCGAGAGTGGTGGGGTCCGACATGGTCGCCGAGCGGAGTGGTCGTTGTTGTGGGTCGTTTAGTCGCACCCGTCGACTCGACTCGGTTCGGCGTTCGGAGCAATAAGAGGAAGGTTGAGGACAACCCGTTTGCTGGATGAAAGAATTCGAGGTGCGACGGTGGGAAGCGAGCGTCTGACGTTCGGAGATGATACAGAGAGAGCGCGAGTCCGAGATGCGTGAAAAGAAAGTGAAAGAGCGAATCTACAAGTGCGATCGACGTTGAATAATAGAGTGGACGACGCTCCACAACTCCAAAGCACAAGACGACTCTTAAGCCCGCCGCTGGCCGATGTGCGCTGGCCGACGTCGCCGGGCCGAGTCGGAAGCTCCCTTCGCTCCCTTCTACCCGATCGAGGCGCTCCTAACGGCGATGATGCCGAGCTTGCAACTCAGGAGCCCAAGGCGCTTTCTCCCACGGATGCTCATCACCGAGACCGATGAGCGCGGCATGACCAACAAGTTGACCGATCGCCGAGCCTCGCTTGCAGTGTTTTTCGACGAAAAGGGCCGCCGTGTACTAGTACCTACTTCGAGGAGAGGGCAGTCGGGGGCCCCTGATAAAATCGCTCGCTGGGGAAGATTTCGACGACAGAAGGGGCGGAAGGGGCGAGTCCGAAGGAACCGAAGAGACGATATCAAAGCCGATCTCGACCAGATCCACGCGGCTCGTGCCCGTGTACGACTGCGCAAGAGCATGAAATCAATGATCCTTTCGGTGAGCTGGGCTACATGGGCTAGGACGGGGCAGCAGGGCAAAACGCGTGACGCACCATCATAGACCAGTGCGCGTTCCACAAGCTGGCCTTGATCACGAACTCGCGATCTTCAACGATGGTGATCGGTTTCGATGGGTGGCACGAACCAGAAAGCGGCGAGATCGTAGTAGGAGTCCAATCCGTCGACGCAGGAGGGGATGAGAAGATGCGAGTCACAGGCGTCAACGGGTCGAATGAGAGATCGGATTGCAACTCCGCGGAGACGGGCGGGGTGATGGGTCGATTCGAATCCTTGGCTTGGGCACCATAGCGAAAACCCCCCCCCCTGAAATGGGACGATCCCGGGATGATCCCGGGATCGGGCCCCCGATTTGAAATTGGCGGAGCGATTTGAAATGCATTTGGGATTGCGCGCACCGATTTGAAATGCATTTGAAATCCGTGCGCCGATTTGAAATGCGCTTCAAATCCACGCGGGATCGATCTCAAATGCGCTTCAAATGCGTTTCAAATCCTCGTGGGATCGAACCATGCCCAACGGTCAATAAGGGCATAGAACTCGTGTGAGAGGGCCAATTGCGCAAGTTAGAGTAGACGAACAAGTTACTATTGCTCAAAGTATGTGCAAGTATACTACTGACACGGTACGAGGCCCCATGCGGATGCGGCAGTGGAGCATCGTATCACCCTCTCCCGCCCTGTGCCGCAGTGTGCCGCCGCCTGCCGCCGCTAGCGTTCGGCCTCGGCTAGCGGTCTCGTGCTGTCTCTTGCAGTCTCTTGCGCTTGTCCGCTCGCCCGCTTGTCCGCCCCTCCGTCGCTTTCGCTATCGCCCGGTCACCCATCATGACACCTATTCACACGCTTCCGGCACCCGATGTTGTTCTTCCTCGTCGCGCCATCCTCGATCACTCACCGTTTGTTGTCTCCGTAGGGTAGGCCGCGCGACCTGCCACCACGCTTTCGCACCAGACGTCGCCCTCAGCTCCCATAGGTTCGTCCGCACTTCTGCGAAGTCGCCGAGGCCGCTCCCGAGTAAGGCGGGTTTGCCCAGAATTCGAAGCTCGATCTGTTCCTTCAAGCCTAAGGTGTACGCCGATGTTGTGGTGCGATTCGCCTTCGAACCGGTCTTGGCAATCGTCGTCTTGGACGCTTTCCGCGGGACGACGTGGCGCCGTATGACGCACATGCGCAAATTCGCCTTGACCCGCGTTTCCAGCGTTGAAAACGACTTCGGTAGTTTGGTGGCGTCAAAACGCCTCACTCAAGGCGCAGCAGGCTTCCTGCGAAACCCTGTATTCCAGGCTCCACGCGTAGATGGCCAATTCAGCGAAGGTTGGTGCAGGCACCCTCGACTCGTCACTCGCAGTCCCGCCCTGTTTGTGATCGTTCTCTTTGTCGTTCTCTTCGCTCTCTGTGTCGTTCTGTCCGGTGCTGTCATGGCCGTCGTCGTCCTCGCCGCCGTCATCGTCCCCGTCCCCTCCGCCGCTGCCGCTGCCGCCGCCGTCCTCCTCATCACCAGCATCATCGTTGTCCTCGTCGCCCTTTTGATGCTCCTCGTCATCGACGTCCATCTTGCCGTCATCGTCGCTGGACGCGGACTATTGAAGGTGCCAAAAGTCACGTGCTCGTCAGCGAGGGCACGGGGGACCGTGATGATTTCGCCTCGATAACCTTGCCTCGTCAACCTCCATGACTTGCATGCGGTTCTGCCAGTCTCTTCGTGCCGCCTCGATCGCCTCCTCCACCGTCATGCATTTACCGACGCCGGACTTTGAGGTTGATCGCCCCACATTGGGGTGGGGCAAGGTCGACTGATTGGCTGGACTGGGTGCGAGGGTGGTCGAGGTTTGATCACTCCCACCTGAGGTCGGTTCTTTGGCACTCGATTGGACTTGGGACGTGGGAGGAGGAGGTGACATGGCTTCTGTGGGGAAGCGGGGTGATGACAGCCCGTGTACGTCCTATGTCCGAGCCGTCGAACGCAGGCGCTGGAGACGACAGGAGGTGGGGTAACACCATCGTGTAAGTGCTCGAGCATGTCGCAGCGCCAGGAGATATGTACGGCTCGAACTGACTGGTCCTAATGTTCAATGCTTGCTAGTAGGTAACTGTCGTTGACGTCGCACAAGAGAGCATCGGGACGTCGGACGAAGCGCGGTCGGCCGTCTGCGGCCGATCCGGCCGATCGCGCGCTGGACGTCGGCGGGACAAAGTTCAAATCTCGGTCGCGCTTTCGCCTTTCGCTCCTTGGCTTGCTTCACCCCCGGTCGGCCCTTCGTTGTGTCACCTGTTGTCCAGGCTCGGGGTGGGGTAGTGCGCATTAACCAAGCTCGTTTCGTTGCTCCCGGTCGCTGCCCACATCACACTGGAAGAGCAGATTGCAGGCCTGGTGGTGCGATGCTCCACCGCATCCGCATGGGGCCTTGTACCGTTTCAGTAGTATACTTGCACATACTTTGAGCAATAGTAACATGTTCGTTTACTCTAACTTGCGCAATGGGCCCTTACCCGAGTTCTATGCCCCTACTGACCGTTGGGCATGGTTCGATCCCACGAGGATTTGAAACGCATTTGGGATCGATCCCGCGGTGATTTGAAGCGCATTTCAAATCGGCGCACGGATTTCAAATGCGTTTCAAATCGGGGGCTCGATCCCGGGATGATCCCGGGATCGTCCCATTTCAAGGGTTTTTTTTTTGCTATGACAGGTGGCTTCAGCCGAAGTCTTCTGGGCTTTTTGGACCCGCGGGGAGGGATCATCGTCACGGTCCGAGTCCGAGTCCGGCTTGGAGCGAGTTCGAGGCCGATTCGGAGGTTGGCGCCGGGCATCGAGCAGTTTATCGACGACGGCTTGGTCCGGCTTGGGGACTTCGATTACGGCTGTGAAAGCCAGGGCGATGAAGGACACGATGAGTGACCGTCGTGGAAGATCGGTGCCAAGTCTTTCGGCAGCTTCTGGGTTCAAGGTCGTCGGAGAGGGCTCTACTCATCGTGCGAGCTCTTGTAGAATCAAGCTGTAACTAGCCTTGGGGGAAGGTGCCGGAGAGTAAGCGGTCGCAGCCGAGATTGAGGCCGACGAGGCTGAGGTCGACGCTACGGGATCCCTTGCCGTGGCAGCGTGCGTCGACTGGTGCTGGACTGTGGGTGAGCGGCGAATGGCCAAACCAAGGCCGCATGATCGCATGCATCAGTGGGGCCCGGAAGGTTTCGACAGAGGTCGGTGGGTTCAAAGTTGCGGCGTACCCAGTTCACCGATCTGGAAGAACGGAACCGACACCAACAAGAAGAATCAACTATCGCTGGAGACGCACTGGATGACGGCCTTGACGAGCATGAAAAATGAGAAATGAGTAAACACAGAGCCCCATTATTCGAGGCCGGATCGAGAAAGCGTATGTCCAAGCCTGCAAGATGCATGCCTCACCTTGGTCGCCACAGCATCTGCACCCTTCGACTTTTCTTCCTCTAGATTCTGAAGTGGCACTGGGGCCCCGTGGTCGAGTATGGGAATATGCGAGAGGGCGCCGTCCTGGCGTACCTTGGTCAAGCTATGATGTACGTTGTCCCGCTTGTATCCAATCGAGATACTTGAAACGACGTTGCCAGCCCCACGTTGAATGTAGACGACAGCATCGCCCTGCGTGCGGAGAGCACTTTCAGGTTGGTCCCACCGAACCGAGTACCTGGGTCTCGCCGCGGAGGTCGATGCGGAAGCGGAAGAAGCTCCGACGGCCTCGGTGATCGCGGCATGATGGTTGAGCAGCGCCGCCGTTGCAGATCGTAGACCGCTAGCGAAGAGGTCTATAAACGAAATCTCGACGTTGCGTTCGCCCTTTCGAGGCATCTCGCTGCGAGGAGCATTGCTGATGGCGTCTAGCTCCTCGCGGAACAGGTCCAGCAATGAGGGGTGTTGCTCGAGTATATCGAAGAAAGAGCTGAGAAGTTAGAACCCTGACGCCAGGTGACGCGGGTGTGCCCCATTTCAATCCTCCCAGCCGGGCGACGCAATCGTAGGCGGTCGTCCCAGCATCGGCTTGAACGCGCGAGGCAGTTGAGTGACACGCTCTACCGTGGTCCGGTGGCGGGAGAAACCGGCTGGATGGAGCACAAGTAGCGAGGAGTTGAGTGAGCGTTGGTGGCCGAGAGTTGGTGGAAAGAATCGGCGTCGTTTCGTTGGAAGAAGCCATTCAGAGCGAGACGCTGGAGGTGATGAGGCCCCAAGTGGACTGCAGCAGGAGGTGAAGAGGGCACCGGCGGGCGCGGCGAGTGTAGGCGAGTGCCGCGCGCTACTGCGAACTACTGCGAACTACTGCGAAAGTACTACGAGAGACTGCGAGCGACTGCGAACTAATTCAGTCGACGACGCGCAGGCCCTGATAGTAGTAGTAGTCCTACACATGCTTACACATGAGCGCGAAAGACTTTTCTCTCCCCTGGGGCAGAACTCGCCGTATGTGCTTGCGCCGTGAACGGCTCACGATTTCAATCATTTTTATTTATTTATTTGATAGACTTCATTAACAGCATAATTATACTAATACCTAGAAATCTTCGGATGCCGTGCGCTATCAGTAGTCTTTAGTAGTGCGCCTTAGTGCGCTCGCGCTCGCTCGCCTCCTGTCGAAGGCTGCATAGAGCCAGGTCACTTAAGCCCGGCTGCGCCTCACGCATCCTCTCTCTCCTTCACTCAACATCGCACCTCCCCTCATGATGAGCCATGTCGGTACAAACACCCAGGCCGGGCAGGGGACCGCCCCGTCGACATCCATCAATTGAGTTCAGGGCGTCTCCCTTGCGATCAGCTTCAAGGGCCAGTCCTACGACCCCAGCACCGAATCATTCAACCAATCCGACAGCCGTTCTCGGTCACTGGAGGTCACGTTTGACTCACCAGGACCGACGAGATTCCAGGGAATTACGCAAGAAGATCAAAGTTATTCTGGGCGAAAGTCTCGACGAGGACTCTACCCCCCAGCCTGTGCAGATCGAGGCCATTACTGCCCTTTTATCAATTTGGGAACCGGAATCGATATGACGCTGTGTTTGTCACAGCGCCAACAGGTTCAGGCAAAAGTGTTATTTTCGAAGCAATGTATCTCATTTACGGACGCCGGGCCGTCACCATTGTTGTCAGTCCACTGAATGCACTGAGGAATCATCAGGTGAGTTTTTCTGCCGACTGGGCTTGCTAGACCGACATTCGTGCTGATTTCCGCAGTCACATGCTTCTTTCAGGCTGCCAATCTCAATTGAAAGGGAAAGAACACGATTGTCGTATCTGAGGAGACCTGGAGAGACGGCGGGCTGTACAGGCAGTTGGACGACCCCAATCACAAGATCTCCTTCATTCTGATCGTATGTGCCGGTTGACCTCCTGTGTGAGTGAAGTACACATGTGTTGATTTTCCTTCCTGTTGCGCGTCAAGTCTCCTGAAATGCATATGAACAATGCAGATTGGGCAAAGTTGATCTCTAACGAGTCCTTTCGAGAGCGCGTCAAGTTGCCCGTCTATGACGAGGACAGGGGGGTGGTGTGCATCAAGAAGACTGAGGCCAAGATGAGGGACCAGTCGAGCAAGCGCTCGATATATCTGAGCTTTTATCCCGGTTGTAGATGACGAGTCGGATTGGGGAGTTGGGAGGAGATGCTGGAGATTGACTCGCGGTAAAGACGCTTGATGTGCAGAGTAGGCTCGAAGGTTGTAAGCGCCGGCAATATCTCCGTTCTGAATGTGGGCGTAACCAAAAGTTCCATGAAGCAGCTCGGTACGTCGATCCAATTGCCGATCGTTGACATGATGTGTGACGTCGATGTTGTCAACGGTCACATGGAAGTACTTGTTCGAGCCAATCTCCTTCAGTTTCGTCGAATTCGCCTTCGTCAAGCTCGCAGCTGCCTGGAGAGTCGCCCAGCGAGTTGTCGTCAAGCCGCAATCGTACAGAAACATTGTCAATCGTTCGTTCGCTCCACATGCGAGAGTCATGAGACCGTTGCGATGCTGCATGGCGTTGTTCCTTCGGTTGAAAGCGAATGCGATCTGACCCATGACACTGCGGTAAAGCTGCGGCCAGCGTGTTGATTTTTGGTGTCAGTTCGCTGCGATACCCAGCCGAGCTAGGGTCAGAAACACTCACAAACTCGATACGCCTTTTTTCGTGACCAGGCTCTTGTTCTTGCCCCGGATCGGAACCATTCTCCGGGGTGGCTTCTTCCATCTCGACATCAGTGGAAGCTGTTGGGTCCTTGTCGCGATTGATTGGCTCGGCCGGTGGAGGGTCTCCGCATTGTGATAGCAAGGTACGAACCCGTCCGCTGATTAATGGGTTGTCTTCGGCGATTGCATCGAGCCGGGCGTCGATGTGATCGGATGCGAGGACTTCAGGAGTCAAGTCATGGCTAGCGACGAAGGCGGACTTGGTTCGCTTCATCTCTTTAATGATAATTGAGTCGGCCTGCACGCGGATAAGGCAAGTATTCAGTAGCTTTTTCGAATCCGGAGAATCAATCCGAGAAGTACGAAGTGTTGCCCACCTGCTCGGCGATCCAGTCATTGATTCGGCTTCTTGACTCTGCGCCATCCTCGGTGCAAGTCGTAGCATAAGATCAAGTACACGCTTGAGGCTGGACCAGTTGCTGTTGAACAGCTTTGGTCGGTGTGTTTGAACGCCCTTCAAATCGTGTGGATGGGCTGAAGTACCACGATAGGTATTGACATAGCGAGAGATCGCGGCTACGAAATTCAGCGAACAGATCCGCCTCGCGGCGGTTGTTCTGCCGAGTTGACGAGGTATGGCGTCTGCTTGTTCGGGTCATTTTTGGTTTTAGATATTGTCGCGCTTGACGTGGACGACGGTGATCGTGAAAAGAGGAGAATAGCGAAGCGTACGCAAAGGGATCAAGCCGAATTAGCAGGCTCGCCGATGATGAGAGCGCCAATTACACGATGCGCTCGGACCATCTGAGGCCCGATCGACCAAAATCGCAGACTTCGGATCGCTGCAGCTCCACCCACAGCTTATGAAAGCTCTCGCCACTTGGGGTATGTCATTTTTAGAGCATAAATAAAAATAGTATCCTTCACTTTTGCATGGATGCGCCTACTTGCCAAGTTACAGAGAACCACCCCAAAATGGCCCTGAAATTTCGGAGGGCAACTGGGCCAAGCGCGCCGATAACTCGTAAGCCCCTCCCAGAGGGAGGCTTAATTGAGCTTAGGTTTAGTGGGGTTTTAGGCCATTTCGAAAAGCTTTCGAAAGGAAATGAACGCCCTGCGAGCGCACGCGCGGTTTTAGTGGGTTTTTAGTCAGCCTGGAATCGGTGGGCCCACAGCAGGTCTGAGATGCCGTGAGTCGACGCGACTCCGTCGCCGTCCTAGTATACTCATCTGTCCACAATGGTTCGTAGAAGCGCCATCCAACATGAGCGCGATCGAGTCCAGCTCGAGATCGAAAAAACGGAAGATGCGCTGGACAAACTGGTCTCCTTCAACTATTCACTCATGCAGGAGATGGAGATGGAGTCTCAATCCGACTATTCAACCGACGCGACTGGCACGGACACCGACGCGTCGTCTCCTACAGCCTCTTCCACACTGTCGGAACATCTGCGATCCGTCTTTCCCACTTCTCCTCTAACTCACAATATAACAAACGGACCGTCCAGCATCTCATCGAGTTATCATGAGCCCTCCTCTCCCCCCTCTCCGGTATCATCGGCTCCCGAATCATACGCTGCGTCGTCCGAGTCCGATGGAGACGCCGAATATCTTGACGCGTTGAAGGAGCTCCGCAATGATCAGGTTCACTCCAACTACAACTCGGCACTGGCAGCCGAAGCACATCTCGAGGCTTTACACTGTGAAGCAGCAGATCTCGCTCGCCAACGCTACCTCAATCGGGCACATAAATACACCCCTAGACCACCCGGCCACGGGTTGGGCAGGTGTCTCGACGAGGATCGCCAACTGAACGACGAGGATTTTGCGACGGAGCTTCGCATGAGCAGACAAGCGTTCAACGAGCTGTACGAAGCCGTGAGTCTCAGTTTAATTCTGTAACATCGTCAAATATTCTTCGAAGCTCTGTGGCCTGATCGGCTGCTCGCTCATGTCTGGTCAGATAAAGGATCACGCCGTGTTCAAGTCCCGAGGAAAAAAACCTCAGACGTCGCCAAGAATCCAACTCGCCGTCGCGTTGTGGCGCTTTGATGGCTACGGGAACCGGGCCTCGGCAAAGAGGGCCGTCCAGTGGTCCGGTTACAGCATCGGATCAGTAGTGAAATTTACCGATCGGGTCATCCTAGCGCTCGAGAGCCGAGTTTCCATCGACAAATTATCCACACACAATCGGAGTGTTAGGGCCGGGAGAACTCTCAAATGATTCGGCCTCGGCGATCGTCCGGTGAAGCGCCTCAGTTAGTAAGCAAAGTAGAACGTTGCCTTCGAGCACCATATAATGCAGTCAAGCTACATGAAAGAGCTATCTACATGCTACCCCTATCTAACACCCAACAAGATACCTGCGAAACCCAAGACCGTGGTGCGATTCTGCCACCCTACTCTTCCAAAATTGAAGCTCTTCGATCCATTATCACCCTAAGACCCGCGGTCTCTAATACCACCTGCTAGGTCCCAGTCCTTCTTAAAGCTTACTCTTCTTCTTATGCGATCCCTCCCCAAAGATATCGACCCCCCAAGCCCTCGAAGGGTCGACCGTACGCGTCTGACCCAACTCCTTGGATCGAGCTTCGAGTTTCTCCATTTCTTGGGGTGTCAACTCGATATCTACCCACCCGGCGAGAGGTGGAAGGAAACAGTGTGTGAGGATTGCTTCAAGAGCTAGCCTCGTAAGACAAAGGGGGCCTATGGACTTACCTTTGAAGTTATCCTCGATCCTCTTGGGCGTCACCGATTTGGGCAAGCATACGATCCCGCGTTGGACCTGCCAACTGATCAAGACGTTCGCCGGACCGACATTGTGCGCTTTCGCGATTGTTTGAACCTTTGAATACGGAAGGAGCATATATCAGTACGGCGGGATGGCGATTACGAGGGCATAGGGGTAACGTACGACTTCATCCTCGAGTTGAGGAGCTCCGGTCGAGCCGAGAGGGGAGTACGCCTCGAGGAGGATCCCGTTCTCCTTTGACCACTGCAAAATGATTCGCCCCGTTCGATCAGTAAAACATCCAGAAAGACCAGATGCGTGCGAAGTGAAACCGACTTTGACGAGTTCGGGTTGCGAGCAGCGCAAGTTGAGTTCGACCTGGTTAACGGCGGGCTTGATGCGGGCCTACGACGAGAACGAAGACAAGAACACCTTCATCAGCTCCTCTCATTCCCTTCATGTCATTCCCATACCAGCACTTACCTGCTCCAACAGATTCTTCGCCCTCTCGATACTAAAGTTCGAAATGCCAACACTCTTGACCTTTCCGGAATCCACCAACTTTTCCATCGCCCGCCAAGTCGGCATCGGATCTTTCGTCAACTCCTGATCCACTTTCGGACTCTTTCCATTCTCCGCTTTTCCCTTTCCGAACGCAACAGGCCAATGCATCAAATACAAATCCAAATAACCGAGGCCCAAATTGTGAAGCGTTTCGTCGAGGGCTTTTTCGACTCGTTCGGGGGAGTGGAACGAGTTCCATAATTTGGAGGTGATGAAGAGGTCCGAGCGGGGGATTTGGGAATCGACGATCCCTTGGCCGACTTCAACTTCGTTACCGTAAATCCATGCGGCGTCGATGTGTCTTTGTGGACCACGGAGAATACGTTAGTTTAGCGTCGACGAAATCGACGACGGTGACGTGACGCCTGCCCGACCCCGCGAGTGATCCGCACCTCCAACAGTAACAACGTACCTATATCCAACCTTGATAGCCGAAGCGACTGCCTTTCTCACTTCTCCCGGTTCACTCTGCCAAGTACTGTACCCGACGTCGGTCAATCCGAGTCAGCACCTCATTCCCTTCGCTACCCCTGCTCCGGCCGGGGGTGAGGGGTAGTACTCACCCGAGACCAACGGCAGGGATCTTGATCGCCGATGAGCCGAGGGTGAAGGTACGACCGAGGGACATGATGACCGTGTTTGTTTTCTTGTATGAGCGGATTTGAGTCCGAAGATGAGGGAGGGGGAAACGAACGAAGCCGTTCTCTCGATCTTGTCCCTCCACTTTGGGGCGCCCCCGGTTGATCGAGTCGCCAGAGCCGAGATCAGTTAGATCAACGAATTTTCGAGTTCGGATCCCGGATCAAGCTTTTGGTCAGAATAAAACGTCCAGAGCATAAATCACCATGGGCAGGTAAAAGGCAAGGGTACATTGCACCCGTCCCAACCTTTCCCCCCCAACCCTGCCCTCTTTTAGGATCTCCAATACTGCGCTACAGAGTGGATCCTATCCAACACGGAAGTAAAATACGAGGTCTCGTTCAACAACGCTTCGAATTGCTTGATCGCTTCTTCCTCGCTAAGGTGAAGTAAGAACTTATCCTGCACCTGAGAACGATCAAGGCAGAACGAATAAACAAGAAAGTCAGTTCATCCCCCTTCCGATCCTCGAACCCCCAAAGTCACGCCACGCTGCGCTCGTTCCTTTCCCTACACGTACCTTCCCTACGGCCTTATCGGGTTCCATCTTGATATCCTGAATGTTCGCCTCCGTCATCAAGCTCACCAAGTTGATCAACAGATTACCATTCTTCCTCAACAGACTGAACGCGGTCCCGCACAACTTCTTGAACCTCTTGTACTCGGTCGAATGTAAACCCCCCATCGCGTCGACCATCTCTTTACAAACTTTGACGGCCGGAGGAAACGGTTTGGGATCGCGACCTAAGATGTAACCAAAGTCGACGTGGAAGAAGTGGCCGTCGGGGGAGAGGAGGAGGTTGTCGAGGTGACGATCGCCTACGCCGAGGAGGTACGTGACGACACAATAACCCGCTGAATTATCGGGGGGATAGAGGGGGGTATAAAGACGAAGCTTCGTCAGGCGCGGTCCTTACTTCGATGGACTCCTTCTCGAGAGACTGACCACAACTCCTCACATACGTATCCAATACCTCCGCTCTTACAACCCCCTCCGACACCGCGACGCCTTGATTCTCGATCCCTTGCTTCAAATAACCCAACAAACCCTGTGCGCCAAACTCGTTTGAAATATCCTGCAAGGTCTTGCTCTCGACGAATTGAACCATCCCATCCAATTGGGCGGTCGCCAAGACTCGGTAGGGCATGAGTTTAAGATCGAGGTTCTCGGAAAGGAGTAGTCGGTCCATGAGGGTGAAGAGTTGAATGACGAGTTGGTCTTGACGTAGGTCATCACCGTTCTTGAAAATGACGGGATAAGCACCTCCCTCGCTCGTGAGAAAGTGTAACTTTAAAGGGAACAAATTCGATTTGAACACGCTCGATCGTTCGGGATCGATACCGACGATCCGAATTTTGGCGTCCAAGGGTAGGGCGATGGGGACGTCGAATTTGAGGAGATGGGCACGGATGTAAGCCCTTAGTCGTTCGATCTTCTTCGGTCGAGCATCTTTCGACATGCGTAATTCATAGGCCAAACTCGATAACCGAGCGATCAAATCCGTTTGTCTCCTCAACCCATCCCTTCTTGTTTCCGGACCCATCTCGAGTAAATTCGAAGCCGATGAAGAAGCTTCAAGCTCCGCCACGCGCCGTTCGAATCTCCTACCCACGTCGGCGAATAAGGAACCGCGTTCTTTGTCCTCCGTTTCGACTTGGATGTACCAATGAAAATGGTTACCGAGTACGGGGTTTTGCGCACTTCTTTCGATGAGGAAATCGATCAGACTCAAGGCCGTCGTTGGAGGGGTCGAAGCATCCATGCGGTGATGGTGGTGCGAATGGGAGTGGCTGAGGTGGCGAGAGTGACGGAGCATGGAGGACGACGTCGAGGAGGAAGGGGACATGGAGGGTGGGGGTGGTTCGAACTTGATCGCTTGGACGAGTTGCAAGAGGTACAACATGAGTTCCTTTGGGTATCAATGAAAGAAAAAAAGTCAGCGCCCGTCTCAAAGACTCTTGATCGTCAAACGCACCTCATCATCCGCCTTTTCCAACCTCTTGACCGCGAACGCCCTAACCCGGCGATCCCTGAACGCCTCCCCCGGCCCCAAAAGTTCCAAGGCATCGTCCATCTCAATCTCGACCCACATACCCAACAACACTTCCACGGCTTGTTGCACTTCCCCCGGATCGGACCACGCGACGGCTTTGAGGAACTTGGTTAGCGCGCGTTTGTCCCGGGTGAGGTAGAAACGGAATTGCCAGAGGAGGTCGCGTTGGGTTGAAGTGAGGTCGCGCGTGGGGGGGTAGCGTAGGATGTCCTGTGTTGAGCATGTCCGAATGGATGATCAGCTACAAAGTGGTAGTTGTGCTTCGAATGCTCAAATGGACCACTGACGTTCAACTCGTCCCGAATCTTGGCATTCGGCTTCAACTCCCTATCCAACGGTCCCGAGCGATGACTCCTGACCAATCGGCGATGTTTCGCTTCGACGGGGTTCTCCCTTACTATTTCGGGATCGATGATGGGAAACAAAGAGTGGAGAGGTGCGGAGACAGCTTCGATGGTTGAAGCGTTCGTCGTGCCGGGGAGAGGGACGGCGGGGGAAGCGAGGGTTGGGAGGGTGTATTCCTGTGTGGAGAAAGTGGGGTTCAGCCCCATCGCCCGTCCCCTGCCCAGCCAACTCGGTTCGTACATGTTCGGAAAAGACGACGGGGAAATCGAATCTGGGTAAATCGATGTACAAGAACAAGTGTGGGCTCTTGCTCGCTTCGACCTGATCGTCAACGCTCTCAGTCAGCCGGCGCAAAGTTGACAGTTTTTCCAAATCGGTCGGAGAGTGTGGTGGAGCGAGGAACGGACCTGATAGCTCTTTTCGATCTGCCTGAACGCAAGTTTGTCGACCCAATCCTCCCTGTGTACCTCCCCGCTCTCATGCCTCCTCACGCACGTTTCCAACACGCCCAACCGATCGTGTTCCGCCTCTCGGTCCTTGGCCAGCTTGCTCGGTGTCGTACTCGGCACTTTACCATCGGCCTCAGATGCACGATGAAGGAACAACCTCTGTTTGCCCGCTTTGAGGAGGCGCTTGTTCTTTGAGAACAGGGCCAACGTACTCCCGCCGAGGACGAGCGGGGGTTGGTCCGGTCCGGCGAGGGAATACACGGTCGCGGCGAGTTGAGCATCGAGGGGCAGGTCCGAACATTGGATACCGAATTCGATCGGTTCCGAATTCCATTCGATCGAAGAGCGCGATTTGAAGGACTTGAAGGACGATTTCCAAGGCGGGAGCAGTGGCTTGTTGGAGGAGTAGAGCTGGATGATGAGGTAGAGGTCCGGCGGGAGGGAAGGAGGTGTAGCGAGCGCAGAGTGTTTGAGCGAGGGCGTTTGCAGCAGCGTCGTGAGCGAATGGGTCGGGAGAGGTCCGACGAGCGAGCACAGGCGCAGGTGGAGCGGCACCGTCAGTTGGTGGTGACGGACAAAGGTCAGCGACGAGTCGAGGGAGCTGTGGGAGGCATTGGGGGTATTGGCGGGAAGCGGGGGAAGCGGGGGAAGCGAGGTCGAGGTCGAGGTCGAGGTCGAGGCGGTGGCGGTGGCGGTGGCGGTGGCGGTGGCGGTGGCGGTGGAGGATGTGCGACGTGGCGCAGGCGAGTGCATCGTGGCAAGTGGGGGCCAAATGGACCGATTGAAGGAGGTGCGAGGAAGCAAAGTGCGCGAATGGGCGGGCGCCAGGCAAGAGTCAAGTCTAATAGAGTCTAGTTATTAGGGTCTAATCGGGCTCAAGTAATAGGCCCACGTCTGCCCACGTCGGCTCAAGTGGGGGGGACGGTCCCTCCAACTTGCGCCTCGCCTCGACTCGACTCACTCCCTCCCCCTCGTTCATTCCTACGACCTCACACTAGAATGTCCTCCTCCACACCAACAGCGTCGAGCTCGACCTCCGCTTCAACATCCAAAGTCAAGCTCGCCTCTTCCTCCCTCTTGGCTCTCAAAGCCGAGATCACGTACGTTCCCTTCTCCCCACTCCGTCCTCCTCGCTCGTCCCCCTTCCTCTCCACTAATCCACCTCCTCTCCCACTCTTACCACCCAACAACCAGCCGCAAAACGGCGACAACTCTCAGCTCCTCCTCCTCTTCTTCCTCCTACACGCGCGGACTCCCCTCCTCCACCGCCGGTCCCAAACCGATCTCGCCCTGGCACCGTTCGAACGCCGGCCTCGCAGCTCGTCAAGCCAAGGACCAGATCGTCTCTGAAACCGACCTCGACCAAACGGGGAGGATCAATACCGTTCGATCAAACTTGGAACAAAAGGCGAGCTTGTACGAGCGGATAAAGTGCGTTCAAAAAAAAAAAAAAAAAAAAGAGTACAAGGCTTTTATTCAAGTGGTCGGGCCGGACTGATTAGGTTCCTTTCAAGCGAGCGTTGGCAAACAGAAAAGGTAAAGACTTGGGAGTCGATAACCACAAACTCTCACAGTTGTTGGTCGATTTCGAGGCCAAGGAAGAACAGACCGATTCGGAAGGGGAGCCAGACTCGTCCGAAGAGCAAGAAGATTCTGATCAGGCTCAAGTTGGAGAGGATCCACGAGTAGGTTCTTCACATCCCAGCTCTCGGGCTGCATGGTCCACTGACTCATCATTGCTTCACCCCGCTCCCAGAACCCGATGGTCGAATACCTAGACGAATTCGGCCGCTCTCATCGCGTACCTCGATCGGACGTGCCCGCCGGAACAGCCCTCCCTTCGAACGTCCCTTCCCAAGTCTCTCCCGCCGACAAGGTCTACTACGGTGACCAACGACATTTCCCCGTTTACGAACCCGACCCTGAGAAATTGGCCGCCATAGCGAGGGAGAATCAACGATCGCGCGGCGCTTTGGTCGATCGGTATGACGCGACCAAGGAGAAACGTACGAGGGGAGCTGGCTTTATCGCGTTGGGCATGGACGACAGCACGAGGAGGGAGAGGATGGAGAGTTTGAAAGAGATCAGGAGGGAGGGCGTGCAAGCGAGGGAGGCGTTGGAGAGCGTGGGAGGGGTCCAGGGGAAGCGGGAGGCCGATAAGGAGGAGAGGAAGAGGATGTTGAGGCACAAGAGGGACGAGGTGCAAGCCAAGAGGAACAAGCTCACCGAGGGATGATCGTACTGCTCTGATCACAATTTTGTCCGTTCGTTCGTGGTGTATCCCACTATCCCCCCGATACGGGAGGGATCGGACAAACGACCTCTCCTCCGTTCAACTCGAACTTGTCCTCTTCCCCCCTCGGAATCATCTCCTCATCTACGGACCATTGACTTGATTCGAGTGCGAGTCGAAAAGGCTCGTTGTCCGGGTGGAGGGCAACGAGATGGGTGCGCAGGTGCGAGAGCTTGAACGGTAAAGTGGGGAGGGAGAGCTGAGTCTGGGACGGGAGACCTTCGAGAGCGGTCCGTACGGAAGCAAAGTAGCGCAGAGTAATCTATCGGCACGAAGGAAGGGAGAGTCAGTTCAGCGGTAGATCGGTAGTTGAGATGGTGACCTGCCTCTTGCGCCATCGCCGTGACCAAGTCAAGGCACCGGGGAGACAGAGCGAACGCGCCTCGCGATCTTGCCTTTGACCTCCTTCCCGCTTTGCTCCCACCTCTCTCCCTCTTTCCCCGAGAAGCGCACCATGCCAGGCCCATCTCTGCAAGCCGCCGTATCCTGGCTCGCTGCCCATCCTGACGAAGCGCCTGCGCTGGAAGCCCCTCTTCATCCTTCAAAGTTGGGGACCAAGCAGCACTGGGATGAGGTATCTCACCGGAGAGTGGGGCCCATAAGAGAAGGTGGTTGTCGTCCTAGCTGATCTGTGTTTTGCTTCGAAATTAGGTCTACGAACGCGAAGTCAGGATGTTCAAAGAGATCGGAGGCAAGTACCAGGCAGCCAAGTAGGCGCAGCGTAGACGCTGATCACGTGTTCCGACTCGTTGCAGACCAAGGCGAAGTCTGGTTCGGCGAAGACGCATCGGACAAGATGGTCGAATGGGTCCAGGAACATGTACCCCAAACCGACGCAAACCTTTTGGATCGTCAGTGTTCTTGACGACGCAAGCTCGTCAGGACGAAGAAGCTGACCGACCGCCCTTCGCTCTTCCGTATGTGTGGGGAGCAGTCGGCACGGGCAACGGCCAACTCCTCTTTCGTCTTTCCGAAGAAGGCTACACCTCCCTTACTGGGATAGACTATTCCCCCTCCTCCATCGAGTTGGCCGAATCCATACTATCCTCCACGACCCCGGACCCCAAACCCTCCATCAATTTCTTCGTGTCCGACATCCTCTCCCACGACCCGGACCCCCGATTGACCCAAAAGAGATGGAAAGTCTTATTGGACAAAGGTACTTATGATGCAATCTGTTTGAGTGACGAAATCGATCCCAAGGAGGGTGTTCGGATCGGGGAACTTTATCCAACGGCTGTAGCCGGTTTGTTGGACGAGGAGGGGTATTTCTTGATTACGTCTTGTACGTTATCCCTGCGACGGAAAGATGAGCTCTTCTTTCTTCTCCGGACGGCTGATCCTTTCATTGCGCACGGAACCTCTCTTACAGGCAACTGGACACGCGCCGAGTTGGAAACAGCTTTCATCACTCCTCAAACAGGTCCGTCGCGCTCGAGCTTCCATCGATGAACCCAGCACCGTACTAAACACACCTTTTCCTCCAACAGGTCTCATCTTCCATTCCTTGGTCCCACGCCCTTCCTTTTCGTTCGGAGGTAGTACCGGTTCTTCGATCACAACAATAGCGTTCCAGAAGAAAAAGACCGAGGCGTAGGAGGGGAATTTACACTTTTGAGACCTGGAGAACCGTTATTTTACTTCCAGCAACGGATATACCCAAACACTCGTAATCTAAAGACCCGTTCCGACCACCTCTTGCACCTCCTTCAGCTTCCTCGGACAGATATCCCTACAACCCTCCCCCTCCTCTTCCACCATCTCACACATCTCCACCTCCTTAAACTCATCCCTCAAACCCCAATATTCCTTCCCTTGAACCCACTCGACGAATTCTACATTCACGACCCTGGTCGTACTAAAACAAGGTCTCGTCAAGACCCTAATCATCTCCTCATAAGACCGCATCGTCCTAAAATCCAACCACAACACGTCCGATACTTCAGCCAAGGCCGTCATCCCCGCTTCGGACGAAGAATGCGTTTGTCTCAAATGTTCGATCGCGTGCGAAACGTAATGCGGTTCGGTGAGGAGGACTTGATGACCCGGTACGTGGGAAGGATGGTTAGCCCAAAAAGAGGTGGGGAAGATTCGCCAGATGTAACGTTCGGTGGTCGAAGATTGGGATTGATGGGTCGTGGCGAGGTTGGAAGAGCTTAGGATCGTTCCTTTTAATGGAGGCACAAACGTTCGGCCCGAGTCGTGCGCGGCTTGAAGGAGGAGACCCATGACGAATTGGAGCGTTGTGAGATTACCGATTAGGTGAGGGGCTCGAAGCACTTGGGGGAACGAAACGGGACCGTTGGGAGAGGAACTAAGGGGGGAGGGGATCGAGGACGGAAGTACGACGTGGCGATGTTCGTGGAGACGCTTGGATTGCGCGTCGAGGTCGTCTTCCAGGGAGGGGTAAACGACGGTCGGACTGTGGTAGCCTAACGAACCAGCGATGTAGGATTGACTCGCCTGCGATTGCCAATGAAGATCAGTACAACCTTCCCATCCAACTCTCTGAACAAAACTAGAAACCCACTCACCAGATCGCCACAACAAATACAATGAAAATAGACGGCCTGTTCATTCTTCTCCCTCTCCCACTCCATCCTCGCTAACCTCCCCGTACTCGTCCTAAACTTCTTCCTCTCCAAAACCTTGACGTCGATTCCTCCCCCCCACCCACTTTCGAGTTCGGCCTGACCGTACAAACTGTCTACCGCATCATCGACCGCGCCTGTTCGTTCGACGAACAGTTTCTCATCTTCGCCTGGTGAATGCGGAGGTGCGACGTGGGCCGTATCGCGACGTGCTCCGGAGGGGTCGAGGAGTAGGTTCGTGGTGCGCCAAATATGATCTTCTTCGTCGGGGCCTCGGGAGAGGTCCAACAGCCTTTGGAAAAGGGATATGACGTGTTTGGTTGGGTTGAGGAAGATGAAGCCCTGGGGTAGATGTACGAAAAGAGCTGAGCGATGAGAGCTGAGGGAGGATAGGGGCGGTTGAGCTGACTCACGGCTTGCAGGGCCCCCGTCTTCCAAGTGTCGGTGATTTGCATGTCGTAGTCGGCCAAAGGGCCCATATGGGGAACAGGGTCGCTGTAAAAACGATTTCTTTGAGTCAATCTCAGCGTGGTCCGGGGTAGAGTGAACAGACCTACGTTCGAAAGAACACATCGCTGCGCGGTTCGCAAAAGTAAAGGCTTGATCAGCCATCGAACCCAGACCGCTCACGAGCCGATTCGAACCGACTGACCTATCAACGAAGAACAACCTCCTCCTACTACCCAGTGTCTCCACAATCGCTCTAAGTTTGACCTTCCTCTCGTCCTGCCCTTCAGGCACCATCCCACCCCAACAAAACATCCTCGGATGTTCTCTACAATACTCGACGCACCCCTGATCCCTACAAAGCGTGACTAACATCCTCCTCGCGAACGAATTCGCCTCTTCGCCTTCTATATCCTTCGACGTCGCTGAATCCCCCCCTTCGTCTAAAGCTCTGACGAACCCATCCAAATGAGGTGCCGAGATCCGAACGCTCTCGTTCGTCGCTGTAGTAAGCCAAAGATGAGAAGGTCTTTTTCGTCGAGCGCTCGTAGCGTAGGAGAAATGAGAGCCGAGTCGGGTGGTGAGGTAGTCGACGAAGGTCGTATAAGCGTACTCGTCCTCTCTGGGGGTCCGGGGATGGGATTTGATTGGGTAAGACACCGTTTCGAACGTATCGAAGAGGGTCATGGGTTGTGGAATCGAAGGCAGCCAAGAGCGTTGTTTCGAGGCTGTTTTGGAGGGAAAGACAAGCTGGAGAATGTGGCGACCGATTTAGATGCTCATGAACGCACAAAAACATAGGCCGCCGAGTCGAATGAAGGAGCGTTTCGGGTGGCGCTGTCGCAGGCCGAGGATCGTCGGTGATTCGAGCCCTTTGAGCGAACTTCGTTTCCTCGGCAACTTGCTCAATCCGGCTTTCAACAAAGAGGAAGAAGCGCCATTATTCCCGTCCAGAGTGTTGTGCAGGACTGAAGTAAGACTGGGAAGTTTCTGCATCCCCACGGAAGAGGCTGCCAGCCCGTTCGTCGGGTCGCTGGATTCCATGTTGAAGCTGCTGGCGGCAGATGGTCTTCTCGATAAACGACGACGACCATCTTCAACATCGATATCGATTCCACCTCCCGCTTTGCGATGTTGCAGCAGTGATGCATTCGAGCTCGACGAGATCCCCACCAGCCCGGGTTCCGAGCTCATCGTCGAACTGGTCCCTAACCCCCGACTCGGTTCCAAACCTGGCCAACTGATCGGCAACATATCATTTGACCCCAACGTCGCGTTCGTCGACGATCGCCGACTAGGTGAAGAGCTCAACGACGAAAGCGTGTCGTGATACTCCATCACCTCCATCACCGAAGAATCCCTCCTCCTCATCCCTACCCCAGGAGCGGTCGGTAAGAGTTCACCAAAAGTCTGCCTTCTCGGCGAAGGGCTCGGTAAAGCCGTAGAAGTGACGAGAGGGGAATCAGGTGAGGGTGAAACGAATAAAGGGACCCAATCTCGATCTCTTCTTGAGGAAGGTGAATCGCGCGAATCGGAGAGATTGCTCAATGGGGTCGTCGTAGTCGATCCGGGCCGAGAGGTCGAGCCGCCGCGAGGAGGTATCGAAGGTGGGGTCGAGTAGGCTGAATCGCCGCAGCTGCGCTTTCGGGTCCAGCCGTCAACATCGCGGTTAAACGGGAGAACATGACACCTCAGATCGAGATGTTCGTAGACCTCTCGATGGGTATCGAATGATGGATTGGAGCGAAGGAGCGGCAATGCAAAGGAGTGGTTGTGAAAGGTGGCACGCGCGATCGCTCGGCCAAGTTCAGTCGAGCGGAGTCCGCCAGCTGGCAGGTGGGGTCGAGACCGAGCCCGTTCGCCGAAGTCAAGAGCTCCCCGGAACTGGTTTGAGCTGCTGCCGCTGTTGCCAATGGGGGAGGGTCAGTCACTGCTGGTGTATGGGCTCGAGGGGTGAAGGAGGATTGAAGTGCTCACCTTCTGGAACTTCAAGGCGGGAGGCGTCCACACGAAGCGTTGATAGGTAGGACAGAAACAAGCTTCGAGAAGCGTCGATGAAGCGCTCAAACGTTGTAATCTCGACACGGTGCCTCGGCCCTTCTTTGCCGCGCAAAAGCGGAAGGTCATACCTGAGTAGTGGGAATTGAAAGCACACGAGAGTGATTGCCAAAGGCGTAGAGTTTGATCTGACAGGATTGAGTGTGATCTGCTCAGAGATCTGGGCACCAACTCCGATCTCGTTCGCGATAGTGAGCTAACTTTGACTCGCCAACGAGACGATTTGCCGCTCGCTCGCCGGGGCTGGAATAGGGGGGCGGGTCGGCCTGGACGAATAATGGCTCACGGCGCAACGAAGAATGTCCGTTCACTCTGCAATCATAGCATCCACGTGAATGGGATGAACTGAGAAAAATACCTTTCTCGTTTCATCTGGCACCCTAACAGCTCAGTCACTGGTCCTCCTAGCCGCAGTTTCGGAAAGCTCGTGATTTTAAACGTTCCCACTAAGCGGCTTCATAAGCCCTACAGCGCTCCAGATACTGCTCCAAAAACTGGGGAGGATTATTCAGCTAGTATGGGCACTGCGGATTCTGTATTTGGCGAGCATTGTATAGAAATCGTAAAATCGAATATTCGGACCTTCGAGCGTGCCGTGATTGGTTAGGATTGGTTCAGCGTGGTTCAGCGTGCGGTGCGACCAGCGCGCGCGGAGGGGGACGGGATCATGTCGATCTCTTGCCACCGCCCTCGATCGTGCATCACTCTGCCACCATGAACGCATTCCGAACAGGCCAGTTCAGTCCAGAAGCTAATTTCACCCCATGAACACCCCTGCTGACCCGTCGATGCACTCTCAACAGGCCTGGTCACGCTCCGATCGTCAGGCGTCCACGCCGTCGCACCGACACGAATCGCGCCCGCTCTCTTGCAGCAACATCGCACCATCTCGTCCAGCTCGTCCAAGCCGATCCACCGTTCGAGCGCGATCGCGCAGGCAACGTCGCAGACCCCGGCCACGGTCGATGCTGAGAACGCGTTCAATCTGGCCAAGCAAGGCTCGAACCAGCTCAGCCTCGAGACGCCCAAGAACGGCGTCGAGTATGCTCTCGCTACCGCGGACAAGATCGTCAACTGGGCTCGACAGGGTTCCATGTGGCCCATGGTCAGTGGTGTCGGGTAGTGCCGTTCGGCCAGCTGTGCATGGGGTGCTGATCTTGCTCTCTGTTCCTTTCCCCGCCGCGATCGCGCTGTCCCTCCGCCACCTCGTCCCGCTGTCCCTCGACAACACTCCTTCCCTGGTCTTAAGACCTTTGGCTTGGCTTGCTGCGCCGTCGAGATGATGCACATGGCCGCGGCGCGATACGACCAAGATCGACTCGGTGTCGTCTTCCGAGCTTCCCCTCGGCAGGTACGTGATCTCCCCGCGGTCCTTCTCAATGGAGTCGCCACATCGGCTGATCAGCGCTCTCTATGTTTTGGGTGACCAGTCCGATATCATGATTGTGGCGGGCACCTTGACCAACAAGATGGCGCCGGCCTTGCGCAAGGTCTACGACCAAATGCCCGGTAAGTGCGCACTAGCGGATAACTCGTACGCTTGGACGCGGGAAACTCGGCTGACGAAAGAACTCGACGTTTCCATTCGTAGAGCCACGATGGGTCATCTCCATGGGCTCTTGCGCCAACGGGTAAGTCCGGGACCGGTTCGTCAATCGTCATCTTCTGTGGCTGATTCGATCTACAAATTACATCTCCAACTCGCAGTGGAGGATACTACCACTACTCGTAAGCTCGAGTCGCAACGCATGAGATCCTCTAATGATGCCCCGATGTACTGACTCTTTCGATCCGACACTCACAGCTATTCGGTCGTTCGAGGTTGCGACCGTATCGTCCCCGTCGATCTCTACGTTCCCGGATGCCCGCCGACGGCCGAGGCTTTGCTTTGTGCGTAGAGATTTCGGGCGCAGCCCATGAAATGGGATATCGTGCTGACACTTCCTTTTCCCCATCGGACCCTCCCCACAGACGGTATGCTGCAACTTCAGCGCAAGATGAGGTATGTTTACTCGTCGGAGGATTCTCGAAGGCACAGCCGCTGATCGATATCTCTCGCTTTCTCGCTCTTGCGCAGGCGCGGAAGAAAGGGTGTCACGTGGTACAGGAGTAAGTCACTCTCAGAACACTCCTTCTCGTCCTTTTTGAGACTGATCCACCTCGTCCTTCTCACAGAGTAAATGGGGGAAGCTAGACCGTCTTGACCACCTATCGCTGCTTCGTTCGACCCAGCAGCACTTTGGTTGCCTTTTTTTGTGTAGAATCAACTCTCTTTTTCTCTTTCTCCGCTTCAGCCTCTTGGTATGCAAACCCTTCTGTCGAAATCTTACACATCGCAAGCTTTCCACTCGGAACGGACACGTCAAAGCATACGGCGGAAATGCACACGGGGGACCGGGCCGAACGGAGGAAAAGGGGGAAGAGCGGCCTAATTAGCGGATGAGGCGGTGGAGCGGAATCAAGGGATCGGAGTGGTTCGAATGACTTGGACGTCGCGAGGGAGTATACTTCTTGTTCTCAGGTAGACCTAATACAGCATCCTACCTCGTTCGGCATCGTTCTCCGCTATCCATTCTCAGCGTCTCGGTCGTTTCTCGGCTCTCGGACTCGGCTCTACCCCTCTCTCCTCTCGTTCACCTTGGGTCTCTTGTTAGCCTCATACTTGGCCCTCATCTTTATCTGACATCTCTGATCGGCCGCTTGCTATACTATAACTGGGGAGTCAGCCGGGACCCCGAGACCCACAACTTCCCTAGCCAGGGAGGTCGGCGCCCCGACCGACGCCGACGAGACGTGCCGAACGAGAGACAGGGGCACCTGGGCCGAGCCGAGAAGGCAGACAAAGGGACGTCGCGAGAGGAGAAATACCGCGTTGGCTGAGGTGAACATCTTTCCTTCCTTTCGATCACACCTTCAACACCTTCTTGCTTCAGCCACCTCTTGCTACACCTGTCCTTTCCCTCGCGATGTTCGCCGTTGTCCCGATCGGGCGTCTCGAGTTCACATTATGTTCGGAACGGGTTGCCGACCACAGACTGCCCATGGTCAACGCCAAGAAACTACAGGACCTCCGTGAGTCTGTAGACCGGTCATGTACCAAAGCGTCCGTCATCGAAACTTGTCTTGGCGATTCCCGCCGACAACATCTGGTGCTCGGTTTCCATCGGTACCACCACAACATGCTTGAGTGAGCTTCCCGGGTGTCACACTTGCCGAAATGGCAAAACGATCCACCCCCAGTGGCACGGATGGGCTCTTGATCGATCCTATTCGGAACTTCGAGAAAAAGGAGTACTCATTTTGTAGGCTTGCAGGGGCAGTTCAGACGTCAATGTTCACCTCCAACTTGATTTCACTCGTGTGGCCAAATGTTACCACCCGGAGGTGGACCGGTGTCAAGGACGCCCACTGCTCCTTGAGTCGGACAAGAACAGGTACTACTCTGTTTTTACCCGAGTGTCGGCATAGATCGATCAAGAGCGCATTGGGCGTGGATTGTTTCGCCATCAGGCTCGGCAAGCGTGACCCCCGGGAAGGTCACCAGCATGTTATGGCGGTGTACTTCGGCACCGGTCGGTGGCGACCGAGCACCAGATGTTATCGCCAGGGATCCCCAGGCGAGTTTTGATGACCGAGGCAACTAAGTCAGCGCAGGACTGGTCGACAGAATTCCAGAGGCCCTGTAGGTTCTTGGCGTTGACCATGGGCAGCCTCATGTGGTCTGCGATCCTGAGGATGTTCCCCGACAAAATGTCCAGATGTCCGCCGATCGGAACGATCGGCGTTCCGATCGGCGGACATCGCGAGGGGAAGGAGAGGCGTGGGAACTACGTGCGATCCCGCCGACACTGCAGCTCGTCAAACACTTCCTCTTTTCTCCCCTGTACCCTGTGTTTTCATCTCTAAATCCGGTTCATAAAGTAACGCGGCACAAGCTTGTATAAAGTAGTACGAAGGAGGAGGTTGGACATACCACGTGTGGTGACGTGTTACGATGGCGGTTGTGCAAAACCTGCGGGCGGTCGGTCCGCACTGGAGATCGGCGATTTGGCAGAAGTTTTTTCGGAGCTTTGGATGTGTAAGATTATTAAGGGGAACGTGTTGCAATTTGTAGCCTCGGATCCCTTTTCCACTTCACCAAATCCTGTTTGCCTTGGGCGAGGAGAAAGTCTCATGTGAAAGCGCCCCTGCCCCCTGGCATCTTGGACTGACGAACTATAGCAATTCCACCTATAAGTCCAAGCTCTACGCAAGGCGTACTCAACCCAACTCCCTTCTATGACCTGCCTTCAATCAAAGAACCTGAAACTTCGCCCCCTGCCTCAACTTATCCGCCGTCAAACTCCAACATTCATCAATCATCGCGGCCCTGAACGTATTCGGCCCCATGACGTCCTTCCGTTGAGCGGCGATTTCAGCGGCGACGTTGATGGCAGTGATACTACGGGATGAAAAGAGGGCGTGTAAGTGTTTTTCTTTTTTGAAAATCGTGGGCCTTGGGGGAAACGAAAGATGGGAAGTGTGAACTTACCCTGTCACGGCGGCCAAGAAAGCTCGCGAAGCGATCGTTTCGTCCTTTTCGAGCGGTAGGGATGCGAAACAAGCCACAGCGCTAATGAAACGAGTGTCAGACAAGTTGGATCAATACACTCGGTCCAAACCCCATTGCGATGGCCGAGACCGACTCACGTCGAGGCCATACACCCACTGCCCGTGATGATGCCTTGATAGTCGTGACCGTTTGATAACTTGACGACGACTTCGCCGTTGGAGATGTAGTCCACTTCGCCAGACATGGCGACAGTGAATTCTGCAATAAGAAAACAGCCATCAGTCTCCGATTCAGCGGACGGCCAAAACGTCGACCGAAAATCGATCGCCCCTCCTTCAGCTTACTTTCCCTCCGCGCCAAATCCCTGACCACACTCGCCGGATCGGCGAACCCCTTCCCAACCGAATCAACGCCTCTAGATTTGACCTCCTTGCTCCCCAACAAACTACCAATCTCCCCGGCGTTTCCTTTACAAACACTGACTCGTACATCATCCATCAACTGATCCGCCATCCCTCTTCTATGGACCGTCGCTCCACACCCAACAGGATCAAACACCACCAATTTGCCGACTCTGTTCGCGGCTCGACCAGCTTGTCTCTGAGCAGAGACTTGGTCCAAAGTCGCCGTTCCTAAATTAAGCAATAGGCAACCCAAATACCCTGCGAGTTGATCCAGTTCTTGAGGAACGACGGACATGATGGGAGAACATCCCAAAGCGAGGGTAAGGTTCGCACAGTCGTTCATGACGACTTGATTTGTCAGATGGTGGACGAGGGTACGGTGTTCCTCACTTGTCGATTGGAGACGGGTGAACAGATTGATCACTTGGTCCAAGAGGGTTGGAGTGGATTGGAGTGGGGTGGGGAGGGTGAGGGTGAAGCGTGGGGAAGTGCGGAATTGGCTCAGGAGTGAGCGAGCGGCTTGGTCCGGATCGGGGGAGGCGGCGATGGAGGATACGACGGCCAGACCATCGAGATGACGATACTCGTTGGAGTCTGGGATAGCTGCAGGGGTTTGGTAGAGGATGTTGGGAATCGTTTCGGGTGTGACGCCGCCTGTGTGCAGAAGGCCGCTATCTCAGGCCCCGCCCCCCCCCCCCTGTCCAACGAAAAGCCCGGGCTGAGAAGAGACTTTTGCTACTCACCAATGACAACAACTTTGATCTCACTCCCCCCCAACCTCGCCAACAAATCCCTCACACCTCTCATCCCAAGCACAGGGCTCAAATCCTTCTTTGTCTTTGTGCCATAACAGGGTCCCACACCAATGTAATCGACCGTTCCCTCAGGATAGGCCAAAACGACTTCCAATTCTTCGACGGTGTTGATGGAGACGCCGAGAAGTTGGTCCGGACCGAGGAATTGACGAGCTTGAGGTGCGGGAAGGTCGGATTGCCCTACGTGGAGACCGCAGGATAGGAGGAGTGCGATGTCGAGACGGTCGTTGATGATGAGGGGGACCGAGTACTGGAGGAGAAAGGGGTTAGGGGGCAGGTCGGGATTAGTTTCCCGCGGGAATCAGCTCGGCGACCGAGATGGGGAAATTTCGTAAGGATTCGTCCTCAAAGCGTCGTGTATCCGGAAAAGGAGTTTTCCAAGTGCTTGCAAACTCAGTCGGCCCTCACCACCCAAAGAAGTGACCTGTACCGAGCTGCTCCTCCTCAGTCTGCCGGTGGTCTGTCGATCTCGTCAGGTCGAGGAGGGGCGTTACGATTCGCGCAGAAGAGACTTAGAGCATATCCTCCATACCGGTTCTCAGACTTGACTCGACACCCCTCCCTCTGTCATCGAGGACGCCTACCGTCCTTGAAGCTCCGCATCGAACTGCCCGCCCCACCCGCCTTCCCCATTCGCACTCCCTGCCCCCGAAACTCACCTGATCACAAACCTCCTTTGATCTCTTGGCAACTTGATAAAGCTCTCTTCCACCGACATCCTTCTCCCTAATTTGCACGACCGTCACACCTCCTCTCAAAGCTAATTCGAGGTGAGTGAGGTAGGACGGCGTTGGGTCGACGTCGACGTCATCTGGGTTCGACGAGGGGGGAAGTAGTTCGCGGCCTGTGACGTAGTAGAGGGAGTAGTCGATCGTGGGTTTGACCATTTCTTTGGAGGAGGGGATCGGATGGGGGAAGGAGGACAGGGAGGTAGGAGGGAAGAGGAGAGCCGAAGTGGGGGCGCTGCTAGAACCTCCTTTCGGACAGCCTCTACTTAGCGCAGGGGTCTCAATTGGCGCCCGATCACTCGAAACACGCAAGAGGACGAGAGATGATTACAACATCTACACGGAAAACTTCTACAACAACGACCCCACAAGTCCAGCCTTGTCGAAGGTTTCGATGCGGATCCCAAGACGGCGCCAGCGCGTGCGGAGCGGAGCGGAGCAGGGAAAGAAAGGAGAGGAGTCAGTACACGGGATCAATAAATGTATAATGAACCAAGCCTTGAAATGGTCGAGGGGGAAGGAGAGAGCCCAGGAAGAGTCGATATCAGATAGGAGCTGTGATGAACAGGCACTCGGGTCAGTTCTCACGAATGCACAGAAAAACGAGTGCCAACTCGCAGAAGGGTGCTAACCGAAAGACTATTTTGATAGATATTAGAATCAGCATCGTACCCCTTTTTGGGGGGTAACTCAGTGTGAACTATGCATGATTACTCGTCGAGATCATCCTTTCGATTATTTTTGGGCGGAGAAGGGAGGCACGTGTCGTTTTCCTTTTCCTCTTCTTGCGGAGGAGGAAAACGGTAGCCCAAGGAGGGCTAGAGGCAGGGGGAGGGAGACGGGAGAGACCAGCACCCGATAGGTGGGACAGACCAGCACCAGAGAAGTCGAAGAGAGAAATTACCTCGGGTGGGTCTGCGTGAGTCCTACATCGTGCGGAAGGAGCAACCGGAAGGGAATCCAGCGGCGAAGCGAGTTGCGGGAGGCAAAGCGACAGGCGCACACGAGAGGCACTCGTCGTTCAAATGCGCATTATCAACCGAAGCGGACCAACCCTAACCAACCCACCACGGATCGGAAAGAGCATTTCGACCCCTTTGGACCGAACGTATCAACACGCTCTCGCACTTGCATCGGTGTGTTCCCAGGGGACTTTTTCAGGCCTTGGCTACCTTGCTAGCCCATCTCATCGATGAACACCCCATCCACCTCCACCTCCACCCCCGTTGATCCCAACCGTCCCTCGAAGCTCAGCATCGTCCCCTCCTCCCGCTCCACTCTCCAACTTCGTCGACCTACAAAGAAAGAAACCTCCCATAAAGACCCGCCCCGGACAGATGAAGTCGACGCAGAATTCGATGAAGACGACGAGGAAGTCGAACATGAACAGGATATCGATACGTATGGGATCGCGGGGAGGTCAGTTTGGTGTTCCGTCCTTCGCAACAAGTGGGGGTTAGCTCACGCTCTCTCTCTCTCTCCTAAATTTTCTTACGTGACAGGACATGGGAAGCCGCCTACCTAATGAAACGCTACTGCAAACCACCATACGTACCCACCTCCATACCCTCCACCTCCAAACTCGTGTTCGAACCCCTCTGCCCTCTATTCGTCCAACCTTCAACGACCGAAGACTCTTCCTCCCCCCCTCCCTCACAAAGAACGAAGCAGCGAAAACGAACGCTCGTCGAAATCGGTTCTGGAACGGGGTACCTCTCCCTCCACCTCCTTCCCTTTCTGAAAGAGTCGGATAGGTTGATCGTCACGGACCTTCCGGAAGTGTGTCCTTTATTACGCACGAACCTAGGTATTTCGGTCACCGAGGAGGGGCAAGAGGGAAAGGGCAACGGGAAGGCCAAAGGTTCCCATGTTCAGACTACGTTGGGGGATGTCAAAGTGAGACCCTTACCTTGGGGCGATCAAGAGGCTTTCGAGGAGCTCGAGAACGAATTCGATCTTCTTTCCTCGGCCGATGACGACTCGAACACAGGTCCAGGTCCGGACTTGATCCTCGCTTCGGACCTCGTCTACTTCCCCTTCCTATACCCCGGTCTATTACGCACCTTGATTTGGTTGACCCAACCGCGGAAAACACCCTCTCGGACGGATGTGGATGACACATCAAGGAAAGGAAACGATGTTCCCCAAGTCGTGATCGGGTACAAGATCCGCAGTTTGCCGAGGGAAGAACCGTTTTGGAAAGCTTTTGGTGAGTTTCAGTTTCGGTGATCGGGCCCGTCGGACTTTCGTCCAGGATCACAGACTCAACTGGGGAGGAGTTACAGGCATTTGGTTCGAATTCGAACCCGTGTACTACCGACCCATCGCCACCTCAGCCCAAGACCCAAACACCACTCTCCCCTCTCCCGCCGCCGACGAAGATCACTGGCATCGTTTCGGTGAAACCTCCGAAGGCCAAGACCAGCTCTTCATATTCGTATGCACTCGCAGACCCAAGACTTACACTTGGGACGTCCCGAAAGAGGATGAGGCGTTGATGAATGGTTTAGGGTCGGATGATCAGTTCGAGACCTTGTTGTTGCTGGGGATGGAGTGCTGAGTATTAAAAGTATCTTTTCGTGTCGCATCGGGCTATACCCCGAAATCTGACAGATGTTGAAATACATATACTACTGACGACAACAACTCGAGAACGCGCTCCAATACGAAAAAGGAAATGAAACGGTCCAAACAACAGACCAGAAAGCGAGCTCTACCCCCTTGCCCTTTGCACCACCTCGGCTCCCTCACTCACTCCCACTCTCCGCCTCCCCTTCAAAATGCGGAAAGTACCAGAACGGACCACACGGTCCAGCAGGCTCATGGTTCGCCGTAGACCAAGTCCCTACCACCCCGAACCTACTCTTGGGACCCCCGACCTGAACCCCATTCATCAACCACTGGTCCTGCCCCGAATAGCGGATGATGTATTGCCAATGCACCTCGTTGTCCGGGGTCATGGAGACCGTGCCGCGAATGGAACGTTGGGGTTGTTGTTGCATGTGCGGGTGGGAGGTGAGGAAAGTGCCGTTGAAGTGGAGGGGTTCGGAGGTCCCGATGAAGGAGAGGGGCGTGTTGCCCTGAGATGAGGGAGTCGAGGTAGAAGGTCCAGCTTCAAGAGGTGAGGTCGACGAGCTGCTCGCTTTCGCCTCGACTTCGCCTCGCGTCTCCGACGTAGGTGGCGAAGCCTCCCCCTCGCCCTCCTCTTCATTTTGCTCACTCTCTTCGCTCCCTGACTCCACGCTCTCCTCCTCCGAATCCAACCCAAAGTCCCCATCCTCCTCCTCATCATCATCGCTATCCTCCTCCCCTCCCCCCGTCATAGTACGAACTTCATCGAACCCGGTCCCAACATCCCTCCAATTCCGATCAGGAGGGTACGGCAGCTCCCCTTCGGGCAATAGCTTCAACTTGAGCCGCATGATGTCGCCGATGGCTTCGGATTCGCCTTCTAGGGTGCTGCGGTATTCTGCACTGCGATGGAAGCTGTGAGTCAAGGGTGAACAAGAAGGAATCAGCTCCTCCCCTATCAGCAGTTGGGAATTGCAGTCCTTGGGCGACGACCCACTCACTTGAAGTGTTCAAACGATCTATAATCCAAGAACGCATACGTACCTCTAAACTCCGTCTCCTCCACCCCTGCCCAATCCCTCACCTTCTGTTCTGAACCATCCCAATTCTTGCCTTCCCTTTCCCCCGCCCTCGGTCCTCGCCTCGTCGTTTCCCACCCCTGAGGGATTTTCGCCTCTTGATGCACCCCATTCGCTTGTGCCTCGTTCAAATTCGCCGTCATGACGATGCTCAACGAAAGCACTTTATTCCAATCGACCCTTCCCGATCGATCGGCCAAGAACGGTCCCCAATGCGAAGCCTTCTTAAAGTTCGTCTCGCGATAAACGACCTCCCTCGCGATCGTACGTCGATCGGGATCCTGGGATAGGATACGCGTCAGATTGGGCGTGGCCAAGGCTTCGAGATGCTGGAGTAAGGCTTCGACTTGGTTCGCGTTGGGGAACAAGTACGTTTCGGGTTCGGAAAGATCACGGTGCTGCCTCGTAATGCGCCAAGGGGCACTCGGTTTGCACCGAGTCGAAACAGAGGGAAAGAACCCTTGGGCTTTGAAGTGTTCATTCAACCATACTTGATTCGCGGAACTTGATTCATCAACCTCGTGGAAGCGCGGAAAGGAGGCCTTGCGGGATGGATGAGCTTTTCGCGAGGTAGCGATGTCGAGGATCGCTCGCGTGGCTCGTTGGTCAAGGATTGGATGAGGGGCGTGAAGGATTTGCCGCGCGTAGACGCGTTCTTGTAATGCTTGACGATAGTCGAAATCCCCCGAGGACGAAGAAGCGGCGCTTGGAGAAGAAGCAGCTGAAGATGACCCCGCTTGCCAAGTTCCTTCCCGGCTCTCGGCGTCGTTCGCCTCGATCGTCCGAGTCACGTCGCCCAACCCGGCTACGGCTATGGGAGGATCGAAGATAGCGAGGAAGCACGCCTTCCACAAGAGCGCGCTACCCTCGACATGCTCGTACGCTTCCCTGCACGTCGCTCCGAAATGCACGACGTCGACTGGGTCCGCGAATACGAGACAGTGGTGTAGGAGCTGTGCAAGGGGGGGACGGAGTCGAGGTGGCAGTCGATGTGGGGAAGCACGATCAAGCACGATCAAGCACGATCATTCGATCGGCCGAGCGGGAGCGACGTGGGTGGGTGTCAATACCTGCACCCTCGATTGAATGCACAACGGACATACCTCGGGTGGCAGATCAAGTGGTGACGAAGCCATGCTAACCAGGTCGGATGTCGATGATGGGATCGGGGTGAAAGATGGAGTAATCAGGCGAGAGCCCTGTGCGCGCCTGTCTCTGTCACGGACCCGCTCCTCCACTTATCTCGATCGTTCATGAAGCGGCACCGGCCCGGACTCGTCTCCCCCGAGCGCGAGCGCCAACCTAAACCACAGCTCTCACGCACTCAATTTGAGGGCCATCAATGGCCTTTTGTGACTTGAGCACTTGCAAAGTAAGAACGTCCGTGGGTAAAGATTAACAGAGCCACACACAAAACACGCAAAAGTCTTCCTTGCGATCCTCAATCCTGACATTCACAAGAGAACCCTACCAGTCCCTCCTCTTTACAAACCCTGCTTGATCCTCAATGAAAAATTCACAACCACCGCCAAGAACAGGACCGCACACAAAGCCGTCGGCCCAAAGTAATCATGGTAGATGACAGCCTCGCGGTTCCGGATCTTGGTCACGCGCCAGTAGTAGGTGTAGCCCGTGTAGAGCAACGAGAGCAACGCGACAACGGTGAAGGAGGAGGCGGCGGCGAGGGCGATGTCGTCTGTGTGAAGGAAGGAAGCGGTTCAGTATCACATAGGGGATGGCGGGAAAGAGTAAACACTCCAAAGACTTGCCATGAGGATCGGAAAAAGACAAGATCCCGATGCCGATCGCCGAAACAACGACGCTAAACTCTACCCACGACAAAGCTGCAAAGATCAATGGTCCCACAAATCAGCCTCCGCCCACTTCATTCGAAAGCCAGGATGTCCACTCACTCGTCCTTTCATTTGCGTAAAACACCTTGGGTTCGACCCTGACCGGAATAGCGACCTTCTTTCCCGCCTGCGCGCGGAATGAACTGACATACTCGACCCTCCCGGGCGTCAACGAGATACCCGAAGGGTTGATCGTCTGTTCCTCCCCGTTGACCCCGTTGACCCCATTCTCCCTTCCACCACCACCTCGAGAAGAACGTTCGTTCAACCCCCTCGATCGTTCGGTCTCGTACTTGGAGTCCAGCAACTTGCTCAGATTCGCGGGCGTCAACTTGGGGAAGATTTCATGCTGTTTCCTCGCATTCGCCGAGGTCGAAGCATCCGCAGTAGACAAGGCTTGTCCAACTCCCGAGGCGGCATGCTTGGACGCTTCGTCACGGAATGCTTTGGCTTCCGCCGCGGCTTGGAGAGGGAGGTTGGCCCAACCTGCTTCGTCGGACGTGATCGCCTGATGACGGTTATCGTCCTCGTCGACCTCGTCATCCGATACAGGCTCAGTGTACTGCGCCAACTCGGCTTCATGAGACGCGCCATCCGACGGCGTGTTCGATTGCGAGGTATGCGACGGTGCCGGACGCTGGATCTGCGCCTTCCTCGTCGCCGGTTTACGAATATCCGTCTCCATCTGCGGCAACCAGAACGGCACGAGGTCGACTCGATTCGGCAACAGGGTCGCGCAACCGTGGATGAATTTCGAAAACTTGGGCACGGCCTCGACCAAATGCGACGAGACGAGTTCGCGCACCCATTCGGGCGGTTGTTGGCCCATCTCGGTCTGCAACTTGACCTCGAGCACACCATAAGGGAACAGTTCCTTGTCCTCGTCCGGCAATTGAGGGAAAGGCCAATCGATGCCAATGTCTGTTCGACGCCAATTGTCGCCCGAGCGCGTCACGCCATCCCAGTTATCCTCACGAATGAGCGAAAGCTGCGTATCGAACGAGATGCGCACCCTCGCGTCACCAGGCAGCTGGAATGCTGTTCGGTTGTAGAACGTGCGCATGACCGGTCCCAACTTCTTGTGCTTGACTGCGGCCTGCACCTCCCGTGCGAGCTTGAGCATCGAATCAATCTCCTTATCCGACTTCTTCCCCTTCTTGCGCAAAGCCTCGAACGTCTCGTCCATCGTATACCGCCCAGCGAGGAAATCGTTGAGGTGTTCCTCCTTGATCGGGAACCGCGCCTTGACGGACTTCTCTCCCGTCCAGTCCTCGCGATGGGTCTTGCGCTCGACAAAGATCGTCTTGACGTCCATCCCACCGTACCAACGCATGCGGATCGCCTCGGCCCCTTCGGTCTTTTCCAATCGTCCCAGATACAGGTCGAGGTCCTGAGCAAAGTCAAACGCACACATCAGCCACCCACCACCAACGGCAGCTGCTAAGCTCGGGCAATGCGCCTACGCACGCCGTTGTCAAAGTAGATCGACGAGATGGCCGCATCCTCTTGCTGGAAAGGCTTATCAGGGTTGAAAACTGCAGATCGAAACTATGTCATATCAGCGTCGGACCCAGCGACCGGAGGGGCCTCGAAGACGACCTACCCAAAACAGGCAAGTGCTTGAGGATGACGAGCTTGAGTTGGACGTAGTTGTCCTGTAGGATTGTCGACCATGTCAGCTTTCTACGCCCCACCCCCACGAGCGATTCGTAAGTGCTGAACGAAAACCAACCGGATGAACCCAGTACTGTTGGCACACAACATGCACGAACCAGCCAAATAGACATCAGCTTCCCCTTTCGTCCCATCAAAGTCCGACTCGTGAACTGACCTTGGTCGTCTGTCGAACAAAAGCGCTCTGTCCTCCACCGGCACTCGAGTCACCCATGACAGGGTGTCCTCGCGTCCGGACGAGGTTGTACAACCTCGACAATTGCACGATGATCGAGTCCTGAGCGAAGATAGGCATAGCGGTGGGTCAGCGACTGATGGCGAAAAACTTCGAATTGATCGCGGGAGATGACTGACGTAGTTTTCCTTGTAGAAGGGCTTGCGATCGAGGAAGCTGCGCATGAATTGCCCTCGGAGTTGGAACCCAGTTCGTTTCTGTTCGTTGACGCGACATCTGCCTGAAGTCAGTACCCGTTTCCGATACGCTGTAAGACCTCTTTGGTATAAAATCCATGACGAACATCGTGTTTCCTAGAACCGGACCGAACACTGAGATCAGTACCAGACATACCATCCACAGTATCTACCTAGATCGACTCACTTTACGATCTTGACGAAACCGGTAAAGTTCAAATGGGTGAAGTGGCCCAAATCATGCACATCCGCAATCACGTTGGCCAAATCCTCCTCCAAATCAACGAAGCGATCCTCCGTATCATCGTCCGTATCATCGTCCGAACCCCCATCGTCACCCAACTCCTCGGGATGTCGACCTGCTTCCGAGGCGGTCGGCGTAGGAGGGGCCGACGCGTCGGCGTGCGCGATGAGGTGCTTGACCTCTTCTTCGTAGGCCGAGATCTTGCCCGTCAATTCGCTCATCTGGTGAACAGAAGAATCAAACGAAGGATGGGTGTTTCGTAACGCTCGGAAAGGTCATACACTGCCTTCTCGCGTGGCCGAGCCAATTCTGACCCACCTTGCTCTCTTGGAACTTGACGACCTTGTCCAACTCGCCCTCCAAAGCTGAATGAAATCAAATACCTCAGAAATCATCGGCACGCTGCCGAGCCACCTCCAGGCAAATTAAACTCCACAACAAACCTTTGATAAAGTCAGCCTCGTCGGCATCGTCCCACTTGTGCTGCGACTGGCGATCCTTGATGAAGCGCTTCAAGCCCGAATCTGAAGTGTGAGAGAGGATTTGGAGCGAAGAAATGCCGGCGGAGGAAGAAGAGGTTCCCGCAAAAAAGATCCACAAGGTGAATGTCGTTCAACAAAAGAGGAGTTACCGAAGATTTAAAGAGGATCGAGGAGTCAGTTCATGATTTCGCGAATCCGATCCGGAAACAACCCCCACCCCCCCCCCCCCCCACTTTTTCCACTTTTCAGCCGAGGAGGCACGTTTCAGGGGGGCGTCAATTTGGTTCAGCGCGAAGAGAGAACTTACAATCGATGTAGGACGATTGCCAATCCTGGTCTATAAACACGCACGGAAGGAAGACCAGAATTCAAAAAAAAGGTCAGCACAGAGGAACCTACTGAAAGTTACATCCTTGCGCCAGAGTGCGCGGCGCTTCCTTGTCGATCAGCGGCAGATGATAGATGATATCCACGGCGAGCCGAGACCGGGGGTCGTTGTCGCCCGTCGGGTTCGTCAACGACGTCGGACGAGAGAGCCGTCGATAGTCCCAGCGGAGAGCCTGAGCGGTGGGGGGATATAAACCTACACAGAGCATCCTTGATGACGGATCCGACTGATCGGAGAACAGCACAAGATTAGCTCCCTAGTCGTCGGTGCGGAGATGGTTTTGATGCGAAACTACTGACACTTCATCGCGCCGGCTGATCAGGCGGATTTGGTTTGGAGGCTGTCAGACGAGGGGCTGAATGGGGTATAGCTTGAATCACCGAAGCTCTGATCGGATCACAAGCGCAAGGCAGTCTCGCAAAGGTGGATTGGTCGACGGGATAGGGAGCCGAACCCGGTTCGAACGAAGAGGATGGAGGAGCGACCGTCCGAGGAATGTGAGAACAGGTGAGAACCGCGAGCGGCGGTTCCCATCGGCGCGCTCGGCTCGATCATCCCCAAAGAAAAAAAGAGCGCCTGTGAAACCAAGCACCTTTCGTTTCATGTACCTCCAACTTTTCAGATGAGGACATCAATCATCACACCTAAAATGCTCACTCTCCATCAGGGAGCTTCTTCATCTCGAACAGCCCGCCGACGTCAAGTTTATTGCCGAGCGATTCCGGCCAATCGCGATCACTGATTGGTCCGTTCTCCGCCTCCCCACGTGCACGTGCGACTAGAGCTCGAGCGCTTGAGCCACGGGTCAAGAGAAGCAGCTCCCAGTGATCTACAGGACGTTCCTTTCTCCGAGGACGTTCCTTCACTTTTCGTATTAGAATGGTCTTCCTTCCCACCGGATATTACGTAGTGTCTACTATTGCTCCACATATAAGGTCTCCCACAAACTAGCCACCAATCCACGTCCCCTCCTTCACACCCCCTCTGCACACTCCCTTACTTCTGCCTCTTGTAAACCTTCTTCAAAAAGGCCCTAAACACCTCCCTCTTCAAGCCGTCTCCACCTTGTTCCGGGATGGTCTCGATCAACGCGTTGATGCGCTTGTACGACTCTGCCTCGTATTCATCGAACGCTTGGGCGAGTCCGAGTTGCTTGTAAACTTCCTTGACGCGCGCTTCGGATTCGGACGATTTGACGCCGTAATTTTCCTGGTGCAAGATATGACGACGGGTCAGCACCACTCCGGAAGAAGAAACCTTGTTCACCATCGGAGACGTCATCCCTCCAAGTCGAAACGCCCACTCACGTCCAACACCTTCCTCTGCCCTTCATCGGCCTTGGCCAGAGCGGCATTGATCAACCAACTACACTTGTTGTCCAAAATGTCCGTCCCGATCTTTCCAATCTGTTCCGGGGTACCATAACAATCGAGGTAATCGTCTTGAACTTGGAAGTATTCCCCCATCGGAAGGAGGATGTCGAGCGCTTTTTTGTACGAGGATTCGGTGGTGACGCCGGACATGTGCATGGCCAAGGCGACGGGGAGGTAGAAGGAGTAGAAAGCGGTTTTGTACACCACGATCAAGTGGTGTCTAGAGCGAGGTGGGGAGCGGTCAGGTCCTGGGATACGATTTCCTTCGAACCCTACACTCCGAGAACAAACTCACTTGTCCAACGAAAATTTACTCAAATCGACCGAATCTTCGGGGGCGGTGATGAGGTCGATCAACTGCCCCATCTCGGTCTGGAACGTAGTCTATCATCGTTGAACGAACCCAACCCTCGCCATGATCAGCTCTTCTCCGCGGATCGTAACGCAGGATCAGCGCCTGGGCGCCAAACGCACCTCAAGGAACAACTCCAACAGATCGACGTAGTACTTCTCGGACCGGAAGTACTTCTTGAGCAAGTGGTAGATCGCGGCTTCGAGCATGAAAGCGTCGTTGATGGCGATGTTGCCTACGCCTTCCTGGAAAGTGGGAAAAAGGTGGATGCAGCGATGGGGGGAGATGCGGGATCAGTGATGCATTTATAATCGGCTGAGAATGTTGTGTTGTGGATGCAAGCTTACGACTCGATACCAACAAGGTTGCCCCCTACGCGTAATGGATTGATCCATCATATCATCCGCGACCAAGAAATACGCTTGCAGCTGTACACACCACACACCCCCAGACACACGATCAGCATTCCCTTCGTTTGTAATCCGCTGCGAGCTTGATGCAGAACACACCAACTCGATACACCACCCCAAGATCGCGGCTTGCTTGTATTCATGATCGGTCAAATCGGAGCCTTTGAGGATTTGGACCGTGTCGACGACGGAGATGCCGCGGTTCAATTTGCCTGGATCGAAGGCCCGGGATTAGTTGGGGTGTACGAGAAGTGTTTGCGAGCTCGTCGGTGATGAGTCGGCCATTGTAGTATCCCTGGTTGCTTCCATCCCACGCGACGACGATCGACAGGCGACGAGTGAACCCCGTCACCTCCCTCCGCGATCACTTACCCCCGGGTGAATTATGGTCCAAATTCTACTCTCGCCGCAACCCATCGCGAACAAAACCGGATCAGCGAGCGTACCGTTGGCGCCTCCCGATCGGTCTGCAAACCAACCTGCTTGAACCACTCCGTCGCCTCCTCGGGCATCTTTTGCGCTTCGAGGTAGGCCACCAACTCGTCCCTGATCCCGGGCCAGATGGAGAGGAACTTGTCGCGCGAGGCGGTGGAGGACATGGTGGGGAAAGAGTGTGGGGAAGGAGTGTGTAGGCGAGAGTGGGGTACGAACAAGAGAAAGAGAGAACGCACACGCGCCGCGCTTCCTCCCACCAGATCGCCCCAGATGCTCCCAGATGAGCCACGCTCGGGCCTTCGCGCCTCGTGACCAAACCAACCTTCTTCCCTTCCCCGATGAGATGTGACCGAACAATCCCAAAATCCTCTCCTTTTTCCCGTGACCTCTTCTCACAACCATCTGATCCGCGGGTACTGGGATAGACTATTTCATTTTCAGTTACAAAAATGATTCCCCCAAGTGATGGATGAACCTGCTCCTCCTCCTCCGCATTGGTAAGTCTAGCCAAGCTCGAAACGACTCTTTCATCAGAGAAGGAAAGAGGAAAAGACGTTCTAAATACAAAACTGCGCTCCCACAAACTCAAGCCAACACCTTCCTCAGTCCCTCGACCTGACTCGCACTCAAACGAGCCGGGAACTCCACCTGGACCTTGACGAGCAAATCCCCCTTCTTCTTCGGTGCGTTCTTCCTCGAAATCGGCATACCCTCACCAGGGACCTTGATGACCTGACCGGAGGAAAGCGGTTTCCCACCCGACGTAGGACTGGGATAAGGTACATCCACTTTGATCGTTCGTCCATCCAACGTCGTGATGGAGCTTGTCTTGGCGTCTGGTGACGAAGGGCCCGTGAGAGCGTCGACGAGGGGTACCTTGAGTTCGTAGATGAGGTCGTCACCTTCACGTTTGAAGGTCGGGTGCGGCTTTTCTTCGATCACAAAGACGAGATCTTGAGCAGACGTAGCGGTTTCGTGGCCGGCTTTGGCGAACCGAACTTTGGTACCGGCTTTCCATCCGGGCTTGACGGCGACTGCAGGAAGAAGGGAAGCGATAACGCCGTCAGCTTTTCCGTCCCTGATGGGAAGCTCGCCTCAGACCCAACAAAGGACCTACTCTCAAGCGTGTTGGCCTCTTCGCCACCCGCACGACGCTTCTTGGTCACCTTGAGCTTCTTGGTCGCGCCCTTGTACAGATCCTCGAGCGAGACAGGCAACTGCTTGACTGTAGGGTCAGGGAAGCGTCAAGGAATCAGTTTCCACCCCGTATTGCTGATAATTCCGACCCACGCGCCCGATAACTCACCAACTTCCTGCGGCTTCTCCTCGCGATACTCCTCATCACTCGTATCCATCGGACCGCCGGGCATACCCCCCATCCCCCCCATCCCAGCAAACGGATTTCCCCCGGCCCCACCCCTCGCACCTCTCCCACCGCCCATCCCGCCCATCCTGCCCATGCCTCCCATACTCCCAAACAACGAAGCAAAGATATCATTCGGATCCGAAGGTTGGAATCCACCGGGCCCTCCACCTGGCGCTCCTCCCGACGTAGAGAAGGAGAATGCACCGGGTGGGAATCCACCCCCTGCTCCGGCGAAGGGGTTCCCTCCTGCTCCTCCTGGCGGTGGGCCTCCTCCTCCTCCACCGCCGCCCATTTTGAGCCCTTCTTCACCGAATTGGTCGTAGATGGCTCGTTTGTTCGAGTCCTGTGTTGTTCAAATGAAACTTCATCAGTATCTCCCATGTCCCATCCGAGCTGGCGAAGAAAGGCTCAGAGTAAGACTCACCGTCAATACCTCAACGGCCTCGCTAACTTCCTTGAACTTCTTGGATGCCTCCTCCGTATTATCCGGGTTTCGATCGGGGTGGTACAACATCGCTTTCTTCTTGTACGCCGAACGAATCTCTGGGAGGAGGGGCCAAAATCATGACGAGAGTCAGTTCATCGTTCCCGAACGAGGTCAGACGATCCCCCCGCCCCAGAAAGAGTACCTACGTTGTTCATTCGCATCCTTCTGCAGTCCCAGGATCGCATAGTAGTCCTTTCCTTTAGCCATGCTGATGGGCCCTCGTTTGTATGATCACTTGATCACTTGTTTCGAATGCGTGGGCGTGTGCGCGTGTGTGCTTGTGCGAGTTCGAGCGATGAGCCTGGTCTGGTGGTGGGCCGGGGGTGAGTGACGTCGAATGTGTGGGTGTGTGCTTCGATGGGATTCCTTGACGGTGGGTTCGGTCGAGTTCGAGCTTGAGTGATATGAGGTACTTTGTTTGCGTGATCGAATGTGCCTAACTTTGGAGCGACTGGTAGTGCTTTGATCTAGTGTTTGTGTGTAGTCGTGTGTAACGACGTGCGTATATGCGTGTGTTGTAAGAAGCTGGATAGCGGAAGGAAGCGAAGCTGCTCGTCGCCCGAGGTGGCCGCTGGCCGCTGGAACCGACGCCGATGGAAGCGGATGGAAGCCCCACCCCAAACCTTCTCGGACCTTCCAGCACGCTCTAGCATTTTCGCCATCTCCCAAGCTTTGACCGTCGGACATATCACGCACACGGGTTTCTTTCGTTGGTTCCAACACGCTTTGTACGATTTGTCAAAAGAGGCAACAACAATCGAAAAATGAAAAATGAAAAAAGAGCTAGTGAACCAAGCAAAACGAACAGCAGGACAAACGTCGCCCCCCCTCCCCCTCCAAAAAAAAAAAAACATTTTTCAAGTCCTCATTCCCCCCTTCCATCCATGCCTCAGAAACCATAACTCCTGAACCCCGATCCAACCTGCCCTTGTCCCTGTCCCTGTTTCTGTCCCTGTCCTTCCCCACCTCGACTTCGACCATTACCACCCGCCGCTCTCTCCCCATGTTCCCCCTGCCCTTGATCACCTTCGAAACCCGCATGCGCATGCGCATTCCCAAAAAAGTCATGGTGCGAATGCGAGTGTTGGTGGTGGTGCTGGCGTCCATGATGTTGCTGTTGCTGATCGTGTTGTTGATGTTGCATCTGTTGATGGGGTTGAGATGGTTGATGACGAGATGGTGGGGGTGGATGATGATCGAAGCCATTGGACCGTCTTCCTCCTCCATTGGCTTGCATCAAAGGTAATTGATAATCCCCATGATTCCCAAGTTGTGGTGACAAAGATCCATCTTGATGATGTGGTCCGGTATGAGCATGGAAAAAGGAACCGTCATCGAGCGACGTGTCGGCGCCATGCGAACTCTCCTCTCCTACCGTACGCGACCCCCCCGCTGCGACGGCGGCGACGACGTTTGCTTCGGCGGCTTTGACCTTTTTTGGCTTCTTCCCCTTCTTGGGTAACGCTTCACCACTCGCCGCAGCTGCTGCGAGCTTGGCTGCTCGTGAGACTTGACGAGCGTATCGAAGACCTGTGAGAAAGGGACAAAGGTGGGGGGGGGGGTTCAAAAATCAGTAACTTGATCAGGTTCCGCCCAGCCGCGACCGACCGGTCCCAAAACTGACCACAAGCATTACAAAGACTCTTATTCCCACTCGGTCCCTTCCTCCACTCGGGGCTATTCGCCGTCCCACAACTCTCGCACGCCGCAGGACCAGGCTTGTTCGCCACGGGTTCCGTCTTGACCTTCGGCGCCTTTTCCTTCTTCACGGACGTCGATGTGTTCAGAGAAGATAAACCGCCTTCGGTGGAGGTGGAAGTGGAGGTGGGGAACTCTGCGCCGCCGTGATTGAGGCCGTTGGGATCTGACGCCGCACCGAGACTGGACCCGTGCGTCGAAGAGCCTTCTTCCGAGATGCCCGTGCGAGGCGGCGGTAATGAGCCATCGCCTTTGAGATGAGGACTACCCGTGTGACCGATCAGATGCGGGTGTTGCATCATGGGGTGCGGTTGGTGCGACAATAGACTACCACCCGCAGTACCATACGGGTTCCCGAGAGGCGGCAAAGAAGGGCTCGGGTACCCCGGGTACCCATGCGGTGCGGCCATGTGCATCATCGGATGTTGTTGTGGCGCCATTGAGTGCTGAGGGTACATCGGGTACACCTGCGCGGGCATATGGGGGTGCTGGTGATAAAGCGGGTGGCCGAAAGTGGTAGGGTGCGAGAACGGGTAGTGGGGCTGAGGAGGTGCGGGGTAAGGAGCCGACTGGGGCTGCATCGGCGACCGATAGAGATTTTGGACCGGAGGCAGATGCGGGCTCGGGTGATGAACGGGGGACGTCGATGGGTTAAGAAGAGGACCACCCGTCAAGGACCCGAGGATCGCGGCCGAGGAAGCGACAGTCGGTGACAGACCGCCATTACGTCGGTCCCCAGAAGGGGACAGCCTATCGGATGAGGCCTGTGGTACCTCGAGCCGCAGGGGATCATGCGGCGTCGTTGGACCGAGCGGTGCCGCCTCGACGCGAGGTCGCTTGAACAGCGGATACTCCGGGTAATCGAACGAAAAGGGCTTGGGCTGTCCCGGGGTCGAGAACGGCACATCCTCGAGCTCAAACTTATTCGCGGCGTGAGAAAACCTCGGCGACGAAGTCGTGGACTGTGATGAAGAGGCCGGCGATGCCGAAGACACGGCACGTTGCTTCGCCGCCGCCGAGAGATAGATTCCGCCCGTGTCGAACACACAGAACGTGATGGCGCCGTACAGGATGACAACGGACTCGATCGAGACAAGCGATCCAGACTTGAGCAACGGGTGCTTGTCGCGGTATCGGCGCGTGCAGCTCGTTCGACTCTCGTGCGACGGCCTCGGCTTGTTGACGACTTGTTGGCCCAAGGCAGCGTACTCGGCAGGGTCGTACTCGTGGGCGGGCGTCGAGGGAGGAGGAAATGTTACGATCAGGTGGCCATCGGTGTTGATAATCTGAAAGACGTGAGGTGGGGGTCCTTCCGACAGTGACTGGTGTCGAGACGAGATATTGTACGAGGTCGCTCGGGCGAGGGCGGCTTCAAGTTCGACACAGCGTGCGCGATCCAGATATCCACCATCCTCGCTGCGGGGCCCGCACCAGTTGGACCAGTGGCTTCGACGCGACTCGTCGTTATCGCGTGCCTCGTCCTTGTCAGCTGTGGCATGAAAGAAAGCCAACACGGCCCCACGCAACTCGTCGCCATTGCCGGAGCCGAAGCCGGTCTCCCCACCTCCGATCCAGGAAGTGGTGATATCGATGCTGAGGTATTCACTGTCGTACGCGATAAGCTTGGCTTCTGGGTCCGTCTCCGGTTCGGTCGCTCCAAGCATTTGGCGGATCCGAGGTACTCGGGAATAGCGGCATCTGGTCAAATCTCGGAGAGAGCGAAAGTCAGCACCTCGGGGACAGAGAGACCACGGCCAAAGCTGCGATGGACTGACCTCGTTACACTGCCGAATATACCGGCCTGCTCGATCCCACTGTGACCATCCCTTCCTGGGTTCGGCATCAGATCGGCCCTCAACGCATCCCTCTCGTCGGGGTGAACGTAGTCGAGCATGTTGGTGCCGAGGAAGCGGTCCTTTTGCTCCTTGAGATGGGCATCGAGGATGGGGTCGACGGCGATGTAATCAAGCGACGGCGACAAGATGGACCAATAGCAACGCGTTCTCCCCAGTGCGACGGTATTGGGTTTCGGTGTCGAGGTCGAGGTCGAGGTCGAGGTCGAGGTCGAGGTTGAGGTCGAGGTCGATTTGGCGTTGCTCGACCAGGGACGACCGAGCGAGGTCGAAGGCACGGTCGCGGAGGCAGCGGCAATAAGCGAGTTGAACGGGAAGCTCGAAGCCGATGCCGACGCTGCGAGGGAGGGCATCGTCGACGTGCTCGAGCTGGACCCAAAGTCGAACCGAGCGGGCGAGTCGGACGAGGCCATGGCTTGTGTGCGTTGCTGCTGTTGCTGCTGCTGCGGCGGCGGCGGCGGCGGCGGCGATGGCTGTCCCTGCCAGTGGACTCGACTCGCGACGAAGGCTGGTTTTGGTGCGCCTGCTGGTCGCTGGTGAGATCAGTCGCTCGCTCGGGCGTGCCGTGGTTGTGGGGTCGATGGCGCACGGTATACCTCGCTCAGAACCGGTAGCTGACTGGTTTTGGCACCTGTATGGTCAGTCAAGTGTTGGAGCTCGAGCACAACACAAGGATCGTCCCCGTTCTCGCTCCGAGGGCGGCGTTCAGCAGTGACAGCCAGTGGCAGCCTCAGGCGGGGGGAGGCTCAGGCGACCGGGGCAAAGGCGACCTATCAAAGGCGACCGCGACGATGGCAAGCTTTATGCCACTTTTGGCCGGCGCCAAAATCGCCTCCACGATGAATAATGGCCACTTTGGGGCCGTCTCCCCATCTCCGAGTCCCCATACTCAGTCATACCGCTGTTGGCTGGACATGGCGTGGTACTCGAGTCATTGACCCAAGAAATCAACGACCAAAAGCAATCATTGAGCACCAACATCTACCCCATTACATTTGTGATCATCTGAACCCATTTGATGGGTGCAGTGCCTCAGGCAGCACACCGACGCTTGCACTGCAGTGCAGGCTGCAGCCCCCACCCCCACTCGGTGCGAAACCGAGTCGCCGAAGTTGATGGCAGACGAATACGGCCTCTGTCGCTCCTGCACAGGGGTGCATACGGGTTCATGATCATCTCCGGCTCGTTGCAATACCTCTGCATGACATTACACAGCTATGCACGCTCGTGCACGCTCGGACTGATTCAACCCTCCGCACAGAACAGTCGGATCCGATTCCCAGCGCTTGCGTCACCCTGCATGACAGCGCATGACAGCGCATGACAGTGCACATCCCTGCATTTCAATGGTATGAACCATGAGACTCAGACGCACAGTGATGCATGCCCATGAACAAGCATCGCGTACTCGAAAAAAAATCAAGTTACCATTTCTGCGGCCGGTGACCGATTTTCTCTCGAGCAGCCGAATCGCCACTCCTGGTAACCAACTCTGCCACATATTTGATACCCTACACTAGACCGAGGTGGGTCAATCTCCCATGGAAAACGGTCAAGCGCCGATCCGCCTTTCGAACGGGGACCTGCACATGTTTGGGGTAGAGTAAGTGATTGACCTCGATAAGTCTTCCAAGCTTCCGTCCCAGCCTCGGCTGACCTACTTCGCGCTCTCGGACTCGACTCACTCGTGTTTAGATTTGGAAAAGGGGATAGGGGGCTGTGGAGCGTCAGTTGGAGGGAGGCTGTTCTGCTGGTAAAGCTTACAAGAGGTCGAGGTAAGTGAGTTAACGCGTGCGACGACCCGTCAGCTCTCGCACTCGGCCGTTCGCACAGGGGTGGGTGGGTGGAGCATGAATACGAGCCCTTGAGCTCGCGCGCGCGTGCCTCGGTTTGATTTGGTTCTTTATGTCCAAACCTGCCAGAACCACGTCGCGCGCTTGTCTCTCTTTTTTGTCCATAGTTTCGTCTGAGACTTCTGACGGCTGAGCAGCGGTTTGAAATGTACCCCGATCGAGCATGCATGCTGCTTCTAGGCCACGTGCGGACGAAGCAGGCGGGGAAAGGGGCCAGGGGCTCAATCCACCACCATGACAATACACCCTGTGATGTGACTTAATACCTTCCTGAAGGCCTCGCAACGAAGAATTTCTCGCTTCGTGTGAGAGTAGAGTGTTCACCATTTCGATCGGGTTGTGGAAGCCTGCAGGGCTGCAAAGAGTGATCGAGGCGAGGTCGGCGGGGGAATATGTCGATCGGTGCGCGAACACTAGCAACGATGCCGATCGCTCCAGCGAGCCAAGCTGTACAATGGAGATCGCCGATTTGCAAATCTCGATTTCGAGGACCCGTAATGCAATCGCCCATGTCTCGATACCTTGAAGATGCTCAGAAAGATATGATATCAACATGAAAGAATGCGTGCTGTACTCTGCTACGGAAAATCTACTACTGAGGTGGGCGCCAAGATAAGCGGCTCACTGAAACTGAAAATGCGACGATAGGATGAAAATGAACAAAAAAGAAACTCATGCTAATGCGGGGAAAAGAAGAAAGCGTAATCATTAAGCAGCCAAAGCTTGAGTGATGATGGTTGAAATTAGATTGGCTCGGTCTTGGTCCGAGATAAGACCTTGAGCAACATCCTCGTCCGTCGTTGAGGTCCAGTCATTCCCACCTCCGTCGATCGAGTAACGACCTCGCGCAGCCTTGAAGGTAGGGGCGAGCGAACCGAAGCCGAGACGATTCAGTTGATCAAGCAAGACGGCATCGGAAAAGTTGGAAGCGGTAGGTCCCGATGGGATCGAGTTCATCGCGTCGTACAAGAGCGGGTCGGAGCCGAGCCGGGAGAGGTAAGTGTCGAGGGTGCGAGCAAGGGTCTCCGAACTGCTTGCCGAGTAAAAGATTGATCGAAAAATTGAGCAGGCAGTCTCGTGACACAAGATGCGTCGAGTGCACTCACAATAAGCTTTCAAGATCCGGATATAGTGTCAGAGTCCGAGCAATGACATGGAAGAGGGCGGCTGCCGCCGCATCGGAAGCCGTCATGTCTTCGAGCAACCGCGTGGACAAAGCGAGGCACATCAAGGCCTGAGAAAGATGACAGTAAGGATCAGCAAAAGCGAGCTGATAGAAGACCTTTGCATACATGCTCACGGCATTTTGGTCAGGGATCTCTAGCTTTGCTGCGATAGCAGGCATGTTCGAGACTCCCGGCGGTGTGTCGATGCGTGCCGCAGACAGGAGCTCGGGCAGGCGACCTTGGTCGACCATAGTTGGAAGCAACGCGATGAAAGGTCCCAGCCAGCGAGACAGTTGCTTTGGCACCTCCTGATTATCCTCGACCAATGGATGAGAGTGATGAATGATTGACAACAAACAGTACGTCGCGTCCGAAGCCGTCTTGGCGTCCATCGAAAGCCGAGCGAGCAAAGAAGCGAGAGCAAAGCCCAGATCAAGTTCAAAGCTGACGCCTATCTGTGCGGGCATCGATTGGACATCGTGAGCGAGCCACAGCTCACCCAGCATCTCAAGTGCCCCGGTGTCAATGAACGCCCCGCTGATCTGCAGCTTTTCGATCGCCACGGCCAAAAGCGCCACGGCGGGCCGGCTCACGAGCGAGGGTCGGGCGAGAAGTAACGCCATGCCGGTTTCGGTTGTGGCGAGCAAAAACTTGGACTCGGACTGAAGCGTCTTGGATAGACAGCGTGTCAGTAAAACCGCAAGCTCAACTCCATCAGGCGAACGAATCGCATTGGAGAGGGTAGTGAGGAGCTGGAAGACGACATCATCGTCGAGAGCCGTTGAACCGAGGTACGACAGCGTGGCGACCGCACGACCCTGGAGAGCCGCGTCGTACTGGAAGCAGAGCGTCGACGTAAGACTCGCCCATCGAGTCCGCCACGCGTTCTCAGTGTCCGTGCCCGGCGCACCAGCCTCGATGATCTCGCCCAATGCTGTCGCCAATCTTTCGCCGTGGCGCAAGACGTCCCAATCCGCCACAGCGCCCGCCCCTCGTGACCGAAGGCCCATCAGCTCGAGCACGGCCTCGCTTTCAAACGCTTTGCTCAGGTCCGACAGTCGCTTGCGATCGGCCTGTTCGTCGAGGGCTAGGCTCGAGATGGTGTTCTGTATGAGCTGTCGGAGCGTCTGCCGGTGCGAGATCGAGCCTTCGCCGGCCAAACACATGACGATGTGTACGATCTCGGGTAAGAGGATCTGCGTCGAAACTTTCGCCTCGAACGATAGCGACAGGTCGAAGCGCAATGCGACGGCGATCAGAAGGTCTTGCTTAGTCTGGGCCGCGTTCGGCGGGGTGGACGGCACAGCTGTGGTCACTGCGGCGGCTTTCTCAGCCAAAGCTCGTCGAATTCGCCCCAGGACTCGGCCCCTGAATGAAGGACTTGCAGCTAAGGTGGCAAGCACGTCCCCATACTTCGCCGCGGCAGCTTCGCTAGCACTCAAGTCTTCTCGGGGTACAAGATCCAACGCCTGGTCGAGAACGAGATCATGCACCGCTTCAAGCCTCCCCATGGCGGGCCAGAACCTGGCCGTCAGCGCGGCGCCCAGGTGAGGATCCTCGACCGATTTGCGCAGCAGCGTGCGGAAGATGTGCCGTAGTCGAAGGCGGACTTTGGAGATCTGCTCGGTCGGTACGAGCAACGCGCTAGGGAGATGATGTAGCCACGAACGAAGGGCGTAGATCGATCCGATTGCTTGGGTGAGCGAACGCCCTGTCCTCGCAATAACTTCAACCAGTCCTTCAACGACATCAAGGGCGAGTTGCGGAGGCATCACTGCCGATAGGGTTTCGCTCAGGGACGAAAGGTGCACAAGGTCTCCTGAGGGTAGGTAGGAGCCTGAACATAATGAAGGCATCAGCTAGTGAATATCATATGAAACGCAAAGATTTCAAGCCAGTACTCACTCGACAAATCCGACATGCCTTCGAAGGCGCCAAGCGCCTTGCCTAGAGCTCGAGCGAGCCTGTATCCATCCGCTCGAAGTTCTGCATCTGGCGAGGTGCAGGACACCATAGCCAGAGTTGAGATACAAGCGAGAGGGGAACGATTGCTGCGCATGCTGGAGATGGCTTGAGTTACGAGTAGTGCCTTGGTGGACGAGGCAGTACACCGAGCCCGAAGCTCTTCAAGGATCTCGGCAGCCTCCGATTCGATGAGTAGCGTCCATGACTTGTCCCCGTCCCCATCTCGCATGCGAACCATGATCTCATCGCCGTACCGGTTCGTGTTCATCAATCGCACATCGTCGATCATGTCGAACGGCGCCATTTCGCAGAACACTGAAGTGAGGTCCCACGCGATCGGATGGGGTTTGACGGTGGTGAGATAGGCGGCAGTCGAACCGAGTTGGAGCAAGACGGGGACTTCGACCCTCACGGGATGCTTGAGCGTGATGCGATTATAAGTGACTCGAGGCTCCCTTGCGAGCGCCAAAGTCGAAGCTGGAAGGGCCGAAGTAGGAAGAAAGCGGGCCAAATCCTCCAAGTGGTAACATGCCACGACCATTCGTACATCGAATGAGCCCATTCGAGTCTCCACCCGGCGCAGGTAGGCCTGGGCACAAAAATTAGGCGAGAACAGCACCGCTTGCGAGAGACGTTTGACGATCGGTTCCGGCACGAAGCGGAGAAAGCGCTGCATGTGAGCAGGGCTGAGGATGTTATCATTCGAAATCCCCGTCAGGTCGATGAGGATATCCCAATGCTCCGTCTCAAAGGTCGTGAGGCAGTGCAGGGCCCAAAATGTGAGGCCTTCGACATCAACCGTCTCAGCGTCGATCCTCCTGGGACAGTAGACGAAAAGAGCCGCCCTCGGATGAGCCGTCACAGGAGAACGATAGAAGACCTCTGACCACTTGTTCGCTTCGTTTTGATTGATCCGGAACGCATTCTGTGCCATAAAGGACGCCAGCGTCTCGTTTGTCCGTTCGCCAGGTCGACACAGGTCCAATTCGGCCTGTTTGACCGGAGCCAAAGCCGCAATGAGGCCCGTCAACGTCTCCCAAAGATCGTTTGCATCGCAGTCGGGGTAGTTGAGTAATTTTGATCCGATCTTGCTGCAATTATCGACGAGGAACGAATGCAAGAACGCCAGATTCGCAGGGCTCAGTCGATCTTGATTGGCCGTGTCGAGGGTCTCGATCCGCTGTGCACTCGGTGGACGCGACATGGACGAGAGGAAGCTTGTCATGGTGAAGATGTTGCGATCCATGAAGGGGTTGATGGCGCGCATTCCGGGCTCTTTGGCTCCGAAGCGGACATTGTTGGCGAGCGCCTGCAAGATCTTGCTAACCGATACCAAGCCCTTGCGGACCTCCCGTGCGTCGGTGCCAGCGGCCTGGTCGACGAGGTCGAGGTCGATCATTTCGGGTGACACAATGGCAGGGTTGATGAGACGTAGAAAGATGAAGCCTCCAATGGCGGTAAAGACGGATTCGGGGAAGCGCGCTCCGACGGCCTCGGCGATGAGCGCGCAAATTTCTCGAATCGTGTCCGGCGCTGCGTCGGCCGATTGGGCGATGCGGACGAGGAAGGCCTCGGTGACTTGGATCAAGTTGCGCGAAGCGACATCCTCGTCGCTGGAGTCTCGATGAGGGTCGAAATCCTGTGAAATGGCCCGCACAAAAGTCAGCCTGGCAACTCTCGGTGCGTCGCACTCTGCAGCGCACTCACCAAGTTGAACTCGGGTGGCTTCGAGCAAATCGCTAGCAGCAATTCACGGAGCGTCTCCCGAAGATAACGATACCCCTGGACCTTGGAATAGATCGTCAAGAGCCTCGAAGCGAAAGTATTGCCTCGGAACAAGGTCGACTCGTGATCGGTCGCTGAGACCTCTGCCGCGATAACGGCACGTAGGAAGCGGACTGTCGCAGACGGAGTCGACATGATACGCAGCAAGACCTCGATAAGATTGTCGTACTTGGCAGGTGGGCACACTTCGCACAACGCCAGAGCCAAAGAGGAAGGACTGTGTCGGATGAGCTGGGAGATCTGACGGTAGGCACTATCCGTCGATGAAGCACCATTATCGATGTCAAACTTGACACCCTGGGCTAACAAGAGTGTGAGCACCTCAATATAGATGTGTCGGAGCGGGTCTTGCAATTTGGAGCACGTCATTTCGGAGATCCTTCTAGTTGCCATCGCCATCTTCTGATTCGACGCCAGGAGCGCAGCAAATCCCTCCATCAGCGCCGCTTTGGTCCGGTTGAGGTCGCCCGCAATCCTAGACTCCACTTCGACGCCGGCCATACCGGTCAACACTCGGGTGAAGTGATCGAAGTACCGGTTGAAGACGGCTCGATCGGGTGTACCATCGGGTGCTTGTAGCTTGAGTCCCTTGAGGAGGGCCGAGAAAGCGCGCTGGCCCGCTCTATCGTCGGTGACGGAGATCCAGCGATAGAGGTACTCCACAAGCTTGATTCGCTTTGGTGCCGAGATCTCGTCGAGCTCACCCGACTTGGTCTGCACGTTTTCGCAGAGCGTCGACAGCTTGCTTTGTAGGCGTAGTCGCTCGTCCTGGATGGATAAAGTGCTGATGAATTCGGCGAAAACGACGACGACCTCGACCATTGGCGCATACACGTCCCGATGAAGGCCACTTGAATCGACTCGAGTAACGAGAGCTTGCAAAATGACGAGCGACTGAGTGATGAAGAGCATGTTCGAAAAGACACCGTCCTCCAAGTCGGAGTCGGGCTGATCCGTCGTCGACAATCGCTGTGCCGACTTTTTGAGCTGCATCACGAAGCCCGCCAATCGTCGTACGTCTAGGTTGTTCGCAAGCAGCTCTGTTGCATGAGTTCGGACGATAGGATCGTCGACAACAGATTGTTCCACTAGGTCGTAAACGATCGCGTTGGCCTGTCTTGCTCGTTCGTTGCGTCGAGCCATTCGAGAGTCAACGAGGCCCGTGCTACCTTCGTCAGATCCGGCCATGCGCGTACACACCCAACTCATGACCAGCAGCAACCCCGTCAACGACGACCAGTGGTTCAGTTCGAGGGACGCGGCCATATTTGGCGACCCTTCGTAGGAAGTAGGTGACGTGTGGTGGGAATGGAAGATATGGCTCGCGGCAAGGTCGCCTGCTCTTCGAGTCAGCTCGTCCCATGCGATGAGGAGACCCATCGACGCCTCGTCCAGATCCTGGATGTAGAGCTTGAGGTGCCGCAACGTGTCGGACTTGGACGACAGGTCCCTCGCCTGTCCGAGCGGCTTGACGACCGAGCGAGAAGGGACTGCTGCGCCATGAACAAGCAGGACCTGGCGCGCACATTCAAGTGCGAGTTCGCTGGTCTCATCCGAGGGCGACAGAGCCGAGACGAGCAGACTCGCCTCGAGCGCATTCCAAAATGCCTCCGACCACTTCCAAGTACCGCCCACCTTCTTCGAAAGGGGCTGCTTGATGATCTCGAGCATGACGCGCAGCAATAAACAATGACACATTGTCGCGTCATCGGCTTCCAAGATACGATGCGCGACGATCTTGCCTAGTTCAGACCAGTCGACAGTATCGTCCTCTGTTCCGGTTCGCTGCCCGAACGATTGGAAACACGCCAGAATCACCCCGAACGCAAGTCGATCGATCGTTTCGTCCAACAGATCGCGTGCGAGTTCTGCGACCGCGACGAGCGTGATTTCTGCATCGGCGATCAAGAGATGGGGCGCTTTACTCCACAGAACCAGCATCGAGCGAATCAACACTGGTGAAGCGTCCTCTGCCACGGTCGAAGGGTCAGTGTAGATCGCTCCCGCGCTGCCTTGTCGTGCTCGTCGGATCGGCCTGGGGAGTCGAGTCGCGTAAGAGAACAGGGTGCACAACGATTTCGAAATCGTCGACCACGACTCGGTGGAACCGTGATCGCTGAACAGGATCAGCAAAGCGTTGACGGTGCCGAGTTGGTGAGCGAGCGCCGAGTCAGTTTCCATGAGACGACTGAATAATTTGACGAGATCGCCTTCGTCCATTACCTGGACTTTGGCGATAGCAACGAGGCATCTCGTCAAAGTAGCTCTCTGGATCGGGGACTCGCTGACGGCCTGCATCAAGCTGGTCATGAATACCTTGGCACAGTCACTCGCAAGGGCCGCAATCGAGCTCGATGGCTCGACGATCTGATGCGATGCCATCAATAGATCAACACACGCATTCTGGGCATACTCGCTGCTCCCTCCTGTCGAATTCGATAACGCGGCCTTGATGGCGTCGAGGAACTGCTTCTTCTTGCTGTATCCGCCCGAAGGCTTGTCCGTTGCCACAGCGTCCTCGTCATTTGTCAGCTGTTGCACGATGTCGGGACAGCAGAGCAAGAGCATCATCATCGTCGGCCACGAGCTGGTAGGTGTCGGGCTCATCCGTCGTGTTAGGTTCTGGCTTGTCGGCGTCGAAGCTGATGCTGATAGCGCAGCGCTCGAAGATGGGTCGGGGACGAGAATTGCCGATTGGGCCCAAAGCAGATCGAAGAGCATATCGCAACCACCTTCGAGTCTTCGACCGAGCTGGACCATCGCCCGATATTCTTCGGGGCGAGAAGTGATCCAGGACCACACCGAGGACCGCAGAGCGAGGACTATAACGAGCTGAGCAGGCTTGCGCAGGTGAAGAAAGGCATTGAAGACGTCTGCGAGCGATGGAGTGAGACGTCAGTTTCGGCGTGACATTCCAAAACAAAAAACATAAAAAACCTCAACTCCGGGCTCACCTTGAAAGATAGCCGACAGCCGACTTCGGCTCATGCAACAACTTTCCAACATCCTCAGATCATGAGCCTCGAACTCCATCGCGGTCCCGTTCGACGAAGGCAGCTCATTAGGAGTTGCGCCGGGACCGGAGTGACTCGCCAGTCTTTGCCGGAGAAGATTCTGTATCAGGGTCCAGTTCGAAGCCGACAGAAAGTATACCACCAGAGCGGCGTAATGGTGGATGTCGGAGCGCAGGTCCTCGCGCGTTTCAGAGGACGAGAAGGGCGAGTCGATCAAGTCCGCGACCTGGGATGACGACGTCGAGTCGAGGGATCGAAAGACACGAGAGACGAGAGAAGAAGTACATGAAGGCGACGCCGACAACATAGAGATCGAGGAGGGAACAAATGCTCCCGTGGGAACGACAACGTTCAACAGGGACCGAGCCAGGTTTTCATCGAGGGCTGGAGGATCGAGCACCGGTTCGGTGCTTGTTGAAGATCTTTGAACATGCGACCACCAATGAGCGAGAAGACAGCTTGTGGTGACCCTCAATAGCTCGCAATGCGACCTCAGCACATTGAGCGATGAGAGCAACGGAGCCGAGGGCGCCGACGACATATTTCGTGCCTGCGAGTCAAACCAAACTTTTGATCAGCTTAGGAAAAGGCTTCTGTGATAAACCCAGCTTACGCCATCGCCTCTCCCACTCCCTGCTGGTCGTTCGAGTTCCCTTAACAGTCCTGTTAGAACCTCTTGAATGGCACCTGGACTCTTGCACACCCCCTCCAGTCCTTTCGTTGCCTCCCGGGTGACCCTTTGTCCGACGCTCGGATATCCCGACCCGGTCGGATGTCGACTGGTCGAATGTGATGGGAGCTGTGTCAGGAGAGCAGCAGGTCGAGTCAGACGGCTCTCCTCTGGTGAAAAACTCTTTCTTTGGCAGAGTCCCGCTCTCCCAGATCTACGCCCCTATCCAGGCACTCTCCCGGACTTGTCGCGGAGCCGACGCGGACCGGTGAGGGAGCACTGACCCCATTTCGGTCGAAGCTGGGAGCACTTCCCAGAGGGTACGGCCATCCCCCGTCCACCCCAATCACAGGCACTGACCTGACTTGTGATTTGCTGAATAAGCTTCTTGATGATCCTCGTCCTCGGTGACTCTTTCGGGCCAGTCGCGTACGGTGCTACGGGAGCAGTGGAAGTTGAGGTTGAGCGACGCGAGGTGAACTGGTGGGGAGGCCCATTCGCCGAGGTGTTTGTGGTCATCGTGGTTGTGGTCGTCACCAACACCGCAGCACCTCCTACATTGCCCGTATGATCAGGTGTAGGTGACGGTGAAAGTCGATAATGACTCGAAGTACGTTCGGGATAGTCCAGTGAGTTGTTAGGCTTCGAGTCCCTGGCGTCGTGGTGCGATGAACTGCCAGTCGTGCACATCGTCGTCGCCGCCGGTGGTGGTGGTGGTGGTGGTGGTGGGACGGACGCGATCGGAGCTCGACCACGCCTCAACAACCGCAGCTCGACCATCTTACCGGCGTACTGCCTTCAACGAGAGGAATACATCAGCTTCCACTTGTGGCATTAAAGTTCCACAACGCACCACGAACACGCACGCACGCACCTCGAGTAGCCTGCACAGCTCAGCTCAGGGAGAGCCACGAGACCATTTAAGACTGAGCGCTGAGCCACAACCGAGACCCGAGACCGAGACGAGGGCCAAAAACATGAGCGGGCGCTAGCAGGCGCTAGGGAGAGCTAAACTAGTCGCGTCCAGGCTTCAATTAGCCCCGCGGCGATCCCACGTTTAGCCCCCCCTTTTTTTAGCTGGGCGGCGCTTCTCTATACTTCTCGGCTCCAAGGGCGGCTGCGCGCAAAACAGCCAAACGATCTGATATTTGACACTTCTGCCTTGACGTGTGCAGGGGTGAAACGGGTATTTGCAAAGATGATAAAATCGCACACTGCCTCCTTCTAAGATTAATAAAGAACCTTCCAACCTATAAGCACTATCGCCGCACTACCACCGGTCAAAAACTGAGATCATCGATGATCTTCTCGACTAGCGCGCGGATATCGTCGGCCCTCTTGGACGAGACATCCAACACCTGCGGGAAAAAATGCCGTACCATGTCAAGTCTTCTCTTTACGGGCGTTTCGCAGAAGGAAGCATCTTTTGACCCACTTCTTGATGACTAGCCGCGACTTGCTCGATGATCTCACGACCAACATTCGGCTTCTCGACGCCGGATGCCGACGATGAGGCTTCAGCCTCGACTTCGGCTTCGGCGGATCGGTAGGCGTCGTTGACGACGATGTTGGTGACCAGGGAAAGGACGAGCACTCGGACACCTGCATGTCGAGCCGCGATGACTTCGGGGATTGTACTTCGGCAACAAAGGGTAGATGCGTTAGTCGTCGTGCTCGGGGCAAGGGCGCTGGCAGGGGCAGGGTTTCCAGCTCACGACATGCCGACGACATCTGCTCCAGCTGCTCTCAAAAACCTCTGCTCGGCTCGCGTTTCATAAGTCGGCCCGGCGACCTGCCCAGTGATACGACCTCGTCATTCATTTAAAAAGCGCAGAACGCTAGATCTTCTCTGACGCACCCAAGCATAAATGCCCTCCTTGAGTGTCCCCTTCTTGAACCCCAGAGTCTTGGCCGCTCTAAACGCCGTCTTGCGTAATTCAAAGTCGTAAGCGTCCGACATAGGCGGGAAGCGTGGACCCAACGCATCTCGATTACGACCTGTGGAGACATACTCATACCCAACAGGCTCCCGTCAGTACAAGGAGGAGACGAGTGTTGTACTCAGTAAGACTCACCGATCAAGGGGTTCATCGAAGTCTGAGCGTTGACGACAGAAGAAGCTCGTCAGTCGTCTGATTCCAGGCGGCACGAGGAAGAAACATCCGGAGCACATACAAGGGATGGCAGAGAAATATGATCTTGCAATGCAATGATCGTGCCCACTTCCATCTGCGGGTCCAGTCCGCCGGCGGCGTTGGTGATGATGGCCACCTGGATGCCGAGCAGCTTCATGATCTTCATCGGGTACTGGAAGAAGCGCAGACGGCCAGATGAGCAAATATGTCTCGAAAGGAACGTATTTGGGACTCGAGCGGACTAACGACGACCTGCTCGAGCTTGAAGCCTTCGTACGCATGAAAGCTAAGGACCGGCGGTGAAATGGAGAGTTGGCTCCGCACAAGATGATTCAACTCGGGAGTCACAGGCCACTGATACCGACACAAAGGAGACGCAACTCACCGCCCCAATTGGCATACGACCGGTACCCTGCTGTTTCCTAGATATCCAAATGCGAGTGAAGACTGATGACCACGAACTACGAAGCCAGGGCAATGAATGACGAACCGTGGTCAGTGCTATATCGCCGCCATGTGGGGAAGCACTACTCGTCGGTCTCCTCCCTCCAAGATCACACTACGCTCTGACGATCACAGTGCCAGTCGAACTCACCGGTGCTCTCCCCGAAGCCATGAATATCGGCATAGTCCACCTCGACCCTATCCTGTAGCAACTCCGCCAATCCTTGCAAGCCCGAACCACACACGATCCCAACCTGAGGCGTACGTAATTCCTTAGGCAGACGCGATCGGATATCAATCAAGGCCTGGGTGTATTCGACGGTCAGATGGTCTAGTTCGACGGCATGGTTTGGGGATGGAACCGGGTCGGCGAAACGGGGGAGGGCATTGAGGTCCGCTGGTTGCGGTGGGGACGAGGGTGGTTTGGGGGACATGCTATTCCGGGGGGGTATACACGAGCTTGCGCTGTGTTTATGATATTCGATGGAGAGTGACGAAGAGCCGGTGTGGAATTTGAGATCAGATACAGCGGATGGGCAGGACCGATCGAAGTGATGGACGATAAGGATCCCGGGCACTCTGGCGCGCTTGACGGGGCTTGAAGCTTGACGCCGACCACGAACACGTCTACATTCCACATTCGAGACCAGCCGAGCGTGTGCCGGCCGATCCCGCCGTTGATGAAATCGAACCGAGCGTTTCAGCAAGCAAAGACGGTCGGGTTATGTCCATTCGCCCCAGGGGTTCACCCTTGACAGCTTACATCTACAGCACCGGAATAGAGTGCAGCTGAGAAACCGGTCCGATCCGATAGATTCCGTCCCAAAGAACACCGTCCGCGGCGCATCACGAAGTGTCACACTGTCACGGCCGGATCGCAGTCGCCAGCATAATTAATGCAAGATTCACGATTCCAGCCGAGGCAACTGAGACTACTAACTAGTCACCACACCTTGGATCTATGCGACCTTGCGTGCGTGGACTGAGCATGAGATCATTTCCGTAGCTACTTTCGCATGATGCCCCAACAGCTTGCCCCCAAACATGTAGAGGACCAGGAGCAGTGGGTTCGCCGGGCGAGAGAAGACATCGCAGCCCGTCGACCGTCTGCTTCCCCGAGGCAGTGCACGGTAGCGTACACGCAATGCAGGAACCGCGCGACCGAAGTCACTTTGAGCAATTATTGCCACACTAGATCACAGAAAATTCATGGCGAGCACGAGGGATAATCCACGCTGTCAGGATTTGGAACACTGAGGGCCTGATATCATCCTCTGCCGGCGGGCGGGCGGAACCGGTACGTCACGAGGGTGCCTGTGCTCCGTCCTCTCAGCCGTCTCGCGCAGCTTGGAACGACGTGTGGCTTTGCCTTTTCATCGGGATTCTTTCCGGGAAGGGGTGCGGGGAGGTCCGATCACTATTGCGCATTGAAATCAAGGCACAACGTGGACGGCATCCAAAATTGTTCTATGACATCACCCGCTGCCGGGCGCGCGTCCCGAGTCCAATTAACAATTCACGGTTTTGGGCTCATCTTTGTTCCATTACGTCGTACCTCACCTATCCAACCTCCCAGCACCCAGCTCTGCTGTTCACGACCATATAATCACCCACGGTCGTGTAGCCTAAACCTTGCTTCTCTTATTTCGGCCCCTTTGAACGACGTCGAGTCGACGAACGACGTGACGCTGTGCCTCTGGCCCTGGGCCTACAGTCGCGATGAGCACGGCTCAGAGCATCCGACCCGCGGCGGTTTCGGGAGACGCCGTCTTTATCCACGACGAGCGGCGCACGACCAACAAATCGTGTTTCCTGTGCCGCGAACGCCGCGTGCGGTGCGACCGAACATGGCCGGCATGCAAGAGATGCTCGAAGCGGCGAGAGGACTGTCACTATGGGCCTGGCGTATCCGTGTAAGTCCCGGTTTCGTGCACCGGGTCTATGCACGTTTAGATGCGCGCGCGCCCGTGCAGCGACGGAGTTATCTCGTCGTGCAACTTGGGAACTGATCCGATCGCTGTGTATATGCGCATACAGTGAGACCAAGAACGACCCTGGTGAATCTGTACGCGTTGCAGAACTCGAGGCCAAACTGGGTATGTACCTCCCACTGCTCGTTACGATCTCCCCGTCCCTCGAGCAGAATGAGCGCAGTCGGAAGTGTGCTTCGATCCGAATCGCGAGCCTTGTGGGTCAAATGGGGCTCTGCGCACATGGAGGTGCTTTTTACGGAAGTGTAGTTGTAGACAGATGCGTCAACAGATCATGTGTGATTTGCTCGTTCCTGGCCCGGTGGGCAAATTCGACACAGTACACGGCCAGCTCGCTGACATTTAGATTCCTCGCTTTCGTCTTTTCCCTTCGCTCTCGGCGATCAATCGTCGATTTCAAATTTCGGTTCAACCCCTCTGTGAAATCAACTCGCCCTCGCTCAGCTGCTGTACAAGCTCAACTATACGCGACGCAAAAGGAACCCAGCTCATACACAGGTTCAGGTCACCTGCAAGGCACATCGGCCTCGGCCAGCTCCTCAAATAATGACCCAGGAGGCCAACGCCATTCGGGACTATTCGGCACCGGAAGCTTCAGCGGAAGCGTGAGCGGGAGTGGAAGCGGCATCGGTAGCTATTCGGGCAAACCACCCTCGAGTTCAGGCGGAAGATCTGGATCCGACACGGGAGCTGCCTACACCAACCCGAATCAACCCATTTCCATGGGCCACCCGGAGGAGCTCCCGTCGACGATCCTCCAAACGATCCTTCCGCAGGCCTCGTCGCAAGACAAGGAGGTTCTGATGAGCTTTCTGTTTGGGCAAAACAAATTGGGCACGGCGAGCCTCGACTCGAGGTTGGCGGCGGCTCAGCTTGCGCAGAGCTTGACATTACACCTCTTAGACGGTGAGCATGCTCTTATTGCCAACTGGCAGTCCACGGCGAGGTATCGCCAGTGTGCCGGCGAAGTTGAAGTCGAACTAGGCTGACCTGAGCAAATCTTGCCTCCTCGTAGCGAGCCAATACTGTTGCTGTTCCAAGCTTTCGTCATTCAGGGCCTTGACGGACAAATTGCCATACCTCAAAGCAAACCTTTCTTCCCTGTCGCCGGTGAACCAGGCTGCCGTCGCCATCCTCTGCGCGATCGGCGCCAGAGGGTCCCCGCATTCTGTGAGTTAGCAGCGCAGGTGAAAGCTGGAGTTGACTCGACGGATCTGGGCTGACCTTGAATGAACGTCCCAGGCCCTCCTTGGCATAGACATCCCCGGTCTGGCGAATGGGACTGCACCGCCATCGGTTTACCTGACCGTCGGTGCGAGACGAGAAAACGCTTGCCGCGCGCTGGCCGATCGAGCGATTGACCTGTGTTGGTATGGCCGTTTGATTAAGGAGGGCAGCAGGGAGAATCTTGAGGTGCTGGTCGGCTTGAGTGCGCTTTTGATTTGTAAGTGACCGTCTACACTGGTTCTGGGACTTAGATGACCGTATGAGCTCACCCACCCGTCTTCGCTGAATATCTATCTCAGTGGACGAGGTGCAACCACGCAAGAGCCGCTTCATTCTGCGCAATGCCACCGGCATGTTTGAAGACCTTCAACGAAGCGACGACCTCGATCAGCGGGAAACGCTTGACATGCGGCAGACTCTCGCCTCAGCCCTCTTCGTAAGTGTGCTTTGCCCGGGACCGATCAGGTGAAATTGGGCCTGACGCCGAGATTGTTGGCCTCCTTCCTCTGCAAAAGCGCGACGACGCCGTGCATGCTGCGCAGCTCAACCAGCCACCGCTGATCAGTTCGTTTGAGCTCGAAGAGTATTTCACGTGCACGGACCAGCGGATACCCGACTTTGGCGGCCCGCAGCTATCGGCGATCCTTGAACAACAATTGCGTACGCCCGATGGAGAGCCGCTGTCGCTCGAAGCATTGGAGAGGGCAGTCAACACGGTCTCAGTCTGGGTCTGCTTCTGTCAGCGGACTTTTGCTCGTATCACGACTGGTCGGTGGTGTCTGTCTATTGTCTCAGCCTTTCATCTTGTTGCAAGCACTATTTGAGCTCGACTGACGCGCTCTCGTTCTCCTTGATTGCACAGTCCGCCGACCTAGGGCACCCTCAGCTTTGGGAGATCTTGCGACACTGTGGCGACAGATCGACACCGTTCACTCCTCGGTGCAACGCCTGCAACAATTCATCGTCGCCTTAACCGAGCCCCCGCCCGGCTCAGAGGGAGATCCCTATGTGCTGGACCATTACGTCCTTCTCGCCGTGCGGGCCGACACGAGGCTGATCGACCTCGTAAACCTCATGCATAAGTTCCTGATGCGTCCCGATCTGCTGGATGGATGGGGTGGACCGCCTGGGGCAAACCCTGTCGAGATCATCCAACGCATGCGCATCGAGTCAGTAATGCGGGTGCGCAAGGTGCTCAAGTTGTCTGCGTGAGTGTTTGCAGCAAATTATTGCAGTATGAGACCGAATTGCCTTAGTCCCGCTGACCCATCCCGGCTTCCATCTTGATCAGGTTCTACGCACAACTCTACCTCCAGAGCCAGGACAAACACGTCGTCCACCATCTCTTCATGCAGCTCGAATTGCTGCCTTCCTGGACGTTCCTCGCATTGCAACGAGTCGGCTCACCCGGTGGACCGACCTCGGAAGAGTTCGAAGTGACGCCAGAGGAGCTCGAGTGGTTCGCGATGGGTCTCCGACTGGCCGTCTACTACACCCCGCGCGCGGCGGTCCGCCTCCACGAGCTCACGACGGGCCAACATCGCAAGTCGTCAGCTGTTTCAAGCACTGGCAGCTCGGCCACGCCTGCATTATACCACTCGCCTAACTCGAAGCTTGTGTCACCAGTCGTTTCGTACGCGAACGCCTCGAACAACAATGCGCAATATGCTTCCAACTTGCAAAACAGCGGCGCCGCGCTGGGGTCGTTTCCTCCGATTTCAATCCTGCCGCAAGCGGATGAGGAACCGTTGCAACTGCAGTTCAGTCTCGATGACCTGCAGCATTTCGACATTGCACCTCCACCGGATTTTGTTAGAGGTGGGGTCTGAGAGTCATTGCTATTAGTCTTGGTTAATTCCTTATTCTGCGCGCGCGCCTATCTCTGTCTTTGCGTCTTTTTTCCTTCTGGGTTTCCTTCTCCACGCTATTCTCATCATCTCACTCGTGTACCTCGGAGCTGAGTCGTGGAGTACCTCTTAGGTTAGTTACTGCAAAGCTACGCTATTCTCATCATCTCACTCGTGTACCTCGGAGCTGAGTCGTGGAGTACCTCTTAGTCCTTGTCGTAATATATTTGCTCCATATTGAGCAGCAGCAGTACCTTCAGCAGCCTCAGCAGCAACAACAGCAGCAGCAGCAGCAGCAGCGACAGCGTCGGCACTCGCAACAACAACCCCAGAGAATGCAGACATCGAGGCCGAGTCCCTCCCCCTACTTTGGCAACGCCGCTACGATGGCCTCTGCCCAATCTGGAGCGTCATTCACCTCCCAGGGACCTCAGCAAACGTCCAAGCAGCAGTTCATGCCTGGAGCGGAACCGCACCACGCGCAGCAGCACGGTTTTGCGTACGAACCATTCCCCTCGCCAGCCTCGGGCTACCCGCCGACGACGTCGCATTATCCGGGCCATCCTTCGTACCAGATCGCGAACACGCACGCGGGCGCAGGCAATGGTGACGAAAGTTCGAACCCGAGCGGGATGCGTGTAGATTTGCTTCCGTCGCCTTTCGTCTTTGACGCATATGGCTACCCCAAGAAGTCACCTGGGCTGGTGGCCGACACCCCTATCGCCGGCAGTCCCGGTGCACAGAACGCATTCAAAGGGCAGAGTTGGATGAACGTCGCGTTCACGAGGCATTTTGGGGAGCTGGAGATGCCGAGTCGCGCCGGCAATTGCGGGAACGGACGGAATGGCGGCGGGCCCAGCCAGGGGTAAAGCATGCCGAGCCGGTCTACGACCAACTGGACGGGCCTCCTCAGACCTTGAATAGAAATTGTCAGGCCTGAGATAGAAGAACCCCTTGCTACCCATATTATATTTCGCCTTTGTCTTTCTGGTGTTGTAGGAAAACGTATCATAGTAGAACGCCCTTTCGCAGTGGAACCCTGTACTCCATCTCTTGCGCTGAATCATCATTGTCAACCTCAACCGATTTGCATGTTCCAGCCAAGCTGGTCGGATGCAGAGTCTTAAATGGGTATACGCATGCACAATAAGATAAAATATGGACCTCTATGTACGCAAACGAGTGTGCGGTCTCCCCCAGGGCAAATGCACCAATAATGGGCGGATCAAAGCGCGGTGCCTCACGCTCACGTTTCTGCATCTGGGTTCGCCACCACCATCCTCAGTTTCTGATGACCGGGGGACGAGTCTCGATTGTCAGACTCGCCGTCCGACTCGAGCCGCGGTGCCCATGAGGTGGGCCGTCGCCCTCCCATAACCGGCTGGCTAAGATGATCGTTCGGCGTCGATCCGAACCATTGCGAGGGGTTGGGCTTGTGGGGCGATTGGTCACCGAGTTCACCGACGCCGGTCGAATAGCTCGAGTCCGAGGGTCGCCACGTTTTCCCGGTGACGAGTCCGGATACGGGTGGCAGATCTGACTTCGAAACATGGGCTCCGGCCGTCTCTAAACGACCACGCTCCCCGAGCGACAACGTCATAGGCCGATAGTCACTGAATGGGCGCGCACTCGACCAACGGTCCTCCTGAGGCCCCCCCGGTTCCATCGGAGCGAACGGTCTGTACCCAGCCGCAGCATCGTTGGCCACCGTTGCCTCAAGATGTTCGGCAACTGTCGGGCCTGAAAACTCGGCACGTCGCTCCCAACCAGAACCAGGGTGGTTGGCGGGCCATTCCCTGCGTTGCTCCCACGTGTCACTCGGCATCTGGACCATCGGAGGCTGCGAATCGTAGTAGCTCAAGCTGTGGTTCGCCGGCGTCGTTGATGCAAAGAATGTGCGAGCGGTGACGTTCATCCCCGCATCGGGCTGATGTCCATCCCAGTCGATTCCAACTGCGTTCTTCCTGTCATTGAGACGTTGTGCTCGGCGCATGAAGAAAAACCCACCCGCGAGCAGCAGAATCACCAAGCCCTGGGCAGAAAGATGTAGGTCAGCCTCGAAGACACCACCAGTTCAGGGACCGAATCGGCAGTCTAACACTCACCCCAAACGTAGCACCGACGATGGCTCCGACATGAGAATGCTTTTTCGTCGAGTTGACATCCATAGATGCCCCGCCTGTCGACGAATTAGACTTCCCACCATTCGAAGAGTTGCCTCCAGTACTGGTGAAGCCTGCGGACGTATTGGTAGGGGCTGTGGACACATCCACCAAACCATTAGCATATAGGAGATTGATCCTCGAAGCTATAGCTCGGACTTGCCATACAAAGCCATCACTCACCTATTGTCTGTGAATTAGGCGGCGGGGACGCATTTGATGTATTCGGAGGTGGAATCACGGGCTGATGCGTGCCAGTCCCATTCTTTGTCGTCCCGTTGTTTGTCTGAGTTCCATTGTTGTTCGTCGTCCCATTGTTGAGTGTATTATTGGTACCCCGGTTAATGGTAGTGTTGTGCGTTGCGTTTGGCAAGTTGCTCGGCGGTGGCGGCGGCGGTGGCGGCGGTGGCGGCGGTGGTGGCGGCGGTGGTGGCGGCGGCTGGATTGGCGGGTTTGGGGTGCCAGTTCCGCCGCCCAAGTAGACCGCGTACGGTGTGCCAAATCTCTCTAGACAGAACGCATCGAGATTGTTCCAGGAGTTCGTTTGATCAGAGGAGTTGCAGCCTTTGAGCGGAACGTCCGATCGAACCCTGGTCGTCAGCATCATCATTCGGCCCGAAACCCTCGCCGAAGCCGGGTGTCTTGACGACACGCGATGGAGCTACGTACTCCCTTGAATACAGGCTGGGAGCGTGAGGGTCGCATTGACACACATGCAATGATGACTTGCGAGTGTGCACTGCGAGTGAAGGCAAGGGACATGGTCAGCAGTCAGCAGTCAGCAGCCGAGGTGAGTACGACTCCTGAGCTAGTGGTGACGACGTCGCCTTCTTGAGTGATGGACGGCCAACCGCGCTTGACACGCATTGACCCACTGTGGTGTCCACCTGCACGCAATTAATCCCACAAATTGGAAGTACTGCATCACTGGCTCCAAGGTGAATGATGGACCCGAACAGCTGCAAGAGAAGTGCACCAACTGATCCTCGCTTCTTGAGGAGCATCGCGCGGCTACTGGTACGCGTCGACTCCTTCCGCGGTACCGAAGGTGCGAGACGAGGTGATGTGCGTCAGGGAAGGAGGTGCTGCGAAGTTGGATCGGTTGACTTCCGAAACACCGAGCTCGGTCATGCTCAAGCAGTGTGAGCCCATCCCGCCTGAAGCAGAACCCCACGGTCTCAGTTCCACTAGCCTCTCAGGAGCTAGGTTTCGCGCAGGCTCTCCTATTTGCGCTTTGGTGCTCGAATCCACTCCGTCCGGTAAAAGAGACTTCTAAAAGCGGTCAAAATATTGAAAGGAACCAAATAGGCTTCTTGTCGCTCGCGTTTGCTCGTCCCGCTGCGATCACGGATATGGGCCGGTGTGGCGACAAGCGCGGTCGAACGGTGCGAACTATCAGGCGCGCAGACCCGACCATTCTGAGTGATGTCGGGGCGTGGACGACCCCTGTGAGACACCTTCGCCTTCTAGTAACCACGTGTCAAGAATCTCTACAAAACCTCCAAACGAAGTACGTGCAATGCTGGAGGTTTTGATGCGATGCACTGTCATGCGGCCTTGTGAACAGGGTTCCCCATTAGATGTCCAGATATCTATCTTAGCATATCTCGCTAAGATATAGATGCCATCTTATCTAGGGGCCGAATATCTTAGATAGATAGATAAAGCCCCGGGGGTTTCCTTAGATATCTTTAGGATATCTTAACTTTTTTTGTGTCTGATACAGACTCCTGTTGCGCTGGAAGTTGTAGTTTCCACTAAGGAGGTTCTTGCTCCTTAGCGAGGACATCGAATTTCAAGTCGTATTCGGCTCAATCCCCATGTTTGTGCCGCATGGTTTGGCCCAAGCGCTGACCGCGGGTGAGGCGGCACGGCTTGCCGACGGGCCAATTTGGGAGCTGAGGCTTTCAGACGTTTTTGCTGCCAGAGGGTGCTTATCAACTAATCACACAAACCACACAAAGAAAGGAGGTGCAATTGCGACATTTTGTGAACTTCGCAATGTACCCCGGCGCCGTTCTCTCTTCTTTCTTCGCTCACTTGCACTCTCACACCTCGCCAAACGACTATAATCAATCTGAGTCTGTGCTGAAGCAATGAGCTCCCCACTGCTGAGGAGGACCTTGTGTGTACGGAATTCGCCACGGACAAAGAAGCGCAAAATCTACTCTCAGCTGAGAGGTGGCTCCGCAAATGATCGCTGGCAAGCTCGCTGCGCCGACGCTTTGATTAGATATCTATTATCGCAGAAACGATGCGAGCGCGGAAGTAAAGCCTTCCGATAGGTGAGGGTGCACGACGCCGAGAAGTCAGGACCACAATGTAGAGCGAGTGATGAGAAAGCTACCAAGAGTAAACAGCCGCGCGGGAAGAAAGCCCCGCGCGCTCCCTAACTTAAACAGATCAAACTCCAATACCAAAGTGACTAATGACTAAACGCACGCGCATCCGCGCAGATACCACAGGCACAGACACATATCAATTAACATCTATTAGATATCTAGGCATCTATCTAAGATATCTGACTAAGATGGGAGATAGATAGATAAGGGCCAGAGCCCAATTTTTTTAGATAGATATCTAATATCTGCGAGATTATCTTATCTAATGGGGAACCCTGCTTGTGAAGTTGTGACTTCTTTCATGCTTGATCGCTGCGAAGCTTCGCCATGCGGTGTAAATCCACATGGGGTTTTCAAAGCTGAGCTCCATCAAAGCTTCGAGGAAGCATGATTCTGAGCAAATCAGTGTAAACGCAGGGATTTGGCGGTCTTGTTCCTTCACGTACTGACGCGGCATTGTGCGCGGGCAAGATAGGAAGATAGCGCCGGGCAAGCTTTAATGATGCAGACGAAATCCGCGAGCACCGTACCCGTAAGCTGGTATCCTACCTATTGCTCAATCGGCTCCAAAATCCTCGAAAGACTATTCGAGCGCTTCCTTAGCATTCGCTGGGCGACTCCTGCGATGACGAACCGCCGCGCCGCCGGCCGTCCGCCGACGCGGTCCCTGCACGTCCCTCCGATGTCGGCTTCGAGTGCTGGCGCCGTCGTTCTCGGACTCACCCTTTCGATTGCTCTCCGCTTCGTCCCTCCTCACGATCACGATCACAAATCCCCCTCACCTATTCGTCACCAACCGCTGCATCAGTTATCCCCAACGAGACAAGCTAGAACCCCTGGTGTGAGCAATTGCAATGTCCGCGTCGGCAGGCTCGGCACCGTCCTCCAACTCGACGACTGGCAATCCCTTCGAAAACGCATACAATGTCATCCTCATCAAGTTCTGGCCTCGGCCTTCGCCTGGGTTCAATGTTCGTCTGATCATACAGATGGGTTTGTGCGGTTACGTCTTTGTTGCAACAGTCCTGTTCCTCGTCGTGTACACGATCGTTATACGACGCCAGGACAAGAAACTGTGGATGTTCCGCTTCGTCCAAACCCGCTACGGCCGCTACATCGTCCCGAGTAAGCCTTGAACAGACTGAACTCTCATGAACAGACGGAATTGTCATAGTGTTGGTTGCTCATCATGATCTTGTTGATTCTTGTGCACAGATATGTGTAAGTCTCGATTCTCGAAAAAGATCGCCGGATTGGAGATCGTCCTCTCCAACGAAGAAAAGTCGCACCTCCTCGGCGTGCCCCCGGCCTGCTCCTAGCATTGGTGTCAGCTTCGGGACACCACCCGCTCACATGACCACAATCACCTCATCACTTGAAACACAGATATTGTCTCTGTACTACCCTCAATACCCGCGGCTGGTTTGATAGCGGGTTTGCTCGTCGATAATCGCCGGATCTTTGTGTTCCGCCATGGCCAACACGGGGCAATGTTGTGGAAGTGAGTAGATGCGCCAGCTTGTGGCCCCTGTCCTGATTCCCACGATGTCGTACGAGGCTCTGAGGGGACGTCGAAGAAGGCAGAGCGCTTCTTTCCGAACATAGGAGAGGGCTCCACGGTACTGACACATCGTAAATACTATGGGCAGAACCCTGATCTGGGTCGTCGTGTACGCGCAAGGGTGGTTCGTCGTCTTCAGTGGCGTCACAGCCGCGCTCTTGATCTCGAACGAGGATAAACCCTTCTACCTCAGGCCGGCGTTCATCAATACGATCTACATCGTCGGTCCATTTGTGGTTGTTCTAGGAATAGCGGTGAGTGTGACAGGACCACGTCCAGGCGTGGGTACGCCGGTGGTTCAAGTGCTGATGATACTGTCTCTCGCGTACCGTAGATCCCTTCCATCCTCTGTTCCAACAGCTGGAACTACATAATGACCCGAGTTGACGAGACACTTCTCACACTCCGCGCTGCTTCAATCCAATACGCCAAAAATGGGTTCTCCAACGTAGTCGCGATTGACATGACGGATCAGTTGGAAGACGAGATCCTCGCCAGGGCTGAGAAATTCTTCGCGCAGTACCTTCTCATGCTCTGTGTTTGGAGTGCGGCGACGATCAATCTGGTCTTTGTGAGTGTTCGGGTGAAGAAGCGGTCGAGTGTTGAAACCTTTTGCTGATTTTTCAGTGGTTCATTGTCCCTCCATCATCTCCAGGTGAGCCTCGTGGGTTGGTCCCTGGTCTTCAAGCTTCGACGCCAACGAAGGGTTGGCCAGACCTTCGCCGCACCCCGAGTACCGGCGACGGAGCAAGCCGCAGCAGTATCGGCCGCTCAAACCAAGGGTAGCGGCAATGGATCCTCTACGTCCTCAACAACAAAAAATGGGTCGAGTGTGGAGTTGGAAATGCAATCACCTCTTCCCCGCACCTCCACCTCCCCTAACGACCAAACCACGCGCCATACGAACCACCAAAATCAAACGATCCACAAACCCTCTTCCCCCCCTACCACGTCCCAAGCAGCAAGTCAAGGCGCCTTGACCAAGCTCATCCGTGATCTCTTCGTCTCCTCGCTTGGAGTAACCACTTTCGCGTCCATCTTTGTCGGCGACACGGTCATGCTTGCCGTGCGACGCCGCGAGGTTTTCGCGAATTGGACCCGAGCGGAAATCGGAATGACGTTGACGACGTGGTCTTACCTTCTTGGGACAAGCATGTGCACGACTGCGATTTTGATCAATGAGATCTTGTTTTGGAGGGCGTTGCGTAATGCTGGAGCGGGTTGGGGTGGAGGAGGGGACACATCCTTCGGCTCAGGGTCCAATAGTGGACCTTACGGCCATGGACGACCCCTTCGTCGAGGTGGGCCTCTCCGCGGCAGTGGCTTTGGTGGCGGAGGAGGTGAAGATGGAGCAGGGATCGAGAACGGGATCACGGTTGAGATGACCAAACAGGTCCACGTAGAATTGCCCTGTCATTACCCTCCTTCGAACGCTTCTTCAAACCCACCGAGGCCATGGACGCCTTTGGAGACCGAGGTGCGCAAGCATCAGCCTCGCCAACACCCACTCGACCGCCTTGAAGCCGCCGACTCGGAGTATGATGATCGCAAGTACGACTGGAGCGCAAGATGAGCAATAGGAATCCGGTACCCCAACGGGATCACTGCCGGAAGATGATGACGACGATCGAGTTTCGTACCATCGCTATAGTGTCGATCGTTCGGTTTGCGCGTCGTGGGTTTGGTATTTCGTGTCCGGGCCCTCCAGTCGTGTTGTGTCGTGTCGTGGAATGCAGAGCTCGGGACTTGTTATTACCATGGAACTGTACTTTATCTTTCCAAAACACCGCGTAGCGAATAAAATCGCGAGGTCAACACGAAGACTTTGATCGACTATCTTGTCCGTCACTCGAATCCTCCCTCTCACCTCAGCTCATGGGTGAGGTTATGAAACCCGTCGAGACCGAGTGGAAATGAGGGTCCGTGTCCATAGTCAAAGCGGTCAGGCTTTTGGAACGTTTCATTTCGGTCCAAAAGAGGTATGTTTCTTCTGGTTCATCGGGCTTCGAATCGACGAGCGGGTCCGTGCCCAGGTAGAATGTGGATCCTATCGAACTGACCAGACGGACGAGGTCATGCCACTGTTTCTTCTTGCCCAGGTAGTTGATGACCTTCATCTCATGAATCCATTCGGACCGCTCGACGTTGGACCTCCAGTTTGCGGCTGGGCTTGGGCTGACAAGAGGAGGACGCTGAGCGATGATCTTGTCCGCCCTTTGACTCCTACCACTCATCATACCACCTTGGCCTCGGGCCATCGTCTCCTCGCCTCCACCTCCGTCATCCCCAGTGATCCATAATGAATCACCGTCCTGACCTTGCATCCACTGGTACCTTCCTCTGGTGTGCCATCCTCGTTTGGTACCATTCTGCTGAAATCGAAGGCTTTCTTCGTACCGGTGCGGATGGAGAAAGTGTTGAGCGTCGGCATGCGGGTGAAGGTCTCGCGGCATGCGACGCGGATCGCGCTGGGGTTTGGTAGGAGGAGATTACTTTAGGACATGAATGAAGGGTTGGCCGTGCAGGAAATGGTTAGTAGGGAGGTCACATTTGTAACGAGAAGGGTTCGGGAAGCTGAGAAGATAAGAGAGGTGAAACGTACTGTGTCAACGATCGCAGCGCCTTGAACTCTGCGAAGGAGGCCAACCAGAGCGTATGATCCGCATGACAAGTCATCGCCGACGATGTATGAGGGGCAGTCCCATCGTACGCATCGATGAACACGTCCCCCGCTCCGACCCTGTAGATCAAGCGCTCGAGATGAGGGAGCAACTGTCCCAGGGTTTGGAGCAGCGTTCTGGCATCGAGGATATACTCTCTCGAAGAAGAGGAGGTTGAGAGGATCTCAAGATCGACGAGGGCGGAATAGGTCGGCGAAGAGAGAGCAAGGAAGAGATGCGAGAGGGTGGGCATCCAGGTATGAACTGTCAGACAGGCGAAGCCGTGGGGAAAGGGGTCCATGACCAATTTTCGAAGAGAGGACGACGGGCGTGGGGTTTGCGACGCAAAGGACTATGCACGCATTAGATCCGATGTTAGTGATCAGAGAACAAGCAAGGAATGGATGGGAATCGGATGCCTACTTTGATCGCTTTGGTAATGATGACCCACGCCTCGCGCGGGATATCCTTGAGCGACAAAGAGCACAGGTTCGCAAAGAGTGCCGGATGAAGGAAGGAGTCGTCGATGTCGTGGACGTATTCCAACGACAAGTGCGTCAGAGTCAAAGGAAGGACGCCATCCTCGACGCCATCGATACTGTAGCTCTTGATCGACAAGTGGGTGAGATTGCGAAATTGGTCGAGACCGAGTGGGATCGAAGGACCCAATATTAAAGTCAAAGCGTTGAGGCTCTCGGACCGCTGCAATTCAGTCCAGAAGTGATAGATCTCCGAGTCATACCAATGGTTGAGCAGCAGATCGTCGTTGTCCGTGCGACTTTCGCGATTTGTCTTCTGAGGTTCCCCCGAGACACGAATCAGCTTACGCTTCTCGACTACCATTACGGATCCGGTGATCCGATTCGGTCGTGTGGGGGCGGGGACGGGGGCAACGAAATGAAGGACGGCGAAATCTAGACTGACCATGATGACGTGCTTCAACGCGGTCGCCGTCTTGACCAGACGAGCTAGATCAAGCCACTGTCGGGACAGCTTGAAATAGTCGACAACTTGGATCGAACGAATCCACGCGGAAGGCTCGACGTCGGACTGCCAGTACGTCGCGTCATTCCGACCGGGCGTGCCGAGTTGGGTGCTCTCCCCAACAGGAGTGAAGGCAGTCAAAAGCTGCTCGATTCGTGCTCTTCGTTGATCGCCGACGCTTTCCCCTAAATCATTCTCGTCATCGATGTCGAACGCGTACGCAGGGGGACCCCTGAATACGAGCGCCGCATAGAGGAAGCGTGCGGACAGTGCCCTGAACGATCGCGATACGAGGCTCGTGTGGAGGAGGTCTTCGCGATGGAGCAAGGAGAGAATCATGGAGATGAGTTCGGGTGCGAGCATGTCGTGCATTGGTGGCATCGTCGTCGGTACTCTGTCGCACGACGGACTGGAGCCAGCCTTAATCGAGCTCATTCAGGCAGACCACTGCAGTGAATCGTAATTCAGCTTGAGTCACCGTGATCCATTGTACACCTGAGCCTCTATGGTCTCCCTTGGCAACTGGGTTCCGGATCAAACACTTTTGTTCAACCAAAACTTGTGTGTTGCAGCTGCAATCATCCATTCGCGAAAAAGGAGATCCAAGACCGGGCTAGACCGGGAAGCTCCGAGTCCGAGTCGGGATCGGACTCGGCTTCTCCGCGGCCTCGGGCTGCCTCGGGCGTCCGTCTCTGTCCGCTTCGTCATCGCAGCACCACTGCCGCCGATCAAAAAAACCCGCCCAGGATGTCCTTCCGATCCGCAGCAACCTCCTTAAGGACCCTGATCCCTACACGGACCCCTATACTCTCTTCCCGCTCCGCCCTTACCCACCGGTCCCCCCTGACAAGGTCTACACCGTCCTTACGTCATGCTTCGTCAGCCGCTTCGACGTCGTCCTCGCATGCGTCATCGTCGTCCTCTTCGATGAGCGGGGTCAAGGCCGGTTCATTGGCTTTGGTCGGCTTGGTCGCTTGGTCCAGTGTGTTCTTCTACGTTGGACAGCAGGGAAAGAAAACCGATCATCGCGTCAAGCATGAGGTCGAGGTCAAGGTCAAGCAGGTCAAGAAGGACGTCAAGGACAAGGCCAAGCAAGTCGGAGCCAAGGCATCCGAGGTCAAGGACAAGGTTGGGGAAAAGGTTGATCATCTCAAGGAGAAGGTTGGGGGAAAGATCGATGAGGCCAAGCAAGGTGATTTTGAGCGGTTGATGCTCGACCAGGTCGCGCCGAGGTCGAATCGAGACTCAATCTCTACTACAGTGGAGCCCCGGGGAGGTTTCAATGGACGTAGAACTATCATGCGGTCTTGAAAAGTATCCAAGTTCCGGTCATACTACGAGGACACAACCTGATTAGCCCTATTATCCTTTGCCCCGCTCTCCCTCCTCTAGCCCTTCCCACAAGCACCGACCCTGCTTCCGATCGACCGGACCCAGACGACCCCTCCTCCCCGCAATCCGCCGCCTACGACCCCGAAACCGGTGAAATCAACTGGGACTGCCCCTGCCTGGGCGGCATGGCCGATGGACCCTGTGGACCCGAATTCAAGCTCGCGTTCAGTTGTTTCGTCTATTCCGAGGCCGAACCCAAAGGCGTCGATTGCGTCGAAAAGTTCAGGGGTATGCAGGAATGCTTTAGACAGCATCCGGATATTTATGGGACTGGTGAGTTGTTTCGAGGGACGAATGAAGGCGTTTGTCAGTCGCGGTCGGTTCGAAGGGGAACTGATCTCTCTCATTTGGGGCGTTCGCCAATGTGCACACTTTTCAGATGATGTAGTCGATGAGGATGACGATACATTTGAACTAGTCTCGGCCGCTCAAGAGGCTCTCGACCTCCCGGAGGATGAAGGTGTAAAGCTTTAAACGGGAAGGAGAAAACGAATTGGAGGATGCACGATGCGGCGACGGAGCCAAAGAGTAGAGCCTAACTTTTGTAGCTACTTCAAGGAATGCATGTCCCACTTCAACTTAGATCAGAGACGTCTTCAGTCTTGCACGTTGTAATAGCCCTTTGCTAAGGTTCCTCGGCTCAATTATCATGGAAAGGGATACAAGCCGTCAAGGTCGACGACCGCAGAAGGCGGAGACAATGTGACAGAGGTGATTGCAGGTGGCATCATGTGGGCAATTACTTGAAAACTATTCCCTACTAAGGCCAATCGAAACGAGCATTTTTGACTTACCTATGTACATCCCCTTATGCCACAAGTGCACAGAACGCAGTATTCGCAACCAAGTTCGCCCTTGAACCTGCGCACATGAATGCCAGCGTGTCAGTTATAACACTCCTCAGCAACCATATCATGTAAATCGCGGGTCTCATTTCGCGCAAAGCCTTCTTCAGCGGACACGCCACCGTAGAAAAGGAAGATCCCTCAGATAAAATAGTTTGAAGAAGTTGTGTCTCGTCAACGAAAGAGTGACGCCCATCCCGCGAAGGATGGAGGCCCTTTTCTTAGTTTGTTGAGCTTGTTATTTTGTCATCAATGGGGATGGATGGTCCAAGGTAGAAAAGAGGGTGGCTCTGGTGCGTAGGGCAAAGAGAAGGACTCACCGCCAGAAAGACGTCAGGAACCTCGTAATGGCCTGGTGGAGCGATAGGCCAGCCACGAACGAGGAGGGGAGGAAAAAGTGAGGGCTGCGAACACGACGAAGGCGGGTTTGGGGAACAGCACGCTCAGTCGGTGACGGGGAGAACGGGACTCGTGATTCAGGCAGTAGCTGATTATGATGGTAGAACAATGATGCGAAAGAGAGTCGGACGGGCGGAAGGGGTCGGCATGAGAAAGTGGTGGGGCATGGGGAGAGGGACAAAAGCGGGAACGCACGACACCTGAGATCAGTGAAAGGACCCACGCTCGGGCCCACACGCTCGACCTCGCTCGACTAACGCGGTTTGCAGGAGCCCCCAAGAGAGATTGGCACACGTATTCTATTCCGTATCTATCCCTCTGCGCGTCATCATGAGACCAAACATCTTGATAAATGAAAATACTCAAAAACATCCCACTCGTTGACTCGAACCCGCTGAGACACATACCCCAAAAGCCAGAAGATGCCAAGAAAACGCACAACACATGTATACTACTTAATTCATAATAACGCTTCATGCAACCCCGCCTTAGACGACCTGAGCAACGTTGACGGTTCCATACTCCTCGGATTTGGAATCGTCCTTCTCGCTATAGTAGCTGCCATCCCTCATACCGCCAAGACCCAATTCGGCGGCCTCACGACCCACGGTGACGGTGTTGGCTTCGTCGTCGGTGATTTCGGGCAAGGGGAACGCCTTGCACAAGAGGACGTAGACGAGCGCAGAAACACCGCAGCCGACGAAGAAGGACAGCTCGTAGATGTGGCGAGCGGCGGGCGCCGCGGGTTTCCCAACGGCACCGATGAAGCCTGAGTAGGAAGCAAGAGAGGACAGAGATCAGTATTTTAGGCCGATGACAACCCACTTGTGGAAATGAATAACATACCAGGCAAGTTGGGGGCGATACCGGCGATGTAAGCCGCGTAAGCACGCAAGTTGAAGCCGTGGTAGTACTCGTACACGCCGTAGCGAACGTAGAGATCATCGATCTTGAGCTTACGGCCGGCGACAATGTAGTAGTGCGAAAGCATGACACCACAGATCGACGAGAGGAAGACCGAGTACGCCGACAGGTACGACGTGAACAGGTTCGAGCTCTCCAACAACTTCCACGGGCACATGCATAGACTGGACGAGGTCGAGGAAGGTTGCATGGGTCAGCTCGAGAACGGGAAGCCGGGGGAGAAGTAGTCCCAAGGTGATTGAAGCACTGACCCGACAATTGCAGCGACGTAACCACCCCGTCGGATGTTGATGAAACGAGGCGCGAGCGAGGTCAAATCGCAACCGGCGGAGAGCGAGTTGGCAGCAATGTTTGTACCGATCTGAGCGATGATGAAACCAATGACAATGAATGCGACACCTGCGCGGGTACCGTGCGAGGCTCCCGGTTCGTCGAGGAAGCGCGTGAGGATGTCGAGAGGGCTCCAGACGAATTCGCCAAAGATGACGGCTGAGCAAAAGAAGGTGTTCGGGAGGGGCGTCAGCGGTGTGCGCCGAAGCCACAGCAACGCCCACGCGAAGCTAGACTCACTGGTCGACGAAGCGATCAGGATACCGAAAAGGGAGACCATCGAGAAGCACACGGGCAATGCGATGAGCTGAGGGACGATGACGGCCTTGGGCGTGTTTGCACGCGAAGCAAAATCAACGGCCTGTTAAGATGCGTATGATTCAAGTCAGCACCTGATCGGAGAAGAGACCTCCCGCCCGAGAAATAAGGAACAAGGAATACCTACGTTGGTGATGAGCGTCGCCATGTTGCTGATGCAAGACATGGTCGAGGCGACAAAGAGCCAGCCAAATTTGGAGCGGTGAATCGTCGTGGGGGCTTTGAGCGCGTCACCAGCACCTCCTGCTCGAGCGATGCACCATCCGAACAGGCCCAACCCGGCGATGGGGGCGACGATAGCCTTGAGGGTGAAGAAGTGACGGATAGTGTGCATTGGCCACCACATGGGGACGAGCGAGATGAGCCAGAACAGGAAGAAGCCGAGCCATTGACCAACGTCGGTCGAGGACAAGGGGGTGTTGGAGAGGTTACGGGTCGAGGGCCAGATCGCGCAGAGGAGGGCGTACGTGCATTCGCCACCGATCCAAGCTTGGACACCCCACCAGATGCAGGCCATGCCGGCGCGGTTGAACACGGGCCAGAGAGCGCCGAGTGTACCGAAGCTGGCCCGGATGTACGCGGGGAAGATGATATGATACTTGGCACCGGCGTAGGCGTTGAGGACCAAGAAGCCGGCGGCGACCGAGTAACCCACCCAAACGGTCAACCAAGCCGCCCACCAACTCATGCCGGATCCGACGATGGAAGACGCGATCATGAACGAGTTGAGATTGAATCTGCGCGAACCATCGAAAGGGGGAGCGGGAAGCGGATGGAGATTTTCGTAGAACGGGGATTTTTAATTTTTTTGGTTCCAAAAATGTCAGCCTCGGGTTACGCTTGCCGACGGGAGGCAGGATTGCACGTCGACTTACGAATCGGCGAGCCAGAAAGTGATGTAGTTCCTATTGATGTTAGCGAAGGATGGGATGGACCACAACGTCAGCCTTTTCCCGCCATGATCGAGCGTGATTGGTAACCGAAAGGAAAGTCTGCCTTGCCCGCTCTACATCGTAGGCCCTTCCCCGGCGGTCACGGAGCTCGGCGCGTGTCAGCGACACCGAGCGCCGTGCCACTCGATGCCGAACTCGAGGATAACACGCGGTAGGTCACGACGTACCAGTTCTTCCACAAGCGTTGCGAAGGGGGGACGGGAAGGAGATCATCGTTGCTATACCACGAGTCACCACCCTCGTGTCCTTCAGGTCGCGAGACTTCGAGTCGTTGGAGGAATCCCATGCTGGACTTGCTGCAGTGAGGACCGAGTTTCGGCAGCGTTCAACCTTCAGGCGAGGGCGGTAGAATGCAACAAAAAGGGAAGGGCCGGAGATGTGTCGCACTGGTAGTAGGCGATCAATCCCAGATAGATGGTTTGGGCCGGGTCTGAGGATAGAGAACGCGATAGATGTGATACGGAAGAGGGAGAGAGGGAGCGATAGAAGGATCTGCTAGCGTTGCGTGTCAAAACTCTTTTTCGCGGGGGAAGAGACTAAAGGGTCGCGCGGCGAAAGCGGAGTTGCTTGCTCGACGGTCGCGGCGCTCGCGGCACACGGCGCCGGAGTCCGATTGATGCGTGCAATCTTGGATCAGGAACCGCTAATTAACGGGTTGCGATAAGCCGGCGTATCAACCCCGCGCTGCCCACGTACCAGTGCTCAAGCAAGGTAATGCGGGGTTGTAGGAGCTGCTTCATAAAGTGCCAAGAGTCCAGCTCCAGCGTTTCTCGGCACTGATATCCGTTGTCAGGGTGTGGCAGCTCGCGCCATAATCACTCGCAGGTTGTCGCCGCCCCGTGGACTCCGCTGTCGCCGCTCGTGATTCTATCTGTGAACACCGGGCGGCGCCAATAGTTTATCGGTATGTATTTGAGATGAGTTCGCCGAGGTAGCCCCTTGAAATAGAGGCCCAGAAACACGGTGCATGGGAGAGGTTGACCATGTCTCAGGAGTGATGACGACGATAACATCCAACCTGAACCCTGTCTTTGCTCAAAATTTCGAGTACAGTGCAGACACGCGCGACCCTTTCAACCAACACTCACAAGCGTTACAGTACCTGTTCATGCTATCACTCCGATCAACATTAACCAGTGTCTTGAAAGAGTTCGCGTTCATTTCGCCATCTCATCGCATCCCATCCCTAATATCACCCACCCCACCTTCTCCTTCACTTCGTGGCCCTCTCCTGTCCTGTTTCAACCGATCGTCGTTGTCGCCATCACCTTTCGATACCTCAAGTGCAACGCGTCGGAAGACGAAATTGGAAGCGAATACTCGAATACTTTGAACAGGGAAGAACTAGTCGTCACAACTCTGCTCGCCGCGACACAACCTCCTCCTGCAGAAAATATTCGACGTATTCAGTAGCCGACCTTGATTCGTTAGAGAACTTCTTCAACGGATGGGACAAAGCCTTTCAAAAACAAAAACAAAATCGAGCTGGGAGGTGAAAGGGCTCACCTACTGTCGCAGTGAACCTTACATTTGATGGGGCACGTATGTGGTTGATTACAGAAATTATAGCAGTGTTGGTTCCTGATGGAAAAAGGAACACTAGTCAGATAATGGCATCGTGAGAATTGTCGATGCAAGTAGCTCCCGGGTTTCGGTCGGGTGGCTGCCGAACGAGCGGCGACGTCGGGTACGTGCTCCCACTACGGTCACTCACGCTTTATCACAAGCGTCACACCCAGCGATATTAGCATTCAAACAATTCTTTCCATCACATTCGCCGCTGGGGCAATTCTCTGGTGTACAGGCGGGGCGGCCGTTCGAATCGGCCCCTTAAACGACGGTGATCGCGAGGGCGAAACCGATGAGGGAGAGGTACATTGCTCTCATCTCGAGCTGGGATTACATTTGAAAGGTTGAGGAACGGAGTGCGGAGTGATGAACAGGAGAGAGAGAGAGAGGCAGAGAGAGATTGACGGCGTGAAGTAGGCATCTGGTCGGATATTGAAACCACCGTTTGGAGCCGTTGGCGTTCGGGCCCGTTGCGGGGGACGTCTTCGTCCGCCCTTGGGTAATTCGGGAATACAGCCGAGTGAGATTGGCTGATATGTAGGGGAGGGGGTTCAACGAGTGCAACTTAAACACGAGTCGCAAACTCCCCATCTCAGGGGTCGATGGCGACGAGTCATCTTGTAAGGTATGCGTCTCTGATGTGCATAAAATACAATCTGTCGTTCTTGACCGCTAGGCTAAAAGCAAGTCGTAACTAGAACTCGACAGTTCTAGCTACTCAGAGGCTACTTATGGGGCTGTTCTGTAAGGCATCCCCTTACACATCTCCGATTCAGTATTCCTGCATTGCCCTGCAGCCCTGAGGTGGCTTGCGCGACGGGCAGCACAATGATGTGGCATTCGATGGATGTGAAAGAGAAGTTAAGTCGAAGTGTTGAAGGTACCCTGTAACATGATCAGCATGAAACCCTGAATGAATACCTCCCCAATGGTCAGTGATGATTCGCCCCTGTTCCCTGCGATCGCCAGCGAACGATTCTGAGTCAAGTTCGGTCCCTCAACAGGAGATAGGGGGTGGGTGGGGGGAGGCCCATTCACCCGAAGCCGGCTCAGTAGAGGAGCGAAGTCGGAAGCTGAACCCCATCAATTCTCGCCTTCAAATCCCGTACCTCTCACGATTCATGATTTTAGTCACAGTAAAACGCCGTGTCAGGCCGCTTAATTGTCGGACCCCTCGGTCTGCCTTGCCATCAGTGGCGTCTTTCGCCTGACATGTACGCCGCGGCGTGAAGTGATAATACCAGCGCCCCCTCAGCTTTTCACACTGCTACAACACCGCACGATGCAAAACGAGACCTATAACGCGGGAATGCGAAGTACGAGATGCAAAGATAAAGATAACAAGATAAAAGACGAACCGCGCATCGAACCGCTCACTCCAATTTCAAGCAGCGACGATCCTAACCCCCCCAAAGGCCTCCCACCCCGCCTTACTCCGCTCTGTAAAACAGCCTACGAAACACCTCGAAAGTGACTCGACGCCGGTCCTTACGACCAACGCATCGACCAATTCGGGACTGAAATTACCCTGCACGAGTAGGAGGTCGATCGTGATCGAGGGGAAGGATTCGTCGAGGATTTTATAATTCGCTTCGAGTTCGGAGGGGATCGAATGGATTGATAGGTAACAGTAGACGAGTTTGACGTGGGAAGTTTCTTCGTTCGAGCGAATGTAGGAAACCATGTCGAAGAGTTTATTGACCTGTGGAAACAAAAACAAAAAAACGACAGGGACCGAGATTAGTGATGTTCTCTGGAGGGAGTCTCGATTGAGGATGAAAGCGCTCACTTCATCAGTCGAAACGAATAACAATACCGGTCCGGTTCTCAACCTCTTCATCCACCCCACAACACTCCTATCCCACCCCCACCTCTTCATCCACCCCGTCTGATCCACAACCCACCAAACGACCTTCATCCCCCGACTCCTCTTACTCAACACGACCAAGCCCAAAATCAACACCGTCGCATAAGCGAAGAAGATGGAGTTTGTCCCAGGGGCGATATAAAGATTACCTCCTACGAAAGTGAGGGTTAGAGAAAGGGCCAGAAGGTTGAGCCATAGGGACGCCCGGGGTGTTCGAGGGAGGTAAGGCCGATGATAGGAGGCGAGGAGGGACGCAATCGGGTAGAGAGCCATTATGGATAGGAACACGATGGCGAATATTCCGGATAGGATGGGGAGACTGGCACCTGTTGAGGCGTAAACGACGAGACAACCGATGCAGAAGAAGGTCAAGGCGACCCAGGGTGCTCCAGTTCGAGGAAGGCGGTGGAGGAGGAAGCGGGGGAAAAGACCGTCTTCTGCGATGCGGCAGAGCAAGGCATCGGCCGATACGATGCCACTCAAGACCGTTGCGCCCAAGATGAGCACCGCGTCGACGGAAATCCAGAGGCTGAGCCAACGACCGCATGCACGCGAGGCGACGGACTTGAGCACGCTGTCGACGCCGAGGATGTCGTCGAGGGGGAGGACGGCCAAGGTGACGAGCATCAAGGGCGCATTGATCCACACCGCGATGACTTGGAGCGAGGTCAACACTGTCGGGTAGCACCCTTTGCGGACCGAAGATATGTAGTCCGGCGCGGTCTCGAAGCTGTGCGCCAATTGAGATCCCAAGAATCGTCAGTTTCGACGCCGAAGAAACGATTGCCCGACGGTCGCTTACCCAGTCACACCGAGGAACGCGACACAGACACCAAGGAATATTTGCTTCACGACCTGACCTGCACCAACGGCTTGATGATCAATCCAGTTCGATCGCAAGACCCCGTTACCCTCCTTGGCCCAATGGACGATCCCGAACAAGGCCAACATGGCCAGCGTCAAGAGCTGTGATGCGCGATTCATCAGTGAGGGCTGGGCTTCTCAACTTGCTAAAGGAGCACTGACGCACATGGAATATCAGAATCGCGGTCGTGACCTCTGCTGATCCCTTGACTCCACTCAAAGCGATCAAAGTGACCGCAATGATGAGGATCACCGTCATCCAAGGCACGTTCCATTCGACTGGAATATACGCCGCTCCCGTCGCGGCTCCAACGACGGCGGTGCATACGTCGTCGAGGAGGGTCAAGGCGCAGGCTACGATGGCGAAGGTTTTCGTTGTGGACGAGTTGAGCATGTAGATGTAGTTGGACCCGTCGATGGGGAACGCGGAAGCGAGTTCGATCATGATGGGGCGCCAGACGGACAAGAGCAACGTCGCGATCAGAAGAGAGATAGGGGAGCTGAGGGGAGAATCAACCGATCTCAGCAAAGGTGCGGGAGGTGACATGTTCGATGCGGTACTTACTATATACTCGCGACCCCTACCAGCGTCGGAAAAGCATACAACGGGCTGCCCGCCACGGCGACGCCAGCAACCCCACTCGCGGACCACTTGCCCAAACTGTTCTCGCCATCCCGATCCATCTGAGCCGTCCTCTGCTTGCGAGCTCGTTCGGTCTCGTCGTTCGTTATTTCGAGGAATTCGACTTGGCCCCATCCGACGAAATCGAATTCGCGAATCACCTTGGGAGCATGTTCGGTTGCTTCACCTGGGGGATGTGCGAGGTCGGGATCGCCTGGGTGGTGCGTGGCTTGATCGCCTACTCCAGGTTGGCGCAAGTATCGAGGCGGCAACTTGAGTTCCCCCTTTCCCGTTCTGGCCCGTTGTCGTCGTACTATGGTCTCGTATTGCGAGTGCATGTACGATGGCGTCCTGCCGTGACCATGACCGCCGCCAGCTCGAGGGACGGGACTCGATCGTTGAGCAACGAGCTCGACATCGTCGTCACGGGTTGAGGTGGAGGGGAAACGGGCAAAGTCGAGCGGGGGTGGGGTGTCGACGGGCTCGAGTTCGGGCATCAGGGCTTGGTCGTCATCTAGTTTAGGATCGGGGGAGGATTCGATCTTGGCTTTGGCCATCGTGGTCGTGCGACCGGTCCAGAGACGGAGGGACGGAGAGGTGTGGGAGGCGCGTGATCCGAACTTGATGAGGCGTTCCTTCCTCACGATGGGAGGTAGAGTGTTTGGATGTGGCGGTTGTGTTGGGTGTCGGTGCCACCAAGTGGCGCACTCCTAGCCAGTCCGACGCAGATACGCGACAACTTGAAAGGCGCGAGGGAGAGGTGGTGGCGCTACTACTTTGACGAGTTCGAGCTGTACAAGACAAGCTCAAACCGACCACCTCCTTTGACGATGGCCGAAACCCTTGAACGACGACTGGACGATGATGATGATGATGATGATGGTTGCCGACGACTCGACGACGAGTGAAGAAGTGTTTGGCTGTGCGAAAGGGGTAACTGGAATTCGAATTTCGATTCTAAATGAACGACCCTTCGCGGTAACCGCATCGATAATCGCATCGAGCTGCGCCGGCCTCCACTTGTTCACTTGTTGGCCACTTGTCAGCGCTTTCAGCTTTCCCCCCCCCCCCCCCCCCCCCCCGCGCCTGTGCCTGCGCCTGTCTCTGTGCCTGCGCCTGTGCCATGCGCTGCCCTGCCAGGCGCTGCTGCCTCACACTCTCCGTCCGACACTCTTCCACTCTTTGTCCCCCCCCCCCTCACCCCGCCGCCCCGCCGCCCCGCCGCCCCGCCGCCCCGCCGCCCCGCCGCCCCGCCGCCCTCCGTTCCTCCCTCCTCCCACCTCCCTCCTCCATCCCCACAGGCCGCCTCCTCACGCGGCAACCGACCGATGCTCACCACCACCACACCGTGGTGGTCGCCCGTCTGTGCGGGCGCACCCTTCTCCGCGGACGACTGGGATCTGTCCCCCTGCGTCGAGTCGGAGCTGAGCATCCTCCCCGTGCTCTTGCTCGTCCTGACCGGAGCGATCGCCTTCCCTCGTCTGTGGAGACTCTACCGAGCAGGGGAGAGGTACGAACGAGGTGGCAAGCCCGCATACGCTCTCAAGCAGGTGCGTGATGGGGCGTCGTTCGCGGCCAATCTTGAGCCGGCTAACTCGGATCTGTCCGTCGCTCGTTTCAAATCGCGTCGATCGTACATGGATGCGCCCTCCACTGCCGCCCTCCGCGCCGATCGCGCTCGTGCGCTCGTTCCACAGCTCCTGGCCACCGTCCTGATCGGGGTCCAGGTCGCGTACATCATCGTGCTCGCACTGCACCACACCCATGACCGTACTCGCAAGCTCAAGATCGCGTTCGGCGGCGTCAGCCTACTCGCCCACGTCAGTTCTCATCCGCGTCCGATCCCGATCGCAGAGCAAGGCTGACCCCCCGACCAGTGTGACCCGTTTCCGTACTCAGATCTTTGCGCTCGTCTTGGCCAAGGTTTCGCATCCTCTCCTACCGCATTCGTCGACGCCGATCCTCTGCTTCACCCTCACCTCGTTGACCCTACAACTCGTCGTCCTGCGCACGACCTTGCTGCTCGAGGGTCAACCGGCGCACTACCACTCCTCAACCAAGTTGGCGCTCTTTGTCCTCTTGATCCTCAAAATCGTCTTTCTCGCATCGTGGTTCGCCGTCGAGCTCTTGGGTCCAAACGGATGGGAAGGCATGAGCTGGCGCGACTTGGTCCCCTTTGCCGGATCGAGCCAAGGGCGAATTCGTTTGGCCGAACAAGGTGACCAAGAGACGACTCGCGAGGCGCACGAGACGAATGATCACGAGAGGGAGTGGAAGCAGACCGAATGCCCGAGATTGAGGGCCAACATCTTTCAGCGGTTGACGTTCTCTTGGATGACGCCCATGATGAAGGCCGGATATCATACATTTTTGACCGAGGAGGATTTGTGGGCTCTGCCTGTGAGTCATGTATGGGCAGTGGCGATTTCGTAGAGGGGCATGGAACTGACTTTTCGATCGTCACTTAACAGCCCGACGACACGGCCGAAGCCCTGGGCCGCAAGCTCGAAACGGCATGGAAGAAGCGCTGCAAGGCCGCCTCGGAAAAGACAGCCGCCAAATCCCACAACGACAAGAGCAAGCCCGTCAAGCCCTCGCTCGCCGGTGCCTTGATCGCTTCGTACGGTGGACCCTTCTTCTCCGCCGCGCTCTTCAAGTTGCTCCAGGACACGCTCTCCTTCACCCAGCCTCAACTCTTGCGTCGCTTGTTGCGCTTCGTCGAGACCTACAAGACCGATACACCTGAACCCCCGTTCCACGGTTACATCATCGCGTTGGGCATGTTCGTCTGTGCCGTTGCCCAAACGAGTTTGTTGCACTGCTACTTTGCTCGTGTCTTCGAAACGGGCATGCGCGTTCGAGCAGGCTTGGTCTCCCTCATTTACAAAAAGTCGTTGGTGCTTTCGAATGATGAGAGGGGCGGGAGGTCGACGGGTGATATTGTCAATTTGATGAGTACCGATGCGACGAGGTTGCAGGACTTTACGACGTATGGTCAGATCGCTTGGAGTGGGATGTACCAAATGACGCTTGCGTTCATCAGCTTGTACCAACTCTTGGGTCAGTCCATGCGGGATGCAAAGACGAAGGCCGAGTCAAGGCACGGTCAATGCTTACTCTGGTGACGTGTCTGGCTCACAGGATTCACCATGCTCGTCGGTGTCGCCGTGATGGTCCTCAGCATGCCCTTGACCGCCTCAATCGCGAGGTACCAAACCAAGTTGCAGCGCCAGCAGATGAAGAACAAGGACAAGCGCACGTCCATCATGTCCGAGATCCTCAACAACATCAGATCGATCAAGCTGTATGCGTGGGAGGACTCTTTTGCGGCCAAGTTGTTTGATGTGCGCAATAATCGCGAGTTGGTGCAGTTGCGCAAGATGGTGAGCATTCCAAGACGGAGCAAGTGTAAATTAAGTTTACAACTACAGGAGCTGACCACGCTGTGGATGTCTGGCAGGGATACCTCTCTTCGGCTTCGACCTGCCTCTGGTCCTTTACGCCCTTCCTCGTCGCCTTTTCGTCGTTCTCGCTCTTCTCGACCATCTCGGGCAAGCCCTTGACGGCCGAGATCGTTTTCCCCGCCATCACGCTCTTCTCCCTGCTCGGTTTCCCGCTCGCGGTCCTCCCCGTCGTCTTCTCCTCCATGGTTGAGGCCTACGTCTCGGTCGGTCGATTGCGCGACTTCTTGACCGGCAAAGAACTTCAAGACGGTGCGGTCAAGATCGAGAACTTGTCGCGTTCGCGTACGTTCCAAACCGGTGACGAACTCGTCTCGGTCGTTCGCGGCGAATTCGCGTGGAACTCCAAATCGTCGACCGAATCGATCTTGTCCGACATCAACCTCAGCGTCAAGAAGGGCGAGTTGCTCGCCGTCGTAGGTCGTGTCGGATCGGGCAAGTCCTCGCTCTTGTCCGCGATCCTGGGTGAAATGACCAAGGTCGAGGGATCCGTCACCGTACGTGGAACGGTCGCTTACTGCGCTCAACAACCTTGGATCATGGGCGGTTCGGTTCGTAGCAACATCGTCTTTGGCCACAAATTCGAACAAGACTTTTACGACGTCGTTATCGCCGCTTGTGCGCTCAAGGAGGATCTGGCGATCTTGCCTCAAGGTGACGAGACCGAGGTCGGGGAGAAGGGGATCTCATTATCGGGCGGTCAAAAGGCGCGAGTGGCGCTCGCTCGTGCCGTCTACGCCCGTGCGGACGTCTACCTCCTCGACGACCCACTCTCCGCCGTCGATGCCCACGTCGCCAAACATCTCTTCGACAAGGTGCTCGGTCCTACCGGTTTGTTGTCCCAAAAAGCTCGTTTGTTGTGCACGAACGCGATTCCGTTTTGCCAAGAAGCCGACGAACTTGTCTTTTTGCGTCGTGGGATCATCCTCGAACGAGGGACGTACGCCTCGGCAATTCAAGGTGATACGGAACTATCGAGGCTCTTGATCGATTTCGGTAAACAGAACCAAGATGACGAGGAAGGCGAAGGTTCGGGAAGTGAGGATACGGCCGTTGAAGAACCCAAGAAACACGAATTGACGGAATTGTCGACCGAGTTGAAACGCAAGGCCAATGAGGCTCTTAGTCATCGTGCGGAACCTGTTCCGGTGTTGGAACAGAAACGCGAGACGTTGCGCTTGTTGAAGCGCTCTACCAGACCCAAGGAGAAGAGGGAACAGGGTGCCGTCAAGGTCAGCGTTTACAAGGAATACATCAAGGCCAATGGATATCTCGGAGTAGGCTTGTACATGTCCACGATCGTGCTTCAACAGGTTCTACAGATCGGGACCAACGTCTGGCTCAAGAACTGGGCCCAACATAATTCCGAAACGGGCGAGAACGGCAACTTGACCTGGTACCTCGGCATCTACGCCGTCTTTGGCGTCGGCGCCAGTTTGGCGTACCTGTTGAACGGGTTGTTGTTGTACTCGTTCTGCGTCGTAAGGGCCGCCAAGTTGATGCATGATCGTATGTTCAATGCGGTGATGAGGTCACCGATGTTGTTCTTTGAGACGACGCCGTTGGGCACGATCTTGAACAGGTTCTCACGAGGTGAGCATTTGCGGAAGGGCGCTGGCATACGCTGGAGCCGACTGACAGGATTTTGTACGATGTTGCTGCTGTAGATGTCTACGTCGTCGACGAGGTCCTCGCGCGCGTCTTTGGTGGCTTCTTCCGTACGGCCGCGAGTGTGATCGGCATGGTCGCCGTCATCTCGACCGCCGCCCCGGCGTTCCTCTTCATCCTTGTCCCGATCGGTTTCATCTACAAGCGCGTACAGACGTATTACCTCGCCACCTCGCGCGAGTTGAAACGTCTTGACGCGACGACCAAGTCCCCGATCTTTGCTTCCTTCCAAGAGACCTTGGGCGGCGTCGCGACCATTCGTGCCTACCGTCAATCGGCGCGCTTCATCGCCGAGAACGAGGCGCGCGTCGATCGAAACCAGGAGGCCTACTTCCCTTCAATCAACTGCAACCGCTGGCTCGCTGTACGCCTCGAATTTTTGGGTTCCAACATCATCTTCTTTACCGCCTTGTTGTGCGTCGTCGCGCTCGTTCGTAACCGCAACGTCGACGCGGGGTTGATTGGAATCGCGTTGTCGTACGCTCTGTCGACGACCCAAACGCTCAACTGGATCGTACGTTCCGCGACCGAGGTCGAGACGAACATCGTCTCGGTCGAGCGCGTGCAAGAGTACATCGAACTCAAGCCCGAAGCGCCTCTGTACATCCAAAACACCGAACCCGACGCGTCGTGGCCCCAATCAGGTTCATTGGCGTACGACCACATCGCCGCTCGGTACCGCGAGAACCTCGATCTCGTCCTTCGTGACGTCTCGTTCGAGATCAAGGGCGGTGAGAAAGTCGGCGTGTGCGGTCGAACCGGTTCGGGCAAGTCGACGTTGACGATGGTCTTATACCGCGTCATCGAGGCCGAACAAGGTGTCGTTTCCATCGACGGTGTGGACGTTTCCAAAATCGGCTTACATTGCCTCCGTTCGAGGATGAGCATCATCCCTCAGGACTCGCAATGCTTCGAAGGCAACTTGAGGGAGAATCTCGACCCCGCGGGTAAAAGCAGTGATAGTCAACTGTGGGCGGCGTTGGAACAATGTCGATTGAAGGAACACGTCGAATCGATGGAGGGTAAACTCGAGGCGCACATCGACGAGGGAGGAAGTAACCTTTCTTCTGGGCAGAGGCAATTGTTATGCCTCGGTCGTGCGTTATTACGCAAGAGCAAGATCCTCGTTTTGGACGAAGCCACAGCCGCCGTCGATCCTGAGTCCGATCAAGAGATCCAATCCGTCATTCGTCGCGAATTCGCCGATTGCACCATCTTCGTCATCGCTCATCGTCTCAATACCATCTTGGATTGTAACAAGATCATTTGTATGGACGCCGGGAGGGTCGCAGAGTTCGATACGCCCGCGAACTTGTTGGCCGATCCGAGCTCGATGTTTTATTCGTTGGCGAATGAGGCGGGCGTGATCAAAGGGAGTAAAAGTGGGAGTGCGACGCCTAGGTCCGGGACGAGGACGCCGGTGAGGAAGGATTAGGAGGGGAAATTAGAAAAGGAGAGTGAGAGGGATGGTGTGTGGGGTGGGTCATTTTACTGACTCCGCTTGGCCCGCACCCCGCCCCCAACGAGGAAGTGGATTAGAATCAGCCCGAGGCTTTTTGAATGCAATCGAATCGCAAAACGTGTAGACTTTGTATTACAGCTCACGTGCCACTTCGAACTCTTTAAGATGGGTCTGTTGGGACAAAGATGTCTCCTAACAGCGCTCTTTGGTCTCGGATGAAGCGGATTGATAATCTGCCGATTACGCCTTGCGGCTTAGGTGACCTAAGACGGTTTTACTTCCTCCCGACTTTGGACATCGAGAAATGCATCCCTACATTATATTCAGGGTTTCCGAAAATTTCTAAACGTATTTCGCAATGTTATTCTAGCTCGTGAGTACCATGAACTGACTGTAGAGGTAGCTATTGAATATCCAAAACGCTCGACTTAAGCCCGGCCGACATAGGCCGACATCAGCCAAGACTCAAGAGCCTCTCGATCGACCTCAAGGAGAGAGCGCGCTAGCTAATACGGACCGCTTTCGTCTCTGATTCGCCACGAGTCTCGAGAGGAGATAGTGTGCTCGATCCTTTCGTCACCTCATCCCCTTGTTCCATCGGGTGATCTGGGGGTCAGGGGAGAGCCACCTAGTGACAGGAGCGAGACGAAGACCAGCGCCAGTATCAGCTCGTGGTCAGTGTAAGGGGACCTTTACAGTCAGGGTCGTGATGAGTTCGGTCGCGGGCGGTGGACCACCCCTATTCACTCACTCAGCAAGCAGCAGTAGCATCGATCGTCCTCCCGAGGCGAGTACTTCATCCTCCGCTTTATCAAATCAGCATGACAGGAAGCGTCCTAGGGCAAGTACGTCCAAGATGCCGCAAGAGCCAACTCTTCGGCATCCACATCACCAACAGCAGCAGCAGCAACAGCAACGCGCGGGTTCGGGCGGGCACGATGAAGATAAAGTGATGGCTAATGGAGGCGAGGAGGAGGAGAATATACGCAAGAGGAGACTGGCACTTTCTTGTGAGTTGATGTGGGGCATGCCGTATTCGAGCTTCGATTTCGTTGACCGGGTTTCCATACGGTGGGCAGGCTCCGAGTGCCAGCGCCGAAAGATCAAATGTGTGAGTGGCCAAAGACCATCCTGTCCTCAGAGACTTTATCAGCACTTCCACTGACGGTTCTTTTCCCCTTCTCGCTCTCAGGACCGAAAACAACCTTGTTCGGCGTGCATCCGACGCAAAGTCGCGCACAACTGCAACTGGGACGACGACCCGGACTCGTCAGGACAATTCGCGCTCAACTCGGACGTGCGCCACATTCATCGTCGTTTGGCTCATTTGGAATCTTTGGTCCAAGGATTTCACCCTGAAGCTGTGTTATTACCGAATTTGAATGACTCTACGAGTGCGAGTGCGATGGTCCTGGGGGCTGCGATGGATTCACAAGGGACTCGGAGAGCGGCGACAAATCCTTTGACCTCGGAACCGAATTCACCCCGGACCTCGAGACGCTCGTCGCAAGCCATACGCGAATCGGATGCGCAACACCGATCCCAACAAACGGCACGCCAAAGCGAAGACCAAGAAACTCGTCAGGATCCCCATTCCGATACCGAGGATGCGGTCGCCGATCTCGAATCCGTCGCATTTGGCGCCCGAGTCCCCGTCCTGCAAGCCGTCAACGCCGCCGCAGAAATGAACGCCAGTCGACCCGTCCAATCCCGCGTCGGGATCGAACTCACAAGCGCTTTAACGAGCATCATCGCGGAACCTTTGTCGTACGACCAGGATGGGCGCCCTAGGAGTGCGGTGAGGTTGGGTTTGGATCTAGCGGTGCCGACGAAGCAGTTGCCCGATGCGAGGAGTGAAGCGATGGCGCAGATCTTTGCAGTCTTGCCCGGGAAGGAGATTGCGAGGTTCTTGATTGACAAATATTTTGATGAGGTATGTTACTGTGTCACCCTCAGTTAGTACTGGTGCTGATGTATTCTGTTGCATCGCTCAGATGGAGTGGGATTTTCGCATTCTCGACCCCGTCGCTTTCCCTATCGAGCACGAACGCTACGTCGAGATGATCGCGGAGGGGAGGGAAGACTCGATCGACCCACTCTGGGTCGCGGTCTTTTGTATGGCAAGTCTACTGGGCTTTCGATTCCGTCGTTAAGCCCGCCCGAGCTAACTCGGAATCCTCGGACTACTTGCCGCAGGTTCTCGCATTGTCTTTGGAAGGGTTTTGGTCTCGCTCGAATGGCAAAAAGGATCTCTCGCTTTTTCATGGTCTGACCGAACGGGAGTTGCAGGACCTACCTTCCGTCTTTCACGATGCGTCGTTACGGGCTCTACAGCTCGGTGAATGGGGTGGCACACCGAGGATCCGTACGATCCAGACCATCATCCTTTTTGGGCAGTACATCCAGCTCTCGTCGCAATCGGGTCAGCAAGGCCGCTTTCTCGGCTGGGCCGCAAGTGGGATCAGGATCGCCCAACGCATGGGGCTACATCGGCTCGGGTCCAATCCTCGCACAATGCCACCCGACGATCCTGCCCTTCCCCCCGGTGTCAACTCGCTCAAGCGCGAGACAGCCGTTCGAGTGTTCAACTACCTCGTTCTCATCGATTCGTTCCTGAGCGATTCGGCCGTCTTCAGATGCTACATCCTTCATCCGTCACAATACAACACGTGTCGACCTCTAAACCTCAACTTTGACGATTTGTCAAGAACCGAATGGAGGACCATCACCCCTCCCCCGAAGAACGTCTACACCGATGCGAGCTTTGAGATCGCGCAATGCGAGTTGGGGGCTCAAGTCCGTCGAGTGCTGGACGAGTTGGTCCTTTCGGGGAAACCTTTTTCGTACTCGGCCGTCATGGAGCAGGATGCTTTGTTCCGTCGTGTGTTTGAGGGACTGCCAGACGTGCTGTCGACAGCGAACCCTCCCGTCGAGTCGGTGCAGATAAGGTATCAGAGGTCGCTGTTGCACGAAGACGTCTACGCCCGACTGGTGCGCCTGCATCGACCTTTCCTCTTGCGTGGGTACGGCCCGACCTCGCCTTACCGCTACTCAACGAGCTCGTGCGTCGACGCATCAAGATCCATCATCCGATCCAACTATGACCTCCTGAGCATTACAGGCTCCTTATGGTGGATGTTCACCTCTTCGATGCGCGCAACGATCGTGTGCTTCATGGATCTCTTTCATGCGATCGATACCGATCGACCCGAAGTTGAGATCAAGGAGAAACGAGCGGTGTTAATGCAAGCTTCCGTCATCTTCGCGACTCAGGTTCATTCGCCTGCGCTTCAGGCGGTCGTGGAACAAGGTCGTCGGATCCTGAGTGGTCTTTTCGCAGCGGAGGAGAATCGACGAACGACATTGGCGGCGCATACACTAGCAGGAGGTGGAGTCGCTCCTGCCCAGGAAACCTTTGCGCAGGTGTTGAAGAGGGTCTCTAACGAAATAGCAAGGGAGGAAAGGGCGCTGTTTGCAGCTACGTCGAACCATCTCCCTCCTTCACCTTTCCCACCTCCTTCTTCCGCCTCGTCTTCAGCGACGTCGGCGCCGTTCGTCACGCATCAATTGGCGTACGGGGCGCCTGCTGCAGATCCAGGGGCGTTCGAATATTGGAGCTCGATGAATCACGTCAACTCCAACTTCCCCAACAATCAACAACAAGGTGGCAACTCCGCCTCCCCTTCGATGAGTAGCTACGTGCGCACACCGACGAGTTTCCCCCTCGTCGGAGGACCGGTGGGTACTAGTTCAGCGACGGCGATCAATGGGCAAGATTTCGCGAGCTTTTTCGAGACGTTGGCGAGTAAGGATTGGGCCAATGCTGCAGGTTTGAATGGGAGTGATGGCGGCCAGGAGAGTGGGCTTTTGGGACAGATGGCGGCAACTTGGTGAGCGGGTGAGTGGGTGAAGCATTTTTGCATTCCATCCAGGATGGGTTGGCAAGGGGGAGTTTGAGTTTTGTGAATTACCTGTTTCATGTTGTTGGGAATACAAAAGACGTGATTTTTGTGTAGACGTCGTTTTAGTGTTTTAGTGAGCAATGATCATAGAATGATGACCCGTTCGCTCAAATGGGCAAAGGGCGAAACGGCCCCGAATACTGGAGGCGAGCGACGGGAAGCAGCTTCCGTAGCACCCCTTCGATAACCTTGTCGAGTAGGGGCAAACCCACCTTCAAGCTATCGTTTCCTGACTTTTGCAACTCACCCTTGGACGGTCCATATTAAAGGTGAACTAGAAAACCTGCGCGGCGCCGTCGGCCGGAATTCGGGATCGTACCCTCCGGGCGAGCGTTAAGTTATCTAATAAGGGGCACGAACCGGGTCCCTGAAGGGTTACCAACCGCTTTGCGTAGGGCGTATTAAGGTTTGGCAATTTATCATGAACCCTCCCTTCCCCCCGGCTGTCGGATTCCGCGCGCGCACCGAAGAAAGCCGGTGGGCCTTGTGGTGCCCGAGAGGGATTGGTGAAGCTCGAAGGTTGAAGCTGATTGTGAGGGCCAGACGCAATTTGAAATTGCGAATAAAGAGAAAACGAGAGCTATCCGGGCGTAAGGCCATCCTGCGCGCGGATCCGAAATTGGAAAGGCCTAGGGTGACGTTGAGGTCGGAGCGAGGTGACGGCGGCCTTACACTGAGTGTCGAGTGTGGGGCCTGCCACTCGTTGCGTTCCTCCGCTCTGTACTTGATCTCATCTCAACCCTAGCACTCGACTTCCATTATGCCTGCTCATATCACCGTCCATTGGTGGGTCTGAACAATCCAGTCTGCTCGCAAAACGCGGTCTTTACGCGACTGACATGTGATTGACGTCACGAACGCCTCCCTCCTCCCACACCCCCCCCCCCCCCCCCTCATTTCGTTCCATCTCGTCGGCGTCGGCTTTAGGCTCGAGAACTCGCGCGGGCAACGGATTCTGTGGTTATTGGAGGAGGTCAGTCGAGGCACATCTCGTTTGAGGTTGCGAATCTGAGTGAAAATGAGTTGAACGGAGACCTGCCATGTCCTCAGCTCGGCCTCGAGTACACGGTAAAGGAGTACAAGCGGGATGCCAAGACGATGCTTGCTGGTGCGGACCTTCGCAAGGTCCACCCTCTTGGAAAGGCAAGTCATCTTTCTTATACGTTGTGCCCAAACGGGATCGCATCGAACGAATGCCTCATTTCCTAACCTCCCACCCGCGCCACTTCCTCATCAGTCGCCCGTCGTTGAAATCCAAGAAGACGGTCACGATACTTTGACCCTCGCCGAATCAGGAGCGATCGTCGAATACCTCATCGAAAGATTCGGCAACGACAAGCTCGGTTATGCACCTGGATCAGACGCACAAAAGAGGAGCCAGTACTTGTATTGGTTGCATTGGGCCGAGGTGAGTGGGCTGAGTTCTTGGAGCTTAGGATGGCGGGTGACCGAGACAGTGTAAAGCGATGGGACAAGGGAAAGGAGTGTTGAATTTCTCATGCTTCATGCATATGTCATCTTTAGGGCTCAGCGATGCTTCCCCTCATGCTCGCAATGTGAGTGCCGCCCGCGCCTCTGTCAGAGCAGTCTGTTCGCTTCCCGGTCTTCGACACTGATCGTCCTCTCCTCATGTTTCTCACAGCATCTGCGCCCAAATGCCCAAACAAGCACCCTGGATTGCGAAACCGATCGTCTCGATCGTCGCGTCACAGTTGATGGCGATCATGGTCAAGCCTCGCCTCAAGGAAAACTTTGGCTTTGTCGAATCGCACCTCGCCGACAAGCAGTTCTTTGTCGGGGATTCGTTGACCGGTTCGGACAGTACGTCACCTTTCTAGCAACCGTTGGGAGGCATATACGCTGATCGGAAAATCCCTTTCGATTTTTTTAACTCGCAGTCATGATGATCTTCCCCTGCGAAGGCCTCGCGGCCTCACCGTTGTGGGATTCCCACCCCAACATCAAGAAGTGGTTCGAAGCGATGGAGGCCCGACCCGCTTACAAGAGGGCGTTAGAACGAGGTGCGGCTAATAACCTTGCGGCTTTCACTAAGTAGAGAGTTAGGTGGGGGAGAAGCTGCCGCGTTGCTCTGAGGCTCTCAGTGGGGAGAATTCGATAATTGTTTTGGGGGAGGGTCGAGTCTGTCGTTCGTGATATTGCACATGTTCCAAAGTAATTCGAAGATCATGGAACGCAAAGGAGGGAAGACAATCCTCTTCCGAACAACACTTTGACAAGCCCTGGGATCTCCATCGACGAGGAAGTGCGTTCGAGTTGAGTCAGAATAGGAGGAGGACAACGGGGTGGTGTTTCAGTCTGGATCACCCAACCGCAAGGTCGATTGCTTGCACCTACGTGAATGCAATAAGAGACTGACGAGCGTGTAATCCAACCGTCAGTTAATTGCAACGAAAGTGGCTGTGAAGCTAAACATGCGTACCTGACGAGCGTGTAATCCAACCGTGGAGAGAAGACAACGGTTGGTGCGCATCGCCAGGCTTCACTAAACAGACGAGCGCTTCTAAACAGATTACCAAAGAACGCGCGGTTCCTAACCCTCATTCCCAACACACCAACTCGCCCCTTCACGCGATGAATCGATAAGCCCCATCGCGTGTACAAACTGATAGTGCTTCTGAGTCCCGAGCCCTTTGGTGAGGACGTCCGCAGCCATGGTGCCCGTGGGCACCCAGACCATCTCGATTGTGCCCTCCGCAATGTGATCTCGGATGAAGTGGAAATGGATCCCGATGTGTTTGGTGCGAGCATGGAAAGCCGGGTGCTTGGCCAGAGTGATAGCCGATTGATTGTCACCCCTCAGACGAGTTGGCGATGTCTGCTCAAAACCAAGATCGGCCAGCAGCCGACGCAACCAGATCCCCTCACGAGCAGCGTACGACATGGCCACATATTCGGCCTCGGTGCTCGACAGAGTGACAAGAGTCTGACGTTTGGCGATCCAGGAGATTGCCCCGCCAGCGCACGTGAAGACGTAACCCGAGACGCTGCGGCGGGTCACAGGGTCGGCACCATGGTCCGCGTCGACAAAACCCTCCAAAATGGCTGACATCGGCTGATGGGTTTTCTGGTATCGAATGCCAAAGTTACGAGTGCCGACGAGGTACCGGAGAATGTGCTTGAGCGCCTCCCAATGTTCCGCCTCGAAGTTGTTACAGAAACGAGCAGCCTTGGACACGGCGAAAGCGATGTCGGGCCGAGTAGTGCCGGACAGATACAGAAGCTTGCCGACAATGGCACGGTACGGTATGGAAGCGGGGTCGAAATCAGAGTTCACACGGTTCCTCAGCGTCGACGGTGCCGGTGGGGCGCGGGGAGGCGTTGGCCATGTTGTATTCCTCGAGAATCGCATCCACAAAATGAGATTGAGTAACGATGGCCGCACCCGTTTTGCCCTCACGGATTATACTCTGACCCAGGAAGAAAGACGCCTCGTCCGTGCTGCGAGCCTCAAAACGCGCCTTGAGCTGAGTGAGAACGCCGTCGAGGTCGCCGTCACCCGTGAGCAGTCCGTCGTCGACATGGATGGAAAGGAAACAGCGCATGTCCCCTTCCCTGCGAATGAAGACGGCATGATCGCTGTCGGTACGCGTGAAGCCGATCGACAAAATCCACTCGGTGAAGACCTTGTACCACTCCCTACCCGCCTGGACGAGTCCGTACAGCGCGCGCTGAAGGCGCACGACTTGCCCACTGGGCAGGCGCATGTAGATCTCCGTCCCACCGAGATTGCCGTTGAGGTATGCCGACGAGACGTCGAATTGCCGGGTCTCCCACTCGTTCTCAACGGCAAGGGCGAGCAGCAGACGATGGGAGGCGGCGCGGCCAGTAGGCGAGAACGAGTCAATTTGCTCACCACGACGCCTCTGCATGTCCCCACGCGCAACGAGGCGAGCTTTGTACTTTACGATTTTGCCCTCGGCGTCGCGCTTCACCATGAGGACCCACATGCTGCCGATTATGATAGCCCCGTGAGGGGGACGAAGCGGCTTGGAAAATGTTTGCTTCGTCGCCAGTGCGCCCTCCTCGGTCGCCATGGCCGCCAGCCAGTAGTCGCGGAACGGACCAGCGAGTGCCGCGCGAACGGAAGGGGCGTCGTCCTTGTCGACTTTGGCAAGAAAGGCAGTTGCTTCCTCGTACGAGTACAGCTGGACTTCGGGATCGTCCTCGTCAAAGTCCTCGATCGAGACGGAGGCGTGCGCGGCGAACTCCAAGTCGTGAGCCGCGCGGGCGAAACCCAGGTAGTCAGGGGGGCGACGAGCACAAGTGGAACGATCACCCACAGGAGGGGCGTTCGCCGGACCCGGGTTGGAGAACACGAAGGAGGGCGGAAAAGGTGGGGCCACAACGTCGACCGGACCAGCCGCGGGCGGGACGGCAGCGGCGGGGGCAACAGCGGGAGCGGCAGCGACGGCAGGTGCGACGCCCGCAGGATTGACAGTATCGTCGTCGTCAGGGGGAAGGTCGGGAGGAGGAACCCTGCGCGGGGCGGACGGATAGGACAGAACGGCGGGCGCAACAACAGTAGGTACAGGGTTTGCCGCGGCGGGGAAGAAGCGATCTTCGAAGAACTTGGCCTGAGACGACTCGAAGACCTTGTTGCCAACCGGGTCGTAGAAGCGCCAGGCCTTAGAGCGCAAAGAGTACCCGACAAAGTAGCACAGGCGCGAACGCGGAGCCAACTTGTTGGAACGCTGTTCGGGAGCAAACGGTACCTGGGCGGCGCAGCCCCAGGTTTTGACACGATCGATGCGGGGACGACGGGTGGACGTAACGGGACCCGCAGCGGCGTGAAGAACGGCATCAGGGGTGCGCTGCTGCAGAGGCGACGACGGGAGGAGGTTGATAACGTAGATGGCCGCCTGCGCAGCCTCTTCCCACAGCGATGACGGCAGTCCCGAACGATGAAGCCACGCCCGAACAGAGTTGAAAATCGTACGCCAACTCCGCTCCTGTATGCCCATCTGACCGTGCTCGTATGCCGTGGATAGCTCGTGAAAAATGCCCCGCTCAGCAAGCCAATCCCGGAGGTCGTTGTTGACGAACTCACCCCCCCTATCCGTGCGCAAGGTCGCCACTCCCGGGCCAGCGTACTGGATCTTCGACATCGCAACGAAGCCCTTGAGTACGGACGAAGCCTCGCTCTTGAGCCGAATGCCGCGAACCCAGCGAAAACGTGAGTATTCATCCGTGATACCGCACAGATATCGGACGCCGGAGAGAGCAGGGACAGGGGAAGGCCCCCACACGTCGGCGAAGACCCGAGCGAAAGGTGCGTCGGCGGGGTGGTGGGCAGCCTCACGACTGGGGGCAGACACGGCCTTGCCGGAGCAGCAGGCATCGCACTGATCAAGGAGACGAAGTTGATCCCGGGTTACAGCAGAGATGTCGAGGGAAATGTCGCCCGACTTAGCAAGTTCTACCAAACGACCCCAGGACAGATGACCCAAACGCTGATGCCAAAGCACTACATCTGTAGGCAAGGAGGTGGCTGTCAGCGCTTGGTGATCCGCCCGAGGAGGTGAGGCCGGACGCGCCTGGAGAACGTAGTGGTTGCGATCGAGAGCGAAGGTGAGGTTCGAAGCCGGACCCGAGACGGTGAGACCAGAGTGCTCGCCCGCGGCGTTGCAAATCCCAGACAGCTGGTACCCGTCCTTCATGAGACTGGCAAGAGAGACGAGCTCGGCGGACAGACCCGAGACGAGAAGGACGTCGCGGAGCTCGAGAGGCACCCCATTGGCGTCAAAGCGAAGGGTGCCCTTGCCGACAGCCATGGCGCTGGACTTGAATGCGCCGACTACGCGCACACGCTCCGTCGTGAAAGGCTGGAAATCGACCAAGAGATCCCGACGAGTGGTCATGTGGCGCGTCGCCCCCGAGTCGAGGAGGTAGCGGGGACCGTCGTGCAAGTACAGCGCAGAGACTTCGGTGTCAAGGGCGACGTCGGCAAAAAAATTCTCGTAAGAGTCGTCGTCAACCGATGGGTCGGGACCGTACTCAGCCACGAGCGCCATCGCGTCGGCCGCGCCGATGGAGATGTTGTGCTTGGCTAAGACGGCAACCCGACGACGGGACAGTTCGGTCGCGGGGACGGTACATTCGTCGCCAAGATGACCCTGCTCGTAGCATTTCCGACACTGCAACGGGCCCAGCCTCAGGCGACCGTTCTGCGCAACCCCGTGCGGCCACTTGTCCACGAGACCCGGTACCTTTGAAGCCGAGAGAAAACTGGACTTCGGTTTGCCGGACGAACGAGCGGGGCGCCTGCGACGACCCTGAGTCTTCGCCGCGAGGGCTTCGGCGACGTCGGTGCCGGAAGAGCGAGACATCGCCGCGCGACGAATCGCGCCCTCCACATCACTGAGCGACGGGAGAGGGCCGAGGGCGTCGATAACCGTGACAATAGGCCGTGGCATCCTCGCCTTCAAGAGGTCCATGCGGATGCCTTCCGACAACGCAGGCGGCGGAACCCATTTGTCAAACTCAGCTTGCGTGTACTTGACCCCGTCGATCTTGGCGCGCTGGTAAGCCTTGTCGCGGGAAACGTGCGCGGCGTTGAGATCGGTGAACAACCGGTTGAAGTGCGACAACCAAGGGTCGAGAGGGTCTCTGTCGACGTAGGCTTGGTACGAAAACAGGGCATCGAGTTTTTCCGACCGTGCGAAGTCGTGGGATGCGGCGCCGAGATCCTTATCGAGGGCCGCCCACAGCTCGTGCGTTGGCTGATCTGCAATGCGCGCGAACGTGGCCTCCCCCAGGCACACGAACAAGATGTTGCGGGCCTGCGCCAAGGCTTGATCGAGGTCGTCGACGTCATGACGGTAGATCCGATGTTGTGTACGGAACGTGGCTACGTCGGCCACTGTGGAGCCACCTTGCGTACGGGTGAACTCGGACTGTTCGGGCTCTGGGCCAACGCTGAGTTCGGTGGTGACGTGCTTGAACCGGCCATCGCCCTCCAACACCCGTTGGAGTCGATCCTTGGCCGTTCCCCAATTCGTGGCGTCGACGTTGCCATACAAGTCGCCCATAAGGCCGCGATGAATGGCGGACCCGGAATCCACCGTGGTCGTAGCCATCTTGGATATGCGCTGCGTCTTTTCTGCGTGCGGATCTGTGCCTTGCGGCAATACAGACGCTACCAAATAAGAGACTGACGAGCGTGTAATCCAACCGTCAGTTAATTGCAACGAAAGTGGCTGTGAAGCTAAACATGCGTACCTGACGAGCGTGTAATCCAACCGTGGAGAGAAGACAACGGTTGGTGCGCATCGCCAGGCTTCACTAAACAGACGAGCGCTTCTAAACAGATTACCAAAGAACGCGCGGTTCCTAACCCTCATTCCCAACACACCAACTAATGCCAGCCCAAGGGGGTTGTACTTCTGGCTACCCTGCGTTTTGTTATGGTGGTCGATCCAGCATTTGTTAGAATCGCCGAAGACTAGCTGGAATTCAGGACGTAAAGCTTGTAACTTATAAATCAGGCCGAGATCATGCCGATCGTGGAACTCCGACTTACCGTGTAAGGGGATGCCTTACAGAACAGCCCCATAAGTAGCCTCTGAGTAGCTAGAACTGTCGGGTTTTAGTTACGACTTGCTTTTAGCCTAGCGGTCAAGAACGACAGATTGTATATTATGCACATCAGAGGCGCATACCTTACATACCGCGAGTCTACGATGTCTGTAGTTGATGTTTTCTTGGCATGAAGACGAAAATAATTCGCCATGATGTTCGAGTTTCGGCGGACGGGATAGGCGAGATGCTGACCAGGCACCGAAAATGGAGCGGAGTTATTGCGCCGAGCCGATCGAACGTCGATGAAAGACAGGGGGGAGCAATATTCTGTCAGCACGTCCCAAGCGCTCACTGATCAAAACGCGCTCTCGCGTCACGGCCGCCGCGCCGCGCCCGCGCCCCCCCTTCAACGCCTTTCGACGCCTCGCGCGGCGGGGTCGCCTCTCCGCTGGCCTAATCGAGCGCGACTTTAGAAGCTCGAAGCCCGCCTTCGCACCCTGGCCGATCGACTCTTTGCCAGACCCCGCAGACCGAGACCCAATAGCTCGTGGCTCCTGTCTCCTGTCTCCTGTCTCCTGTCTCCTTCATCCAGCTCGGCTTTGCGTTCTTGTCTTTCTTGGACTGCGCGCCCTTGTTCACCTTGGGTCCCTGCCGCGTTTCAACTCGCGCCAACGCCCAACCTCGGGACGCGTTGCGCCCGTTCTCTCTCCTCACCGCGCGCCGTTAGCAGCCGAGGCCGCCGCCGCCGCCTCTTACTCCAATGACGACGATGGCGACCACCGCGACCACAACCTTTACGCCGTTCAAGACGAGCTCATCCGATTCCAACTTGAGCGCGTCTCAAGCGTCTCCCACCACCAGTTCGGTGCAGCAACAGTCGCACCAACAGCAACAGCAACCGCAACCGCAACCGCAACCGGCGCCTCAACCGCCGGCTTCACAGGCCCAGCACCAGCAGCAGCTTCAGCAGGGCGCCGCCGATACGTTCAGCTCGCACCACGCGTCTTCTGCCGCCTCGTCCTCGTCCGCGTCCACCTCGACCACGACCTCGACCACGACCACAGCCACTGCACACACCGTCGCGACGAAATCGGCGAAATCCACACCTCGTTCATCGACGGCTTCGAACCGTACGCCGTCGTCCATCTCGTCCGGGTCGTCGTCATCGGCGATGAAGAGAAGCGAATCCGCCATGTCGTCGGTGTCGACGTCGGCCAAGGAAGAGCGCAAGAGGAAGGACGCGATCGACAAGGTCTTGCAGCGCGCAGAGATTGCGAGGGTGAGTTTAATGTTTCTGCTTCATATGTTCAAGTGAAAGAGCGAATACGGGTCCTGGGCCGGGGCTTGAGTCATCGGTGCGGGCCCCGCTACGGTGCGCTCTCTGGCGGGACCGGGGTCGTCGAAGGGGGGAGACGATCATCGCGGCGCGTTGCAACGCGTGCCGCCCTTGTCGACGCACTGCACCTGTACAGCGCGGTATGCATGACGACGTTATATAGGATCTTCGGGACTGACCCAATGAATTGCTTTACTTTTTGCGGGGGTGCCCCCAGATCACTCGGCATTTCAAGACCCGACTGGCTCTGGCCGCGTTCAAGGCGCAACGAGGATGGCAGGACGCGACGCTGGACCAGATCGAACCCCACCTCGAGCAGGAGGCGCAACGGCATAAGCAGCAACAGCAGTTACAGCAACAGCAGGCCCAGCAGAGCCAGCAACAACAACAGCAGCAGCAGCAGCAGCAGCAGCAACATATGATGGCGCAGCAGCAGTTCCTCGCTCAACAGGAAGCCGCGGCCGCCCAGCAGCAACTCCAGTACCATCGATCTCAGCCTCCACAGGGCGGCGCCGCGTTCCAGGCGCAAAAGCCGCCAGCCCATTATGCCAATGGGAATGGGATGGACTATGCCCAGCCGTATCAACAGCACATGCCGATGCAGCAGCCACCGCAACAGGCGTGGGGCCGACCGGGCCCTTTCGACAACGCCGGAATGGGACCGCCTTCGTTCGCCGGTCACAAGCGAGCGCGCAGCATCAACATATACGACCAACCACAACAATCAATAGCCTACTCTGCAAACTTGGGCGCGTACGGCTCGCCGCAACCCATGGCTTCAACCTCGGCCTTGCAGCCGCCCGTGCAGATCGGCGCCAATGGAGGACCGGCGATGTTTGGCGACGCGAGTCGACCGACGAAGCGACGCGTTCTCGGGCAGGAACACGGTGGAGGTCGACCCTCTTTGCACCACTCTTCGTCCTCGTCGTCCTCAGCTGGATCGGCGACGGCCCTGGGGGCGATGGCCGAGCTTCGAAGTCCTCGATCCCGGCATTCGGCGACGCGATCTTCGCTCTCGCGAGGGAACGGCTCGGCCAGCAAGGTCGGGCGACCCGTTTCGTCTTCGGACCCCAATTTTTCGACTTTTGTCGATGCAGCTTCGGTGTTGACGGGGTTGTCGAGGGGCCTATCCGATCAGAGCGATAACAGCGACGGGGGCATGCAAGGCGGCGCGGCAGGCGGTCCTTCTTCTTCCTCGCAGTCGAATCCGTTCGGTTCGTCAATCCCACGACCACGGACACCTACTTCTGCGAACGACAAGGGCAAAGGGGTCGCGATGCATCACATGTCGGGAGTGAACGGTTCGGCACCCCCGACGACGGCAGGCGAGTCGAGCGCCGAAGGAGCGGCCGAGTTGATGCTCTACCTCGCGCAGTCGCCCTCGCCCGTCCAATCACGCTCCAGCCACGTCGTCAACAATATCGGTGGGGAAGGTATGATGAAAGGGCGGCGGTTGTTCTCGGGCAGTGGGGAAGATCATCCGGCTTCGTCAGCGGCCTTCGGTCACGGGGCGGGGATGAATGGAGCCGGGGGTGGTCCGAACGGGACTGGTTTGGGCTCGTACGACGAGGCGTTGCATCCCGCCAAGGCATCCCACGTCGCCAGTGCGCCTCCACCGGGTTCACCACCTTCCTCGATGCTCGGACCCGGTGCCTTTGGCGGAGCGATCCCTTCGACCCCAGGGCGGGAACGTCAAATCTCATCGAGTTGGGACGCGTACATCAACGTCTCGCCCTCACCCCAACGTGCGCCGATCGCGAGATCTTCGGAACACTCGTATGCGTCGAACGGACCGCCTCCGACGTTCTTATTGCCGAATGGGACGCCACCCGGTTCGAACGCGCCGACCTCGACGGCGAGCACGACTGCTGGAGGCAGCGGAGCTGGGGCGGCGGCAGGCTGGTGAGGGTGAACGGTCTTTATAGGCTGGGTTTGTGTTTGTGTGATGCATAAAAGTTTGTCGCTTTTTGTTGTCTTGTACCTTTTATATTTAGTCAACTGAGCTTGGGCGTTGGCGTTGCTTAAAGGAGTAGGTGTGTGGGGGACGGTGACAGTAAGGGATTAAGGTTGAAGGTTGAAAAGTAATTGCAAGACGCATGTACCATTGCACACGAGAGTCAGCTACCTGAACGAAGAATGAGCGGGGATGGGTCATCAAGATCGCCCTCTGCCGTGACTCAGAGTTGATCCAGAAGCTCAGACCTCCTTTGTTGCTCCTAAATATCGAATGCACTTCGACAAGACCTATGCATCCTTCAAAGCAAAGGATGAGCCACACAGGGCGTATGAGTCTTCCTTCAATGAAAACCAGAAATAAAAGGTGTGATCACCGCGGTCGGACGATCCCTTCGTGGCGTGACCGACTGATTGGGGCAAAACGCGCTCAAAAAAGGCACCCCTCTCCAGAGTCTCCACGGCTTTCGAGGGGCCACGCGGGCGCGGATGGGGGGGCGTGTTTCAGGTTGAGGCGGTGCTGCCCATACCATTCGATTCACACTCTTGCCTACGGTTCTCAGGGAGACTTTGAGGACCTTGGTGTCTTTCCCCCTCCCCAGCTTTCTAGCGCTCTGCTCTCTCACACGCTCTCGTGTCGATTCGCTCGCCCGCCCCAGCGACGTCCTCGCGCCTCTCACAACGATCTACGTCGAGTCGACATGCGACGTGGAGCCGACAGCCGTCCCTACCGCCCAACGCCACGATCCCCTTGGAGGAGCCTGACCCTGGCATGTTGTGTGATCCTACTCCACCTCGTCTCTGCATCCGACTCGCCCTCATCATCATCGGTCAATGATACCACACCTTCATCACCACGAGGTGCGTTTGGCAATGCGCACGCCAGCTCGTCTTCGTCGCCCGCGTTGCTGAAACTGAGACGGGCAGCAGGAGTGCATGCCGGCGCGAGCGTTTCCCCATCTGCATCACTAGCTGCAGCTGCCTCACCTCCACCTCTAGCAACCTCACGTCTCGCTCGTCGCAATGCGGACTCGCAAAGTTCGACTGGTCCGAAACCTAGACAGCTTGGAGAGGTTTTGGACAAGGTGGTGAACCAGACGGGTTCGGGCGGCAGCGATAGTTCGGGCGACCAATCTGGTAGCCAATCGGAGAAGGACGACCAAAGCAGTGGTGGTGGGACGAGTGGAACGAATCAGACTGGCGCCGCTGGAGGTGGTGCGTCTGGATTCGCTGAACAAAATCCTCCCGCTGAGGGTACGCCACAGGGCGGTAGCAGTGGTGGTAATGTTACCCAGCCGCCGGGCGGCACCGTCGCAGGGGGCGCCCCACCGCAGGGTGGTACACCACCTGTCAATCAGACTACCGGCAGTAGTCCAGGTGCCGCTCCAGGTGGCGGTTCAGTTGATGTCCCAGGCTCCGGTTCCGGCGCCAACAGCTCGACCCCAATCCCACCAGGAACAGCCCCCAGCAACTCGACCCAAAACCCACCAGCAACAGCCCCCGGCAGCTCGACCCCAATTCCACCCGCAACAGCCCCCGCTAATTCGACCGTAATACCTGGCGGCGGTTCGTCTCAGAGTGGCGGTCAACAAGGCGGCGGTCAGCCCGGAGGCGATGCATGTAAGTCGGTGCACGCTGTTTTCTTTTGCTTGCTACGCATCCTGGCATTTTCAATTCTCAACGCTCGGTGCGGGTTCGCGCGGAGAGCCGCGGTCGATCGAAATCGACCGCGGCTCTCCGCGCGCACGTGGATGGAGTTTGCACCATCGCTACGAGCTTCCTGCATGTCTGGGACCCGGCCAGCTCATCCTTGTTCGTGACGGTACTTGGAATTGGCCCTTTCGGTGTTCTGGAAACGCTGTTGGACGTGCTCTGGGCGCTAGACGGCCCGCCTTTACCCGAGACTCCGATGCCCACATTAGCCTCCTGTCTCACATTGTGTGAGCGCCGTCGACACCACCTCGTGATCGCCCGTCAACCCGTGCACGGCCCTGTTCAATTCCGGCTACGGCATCATCTCATTTCGTTTATCAGATGCTCTGCATGAGGAAGTTGGGGCACCTGAATGGGTTGAGATGCTGGCGGGCGATGCAGACGGTCGGCACTGATTAGGGGCTGACATGTCTCGCGCTTGCGAATGCCCAAGACCCCGCGATTTTGTCCGATTTTGTCCTACTCAAGCGCTGTTGGATTGCATTTCGTTGTTGAACGCTTCTTTCTGACATATTCTTTTCTTTGCCAACTCGGCGCCGATTTCTGTACAGCTCACAACACCACTCAGAACCCGAACAAACCCCCGAAGCAGCAGCCGCCAGGCAGCGCTGCTACTGGTGGTGATCCGTCCAAACAACCAAGTAAGCGACTCGTCTTGTTTATTTCTTTCTCTCACTCTACCGAGGCACATCATCGCGTGTGCTCTCGGCTGATGTCCCGTCGTGTTTGTGCCTCGATCGCTGCGCCGTGATTCATCTCCATCTCCATCTCTGGCTTCCGTTCCCACCCGCATGTTATCCACGAAAACCCACCAGGCCATTCTCCCCACCCTCATAATCACCCTACTGACAATTCAACTCAACCTGACCTACCTTGGAACCCATCGCATCCCAACTTGATCCCCCCGCCTGGTTCTACAGATGGCACCCCGTTGCCTAGTGGAAACACATCGACGAATACCGGGGGAACGGGCAACGCTACAAACGGCGCTCCGAGTGCGGGGGGTACATCACTCAATACAAACAGTGGCGGTGGATCTGGCTCGGGCTCCAACACGTGGGCTATCGTCGGCGGTGTCGTCGGGGTAAGTCGATCCTACATCCTTTGCTGGTCAACCAAACATAACAAAGGGTCCACACTGACTCACCATTCGCGTCTTTGTTCGTCCGTGCTTGAAGGGTATTGTCCTACTCGCCTCCGCCATTTTCATCGTTTATCGCCTCACGCAACGACGATTCTCTTCGCTCGAGGACGAAGGTGCTGAAATTCGCTGGCCTGAACTCAACCCCGACGGCCAAGAAGTCTCGGCCAACACCTCGACGCTCTACCCGCTCGGTACAACAAGGACCGGTGGTGCAGGAATCGAGATGGAGAGTGACAAGTCCGAATGGGGGGATGAGATGGACTACGCAACGCACGAACGGAACGCATTGAACTCGATCCCGGGACGAGAGGCGTACCTCGCGAGGGGACCGACTCTGCATGCTCGACAGATGAGCTACGGTGCGCTGGCGATGCAGTCGAGATCCGAAGTCGGTATGAGCCCCGATGGATACTTCGATTCCTCGTCCGAAGGGTTGCGAAGGAATCCGTCTAGCCAAGGATCGTACCCTCCTTCGCCCCCGAACATGATGGCCTATGGTGGTGGCGGCGGCGTCCCTCCTCCCCCCGTGCCCGGAATGCCACCTCATCAATACGGCGGCGCTATCTACCCGGGTCCTGGACAACCCCTCCCCGGCAGCCATTCTCCTCCTCTTCCTGGCGGCCCGGCACATATGCCTCCTTTCCCGTTTACTTCTTCTCACCCTTCCCTCGAAGGCAGTGCCAAGCCGTACTCCCAGGAACACGCCACCGCTTCCCAACACCGCGCCCAAAAACCGAGCTCCGATTCGATCGACAACTACTACCCCGAGTTCGAGCCGAGGGCCGACACGCCGCAGCATTTTGCGGTCACGAACCCAGATCGAGCGTCGAGTGAGGTCGGGGCCGGGAACATGGAACCGCAGCAATTGCGTCATCAGCTTTCGATCAAGGCTGCATCGTGATCGTCGGGCGGATGACAGGTGGGATCGCAATCCCTTTCCTGCCCCCGCTCGACCCCGGAACGTCGCCCCTCTGGCTCGAGAGACCCTATTCCTTCATTTTCTTCTCGTTTCAATCTCTCCAAATCTCTATTCCCCATATCAAGCAAGCAAAAGTAGTCTCATCAACGCATATCGCATATCGCACCACACCTCCTATCGTTCGTTTTCGTTTTCGTCCCGTGGTTTTCTTTAAGCTTTTTCTCGTCTTCTGCATGATACACCCACGCATAGTTCTCGGTAAATAAAATTTTCTGCTCCGTTTCTTATGTAATTGATAGTCACTCCATTAAACCTCTTGAGGCTCGCTGGAAAGAAGTGAAAAATCAAAACAAAAGGATCCCAGCAAGAGCTTCAGTTGAGCTTGGACCACACCGAGATCCGCAGACTCTGTGGGGGCTGCGTGGATCTAGTGGCTATGACTTTACATAAGTCCAACCCCCCTTTTCAAGAAACATTGATCTTGCGTAGATATCCGAATATGTGAAATCTAATCAGGCTTGATACAAACAAAAAAAGACTCGTGCGAGCCGAATGAACATTCAAAAGGCTTTCACAGATCAGTCGTGGTTCCAACCATTCTAGCAGCCCTGTATTCTCATCTTCCCCTTGTGATCGAGTCCAAGAACAAGAGTGTGCAGCTGAGGATAAGACTGGAGTAGTACTGCAAAGGTGTCAACGACAAGTCCTCTACATTAGGATCCGAGTTCGAAGGAAGGAAGGACGGTATTGGATTTGGAGGGTTGGCTTGTTCTTGACTCTGAAGATATGACTAAATGGAAGAATGGCAGGATGTTTCTACTCGACTGGGATCGCCATCTTACCCTGGCTGCAGTTAATTGGGCCCGCCATCTAATCCAGGAGGCGGGGCATTTCTAGCAGATTGTTAAGCACTTGGGCGACACTTCGTCTCTTTCTCTCTTCATTCGCTCTCGCTCGCATTGAAGACTGACTGAAGTGTCGTTCAGGTATGTTGTCAACTCATATTCCTTATTCGCTCTCGCATTGAAGACTGACTGAAGTGTCGTTCAGATTTATATAAGCGAGATACATAGCGGATCATCCACCAGTAACAATAAAAGGTGTCGAGGCACTGGACACTAGGTGAATTGCAGCGGCTACTAGAGTGCCAAGGTATGCAAAATGCACCACAGATGAGACTAGTGTGCGAAGTCTGAAAAAAACCGAAATAAGTCGCACGGAGCTTTAGTGTACTACACAAGAAAGGGTTTTTTTTGTCTCCCCCTCGGTGAGACGAACGAACACGATTCAATGCTCGAAGCGGTACTGGCAGTGCTGTTCCTTGGTGATCTTGCAATATCACCGAAGTAACTTTATCGAAAGACGCGGTTCAGCACCTGGTGTTGATGACGTCAAAGTACGTGTCACTGGGGGAGACGATGCCATTGCCGCAATCGGTCGGAGCGGCCGGGGGCATCCAGGGCCGGCGTCGACAACTTGAAGGACAAGAAGGTCAATCGGGTCGCCAGATGGAGCTTGACTAGGGGTAGCGAGAGGCGTACCCGGACCCAGACACCGAGTGCTTGGACCAGAGGGATGAGAAGGTCAGGGGTGTTGGAAGGCAAAGCGTCGCGGGTGATCGAAAGTCCGTCGGCCGACAAGTGCAAGGCCCGAGGCCTTTGCCAGAGGTCCCATGGATGTTACGATCACCCGTCTCAAGCTTCGAATTGGTTCCATCCACTTCCACGCTCTTCTTCGATTTGATTCCATCGTTGCGCTCCTTGATTCGAAGCTTGAGACGGGTGATCGTAACAGTCGCCCCTCCTCTGGCTTGATCTCCTGATCAAGCGATGATCTCGATGTCGTCGTCGAGTTCATTGAGAATATGCTGAACGGTGGAGGCGTGCACAATCGCTCTGAGCTCCGGGGAGAACGGGACTTCGAAGACCGGGGGCGACGGCGAGGAGCTTGGCGTAGTGATGTCCACCAAGCGGTTGAGGGGAGGCGTAGGTTCTTGGTACAGGTAGCGATCCAACGCAATCACGCGACGACCGGTGTTGTCGTCGAGAGGTGAAGACAACGTCGTTAAGAAGTGTGCCATAGCTCCAACCCGGTATTCAGTGTACGCTGGAAACTGACGCTTCCGATTTCGACGCACGTTGGTGCCCAGGCCGATAGGGCGATGGCTCACCTCTTAGCGACGATGTCTTCACCTTTCGACGACAACACCGGTCGTCGCGTGATTGCGTTGGATCGCTACCTGTACCAAGAACCTACGCCTCCCCTCAACCGCTTGGTGGACATCACTACGCCAAGCTCCTCGCCGTCGCCCCCGGTCTTCGAAGTCCCGTTCTCCCCGGAGCTCAGAGCGATTGTGCACGCCTCCACCGTTCAGCATATTCTCAATGAACTCGACGACGACATCGAGATCAAGCTCGAGGAGGGGCGACTCTTACGGTCACTCAGACGAGAACCTGCTACCCGTTATTCCAGGTCATTCTGTCGGCTTCCATTCCTTGGCAACGGACATCGGGCGTCGGGCAGTCTCTCCCTTTCTCGTTTCGTTCTACCAGTGGGAACCCGTTAAATTAACGGGAGGATGAAATTCAAATATCAGGATAATCGAACAGCCTACATGCAGCGCAGAGATTAAGATAAAAGTACAGCTTAGAAGTACAGCATAGAAACTATTCTCCGTTCATTGCCCTGAGAACAGAGCAGAATACTGGTTTTGGGGTCGCGGTGGTTGCGGCTGCCGCTCGATCGACGGCAGGTAAGTCGTCGTCATCATCGGCGGGGTCGCGAGAGGGCAGTAGCACCTTGATTCGATCAACACTCATGGCTCGAGACAATGACACATCCAGCTGCCCATGAGTGAAGACGGGATGCAGGGTGAGATCGACGCCAACACAATCGAGTGATTGACCTAGGACTTTGTTGATCGTCGTGGCCAAAGCAACTCGAAGCGGGGGTGGAGCCGGCGCATAATGAAACCAAGTTGGCGACTGCTAGTTGCATTCGGATGCCCGCTCAATCTCCGGTCAAGATGATGGCTGGAATGACTTGCGATCTTGCGTGCAAGACGATAAGGCAAGTACCGTTGCAGAGGCCAGCGTCTGGGTCCAGATTGCGAAGAACTACAGGGATCCCTTCCTTGAGACGCAAGCGATGCGCGGGGAAGTCGGACGGGTTGATTGAATGCAGATACACCGGCGAAATCAGATCGGGCGCCATCCCACCCTCAGTTTCGGCTGCCTCGACGGATAATCGATCACGTGTGTATGCATCAGAACGACGCCGAAACAGCCTGCACCTTGCTTGTTGCCGTCGTCGCAGAGTCGGTTCAGCTTGGCTTCAAACACTCATGCAATGAGGTCCGGACGGTTGCATGCTTGGTCCTTTGGCCCGAGTGCAGCCAGGATTTCCGACCGTCCGGGGATGCACGTCACCGTGATGAACAGCGAAGGGTTTTCATATTTGACGACGCAAGCCATCGTACCTTGGTAACCTGCGTGATCTCGCACGGCCTGTTCTTCAACGTTGATCGAGCCCAAAAATCACCGAACGTCCCATTTGATCCGGGGTCAAGCCGTTGGCAACAGCTTCAGCGATGCCTTGGGCCGTGGTGAGGCGCAGGTTTTCTTGATGCAAACGGATGGAGTTCAGTCGATCGGTCTCGACTTGGGAGTATCCGTCGATCACGAACCTCGAGAAAGAGACGCCGGGTCGAACGCGGGAGTGAGAGATTGTTGCCGCGTTCGTGAAAGTAGTATGCAAAGAATTGGGAACGCAAGACTCGGGTTGATCCACCTCGAGCCTATCTTCTTGATCTTCGTGCTAGATGTTCAGACATTCTATGTCAGTCTGTGCTTGCATCTCAACAGAATGGAAGACGTGAGAAAGAGCCGAAGACGCTTACGTTTACCTTCACCTTCCTCGCTGTCTTCATCCTCATCGTCGCGGTCTTCGTCCTCCTCTTCGTCTTCGTCATCCAGACCGAGACCGGCAAGTACCTCGCGCAATTGGACACCATTGTCGATCTGCTCTCGGTTTCTGGCTATTGGCGGCCCGGCTTGGTGGAACCCGCAAAGAGGAATGTTGAGGTGGAAGCCATCATCCCCTGCAGGAAATAGTAGTGGATAACGGAGAGGCATCGCGGACGGATGGAGCGAGCTAACGACTTGGTACTTGGGCCGACCGTCGGGACATCGATCACCGTGCACCTGGAGAATACGATCTTGCGGTTCACGATCTCCCGTGTTGGTGTCGGACTTGCAGATAAGCATCGCCATTTCCGTGCTTGACGTAGGAAGGTTGTGGGTGCGTCGGTCTCGGCCTGGCGGGAGGCAGAGGCGCAGGATCCACTCTTTGGCCGTATCCTAACCTGCGCGAGCTTTGGCTGATGCGAACTCCCTCACAAAGCGATTGCCGGTACGCAGGATGGAGTCGAGCTTGGTCAAGGTAGATCGTTGCATGCGACTGTCTGCGCCGTCGGGTCCAAGTCGAGTGTCGGTCGCCTCGGCCGGGTCGATGAGCCATGTTTGAGCAAAGGCTGGGCGTTGATCGACGGCAGGGAGCAGGGCGCCGAGTCGATGATAGAGGCGACCAAACACGCGAAACACGGGGGGTCCTAGCGTGCCCACTTGAGTTTGGTCCCAGTGGGCAGCGAGCGAAGTACACGACAACGCGGACCGGGCGTTCTCGCGGAACGCTTTAGCTTCTGTGTACGTGGGAAGGTTGTCGCACAGTTCAGCATGTGGCTCTACTGCAGACGAATGTTGTTGGACGAAGCAACTGGCCGCTATTCGAGCCTTCAAGTAGATTTCGATACTCGGGATTGGGCTGGGGAGGGGGAGGTAGCCGCACCTTGCCCTGCGAGCAGCACGTGCTGAAGTGTCCGGTCGACTTCGACCTACTTCGACCTTTCGCACTCCCAGTGCGGAGCCTGCACACGGCCGTCTGGGGGCCGAGCTAGTTGCGGATCGAAGCGTGGGGCTTGAGGGGTTTGAGCGCGATTCGAGCCAGTTCGAGCCCCGCGCGCGTATGAGGAGGTGGTGGTGGGGCGTGTGGGGCGTGGGGGTCGCGCGCGAGGCGGGCGAGGGCTGGCCTGGGCTGGCGAGGGCGAGCCAGGCGAGTCGAGGCAGGTCGAGGCGAGCACTTCGCCGAAAAGCAGGTATTCGCACACTTCAACTCAGGAAACAGTCGCGTTCAGCGTCGGGTCGGCCATCGCCAAGGATCCGCATTAGATCAGATCACCGTCAGATCTGATCTGGATTTTTCTGATTCTGCCTTGATTGAGCTGATCTTGATCTGATCTGAGACATGAAATTGCCTAATTTGGCACATAAAGACTTCTACATGTCTACATGTTGAAATCCTCATCTTCTTCCTCCACAACCTCATCCTCATCCTCATCCTCATCATCCTCCAAAGTGATCACCTTGCTAAGCCGCCGTTTTTTGGAGGAGCTCCCCGCTTCTATGACTGGATTGGGTCGCATGATCCCTATGAGAAAGTGTTTGCAATGAGTCAGCACCTGACACTGCAACGAAGGCCCAACAGAGGAGGACCACACCCTGTAGTATTTCTGTGGCGCCGGGCCGACACCCAATGCGGCGGCGATGCCAGATGGCAGATGGCGCGCTCCTTTCTCTCTCATGCAGTGATCAGGTGCGCCGCAGTTGGCATTTCAAATCACATTGGCACCATCTATAGGTACCGCCTACTTTTGGATTTTTTTTCTCGAGGCTTGATTGATCTGAACTTGATCTGACCCCCGTCAGATCAGATCAGATCTGATCTGATCTAATGCGGACCCTTGGCCATCGCGCTGAGTCGCTGACCACGCTGTCCGTTCTGCACAGCTGCACAGCGGACTCGTATATGTGTCGCAATACCAAGATCGGTTGGGTTGTTGTCATGACGTGCGGGGGGCTGATTCTGTTGATCAGAGCGGGAGGAAGAGGAGGGTCCAGCAGCGGGACGCCCAGCAGCAGGCGCTCGAGCAGGCGCATGGTAGGGCGCTACCGCGCTACCCTCGCGCCCAAGACTTGGCGAGGTTGCGATGGCCCTCCCTGACGACCGTGGGACCGGCCCGACCGGGGCATAGTGCCGAGGATTTGTCCTTGAATGAGTATCACTAAAATTGGGAGAGTGGGGGGGGGAAAAGAAAAGGTTCGAGCGAGTGGCGCGGGTTTGTGCACGGGGTGTGATTTGTTGTTGTTCAGCCCCTAATGCCGCTGGTCGGCTGCCGGAATGACACTTGACACCGCTGGCGCGCCGCATCACGTGACAGACGCCAGCCCTCGCCCCGCCCGTCAGGCGGAGCTCTGCTGTAGAAGCAATATCATGCAAATCCACGCGCTTGCGGTCCATTAAATACAGTATGAGTGTAAGCACTGTTTTATGTCAACGAAAAAAGGAAGGAAAATACTGGGATCGCTGGGTACATTCCTTAACTCACACTTTTTTTTTACTACTAGTTAGAGTAATAGAGTAATGTCCACACATGTGCGGACACTTGATTATAGGTCAATACATGACGAAATCGTATCATTTCGATATCGTAGGACAAATATATAAGTATTCCTAGGCTGAACCTGCAAGACGAACATAATACGATATGTGCTGCAAGACTTATGATGATTTGAAATTCTCGTGTGCGGGCCGCAGATTTCATGCGGACATGTATCAGTTCAGGTCGAGCAAGCGGGCGTCGCCGACTCTTAAGCTGAGAAAATCACCCGGGCCCGTTATCGACATGGTGCGCACTCGGAGCAAATCACAAATACTCCATGGCTACTCCATGGCTTAAAAAGCTCCTGAAGAATCCATGCAGGCGAGACCATTGCCCGGAATGAAGAGTAGCTACAGGGCATCGGCCTTGACCCGCGCCGAGTAACAGTCCGCACTGCCTGGCGGAAGCGGGATGCCAGATGCCCGAAGCGCGAAGGCCAACCTTTGCGCGGTTTGCGCGGCAGGCTGGAGGTGAGGCCCGTGAGGCCCCAAACTCGGCTTGCGGTGCGCGGCGCGTGCGCCTGAGTCGGTCTGAAGCCCCTTTTCTACCCGCATGTCGTGCCTTCAGCCGAACAACATGTGTCGTGTAAGAAGTGGAGGGCAGCTTTAGTCAGTGTATCTAGTTGATTAACTGTCTTGCTCTTGTGGAGTGCTTCCATGACGTGATGTGTGCACGGTGCAGCAAGTGGAGCTCTACTTCGGTACTCGAGGCTGACATGCTGCTGACTCCACATTTACTCGGGGTGACATGTTGCTGACTCCACATTGGCCTCCACTTTGTCGCGCCGCGTTCTGGGTCGGGACTCGGTTTCATGCTTCCCCTTTCTTGTTTCCCGTTTGTCTTTTTCATCCCGGTCACTCTGCCCAAGAACACGTCCTCTCACCCTCGACTTTCACTCTACTTACACTACAAGATGTTCTCCTCCCTGTCCCACCGTCGCGCCAGTTCGAGTTCGAGCCGCTCCTCATGGTCCGAGGACTCGTCGGCGCAATCATGGTCCTCGTCCGCGACTTCAGAGGGCTTTGATTTGCTCGAGCCCATTTCATCGCGAGCACCTCAAGAGTTGGCCTTCCTCGATTCGACAACGTATGTCACCAAGGAATGCAACAGCGCCTACGTCGCCAGTTTCTGCGTACGTTCAAGGCAGAACTTGGCCTGCGCGCTTGCGCTTGCGCGTTGCCTCGGCTCGGCATGACGACGGCGGCGCGAATGCGGGCTAACCCCCTTTCCTTGCTTCCTCCGCACAGTCATCGAACAAGATCCCACATTGCCCGAAGCACGGCATCCAACACAACCCCTGCCTGAGCCTTCCCGAACGTGATTCGCGATCATTCGAAACTATCTTCTCGTCGTTCAAGTCCGCTACCAGTCGGTCCGGCAGCGCCTCGTCCTCAGCATCGGCTTCGGCGAGCCGGACGACACCCAGTAGGCGTGGGTCAGCTGCTTCTTCGATCAAGGTCAGTTCGAACAATCTCACAATAGCCACAATCCGTATCTGAAGCTGATCATCTGCACCCTCTTTCCTACCTTTCAGTGCTACGTCCAAAGAGCCGTTTCGCATCTCTGATCGACTCCGGCTTCGGAGACGAGCTCGTGCGCGCAAGGGCCATCGGCCATCTCGTCGCCTGCCCGTGTAGAACTTCGCCCGGGCGCACGGTCCAGGGATTCAGGGTCTCCCCGCCTCCGAGTCACGCATACACATCGGCAAAGTCTGTGAAAAGTGTTCAATTATAAGTAGTCGTCTATGACTCTGTACAAAGTAGTGTCTTTCTCTCCCCTCCTGGCTCTTCACGGTGTACAACATCTTCCTTCTGAGTCCGTAGTATGAACCTGTAGTACTAGTAGCAGTGGGTGTATCCCTGATAGGTTTAGTAACGATCAAATAATAACTTCATGACCTCCCCTCTTCATCCCCCAAGGACATTTGCTGCCAATCAGTGATCACAAAGATAATGAAGACAATAGTCGAATCGAGCTCCGCCGGGCGTGTGGGGCGGCGCCTTCCAGTGGAAGCTTTTAGCCTTCGACGCATCAGTCAACTCAACGCGAAAGCAGAGTCGATCCCAAACCCCAAGCAGCCATGACCGACTCAACACGCAGTCGAACACCATCCCGACCAACCCGAATGGGATCCTCAGACTCATCTTGCTTGACAGCAAGGGGTCCTAGTGTTCCCAGTACACCGCTCCGTACACCTTTGGCGAGTTCGACGAGGGGAGCCGGAGCCATCAAGTCTGGAACGGGCGCGTCGGCCAGTCCGCAAGGTGAGCTTGGGCAAGGGGATGGTGTGTAGCGTTGGAACTGACTTTGATCGACCGACTTGGGTTTTGCAGTGAAAGCGGCACTAGCGGCGATGAGGAACAAGCAACGCAGTAGCGCCAGTAGTGGTCAGACAGCTTCGAGCACGAGCGCGTTGCCCACGAATTCGGACTCGAAAGCCCTCGCTTCCAGTTCGAGCTTGGCGTCATCTTCTTCGTCTCTTATGATTGGCGTGGACAAGTACAACGCGTATTCTACACCACCCCGGAAAGCAATGCAGAGTGGGAACGCTTCAGAAGAGGACGATGCCGTTCAAGAGTTTCGGTTCGGGCAGAGGACGATCGCGGTTAGAGCCGAGCAACGGCAAACAGCGCAGGAGAGGGAGGATGACGTTGAAGAAGAAGAAGAGGTCGTTATTGATTGGGGTACGGGAGCCAAGTCGACTAGAGATGTCGTCGAGGCAGCAAAGACGACGGGTGAGGTCCCCTCGCGATTCCGTCCTCGAAAGGAGCCCTTACCTGACCAACATGTATCCCGCAGGTGTGCTCGTCCTTGCCTCGCGAGAGCTCGAGTCCATACCTCTCCTGGTGTACGAAGCGCTCATGTCCAAAGCATCGGTCTATCACCCGACCCGTCAACGTACTCGCGCGAGCGGATCGAAAGGAAAAGACCCTGCCCCCATCATCGATTTCGGTACCTCTTACGACGATCGAAAGACGGCTTGGTACGAGCAGCGTGAACTTCGTAGTCTGTCGGTTGCGAATAATGAGATCAAAGAAATACAAGAGATGATTGCGGGGTTTGAGGAGCTGGAGACCCTCGATGTAGGTTCTTTTGTCGAGGGTTTGGCGATCTTGGACGGCTGAGCTGACCTCAGGGTCTTGGAACAGCTCCACAACAACTACCTCGCCTCTCTACCTACCTCACTAGCGCATTTGTCGAATCTTACATCGCTGAACCTCTCCGCGAACAAGCTCACGACCTTCCCGATTCAACTCCTCGCCTTGCACTCGCTCACGTCCCTCAACCTCGCTTCGAACCAGCTCACCCACCTCTGGCCCGTAGACTGGCGCCTTCATCTCTCCGATACGCTCCACTCAGCATCCCTTTCGCCAACGGCGACGCCCGATTCATCACCTGAACAAAGCGGAGGTGACGCCCTGGGCTTCTGGTCCACTCCTGCACCAAGCGCCAAATCCAAACCCACAACAGACCCTTCTCCGTCGAGCACGGATACCCCATCCAAAGCCCCTCTCACTCGCCTAACCGAGCTAATCCTATCCGACAACCCTTTCTCACCCGACGTCTTCCAAGACCCCGGATGGAGTTTCCCTTCGAAATTGAAGGAAATACATCTCGCCGATTCAGGATTGGTCGAAACCTCCTTCCCTGCGCTCGTGTTCGGGAAACTGGCGCATCTTCAAGAGCTTAATTTGGCGGGGGCGAATATCCTCTCATCGCCATTTCATGTCGAGGACGTCGTGGATGAAGAAAGGGAGCTCTTCCCTTCGTTGACACGATTGGATCTCTCACGCAACTCGATCGATTCGCTCCTCCATCTCGAAGCGTTCCTCGTTCGAGATGTTAAACGACCGATCGAGTATGTAGGCTTGGACAAGAGTATCATGAACTTGGTTAAGGCCAGGGGAAGGCCTAATGGGGACGTGGAAGGAAGGGAGGAGGTCAGGGTTGTGTTGCACGATAATCCAATGAGGGAGGAACAGGTTAGGAGGAGGGCGTTGTTTGGTCGACCAGCTGCGTCGGAGGGAGTTAGGGAGGGGGTCAAGGTCGAGCTGGCGAGTGCTGCACCGACGAAGAGTACGGCGAAGCGGAGAGTGGTCAAAGAACAATGGGAGATTGACGCAGAGAATGGGCTGCTGACGGAGGGTGGGAAAAGGAGAGCGAGGATCGAGGCGATGAGGAGGGCTAAAGAGGAGGAGGAAATGAGGAAAGAGGTGGAGAGGAGAGGAGAGAAGGTGGAGGTGGATGAGACGAGGACGATTGTGGGAGCTTTGTTGGGACTCAAGGTGGAGGACCGGGATGAGAAGGGGCAAGAGGCGGCGGAGGAGAGGGGGCAGGCTCAGGAAGAAGAGGCACCGCCACCCGAATATTCACCTACGCCTACGCCTGTGGCGCCAATATTGACGCCTGAAGCACCAAGTGCGACGGTACCCGCCAAGGCGAGCAAGGACGACCCTGCTATCCAACTTGTCAGCTTAGCGCACAAGGTGATATCGTCGACCATCGATCTGTCGTCCAAGTCGCTCGAAACGCTGCCGACCCCTTTGGGCTCCCCACCTTCGCATCTCTCTTCGCCTTCGTCGCTCATCCTCTCGCGGAATCAGTTCAGGTGTTTGTCGACATCCACGCTCTCAACATGGACTTGGGCAAACACCCTTCGGTCACTCGACCTCTCGTACAACCGCTTGACGGTCTTCACACCGGACAGCGCTCTCCCCAACTTGACCTCGTTGAACCTCTCCAACAACCAGCTCACGGAACTCGATCCAAACCTCGCTTCATCGACCTCTAACTTAACTTCACTCGATCTCTCCCGGAATCGACTTACATCAGACTCCAGTCTTTCGCCCTTCTTGAGACCCACCCCTTCCACTCCATCAACACTCACCACCCTCAACCTCTCCGGCAACTCCCTCTCCTCCCTCCCTGCCCTCCTCGAACTCGCCACGACCATCAGAGGCCCGTCCTCTCTCGACCAAGCCCGATCCAAACACAACCTCTCCCTCCGTTCGCTCGACCTAAGGGACAACGATCTCCTCAAGCTCGAGACGAAATTGGGGTGGTTACCGCTGGGATTGGAGGTGTGGTTGAGTGGGAATCGGTTTAGGGTGCCAAGGAGGGAGGTGTATGATTCGGCTCAGGGGGCGAAGGAAATTGTAGGGTGGTTGAGGGAAAGGATTGTGGAGGAGTGAATATGGTCTGGTGTTTGGTCTTCGTGACCTCCACTGGGTGTAGTTTGCGTCGTTCGAGTTTTGAGGATAAGCTGGGTTTTGTGAATTCATTATCATCGACACGATGGGCAAAACAGACAGTCGTTTATGACGCAGAGAGGAAGGAGGGAATCAAGCCTGTTTAGTGAAGAACGAGCCAATCCCCTTCTGTTGAGCAGGTTTGCTTGCCCCCGCCTTTGCACCACCCGTCGTACTCGAACCCGCACCAAACTTCTTCGCCGGGGCCGCCACCAGTACCGCCGCCTTCTTCGGTGCAGATGCGGTTTCCTTCTTCTTCGTCTCCACCGCCGCCGCAGGAGCCTTGGTCTTGGTGTCTCCTTTCAAAGCCATTTCCTCCGCCTCTCTCAAAGCCTCTTCATCCCAAAGATCCTCCTCCTCCTCCTCGTCCGAAGCCAATTCCTCCTCCGCGAACAACCCATTCTGCTTCTTCTTCGGTGAAGCTTTCCTCTTACTCGGAACGACTTTAGGAGCCACTGGGGAAGGGGTCGGTTCTCTACGCGCAAAAAGACCTCCAGGTTGTCCGATCTTGCGCACCGTCGAAGCGGCAGGTTTCTTGGTCGATCTCGAGGATGGGATGTCGGAATTCGAGGTGGAAGCTTTGGCTGATTCGAGTTTGGTCCCCAACAAGGTGGTGGTGGGCTTGGCAGAAGTCGAAGCCTTGTTCGTGAATGCCTTCTTCCCCGTTTGAGAAGAGGATTTTTTACGTTCTCCGTTAGGATGCACGATCTCGCCGTACCCTCCTAAAGGGATGGGCTTCCATTTCGCTCGTAGCGCTTCGGTGGAGAGCAAGGGGAGGGTATGGACGGAGAGGTCCGAGGTTGAAGCTAGGGGGGTCGAGTGGAGGGCGTAGACGTGTGACTGGGGCGGGGTGAGGAAACGGTTTTGGGCGGCTGGGATGTAAAGACGAGAGAGGGAGGTAATCAGTGGGGTTGGATGGCTAGGGACCGACTCGGTGGGGGAGAGGCTCACCTTCCAGTTCGGCTTGAGGGACAAGCAAGACGATCGACGTGAGCGCGGGCGACCCCAACTGTGAAGCATGCTGCGAGTCCAGATCCATCGCGTGGTCGTCGTCATCTTCCTTGGGTTGGGTCGCGACTTGGCCGCAGAGGCAGTAGGTCGCGGTGATGCCACGAGCTTGGGTGGACGGGTCTTCAAGGAAGGCTGCTAGCAGGCTGTGCGAGTGGGGACATGATATGAGTTCGAGAGAGTTCGAGCGTGGTCTGAAAGAAGAAGAAAAAACGGGAGAACTTACACCTTGGCATCCTGGATAGTGATGCCCAATTCACGCGACGCAACCCTGTACGACAACTGCACACAGAGCGACCACGACGCGAGGTCAATCGACGCGTCGAAGAATCGGACTCAGCGCAGAGAACGCAACATACAGGCTGTTGGTCGATCGCGATCCGCTTGGTCAGGTGACGGAACGCGACTTTTTGGTCCATCTCCATCTTGGTAGGCGAGTTGAGGAGCTATCACAACGGAGCGAGTTGGTGCTGACGCGTCGAGTTCAGGAGGCACGCTTGAGCTTGGACCTCCTCCAGCTTCCTTCAGTCGGCGACGCGTGCGTACAAGCGCCACTTGAAGCATCAGCCAGTCTACTCACAGGGGCCGCACAGCCACGAGCTAGCGATGTTCGTCCATAAGGTTCACCCCACTATAGAAACGTCATCACAAGTTGCCAAAAATCGAATCTGACTCGAATTTCTCTCGCTTCGCTCTCTATGAACCAAGGTGGCGCGCGAGCTCAAGTAGCGAGGCCCGTTCGACGTCATCGTGTGAGTGGGGCGCGCCCTTACGCGGGATCAACGTCGGTACTACGTCGGTAGCCTCGGGAGCGCCAAGTGAGCGGTCGCTGAGCGCTGATCTATTGGTCGGCGCAGACTCATCGTCGGGGGGAATCGTATGTACGTTCGCTTGAAGTTTTGCCACTGAAGGCTTTTGGTCGTCCTCCTTACCCTTTTCCTTCGAAATCCTCCATCGCATCCTGGCTTTCACAAGACCCACGCCTGTTTCGTCTTCCCCGGACTCCGACCTGTCGCTGATTTCCGACGGCTGAACTCGGCCTCCGACTCTCAGCTTGTCACACGACCACCGCCTGAGCGACCTCGGATCCAATGCCGAATGGTCCTTTACTGAATCGTAAACAAGATCTTGTAACAGAGGAGCTAGTTCACTCCCACTAGTCGGGTACGTACCTCTTGTCCGAATTGTTTACTGGCGTAAGAGCTGGTCTTCGCTCGGGGAACTTGAAAAGCGTCGGCCTAGACGAGCATCGGCCGTGGTTACGTCAGCTGACTTTTGCCCTTTGCGCCCGCTCACCCCCTCCCAATGCCCACCTCGGCGTTCTCTTTCCCAGCTACTAGGCTCTTCCAGATCGACTCTTGTGCACCTCGGCCTGAACCTGAGACGCCCGACCCTCTCTCTCTGACTTTTCTCCTCTCGAGATCACCTCCCAGCACAATCGACCTTAACGAACCTTCAAGCATACACGCCCCGGCACAATCCCCAGGATGGGAACCACCTTGGAGTTTTCCCTTCCTCCGATCTCGGCGCTCGCCTTCGTCCCCTTCATTTACCTCCAAGCCGTACTCCTCCAACCTTCCATCCCAAACCGTATCTCACGCATCTTACGGATTCTCCTATGCATCCCCGCCATCTACCTCGCCGCTGTCGGTCCGTTCAGACATCGGATCGAACCGGTGAGGTATGCGATTGGCGCCAACTTTCGCGCGAGCATTTTTCATCCCGCCTTCATCCTCAAGGCGTTGGAGTGAGTCAGTCGCGTTTCCCCCCCTTTGATATCGTATGGATGCTGATAGTCTGCGCATCCGCGACGCATCAGATGGGGCTTTGCTCGGGATCGCTCGACATTCGCCTGGGTCGGCTTTGAGAACGAGGAGGACTCGGCCTCGGGCCCCGACGCGTCGGACTCGCACCCCGAGGATGAGAAGGCCCCACCGAAACGCAGGCAGATACAGAACGGAGCCAAGTCGTCCGCCCTAGCTGGATCCAAATCGATACCAACACTCAACATTCGAGGGCAAAGAAAGTTGTCGGAGCAGCTTCCGACCCCTCCCGACTCGCCGACCATTTCGGCAACATCCGATGTCGCCGAAGCGAGCCCCATCGTCCCCCTCGACCTCGGCATTTATGGTCCCACCGCGGACTCCAAGTCATCATGGACTGGGGCTAAGACGCCAGTGATCCAAGTCCTACGAGATGCACTCCATCTCTGCACGTCCATGCGAGGCTATGGCTACGCTTTTGCTCCCCCCAAGCGCTCAATGGCGAGTCGACCGCCGACCCCACCACCGTCGGCCCACGGCCCCTTTGCCCGACGAGCCTTGTGGCGTCTGATTCGCTCCCACATCGTCTCAACGATATGCCAGATCCTACTCATCCACCGCGACGACGTGATTCCCTACTGGCTCGGGACCTACCTCTCGATCCCGATCGCCCACGCCAAACCTATAGCGCATTTCTTGGCCTACCTCTCCGTCGGTTTCTCCCTCCACGCCCAAATGCTCATCGGCTTCGAAGGTTTCTCCCTCATATTCCTCGCACTGCATTACCTACCCCGACCTTTCCAAGTCAAATTCGATTCAAGAGAATGGGCGCCGTTGTTCGATCGCCCGTTCGAAATGAGTTCGGTCACCGAATTCTGGGGTAAACAATGGCATGCGCTCTTTCGAAAACCGTTCACGAGCGTAGGGTACGAACCCGTCGTCGCGGTGGTCAATACCGTCGCGGGGAAGAAGATGGGTAAAAGTGTGGGAAGGACCCTGGGAGCGGTTTTGGTGTTTGGCCTTTCGGCTTGGATGCACGATTTCGGCCTTTGGTCGGCCAGGTACAGTTTGTCACCGTCTCCGATTCGACAGTTGTCGTTCCTACAACGACACGGAGCGAATTTGTTCTTCCTCCTTCAAGCGCTCTGCATCATCCTCGAACAGATTTATTCACGAACCACGAAGAGGAAAGTAGCAGGTCCGTGGGGTAGAGTTTGGAGTTTGTTCGTCATCGTCGTTTTGGGAAGTCTTTTGGCGGGGAGGAGTTGGATCGCTTTAGGTTTGGTCGACGGTTTACCGAGTTTGGACAGGTGGGGTTGGCAGAGGTGGCTGTTGCCGACGGTGTGTTTGGCGCCGCCACCTTTGTGGGTCAAGTGAGCGGAATGGAACGACGATGGGATCGATGTACGCTGTATTGGTTCGCTTGTTGTACTTTGTAGCCGTCTCGTGCGAGCAGGAGCGTGCTGTAGGAGGGAAAAGGTAATTTGGTAGTGTCTTGGGAGCTTCTTAGCATGCTTATAATATACGAACCCTGTACACCATCGTAAGTCGTCGAATGGAATGATTTGGAAAAAAAGGATCGTTACAACAGGTTTTCTACAAGGCCCATCACCTCCTGCTAACCCCAAGACGGCCTCACTACTCCCCCTCGGAACCCGTCAGCTCGACTTGGCCTTCCTCATCTCCTCCTCCTTATGCCTCAACCACCACCCGATATCCCACCCTTCGAAAACCTGCTCCAATTCTTTCCTCGCGCTTGCCTCACTATCCGAACCTAAGACGGCACGGCAGAAAACACCCAAGGTTCAGTAAACACGTTCGGACCGAGCAAGCAAACTCACCCTAAAAAACCGCGATCCGTCTCTTCAAGACATACCATGGAACCCATTCCTCGTATCACTGATCCCGTACTTGGCCCTCAAACCCAACCCACTCTCACCCTCACTCTGACCGTCCTGTACTGACGTCCATTGACCTTTATATACGTGCGTAGGACCGATCAATTGACGCCAAGTTTGGATCGAGGACGGTCCGTAGAGGGCTAGGGTGAGGAGAGGGGAGGAAGTGGCGTGTTGGACCTTTTGGAAGAGGGGAGTGGGATCGGGAAGGGAGGGAAGTGGAGGGGAGGTTAGGTTCGGGGGTGGTAAGTGATGGGGAGAGGGGGAAAAGGTGCGCACTAGGCGGGGGAAGTAGAAACGGCCTAATGGGAGTGGGGTGGGAAGCAGGCGATAAGTCAGGTTTTTTTCCCCCCGTTGGGCTCGGCAGGCGGACGCGGGTTCGGGGAGGGGAAGACGTACCTGCGTGTTCGCTGTAGAACTAATTTCGGGGGAAAGTGCGAGTGAACACGAGGAAGGGTTGCGAGGGCAACCATCAGTCGGGATCCTAAGACCGTTAGACCTGAGAAGGATAATGCATTACCTTTTCGGCATCTTGGGTTTTCCAGAACATGCGTTTTTGTCGGACGATCTGAAGGAGAGAGAAGGAAGAGGTCAGATGGGGGTGATCTTTCAGCTTTGTGGTTGAGGATGATAGTTCGATCCGTCTGTTCCGATCCGAGAGACGAGTTGCGAACAACACAACTCGATTCGTTGACGCTTCCGCGGGAGCACGAGAGGGAGCGGGCTCGCTTGCACGCACTTCGAGTCCACTTTGTTTGATCGTCTGCAGGACCTCTGTAGTGAGCATCATAGATTGGATCAGCTAATGTCCCAAGGCGAGCATCGACCCCACGTTGAGGAGGTTCGTCGTTCTTCCCCAAGTGGGGGAACGAACCCTCGCCAACTCGACGGAAGCACGTACCTTTCACTTGGGCCTGTGAGCTACATACGGAAGGCTTGATGATCCCTAGAGTGAGTTGAAGGGGCCCAGCTGCTGGGATGGGCGGCATCGAGTGGTGAGGTGTGTACAGAGGGGAGTGGGAGACAGCTACTGGCGACGACTCCCGCAGCGCCGGTCGGTGAGGCAACCACTGCGACAGACTGAGACTTGCACCTTCGCCGACGTCCGTGGCGCGAACGCGAGTCGATCGAGTCGTTGGTTCCGACTTTCACTTTTCGGGACCACAAGTAGGGCTTCGACAACGTAGAAGGGAAATTTTGCTACTTTATTTTTGCGTCAAAGGATTTCGGGAAATTCTTCCGGGGGGTCGGTCTATTCCAAGCAAGCGCCGAGTATTAATCCCCGTAACTTGCCATTGAAGATTGAAGCATGCGCGCTGGGCCGTTACCGCGCCTTTTTTGGTGGGCGCTCGTCGACTCGTCGTCGCCCGACTGCCGCCCGTTGGCGCGCTCAGGGCAGCTCAGGGCGCGGGTGGCTCAGACCGTCTCGCTCACTCTTTGCCTCTGCCACGGTTCATCGTCTGCCCAGATTCCATCCTGAATCTGAGCTGACCATGTCGGACCTCAACGCACGTAAGTATTCGCACTACAGGTTGTGCCTCGCAAGCGGGTGTCGCGTCCCTTCGCCCTCACCCCCTCACCCCCTCGCCTGCTCCCCCCTGTCGCATCCCCGGACATTGGGCTCGGCAGGGCGGCAGGGCGGCCGGGGATCCGCCACGATCGTCTTTCGTCCTCGTCGTATAGCAATCAAAGTACGGCGGTCAGCGAGGACGACTTTCAAAGACACCCCTGACTGGGCCACTCTGAAGGACTCGTCAGGTGGCCGCCTATCTCGCTTCAGCGGGTCGTTCTGGCGCCGGACGGGGTGTGGTCGTGTGTCCGGTGACGGTGGTCCTCGTCGGCGTTGGCGGGTGGGCCTGGGCGCGGGGGCCAAGGCTGGCGATGGGCTCTGCGGACGGGCAGCGTCGAACGATGCTCGGCTCCGATAACACCCGTCGCACATTATCATGCATCACCATTGCCCCGATGGTCATCTCTAGGGATATCATTCCTAGCCTGGATCACATCCGGCGCGTTGAAATAGCCGTCAGCTGACCCCGCTCGCTCTCCGGTCCCATTCCGCCTGGCTGCTCCACTCGCAATCCCACAGCCACGATCCCACTCAAGACCCCCAACTCACCCACGCCCGTCCTCCCGCCTACCCCACAAGATGTAAAGCGTCGGCTCAGCGTCCTAGTCCCCCGCGTCGACACGAGCGCCACCACCGCCGCTTCAGGCTCCACTTCCTCGGCAGGACAGTCCCGATTCGCGCCTGCTTCTCCCTCGATGCCGACTTCTCCGGGCGCCAACTTGAACGCTTCGATGGGGTCCAAACAGGTGAGCGCGTTCGCAGCAATACCAGTCAAGAAAAGGTCAGCACCTAACGCTGCGCCTGGACGGAAAATTTTATTCTCACAGGCCCAAGCTTCGTCTTCGGCACTTTCGTCCTCGGGCATGTCTTCCACTTCCGAGGACGAAGCTGATACGTCTTCTTCGACTACCGCCCAAGCTCGCAATAATCAGAATAACGCACAAGTGCCCCTCTCCGCCATCTCCGAAGCCGACTCGGGGACCGATTCCGACGCCTCCTCCGACGCTGCAGGCGAACGAAGTCATCGTCGTGCTCGAGGATTAGGTGTTCCAGCTGATCAAGTGACCAAAGCGATGGAGAGGTTGAGGATCAGTCGGGAGAGTAGTCGGCTGGCCGAGAGTGTGGCGCTCAAGGGGGGTTATCTGATGAAGAAGGGGGAGAGGAGGAAGGCTTGGAAGAGGAGGTGGTTCGTCTTGCGCGGTGGCCGGTTGGCGATGTACAAGAATGAAAAAGTGCGCAACTCACGTTTTCGGACCCTGTACAAGGCGTTGCTGACGGTGTTGGAGATGACCGCACAGGAATATCGCTTGCTTCGGTTGATCCCTCTCGCCGACATCCACACCTGTTCGCCGATCGAACTCAAGAAACACGCCCACACCTTCGGCATCGTCACCCCGAAACGCACCTACTACGTCAAAGCCGATTCGGAACGAGAGGTGCGCGAATGGTGCCAGGCCGTGCAACAAGCCAAGAGGGATCTTACCGCTTCGACGACGGTGACTTCGCTTCCCGACGGCGGGTCCGGAGATATCACACCCTTGGGGAAAGGGGCTCGTAGTCCAGGGGTGGGGAAACTGGTGCCGAATCTACCGAATCTTTCGACTTCGACCACGGCAGCCGAGCAAAGGGGAAGTTTCATCCCGTCGCCAGAGTTGCAACCGATGCGCAACTTCCCTTCGTCGCCTATTGCCGTGGGAGGTCCGATCAACGGTACCGAAGCTGGTTCGGGTCTGTCGTCATCTTACACCTCTACCTCTTCCGGCGGTGGTGGCGGAGGAGCAGCAGGTCTCGGCATCCCCGGCGCATCGGGCTCGACCAACCGAAGTGGCTCGACCGCGCCTCCCAACTCGTTCGCGCCCGGTGCGGAAGGAGCCTTGGGTCTTCGAGGCGCGGATGGCCATACGCTCGAACTCAACGCCGTCGATGCGGGACTCGCTCGGCAAGGTTCGCAACAACGCTCGAATAGTATCGTCAGTGATCGGAGTACGGGCAGGGACTCGTACCTCGGTGTGAATGTCGCTGGGGCTTCGGCAACGGGAGGAGGAGGGGGGGATTACTTTGGTGGTGGGAGTGGGGCGCTATCGAGAACTTCGATGTCGTTGAATCCACCTCTCAGTCCTGGAGGAGGTGGTGGAGTGTCAAGTTCAGAGGACGAAGACGGGTTCGACACCTACGATGCTTCGTGGATTGGTACCTCAACTGCTCCACCCGCTTCCCCCGGTCCGGCAGGGGGAACCTCTCGTCAACTCACCTTTGCCGAACAAGCTCCCACAACACCCCTACGGTCCCCCGTCGCTCCTACTACGAACCCTCCTTCAACCCCTGGAACTGGTTTCACCGACCCCAACAAGATCATCCTTTCCGGTTATTTGATGAAACAAGGCAAACGCAAAACGTGGCGTAAACGATGGTTCGTATTAATGTCGACGCGGTTGATGTATTCGAGGTCGCATATGGAAGGCAAGATCCATCGGCAGATCCCGTTGAGTAAGATCTTGGACGCGATCGAATTCGAAGGCACCAAGACGGGTGGGGGTGGGGTCATGGGTTCGATTCCGGGAACGCCCTTGTTGGGTAATGGAGGTTCTTCAAGTACGGGAGGGGGAAGTGGTGGTGCAGGGGGTTTGAATACGATGCCGGGCAGTGATGGTCGCGCAGGTGGAACTGGCTCGACGTTCGATCATTGCTTCAAGATCATCACTCCGAAAAGAACGTTCTTGGTCTGTGCTCCGTCGGAGGAGGATGAGATCAAGTGGTTGGCCGCGTTGCAGTGTCTGGTGCAGAGGAAGAATGGAACGAATGGTGCGGTCGTCGGTGGGGTCGCGACGACGAGTGGGGGGTCGGGAGGTGGAGCAGGAGCAGGGGCGCCGATCGCGCAAACTACGTCGACGTCGAGTGCGTCATTGGTAGCTCAAGCGCCGCCCGTTACGAGACGACCTTCGGCGCTGGGGATCGGGAGGAAGAGGAGCGTCACGGATGCGGCGAAGGAGGCGGTCGATGAGGTCGAGAGGAGGTATCATCCCACGAGTCAGGTTGCGTAGACGTAGATGGGTTGGGGATGAGAGCCGTTTCGGCGGGGTAGGGAATGCAGATGCGAGTGTTTTTGGACTACTTTTCAGACACGCCGGTTCGGCCACCTAGAGCGAGCGAGAGAGAGAGAGAGAGACAAAGACTCTTCCCCCCCCCCCGAAGAAAAATTCGCCATTCCATGTTGCAAATCGTACCTAGAACATCTACTTGATCTTCGGCCTCTTACCCCCTCCCCCACCGGCACCCATCTCATGCACCTCCACTTCGACACCGACGAATTCGAGACCGTTGTCATGAATTGAGGGCCGGCGCGGGTGAGGTTTGGTGCTGGACGTTGGGGTTGCTGCAGCGGGTGGTGCGGGTCCGGTTGTGGATGGTGTAGGTTCGGAAGGCTCGGAGGGTAAGCGACGTTTCTTTTCATTCATGGTGTTTGTCGGTGATGTTATTGAGGAGGGCTGGGTGGAGGAGATGGGTGCTACGGCGGCGGTGTGGGTAGTGGTCGTGGTCGTTGTGGAGGTGATTAGGCTCGGGTTGCTGAAGACGCCTTTGTACGTTTGACGCATTGCGACTACGGCAGTACAGAGCAAAGATGCATCAGATCTGAAAGTAACCCTCTCCGAGAATGAAGCGGTGTGCACGCACGGCCTTTGAGAATCACGCGTTGAGGATGACTCGAGATCGCCTCCTTCGCCGAAGTGGGATCCAAGCCGATCAACGAGCATCTGTGCTCACAATTCAGTTGGCATCAGCATCCCAATAATTCCCCATCCCCCAATTTTCAAGCTCATCCGCAACTCCCACTCACAGATTAATCATATCCTTGACCCCTCTCATTTCCCCCTTCCCCTTCGCCCAACTACTCAACACCACCCCTCCCCCACCCATCGCGCGTACGATCTCCCTCGCTCCAGAGATCCAATTCCTTCTCCTCGTACTACTCGCATAATTCGATGCACCCGCTTCGTCAGCACATGTGATACCACGATAGACGATCTCGATTTTCAATCCCGAGCGTTGGAGGGTATGGATCAGCCCTCGTTTTAGCGGGAAGGGTAGGCGAGGGGATAGGGAGGGATCGAGGGTGATCAAGCTGGGGGCATAGGGGGAGGAGGCGGAGAGGGAGAGGGACACGTGACTGAAAGAGGTGAGGGTTGTGGGTTGGATCGAAAGGAGGGTTGTCGAGGGGGGAAGGAGGGAGGATGTGGATTGACTCTGTAGGGCAGGGAGAAGGAGGGTCAGATTTTTCGTTCTTTGGAGAACCGAGGAGGGGGGGCCACCACTTGCCAGGCCGAATTGTCCGCGATGGGAAACGCTCTTGACTTGCTCGTCGCCGTAGTCTCGGATATGGATACGCCATAGCTGCAGGATCTGGTCTTCTACCAAAGGTGTCGAAGAGGAGGAGATCTGGGCTGTTCGGGGGTCCAAGTCGGGGTAAAGTGGGGTGGGGAAGGAGAGTAAAGAGGGGTCTGTGGTCGTTGGGATGGATATGACGAGGCATATGGTGGAGTAACCGACTGTGGAAGGGATGGTTTGAGGTTCTAAGTGACCAGGAACGGGGTGCAGAGCTCCACAGCGCAGTCAACGCACGCGTCGCGGCCAGCTCGACCTTGTCCCTCATATCCTTTGCTTCTGCACTCGTCCATGATCCCACAAGATCGTGTTTAGCTCTGTCCGACGCTGAAGATCGACCTTGTTCCTTCGTTGCATGGCTGGCTTTGGCCTTGCCCTTGGCTTTAGCTGAGGACGAGGTGGAGGCGGAGGTGGTGGCTTGTTCGATCACGCGGCTCGGTCCGAGGTGGAGAGGGACCAGAATTGAGTCGATGTAGCCGTGCATACCGAATGGGAATCTGGAACGAACTCCCGGGAGGGGGGGTGGAGGGAGGAAGAGGAGATAAAGTGGAGCGCGATCAGTCTCATGCCCCGCGCTTCGCAATTAATAGGCCGTCAAGAGTCGGCGGCGGTCCGAGCTCAGCAGGCGCACTCAAGTTTTATCGTCTACTATCATCAAAAAGAGAAAAGAAAGAAAAAGGTCACAGGCTATATATAAATATTTCTTCCGGCCGAAGCAGACGTAAGTATGATGCCGTCTACTAGAGTTTTACTGCCGAGGCGCCGCAACGACTCTGCGGCGACTACTGCACGCACACACAATGCTATCAGGACCACAAAGGTAGAAGTAGCAGCTTGCCAAGATCTTCGATCGACATAACGCCTCGGACAAGGTCATACAACTATTCGCTGGAAGGCGGAGGCGGTGCAGTGACGGCGTCACGGCGGCAAAGGCAATCGGAACAGGAGAGGTAGTAGCGAGAAGTGGGAGTGATGAGGAGTTGTACATACGCCACATTGAGGACGGGAGGGAATAGAGGAGTGGAGCTGTGTTCCTCTTGGCTTTCGGCATTATGCACGTTAGTCGAACCGATCGATGGAATGAGCAGACTTTTACCTTTTGAGAAAGGCTGGGGGAGAACGTGTGCCGCATCAGTTGGGCGGCTCGAGGTAGTCTGAGGTTTCAAGGGGATATATATTCATCGATCGGCGGTGATGTTCGATGGCATCGTTCAGGAAGACATGGCCACCTCTTCCCTTGCAGCGCTTTCAGCTGCTTCCGCTCGGAGGCGCAGCCTCCCAGATATCAGTTGAGACTTATGCTAGTATCTACCAAGTATATCGCACCTCACTCCCATAGAATTCACTTCAGCGAGTGTTGAATTTGCCACATATATCAACGTAACGGTGGAGCAATAAGTGTATACGCATTTCCTGGGCGTTGAAGAGTTGCCCCTCGGGCCGACGTTTCCGGGGCAAAGCGCCATTGGGGGAAACACAAATGTCTGACATGTGATCAGACGATTTCAAACGGGAAGACTGTCATGTGATACATTTAGACAGCGGATGAGGTAAAGCGTTCACACGCCATGCGGTGCAGGTTCAACTTCGGTCTCGGCTAAGCCCGTTAAGGCCCCTCCTATCTCCTATTGCAAGACCGAACTTGACTCAGAACCGCCCTCTGACGATCGCCAACGCGGGGCGGGCCTTGTCAGCCTTGAAAGAGATTGGATGTCCCAGTGGTGAGGAACTTCATGCTCCAGGATACCCACCTACCGTGAACACCTCAGACGACATCTCTTACCTCAGACAAAACGAAGAAGCCCAGCCGGGCCGACCTCTGCCGTGGCGGACGACTTTAGGCGGTGCAGTGTTGCCGAATCGGAAGTCACTAGTGACCACACACTAGTTTGACAGGTTTCCGGCTCCTGCAATTGCACCTCATGGCTCTACTGACAGTTTCCATGATGACCCGATGAAGCGCTGTAGGCTAATCCTTCCGCCGACCCCGAACCGCACTGAAACATCAGACACCGCCCACGGCGCCCAGTGCGGACAAAGACCCGCTACGAGGCCAAACATGACAAACCAGACCGAACGGTGGTTCATGACCGGCGCAGTACTTTAACCCGTTCGGTTTATCCTCCCTACCTCTCCTTCCTATTCGTCACTTCGCTCCTCAACTCTTCACTGGAACTTCAGCTCGAGATGAAAGCATCGCTCCTCTCCCTCGTCGGCCTTGCGCTCGCGATCACCGTCGTTCAAGCTCAAGGACGCGACCGGCCGGCCATCGACGACTCCGACGAACTCGGCTGTACTCCAGCAACTTGCCGTGGCGGCAGATGTGAGAGGGGTTGGTGCATTAGAGATGAGTGGCGTCTTCCTCGGCCTGGCTTCCATGACCCTGAGTTACCTGGACCCGGTGAAGCCTCGGAGTGTGCCTCTTGCGTCACGACGTAAGTGACGGAACTTGCCCGGCCCCGCCGGTGGTCCGGTCTGCCACCCGACCCGACCCCGGGAGCTACTTGCATCGACAACTTTCACAATGCCACTGTCTGATTAGTGTTCCCTCTTCATCAGGCTCGACACCTGCTTTGCTGACTGCGGTCGCAAAGCCTTGGGCAGGCCTTGTAGTGACAACTGCTACCGAGCGTGAGTACCTTCCCAGCTCGAGTTTCGAAGGCGTTGCCCCATGCATTGGGGCAGTTCCCCAACGAACCGAGGTCGGGTACTGAATCCGTAGGACATACGGCGTGCAGGAAAAATACCTGTGTGAAGGAGTATTGTTCCAAATAGTCCTTCCCGGCTCAAGGTATTCGATCCCGGCCTTCCCGCACGGCGCAGTCGAGGATTCACAAGGTGGTGGCGGCGGCGGCGACGACGACGACGAACGACAACGGTTGGAACAGGAGAGGGCGAGGATGAGTAGGAGAAGGTGTGCTGGGCGGTATTAGGGATGAGCTGAGATGGGTTGCTGGGCGGTATTAGGGATGAGATGAGATGGGTTGAGGTGAGACGGCGAGAGATGGCGAGGTGGACGTGAGCTTGTTTGGTCTTTGGTGTTTGTTCATATTGGTTGGATCAATGGAATGCGCAGATTCTTCACTTGGGAATGCTTGGGGGAGAACGCCTCTGGTGTGTGCACTTTTCCTCGTAGTTTCCGGCGAGACAGCGATCACGTTGGATGTTATCGTTGCTATCACTCGATCAGCCATGGTCGACTCTTCCCATGCACCGCCTTGCCTGCACCCAGAGAGGCTGCCCCGGATGGCAAGAGAAATGTGATCTCCAACAGATCATTCCTATACAGTACTTATCGATGAACCAGAAGCATGCCTCAAACACCTATCCATAGGATGTACCCTGTTGTCGCAAGATATCCCTACGACCGTCCCGATCTTTCCTCCTTGACTCGGAAAATCTTGTCGATCGGGCTTGAAAAAAAGTTGCTGGGCGATCCGCGGACTGTGATCCACCCTCGAAGCCCATCGAGCGATCTTTCATCCTCATCGATGTAAAGCTTTCGATCTTAGTAAGATGTGGGAGCCCAGGGGAGGGAGATCGAATACTAGAATACGGCCACGAGATTGGAGCTCTAGACAGGAGAGTACGGCGAAGAGGAGAGCGAGCGAGGCCGGGAAGCGAAGCGGGGAGATGGAGAGGGAGAGAGAGAGAGAGAGAGAGAGAGGGAGAGAGAGAGAGAGAGAGAGAGAGAGAGAGAGAGAGAGAGCGACCAGGACTTCGACTTGGGATGAGAAGGAAGGTTGGGATGTGCAACCGCGAGGCACTACTTCTTTCGAGTCGAGGTGAAAACTCTGACGTTTACGTACAAGGACTGTGGATTCCAGTATTTACACAAGAGTACGGTGGAGAAGGAAGGAGAGAGAGAGGGAGAGATCAGAACCGCAGCTTCGGATCGCGAGAGTTGAACCGCGATCCCCGACCAATCAGATACTATATACCACGTCGATATAATCAAACGTGGCTTCTCAATACCCCAAAAATCATCACATTACCCTGAAAGATGGCCCGAATACTGGCACAGATCGTGATGACTCGACTCGAAGCGTTCGTCACAGACCAGTGCAGTCCGACCCTCAGGCCTCATGCCACGGGGTCACGCCGAGTGGGCTCCCACAGGCGCACAGGCTCCCACCACGCGCAGGCGCGCAGGCTCTCAGCGTCACGGCCGTCGTGTGGGTTTGGTCCGTCGCACCGGAAGCGCCAAAACTCGGGTCGCACCAGCACCCCCTACGTGGATACGCGGAGCACACCGACTTGTCAAACATGGCACCTCCCAGCAAGAGGGAACACTCGCCCGCACCGGTTGCATCGTCGTGCACCGCTCAACCGCTGCTGGTCTCGCCCCCGTCAAGCAAGAAGGCTCGCATCGATGCCGCTACGAGTGCTTCAGCTTCCACCTCGAAGCCACCCATCATGGCCAATGTGGTCGCCACAGACGAGTTCGAGACCGAGGCCAAGACGACCGTGCCTGTAGCTGGATCAGGCGCAGCTCAAGCTGACGGCGAGGGCGACGACAAGCCGGGTCAAGGGCTTATTCTGACTCATGCTGTGAGTGTAGTGGGGCTAGACTGTGCTCAAGTACACTACTGATCGTTCCATCACTCACTCACTGCCAGGTGCGCCACCAAGTCGCGCTCCCCCCTTCGTACGCTTACGTTCCCATCGCCTCGCACGTCCCGCCCGCCGAACCCGCCCGAACGTATCCCTTTGAACTCGATCCGTTCCAAAAAGTGTCCATCGCCTCGATCCAACGCAACGAATCCGTGCTCGTTTCCGCTCATACTTCGGCGGGAAAAACCGTCGTCGCCGAATATGCGATCGCGCAGTGCCTCAAGGCGGGCCAGAGGGTCGTGTATACCAGTCCGATCAAGGTGCGTCTAGGAATGAGCACCGTACGAGTAGGGTTGGATGTTTACTGACCCCACTCTCCTCGGTGTTACAGGCTCTGTCGAATCAAAAGTACCGAGAGATGCTCGCCGAGTTTGGGGACGTCGGGCTCATGACGGGCGATGTCACCATCAATCCGACCGCGTCGTGCCTCGTCATGACCACAGAGGTGAGCACATGAATCCGTACTCGGTCAACTCCTACATACATCGAATTGACATGCACACCCCACTGTTGCAGATTCTCCGATCGATGCTCTATCGCGGTTCCGAAATCATGCGCGAGGTCGCCTGGGTCATCTTTGACGAGATCCACTACATGCGCGACAAGGAACGTGGTGTCGTCTGGGAAGAGACCATCATTCTCCTACCCCACACGGTCCACTACGTCTTCCTCTCCGCAACGATCCCGAACGCGATGGAGTTTGCCGAATGGATCTGCGCGACTCATCAACAACCTTGTCATGTCGTTTATACCGATTTCCGACCCACCCCTTTGCAGCACTACCTTTTCCCTGCGGGCGGGGACGGGATACATCTTGTGGTCGATGAAAAGGGCGCGTTCAGAGAGGACAACTTTCAAAAGGCGATGGGAGCTTTGGCAGAAAAGGCGGGGGAAGATCCTGCTAGCTCGACGGGGGGAAAGGGGAGAAAGGGGCAGACCAAAAAGGGGGGTCCGAAAGGTCAGTTCATGTGAGCGAGCGCAGCGTCGTTTGGGTACGCGATTGACATGTTGTCAAAAACAGGCCCGACCGATATCTTCAAAATTGTCAAGATGATCATGGTCAAAAACTACAACCCCGTTATCGTTTTTGCCTTTTCCAAGCGCGAATGCGAGGCCCTGGCCTTGCAAATGACCAAACTCGAGTTCAACACCGAGGACGAACGAGGCATGGTCACTTCCGTGTTCCAGAACGCGATCGCGAACCTCTCAGACGACGATCGACAACTACCTCAGATCGAACATATCCTACCCTTGTTGAAGCGAGGGATCGGAATCCATCATGGTGGTCTCTTGCCCATCCTCAAGGAAGTGATCGAGATCTTGTTCCAAGAAGGCCTGATCAAAGTTCTCTTCGCCACCGAGACCTTCTCCATCGGCCTCAACATGCCCGCCAAAACCGTCGTCTTCACCTCCGTGCGCAAATACGACGGCCGGGACTTTCGCAACCTCTCAGGAGGCGAATACATCCAAATGTCCGGACGCGCAGGACGACGTGGCTTGGACGACCGAGGTATCGTCATCATGATGACCGACGAGAAATTGGAACCTGCCGCGGCGAAATCGATGGTCAAGGGCTCGGCCGATAGGCTGGATTCGGCGTTCCATCTGGGGTATAATATGATCCTCAACTTGATGAGGGTCGAAGGGTTGACGCCCGAGTATATGTTGGAGAGGTGTTTCTTCCAGTTTCAGAATGCCGCGAATGTGCCACATTTGGAGGATGGTGAGTGACGAGTCGGATCAAGTCCGTAGGGCCGAGACCAGGCGCTGATAAATCGTGTTCTTGAACGTGACCAGAGTTACGAGTGCTGGACGAACAAAAAGCAGAGATCGTTATCCCCGACGAGGACAACATCGCCGACTACTATGATTTACGTCAACAACTCGACCTGCTCAACAAGGACCTCCGCGACGTCCTGAACCACCCTACCTATGCGCTTCCCTTCCTCCAACCAGGTCGATTGGTTCGCGTCAAGCACGACGACCTCGACTTTGGCTGGGGTTGCGTCGTCAACTACCAGAAACGACTCGGTCCCTCGGGAAAACCACTTCCCGCCGACGAACCTGCTCAGAACCAATACATCGTTGACGTCCTACTCAATTGTGCCGTCGGTTCGACCCCCGGCCCCACCAAAAAAGGTCAAGCCGCTTCAACGACCTGGATCCGACCCTGTCCCCCAAAAGAACAAGGCGAATTCGCCGTCGTTCCCGTTCTACTCTCCACCCTCGATGGTATTTCGCATATCAGGATCTTCCTCGCCAAGGATCTGAAACCTGTTGAGGCTAGACAGCAGGCTTGGAAGAGTGTTCAAGAGGTCAAGAGGAGGTTCCCGGATGGGGTGGCGTTGTTGGACCCGGTGCAGAATATGGGTATTACGGATGAACCGTTCAAGAAGTTGTTGAGGGTGAGTTTGAAGCCGTAGGCTTGGCAATCGAAGCAGGAAGCTGTGATGAATGCGAGCGAGCTGACGTGTTGTCGATTTCCTTCGTCGTGTTGCAGAAAATCGAGATCCTCGAAGCGCGATTGGTCAGCAACGCCTTGCATTCCGATCCCAATCTGTCGACCCTCTACGACCAATACGCCTCCAAGCAATCCGTGCAAACGCAAATCCGTTCTTTAAAAAAGCGTATCCAAGCCGCGCATTCGGTCATGCATCTCGACGAACTCAAGAACCGTAAACGGGCTCTACGTCGATTGGGCTTCGCGTCGAACGAGGACGTTGTCGAACATAAGGGGAGGGTCGCGTGCGAGATCAGTTCGGGCGACGAGTTGTTGTTGACCGAGATGGTGTTCAATGGCGTGTTCAACGAATTGACGCCGCAGCAGACAGCGGCGCTGTTGAGTTGTTTCGTCTTTGATGAAAAGGTATGAATGCCTCTTTTCCGATCTGTGCGTTCGAAACGAACGGCGATATTGATCTGGGGACGTGTGCGAGTCATACAGAGCGAACAAACGAGTAAACTCAAGGAGGAGCTTTCGGGCCCTTTGAGGGTCATGCAAGAAGCCGCGAGGAGGATCGCAAAGATTGCCATCGAGTCCAAGTTGCCTTTGGTTGAAGGCGAGTGGAGACTTGAAAGGAATTACTGGTACACGTGTAGGGGTGCTGACCCAAGCTGTTCTTGGTGGGGTCAGATGAGTACGTCGCCTCGTTCAAACCCGAATTGATGGACGCCGTCTTCTCGTGGTGCAACGGCGCGAAATTCTCCGAGATCTGCAAGGTCCGTTCTTCTGCTTGACCATTGTGGCTTTTTTCTTGGTGATGCGGTGCTGCTTTGTATGTTGACTTTGGATTGAACGCGCGTCATCAGATGACGGACGTCTTTGAAGGCTCGCTCATCCGCGTGTTCCGAAGGTTGCAAGAGCTGATTCGACAGATGTCGATGGGTAAGTTTCTAGGATTCGGTACACTTTTCGAAACAGGTCGTATCCCTGACGCCATCATGCATCCCCTGTACTCTTTGTAGCCGCCAAAGCGATCGGTTCGGAAGAGTTGGAGAAGAAGTTCCTCGACGCGCTCGCTTGCCTCGAGAGGAGCAACTCGGTTGCGTTCGCGGCCAGTTTGGTACGTCCCTTATCTCCCTGGTTTCATATTTTGAAACGTCCAGGAGAAGCTGTTACTGACTATCGGCTTTGGATCGGGTTTCTTTTACTTTCATACTGCAGTATCTATAAGGGGCGAGAGGTTTCGGGTCTCGTGGCTGTACAGAGCGTTGTCGGGTGCTTGCTCTCCTTATACATTCAATCGTTGTGTGCGCAATGCTTAAGCTGTTCCTTGCAACACGAGTACGTCGATGCGAATGTATGTACGGGATTAATTGAATTGCATGTGAAAGAACTCACATGAAGATAATGATGGAGGCTGTCCCGATCTTTGAACACCGAGGACGAGGACGGAACCCCGCCCTACTTCGAAGGAAGATGGGGTCCAGCTCGATGGTCGAAGCGTGTTGGCAGGGAGGACTCACGTCAATGGACGAGCTTGAACAGCATGATGAGAACGTTGAGGGGTCTTGGTGATCGATCGATCGGACAACGAGGGTCAAGCCTATTGAGGTTTCGTCGGGCTACTGTGCAGTTACGCCTCGATCGACTTACTACTCTCCTCCATAAAACCTCGTTGGTAACTCCACAGTTCAAGAAGGGCTCTTGTACTTCATCTTGGCGCTATTGAATAACGAGTCTGTGTTGAACCTCGTGCAGCAGATATCTGGCACTGGCAAGCGGTACCACCGCGCAAAGTTGCAGGTTTGAACGCATCCCAAGCCGTTCGCCTGGTCGTCGTCGCCATTGCCAGCCGTGAGTGCGTGATGACGAATAGCTCTATGAGGGCGTGTGCAATTGTGTGCGAATTGATTGGAAGAAGGGAAAGAAACACAACTTTAAGCGAATGGAAGTTTTTCCCAGGTTTGGGCAGCGGGGCTCGATAACAAGCGTACGCCACTGGACTCGATGAGTGGGGGACAGACAGGGGCCCCGGCGGAGCCGCTTAATTGCCGCGTACCAAGCTCCACTTTTTGCTTCTTTTTCGCTTCGCTCACTAGCCAGCTTATAGCTGCTGTGCACTATTCGGAGCAGCTGATTATCATGGATATCTTACATAATATTCGTCTGGCACAAGATCGCTGATGTCTCAGCGTTTGGGTCCCCGAGACTCCGAGGGGATTAGCGACTTGCAAACCCCTGGCACCCTCGGAAGTGGAGCGCGCGCGATTTGTCAAGGCAGCCAGCCGATCACGTGAGATCACGTGGTCGGGAATGCGCGAAATAACGAGGGCAGGCTCGCGCGGTCGCGACTCGCCTTCTGTCTCCGTCTCCGCGTCTCCGCGTCACACGTACACCGCCGCTCGGGGTCTCCCTTCATTCATATCCCTCGGCTAGTGCCCAACCACATAGCTCATGTCGACCTCATTGCTGGTGCACAACCTGCACTGCCCTTCCTGCGTCTCGCACGTGACGACGCTGCTCTCCTCCGCTCCGCTCTTGCTCGACCCCGGCTACATCACCGTCTCGCTGCTGACTCGCCTCGTCACTTATCGTCCCCGCTCTGGTACGCGCCAGGCTGATGTGGTAAATGTGCTTCGAGAGGGAGGATTCCAAGTCGAACCGGGTCCCTTGAACTCAACCCCGACCTCGACATCGGCCGCTCCATCTTCCTCCCCGTCGTCGGCAGCTTCACCCGGCGCTGTGCCCGACCCAACCGGAGCCGACCGGATCGAGCGCCGGCCGGAAGATGCGTGGTACATCTCACGAAGCAAGCGAAGGCAGAGAGAAGCGCAGCACCAAGAGGAGCAGCGCAGAAGGGAGCAAGTGCATCGCCAATCCTGTCGAGCCTGTCGTGGCGAACTTTCTCCGACACCGTCCAAACTCGGAGAAGGAGATATCGGCAAGGGCAAAGCCAAGGAGGAATGCGTCGTACCCTTCAACTCGCTCGCAAATGTTGTCAATTCGACGTTTGTCGTCTCTGGAATGACGTGCGCAAGCTGCGTCAATGGTTTGCAGTCGGCCCTCTCCCAGAACCCGAGGATCAAGTCCCAGCAAGTCACGCTGCTGCCGAATCAAGCCGTGGTGTCGCACGACCCTGCGCTCTCCGTAGACCACGTCAGGGGGATGATCGAGGATGCTGGATTCGATGCCGAGCTCGTCGAGAGCGTCAATGTGGCCGACACTCGAGGCAAGGGCGTAAGCGAAAAGTCGGATCAGGCAAATTCGGGATGGTACGAGTCGAAGTTCGTGATTGAAGGCATGACTTGCGCGTGAGTTCCTTTCGTTTACGAAGCAAGCAAATGGTGCTGACCACGTCTTGGTGATCAGGTCCTGCGTACAATCGCTCAATGGCCTCTTTGAACAACCGACACCGGGTTTACGTTCCGCTCAAGTGACCCTGCTTCCCGCCCTCGCGACCGTCGTTCACGACCCAAACGTCCTTCCCACCGATGTTCTGATCGAGATGATCGAAGATCGAGGGTACGGTGCCGAGCTATTGTCCTCAGTCCCGGTGCATGGCGCAAAGGGCGCTGGTGCCGATATTCAAATGAGAACGGTCAAACTGCGTGTCGAGGGTATGTTTTGCAGGTCAGTCGGCAGCTGGCTCGAGAGGCCATCCGAGTGTTCTGACCAAAATTCTTGGGCCATCCACAGCAAATGCTCGATGGCCATCAACACATATCTGGACTCGCTGCAGACGGCGGGGACGATCATCAGCTTCGACCCTTGTTCGATGGCATCGCCGGCCTTGAGCCTGACGTATGTGCCTCAGCCGCCTCATGGTTTCACGTTGCGCACTCTACGTTCTTCGATCGAGTCGTTCGGACCTTTCACGCTCCACCCGGTGCACACCTCATCGGTCCTGACCTTGCTCGCTCGTCAAGCCCAAGCTCGCGAGTCCCGCTTGATCCTGTTACGACTCTGCATCACCGTCCTCTTTGCAATTCCGGCTTTCATCATCGGTATTGTATTTGTATCACTGCTGCCCTCGTCGAAGTCTCTTCGGCGCTACTTTGAAGAGCCTTTGTGGGGGTCCGCGTCTCGCGCGATGGTCGTTCTGTTCATTCTCGCAACACCCGTGCAGTTTGGCGTCGGATTCTTCTTCTATCAACGCGCGTGGCATAGCTTGCGAGGCGTATGGAGGAGGGGAGGATGGCGGGAAAAGTTATTGAGATGGGGTAGCATGGACACGCTTGTCGCTCTGGGGACCACGGGGGGCTACGCCGCTTCGGTCGCTTTTCTGACGATCGAGGTGAGGACGCAGCCTAGTGAGACGATGGGAGCGAGCATGGAGATGGGTTACTTTGATTCATCGGTTCGTTATAGGTCCATCGCTCCGTCATTTCCACGAGCCGTCGCTTACTCTTTTTCGTTATATCATCCTTTCAGATTTTCCTCATGATGTTCATTCTACTCGGTCGCTACCTCGAAGGGATCAGTCGTCAACGCACCGGTGACGCGATCGATGGGCTGGCCAACATGAAGGCCTCCACAGGATTACTTTACAGTGGTTCGCTCGCATCGCACGCCGCACATGTGGACGCGATCGGTGACGAAGATAACAAGTCTACCTCCGAGGCCGACTTGGACGCCGCGGCCCAAGGCTCGTCGATCACCCATGAGCTCGAGGTGGACTATTTCGAGATCGACGATATTCTCCTCGTACCTTCTGGGTCCTCCGTCCCTCTCGATGCGGTGGTTCTCCCTAATTCTTCGTCATCCAATTTTGATGAATCGTCGCTCACAGGCGAATCACTCCCTATTCTGAAACAATCGGGTGATGCGGTCTTTGCCGGAACGACGAATCTGGGCCCTTCGGCGGTGCTCGTGCGAGCGACCTCGAACGCTGGCTCGACGATGCTCGATGGGATCGTTCAAGTAGTCCGCGATGCGATGGGCAAGAAGGCCACGGTCGAAAAGCTCGCGGATCTGATCACGGGCATCTTCGTCCCCTGCATCGTGGCCATTGCGGTCGTCACTTTCTCAATCTGGGTCATCCGAGGGTATTCGGGCAACTTGTCGAAGAATTGGCTCGATCAAGCCGAACGAAGCTCGGGGGGTTGGAGTTTGTTCGCCGTTCAATTCGCTGTCGCCGTTCTCGTCGTAGCTTGCCCATGTGGTATTGGACTCGCGGCACCGACCGCTCAGATGGTTGGGACAGGGATGGCCGCTCGACTCGGGATCGTTCCATTCGGAGGAGGGGAGGCGTTCCAGAATGCGACCAAGATCGAAGCGGTTTGTTTCGACAAGACCGGAACGTTAACCAAGGGCGAATTCACCGTAGCGCTTCATCGCTTCTATGCTGTCAAGGAGCTCGAGTGCGATCGAGCAACCTCCATGAGGATCGTCAAACTCGTGGAAGAGGCGTCGACGCATCCGATTTCGATCGGAGTGCGCGAGTTCTGCACCAAGCAGCTCGGCATCAGCGAAGAACCCACAGCTCCGGTATCGGTGGCGCTTATTCATTCCGAGGAGATTGCAGGAAGAGGTCTCAAGGCGATGGTCAACGTTTGTACTTCGTCTTTGGAAGTTCTCATCGGAAACTCGACCTTGCTGTCCGAGCACGGGCTCGACCTCGACCACGACACGATTGCCCTTTCTGACGGTTGGGCCAATGATGGTTGCTCGATCGTCTTTGTCGCTGTGCGAACCAAGCAGCCGACTCAAACATTGCCCGAGGGAAGCTTTCAGTTACTAGCTGCATTTGGAGTCCAGGACCAACCCCGAGAGGAAGCCCGACTCGTCATCTCTGCGCTCGAGAAGAAGGGCATCGCAGTCTTCTTGTGCAGTGGAGATCACGAACGTACGGTTCGCGCCGTCGCTCGCTCCGTCGGAATTGCTGACGGATGCGTCTTTGCCCAAGTACTACCACTCGAGAAAGCCAAGGTCGTTGAGCGACTGCAATTGGGGCTGGCGAGGACCCGTATTGAAGAATTGAAGCGAGCTCGGCGCAGCACTGGGTGGAGGAGGCTGCTCAGCCCTAGTCGGCGCGATACGGTCGGGGCCAAAGTCGCTTTCGTCGGTGACGGTATCAACGATGTCGTAGCACTCGCACAAGCAGACGTTGGGATTTCGATGGGCACCGGATCGTCGATCACTCTCTCCTCGTCCGAATTTTGTTTGCTCAGCTCGAACCTGTCCGCGCTATTGACCTTGTTTGCTCTTTCGAAAGCAACAATCAACAAGAGTTGAGTCCCGTTCTATACCGAAGAGGCAAAGCACGGGCTAACGGCCAAGTTCATGACAGTTCTTACCAATTTCGCTTGGGCCTGCCTCTTCAACGGCTGCTTGGTACCCATCGCGGCTGGCGCTTTCTACGATCTTGGAAGGACGCGCCTTCCACCCGTCTGGGCGAGTCTCGCCATGGCACTCTCCAGCATCTCGGTTGTCGTCAACTCGTTATTGCTCCGGTGGACGTTCAGGGTTCCCAAGGAAGTTCGAGATATGGTTAGGAACTGAGTGAAAATGATAGCCGTGCTGGAGCATAGCCAGGACAGTGACATTGCAATGACTATTCATCAGAGTGGGAACGCGATACATTTGCGGTGAGCCTAGATAATGACACGGGGGTGGAATGTGCTATCGTAGATCTATATTAGCTCGAACTGCGTGGGCGACTGGCTTGCACTCTGGCGCAAAGCTTGCTGAAGGAGGCCGAGGTTGGAGTCCATCAGGGTGAGACGACGTCCGCATAGTTAGGTTTGCACCTGCGGAGTTCTCGCGGCGTCACTTCACGGTACGACCTTGAATTTGAGGGCGATGCCTCTTCTTGCCATGTCGTCCTTGAAAGCTGCGGAGCATACAAAAAACCCGTGATCAGCTCAACTGAGATCCACATAGAACACGGCTACACGTACCTTGCTTCTCCGCGACTTCCTCTCGCTGCTCGTAGTCCAGAACAAGCTGCTTCAGCTGCTGCTGCTCGGCTTTGTCGATCGCTCGTTTCTCGAGAGTATGCACGGCGATTGAGGACTCGAGGGGAATCTCCATTGACCGAGTCTATTTTGAGGCGAATCAGCATCTATGGCTGCACCGAAAGGCGAGAGATGCTCGGACAAACCTGTTGCTTGTTCCCTTTCTTGGTCAAAAGGGTGAACGTGATCCCTTTCGGCGTCGCTTCTTCCCTATCGATGTCCTCGTCCTCCTCGATCCTCCCACCCCTCGGAGCGGTTTTCCGAACGAATGGGACCCCGACATCGAATAGAACAGGCTTATTTCTCACCTCCGCGCCACCGCCCGCACTCCCACCGGTCCCGGCCATCATTTTAGCCAAGTCGCGAGTGAACTCGTCCTTCTCTTCTTCGGTCATCGCATTCGGGTCTTTGGGTCGGGCGGCACCTTCAACGTCTTCGTCTTCCTCGACCGAATGTTCGTCGCTGTCGTCGTCGTCATCATCATCATCATCATCATCGCTAGACTCGCCTTGGTTGTCATTCGAGCCGTCTTCTGAACCATCGTCGGACCCAGATGACTCGTCCCCGGATTTCTTCCCCGCCTGCTCGCAAAGACATCACATTCAGCACGATGAGTGCGGACCAAGATACTCAATGATGGAGAGGGTACGTACATCGCTATCGACGTCCATTCTACGGGGCTCCTCTTCCTCGTCCTCGTCCTCGTCCTCTTCCACGATCGCGCCTTCAATCTTCCCCCCTTTGCCCGATCCACCATTAGCACCATTGACCGCAACTCCAACCTGATTCCTAAGCTCACTCGCCACCTTCTCAGCTTCCTCCCAACTACCGAACCTATTCGTCTTGGGTCGAAGTTTTTCAAACAAATCATCGACCATGAAACCAACGTCCATAGGGATCCCTCGTTTAGTGAAAACATAAGTTTGGAAGAAGATGAGGAAAGTATCGAGTTTCTTGCGTGATTGTCCACGGTCGAAACATTCGCCGCAGGTGTCGAGTAGGACGCAGATGAGGCGGATGCGGAACGAGTCGTCGGCCATGTCGATCGCGCTCGGAGTCGCGGGATGGGCATGGCCTTGAGCTATTGCCGTTCGGGTCAACAACGCATCAGGGCGCACGGTTCGTAGCTACCACTCGACATTATAGTACTTACGATGACCGAATGTGATGAGCGACCAAAGAGTGTCAAAGATGACCCGGGACTCGATGACCCGGTAGTTATACATCTCGCCCAGGTACTTTATCGTGGCAATGCGTTGTTGATTGTACTTGAAGTTGTTGACCTAGATGGCAATTAGAGCCGAAGACGATTAGTCAGACTGCAACATTGTGCTCAGATCATGAACGTAAATTCACCTCCATTCCCAGCCTAAGATTCTCCATCACCTCATCGATAACGCCAACGACAAACTCCGAATGGAACTTGACCAACTCGTCCAAAAGCACAGCAAACAAATAGATGTTGCTGAACTTGATCTTACCGACTTTGGTGAAAGCGCTATGCAATTTCGCGACGATCGCCGGATCCTCCCAATGAAGCTTGCGTAGGAGCTTGGCGATCTTGTCGACGTTGTTGCGGGTCATTTGATGGTAGATGAGGTGGCGGATGTAGAGTTGCATTGGGGTACGTTCCTTGGGTGGGATTGCGGGTCGACCCGGTGGGTCGCACTGCAGAGGGGACAGGTCAGCTTCTACTTGGAATCGCGCGCGAGAGTGCGGGATGAGGGCACTGACTTGGTAGTAAGCATTCTCCAACATTGTGATCTGCCTCTGGTCCAAATGCATCGCCGCTTTTTTCCTCATGTACGTCTCCAACACCAGCCTCATGCGCTCGCTCGTGGCTTCCGATCGCAGCAAGAACCTCCCACACCCTTCGAGGACGGTGCAAAAGTTGTCGATATTGGCGCCGGTGAAGTCGTCTAGCAAAACCTTGAAGACGTGCAAGATCGAGTGGATGGGCGTGATTTTGAACTTGGTCAATTCGGAAAAGAATCGGAGGTTCTTCGATCTCGTTTCGGCGAGATCGACTTGTCGTTTGCGCTGGAGGTAGCGAAACTCTTCTTCGAGGATGGTGATGAGTTCTTTCCCGACGTCGGGCATGTATGGATTCAGCGTCCCGACCAGCCTCGCGTAGTACGGTATCAGGTCTTGTCGATTACGGTTGATGGACGCGAGATGCTTGACGAGCCGCTTACGAGCGGCTTTGCTGTTCAGGAAGGCGAATTCGATAGCGATGTCGTCGATGCTCGATCGAGAAGAGGCGTCGACGAGTCGGGCGAAGAGAGCCGTGAGCTGCGCGGCCGGTCCAGTGGCCAGAGTCGCGTCAACTTCCGTCTCGACACCAGCATGTTGTTCAGCCGACCGTGTTCTTCGAATATGTTTTCGAATCAGTTCAAATATGTGCTAGTTGGGGCGCCTGCGGGAGACTCACTCATCTGCCCCGGTGCTCTCCGGCTCATCGCTCGTCTCGTTCTCGACATCCATCTTGAGCTCTTCCTTCTCTTTCTCCTCTTCCGCCGCTGTCGCTTCCACTTCCTTGTCCCCCAGTCCAAGGAATTTTCCCGGTACCGCACCCTTGAGCTCCCTCAAATCCTCGTAAAACTTCTTGTCCTCTTCGTCGATCCAAATCGATCCGGGTCCGCCAATCTCCTCTTCCTGCTGGAAAGAAGAGGTCCCCGTCCCGACGATCGAAGATGCTGCCAAAGTTGAGGTGAGCGATGGGAGCACGGGTGCGGCAACACCCAAAAGTTCCGATAGTCTAGGGTGAACAACGCGATCGACGAAGCATCAGCATCAGGATTTGATGAATCTCGAGCCCTTTCGAGCAAACAAGTCCAACTCACTGAGTCACACCACTCCACCCTCTCTCCCAATTCTTCACGTTCCTCTCGTATGCCTTCTCTCGATCCTCAAACACCTCACCACTTCTAATGTACGCTTCATGGTTCCTCTTGTCCTGCTTTTGCAGTTCGAGGTGGTTGCGCACTTCCTTACGACCCAACGCGTCGAGGTACGCGACGAGGAGCTTGCGGAACTTGTCCATCATTTCCCGTGGGACCAGGGACGAGCTCTCGGTATCGTCCTTTGAGCTTGATAGGGCAGGGAACTCGTGAGCGTTGACAAGAAGAGCCGAAGCGGCACCTTCGTCCGCGGTGGTGGGAAGTGGCGGGAGGTAGAGAGGACCGAGATGTTTCGCGAAGGCGATCGCCAATGGTGCAACAAGTGACAGTTGCTCCTTGTCGGACGTGAGCTGTGTGTGTAGAACGAGGAAATGCGTAAGTGTCTACCCAGAAGCAGACAAATGGCGCGAGGAAAACACTTGCCCATTCTTTTATAATCTTCCACGTGATCTCGCCGACCATGCCCGAGTTGACGGACAAAGTTTTGCCTGAACCTGTCGAGCTTCCTTTACCAACGATTCCAACGACTTCGAGCTCCCCCAGAAGCCTCAATAGCCCCCGCTGCTTCGTTATCCTTTGGGTGTCCTCCTTCTCTCGGACTTCGCGGTCGTTCGCCGCAGACGGAGTTGACGGTGCCAGACTGGTCAAGATGAGGTTGACCAGAGGGGGGGTGAACGTATGCGGGAATCGCTGGTGCAGTGCCGAGACGACCTGTGAAGGGGGGACCGACGAGTCTGTAAGTAGGTGATGGTCATCTTTCCTCGCGACGAGGCGTTCGTACCTCGATCGCCGCCCACGTCTCTGGGCCGGTCTTGCACTTTGCCAGACCTTCAAAGGTGGCGCCGACCGCTTCTTCGACGTACTTGTCCAACGAAAGCGCGCCGATCTCGTTGAGGATCGCAGGCACGGTCGCGGTCGTGTGGATCGACGAACGTAGCCGGGTCAGCAGCGTCGTGTGTCGCTTCAGGGAAGTATCGAGGCGCGCTTGGTTATCTGAACGAGGTCACGGAATGAGCACGGATGGAGCTGAGCATGCACAGGCATGGGCCGGACGGCGTACCTGGTTCGCGCGAGCTTTCAGCCCACGCGGCGAGGTTCAGTTCACGCAGCTGCAGCCGGCGTTGCCATCGTGCCGAAGTCGTGGCAGACGGATTCGGTGTCGGTGTTGTTGTCGTCGTCGTCGTTGTCACTGAAGAATCGGTCCGAGCTTGAGATGCGGTCGTTGAGCTCATTTCGTATGCGGCTGTACGACCGGCAGAGGAACCGATCGTGTCGTACGACCGCTCACAGTGTACTTGAGGCTGAGGATGGTCCGGTCAAGCTCGAGCAGAGATCGACCGAGGATGATCTGTGGCTGACTTGCGGGCGGAGACCTCGAGTGCGGCGACCACGATGGGGGCGGGCGGTGGAGCGGATCAGAAGGTGGAGCGCCAGCTGAGGCTGAACCGACACCCGAGCGAGTGCGAGCGGCGACTCGAGCGAGGAGGATTCAGTCTTTGCCGAGAGAGTCGGGAAGTATTACACCCGCGCAAGATGGACGATCGATCGGGAACGATAAGTCACATGGTTGAGATCCTTCCATGTCTACGCTCGCCCAACTGTCTTTTCGGTTCGTCACGATTCTAAGACTCGACCTGGCCGAGTCAGGCGGCACCCTAATTATAAACCCGGTGAGCTGAGAGACATTATCCTCGTCCCTCTTTGGAGACCAAGTGCACCTCACACTGCACCTTATGTCGCTATTCCTTTAGCTGTTATCACTTTTGACATCTCTGAACAGTCAAGCGGTCCTATACTTGGATTGTCCGCCTTGACGGTCGCGTTCACCTGACGAGTTGCTTATCACAAGATCTGCCACTGCACCCTCGTGATTCGCAATCGTATTTCCATCGGGCCTCCGTCGACCCATTGGGACGCCCGCAATGAATACGTACGTAACAATTCACACACTGCTAAAACCGACCTGACTTCAACCTACGCTCCACGATCACATGCTCGCTGAACTGTGGCCCCTTTAACTCGATCGGCCGTTCCGCCTCACGCCTATGTAGTACGTTTTCGTTCGCTGGGCGGGCGGGGACAACCGTCACGTTCTGGCGAACTTAGCCGGCGTGCGAAATCAGGATGTCGATAGTCAGGTTCTTTTCTCGGATAAGGTTTGAAAAGGAGGTTCACGGAACAGCTATACGCCCGCCCGGGAACGGGTGACGCGCCGAAAGCTGTTGATGCATTCGAATAATAACGGCCACTGCAACAGTCGCTGCGGCGGCGAGTCCCTTCAGGGGCCGAAATAGGGGCAGAGCGGCATCCCGCCGCACGGCTACCTCACCGAGAAAACTTTCAAGTTTGAGTGTTTGAGGATAATTCCAGTTCGGGGATACAACTGACCACATACTCAAATTCATGAGACAAGATAACGGAAAGATTTAGCCGAAATACCGCGCACGCACGTGGCTGTCCAAGGCGGACAGGAGAGCCCGTGTCGAAACTTAGGATCCGTCTGACACAGGTCAACTACCCCAGAACCCGCGGACCGTTTTAGATAATGAATTTCTCATGTGTGTGCATGAAAGTTGCGCCGCCCGATCAAGGGGCATTGCCAGGACTCGCTTGCACAGCACGTGTCCCTCGCCAGCCTCACTACCGCATGTCCTTGGCCGCGCTAGCTTCGCGGACTGAACCTTATCGCCTTTCTTTCTTCTACCGAGTACATAGAACCTCGAGTCGTAAAACCCTCCGCCATTTCCTTGTACCCAGCCTCAACGTATTTTTCACAGATTATGGTCTACTTTCACAAGCGTCTGCTCGTTCTCGTTAGTGGCTTATCGATCTCGGCGACTTCGCTCATCGCCGCGTCGAAGTCTGCTCCCTCGAGGCCGCATTTTTATAATCCCTGCCATCGGAACTGCCATGAATTCGCGATAGGCCAGAGCCAGAGGGTAGTTCATAGGCTGATGATAGCTGTTCGAGTTCGTGTTGCTTGCTAGGTGACGGCGGCGTGGGACTGACAAGTATGACCCCAACTCCTCCTTTTAGTGCGCGGGTTTATATCCCAGATCCGATCCAACTGCCAGGCCGACGTACTTCAGATGTCTCTGCACCGACTTCGTGGAATTTGAAAACTCGTTTGATTCATGTGTGCGGCTCGGTAAGTCGAGCGGGTCAAGTCGCATGCGCCGGGTCATTCGCGCGGAGGTGAACCTTTGGAACTTTGTCTCCAGGCGAAGGGAACTTCGGAGCTTGCAAGTACCCGCAGGACGTATTCGACAGGGAAGGTCGATGGTGTGATCATTATGTATGAGAATACGACAACAGTAAGTTCATACCCGCCTCAACGCGCGGGCTTGTGACCATGATCTAACGGGGTCAAGACTCTGCGCACAGTGGGGCACGAACCGAACTTCAAGCGTTGTGCGCAAAGGACCGTCAAAGACACCCTTTGATCTACCTTGTTCACTAGTTGCTAGGAATTCCGAAGATATTCATCGGGTTTAATAGTGACCCCTTTGAATGTTGATTCGACAGTCCTCTCGCTGCCGTTCCACCTCCTCCTTCACGGCTAGTCTCATCTCCTCACTCTTCAATGCGTTCCGTCCCTTGAAATCTTTTTCTCACCTAGCCGATTTCATGCGTTTCGGCTTAGTGTTGGGCCTGCTAGTCGCTTTTCTGTCCCTTTGACGAGTGATCCAATTCGTCGGTGTTGAAGGTGTTAGTAGACGGTGCATTGATATCAGGGGTCGGATAGCTTAGAAGGTCAAAGCTTTTCCAATGAATGGAAGCGACCCAGGTTCGACTCCTGGTCCAACCGTTCTCTTTCTTTTATCGATCATTTCGGGATTCATTAAGAATTCCAACAGATGGAAAACGCGGAGGAGGACTACAAGGACTGTGAGACACAAATCGGCTCGTGAATAGGAGTATGGGATCGCACGGAACTTATTCCTGTTCACCCGCCAGGGGATCTTTGCGAGCGATCGGTCACCGACGAAATCGCTCTGTTCGATCGGACGCAACGGTGTTGAGCCCCATCGAGAAAAGGAGGACCCTCTCGCCGCTGGATGATTTCCCAGAAGGGTTACTAACAGTTACAGCCGAGTCAGCCGCCCGGCCGAGCTCGGCACTCGACCACCCCTTTTCGTGCTGCGTGCAACTCGAGAGGCGAAGACCGAACGTGATGATGGAGACCGCCCTACGACACTCGTGTGTTGTGAAGCTATAAAAGCTACAATCTATTCTTTTCACTCGTCCATTGTTAGTAGCTCCTTCATCCAAGTATTTCTACCTCGCATTCTCGACTCTCAAGCTTGTCCAATGTGGTCCACCTCAACCCCTCCTCAACGTCGCCGGCCGGCCGGCCGGGGGGTCGTCGTCCTCGCGCGCGCAGGGAAGGCCCCTGACCCTGGGAAACGAGTTTTGAGAATTTACAAGGCCAAATGCCGCCGAACGTGCCAACATCAGGTTGATTCGCACCTACTATCAAAGTAAAGATCAAATCGGTCAATTGAGTGCATACTCTGGCTGTTGCTCGAGACCTTTGAGGAAGCACGCGGAGCGCTGCCCAAGCTATATGTCCCGCTTTGGACGCTGCCCCCTGACTCGGTCTCGAATTTCGCACGACCAGTGCCTGATCAAGCCCCAACAATGGTACCCGATGACGTATTGGAAACGCATCTGTAGAGATCCAGATTCCCCCCCGGGTCGTTCGGGAAGTGCGTAGGACATGGACCGCAAGCAGGAGTTGATCCAACTTGGTGGCGAGCCCCTCATAATGACTCCTAGAGGCCGGCTCTGCGGTGTCCGAATCGGACCCCTCGGTGACGGCTAAAGGCTTACTGATTTGGTGACGTTTTCGAGCGGAACAATAGGAGTCGCTGTCTTCACTCTTCAAGATTTTACGCCCACTTTTTTTTTGTGTTGGCGGGATGCCCCCTTTTGCAACATGGCATTGAGGAATGCGACCAAATCGGTGAAATGTTGTGAGTGGATCGCTGGAGCATTCAATATTTTAGAGTGTTGTACGCTTAGGCAGTCACGCGTAAACCTCGCACACAGTGTACCCTTTTTTGCGGGCACAGACCCTCGGTGAACAAGTCGAGTCATCATAAACCCCAAACCCCTGGTTTTGCATCAAGCTCTCCCGTCCAAAGGTTTTCGCCGACCTCATCCCAGTTCACCGAATTGGTCGCATTCCTCAATGCCGTGTTGCAAGAGAGGCATTCCGCCCCCCCCCCCCCCCCCCCCCCCCCCACAAAAAAGTCGGCGTAGAATCGTGAAGCGACTCCTATTGTTCCGCTCGAAAACGTCGCCAAATCAGTAAGCCTTTAGCCGTCACCGAGGGGTCCGATTCGGACACCGCAGAGCCGGCCTCTAGGAGTCATTATGAGGGGCTCGCCACCAAGTTGGATCAACTCCTGCTTGCGGTCCATGTCCTACGCACTTCCCGAACGACCCGGGGGGGAATCTGGATCTCTACAGATGCGTTTCCAATACGTCATCGGGTCCCATTGTTGGGGCTTGATCAGGCACTGGTCGTGCGAAATTCGAGACCGAGTCAGGGGGCAGCGTCCAAAGCGGGACATATAGCTTGGGCAGCGCTCCGCGTGCTTCCTCAAAGGTCTCGAGCAACAGCCAGAGTATGCACTCAATTGACCGATTTGATCTTTACTTTGATAGTAGGTGCGAATCAACCTGATGTTGGCACGTTCGGCGGCATTTGGCCTTGTAAATTCTCAAAACTCGTTTCCCAGGGTCAGGGGCCTTCCCTGCGCGCGCGAGGACAACGACCCCCGGGACCGCGAATCGTCGCGTTCGGCCTTCGCCTCCGGAGTTGCACGGTACACGGAAAAAGTAGATCGGGCGCCGAGCTCTGCCGGCCCGCTGACTCGGCTGTACTGTTTGGTCACCCTTCTCCGAGACCAGCTAGCAACGAGAGGGTCCCCCTCTTTCGACGGGGCTCAAATTCGTCAAATTTGATCGAACGAAGTGGTTTGGTCGGTAACCGATCGCTCGCAAACATCCCCGAGCGAGTGATGTGAAGCTTGTGCCCTAACAGACTAACAGAAGGATCGCGAGTACTGGGCCGATCGTTCTTGTTATCGTTGTTCACTCAAAAGGTCATTCATTCGAACCGATCCTGAAACAACGAACCACCGTCTACAATACATGCTCTCCGCGAGAGAGAGCACTGAGACTGAACTACACAAAAAGGGGAAGCCGGCTAATATTGAGGTCTAATACATATTCGGTCAGACGGGTTTCGGCCGGATTCAGTGCTTGGTCATGTGCGTACCGAGGCCCGCTCGGGCCTCACAGGTGAACTGAAACAGCTCCCGTGCACGGCCATCCTCTCATTCAGAAGCCGTTCGTGTCTCACATCCCTCGTAGTTCTCCTCTGCGTTCTCCCACGAGTCGGATTACACGTCAAAGGAACATAAAAGCGACTAGCAGGCTTAACACTAAGCCGAAACGCATGAAATCGGCTAGGTAGGGAATAAAATTCCAGGCGGCGGAACGCATTGAAAAGTGAGGAGACGAAACTGGCCGTGAAGGAGGAGGTGGAACGGCAGCGAGAGGAATGACGAATGAACATTGAATGGGGTCACTATTAAACCCGCTGAACATCTTCGGAAATCCTAGCAACTAGTGAACAAGGTAGATCAAAGGGTGTCTTTGACGGTCCTTTGCACACAGCGGTTGAAGTTCGGTCCGTCCGCGGCACACTGCACTGCGTAGAGCCTGACTCCGTTAGATCTTGGCCACAAACCTGGGCTCCCCACCGTTGACGCGGGGATGAACTTACTGGTGTCGCCTCATGGATAATGTTCACACCATTGTTTTTCCCGATGGAGTATTTCGTCCTGGTACTTGCAAGCTCCGAAATTCCCGTGGCCTGGAGACAAAAGTTTCGAAAGTTCACCTCCGCGCGAGTGACCCGGCGCATGCGGCTTGACCCGCTCGACTTACCGAATTCTACACATTGCATGAATTCCATTTCGAATTCCGCATAGTCGTCACAGAGACATTTGAAGTACTTCCGCCTCTCATTTGGATCGGATCTGGGATGTAGACCCGCGCACTAAAAGGAGGTTGGGGTTACGCTCGTCAGCCCACGCGGTCATATGCCAAATAGCACGAAATCGAACCGCTTGCATCAGCCTTTGACCTACCTTAAGGCTCTTCTTCCTCGCGAGAAAATGACATTGCTTATGGCAGGGATTATAAAAATCGGGTATCGAGGGAGCATGCTTCGACGCGGCGATGAGCGAAGTAGTCAAGAGCGATAGGCCACTGACGAGGACGAGGAGACGCTTGTGAAAGTAGACCATGATCTGTGGAAAGTACGTTGAAACTGGGTACAACGGAATGGCGGAAGATATTACGGCTCGAGGTTCTCTGTCGCTAGCAGAAGAGAAAGAGGCGAAAAGATTCAGTCCGCGAAACCAGCACGGCCAAGGACATGCGGTAGCGAGGACGGCGAGGGACACGTGCTGTGCAGGCGTGTCTCACTGCCCCTGGAGCCTCACCCCCCTCGCTCGGGTCGCCCAACTTTCATGTCCTCACATGAGAAACATGTCTGTGTTCGTTATCCGAAACAGCGCGCGGATTCTAAGCTAAAGAAGTGACCGGCGTCAGACGGATTCTGAGGATTCATATCGGGCGCTCCTGTCCGTTTCGGACAGCCACGTGCGAGCGCGGTATTTCCGCGGTATTTCGGCTAATCATGCCGCTATTTTGTCTCTTAAATCGCAGACTATGGCCAGTTGTATCCCAAGCTGGGGCACCCCACAGAAATATATATGAAACGTTCAGCTCTAAATAGCTTCGGAAATGAGCAAAACATCAGGAAGCTGATGTTCAATGTTCAGCTTCGACCTCAAAAGTTGCGCCGCGCCGCACGACAAGCTGAGATTGAGCGCTCAGCGCTCAGCTCGGACCGCAAATTGGCGTAATCTGTTCCTCCACGGGGAAATTTGTTGCTTTGTTTTGAGAGTTTGGGACCATACTAATCCGCCCACACAGGCGGACACAGCAACGAGCGGGGAGGGGCGGGGGCATGGCTCTCTTCCGCCGTCTCCGTTTTTAGAAGTCACGACTTTGCTTCGTTGCCAATCCATGTCCTGCATTTTTCTGATATTTCGTTCATATTTTCCAAAAGCAAATCTAGGCGCTTCACCAAAGTCTGGCGGTTCTCCTAACCCGCTAGTAGTGCCGACAGCTGCGCCGGCTGATCGAAAAGCGGTCAAGGTCCGAGCGCGCGCAGAGTCGTCACCACGCGCTACGTCATTACGCCGGCTGCCAGCGCGGCGATCCCTTCCTCCGCCAGCTCACTGCGCTACGCTTCAACCTTGGACCGGCCGCAATATTGGGTCGTTCCTTTGCAACACAGGCTGAAATCGCCCCCCGTTCAAGAGGCATTGGGTTTGTCGTGGGGTGGTTTGTAGGTGCGTTGCAACGTCCCAACTCGCCCACTGCTCCACGAAACTAGCCTCTCGGGCGTATCGCCAGCTCACACGCAGCCATCACGTCCTGCGACAGAACACTGCAAAGTCCTCAAATCGACTCGAAACGCGCCTCAGCACTACCTGTGCAACTTTGTCTCGCGCTATTACGACTGGCGCAGCACCCGATCGGGCCTCTCGGCGGCTCGGGTGGGAGTGGCTTACGAAACCGGCGCGCCTCGGTTTTGACACGTGCTCGGCGATCCAATCGACATCCGATCGCCCTGCCTTCTTTCCCAGACTGCTCGCTCTCTAGTCATCAACAATTCTACCAAGATACCATAATAGACGGCTCACCACCCCGCACTAGACCGACATGAACGGGTCCAGCAAACCGCTACCCCTGCCTCCGTCGTCGGGTAGCACCTCCGAGTCGAAAGCGGTTCCCGGCTCGACCGACGACATCAAGCTCAGCTCCCGAGCCTCCCAATTCGATGCACACGACTCCCTCCTCGTCTGCATCGCCGCCAAGCTAGCCACGACCTACTGTCTTTCGCACCGGTATACCCAGAAGCTATCCCTTTCGGATGCGACGAACGAAACCAACTCGCAAGACGACAACGAGGCCGTCACCGACGGCGGCACTCGTCAGCCCGAATCGGCCAAGAAGGAGCTCGATTCTGAACAGGTGCGAGCGAACCAGCTCATGCGAGCGACGATCGCGGATGCCACAGGTTGGTTGTTGGACATCACGAGACAATTCAACGTCGACCTCAATGTCCTTCCCGATACCCCACCGGAAGAAGAAGATGGGCATGCTCAAGAATTGGATCAAGCTTTTCGTTCCGCCGACTCCAAGGCGACGGAAGAGAAGGCGCGTAACGTCGCGTTCGAATTGGTGCTTGTCAGCGTTGGCCTAGGCGAACACGCCCGAGAAGAACTCAAGAATAAAACCAAATCGACTGCATCTTCTTGGTTCTCTTCGTCTTCTTCGAATCGTGGATCATCGGAAGTTCCGGAACCGAACCTCCATTACACCGCGCTGTCAAGGACACTCGTTGTCAGGACTTGTCAGCTCCTCGCCATTGGCGAAGACGAAGTCGTCAACGCCGAACGCGTCATCTCGCAAGCACTCTACTTCGAGCTGCAAGCCAAGCAGCAGGCCAAAGAAAAGGGGAAAGATGGATCCACGACTCCTGGTGGGAGTCAAGAATGGGATCAAGCCGCGCAAACGTACAGGAAGGAGCAAGCGGGGAGGACCTCGGCGTTGAAATGGGGCGCGACTGCCGCTGGGTTCGTTGCGGGTGGTGCCATCATCGGCCTGACGGGAGGTCAGTTCTGGTGGATCTATCTATATAGAAAACTAGTACTGATGCATCAGAGAACTTTCAGGTCTTGCTGCACCCGCGGTCGCTCCTTTATTGGCTGGGACCTTGGGCATTAGCATTTTCGCCGGCTCAGGAGGCATCATCCTCATTGGAACCTTGCTCGGGCTTGGAGGAGGTAAGTACCCACTTTTAACTAGGCTAGAAGATGGAGACGAACCGAATTCTGATCCACGGTGTGCGTACTCACAGGCGGCTTAGCTGGGTACCGGACGCATCGAAGAATGGAGGGACTTAAAGAAGTGACGTTTGAGCCTATCGTTGAAGCCGACGTCCCGACAATACCTTCTCTGACCGCAAGTAGTGAGTACGCACACTGGATCCTACTCGTATTGACAATCACTGAGCCTGCCGGTTCGGTCGCATGTTTCCTTCACAGTTGTTGCGTCAGGGTTTCTACTCGATCTGAACGACTCGACTCTTCCTTGGCTTCCGGCCTACCACCGCTCTCCGACCGACACCTACGCGCTCAAAGTTGACCCTCAAGCCTTCCTCGAAGCGGGACGTAATTACTCTTCCTGGGTCCGGGACAAGCTCGTCACCTTGGGCGGGACCGAAGTCATCAAACACACCGCACTCGCAGCCGTTTACGCGGGTGTCGCTTTACCGATGAGTATTTACTCCGGTGCGACGATGGTCCTCGACTCGGATTTTACGCGTTGTCGCGAAAAGGCCAAGAAAGCCGGAATCCTGCTCGCTGAGATCTTGGAGAAACGAGTTCAAGGTACTCGACCTGTTCGATTGATGGGGTACGGACCTGGCGCAACCGTAATCTTTCGTTGCTTGATCGAACTCCACAAGAGATCCCTAGGGGATCTCGTCTACGACGTCATCCTCATCGGTCTTCCCGAATCGCCGAATCGCATCTCTTGGGCAGCAGCACGGAGCGTCGTAGCGCATGAATTGGTCAATGCTTATTCGACGAACGATTGGACACTTGCGATTCACGCGAGGATGTATACGCTTTCGAATAGGGTCGGCGGGTTGACGGCGGTGGAGGTGGAGGGCGTGAGGGATGTCGAGGTGAGTGATTTGGTGCAGGGGCATTTGGAAATGAGGGAGAAGGTCGATGCGATTCTCAAGAGGGTGAGGGGGATCAAGGAGGTGGGCAAGGAGGGCCGACTTGGGTAGAAGTAACTTGTAGTGATAGTTGAGCCAAATTGGTCTAATCGGAAATAGGCAACGGAGCAAATTTGAGACAATGAGATCAGCACCCTTCTGGATGAGCTCATCGGCAAAGAAATATGGGCGAAAATGGCGAGCACTACCTCGAAACTGAGAAAACGCAGCGAAAAGCCTTATTAGGAACTTTTAAGGGCGCGAACGGCCGGGATCGAACTCACGAACGATTTCAGGTCACGTGTTTGAACCTGGCACGTGCTTGTTGTCAAAATTCGAATCGCAACACCCGGCACGACGCGACGCGTGTCTTGCTTCTGCAATGCGCATCGCTGCATGAAGACATCTCGAAGTCATGGATGAACTCCCCGAGGATCTTACCGACGAGCAAGTAGAATCTGCCATCGAAGCGGGAATATACATACTGCAAAAGTATATTGAAAGACGTCTGCAGCAACGCCGTCTCCTCGACAAAACGGCCAAACGAAAACGAAAGCCGCCCTCGTGCCGCAGCATATTCCGGTCCGAACCGGCCTCATCATCGTTATGGAGCTTTTCAACAACAACAATACTGTTCCTATGAGTAACGCTCTTGGCATGACACCGGCCTGCTTCGCCATCTTCGTGAAAGAAGTGCGTCTGCACACCGATGTCGTCCCCTCGAAGCACGTGACCGTCGAGGAGAAACTCGCTATGCTGCTGTACTGGCTGCGGGGCTCCGAGTCTTATCGTAAACTCGACAAAGTGTTTAAAAGGTCATTGGATACCATCAGTCGGTCAGTAGTTCCTGCACTCATGTCCTACTTCCTGACAGAACAATTCCGCTGCTCTGTTCCTCCCAGACTCGCACTAGTACTCATGCACCTTCCCATTTGCGTCGCAGTTATTTGCCAGAAACACTCGGATTACTCGTACACAGCGACCTCAGAAAACAGTACGTTGTTCAGCCCACGGCAGACACGCCCACACCGAGCGTTATCACCGACAATCCTCGGTTTGCACGATATTTTGGCGATTGCATCGGCGCCATTGACGGAACGCTCGGCCCTTGGTACTCAACGGCCCACGATGCCGAGCGATGGATCGATCGAAACGGAGACAAGACACAAAACATACTCGCCGCTACGACTTTCGATCATCGCTTCTGCTATCTTCAGAGCGGCTGCGAAGGTTCTGCTCACGATCAGCAAGCGTGGGATTGGGCACGCGAACGGGACCTCGTCATCCCCGAAGGCAAATACTATCTTGGCGATGCAGGCTTTGCAACCAGCGAGGAGTGCATGACACCGTACAGAAACGTCCGATACCACCTCGAAGAGTGGCTACTGGGTAGCCAAAGGTAATTCGCTGTTGTAGGACATGTGTTTTGTACCTTGTACACTCGCGATGCCAATGGTCCGATCATGGATAAAGGTAGGGGAGTTTGCTCCAAGGGTCCCGCGCTGACAATCCGTGCCTGAATGTCCTCACCGCAGTCCCCAGAACCCACAAGAGCTTTTCAACTTGCGTCATGCTTCTCTGAGGAACGCCGTGGAACGTATCATCGCGGTCACTAAGCGCCAGTTCGCTGTGCTCGTGGGCCATCCTCGAGAGCTGCCGGCAGAACACCAAGCGAGGATCCCGCATGCTTGCGCGCTGCTACACAACTTCATCCAATTCAACGACCCGATTAACGCACGAACAGGTGAACCTCGCTCGGTGTCCACAGAAGAAGAAGAACGGCAACTCTTGAGGGAGATTGCTGCGGCGACGGACCTCAACGATTCCGAAAACGAGTATCATCCCGACAGTGACCACGAGCGACAGCGTCGAGCCCACGTTTCCACTTCCGCCAGCAAACGTCGGATGGAGGATCTCAGAGACAACATCGCCGAGCGGATGTGGGCGGATTACCAGACTTACGAAACGGAGGCCCGCCGACTGGCTGCACACGCGTCAGATGAGCAATCGATACGGAGAGCGGAACTCAGGGAGCTCTACTTGCTATGGACTAGAGAGATTTGATTCGACTTGTTCCTCACATTCAGGGTGTATTACAACGATGACTACTACGAAATGAACATTCAAATTGATCTGATGGAGCAAGTGAAGTGGAGCTTGCCACGGTTGATGCAATGTTGTTGTCATAGGGTGGACCAAAAATATGATCTGCACAACGGGTTCTCCGCTCGCGTCCCTCTCGACTTGCTCTTGCTCTTCACCTTGCCTGTTTTGCTCTTGTTCTTTTTTGCGCAGTGTTCGAATGAGCGGAGAGCTCGGAGTCGTTCTTGCTGTCATCGTCGCTTGCTGAGTGTGATAGGGGATTTCTTGGCGATGGTGGAAAGCGCACGACGTGACGCGACGGCCAACCGACGCGCCCGTGAGCCAATGCTATTTGGTGTTTTGTATCATGCTGAAACCGAGGTCGGCCTGAGCGGTCCGAGCGTGTCCCAGCGCCCGAACAGCCTTATATTAAGCGGGTCGAAGCTCGGAGTGCGGGACTTGGGCTGCGCGGGCGAGTGACCCGTCCCTATAAAAAGTGCTCAAAGTGCCCTCGGACCACTTTTGCTCAAAGTGCCCTCGGACCACTTTTAAGAAACGGTCCCTAAAAGTAACTTTTAGCGACGCAACCGGACACGCCATGCTGAAAGCCTCCCTAGAGGTGCTCAAAAGTGTAGCCGAACACGCACCAAGTCAAGATCTACACGGGCGAGTCAGCAAAAAAACAAGTCACTCCGGAGAGGGAGGGAGGGGAAGAAGAAAGATTTGGACTAAGAGCGTTGGAGTGCATCAACAACGGCAATTTTAAGTAAAAGGCGTAAGATTGATTCTGTGGTCGATACACCGCTCAGTGCCTGGATTAGGTGTGGATCTGACAATGTGCACCGAGGAGGCAGCGACGGCGATAGCGCGCTTGTGGTGATAGGCTTCGGAAGCGGCGATTCGACGCGTCGGCGCGCGTGGTGCGATGTCTTCCTTTGGCCATTCTCGTCGCTTGAACGGATCATGCCCGACATGAAGATGCCTGTGAGACTTTCCTACTGCTTTGTATGCACTACGACGCTGAAAACGAACTAACGACCTTTCGTTATCCCCCCAGGTCCCCTTGACGCTGATCGTCGCCGCGACCTCGTCCCACGCGATCGGACGTTCAAGTAGTCTTCCCTGGCGACTGCCCAAAGAGATGGCCTACTTTGCCCGCGTCACAAAAGGCGAGACACAAACCAGCCCAGACCTGAGCTCTGCGACGTCCGAGAAGGGCAAGAATGTGGTGATCATGGGGAGGAAGAGTTGGGAAGGGATCCCGGATAGGTTCAGGCCTTTGCACGGGAGGGTCAATGTCGTTGTTAGTCGGCAGGAGGATTATGATGTGTAAGTATTAAAATGGTGCATCTAAGCTAGGAAACTGAAGTACTGAAGGCCGTTTTCCAACCTCTCCAGCGCCACCTCACCGGACACCCACCTCGCCAACTCTCTCGAATCGTCCATCACCCACCTCCAATCCCTACCCACTCCCATAAATCGCGTATTCCTAATCGGAGGAGCCCAACTCTACACCCTAGGTCTCACCAACCCTTCCAAAATCTACCTCACCAATCGCATCCTCCTCACGCGCATCAAGACCAACTTTGAAAATTGTGATGCCTTCTTCCCCGACTTTGTGAAAAGTCAGCCGGGGCAATGGCGTCGAGCGAGTCATGAGGAGCTTTGTGAGTGGGTTGGGTTTGAGGTACCGCGTGGGGATCAGAAGGAGAAGGATCGGACGGGAGGTGAGATGGTCGAGTACGAGTTTCAGATGTGGATCAGGAAGGACTAGTGGGGTCGGAGCACTCTTGGTGCCCTCTGTAGCAGTGACCTTGTTGGGTCGTGATATATGTAAACATGAGCTTGCGGGTATACATCAGGTATTTCGGACTACAAGACAATGCTCGGCGAGGTTGATTGAGAAACCCCTTTGCACTACGGTTTGGCGTCCGGTGCTTCTTCAAACTCCCCAAACTCATCATCGAACGGACTCTTCCCCACTGGCCCCTCCCGATCCAATTCATCGACCTCATCGTCGCCCTCATCGCCCAACTTTTGCGCCCCTCTTCTCCTCTCCTTCCTCGACATCTCCCCCTTCCCACCCTGCACCACCACCTCCAGCACCTCCTGCGGTGCATCCTCGACCATCCCACCAAACACCTTTCCCAAACTACCCTGCCTCTTCCCTCCATCCAAAGCAGGTCCATCGGTCTGTTGCAACGTATGAATGATCACATCTTTAATCTTATGCGCTCCCTCCGAAGTCGAACCAACCCTCTTCGTTCTTCCTTCACCACTTTGTCGAGCCTTCATTTCCATTTCCGGAGCGGAAGGCTCATTCGAAGTTGGGATCTCGGGTTCGGATTGACTTCGCGATCGATGCGAGGGTTCGGGTTTTTTGAGGGAGAGGAAAACGACGCCGATGATGAGGACCAGGATTGAGAGCCAGATGAGGATGAAGACCCAAGTTTTGTACGAATCCAATTGGTCGAGGTAGACGAGGTTGTTGAGGAAACCGCAGGTCGTGTACGTCGCAAAGAGGACTGTTGGGCAGGGAAGTTCGTCAGCTTTGGGCGAAGGGGGATACGAATTCTGTCAGATGCTTACCTGGTACGGATAATGTCGAGTCACAGCACTTGAGCGCCTTGTTCAAGCAGTCTATAGGTCGACACGGAGCAAAACGGTCAGCTAAAGTTCCAAAGCACTCACGAGAACCGCGCTCAACTCACAAACTTGCGATACGGCCGAAACGACCAACAGGGCAAGGATGACATAGGTCAAAACGGAAGTGAACGGATTCGGCTCGCCATTTCCACCCTTATGCGTCCACCCAATCGTCATCAACTTGACCCCACTCTTGGCAAAGACCAAACTCTGACCAGCCAAAACACCAGCGGTGACGGACCAACTGAACCCCGCGGCTCGGCGGATCACCGATTCGGGTTTGGCTTGCGACCACCGTTCCAATTGGCGCTTGAGGAAACGACAAGCGAATCCGTGCGATTTCTTGGTCGAGTCTTTGAAGCGGGCCCAGGCGGTTGGAGGGATCGAGACGCGCCTCCCTCCACCTGAACCGACCATATCCTCGATCGCGGAATCGACGTTCATTCCCGCTTCGCCACGATCGTCGACGATGCGGGCCATGCACACCTCGTGCGCGATCGTCGAGAACCAGAAGAGGGTCACGGTCGCGACTTCGAGAAAGATGAGGTAGACGATCCATTCGTAACGTGACCAAATGCCCTTGAGCACGGAGAGGGTCAAGTTCGACTCTTTGTCGAACGTTCCGGCAGGGAGTTGACGGTTGTTGCCGAATACGACGACGCCGACGACGCCGAGAATGACGACGATCGTTCCGAGGATGTCGAGTCGAGTCACCGGAGTGCCGACGAGGAGGTAGGCGCTGTAGTCGGGGTGGACAATCCTTGTCAGTCATCGCTCGGCAATCGCGCAGATTGACAATCGATATACTCACAATACAAAGTTGAAGACCAAGCTCAAGGACCCCAACGGTGCGACATATTCGGCCCTGAGGTAGTTCAACGCCAATGTGGAGCCGACGACCTGGGAGATGATGTAGAGACCCAAGCCGAGGACCCAGAACGGTCGTTGCCAGTCGGGTTTCCGAGCCGATGCGGGCAGGGCTTCTTGGCGCGTAAAGTCGAGCTTGGTGACATTCAATCCGAGTGCGTTCAGGACCGACGCTGTTGGAGAGGAGATGCAGGATCAGCCTACGGGGGACCAGAAAGCGACGAAGCTTCCAAGGGGCGAGGCTTGACTGACCTCCGAGAGTGATGAGCAGTCCAATGACGAAATCGATCGCACTGCATTTTGTAGCGGAGAAAGTCAGTTTCGGTTGTCACGGCTGGGCTCCGGAGAGTGAGTTGACCGTCGAGTCGTTTGCCGAGTCGTTTGCCGAGTCGTTCGGTTCGGGCACAGCTTGCGAGCGTCAGCCATCGGCCGTCGCCGGCCTGTTTCGGCCTCGGCGAACGCGAGCGCGCCCGAGCTCCGCGCCACCTTCGGCCTCGACAGACGACGATCAGGGCAGGCTGAGGCGGGCTCATGGTCACATCGTGGATGCTGACACCCTCCGGTGTGTCCGTGCTTATCGACTTTTCATCTCCGTCGACTACCGGCCATGCCTCGCGCGGATGTGTTCGCGCCAAGCCAAGCCCTTCAGCTTGCGATCCAATGACGGGCACCAGCGCTCGACCCAGCCACGCCCATCCGTTGGCTAGTAGCAGGTACGATCCCCGCGCAACTGACCTGTAGGTGTGGTACTCGTACAAGTCCGTCTGGGACTGCATACTGTACTTGGGCAAACGATCCGTGCAGCGACGTAGGGGGAGCTAATGCGGGTCGAGTCGAGGTCGAGAAGGTGCAGGTCGGACGGAGGTCAGGTAGAGAGATGGCGCGCGCGCCGTGTCTCGATTGTCGCTCTTGGTCGCTCGTCCGATTCGAGCGTCTCGTGCGGGCCAAGTACTAATACGACGAGCAGTCTCAGACTGAACGACATTTGTACCGATCTCGATTGATGAACCTGAATAGTGAATATAATAAATCGCTTAGATCTGGGCTTGGTGGCAGAACCCCCCACAACACCCGCCCGCGAACCTGAAACCGGTGATCATACCGGCGCAGATTGCGCCGCCGAGGCCGAGGGGGGGAAACAGGGGCTTCAAGGGAGAGCTCGGCCCCCAGCGCAAACCAAGCCAAGTTTCTGGGCGATCCTGAGATCACGTATTTCACATGTACGAAGGCGCTTCCGCGATTGACGGGCGCGCGTCGTTCCTTGATCAACCGACAGCGGATTTGAACGGTAAAAGAGCCAACTTCAAGAAGGCATAAGTCACAGTAAAAGGGGCCCACGATGCGAAGCTCGCATGGAAGACAGAGTAGCCTCTTTTATCACTGCCTCATGAGATGCCTCATGCGTCGACATTGTCCTAAATGTGGTTGCGCGCAGGAAAAGGCTCCGTGGGAAACCAGCCAGCCTTAACAATGAAGAATCTGCACATTCCATTGATCCAACCAATATGAACAAACACCAAAGACCAAACAAGCTCGCGTCCACCTCGCCATCTCTCGCCATCTCACCTCAACCCATCTCATCTCATCCCTAATACCGCCCAGCACACCTTCTCCTACTCATCCTCGCCCTCTCCTGTTCCAACCGTTGTCGTTCGTCGTCGCCGCCGCCGCCACCACCTTGTGAATCCTCGACTGCGCCGCGTGGGAACTCGAGATCAGGATCGAATACCTTGGTCCGGGGAAGGACTTCAATCACACAGGTGCTGGCCGCGACAGAACGTATAACTGCAGGCCATACCCGATGGATTCAGTAGCCGCCATCGGTTCGTTGGGGAATTGCCTCAACGCATGGGCCAACGCCTTCGGGAATCGAGCTGGGAGGGAATGACGTACACGTTGTTGCAGTGGAGCTTGCATTTATCGTCGGAACAATGGTTAAGGCAGGTTGTTCGCCTGATGAACAAGGAACACTGATCAGACAGTGATCTCCTGAAAGTTGTCGATGCAAGTAGCTCCTGCGGCCGGGGCCGGGTCCCGGTCGTGTGGCTGACCGGACCACCGGCAGCCCCGGGCAAGTTTCGTCACTTACTGGTCATCGCAAATACACTGGGGGGCTGTATGAAGACAAAACCCGTCCGGTGAGCAACTCGCCCCGGGACCACAGTAGGCTCCGCCACGACCACGACAGCCTCGATCCCCGGGCGCTAATTTCCTCCCGGGGTTGGCCCTAGGGGCCCCTTGAACGACAGTGATCGCGAGCGCAAGGCCGACGAGGGAGAGGAGCGATGCTTTCATCTCGAGCTGAAGTTCCAGTGAAGAGTTGAGGAGCGAAGTGACGAATAGGAAGGAGAGGTAGGGAGGATAAACCGAACGGGTTAAAGTACTGCGCCGGTCATGAACCACCGTTCGGTCTGGTTTGTCATGTTTGGCCTCGTAGCGGGTCTTTGTCCGCACTGGGCGCCGTGGGCGGTGTCTGATGTTTCAGTGCGGTTCGGGGTCGGCGGAAGGATTAGCCTACAGCGCTTCATCGGGTCATCATGGAAACTGTCAGTAGAGCCATGAGGTGCAATTGCAGGAGCCGGAAACCTGTCAAACTAGTGTGTGGTCACTAGTGACTTCCGATTCGGCAACACTGCACCGCCTAAAGTCGTCCGCCACGGCAGAGGTCGGCCCGGCTGGGCTTCTTCGTTTTGTCTGAGGTAAGAGATGTCGTCTGAGGTGTTCACGGTAGGTGGGTATCCTGGAGCATGAAGTTCCTCACCACTGGGACATCCAATCTCTTTCAAGGCTGACAAGGCCCGCCCCGCGTTGGCGATCGTCAGAGGGCGGTTCTGAGTCAAGTTCGGTCTTGCAATAGGAGATAGGAGGGGCCTTAACGGGCTTAGCCGAGACCGAAGTTGAACCTGCACCGCATGGCGTGTGAACGCTTTACCTCATCCGCTGTCTAAATGTATCACATGACAGTCTTCCCGTTTGAAATCGTCTGATCACATGTCAGACATTTGTGTTTCCCCCAATGGCGCTTTGCCCCGGAAACGTCGGCCCGAGGGGCAACTCTTCAACGCCCAGGAAATGCGTATACACTTATTGCTCCACCGTTACGTTGATATATGTGGCAAATTCAACACTCGCTGAAGTGAATTCTATGGGAGTGAGGTGCGATATACTTGGTAGATACTAGCATAAGTCTCAACTGATATCTGGGAGGCTGCGCCTCCGAGCGGAAGCAGCTGAAAGCGCTGCAAGGGAAGAGGTGGCCATGTCTTCCTGAACGATGCCATCGAACATCACCGCCGATCGATGAATATATATCCCCTTGAAACCTCAGACTACCTCGAGCCGCCCAACTGATGCGGCACACGTTCTCCCCCAGCCTTTCTCAAAAGGTAAAAGTCTGCTCATTCCATCGATCGGTTCGACTAACGTGCATAATGCCGAAAGCCAAGAGGAACACAGCTCCACTCCTCTATTCCCTCCCGTCCTCAATGTGGCGTATGTACAACTCCTCATCACTCCCACTTCTCGCTACTACCTCTCCTGTTCCGATTGCCTTTGCCGCCGTGACGCCGTCACTGCACCGCCTCCGCCTTCCAGCGAATAGTTGTATGACCTTGTCCGAGGCGTTATGTCGATCGAAGATCTTGGCAAGCTACTACTTCTACCTTTGTGGTCCTGATAGCATTGTGTGTGCGTGCAGTAGTCGCCGCAGAGTCGTTGCGGCGCCTCGGCAGTAAAACTCTAGTAGACGGCATCATACTCACGTCTGCTTCGGCCGGAAGAAATATTTATATATAGCCTGTGACCTTTTTCTTTCTTTTCTCTTTTTGATGATAGTAGACGATAAAACTTGAGTGCGCCTGCTGAGCTCGGACCGCCGCCGACTCTTGACGGCCTATTAATTGCGAAGCGCGGGGCATGAGACTGATCGCGCTCCACTTTATCTCCTCTTCCTCCCTCCACCCCCCCTCCTGGGAGTTCGTTCCAGATTCCCATTCGGTATGCACGGCTACATCGACTCAATTCTGGTCCCTCTCCACCTCGGACCGAGCCGCGTGATCGAACAAGCCACCACCTCCGCCTCCACCTCGTCCTCAGCTAAAGCCAAGGGCAAGGCCAAAGCCAGCCATGCAACGAAGGAACAAGGTCGATCTTCAGCGTCGGACAGAGCTAAACACGATCTTGTGGGATCATGGACGAGTGCAGAAGCAAAGGATATGAGGGACAAGGTCGAGCTGGCCGCGACGCGTGCGTTGACTGCGCTGTGGAGCTCTGCACCCCGTTCCTGGTCACTTAGAACCTCAAACCATCCCTTCCACAGTCGGTTACTCCACCATATGCCTCGTCATATCCATCCCAACGACCACAGACCCCTCTTTACTCTCCTTCCCCACCCCACTTTACCCCGACTTGGACCCCCGAACAGCCCAGATCTCCTCCTCTTCGACACCTTTGGTAGAAGACCAGATCCTGCAGCTATGGCGTATCCATATCCGAGACTACGGCGACGAGCAAGTCAAGAGCGTTTCCCATCGCGGACAATTCGGCCTGGCAAGTGGTGGCCCCCTCCTCGGTTCTCCAAAGAACGAAAAATCTGACCCTCCTTCTCCCTGCCCTACAGAGTCAATCCACATCCTCCCTCCTTCCTCCCTCGACAACCCTCCTTTCGATCCAACCCACAACCCTCACCTCTTTCAGTCACGTGTCCCTCTCCCTCTCCGCCTCCTCCCCCTATGCCCCCAGCTTGATCACCCTCGATCCCTCCCTATCCCCTCGCCTACCCTTCCCGCTAAAACGAGGGCTGATCCATACCCTCCAATGCTCGGGATTGAAAATCGAGATCGTATATCGTGGTATCACATGTGCTGACGAAGCGGGTGCATCGAATCATGCGAGTAGTACGAGGAGAAGGAATTGGATCTCTGGAAGCATCTTTCGGCTACCAGTGTGTACTGTCATCTCGTGTACGCGTTCCAACACGAGTTCTCGGACTTTTCGTCCGTCCACGGTGCCGGCTGCGATGCACAGTCGGTCGCCGTAAATTTCGTCATTCTGCCACAGAGCGCCATCAGCGCTAAGGGTGTATCGATCGAAATCATCAACGGTGGTCACGATCTTCTTGAAGAAAGGATCGTCCATGTAGTCCGTGGCTGCTTGCCACGTCCTGTTTCGGTGTTGAGGGTCAAGATTGAGAGCTTGATCGGTGGGGATTCCACCTTCCTCCTCGAGTCGCGCAGCAATCGTGGCAGGTCGGGAACGAATTATCGACTTGCTCGAAAGCAGTGTTGCCACGGTATACGCACAGGCGGTCCACGGCCGATTGCCATTAATCAGGTTCATCAGGGTTGATCGGGGTACCACACCGGTCAGCGTCGCACGTGATTCCGTGATGAGAGAATGAGCAGAGACTCGGAGCTTGTCCAAAGCCGGCCGAGGGGCTCGCCGGCGAAAAAGCATCTTTATGAAAGGCACAAGATCGCTCTCAAGTTTCACTGATTCCAAGTCCAAACTCAGAAGATCAAACGGTGTAATTCGCAGGCGAAGAAAGACTACTAAAAGGACTAAGGTCAAGAGGCGCTGCGACGCCGCGCGCGAGGTCAAAAGCTCAAGGCCGCTGAGATTGGCTCGGGGTCGTCGTGAGGCGTAAGCGGAGCGGCGCCTTACACGTTACCCTTTACCCACATGAGTGGAAAGAAGCGCGGGAGTGAATACTTAGAAAAAGCCTATAAGGAGAAAGCGGCCACTCTTATAAGAGAAAGCGACCACTTACTAGCGACAATCTTTATAAGAGAAAATGACCAATGAGAGAAGGCGATCACTTGATAGGAAAGTGACCATTTTATGAGACGGACGCGGCTGTATGAAGGGTGTAAAGTCATATGATAGGTGTAAAGTTGCACGCGGCCGTATGATAGGCGTAAACTTGTTGAAAGCGGCCGTTTCAAGGCCGAAACGCGTGCGAGCGACTGCCCGCTGAGGCGATTGATGAGCTGCGTGTCGGGAGAGATCACTTTTAGAATCCTTTCTCCCTCCTCGTTGCGGCGGCGGACGTCGAGACGCAGTTTGGGCTTCGGTTTGGGGGCGGGGTGTCGTCGGTGTTCGCCGACTTCTCGGTGTTCGCCTCTTCCCGCGTGCAGAGAACGACATCGTTGACGTCGGGAGGTCATCGCCGAGGCCTGAATTTACGCGAGCCTACCAATTAGTCGACGCTCCTTTCCCTACCCGCCGCCACCGTCGCACCCACTTTGTCCCGGCTATGAGCGAGCAAGACGATGACCTCGGTCGTGAGTTCGACGACATGGATGATGATTCTCTCGGCCACCGAATCCGAGCTGCAATACTCAACCACTTCTACGCAGCCAAGCTCAGTGAGCTCTACGTGCTCCAAAAAAAGTACACCGATCTCCTGACGACGACGAGCGAGGCGACGTCGACGTCGTCTGTGCTAGAAGAGAGCGATCGAATCACGTCCCCGAGCGCCCAACAAGGTTCGAATGCGCGTCCGTTGCTCGCCTCTGGCAACCGGCCAAGGCCGAATCGCGTGCGTCTCCCCGCGCGTCCAGAGCACGGCATCCTTGACGTCGGGAGGTCGTTGGCGAGGCATGAACGATGTAAAATTCGAACCTTGCTGGGAGCTCGGGGGCGTTATTCGATCGCTCTTGTCGCAGACAACGTCAACGACGCCTCGCTCGTCATCGCGAGGACTCATCGGTGTACTTTTTTGGAGGCGTGTGGAGCTCACTGAGCTTGGCTGCGTACAAGTGGTTGAGTATTGCAGCTCGGATTCGGTGGCCGAGAGAATTATAATCATCCTGATGTCCCCCACGTCGTCGAACTCACGACCGAGGTTACCGTCTTGCTCGCTCGTGGCCGGGACAAAGGGGGCGCGACGGTGAAGGCTGGTGGGAAAGGAGCGTCGAGGCTGGCGTGTCAAATTCAGGCCTCGCCAACGACCTGCCGACGTCAAGAAAGCCGATCTCTGGACGCGGGAAGACGCCAACGCCAAGAAGTAGGCGAACACCGACGACAACACCGCCCCCAAAGCGAAGCCCAAATTGCGTCTCGACTTCAGCCTCCGCAACGAGGAGGGAGAAAGGATTCTGAAAAGTGACCCGTCTCCTCATTCACCGCCTCAGCGGGCAGTCGTTCGCACGCGCTTCGGCCTCGGCCAGTTGCCAAAGGCGGGGTACTGACGGTGTCCAGGGAGTGCCACAGCTTCGCCAACTTTAGGCGCGGCCCGCTTAGGCAATGAAGTGAGCGAAGTTGGCAGAGGCGAGGGGGAAGTCGGCAGAAAGGTGGGTGAAGCTAGCAGTGGCAAGACCTGGGAAAGCTCGGCCCAATGTCCGTCTCGGAGTTTTGTACTTTTCGGGTCCATTTATGCCTTGTAATATGCTAGATGACGTGATCTTTGATGGTAGAGTACCTTTTACCAACCAAACTCGATCATTGGTCTTACACCGGAATTCATACATCCGTTGGAGAGGGATATTCGGTGCATAAATCGGCTTTAAAGTGGGGTTTTCCGAGACGCACCTTCGGCTGAGCTTCCCGGTTCCTGCAGTGGCCCACGGGAACTTGGCAAAAGTCAGGTGTTGCCCGAAGCGCGACATCCGCAAGGAGCTCTTTTCAAGCCCCCTACCTGTGCATATTTATGCCCAACATCCGCACTTTTTTCGGCCTTCGAATCAACACAATGTGTCTTGCCACGTCACCCTAAGACTCGCTCTCAATCGTTGATCCCATCCGATGGAGTCGTTCAGCAAAGCCGATCGAGACGATTTGACGCGTACAGCGTGACGCCTGGGCGAGACATGTGAAATAGCACATCTCACACTTTAGGTCGACGAAGGCGCGGAGTTGTGCTGTTATCCAATGCTCATCAACCTACATGAGCCATCGATCGAGCAAGACAGTCATCAATCGAGCACCACGAGCGCACCGACGTCAGGCTCCTGAGGTCCGCCGTCCACCGGCCACCGGCTTCAAGCCGTCGCCGTCAACCGCCTACAACCCCCCAAAGCATTCCTGAAGATGAGCATACCGATAAAGAGGCAAGTAGCCAAACGTGGAATACAGGCTGAGCGAGACCTTCGGATAGGGCAAGTTCAGGAGTCCTGCCAATAAAGATCAGGTCGGAGCCAACGTTGGTCGACCACGGTCATTGGGCTACATAACGAGTGCAGGTCAATGGTAGCAGCTCGAATACTAAGGATCGTCTCTGTGATATTCGTTGCTATGCTGACATCCATCGTCACAACATCTGCCATAAAATAGAGCCGTTCGAGAAAAGGTACCGTGAGGACTCGGAGTCGTCGCCCGAGCATTAGCGCGTTCACCGTGCCGTTCCATTTCGTGAACATCAAAGATCGCGCAGATCATGATGGAAAACACCTTGGCACAGAACTGGGCGATCTCGAGCTTTAAAGCGCTGACCGTGACACCGACAGGGGACTTGCCGATCGTGATTGACCGCTCCCTTCGCCACACGGGCACGGCCGTTCGGAACGAAAATGCGTTGTTGGCGTTGAGGCATGATGGCGATTGTGGGACATTTTAACAGGGTCAGGGGTTTAGGGCCCGGTCAGCGCCTCCAATGTCGCCGGATGCACGCGTGGGTGGAGAGTCACGACTGCAGGCTTCAGATGAAGTGTCTTTACCCCGCATTTATACACGGCTGACATGCCTTACACAGCCCCCCCCCCCCCGCCCTTGCTTGAAAGAGAGCGGCAGGGCACTACACTGCACAGTCAGTGACCCAGGAACGGGGCAACAGTTCCGTTTAACCGCATGCAAGGAGCGCTATTACTTTCTAGCAGTCGACAGGCGGGCGCAGTACTTACTGACTTGAAGGTGGCATGCCTCAAGGGCTCTCGCATACTTATCCTGCGAACGTAGGCAGCATAGCTCATCGAAAGTGTTGAACTCGGGGCACTAGGAGAAGAAGAGGAAGACTTGGAAATGAGCAAGTTTTTGTGTCCGGCAATCCAAGATGGCAGTGACCGGTTTCGACTTTGTGAAAGCTTGCGAAAGTTAGGTCTGTTTTGAACAAGACCTTCACCACTGCATTGTGGCAAGTCTCATGGCAGGGACTGCCGAAGGTTTGGGTGGTACGTTGGCTTTCGTTGGAGGACGTGGGCGGGGAGCGCGTGCAACGCCAGGAATTTGATCTCGAATTGGCGACTACGGCGATGTCAAATCAGATCCCGCCAGTTGCCAGCGCTGACATCGCTCCGCATTGTCTCTAAAGCCATGCGCCACGGCATATTCTTTCTTTCGAGACCTCGAGAAGTCGTGAGGCCGAGCGAACCCCGAGTACGATGAACCGCTAGCGGCTTTTCTCACAATTCTGGAACTGTGTAGTTCCACCCAGGCCGCAAATGTAGCACGAATCAAAGTTTCACACAGGGACATCTATTGCCACCCTAGTCATCATCCCTATCCTTGCCCGAGACCCTTTCGTAGTTATTACCCCCCTTTCATCGAGATAGGACTCGAGACCATCCCTCCTCCACCACCACTGCCTGCGCCAAGAACGGATTGCACTGCCGTAGTCAAACTCAAGTGCTTCGAATGCGATTTCTTGCCCGTCGACGTCCCGACTCCCGCACCGAACGATTTTGTATGTGAATGCGATTGAGGTGTAATAGATGAAGGGCTGGAAAAGACGCTCATTTCGTGTTGTTCGTCCGAATGTTTCGTGATCGGATTCGGACTGGACGTTCTCCTTAATGGTTCAGAAGGGTTCGGGGACAGGTTATTCCTCAACAAGGGTGTCGTCACTGCGTCCGTTGAGCCCTTCCCGTTCGATCCTCCACTGATGCTGTTACCTAACCTTCCTCCTCCTCCATTCATATTCACATCAGGTGAGGCCGAACTGTTCGAACCGTTCTCGTCGAAAGAAAACCCTTCCTTCATTTCCCTCCGAACGCACATCTGTTCGGCAAGAACGATTTGAGCGACGCTGGAGCCGATGAGAATGAAGTAGAAGAAGAAGGAGGTAGGGAATTGGGACGAGTAGTAGGTTGTGAGGATGAGATGGTTGAAGAGGAGCGTGAGGGACGAGTCGAGGATGTGGGTTGGCCGTCGGACAAAGTGATACAGGTAAAAGACGCTGTGCAATGAGAGATCCAAACCGAAGATTAGCACGAGCTAAGAGCAACAAGAAACAAGTCGATGCAACTGACTCGATCATAGCGGTGATGCACCAAGCGATCGCGACGACCCAACCCCTGAACTGATCATACTCGAGTACCCTGACGAGACCCTCCTCAATTTCCTTGACACCGACATGCACCGCTTTCCCATCGCCTTTCGCGATCAAGGTTTTCAATCCCCATGCACCAGAAGTCGAAACGGCCTGAAAGACATCGAGTCCGACCAGTCCGGCGGGGAGAGATCTCCGAGTCGGCAGCGAGGTCGTGGGGCGGCCGATGAACTCGCGCCAATCCATGACAACCGAGACGGAGGAAGGACCTCCCTCGTATCCGAGTAGAGTGGATGACGCGAATCTTGAGAGCAAAGGAGGGAGCAGGAGGGCCAAGGTGAGGTAGTGCAGCGTCTGGAGCGTGACGATCTGGGCGGGCGCAGAAGAGGTGTTCAGCGTCATTCTCCATTGGACCGTCAAAGAAAGCGAGTTTAACTCACCTGAGCAATGATCAAGAGAGGATCCCATCCCTGTACCCTGAAGTGCGGCGGTGCGATGTGAAAGGTCGGGAGGCGCGTCCCGGCGGGCAGGGTCAACCTCGCCGCGGGTGCCATCCTTCACCTCACGTGTGGGCGATCTCGACGGGAGTTTGGGGGTGCGTTGAAAGATATTAAACGGCTCTGATTATGCGACAGAAGACGATGTCAGCTTGATCGACACGCGAACTCGCAGCGACTGGCTCGGTCCAAGATCGGAGTTGAGCGAGGTCGATCACGTGGGCCACGCCACGAGACCGACTGCACGGCGTGGTCTGGCGTGGTGGATGGGCACAGTACAGGCGCGGGAACGTACAGTGAGCGTAGTTTATGACTGATGCATACACGGTGGTTGGATTTGCGCCTCGTGAGCGGAGGACAAGGACGTCGTACGAGACCAAGCGAGGTGAGCCAGGCACTGAGGGGTGGTGTCGTACGGGCCAGCAACGACGACGACACAGCCGGAACAAAGTGAGCAGAGGCGTCTGGTAAGTAGCTCCGCACCCGGGAAGAGCCGATGACCTGCCCGAAGCTGCGGCGTTGTCGGAGCACACGCGAGCGGTGAAGGGTGATCGGAGGGAGCGAAAGGAGACCTCTGCTCGAAGCAGCGAGCGCTGGCTCGGCTGGCTCGGCCGAGAGCAGCCGAGAGCTGCAAGCAGTGCGCCCCGAACGCGCGATCCAATCACATTTTGCCGCCGTTGATGCGACCAATAGTAAGTTGTATTCGGCGAGGTGGCCAATGCAAAAGCCACCTAAATGAAAGTATCCACACCAAATGAAGTTTGAGCAGTTTTCAATACTTCCAGGGAGTCAAGAGTTTGGGATCGATCGGATCTGCCAGATCTCAAGGTCGCATAAGGGTACAACTGTATTCTTCCGAGTCGACCTTCACGGCGTGAAGACGCAAAGTACCGTTTCAAAACACGATGGTTCGGAGATTTTGACAGAACAGAGCCTGAAACCTTTTAAGCTCACCTTTGATGAAAAGCTTGATCCCATACTCCTCGCAATGGTACTCGAACTTCCTAGCCTACAGCTCGGGCTCCTGAATTCGCTCCGACAGCTCCGCACCACTTTGATACAAATCGGGCATACGAGGCTGTTCGGGGCGAGGCGCTTGAGAAAGATGTTGCAAGAAATTCAGACACGCGGGATTGAACTCAATCAACGATGCGCACGCAGTCATCTCGAGCTCCCGCAGGTCGGGTCCGGTGAACTTGAACCCCGACGTACGTGAGTGACTTTGTGGGTCAGGTCGACGGCGTCGAATGAGACACTGACAACGAAAAAGCGATCATAGGCACATTTTCCTTATAGGCTGAAACGAAGGAGACGCGAGGCTTGCCGGATTTGACCTCGAAAAAATTGTCATAACCGACCTTTGCTTGGCTTCAAGTCCAAGTACACTTCGTCGAGGCCTGTTCGAAAGAGAGAGAAGGCCTTTGAGTGGGGGGGGGGGGGATCTGCGCTCACCTTGAAACAGGCGGGCAATGGTCTCATTCCAGTGGATAAACTGTCTGGCGGTACATCATCTTCAATGACGGTGAAGCCATGGCGACCAGCTCCTGTTCCGAGTCGGAGTCGCTGATGTCTTCAATGTGTTCGAATGTACGTCTAGTAGAGGATCGATTCGACAGCGTATTTGCATGGATCACGTAGTCCTGCTTGCAGAGACGGGGTTTCATTACTAAAAGTAGTGGAGAGCTCAATAAGCTGGACTGATAGTCGTGGCCTGAGTCAGAGGTGACGTCGAGTGACGGCAGTGACATCACAGCGACCTCTCGCCGAGCGCCCGCGCGCGGGGCTCAATTTGTTTTCTGACCTTTGTACCTTAGCCCCTCTTCTTGTCTCCGATTCGACCATTCAGAATTCAAGATGATATCGCGAACGCTTACAACGGCCTTCCAACCAGAATATTAACGCCTTATTGATGATGGTGGAGGAGGAACACAGACATCTCTTTGGGAGGAAGAATAGGCGAATTCAAGGCGCCCGATGATCAGCTCGGACAACTCAAAAAGGAGGTCAATCATTCCGGGGAGCTGAAACGCTCGATCGATCTGATCGAGTCTCAGTCCAGAGAGATCGCTTCAAGACTAGCATCAAAGAGTTGTCATCATTTTGCATAAAGAAGAAGTATGGTTGCGCAGGAGTAAGCGAGCCGAACGTGGAATTGAAAGAGACGACTACGAAAACTCGCAAGGAGCTTGGAGCACCAACAGAGCAGAAAAGAACCCCGACTTTTTGTTTTGCAATCATGTTACTGATGATGCTGATCAAAGGGAGAATGTGCGAGTTAACTCATACATTTTTTTTTGAAACGAGTCGGCTGTGATGTCGGTCGATTCCGAGGGGCATGACCGGCGAAGAAATGGCGAGCCCGTCATGTAGATGTGATATCTATTCCCTCACGTGCAGGGTGGACGAGACGGCACCAGAACACACCTCTTGCCTGTGAGATCTCTATCAGTGCATGTGTTGTCCTGAGTCAAGTCGAACGTAGCTGGAACTTACCTGAGCTGGCTTCATCCACGATTGTGCAGCGTGCGGGACCAGGTCAATTGGCACTGAGACAGAAGCAGACCCGTACGTAAAAGTCAGCGACGGTCATCGCATCAAAGACATATTGACCCCATGGGAGAGGAGAATCTTCCCCGCACCTTCGAGCGAGCGCAGGTGCGGTTACTGTCACCCGAGCCGTAGGTGTTCTCGACTGGAAGGCGGCTACGACTCTCCGGGATGGTTGGGCGAGCGGGGAGCGGGGGAGTGTAAGGTATGCGCCTCTGATGTGCATAAAATACAATCTGTCGTTGACCGCTAGGCTAAAAGCAAGTCGTAACTAGAACTCGACAGTTCTAGCTACTCAGACGCTACTTATGGGGCTGTTCTGTAAGGCATCCCCTTACAGGGAGTCCCGAAGGGGGTGGGCTTTTCTCTCGAGAAGTGCTGCACGATTTTTCATGACACGAGGCACATTACTTCATTTTGATCCGAGGTGATCGGTCAACAGACAGTCCTCGGTGATGAATTGGAGATGTACTGGACAAAATCTGTGGAAATGCGTGGTTAAGAATCGATACCTCGACAAAGGGCACGTGCACAGACCTCCTTTCCCAGTGGTTCGAGACGGGAATCGCTTCTGATCTGGCCGCGGTGGACGCGATGTCATAAAACTTCGACGAGACCGTGACCGGCGAGTCCGTGTAGGCCGAAACAAAGTGGGACACTGAAGAACCTTTTATGAGAGTCCGATGCTCCCGCCTGGAAACTCCTGTAGAGTTCGCGACCGAAAGAGGCCACTAGGTCTTGCGGGCTTCTAGACGCGCTCGCACTCGCATCAGCGACACTGTCAGCTCAGCACTGCCAGCACCGGCACCACCAGGACCGCCAGCACCAGTGCCAACAGGACCCGCAGCTCCAACAGCTCCGCCACCACCACCACCACCACCACCACCGGGGTAGGCGTTGGTCACGCCCCCTCCGAGATTGAATGGGTTTGGAGATCGCCGCGAGTGGGACACCTCGAGTTGGAACGAAAGATGTGGAAATCAGGGGGTTTGTTGGCGTGGAAAGGCGCGGAAAGCAACAAGTTCTGAAGTTTCGAGCGAGCATAGTTGGTTTTAGCAAGAGGGAGTGATTCACACCGCACTCGCCTTCCGACTCGCTCGGCGCGCCCGTTGGCCGCCTTTGGCAACCGGCCATAAGCAGTCCATAAGCCTCTGCGGGCGCCCTTCGCAACGAGGATCGCCGGTCGTGTGCTTTTCTCTGACCCGCCATCGTCAACCAGTTGCTGCCTGGCGAAGTGTGAACGCCCCGCCCCTCACCTAATGCTCTGTTCGTACCCGACGCGACCTCCGGATATGGGCGCAGTGATTCTGCTTTTCTTGCGACCTTGAACATCCCCCCCAGCTCCAATGGCGGCTCTGAAGGATCTGGTTCGACCGTTCCCTCCCTTTTTTCCGGCAGCGCGGCGTGCTTGCCCTCCTGCTCCCTCCCCCATCTTGCCTCTTTTCTCTGTCTTGAATTCGCGCCCTTTCCGAGGTATCAATCAGCACTTGTAAGTTTCTTGACTCCGCAATCCGTGGATGAAAGGACTTTTTCCCGCCCTCCGCCTTTCCCCAATCTGGAAACACCCACCCTTGGGCTTTCCGCGCTCCAAAGGGGACGACGACCGCGCACTATGATGACAGAATTATTCACACTGTCCTACGCACTTCGTTTGGCGACGAAGTCGAGTGACGAATTCATTCTAACAACGGTATCTGAGTGTTCGGCGCGTTCGCTTTATTATCCGCATCGAGTTTTGAGCAAAGCCACCCATTGCGTCCAGCTGACAAGAGTACCTCTTTTGTTGCTTCAGAGCCAGTAGCTGAGTTGAGAGTCAAGCGGCGGGATTCCGGTCATGTCCTCTCGATGCGACAGATTTGCTGAGCTGGTCAGCTCGCACTTTTCGTTCGTCGTGCATTGCCTGTCGTGCATTGCCGACATTGCGGGGGTGCACGGTCATTAACTTGGATATCCCCCTCGTGTGGCCAACACATAAACGTAGAGGGCTTATCATTCATGATTTACCTGACGGACGCGCACAAGCATCTGAACATACATTCGGGTCCAACGTCGACACACGACATGACCATGTCTTACCATAGGGTCAAACCCAGTCGGAAACCGTTAGATTAACGGGATGGTGAATTTCAAGTAGCAGGGGAAATCAGCAGAGGTGAACAACCACAATATCAAGTACAGCATAAAAGTATTCTTCGTTCATCGCCGAAACAGCCTGCCCGTTGCTTGTTGCCCAAAAACCATCGCATAGTCGATTCAGCTTGGCTTCAAACACTCGTGCAATTAGATGCTGCGTGCTTCGTCATTCCATTTCGGCCCCAGGTGCCGCCTTGATTTCCGGCCATTCGGGGTCGCATGTCACCGTGATGAACAGCGAAGGTTTTCCATATTTGACGACGCAGGCCATCACATCTTGATAACTCTGCGTGCCCCAGCGCGAGCTGTTCTCAGTGAACCGTCGACTCGGAGTTCGTGCAAGTAGTAGGCAAATAATTGAAAACGCGAGACTCGGGTATATCCACCTCGGCCCCTTCTCCTTGACCTTCATCCTAGATGTTCAAACATTCTATGTCAGTCTGTGCTTGCGTCTTCAACAGATTGCAACACGTAAGAAAGAACCGAAGACGCTTACGTTCACCTTCACCATTCTTATCTAAACCTTCCTCGTCATCTTCATCCTCATCGTCGCGGTCAGGCTTTCGTCCTCCTCTTCGCCTTCGTCATCAAGACCGAGACCGGCAAGTACCTCGCGCGATTGGACACCATTGTCGATCTGCTCTCGGTTTTGGCGAGTGGCGGCCCAGCTTGGTGGAACGCGCAAAGTGGGGTGGAAGCCATCTTCCCTTCAGGCAGGGAATAGTAGTCTGTACCGGAGAGGCAACGCAGACGGCGGATGGATCATCGAGCGAGAGTCAGGCTCGCGGTCCCACTGCGGTCCCCCCTCCCAGTCGAGACTGGCGCCGCGCGATGACGTCGGTGGGGGGGGGGGGGAGGAAAAGGGAATATAGCAATTCGCGCAATTGTTATTACGAGTCCGCGCCGGAGCTGCTCCCAGCGAAGCGATCGCTCCACCCACCGTGTCCGTAACGCGTGAGCCGCGCGCCAGCTCTGTCTATTCACCGCATCGAAACTCATCCAACCAGCCACATCAACGAAGTGTGTCGAGCTCGGTCCTAAAAACATTGAACATGACCACCCCTTCAGCCTCCTCTGTCCCGCTTGCTCCGCCTTCGTTACCTCTGCCGACCGAGCTCGAACAGTTGCTCCTCTCGCAATCGCAACTGCAGCACACCCTCGCGTCGTTACAGCAACTTGCCACTAGATTAAGCGAGCTATCGCAAGCTAGGAAAGAAGGTAATGGGAGGATGGATATCGCTGTCGATCTTGGGATGGGGTACACGATTCAAGGGGTCGTGTGAGTGCTGCCAAGGGATCAATCGGATGGGCGAGCAGCCGAATGCTGACGGAAGTACACATACTGGTGGGACCGCATAGACCGAATACGGACAAGATTATCGTCGCCAGTGGGGTGCAGGACCTTTGGGTGCAGCTTCGAGTCGACGAGGCGGAGAAGTTCGTCGCGAAAAGGCACGAGATCTTGCAAAAGTGAGCCCGGAGCTCGTGCGGGGATAGTTCCGTCCACGTGGGAGATATGCTGACGCTGTTGCATACCTCTCAGACGATCAGAGTCGCTGGACAAGGAGGTTGATAAGCTGAGGCAAGAATATGCGCTCGTAAGTGGGGACAGCCCGGATTTCATTTCCTGGCTTGACCGATCGGAGCTCCCGACAATTAATGCAGGTGTCCTTACCATTTAGGTCGCCGAGACCCTTCGAAGAGCTTTAGCACCACCCAGTACCGACGTGGACGACGACGCCTGATAGCAAGATATGATGATGTCACCTTTGAGCGAAATGTCGGGTGGATCGGAGTCGGTCATTGTCTCGGGGCTTAGTCGCCGTAGAGCCTAGCTCAGCCGACCCCACCAAGCTTTCAAGATACTTGTTGTAATTGATAACCCCATCCTTTATGCAACGCCAAGTTGAGTCGACCCACCGAGGCGACCCAGTCGCAAATACCAAGAGTGCAGGGGCCAAGTCTTCTCACCGACTCTCCATCGGTTGAAAGCGCGCATTTCAGGGGAAATCATACTTGATTTCAACACAGGATGCGAGTGGACCGAGTCGAACCATCGATGGGTGTTCGTCTAGACCAAGGACGAAAAGGGAATATCACAGTAAGAACGGAGACAAGAGGGCCGAGTGCTGATATCGTAATTAAAGCTTGGCTTGGGCGCTCTGTGGGTACATGGGGATAGGATGGATAAGGCATCAGTTATGGTAGTTGAGAGGCAAAGTTGATGGTGCGACGAGCTGACCTTGAGAACGGTGTCGAGCTTGGTCGCGAGCATGATGTTTCCCTTGACCTTCAGTTTACCGGACATGAATGCCTTTTGACCGTTCAACTTGCCGTCGGCGAGCTAGGGAGATTGCGGAACGGGTTCAGTTGCACTGCATCGGGTCTCGAGAGTAGAATTGACTCGCGCGCGCGCGCAGGTCGCCGTGAAGTGGATTGAGGGGGGGGGGGGGGCTCGGGCTTACCTGCTGGAAGGTGTCGTTGTCGAGCGAGATGGTGACGTCGGCCTTGGGCTTGGCGCTGCCCTGGTAAACGGTGCCCTCCTGTGATGGGTTTTACGAGAGTGGGCGAGAGACGAATAGAAGATGGGGGGCGAACAAGAGGTCAGCTCCTGGAACGATCGGAGTCGCCGGATCGATGAGTAGAAGGCAGTAGGGGGGTCATAGCTCCGAGTCCATGACAGAGATAGTGCAGACACTCGCTGAAACGAGTGGTCAAGGTACCAGCAGATCACCCTAAACGCGGCGTGCTGCCTCCCCGCCCGGCGGTCGTCGATGCACGCAAGTCGGACTCGCGCACCGGCCGGCGATCGGCGTTTCACGGCGAACAAGCAGCGCGAGCCGACCACGCGACCCGACCGAGACCCACACAAATCGAGGACGACCGCGACGTACCTTCTTGAGGTCAATGGTGTAAATACCCTCCTTCGAACCCTTCTTGACCCTCATCTCAAAGATGCCGTTGACCTTCTTGATGTTTTCCTTCTTCTCCTTGTCCGACATCTACGAACGAGAGGGAGGACTCAGCTGGGCTGCCTCTACACTCTTCTGAGGCGTCCCGGGGAAGATTAAACAGGAAAAAGGGCTACTCACGCCCTTGAGTCCTTCGGCAATGGCATCGAACAACTGTAGACAACAAGAGGATGAAACATATGCGAAGTGCGGAGGTGTTAGCTCGCTCCGGCCTCTTCATGATCCGGCCCAAGCGGCGACTCTGCCGACTCTGGCGATGTCATTGCTCGACCACCGACGACGACGACGACACGGCGGCGTCCACAATGAACGAGGGAGTGCAACGTACAGCGGTGGCGGGAATATCCTTATCAGCGATCGACATGATGGACAGAAAGTGTGTGGGAGGCTTGAAAGTGGTTGTGAGAGAGGTGCGGGTGATGAGAAACTCGAAGCGAAAGGCGGGTGTGGGGTGGGGTAGAAGTGAGAGAAGCCCTGGCCGAATTGCGAGCAGTGGAGCACCAGGCCGGGCTCGGCAGCGGCGTGCAAGGCCCATCTCCAGCGTGAAGACCGACCGTTGGCGCGCCTTATTAGAGAGTCAGAACTCGCTCTAAGCCGCCATTCCGGGGCGAAATGCTTCTTTGGCGCACTTGTAATCCGAACTCACGGAGCGTCGAGTTGCACGGTTGCCTAATGAAAGCGCACGCCGCCTCGCACGCAGGAAACGAAGCCCAGCCTCAGATCGCCGATGACCGAAGGTGGCACTGCCCGTCCGCCGGGCGCCGACCAGTCGCGGCGAGTCTCGGCCCCTCTCGTCGGGTCACGCACCCCAAGTCAGCCAGTCATCGTCACCATCAGACGAGTTCATCCTCAGCAAAGCCCCAACCCTCCACCTGCAACGATAGATGCCGCAAGCATGCCGTCAAAATGGTTGAAGGTATAGTGAGTGCAGTCGCTATCGCTGTAGCCTCCTCGTTTTCAAACTCAAGTTTGTTTCATCTGCCCTCGACCGTGCCCCACGTCCCCCGAAGTTCATGTAAGTACAGGCAGTCATAACGCCACCAGCGTCGGAGAGGGAAGATGTTGAAGATCACGCCGATTTTCAACGTTTTGTAGTTTGCCGCGACCACCCAAAGTAGAACTTGGTTTCCTTCAACGATCTCATGGTCGCGTAGTTGTCGTCGGTTGAGGTGACCCGGCGAGTCGGCGAGCTCTGCGCGTTTTCGTTCCTGCTCAATGAAGGGTTCATACTCATCTGGCAATCAACGAAGTCACGCTTTTCGAGGCTATTGTGAGACCGGAAGAAGATGCACAGCGGCGAAATCAAACGGGGCCGCAACTGCAGTGACCACTGCAGATGGGTCTGCAGTGAACGCTTCATTGAACGGGAACGAAAACGCGCAGAGCTCGCCGACTCGAGTCACCTCAACCGACGACAACTACGCGACCATGAGATCGGAGGAAGCCGGTGACGCGTGCGACACGAACACAGCATGCTCGAACTCTCAGACGAAATCAAGGAGAGCGAAGCCCTCCTCAAGCTCGAAGAAATACGAACGAGAGCAGCCGCGGCGAAGCTCGCAACAACGCAGCTCGACACGGAATGACGTGAACTCGTGCCCAGGTCGAAAAGCAAAGGCAGGAGCCGACCGTACTGAAGAACATCCAATCAGATTGGATTTGGGAAGGAGGAAGTGAGGCCCGAGCGGCCTCCCACGCACATGACCAAGCGCTGAATCTTGCCGAAACACGCCTGACCGAATATTGGACGTCAATATTAGCCGGGTTCCCCTTTTTTGTGTAGTTCAGCCTGTCTCAGTGCTCTTTCTCGCTTGGATGATCACATTCATTCGCATCGAGCCTCAAATAACGAAACACCGTCGACAATACCTTTCGAGTGTGCAACGATAACAAGAACGATCGGCCCAGCACTCGCGATCCTTCTGTTAGGCCACCGGCCTAACATTACCCCTGAGACGGGGCCCCTGAGCCACCCCTCGGTGTCTCATTGTGAACCACGTGGACGTAGCTTCCCTCCCTCATCATGTCTCTACTGTAGGGACGATACAGTTGAATACCCGAAACCTCTTATCCTAAAATTTGGGAGACCCCGAGTGGACGGCATCTGCACCTGTGACAGCTCCGATGTATTCCTTGCTCCGTCAGCTCGCTCTCGCGATCGTCCTCGTCGCCGGCGCCATCCCATGGGCGAGACTCAATCGGTGTGCGATCCGTACTCACAGTCTGTCGACTTCCAGATATATCGCGATACTTGAAGGAGTTTTAAACGTTTTAGGGTGACTAGTGTACGTTGACCTGCTTGCACACCCGATCTCCCGCATGGGACGTTCACTCATGAAGCTGCTGACCGACTCGCGAGCTGGACTCGGATGGCCAGTGTGCGTAGAAGAGCCAGTAACGACTTTCCTACGGCACCAACTGGCAATGCACTTTGAGTTTTAGTCAATGCTTGAAGGATCGTGCGCCCGATGAAGCAATGCTAGTTGTGCCTTGTTCGTCCCGCTTCCTTTTATTCGTCCCTCCCTTTTGGCATGCCGGCATTGTGACTTCTGACGCCTGGGTAACTGCTGACCCACTCAGATCTCTGCACTTGCTTTGAACCCGGCTGCCCATCGAGCATCGAGCTACAAAATGGCGAATATCAGGAGTGCAAATATTGTCAACCCGCCGGTGCTGACACAGAGACCGGTCGGTAAGTCGTTTGCTATATTCCAAGCGTGGCATATTGCGTCTGCAATAAGATTTGACGATTAGAATGTCTACAGTCCAGAGATACCCGTATGCAGGAAAGGAGTGGACTTCGCGGAATTCAGCGAGCTCGGCTTGCTACCAAATCATTGATCGCGGAGACAGATACTGGCACGGGACCACGGAATCACGGATCGAGCTCGCCGTGCACTGTCAACTCAAACGAAAATTTGCTTGTGAAAGTGGAGCTTAAGGGAAATACATGTGACGGTGAACACTTCAAGATCTACTCAACAGTAGGTAATCTTACTGCTGTGCATATAACTCGACTCGGTCGCCCCGCAGGCCGCTCCGGATCATGACGCATGACGTTTGAAGTTGACCGGCCAACCCGGTGTTGTGGAGCTCCGAATCGATTATCGGTCTCGCTCGTGCGCGACACGTCTCCGCGCGCCGACTTGATCTGCTTTATCTGGCTCTCATCCTATCCCGCCACTATCAAACGACCTGTCATGGAGCTGGACTATGCAAACACGAGTCCAGCTTCCCGAGGAGCCACGTCGTCGCAGGTGCCCAAGGAGGATCGCCGCGATCTGTTCATCAAGGAAGCGTCGTGTGAGTCAAGCACTGTCCCATTTCGCAGCGCGCCCCCCACCACGTACCGGCCGGCTAATTCGCTTGGCGTACTGTCATGCTTAGGTCATGCGACGATGGTGTGCGCCGGATGGTCGGATTCGAGCTCGGGTCCTTTGATCCCCTATATCCAGGTCTGTCTGTCGGAGTCGTGTGTCGAGGGTAATGCGGGGTTGAGCTCAGCCGCTGATTGTTCGCACCTCCGCCGTGCCACATCATCGCTCTTGGCACGTCAGGCCTACTTTGGCGTCAGCTACACCGTTGGTGAGTGCTCGGGAATATCCATCTATGCAGTCCTGATAATTCACTGATTCAATGCCATTCTTTCAGTGTCAATGCTTTTTGTAGGCCTTCGACGCCAAAATTTTCTTTCGCGCGAAATCCTGCGCTGATCTAGCCGGATCGCTCTCCTAGATCGGACAAATGGTTGGCTTCTTGACCGCCGGATTCTCCAACTCGTATTGGACCGAGAAATATGGCCTCGGTAAAGTCATCGCCGTTGGATCCATTATCCAACTCTTCGGCTTCGTCTTCCTTATCCCCGCCTTCGCATTTCCCGTGATGCCCGTATGCTACGTTTTGCTCGGCTTCGGGATGGCCTTGCAGGACGCCCAGGCAAATACTTACATTGCAACGTTGCCAAACGTCGAGTTCAAGATGGGGTTGCTGCATGCGAGCTATGGCTTTGGAGCCCTTATCTGCCCGCTAGCAGCTACGGCGTTCGCTTCATCGGGGATCCGGTTCTCGTATTTCTACTCCGTCTCGATCGGCGTCGCCTCCCTCAACGCGGCCATTCTCTTGTACGCGTTCAAGTTCTCGTATAGGATACCCAAAGTGCAGCCCGCACCGCTGACGACGACGCCGCCGAATGAATGGGAAGCTGAGAATGGCGCAATCGAGCTCGAGTCAATATCGAGGAACGGACTGCCTGGGGCTGATAGGAATGATCTGACCGATTCGAAGGAACGGGGCGAAGACGGGACGGGGACACCGTCATCGGCGAATGGTCAACGGAGCTTTCAATACCCCCCTGGACCGAGCTTGGAAGGCGGAGTACTACCTCCGGGGAAGGACAAGGGGATCTTGAGGCAGACGCTCGAGAATCGGACGGTGTGGATCTGCTGCTTGTTCATTCTCGTCTATGTTGGCGCGGAAGTGTCGATGGGAGGCTGGATCGTGACGTTCTTGATCGACAATCGGAATGGTGGTCCTTCGTAAATCATCGTGGGGCTCCCCCCCCCCCCCCGTTTCCTCTCTCTCTCTCTCTCTCCACTGCTGCAAGCTGACCTTTGATCTGGTATCAAATCCGACTCTCTCTAGAGCGGGCTACGTCGCTACGGGATTCTGGGGCGGGCTCACCCTCGGCCGAGCGGTGACGTCTCCTTTCAACGTCTGGTTCGGTGAAAAACGCGTCATCTGGCTGTACCTCTTCATCGCGACGGGTCTCGAGTTTGCGATCTGGTTCTCGCGTGATTTTGTGGGCAACGCCGTCACCGTCGCCCTCGTCGGGTTCTTGCTCGGACCGATCTATCCGGTGCGTTGATGTCTCTTGGCCTAGGAATCGTTTCTTCCCCACGATATCCCGCAGTTCGGGCGGGAAGGTGTTGATTGCGATTTCGACGACTTTTGCAGATCACGATGAGTATCTGCACCAAAGTACTGCCGAGAAGTTTGCACGCCTCGGGGATCGGCTTCATCGCCGCTGCCGGACAAGCAGGTGAGTTGAGTACTCACTAGTACGCGCCGGCGGCGCGTGGTATCGAAACCATTCTCATCCCATGAACACACACACACACCCAACACTGATCATATTTGTTTCTCGACGCGTATCGGTTCTCAAGGTTCAGCCATCTTCCCTTTCCTCACAGGTGCTCTCGCGCAAAGGTTCTCCCCCGCCGCTTTGCAACCCGTCTTGATCACCTTGTTCGTCGTGCAAGCCCTGATCTGGATCTTTTGCCCCTCACCCGATCGCAAGAAGGAATGAGTGGGTGCAGGGTATGCGTCGATGAAGAAGTTTTGAATTTTTAGTATCAAGCGTTCCGATCGGGTGTTGTTATGCAGTACCGAGGTTCACATGCGCGCGTAGAGGAAGCCGTCGACGGGGGGGGGGGCGAGAATCGAGCGGAAAAAAAGGAGGCGACGCCGAGCGGGGGCCGATTCCAGCGGCTCCGAGCCTCCCTTTAATTTTTTCCAAAGCGCGCGCGCACACACGATTGTGCAAATAAAGACTACTGCGATCCCGTGCGAGATCATCCGGGTCGCTTTCAGATGATTAGCCGCACAGGTCGGTCGGCGAATCGAGCTACCCTACCTCGGTGCCCACGAGTGGTCAGGCGCATGTATCTATCATCAAATTGGCCAGCCGGCAAAAGTGCGGAGGATTTGGGGAGAATTTACATCGCGCGTAGACGACACCTTCATATATTCACAAGAGGGGAAGATTGTATATTGATTTCAAAAAGAGAGAGAGGAGCGTAGTCTAAAAAAGAAACGGGTGAACAGATGTGCGATGAAGAGGGGCAGGTGTAGATGACAAGAACGTATGCGTCGGTGTAAGAGCACAAGTGGGAGAGGCATAGAGAGACAGACGGCTTGGGAAGGGACCGCTCTTGGTGGCGTAAGATCGAAAGGAGTTTTTTTAGTCGAGTTCATCGACGTTCATCTCGGCTTGACCTTCGGCCTTGTTCTCCGTCGGAACCTCCGGCGCGGTCGTGTCCTCCGCCTCCATGTTGACGTCCGGTGTCTGCTCGGTCGTCGTCGGCTTCTCCTCGGTCTTGGGCGTCTCCGTCTTGGGCGCTCGGGGTTTGGGTTTGGTCATGATGGGCAAGCAAACGTTCTGCACCTCCTCACCCTTCTTGCGAATCTCGGCCGAAGTAATAACGGACTTGACGTCGAGCGGCTTCTCCTGCTGCGAGTAAAGCTTATTGCCCAACCAGGCCTCGGCGTTGGCGCACGTCTCGACGACGGTGTTGAGGTCCTTTTCGGGGATGTGCGAATACTTCTCGTCGCCGGATTGAGCCTTCTCCAAAAAGCCGGTGATGATCTCTCGCAGGGCGGCGGTCGCACGGGGTCTTTCCTCGTGTTCACGGTATCGAAGGGCGATGGGGTCACCAAGGGCTTTGAGGCCTTCCAATCGAGCGACGTAAGCCGACTTGGTCGCGTCCTCACCCTCATCGGTATAGAGCCAATCCTCAGCCTCGGAAGCGAGCTTGCGTAAACCATCCTTATCGGCCTCGGACGAGTACTTCTTCCATGCGCCTTCGAGCTTGTCGCGCACGTCGTAAACGTACTCCTCCAAAGCGTTCTTACGATCCTCGGTCTCGAGTACGAGTTTGTCCGACGAGTGCATCTGTCCTTCCTTCTCCTTGAAATCGTTAACGAGCGAGGCGTCGAGCGAGTTGGCGCTCGAGATGGCGGGAAGAGTCGTCTTGATCGACTTGCGCGCCTTCTTCACGAGGGTAGGCGCGGCCGGGGTAGAGGCCTCTCCATCGGCGGCGGCGGGGGCATCGGTTTCCATCGCTTCGGGTTCGGGAACGTCCTCCTCGGGTCCTTCCTCAACGAGCGTCGCAGAATCAAAAGTCAAGATACCGGACAGGTTCAACTTGGCCTTGACCTTGACGAGCGCACGACCACCGTCCTTGGGGGCGGAAAGGTTCTTGACGGTGAATTTACCGATCCAAGGATTCGACTTGCCGGGCAGGTCTTCGGGTTTGGCGTACCGTGCTTCGAGGTCGAAAGGTTGGTTGCGTGAGAAGGAGAGTACTTTGGTCGAAGGGATGACGTTGCCTTTGTCGAAAGCGACGAGCTCGGTCCCTTCGGAAGGATCGTCGCCCGGTGCGGCCTCCCAAACGAACTTGATCGGGTACAGCTGCGTGTCGGTCGTCGAAAAGTCGCGGACCTTGAAGATGGGGGAAAGCATGGCGCACGCCAACGTAGCACCACGGGCGATGGCCTCCTCCTGGTTGCAGGTGAAGGAGAGGGGTCGGCCAAAGAACTCTTGGATGCGCGATTTGAGGGCGGGGACGCGGGTTGAGCCACCGACAAGTTCGACGGTTTCAATCTGCTCCTTGCTGATACCTGCATCGGCGAGGGCTCGCTCGAGGGGACCGATGGTACGTTCGAGAAGGGGGGAAACAAGGGCCTCGAGCTCCTCTCGCTTGAGCGTCGACGACGCATCAACGTCGTCCATGATGGACTCGACCGAAAGAGGGGCGACGGGGTTGGCGGACAAGATCTTCTTGAGCTTCTCGACGGCGGCGGCAAGGCGGAACAAGGCCTTGGGGTTGGACTTGACGTCGATCTTGTACTTGGTCTTGAATTCGGCGGCAAAGTGCTCGACAAGGGCGTAGTCGAGGTCTCGGCCACCAAAGTGACGGTCGAAGGCGGTACCCTTGACGACGAGCTGGCCCTTGTTGAAGGCGACGATCGAGACCGAGTAGTCCGAGTGTCCAATGTCGACAAAAGCGACGTATTTGGGCGGTTCGGGTGCGAGGGGGAGGTCAGTCTTGGTGATACCGTAGCCGAGCGCGGTTGCGGTGGTGTCGTTGATGAGACGGAGGGGGTTGAGGCCGGCGATGTCGGCGGCATCAATGACGGCTCGTCGCTGGGCGTCGGTGTACCAGACGGGCACGGCGATGACGACGTCGTTGACAGCCGACTTGAGCTCGTTGGCGGCCGTGTCGCGGAGCTTGCCGAGAAACATCGCGTAGAGCTGCGTCGCGGAAAAGACGGTCTTTTCGCCCAAGTAGTTGACCTGTGGGAGAAGATTATGGTTAGTGCTCCATAGAGATGTAACGTCGCCCGCTCTGACTCACCTCGACACCGACGGTGTTGCCAGCCTTGACCAACTCGGCGCTCAGGAATTTCTTTTCAATCTCCATATCCGGGTCACTGCGCGCGATTGACTCGTTAGCACATACGTTCGGGTTCGGGGTGGACCGCACATTGCGCACGACTGACTCGATTGTCCTGCCAATGAGTCGCTTGAGGGAGCCGACGGTGTTGCGAAAGTTGGACGTCTCTTGCGTCTTGGCCGCTTCGCCAATGATTCGTGATCTCGGGCCGAATGCGACGAGCGAACTGATGGGGCATGGTACGAACGCAGAGGAGGAGGAAGCGGAGTCGTGGTCAGCGAGGATGTGCGATGCGATGAATGCGCAGGGCCAAGAAGGGAGAGGGAGAGCAGAGGGATAGGCGCGCCGTCGTGGTCGGTCCGGTCAGCGGCGTGGGCGAGCGGCGTGGGCGTGGGCGGGCAGCCTCAGCCTCAGCCGAGGGAATCCCACCGAAACCCGACCCCGACGGCCTTCCAGCGGCGCGCCAGCACGGCACAACGGCACAGCGTACTGCGCACAGCGCACAGCGCACAGCAACGCACGCGCAGACTCACGGCGTCGCTCGGTTCGAGACTTCGTTGATGAGGATGTCGATTCCACGGTTACGCGCAGCTCCGATCTATATGGGGTTGGATGCGTCAGCTTCATCTATCGGCACGGGCGAAGGGAGAGGCAACTGCTGGGGTCGTACGCACCTTGGAGCCGGCCTGGCCGATATCTATCACAGCAACATACAACCTCGCCCATCAGCAAGGGGAGCGTCAGGTCGTAGATCCACACAAAATGTGGTGCTCACCTAATCCGATTACACTAGTCATGATCTGATGAGGCGCGTGTTGGGTCGGTGGTCAGTGGTGGTGGGTCGGAGGCTGAGCTGCTGAGAGCTGCGAAAGGGCCGCCCGAAGCGCGTGCGTGGGTGAGCTCAGCGCCTGCGGAAGCCTGCGGACGTCACTCGCACGGACCATGCCTGCCACGTCATTGAACTCAGTCGGCGCATTTCAACAGGTTCATGTACTTGAAGCAGAGCCAGATTCGTCAGACACGATGCAGTACACAACTAGTACATTGTTCCGGTCCTGACAATCGTCAGCATCAGGATACATACAATTCGGACGCTTTGGAAGGCCATAGAAGCCAATCGAAGCCAATGGATCCTCTGGCCCGGAGAGCTCCCGGCCACTCGTCACGACGATGCTCAGTGCGTAGCGAGCTCAGGATCTCGCACCGCAGTCGCCGATATTGGAGACTAGCTTTGTCGGGCTTTCCCCAAAGCAGCCATTATAACGAATACCTGGTATTTCAAGAACTTAGGAAAAGACGTTTTGATTATCCGAAAAAACTTTCGAGCGTTTTCGATTTAGTACGCCACTCCGGCACCAGCCGCTTTTCTTGGATCCGCCGCCGCCTCGATCGTCCCGTTCTTGGTCCTCACCACGATATGCCCCGTACTACCCGTCACCCCCGTCCAAGTCACATTATACCCCTGCCCAGCCAAATAAGCCACCGTCGCATTATCGTACCCGACGATTCCCTTGTCAAGTTCTTTCCATTCGAAGAACGTTTGACCGGAGAGTTGATCATGCCAGCGTGGGTGAGCGACGGCTTCATAAGCGTTCAATTGTTGATCGAGGTGGTGGTAGAGGTGTTGTAAAGTCGCGGTGATGATGCGTGATCCACCGGCACTTCCAGTCGCGATGAGGATTTCACCCGTGTGCAAGTCCTCAGCGATCGAGGAAGAGATCGAGGATTGCGGGCGTTTGCCGGGACGGATGTAGTTGACGGGAGAAGAGGCGAACCCGAACGAGTTCGTTTGACCGGGTGAGGAGAAATCGTCCATCTCGTTGTTGCCGATGATGCCGTCTGTCATGGGCAACAAGAAGAATCCCGAGTTAGACATGTCAAATTGAGAAAATGCCAGTCATTCGCACGAAAACGTACCAGGGGTCATGACCCTACTGCCCCAGTACGTGTTGACCGTCGTCGTCAACGACACACTCATCCCAGACCCATCGATGACCGCCAAATGCGACGTTCCCGACTCCGCCGTCGCAGTGTACTTGCTGGGATCATAGTATGTCACACCGAACGTCTTGGTATCGTTGATCTGGCGACGGATCCCTTTGACGACGTCTTCTTGGAGGTAGTAGTTTTGCAAATAAGCGACGTTAGTAACGAAAGCTGGATCACCGTACTGTGTTCGTTGGCCGTAAGCGAATTGCGTCGCTTCGAGAAGGCGATGCGTTGTCACGTTGATTTGAGGTTGAGAATCCGTGTAGTTGGCCTGGTAGCCTTCCAAAATTTTTAGCGCGGACAAGACGACCGCACCACTCGACGGAGCAACGGTCGAGAAGATTCGTGCGCCTCGGTAGGTGATGTTGACCGGCGTGCGAACGATCGCCTTGTAGTTGCCCATGTCCTGCATCGTCATGATGCCGCCGGCGGCTCGGATCGCTTGGACGGTGCGCTTGGCGATGTTGCCGTAGTAAAAGCGATTAGCGCCGTACCAAGAGACTTGCTCGAGCGTGTTAGCATAGGTCTTGCGGTAGACGGTATCGCCTTCGACGAGGAGCGTGCCGTTGGGAGCGTAGACTTCAGCCCAGCGGGTATCTGAACACATTGAGTTCGAATGGGTCAGGTGAGATCGTACTAAGACACCAAGGGATCCGCTGAAACTCACCGTTCAAAATGAAGCTTTTGCCTTGTTGGATCGCTTCGGCCAAATCGACGTTGACTTTGAACCCATGTCGAGCGAGCTTGATAGCGGGTTTGAAAAGTTCTTTCTGATCGAGCGAACATGCAAAGTTTGTCAGCGCGCTTTCTCCGATGCCAGGAAAGCCTTCTATCGCATATAGGTACTTACCCAAGGCAAATGACCGTGCCTCTTGTGCAACTTTTCCCACCCGCGCAACTCGCCCGGAACACCCACGGCTAAGCCGCCAATGGTCGAGAGCGTCTTGTTCTGGGTTGCGTCGGCGGCGTACATTGTCTCGTTTCCTCCGGCGGGCATCGTCTCTCGGAAATCAATATTTTCGTAAGCGAATTTACCGGAGGGGTCGTTGTATCGGACGAGCATGAAGCCTGTGGAGTCGCGGGCGAAAGTCAGTCGAAAGTTTTGGAGTGCTCGGCGATTCCGACTGCGACTTACCACCTCCGCCGATACCACTGTGATAAGCGGCTATAGTACCGACGCATAATCCAGCGGCGATGATCTGTTCGTTCAAACCACCGATTGCGGAATCAGTGTATGGATCATCCAGATGGATTCAGGAGCTTTCTCCTTCTGAGACACCGCAGAAATTCTCACGCCATCGCGCTCGGACCCTACCCATCTCGGCCCGCTCTCCCATTCTCACTGAATTCCCAACAGCCCCGAACTCCTCAACTCACAGCATCAGCAGCATTGCCACCTTTCTTGAGGATATCAACGCCGATGTCGGAACAAGGTGCGGCTTCGGTCGCTACGCCACCATGTTTGCTTCCGCCGAGTTTGCGCGAGACGAGGTCACCTGATTGACGGAGGTGGGATGTGGGGCCATCGTCCGGGAGGATGGGGCTGGCGTGCAGGTGCGGAGCGGACGAGACCGTTAAAAGGAGCGGAAGGAGGAGGGGGAGCTTCATCTTTGCGGGACACGGACCGAGGGGGTGTAAGGAATGAGATGCCCGGAGGGGCAAGTGGTGGCAAAAGTAGGGAGCGGAGGGAAAAGAGCATGGGGGAGGAAAGGGACGGAGGGGGGGAGGGGGAAGATTGCGATCCGCCCGCGAAGATTCTCACGAAATCGCAATCGGATGGCGAGCTATCGGCGTGCAGGGTCCTGTCCTCAATCGCCAAGTTCAAAAAAGGGGTGCTCCTTTTCTCGTCACTCTGTTTGACAACGATCGAAAAGCGCGGGGTTGCGCGGCAAAAAAGAGGAGGTGGGTGGGGGGAACTTGGTCATATTAGCTGCTCGCCAGTCGATCAATATGGCGCGGCCGCGAGGTGCATGTACTCAGCTCCAATTGGGCAGGTCGGCCGAGTTCCGTGTGCGCTGCCGACGGTGACGTCAAATCAGAGTCGCCAAGATAGGGAATGGCCGCAGCTCACAGTGTTCTTTATAATAAAGCACTGCAGCTGCCACTATGCCACCTTCATCATCCTTTCTTCATCACCTGCAGGAATGGCTAGCATGGCTGTTCTTTGCATTCGAGTCCCGTGGCCCCGGGGTCGTGGGCCGTGAGTCGAGCTACGAGATCACGCCGCCAGCTTTGAAGCTTCTTCCCAGCTGGCCCGCTTCCGATTCGCCAACCAGCAGCGGCTATTAGCGGCGCCCGACGATATTAGCGCCATCCAAAGATAGAGCTGGTACTTGTGCCCGACACGCGGCGTGGATCTGACTCAGCAATTGATGTGGCCACCCTCTTGAGTTATGATAAGGATACGCGGAGGCTCGAGGCGGACGTCTGACTCAGCCTCTGCAGTGATCGAACTTGACCAGCAGCCACGATGCTGATATGCTTCGATCGCACGACACTACGGCCACAAGAAGATACTATACACATTATGATCCATATTACAAGACATTACAAATTAAGCAAGAGCCTTGCACCAAAAAAACCCATCGACACCCAATCGTGCATCCGGGAAACCCAGAAATTCCGTGAAGCCGGCAACAGTCTACTGCTTGGCGTGCTTCTCCTCGTCGACGAGCGCATCGATCGACTCTGAGGTACCCATTGCACCTTCCCATCCGTTCGCGCGGAGATAAGCAGCGAACTTGTCGTCCTCGTCGGAGAGATCGCCTTCCAAGCTGCAGAAGTGATAGAAGACCAGAAATATCAGCATTAACGCTTACAGAAGCCGAGGGACATCTTGGGGTCCTACTCACTCGTTTCGGACAAAGAAGAATGCGACCAAGATACCCAACAACCCGGCGCAAGCGGCGATGATGAACGTGTACTTCGGGCCGAGGTGGTTACGGATAGGGGTGAAAGTCTGCGTCCCGATCACGGCGCCGGTCTTGCCGATCGCGGCGGAGAAACCGTATAACGTCCCTCGGACCGACGTGGCGTACGATTCGGAGGAGACGAGACCGAGGGTGTTACCGGGACCCAAGCTGGGGAGGAAGGGAAGGAAAAAATGGCGGTCAGCGCTGGGTCTTGAGTGATGGAATGCCGACTGGAAGTACTCACTTTCCGAATGATTGCATGATGCCGTAGAGTATAATGAAGCCGGGCACTCGGTGGATGAGCTTGTTGTACGCCAAACCGACAGAGAGACCGACGATGAGATAACTGCGGGAGGTGGTCAAGATACGTTTAGATGCGGGCCCTGTTCCTGTGCCTTTCTGCGCCAAAAAAAAAAAAAAAAAAAAAAAAAAAAAAAAAAAAAAAAACGCTCACCCTGAGAATCCGAGCATCATCAAGTTGCGTCGGCCGAGACGGTTGACGATGACGGCACCAATGAAGACACCGGGAAGGGCAATGATACCGAGGAGAAGTTGGTACTCGGCCGTCTTGCGCAGGAGCTCGTGGCCCTTGACGTGCACGATTGAAGCGATGATTGTTCCGGAGAAGACACCTGATCGGACCGAAATTAAGCGTCAGAACACGTTCACGTCATCATGCGCCCCAGCTACATTCCAGCAGCACTCACCGTTAGGGAAGGTGACAAAGTCGTAGAGGAACCACGCGCCGGCGGTACCGATGATGGTTCGCCAGTAGAACTTGATCATCAGAAGGTAAGGGACGCGGTGCTGAATCGCACTTTTGCGATAGAGGCGGGAGTTGATCATGCGAAGACGGAATATGAAGACGGCAAGGGCTGAAGAGAACGATCTATGTGTCAGTCCAATTCGCTCCTCGCGGAGAACGGATTTTCGGTTCAAGGAACTCACGAGGGATGACCGAGATGCCGAACACGGTCCTCCAAACCGTCGACAAGTTGGCATGCAATCCGCCGGCGGCCTGAAAGACGATCAGGTACAAGATGCAGGCGAAGGGGGTACCGAAGGAGAGCATGAAGTTGGTGACCATGATGAAGAGGGGGCCACGAGACTTGACGCTGCGCTCGTCGGCGGCTTCGGCGGCCGAGGCCGAGGAGGAGGGGTACTATATGGAGTAGAAAGAGAAGGTCAAATGGGTTAGAATTCTAGAACGAGTCGAAGTCTTTGAAGACCTCAAGATACTCACCTCTCCACCAACACCGAAGCCGGTCAATCCGCGAGCAATGCAGAACATCCAAAAGAAGCCGTCCAATGACCCGTGTGCTCCGTGCGCTGCCGCAGCGAGAATGACACCGACGACGATAGAGACGGTCGACGCGACTATACCGTATTTACGACCTGCTCGGTCGCAAAGAATACCGATGATGATTTGGCCACTGACGGGGGCAGAAGCAACAAAGTAGAGAGTGAGCTTCCGGTTTACCGAAGGCAAATAAAATTCGAAGAATCTTGAATGCGAATTGTGACGAACAAGATTGTGCCGACAGTGAGAGCGTTGGACAATCGAGTACTGATGGTCGCGGTGTACCGAGGACCGTAGATTTGTCCAAAGACGACGTTCGTCACTATGCGATGGAATGAGGCCAGGTGCGGTGTTCGTCAGTGCTGACTCGGGACCGGAAAGGTACCGGCTACTATTCCTAGCGACGCGCCGAAGTGTGGGGTGGTCTGACTCACGTGACATGATGCTGCGAGGGGAGGCGGAGCGGAGAAAGATCGCGGAAGGGATGAGCACTCAACCAACAGACAAAAAGAAGGTTTTCAGACCTACTTGTTCTGCAATCCATCGGAGATCAACGCGAACCCAGCACACGCGACGGTGAAGAGGGAGCTCGTCTTTTCGACACTGGTGAGAGGCCCCGCGATGCCGCCGTGCTGCTCGATCTCGACGGGGGCAGCGACGGCCCCTTTGTGATCGTCGCCTTCGTGCGACGAGACGGAGTCCTTCATCGCTAAGTCGGACATGGTGCCACTGCTACTCGTTGAGAGAGATGCAGAGAGGCAAAGAGGAGGGCGAGGGCGAAGCTGGGTGAGTAGACGGGAGTCGAAGGGAGAGAGGGACGGGCACGTTGAGGAGACCCCGCGCTCGGCAGCTGGCGGCGCCAGCAGATCACAGAAACAGCCAGAACAGGTCGAAACGTGCTCTAAAAGCTACGGCCATGACTCACGTTCCAATACTTTGTGTGCCTCCCCTCGTATTGGATCGAACAAATGCGCACGTGTCCTAAATCTCTACAGGAGATGGCCAGAGCTGGGGCCATGCGGTGCGCAGTTGGCGCCGGATGCGAGCGTTTCCCCCGCGAAATATTTTCGGCCGACAGGCGCCCGGCAAGTCGCCGCTCACTCACTCAGGGGCTTAGTCGGGCTTTGTAATGGCCTTCGCGGAACCTGTGAGAATTTGTCGAATATTCCTAAACCTCGGTTTCACCAGCCTTGTGTTCTTTATGTGACGGAAGCGTGCTTGCACGCTTCAGCAGGGAACGGCTTTTCTCAAGCGCTTCGGTAGAGGACGGCCTAAAAATAGAAACTCGTGCTGTCCGCGCTAGCCCCCGGCATGAACTAAGTTTGAGTCACGAGTTGCTCCTAGGAATTTGGATTCCGGGGTTGTTAGAGAAGCCGAGTGGATGGATGGCCGCTCAAAATGGAGGACTGGTACACCCATAGGTATAAGTTGTTAACCCATCGTTGCAGAGAAACGTGTTGCTGGGTAGCGCACGCCTTCTCCAGTCTGAGCAATATTCGTCGCTCCAGCCCACGCCGACGCGAGGCGTAGGATTTGCGAGGGCATTACCCCTGTCCAGGAGGCCGCTCGACTCCGTGCTTGAATTCGAAAAGCTCAGCTCGCATACTGTCGGATTTGTAGGACTACCATCATGAAGCTCTCGCGTTTTTCTACTTGGTGGCCTGTATCCGTCAGGCTGTCAGACGACGTGAGACTGGAAACCTGCAAGTGAGAGTAAATTTAGACTGATCACGGCGGCAGACTCCTGAGTCGACTTTGCGACAGGTCGGCGTCGGCAACAAGATAACTAGGCCAGATTGCCTTTTTGCCCCTATTCCCAAAATGCCCGCATGAAACGTACTACCTCCATTTTTTGAGTGGTGCCCCACCGGCGCGCGCATGCCGGCTGGACTTTGCCAAACTTTGGCGCGCGGCCATCGCAGCCCTTCTTCTTCTTCTTCTCCGTTCGCCCTTTGCCTGCACATCGCATCCAGCGCTCCAGCTACAACCCCCTTTAGTTTCAGACGACCACCATGTCGGTCGATCTGGACTGGCACGCGCTCGACGCCGAGCTCACCTCCTCGGTCGTGCACTTCCTCAGCTCGGCCTTCTCCAACGCGCCCCGACCGAATTTCATCGGTGACATCTCGGTCACGTCCTTTTCTTTCGGAGACACGCAACCCAGTATCGAGGTGATGGACGTCAGGGATATAGATAAAGAGTTCTTGGAGGTCGAGGATGAGGAGGAAGGCTTGTTGGATAATCCTGCGGTCGGGAATCCGAGAACGGGGAGGGAGTTTCGATCGTTCGAAAGGGGGAGGCAGACGAGGGACGAGCGGTCCGAATCGGATAGTGCACGATCGGTGATGGGGAATGGCTTTGGTGTGGGGGTCTTACCGACGATGACGTCCCATTTGAGACCTTCGTCGGCGCTGTTCTCACCCGGACTGAACCAAACACGGTCGATCGCTTCGCACTCGTCCCCGCCCCCGCCTCCGCAATCGCAACGCTTTCCACACGAGGTCCGTCACGACAGACGAAACTCGAGAAGACCGTCCATAGACTCGCAGGAAGCAGCTCTACCACCGCCTTCGACGTCGTCGTCCCCGTCGTTGCAGATCCACCTGCGCGTCACCTACTCGGGCAACCTCTCCATAGGCCTCGCAACCTCACTCCTGATCAACTACCCCTCACCCAAGTTCATGGCACTACCTCTCAAGCTATCCATCACTTCGTTGGCGTTCGATGGCGTCATGCTCGTCGCTTTTGAGGGCGATCGACGCAGACTGCACGTCTCGTTCGTCGATCCGACCCAGGGTCAAGGAGGTCTCGGCGTCGCCTCCCCCGGTGCGAGGCTTTTAAGCGGCGCAGTCGTCGAGAGTGAGGTCGGTCAAGCGGATAAACATGTACTGAAGAACGTGGGCAAGGTCGAAAAGTTCGTGGTGGACGTTGCGAGGGCGTCGTTGGAGAGCGAGTTGATCTTTCCGTGAGTTTGAGTTTTAACCCGCCGCCAGTATGGATGAGGCCTGTATTGGAGCAGGACTTGAGATACACGTCCATGTGCTGGAAGGATCCTGCCGCTAATCAATCCTGATCTCCTTGCACTGCAGCAACTTTCAAACGATTCTCTTTTGAGCGACGAGTTCCATCTCGGTTCTTTGCACACCAACTTCGCCACCCCCCCGGGCCTGCCAACGACTTTGATTCTACCTGACCCCTCTGTCTTGAAAAGCTTTGTCTTCGTTGAATGTTGTAACAATCACTGTAGGATCCGGATCAAAGTCCGTTGATATCGAGCGGAGCTGCGCCGCCAGCCAGTGAGCACGTGACCTGGACGCTGCCGGGCCAGGATGCCGAAGCCGGACGACTTGCGCGGCCAGCCAACTCAACTCGTCCACGGTCTTGCGTTTCCCTCTCCCACACATCGCGGGGCTCCGATTCGAAAGACGGGACCTTTTTGGATCAGCGAGGGTCCGAGGAGAGGAATCGGAAAAACGTGCCCGCGGCTCATATCAAGAGTCCCAAGTCGTCGACTAGCTCGTCGACACCAACCTCCGCACTTGGGCACTCGTGCGAACTTCCTCCGCGTCCTCCCTCTCCTCCTTTTTTCCGATCAGATCACCCACACTAGAGTCCCCACCATGTCCGCCGTCAGCGGAGCATCCACCTCCCTACTCACGCGAGTGGAATCCCAACTGCGTACACCGAATGGCAAACTCGTGCTCGTGGCGTTGGCGACGACGTTATTGACGACGGGCACGATCTTGACCACTCAAAAGGTCAGGAGGAAGAAGAAGAGGGGGGATTTGAGGGAGGTCGTTGAGCGGAGGACGAGGGAAGAGGATGAGGGAGGGGAGGAGGAAGTATTGAGGCAGTTCGTAGGTGGGCCATTGGGCGAGGGGGAAGGAGCGTTGAGCGCGAATGCGGAGAGAGGGGACGGTGTAGGGAGTAAGCCGAGGAAACCGACGAGCGAGGTCATCATCCGGGAAGCGCTCGCGAGGAACTATGTCTTCTTTGGAGAGGAAGCAATGACCAAGATTAGAGGCGCGTTCGTCGTTGTCGTGGGTCTTGGAGGCGTCGGCTCGGCGTGCGCAACCATGTTGGTTAGGAGTGGGGTTCGTAAAGTCAGGTTGATCGATTTTGATCAGGTCTCTTTGAGCTCGTTGAACGTGCGTATCGGGAACGAAAGAAGAACATTGGCAGGTTTATCAGGAGGATCACCAGTGCTGACGTTCTTGCCTGTTTCTCTCACAGCGCCACTCGACAGCAAACCTTGCTCAGGTCGGAACGCCCAAAGTCGTCTCGTGCGCCGACTACTTTGCTTCCATCGCACCCTGGGTCGAGGTCGATGCGAGGAACGAGCTCTTTTCGAAAGAGGACGCGGATACACTGCTGGAAGGTGTGCTATGCTCCATTCGTTTCGCGACAATCATGATGGAGCTGACGAGATGTTCATTTTGCTCGATCTCGACAGGCAAACCTGACTACGTGATCGATGCGATCGACAACATTGATTCCAAAGTAAGTGTAGACCTATGCAGAACCAATCTCATACGTCAATGCTCGTGTTGAACCTTCTTTTCCTGTTCACAGGTCGATCTACTCGTCTACTGTCACAAACACGGCCTCCCCGTCTTCTCCTCCCTCGGCGCGGCGGCAAAGTCTGACCCTTCGAGGATCCAAGTCAGCGACATCTCGACAACGTTCGAAGATCCGCTCGCGCGAGTCGTCAGAAGAAGACTGTAAGTTTGCCATACCGATGTCGCTCTGGCTCATCTGGACGAATAAGCCCAATTTCGTCTTCGGCTCTGGCTTTTCGCAGTAAATCGGAAGGCGTCCATTCCGGCGTACCCGTCGTCTATTCGACCGAGAAACCGAGGGACGATCTCGGCTTACTTCCACTACCGGAAGAGGAATTCCAAAAGGGCAAAGTCGACGAGTTGGCTGCGATTAAGAACTTTCGAGTCAGGATCTTGCCTGTGTTGGGACCTTTACCGGCGATGGTGAGTTTCTTCGTTTTCGAGACCGAAGCATGCTCCGAAGCCGGTTCGAACGGGAAGGGTTGGTGAACTGATCTCCGGTTCATTCTCGTTCGATCAAAGTTTGGAAACGCGGCTGCGACCTATGTACTCCAAGCGCTTGCCGGCTTCAAGATGGAACCTCTGCCCGTCAAGAACCGCCACAAGATGGCCGCGACCATTCACCGCCAACTCGCCGCCGTCGAGATTCGTCTTTCGGGAACGAACAAGATCCCCATGAGCGAGGACGATGTGCTTTATTTGTTCGAAGAGGTGTTCAGGGCTAGAAGTGTGGCGCCTTTGTTGGGATTGCCGAGTCGGCCGTGTTTGTTGAGGTGGGAGAAGGAAGGAGGGTTGAGGTGGGACAATTTGGTGGTGTTTGATCGGGCGGAGGGGGAGATGTAAGTCTGCGAGTACACGAAGATGTGGTCATACACGAGAACTGAACATATCTTTCTTATGGAGCGCACGCAGTCACGAGAAGGAGGTGCTGATGGGGCACAAGCGGCCCGAGGAGTTGTGGGGTCCCGAAGTGACGGCGCTCGTTCAGAAGCGACACGCGGAAGAGCGGAGACTGAGGAAATATCGGATAGAGTAGGGAGTACCCTATTATTTGGACCCGAGGAGAATACACCTTTCTCTTACAACCATTCTCCCCGGAGAGATCATAACCTCGTAGCACAAGCTGTGCGGACATTTGGTTCATCCATTTTTCAGCAGGAAATGAACGACCACATAAATACCCAAAACTTTCAAATATACCCTATACAACACGAGATACGCATAAAACGACGCAGGACATAGAACAATCCTTTGGTGACCCCTTCAATTATTCGACTTGATGCTCAACTGCGAGGTCGACATGAACCCCTTTCATGATCGACATGCTCTGCTCCCTCCGCCTCTGCCAATTCTCGACGACCTTGCGCTCGTCCTCGGTTCCCGCCAGTGGTCCCAATCCATCGATCGGAACGTCCGCTGTGGTGTGGTTAGTTCTCAATGACGTTCGACTCATAACGTCGGCGAGTCCTTTCCCACTCGTGATGAGGAGCCCATTGTGGTTCGCCCGCGTGTCGTGCCGACGCGAGGAGCGGATCGTCTTGATCGTGATGGCGGCCATGGCGAGCGTACCCCACAAGGTGTACATCCAAACGAAGCCCGTGAGAAGGAATTCGAATCGGACCGGGTTGAGTAGGATCTCGTAGCATTGAAGAGCGAACCAGATCGACAAGCCCATGAAGACGAGGCACGAAGGGACGACCGAGACGAAGAAGAGCATCACGTCCCATTCGAGTCGCTTGAGGCGAGTCGATGCGCCGAAGAAAGAAGAGGTCGAGAACGTGTTGGCCTCCCATGGGGCGGTGGGAAGCGTCGACGTTTCAGGGAGGCCGTGACTCGGTGGGGTTGAGTAATTGGTGGCGCCCTTTCCGCTATCGGGCGTCAGCGGCGACTCGAGTTTTCTTTCTTCGGTAGGTATGAGCCTCAATGGAGCTACGAGAGGCGTGTTGGCCGGGACAGGTATGAAGTAAGAAGTGCGGCTGTCGAGCGACCGAAGGGTGTAGACGAGGTAGATCCCGCCGATAAAGTTGAGCTGCTCAGTGAATCGGAAGAAGAAGAAAGGGGGTGTCAACATGCTGCGCTCGCGGGCGCAGGCGCAGGAAGCGCACGGATTGCGCGACTCACAATGATGAGGAGAGATGCAAACAAGCAATACACGACCGTGCACCCCTGTACCGCTCTTCTCCAGTCGTTGGCCGACGCAATTCTGAGGATGAATACCGAACAAGCCGGCCATTTCAATGGGATGTTCGCGCGCAGTCCGAGAACGGCCCGCGCGCATCTCGATGCTGCTGAGAAAACTCACCTTTGATCAGACAGATAATTGACGGTGTCGATTGTTGATTGGCTCAAGGTCCCATCCCATTCCCTAGCCGCCGATTGAAGCGTTTTATATAGAACCTCCCAGTCTTGGGCGAATTTCCGCCACGCCGCGGCGTTGATTCCTCCAGTCATGCCGATGCAAATCACAAAGAGCGGCACAAACGCGAAGTAGAGGGAGTTGGCTGCAAGTGGGGAGAGGCGATGGCGATCCGAAGTTGGTGCCCGCCGTGATGCGAGATTCGCACCAGAGAGCGTTGTGATCGTCGTTGTTGAGAGATGGGCGAAGAGAGGTATGTAGGTGAGAGGTTGGTACAGGAAGAGGAGCTGAGGTGTGACTGTAGTCTTGTAGAACATGAAATAGAGGTAGACGACCCAACCGATCCACACTGAAGTTGGTGAGGGGGCCGGGGGTCGCGCAGGACAGGATCAGTCACGGGGCTTCGGGCTCGACTCGGAGAGTGCCTCGGAGTCCGAGTCACGTGAGCAAGCCGAGAGTGAACGCACCGAGCATGAGGATCGAGAAGCAAACCGGATACCCCAGGTATTGATTGACAATGATGTATCGACCTGCAAAGATGAGGGATGCGCCATGTTCAGTCCCGCCCCCTAATTCGACAAGTGTCGACAACGGTTAGTAGACCACCAAAAACGTGTCTGGCTCACCTTGAGGCCGGGATACGACGCGCGCGAACCAGATTTGTTTCCGCCGAGCTTTGATGTCACGGATCGTCATGAATAGATACATAAAGGCGACCAAGATGGCTCTAGTGTAAGGCGAAAACCGTGGTCAGTACTTGGGTAGAGCATGCCGTTAGGTTTTAACATGTGATTGTCGCGGCCTCATCGATGGCGCATCTCGAGGGAAAACCGTGGGACACCCGGCTCGACACCTTCCCGAACAGGCATGATTGATGTCCCGGGCCAATTGGCGTACAACCAGGCCCAGCGTCGAATGACCGTGTGCACATATTCTTCGAAGACACGAGATAAATACTTCCCACACTCACACTGACAGGAGGCACAGTAGTACCTTGACACGATCCAGAAAGTGTGGACCGAAAGAAGGGTACATCTGGGCCTTGATCATCTTCGCGAGCCATTGCCACGGGTTGCCTTCGAAGCCCTCGGGCAACGTCAAGTGCGCAATGGTTAGCGGCTTCGACATCACTCCCCGACTCCCTGACTCCCCGATGGTCAATTGGATACCCAACAGACTTTGAAGTGCGCGAGCGTGATCAGGTTACCTCGAGCCCAGACGAGCACGAGGTGTGGGTGATTGAGTCGGGCCGGAGCCTCCTGATGCTAGTCGCGTCGTCGAGTCGGCGTTGAAGGGGTCAACGTATTTAAGTTGTGGGGCGGAAGTCGACAGCTGAAGGGCGGCGCGAAGCGCTTCGCACTCGGAAAACCGTGGCGTCGACAATTCTGATAAAAGGGCAACCTGATTTTCGCCCTTCTGGCGGTAGTGCCAGCTGCAATCAACACCAGGTACGAGTGGTGAAGTAGGTAGCTGAGCGGGAAAGCTGGTGCCGGTGAAGCTGACGCGGCCAATTCGGTTGAGACATCCCCAATTGAGAAAGGTCGACTTTGCTCAACTCAATTCACACGTGCAATCACGTGTCAGGCACACCCAACTCCGTTTCTCCGCGGTGCAAGGTCCATGAAAGAGGGTAATTTCTATTCACACCAGGTCACCCCTTTATCTAGTCTGTATCCTCGTGCGACCTCAGGTCTGTACGAAACCAGACGGGCGGCGCTTGGAAAATTATACTCGCACGTAGCTCAGAGTGGCGCCCAACTTGTTGATCAACCTAAACAGGCATAGTCAGACGGAGACGTCTCCGGAGTCCGGCGGCTCGCTGTGTGCCATTGATCCGGTTTCGGAACTTCGTCGACGACAAGTAGTACCCTCACACGGAACTCCGCGATGTAGTAGTCGGTTTGCTGTGTTCCATGGGTACCCAAACTCGATTTCCATGCGCTTGATACCGGTTTCGACTTGTCCATAGACGGTCGTTTTGGAGCTCGGTCGAATATCCGACATTCGATGTCCGACGTCACCATGCTTCTCCCGCCCAGAGCACGAATTCCATTCCGCGCTGATGCGGTTGAATGGGTTTTGTAAACGACAGGCACAAGTCTGAAGCGCCCTCTCTTGAAGCCACGTGTCGAATAAGATCAACACAAGCTGATCGACACCCAATTTGTCCTGTGCTCACAACTGTACATCCGGATTTTTTTTTGACCCCAACTCCGATTCGCCTCTTATGACCCTGCACCGGTTCTTAATCGATAGGGTTCGGAATTCGGAATCTTGACACGCACAGGGGTGGGGTGGGTTGTACAACATACGCATAGCTTCGTATTTCCACCGGATCGAGACCTATATGGGATGTGCTCTACTCCCAAGATGTGAAAAATTCATCCCCTGAACATTGGAACTGGTCATCGATGCGAGGCGCTACCTTCGGGCTCGAACAGGTTGAGAACCGCATCTCGGAAAGTGGCGACATTGTAGTCGATCAAAGCGCCCTTTCGATCCATGACGTTTGGCCGCAGCAGAGCAACAAGAGACAGCTCGCTATTCGTTGTGAGAGTGAACATCATGGAGGTGACGTCGGTGCGTCAGTTGGAACATAATATCCATGTAGGCGAAAACAAAAGCTTACGAAGTGATGGCCCATTGTGCTATCGTCGAGCCCGTTCCCAATTTGACTCGGCTGCTAGGTAATCGTTGTGGCGGTGCCGGGTCGGAAGAGCTTGCCATGGTGCGAGACGTCGCGGGCGTGTTGTTCGAGGACGCTGGGTCGATGCGCGACATGGATTGCACGCCCGAAGGACCTCGCTGACTCGAGGTTCTGGAGGGTGACCGAGAATGCGACGGGGTTGGGAGGTCCGAAGGTCTGGTGGCCAAATCGAGCCGAGATTTTCAGTGTGAGCAATCCGAACGAGGATGAACGTAAAAGAGGGGTGCGACTGACTCGTAGAGGAGAGTGAAGTCGCCGACGAGGTCGACGTAATCCGAGCAAAGCACATAGGTGTCGCTGTCGAGGGGCGTCGTGTCGGTCGCGAGATAGAGCTTGGACGAGATGTCAAAAATGAGAGCTTTGTCCATCGAGCATTGCTGTATGCCGACAATGATGCTATCAGTCCTTGATGTAGTTCCGAGATCACAGATGATCAGATGCTCACCTGCACGAGCTGATCCAACAAGCGCTCGAGAAACGCCTGCTGCGGCAACAGCTTCTGAATGACGCGCGAGAGCGCCTCGTAGATTGAGGCATCAAACACGGATGTGAGGTGGTAGAATACATGGACTGATGCCTCCAGTTCTGGCGATAGATCGTCAAGCTCTTCTCCGAGACGATCTCGTAAACTTTGCAGAGTATCTGTGCGAGGTTGTAACGAATCAGACGGATTTCGATATTCCGACGACACAAGATGAGAGCAAGGGCACGACCACTCACCCAACTGATGATCAACACTCAGAATGTCGATTTTGTGCAGAAAGATCTCGAACTGGATCTCCTTGTTCGTTTCGTAGCCGTTTTGCATCGTCAGCGCCAATTTCCGGATCAGGTCCGCGAACGGCATCGATGCGTCGAGGACGAAAATGACGGCGTCAACTTCGCTGAAGGAGAAGGTCCACGATGAAGGGTCCAAAGGCCCAGCGGGGAGGTTCCACATCTTGATTGAGACGAAGGAGCTGGGGGAAGACCGGTGGGGTTAGTGCCGGGATCTGATGTGGGGCGCCAGGGTGAGCGCAGCGACGAGTGCCCTCTGCGGATGGCGCCCTACTCACTTGACATCATCCGACTTGTTGCCTCGATCGATGAAGAAGGTGTTGCTCGGCGCCATACGCTCAAAGACGACCTTGCGGATGCTCGATTTGCCGGCGCTGTAGGCCCGACAAAGACGGCCGATAGCGGGTCAGCACTCGGTCGATCCAATCACGTCATCGATCACGATCACGGGCACGTAGACTGGATGTAGGAGGTGGGCCGCTGCTGTCTGCCGCTGTGCATACACGCCGGCTCTACGGTCACGGCCGTGCAGCTGTTCCTCCTCCGCCTGTCCGCTGATCACTCACTCGCGAGGTCCAATGAACAACAGCCGCGGTCGTGGCTCTTCTTTAGGTCGTGGCCCATTGCGTATCATCGACATGGGCGCCATTGCACCGGGCTGGGTAGCCGTCAGTGTCCCGGACATCGTTATCGTCGAGCGTCGAGGTCGGGCGTTCGAAGCGACAGGAGGTCGTACGCTGCAGGGACGGTACAGCGGAGGGTTAGCTGAGGCAATCAAACCGTTTGAGTACAAGCTGTCGCTTAGATACCTACTTCAGGGTTAATGTCCGGGATACGCGACCGTGCTCTAGACCGGGGAGGATGTAGGGGCATAGTAAGTGGGAGTCGCGAGCGGCGTGTCGATCGATGACGATAAATGGTCCGAGCGCTGGGAGGCGCTGGGAGGCGCTGGGAGGCGCTGGGGAGCCGACTTGAACCCCGGCAAATGCCATGGGGGTCTGATTCGAGAAATACACGTGTGTGCAGTATAGTCCTGACCAGTTTCAGGCGAAACTGTCGATATTGCCCCCGAGTACTATCACTATTAAGCTATTTCCGAAGGTGACGCTGATCTTCCCCCGATCCGAGTCGTTCGGCCCCCGTCGAAAGCGGAAGAGTCTTCTTCGCTCGTGGGCTGTCGGATGCGGCGGAGCTGCCCAGAGAGAGCCACTCATCAATAGCGCCACAATACAATCTTGAGCGTTGACTAGGAGCTGATTACCCAATATCGACATTGCTCCAAGTCCATGACTTCCGCCTTCCAGGCGCTGGAGACGTACGAGAGCCATAAGGCGAGAATTCTTCCGGACGGGAACGGACGACTATGCCGTGAGTCGAATCGCGATACAACAAAGTCAGTGACCAATTCGATAAGTTCCATTGCGGTCCTTGTGTAAATCCAGAAAGGATCAGCTGTGATCCCGGGATCAGATTAGCGGCATCCTCCGGCTCGAGCTCGTTTCGTGACCCCTTCAGGGGCTCTCGGGAGTTTTCAGTCGACGGGTCACGTGATATGAAGTACGCAGGGCTGCAGTGGCGAGTGACAGAGTCGTTCTCAATGTACGTTTGTGCCCTTCCTCCTTTCTATACCTGCGCTCCCACCAACTGCCACCTCCATAATTTTATAGCTTTGCTCTACGTTTACTCGCTTCTCCTCGTTTACTTACGGGTCGTCTTCGACCTTCGTACATAACGAAAGACCACCCCTGAAATGGGATGATCCCGAGATCGGGTCCCGATTTGAAATCCCGCGTTTGAAATGCATTTCAAATTGGCGGAGCGGTTTGAGATGCATTTGAAATGCATTCGAAATCGGCGCAGCGATTCCAAATGTGTTTCAAATCGGGGTCATCCCATTTCAGGGTTTTTTTTTTGCTACTATGGGTTGCGTCATACGTCGTATCGGCTCGTTCCCACCATCGGTGTCGAGTTCACCTCCATCATGGTAGTGCTTCAAAGATGCAAAAATTGCGTGTGACCAACCCTCAGTGACTATTGTCTCTTGCTCACATCATCTAGGCATCGCCCTGAGCTCGGAGTCTTGACCATTTTGCTCGAATCTGAACATCAGCTGAGCTGAAACCTACATCGCACGAGTCGGATCGGTCTCTCGCCTCGAAAAGTTGCACGAGAGGATTGTGGGGTAGCACGAGCTCGAAGAGGATCGCGTTGCGAAGAGCTTGGCACAAAACGGCACCCTTGCGTCCGCGATCAGCTCGTCTTAAGCTGTGGGCATATGTCGAAGCGAGCAGTCGTTCGGGGAGGCGGGGACCAGGAACAGCATCGAGAGTCGAGACGTGTCAAACGAGGGTGGGCTCGCAGCCAAGCCTTGAGCGAGGCTGCACAAGTAGGAAGTGCAGCCATCTGTGAAGCCGTCCGATTGTGGAGCATTGAAATGAACCTAGCGAGTGCACGAAGAGGGAGCTCAACGCCGCCCAGCACCAAGTCGAGATCAAACGATCGAAGCTGATCGCCGTGAATAGTGGATTGGATCAGATCAAGGCGACCGAGCAATCGGATAGCTCGAACCTTGTCGAAAGCTTCAGTGGGGGCCTCATCGGCATTACTCGAAATTGCAAGAAAGCAGACCATGGGAACCTACATCGAATGTCAGAGACAATTTTGAGAGTCATTTGGGGTATTTGAACTGAAATTTCGACTCCGTGCGACCCAACTCCACACTCGGAGCACCTTCCAAACTTTGCAAACAGCCCTGATTTTCCCCCTTGAGCGAAAGTCAGTTGGGCTCTGGTTCGATCCAACGGGTTCATAAAATCGTCGAACTCCCGGCCAAGTCATAGACAGCGACAACGGCTTCATTGACGGCGACCGGGATCTCGTTCGAGCAACGCAGGTGGGGCACAACATACCGATCGTGCCAGGGCCTCCCGAACCAAAACAATTGCGATGTGCAGCACCTACGACTTTGTACCATCCTTTCCCACGCCGCTTTGAAGGGCAGGCCGCGGCCGCGGATAGAATTCTGCTTCTCCCCAATCGACAATGAAAAGCCTACCATCCTCGCGCCGAAGAACATTGTTAGCGCGCTCATCCTGGTGAGAAAGCCCCTCTTTGCTGAGCAAGTCGAAGGCAGCCCTGAAGGAGTCAGAGGAGCGAGGATCAGCAATTGGCCCTCCAGAGAGGGCCAAATTCGAGGAAAAAGTTGATTGACTGAGCCTCGCTGCCTTATCTTGACCCGCGTCAAACTCCTCGTCCGTGACTGGCTGTCCGACATCTTCCATCACGAGCACGAAGCCTCCACCGTCCCAGCCACTCCGATAGAGACCGAAAAACTTGGGCATGTATGCTTGAGCTTCGGGAGACAGCCGAGGCACAGCCTGGGTGTAGATGAAGTACTCGCGAGCGACCGACGACGTGAACGCAGCCGGGACGACTTTGGCGACCACAGGAACGTCCTCGCTCCGGCGGGCGAGGCGCGATGACCTGCGGACATTTCCAGGCCCCGATCGACGCGACCACTTGGCTTTCCAAACCGTGGCAGTCAGACCACGCCCAAGCGGCGTGATGAGGTCGAGACGATCGAGCTTCATGGCATCCGCGAGTGGTATATCGAACCAGGGCAAGACCGGTGCGGTCTCTTGACGTTCACAAAGATTGGCTCGACTGAGATCTGACCCGAAGAACTGGCACCGACAAAATAATGAGAAAGTAACAACAAGTCAGCACACTTTGTCAAGTCAAGCCAAGAGCGGAGGTCGCACCCACATCGTCGCATTCGAGTTCGACGCCGATCGCGACCATACTCGAGTTCGCGTTCGTCTCGACATCACAAACGATCTGCCAAAGAGTTCAGGAGGAGCCCCAAATATAAGTGCATGGCTCAAGAAAGCGGAAGGGGAAAACCGAGCACACACTTGGCTACCCGGATGGTGTCGCAAACCAATCACGGTCTTGGCATCTTGAAGCAGAGGGACCACCGCATCGTCAAGATTGAGCATCGGTCGAAGGCGCGCGAGAGCAGTGGAGCGGTCGAGTTCCTCCGCGGCGACATGCCATGCCCGCAAATCGTCGTCCGAGGGGGCATCGATCCGATATTCGGGATGGTGGCTCATGAAGAGCGAGATGAAGATGCCAAAGAAAGGTTGGATCTTGGGTGCAGTCGGGCTCGGAGGGACGGCGGACATCGAACACACGTCGCTGACCGCAAGATGGGTCCTTCCCTCGAATTCAACTAGCGCAGGAGCCAACGCCCCAGAACCCAAGTCAGACCTCGAGTTCCCAGCGAGCCCACCACCACCACCACCCCACTTTGAAAACTCACCGAGCTCGGTCACAGCGAAATAGGTAGCCCCCCAGAGCAGGCCGAACCGCCCGTTCACCGCACGATGGATATGCAGCGCCATCTGAAACAGCAAGTCAACTCACAAGCGCGAGTTTCAACTTCTGACACATGCCATAGAGTCGCTCACCTTGACCGCAATCGCCAAGCCGCCATCCAATTTCAGAATTCGGTTAACGCCTCCTTTGACGAGGCGAATGTCGAGAACGTCGAGGTCCGAATCCTCACTCCGAGAAGCTTGCTCAAAGATCGACTCAAGCGCCTGCTTTGATGTGGCGTCCATCGCCAGTGTCGTCAACGGTTCAAAGCCTGTCGTGTGCAAGGTCGACGCACTCCTCATCTCCCAGTTACGATCGCCAGTTTGACCCATGGTGGAGCGCGGCTCTCTGGCGGCTATAACGAGGCGAGGGTCTCCGCAGAGCATCCTGACGATGGGGCGGATGAACACGCGTATGATCGACTCGAGGATAAGAATTGCCGTCTTCCTCGGCGAGTGCCGCACAATCATAGTCGTCGAAGTAGTCTTTCACCCAGTATTGCGTGTTTGGTTCGAGGGGAGTGCTCGGTGACGTGGAGGTTCGTTCAAGCCCTCGCTGTAGAGCTCGGGTGACTCGATCGAGCAGGGTTCGATCCCGAACGGCAATCCCGAGATGTGGATCCTGCTCTCCAGGCATGCGGCAGAAAGTGACGTCCTTCATCGCCCACCACGGTTCATCAGTGGTGGAGAAGTCGAACTGAGCGAACGACTTTGGGCGGATCGGCGGGGTGGGGACGTGGGGGAGCACGAGCTCGAAAATGTCTTGGAGTGTAGCCATAGAGGTCTCTGTGAAGGGCTCTGCAGGAGTTGTCATCTTGAGGGGGAACTTCTTGTACAATGGGCCAGCTGTTCGGGCCGGGTTCGGGCCGGGTTCGGGCCGGAAGTTGGGTGCGGCGTGCGATCTCGTGCGATGTGCAGATGAGAGACTCAGGCGTGACGCGTGATGACCCAGACGTGGCGAAGCGAGGGATAATCTTGTCGCTTACGCTGCATGCTCTCAATTGGTAACTCATCTGCGCGCCCTCGACCGGATCAGCCACTGCACTGCGATTCTTCGAAGGATCATCACGGATGCGTGGTATATCAGCCTATTTCAGATACTCAAATGCATGGCGGCTCCATTCGAAAGAAGATCTCTGTTATCACAGGGTTCGGGCCTCAGCTCGCTGCTTGTCGTATCGCCGAGCGTGACATTCTTCGAGGCTACACTGCAGGCGAGCGACCCGTCAAGAGCATAACGTCCCAGCACGTTGAAACCGGGATGAACGCAGAGCAGATGTAGTTGCTTCATTTTTTACGATCAAAATCTCATGGTTCGTTGCTGTATGCCAGACCCTCTCCTCCGCTGAGCATGCGATTCCGATCCCTGGCCGTCGATGCGCACGCAAGTTGGGCAACCATCAACACAGGAGCGAGTCAAGCGCTTGCGCAGAGGCGGCCGTAAGAAGGAGGGGCGATCTCCCGGACATAGAAAAGCCACGTTTTTTTCTTTAATCGGAAGCTGAAAGTCAATCTGAGGACAAATGCACTCGACTCAGCTCCACACCCTTGTAGTAGTCGGAGGACTGTACTGTCTCTTCGGCTTGGTCCGAAAGTGCCTGAATCGAGATTGTCCGGAACTGCTCCGCTACAGGAGCGACTACCGTCGTCACGATGTCGAACAGGACATCTTCTCTCCGCTTCCGAAAGCATTACCTCGTCCAGACCGTTCCTAATTACATGAACATCGCATCTCCTTCTCATCAGACTGCTCATTTCGTCTTTCTTCGAGCTCGTTTGCCCTCCTCTCCTGCTGTCTCTCGTCCAATTCCCCGCGGTTCATCTCGATTCAAGGCAGTGTCCTCGGTCTCCTTCATCGTCCCATCTTCCTCGGCTTTCCCGTACTTCTCCCTCACCGCCCAACTCCAACACGCCATCTCCAACTCCTCCGCGCTACCCCACCCCTCCTCCTCCAACCTCACCTTGAACACCTCGCGAAACCGCTTATACGCCTTCTCCGTATATTCGGGTTTCTCAGTCGGGAAAAAGACGGTCCATGCTTCGTCGGAAAGGAAGGGATCGGTTCGAGGACGGTAGAGGGAGAGAAGGGCCGAGGAGGTCGCTGGGCCGATGCCGCGTAGGGTCGAGAGTCTAGGGACGAGCGCGAGGGATGGAGTCGACCGTTCGAGGAGAGGGGCGAGGACGGAGTGGATGCGCGTGGTCGGGTTGGAGGATGCGAGTTCGATTAGTCGTGGTCGGAATTTGCCTCGCTGGATGAGGTGGGGTGAGAGGTCGGAGCGAGAGGTGCAGTGACAGCCCGGTCAGCTCGAAGATGTCGAAGACGGGTACGAGACTCGGGTCGTCTCCAGCTACAGATACTTACGGCCAATTTCCATCTCATTAGGTTGGTCAAGTCATCCCTGTCCAACGGCACCAACTGATTCGCCCAGTTCTTGGTCTTGGGCTTGGGCTTGGTCGCACCGTGGTCAGCATCCCCAGCCTGCAGGCTGGCAGGGGCGCGAATGCCGAGCTTGCGTCTCAAGTCGACTCGAAACCAATGATCGAGTTCGACGAGTTCTTTGGACGACCTTGATGCGTTTGCTCGAAGTGCGAGTGAGTTTGGGTAGTGCGACAGAGCGGTGCGCAGTTGGGCCAGGGTCGGGGTCGAGCAAGTGGGGGGGGGGGGGGCTTGACGACGCGGTGGACGTGGACGTGGACGGTGCGGCTTTGCGTTTGGTAGGTGGCATCGGGCCGAGGTAGAAGGTGGGTGCACAGGAGTCGAAAGGTCGGAGGGGTGAGCTAACAGGAGCGCAAGGCGCACTCGGAGGTTGCGTCACCGGTGCGGACTGCGATCGTGCGGGTTCGAGGGAGAACGAGTTTGATCGGGGGAGCCAGCAACTTGAAGTGGAGGCGGGTGGGGAAGAGTGGGGAACGCTGCGCTCCTCTAGGCAGCTCTAGGCACTCTCTAATTAGGCTCCTCTGCGCTCCTCTTTGGACTGTGTCGTACAGCGCGCGCAGCCCTCTCCCTCTTGCGCTCTCGTCACCGCGTCGCACCACCTTCAACGTCCCAGAGTCTCTTGCGCCAACCTTCCAGCGATCAGCAGTGCACTCGTTCAGCTCAAAGTGCCTGCGCAGGATGCACTCCCCCTTCTCGATCGACGAGCTCATCAGCTCGACCGAGTTGGGCACCGATGCCGTCACTGCCACGCTCTTCCATCGTCAGTTGACGCACACAGTACCATGTTCGAGCTTGGCACTGATCAGACCCGAGTGTTGACAGGTGATCGAATCTACCTGGGGACGGACAAGGGCTCGCTGCTCGTCTTTGAGCTCGCACACGCCTCGACCAGCAGGGGTACGTCCTTACGGCCAAGCCATCTCAGCCAGTAGACGCACTCCGCCGACTGATCAAGCTGCCATCATCGCCCACCCGTACAGCTCCTCCATCGGCCAAACTGGCGCTCAAGCAGCCAGCGTTCGCCAAGCGCCCGATCGAGCAGCTCGTCGCGCTTGATGAGATCGATGCGATCGCCTGTCTTGCAGGTGAGACGGCACAACCGAGCTCATTTCGGAAATCCTGGAAGCTCGGACTTTCGTTGACAAAGATCCCTTTCCTTTTGTTTACTCAGGCGGAGACTTGTCGATCCACTCCATGTCCTCCTTCGCGCTCCGATCATCGTTCAATCAGCTCACCCGTGCGACGTGCTCCTCGATTGCCCGTACGACCTCTTCCACGTCGGTCTCGACGACCAAACAGAATACGGACCATACCGTCCTCGCTCTTGCCTGTCGACGTCGTCTGATACTCCTCTCGTGGACCGGGTCGGGCGCCAACGCCGTCGGCTCGAACAAGGAGATCGCTCTCCCGCATCAAGTCCGAGGCATGTCCTTCACCGAGGACGAAGGTGAGGCGGGCACGAGCCTCAAATTGGTTCTAGGCTTTTCTACGGGAGAGTATGGGATCACCACCGTCCCCAAGCTCAAGCATTCAGCCGAATCCGGATCCGAATCGACGGAGAGGACCAAGATTCGCAAGCCCCCACCAGGGAGTGCGGCTGCTCCGAGCTCGGCATCCGGGAAGCTCGATCAACCTCTACTTGGGGAACTCTTCACTCCGACTTTGGCAGGCGCGGTGACCAAGGATGTCGCCCCGACTCTGGCCACTGTGGTGGCATCGACGGCGACTGAAGGCGGCAAATCCTCTGCACTGGGGTCGCTCGGACTCGGCGCGCTGTCACTGTCGGCGTTGACCACGAAGAAGATCGACAAGAATGAGGTTGTTCTCATACCGCGAAAGAGGAGGAATACAAAGAGAGAGGCGAGCGAGCGACAGTCGGAGGAAGAAGACAGGAGGAGAGCCGAGGAGGACTGGCTGTATGGTAAAGAGTGGGGATGGGACGATCAGGACGAAGGAGAGAAAGGGGTCGGAAGCAAAGTGCTCGTCGTTCGAGATAGTGAGTCCCGAGCTGAAATTTCATTGTCACGGGTAGAGTCTGATCGATGCCCGTCGCCTGTCCTTGCAGACCTCGCTCAAGTGCTCGACACTTCCAACGGACAAGTCCCTCGCACCTCACTGGGCAGCATCTCATACCCGTCACCTGTAGAGGAGACGGTCGTCACTCCGCCTTTCGTCATCTCGCTTCTTTCCAACTCGACTCTATCGATCCACACGACCGATACGCTCACGTCCGTTCAAACGCTCGACTTGCCCACGCAGTCGAATTCTTCGATCGTATCCAACCTCGGAGCGAATAAGATCTCGACCTCGGCGAGACTGTTGACGCCTTCTTCGAGTTCATCCCCGCCCTTGTTCTTTTTGACGACTTCTTCGGTGGGTGCAGCGACAGCTGGTGCGGGCGCACCGATCGTTTCGCAAACGCTTTGGATCGTTCGCTCGCAATCCTGGATCGAACAAATCGAAGCGCTCGGCGCGCAGGGACTGTGGTCGAAAGCAATTCAATGGTTTCGTCTCGCACTCCCCTTTTCCGAATCGGCGTCTCAGCCACTTTCGATGGAGACTGTGAAGCGATTGAAGCTTTTGAGGAGCTGGGAGCTGTTCAATGAGGGGCGGTTTGGATTGGCCGTCGATGCGTTCATTAGGTTGGAGGTCTCGGCCGTCAAGGTCGTGGGACTGTATCCGGAACGACTTGCGGGACGATTAGTGAGGGATGATGCTGAGAAAGAGGAGGCTTTCGGAGGTCGCAAGGCCGAAGATGCGCGGGCAATGCAAGAAGCCAAACCCGCGGAGGGGGCCGAGACGAAGATGTTGTCTGATGCGGTAGACAGCTCAACACCGTCACCATCGCATCACCACTTTTCACTCGCCGCGCGATTGAGGGAATCTACGATCGGTAGCTCTTCCGCCACCCCTTCGTCACCCAATTCGACGATCCGATCGAGCTCGGTCGACTCGGCCCGACTTGGCACAAATAGCTCGGACGAGGCACAGCAAAAGGCGTTCAACGTATCGGTCGACGAACTGGTTCGATTCCTCACCGATCGACGACAACAAATCAACAAGGCACTATCCCTCCTCCCACCATCTCGAAGACCGCTATCCTCGCGACTGAGGCCTCAAGCGACCAAGGAGCAACTGGACGACATTCCTGATCGACCGGTCGCGCAGCTCAGTATCGAACAGCTTGCTCGATTGGCGCAGGTCGTCGATACCGCGCTCTTTAAAAGTTATCTCGCGACCAAGCCTGTCATGGTAGGGCCGTTGTGTCGGATCGATAATTGGTGCGAGGTCGAAGAGGTCGAAGAGGCGCTGCTGGAGAAGAAGGTGAGATCAGTCTCGGCTTAGAATGGGAACGTTGGCGGAGGGGACGCTGATGCGTGTGATCATGAGCAGAAGTACCGAGAGCTTTTGGACCTCTACAATGGCAAGAGCACGCACCAGAAGGCCGTCAAATTGTTGCGCAGGTGGGTGAGACGTACCTTCCCAGTCAGGTCCGAGTCCACGACTAATTGTGGCAACGTGTCCAATGCACAGAATTGCCGAAGACGAAGATGACCTCGACGAAAAAGTCGAGCCGACGATTCGATACGTCCAGAAACTAGGACCGGATCATCTGTCGACGATCCTCGAAGCTTCGGAGTGGGTCTTTGCGACCCATCGGGCCAAGGGCCTCGAGATCTTTATCGCCGACTTGGAAGAGGTCGAAGCGTTGCCGCGACATCAAGTCATGCAGCACTTGGAAGGCGTTGGTGAGGAGGCGTGCATGCGGTATTTGGAACATGTCGTGCACGAGTTGGACGAGAGAGGCGCCGAATTTCACGAGAAATTGATCGAGGTCTACTTGAGGAGGGTGTTGGAGGGTGGGCAAGGTGGCGTGGGCGATGAAGAGGGGTACAAGAAACTACTCGCTTTCCTCGAGGCGTCCGAATCGTACCGTGCGGATCGAATGTTGGGACGACTACCCGCTTCGACTTTGAGCTCGGTCGCTGGAACGATTTCGAGCATGACGAAGAAGGACGAAGCGCTCGCGCTCGTTCGCGCACTCTTGTTGGGTCGTCTCGGTCGACACGAAGGCGCATTACGAATCTACGTTTACCAACTCGCCGCTGCCGAACTCGCCGAGGACTACTGCCGTCGCGTCGTCGCTAGCGAGGAAGACGTCTTTCACATCCTCTTACGCATCTACCTACGCCCGACGAACGATCAGAAAGTCATGTTCGCGCCCGCGCTAGAACTCGTCAAAAAGTATGCGCTCTACCTCGACCCCATCGTCGTCTTTGATCTGTTACCACCCTTGGTCTCGATAGCGGACCTCAAAGTCTTTCTTGAGAAAACGTTACGTCGTTCCGTCCAAGCCAAGAATGATACACTCGTGCTCAAGGCGATCACGAAAAGTCTTTCGGAGAAAGAGGAGAGGGAGAAAGTCGATTTGGAAGAGAGGAGGGTCAAGGTTACGGAAGGGAGGGTTTGCCCCGTTTGTGGTAAACGATTGGGGAATAGCGTGTTGGCGATCTTTTTACCGAGGGGTGAGGTGGGTCATTATCAGTGCCGTGAGGCGTTTCAGGAGAGGAGGAAGGACCTGCTGTAGGAGTTTTTTTTGTTTTGTTTTGGTGGGGTGTCAAAGTGTGTAGTGATTTTTGAGTGTAGATCTCTCTCTCTAAAGCTCGGATTTGGGGAAATACTTTCATTAGAAACAAGGACACTCTGCATTACACACTCTTCTGCAACCTAAAGCACGACTTTCCTCCCCTCTCATCAACTCTCAATAAATCACCCCCGAAACACTACTCGAACGATAACCCCTCCCCGGTTCGAAATCACTATTATTTGCCGTCGAGGTCGACAGTTCCTTCGTAGTAGTAGTAGTACGATTCGCATGATTCGATCGACCTGAACGGCCTCGGAAATGGAATAAGCTCGAACGCGTTTTGGTTTGCGTTTTCTTCGTTGAACCTTCTTCGAAGAAGGCCTTCGTCGTCGTCGTCGTCATTGATCCCGTTCCTGATCCTGTTCCTGATGGAGGTTGGGATTTAGTAGAAGAGGAGAACAAGGAGCGTGTTGAACGGGCGAATTTTTCGGTTCCGTAAAGTGGGGTAGGGGTAGGGGTAGGGGTAGGGTAGTAGCTCCTCGAAGGGATTGGTGGTGGTGGTGGTGGTGGTGGTGGGGCGAGGACGGGTGCGTAAGAAGTTTCAATGACTGAACTTGAAGATCGATTGTGAGGTTCCCAGGCGTTAAAAGTTGAAGTTGAGGTTGAGGTTGGGGGTGGATGGGGGAGGAGGTGAGGGAGTGATTTTTGTTTTTGAGAGGGTCGGTTGGGGTCGACGACGACGACGATTTCGTCCGTCGAAGGTCGGGACCAACTTTGGCCTGAAGTTGGGGAGACGAGGTTTGAGTTGGGGTGATGAGTTCCGTTGTAAGAGTGTCGTTGGGTTGTTGTGTTGATCGGGGGTGGTAAGAACTTGGAACGAGTCGAGGTGTAGGAGGAGGACGTGATTGAGCGTCGATCGGAGTTGATCACTACGCTAGAAGGTCGATAACCGTTCATCGGTGGACCGACAGCTGCGAGTGGTGGGGTGTAAGGAACGCCTCCCAAGGAATCGATCGAAGACGTCGAGGCGGAACGCGTCTTGGAGAGCGAATTCATCGATGGAGGACAGAATCGACGAGTGTTGGGCTCCTTGGTGAGCGTCGATAAGGGTGGGGGTGGAGCGAGTTCCTCGCTCGTCGGAAGCGAATCCATCGTCGTACCGTAGAAACCGTACACCGTTTTTGGGTCCGCGTACCCATTCGATCGAGTTGGCACCTGAGAGTCGGATTGATGACGTGGGAAAAGGTCGCCGCGTGCTGGAGCGGGTCGGACCGAAGCAGTGGCGTGCTGCTGCTTCTTGTCGTTCCCTCCACCACCGCCGACGAGTTTCGAGAAGAATCCCTTGAGCCCTTTCTTCTTCTTGGATCCGCTTCCCTTTTCCGATGCTTTACCCCGTGAAAGTTCACCTTCTTCGTCGCGATGGAGTAGTCCGTCATCGACGTAGGCGCTCGCGTCGTTGCCTACGTTTGGGTGTCGAGCGACGTACGAATCCGACATTGACGGATAGCCCGGATCGAGATAAGGATGATGACCTCCGCCAGTCGGGTGATTCGAGATCGTCGAATAGAGGAAACCACTTCGTCCATGATGATGTTGATAATTCGCTAGGCCATGCTGAGCATGTTGGTACCGATCGGCTTCGAGCCCGAGATGCATCTCGACCATCGATCCACTCGGTGCGAAACTGGGCGCGAACGAGAGTACCGACTGCGACGCCGATTGACGAAACTTGGACCAGGTCGATCCGCGTCGGTTCGTGTGGAGTGAGGAACGGTCGTCTTGTGGGTACAAGAAGGAAGGTGCTCGACCGGGTGAAGAAGGGGGGTGACCGAATTGGGGTGGTGGGGAACCGCCGTCGGTGCCGTCGCGCGGCATCGCACGCGTCGAATTTGGCCGCGACGAGATCGAGCGCAAGTCGGTCGAGCTGCGACCGAACTTGTTCACGAAAGAGGCGAATCCCGTCGACGGCGAAGGCGTCGTCGAAGTCGATGCTCGATCGCGCAAGTTTGGTGATGCCGATCCTCCGTTCGTCATCGCGACGCTCGTACTCAGGATCGGGTTCGAAGATCGTCGCAGCGGGTTCGAGAGCCAAGGCTGATCGCCATGGGCGTAGTTGCGAACCGAAGCCGAGGCGCTGGATGACTGGAGAGTAGGGAGAGATGGCGTGGAGGTGGGCATCGACATGCTAGAGCTGCGATGGTCGTATGCGTTCGTGAGCGGTGCCGAAGAAGAGGTTGGTTCGTTCTGCAGTGACGTGCGCGACTGATTCGGCCCTTGAGCAGGGGACATGCGTTCGTCCATGGCGTCGAGGGGCAAGTGTGCCGATCCTCGCCATGGCGACGACGATCGTGGCTGGTGATGGCGGGGAACAAAGGTCGAAGGGCCAGCAGCGGCAGGACTCGACAAAGTGACGGCGAGAGCAGAGCCGGCCGAGTTCAAGACGGGGAGCTGATACGAATCGCCTTCATAGTGTTCGCTACTACCTTCCTTGTGGAGTTGCTGTTGCTGAGCTTCACGTTGCTGTCGATGCAGCTCGTTAAAGTGGACCTGGGTCGCGAGGTAGGTCTGCAACGTTCGCCAGCGATGAGCCGAAGCCGGTGGATTCTGCGAGGCAAGGGGGGTGTCAGCGGGGGGGTCTAAGGAAGCCGAATGTACGAGATGGTGGGAAAGGCGGACTGACCATGCTCGTCCACAACTTGAGCCCGGCGGTCGTCAAGGGGTGACCTCGTCCTATCCGCTTCCTCGTCATCATCGATGATGCACCTCCTCCGCTAATGGCATGCCCGTACGAACTCGGTCCCGTCGCCGATTCGCGACTACCTCCTCCCGTCCTTCTTATACCGTTGATGGAACCATGCGCGCCAAGACTACCACTCTCTTCGGAACCTCCTCCTGCTGCTGCTGCTGCTGCTGCTGCGGTCTTGTGGTGATCGGAATTGGTCATGGTCGCGGCGAGTTCGTCGTCCGATCTGAGCGCGTCCTCGAAATCAATGTCCGAGTCGCGATCCCATACGTGGGGGCCGGTGACGTCGACGTCGTCCATGTCCTTGTCGCGCATCATGCACTCGACGCAGACTTCGGGTTGAGGGATCAGGTGGGGGGGTGGGAGGGCGGCGACGGGTCGGGGAGGCTCGATAAAGTCGAGCGGTGCCGAGGTCGAGGCGGAGAAGGGGAGAGGGAGGGCGAGGGTCGGGGAGGCGGCGGGGGACGAGGCCGAGGTCGGTGCTGGACCGAGTAGAGGTGCGTTGCGAAGGACCGAACTGCGACCGACGCCGGCCATGGAACCCGAGGGTTGTTCGACCGCGGAATAGGTGGTCGCGGTCGTGGTCGTGGTCGTGGTCGTGGTCGTGGTCGTGGTCGTGGTGATGGGGGGAGGCAGAGGGGATCTCGAACTGGTGAAGGGGTCCACTTGGGCGGCTTGATCGGTACGAGCTTGAGCGGAGATGCTGGATGTGGGTGCGTCGGTGCGCAAGGGGGAGGTGAACACTTGAGGTATGGTGCTCAGCGAGGGGTTGGGACCGGGACCGGGACCGGGCACGGGAGGTCGCGTCGAGGTCGAGGTCAAGGTCGAGGCTGGATCGGCGTTGGTGGTCGTGACGGGCAGCGAGGCCGAACGGAGCGGTGCTCCCGGTACGAGTGATGGTGGGAGAGCAGGTGACGGGGCAGGAGGTTGCTGACACAGCGGCACAGAAGGGGCATAGCTCGCGCCGGGTGGAAGACTGGCACTCGCACTCGCACTCGTGCTCGCCCCGGCGAACGTCGGATAGGAGCGCGACGGGGAGCAGGCAGCGGAGGGGAGGTGATAGGATGGCGTTTGTGGTTGAGCGTGCACGCGGGTGGATGGGGGTGCGAGGTGGGGTTGGGGTTGGGGCTGCTGGTAACCGGTGTGGTCGGAAGGAGTGTTGGTGTGATCACGTGGTCGAGGAGGAGGAGGAGGAGGAGGAGGAGGAGGAGGAGGAGGAGGAGGAGCCTCAGCAGCACGAGTTGCGCGTGGAGGTGAGCGTGAGCGTGGCCGGGAGGTGCGCGTCGGCCGATCGTCGTCGTCGTCGTCGTCGTCGTCGTCGTACACGGCGGGGGTGCGAGTCGTCACCGTCACTGAGCTCGTGTGCCGAGGTCGAGGCGGCTGCCCGAACGTCGACGTCGAAGTCGACGAGTCCATTCCGAGCACCGAGCACGACCAGATTACGCCGTCATGCGTCGTACACGCTCACCCCGACACTGCGGATCCGAGTTCGTCCGCGGCGATCAGCACACTCCCGAGTCGGCCAGCTGACACACCAGAGCAGAGACGGACTCACCAGTTGACACGACGTAGGGCGGAAGAACGATCTTGACTGAGAGGAAAGCAGCGGGCGGGCGGCAGGCAGTCAGGCGGTGAGCACCAATCTGCACGCGTGTGGTGTGCGAGCACGAGCACGAGCACGAGCACGAGCACGCGCCGCCGCTCGTCGCCAGGGAGCGATTGTTAGCCTTAATAGCCCTGGGCCATGATCCGATTAGCCCGGGGCCAATTATTCCATTATTACCGCCTGTGCGCTTGGGCGTATTTTGAAGACGGATCACGCGCGGTGATCACGCGCCCGCTCGCACTCACACACTTGGCGCCCACTCGCGCTCGGACCCACTCGGCGCCACTTGGGGCACCCCGCGGCTCATCCAACACACACACGCGCACCCGCACTTGTCTCTCTCCCTCAACCGTCTCACCCCCCGCCGATGATGAGCTCTACCTCGAACCTGTCGGCACCGACGATCGTGTCGTGCTCGGGCAAGGTCCTGCTCGCCGGAGGCTACCTCGTCCTCGCTCGTCAGCACCACGGCTTTGTGCTGTCGACCCCGTCGAGGTTCTACACCGTCGTACGCGATCTCGTACGAGAACGAACCGATCCTTTGACGTTCAAGATCACCGTCGACTCGCCTCAGTTCGTTGGAGCGAGATGGGTCTACGACGTCGCGAGGGCCGAGCACGCCGACACCGGCACCGACGCCGACGCCGACGAGAAGGACCCGTCGTGGACAGTACGAGCTGACCCGTGAGTGCACACATACCCCCGAGTAAACGATCCCCTTTTATCGAACCGTGCACCCTCCATCTGACGTGCCCTACCCCCACAGGAACAACGCCTCTTGCAATGCTTTCGTGCACCTCTCGATCCAGTCGACGATCTCGCTCGCCTCGGCCCTGTTCCCTTCGCTCGGCCACTCGCTCGCCGTCTCCGATCTGCACATCCTCATCGTCGGATCCAACGACTTTTACTCCCAGCAGCGTGCAGTGAGTACGCTACGGAGTAAAGGTCGTCACCCAGCGCTGAAAGTGAACGACCCCCACAGCACTCGACCGAACGCTCCCCGTCTCCGAAGAAAATGTTTGCCCATCTCGGCTGCGCGATCGCCGACGTGCACAAGACCGGCCTAGGCTCCTCCGCGGCCATGACCACCTCCCTCGTCGCTGCCTTGTTGCTCCACCTCGACGCGAGAGCATCGAACCTCTCTTCCCCTCTTCCTGCTGCTGCTCCGAACCCTTCGGCCCAAGCTCCGAACGCGCCGAGCACGTTATCGACTTCCCCTTCCTACCCGATCAAATTCCCCAAGAACCTGATCGCGAATTCCCAACTCTGGGTCGATCAGGGCACGTTGGGCTTGATTCATAATCTGGCGCAGTACGTGCATTCGCTCGCGCAGGGAAAGGTCGGAAGTGGCTTCGACGTCTCCGCTGCCGTTTGGGGAAGTCAGGTTTATCGTCGGTTCGAAAGCGTTTGTCTAGGTCAGAGTCTTCAGGAGCGAAAGACGGTACGTCGTGGAGGGGAGGGTGTGTGTGTGTGTGTGTGTGTGCAGGTCGAGTAGGCGGGTTCACGCTGATGAGACGTGCATTCTTCACACTGCTCACAGCTCACACCTAAAGCGTTGCTCAACCAACTTTCGCCCCTGCTCAATCCCGCATGGACGAATAACCGAACAGCACCGAACGTGGCTCCGTTCGCTCTCCCACCAGCCATGACCTTGTTGTTGGCTGATGTCGATGCGGGATCACATACGCCTTCGATGGTGGGCAAGGTGTTGGCGTGGAAAAAGGCAGAGAAAGAACAGGGTTAGTAGATCGCGAACCTTCCAAAGTGCGGTCATGGGGGGGACCTCTTTTCTGCCGTGTGCGGTGCGTGTGCTGACCCCCGAGTCATATTTTTTTCTTTCTCGATCTTTGTTTCAAAAAAAAAAAAAAAAGCCGATCGCATCTGGTCCGAATTGCATCAGGCCAATAACGACTTTGCTGAAATCCTTGCGAAACTCGGTCGCGGAGCAAAGGAGAATCCTGAATTTTACGACGAGCAGGTTCAGAGGTTCTCCACGATGTCGAGTAGGGAGGTGAGCAGTTCAGTTTGGATCATTTGGGATCGCGTGTAGGGCCGGTGGGCGGTGGTGGCGTGCTGATTTTCGGGTGGTTGCTGTTGGCTCGTCTGCGATAGTGGAGCGAGTCGAGCGGGTTCAAGATCGCTTCGCAGCACATCTTGGTACGTTCCCTTCGAGCTGAGAGCGGGGGTAAGTCTTAACGTTGGGTACTGATAGCATCTGTGTCTCTTTGCGTCTTGTAGTCGATCCGAGCCCTGATGCGCGAAATGGGAGAGCGCTCAAAGGTGCCGATCGAACCGGCCGAACAAACCAAGTTGCTCGACGCCGTATCCGAATTACCCGGTGTGGTAGGCGCGGGCGTACCAGGGGGTGAGTTGAGAATTCATCCCCGGGGAAAGTTGGTCAAGGGGTGTTTGATTGCTGATGATGTGGCATGGAATCCGGGCGTCGCTACAGCTGGTGGATACGATGCGATTTGGGTCCTTGCACTCTCACCCCCATCCACCAATACCGCACCGCACCCATTGGGAAAAGTTCAAGATACCCTGATCGGATGGAAGGAAATGTCCGTGCGACCACTATCAAAACTGGCGTGGATCGTTGGGGGAAGTGGGGGTGGGGGTGGGGGAGGGGGAGGAGGAGAGGAGAGGAGTGCGTCGGTGGAGATGGTTGGGCTCAAGAGGGAGAGGATGGAGGAGGTTGATGGGTTGATGGAGGTCGTTGAGGCGGTCGTGGTGTAGATGGTTGCGAGAGTGGTTCTTTCTATAGGGACGGAGCTTGGAGTTGGTACTAGCAAGAGACGGGAACGATGCTGTTGGTTGGATGAGCCCTTGCGTGGGCAGTGCAGACTTTTTTTTTTTGTTTTTGACATGAGACATTTTTACGAAAAAGTACCCTGTTGGGGAAGCAGTTCTTTGCACGTTCTCCAAGGACGTGTGAGATCCAGTTCCAGGCGTGTTGCAGATTCAGGGTCTATGTACCACGGCGCGTTCCAATGACGTCACGAGGCGCGTGCCCTCCCCCACCTTCTGAGCTCCTTCATCCACCTCCCGAGGTGACTCGGTCAGACAGGCTCACCCACGGCTGGCCAACATGACAGCGACCGCCAAGAAACTACTGCGTGGCACCAACAGCATGTTCCTGAACGGATGGCCCAACTCGCCCTTGCTCACCGTCACCGCCGTCGTCGTCCTCGACGACGAAGCGGAGCGCGTCGCCCTCGCCACGATCGCCCTCGATTGGCTCGCCCAGTCCGAAGACACGTACGATTGGGACTATGTGCACCATGTCGTTCAAGAAGGTGTCGAACAAGCCGGCTATCTCGGTGACGAGGCCGGAGAGCCTCTCGATACGGACTCGCCATTGCGAGAAGGGAACTTCACCTTCGTTCCTGCTCAAGGTTCAGTCCATTGCATTGGCCGAGTCGGGTCGTCGGCACAGCTTACACCCGTCCAATCCCGGTCAGCTAGACATACATCGCTTTCCCCATAGAGGATGTCCAGTTTTTCACCCCGACAGTCGGACCCGTCGGAGAAGAAAAGGGAGAGTTGCCGAGGTGCTTCATGGCGATAGATGACAACGACAACAACACGCTCTGCGATTCCCCACCCGCCTCGGAAGAAGAAGAGATGGCTAGTACTCACACCTTCGAGGCGTGTGACTCGTGAACGAATCTTTGACTTTGAGGTAACTCCCAACGTTTTGCTTGGTTCAACAGGATTGGTTTCGCGACGCCGTTACCGAACGTGACGGCTCAGTCTGCGTCGTGACCGACTGCACCAGCGCCACCTACTGCTGGCCTGTACACATCGTTCCTCCCAGTCGACACGACGTAATTTTTTAATTTTTTTTTTTTCACCAGACTCGCAAGACCCGCCCTGACCTGAGCTATGACCCTACAGATCTGGGACAAGTTGGGCGTCAGTGGTCGCTACGAGCTATCCGCCGGCTTGCTTCTCAACCTGTGCTTCTACACCATGTTCGCACATTACGCGTGGTCCATTTATCCTTTGGGGGTCAGTATCCAATCTCCCTCAATCGTCTCGTTTTCAACTCGCAGTAAAGCACTGTCGCCCGTCTCTGATTTACTCAACGCCCCCAGGACGGAGAATTCGTCGTCCACTGTTTCGACCCCACGATCAAAACCCCCCTCGGCGAGTCGCCCCATGGCTACGTCATCACGCGTGAACGGTTCAACATCCAAGATGATACCGAACTCCCCCATGAGGACCTGCTGCGTTGGCATTACCGGCAGTGTGTGCTGCGACACCTCCGAGGCATCGCAGTGCTCGAGTGAGATCACGTCTTCCCTTTATCTCTCTTCGTGTCAACGTTTGAGCTTCTTCTTACTTTTTGTTCAGCGTGTCTCGATTGTTCGGTACTGCTTTTGTGTGATGTAATTACGTTCGTTCCTCCCTGTACAGATGGACACTTTCCATATACCAATGTCAGATCCTCCCGAGCGCGCGTCCGAGCACCTTTTGGCATTCGAGAGGTGGGGGGGGGGGGCCTTGACACCACACCATGCCCTGACTCTATTTCATCGGAACTGACTTTGCTGCCTCGGTTTTTTTTTCTATAAGTAGTTCATCAAAGCTCACGAAAACGCGTTCATATTGCTTTGATGCCTATAGCACATCAGTGGTGCACGAAATGAAACTTGCGTCAAGGGAGGTAAATCGAGGATAAACTCTGCGCACGCGTTGGTTCTAAATCGATCGATCGAGCTCGGAGTGCTCACAAAAGTCCAACTACGACGTTGACGAGATGAGATGAATGGGATGACGAGCGATGCGCATTGATTGCGGATGAACTTGGAGGGAAAGTGTTTACGAAATGATTAAATATCACTATAGAAGAGGAGACCGTCAGAAAGAGGAGGGAGAGTGAAAAAGATTCACAGTCGGCGTTTGAGTAGTTTGAGATAGGATCGTCCCCAATCAACGAAGCAAAAACTTTGATCGTTGGATCGGATCAGTACGTTCGCGGGGCTGACGTCATTATGGATGATACCTAGTTCCCTGAAAACCGCCTCGACCTCCCTGCAGCCTCGAGTAGAACAAAAAGAAAAAAAAAAAAAAATCAGGAGGTCAGGACTTTGTGCGAGCCTCGTCGTGACTGGCTTGCAACACCGCTGCATTCAATGCGCCGCCTTTGTAGGAACTTACCACAATCGGGAGGGCGATCCGTAAAAGTCGTGATCGCTCATCATTGCTCCCGCATGCTCAAACACCATGGCGTATCCGTTGCCGTTGGTCCTTCGGTACGTGCCATGATATTGCGGTACATGTTTTCGAAGACGGTCGGGAAGGTGCGGGAAGACGTGCTGGTAGAACAGCGTCTCGCGGATGACCGAGCCGACAAAATTACATGTCACGAGCTTGAGAAAGTACCTCGTGTTCGGAGCAGGGTGGTCATCAAGGGGCACCTCGGCTTTGGCCGATGAGGACAACGGTCGGTTGACTCGCACCACGTTCGCAAGCCACCCGCCGGCAGTACTTCCCGACGCGATCTGCTCCTCCAGACGAAGATCCGCCGTCGTCTCGAACCGATCAGAGAATTCCAGCGGGATCCGATCGTCCTCGAGCTCTTCCCGGGGATCTTCGGACAACCACCGCAGAACAGCATCGGACAAATGGAGACCCTGGATGAAATCACTCGCTGGGGAGGGGTTCGACGACAGTCGGGACGCAAGGGGCGAGTCGGAAGGAACCGAACAGACGATATCAAAGCCGATCTCGACTAGATTCACGCGGCTCGTACCCGTGTACGACTGCGCAAGGGCACGAAGTAAATGACCCTTTCGGTGAGCTGGGCTACAGGCGCTAGAACGAAAGCAGCAGGGCAGAGCACGTGACGTACTATCATAGACCAGTGCGCGTTCGACAAGCTGGCCTTGATCAGAAATCCGCGATCTTGAACGATGGTGATCGGTTTCGATAGCTGGCACGAACCAGAGGGTGGCGATATTGTAGGACTCCAAGCTGTCGATGCTGGAGGGGAGGAAAAGATGCGAGTCACATGCGTCAATGGGTCGGATGAGAGATTGGATTGCAGCGCCAAGGAGACGGGCGGGGTGATGGGTCGATTCGAATCCTTGGCGTGAGCTAGCGGTGGTTGGCCTGCCAGTCGCCTCGAAAAACGAGCACTCGTGGCGTCGGCCAAAGTCTTCTGGGTTTTTCGGACCCGCGGGGAGGGATCATCGTCGCGGCTCGAGTCCGGTCTGGGGCGAGGTTGAGGTCGTTTCGGAGGTTGGGGTCGGGCATCGAGCAGCGCATCGACGACAGCTTGGTCGGGTGGGGGACTTCGATCACGGCTGTGAAAGCCAGGGCGATAAAGGACACGATGAGTGACCGTTGTGGAAGATCGGTGCCAAGTGTTTCGGCCGCCTCTGAGTTCAAGGTAGTCGGAGAGGGCTCCACCCATCGGGTCAGCTCTTGTAGAAGCAAGCTGTAACTGGCTCTGGTGGAAGGTGCCGGAGAGTAGGCGGTCGCAGCCGAGATGGAGGCCGATGACGCCGAGGTCGACGCTACGGGATCCCTTGCCGTTGCAGGATGCGTCGACCGGTGCTGGACTGTGGGTGAGGGGCGAATGGCCAAACCAAGGCCGCATGATCGCATGCGTCAGTGGGACCCGGAAGGTTTCGACAGGGCCGGTGAGTTCAAAGATGCGACGTACCCAGTTCACCGATCTGGAAGAACGGAACCGAGTACAACAAAAAGAATCGACTATCGCTGGAGACGCACTGGATGATGGCCTTCACGAGCATGAAGAATGAGAAAGGAGTAAACATTGAGCCACAATTATCGAGGCCGGATCGAGAAAGCGTATGTCCACCAAGCCTGAAAGATGCATGGCTCACCTTGGTCGCCACAGCATCTGCACCCCTCGACTTTTCTTCCTCCAAATCCTGAAGGGCCACTGGGTCCTCGTGATCGAGTATGGGAATATGCGAGAGGGCGCCGTCCTGGCGTACCTTCGCCAGGCTATGATGTACGTTGTCCCGTTGGTATTCGATCGAGATACTTGAAACAACGTTGCCAGTCCCACCTTGAATATAAACCACAGCATCGCCCTGCGTGCGGAGAGCACGTTCAGGTTCGTCCAACCGAATCGAGTACCGGGGTCTCGTCGCGGGGGCCGATGCGGAAGCGGAAGAAGTCCCGACGGCCTCGATGATCGTGGCATGATGATTGAGTAGCTCCGTCGTTGCAGATCCTAGACCTCCATAGAAGAGGCCTACGAACGAAATTTGGACGCTTCCTTCGCCCTTCCGAGGCAAGCCGCTGCGACAAGCGGTGCTGAAGGCGGCCAACTTCTCGCAGAACAGGTCGAGCAATGACGGGTGTAGCTCGAGTAAATCGAAGAACGAGCTGAGAACCCTGACGCCAGGTGACGCGGGTGAGTCCCATTTCAATCCTCCCAGCCGTGCGACGCAATCGTAGGTGGTCGTCCCAGCATCGGCTTGAACGCGCGCGGCAGTTGAGTGACACGCTCCATCGTGGTGCGGTGGCGGGAGAAACCAGCTGGATGGAGCGCAAGTAGCGAGGAGTTGGGTGGGCGTCGGTGGCCGAGACTTGGTGGAAACAGTTGGCGTCGCTTCATGAGAAGAAGCCATTATACAGAGCGAGACGTTGGAGGTGACGAGGCCCCAAGTGGACGGCTGGAGGTGAAGAGCGCCCCGGCAGGCCCCGGCAGGCCCCGGCAGGCCCCGGCGGACGCGCCGGTTGCAAGGCTCGATGGGGCCGAGTCTGGCACTGTCTGGCAGAGTCTGGCTGAGTTTACGGTCACGTGACTCCTCACCATCTCGAGAAACCACCTTCACCGACTTTCCGAGCTACGTTTTGCATTCAGACGTCGAACAAAACCCCCAATGGAAGTGAAAAGTGGCAGTGCAGGGGGAATTTCCCGTGCACTGATGAAATCGACTTATTCGACGCCGGAAGCCGACACGGGGTCGAAGTCGCAGTGCAGCATGAAACTCCGGTGCACCATGAATTGGCAGTGCAGCGTGAAATTCCGTGCACCGAGTAACGCTGAGCCCAGAGCGCTGAACCGAGATCGGATCCGAAACGAGATTCCCATTCGGAGATCGTCGGAGATCGTCGGAGATCGTCGGAGATCGTCGGAGATCGTCGGGCTGGCGGCGCCGCGTGGTGCGGTAGACTTGGTTTGTGTGCAGGTCAGATCGAAGCGGTATCTTCTTGCCGGCTCTGTAGGAGAAATGTCTCTCGTCTGTGAATACTACACAAACTGTTCAGCATCTCGGAGAAACTCGACAAAAATCGTACACGGGCTGTAGCTCGATTTTAATGGTCCCGAAAATGCAGAAATGTTCGTTCCTGACGTCTCATTGGGACGACGATCCGAGAGGCAGCGGTGCATTCACCGCAGGGCCGCAATACAGTCAAAAACAGTGATTGTAGGTACATGGCTTTGGGATCTGGCGCGCTTGATTAGCTGATTGGCTCGACTTCACGTTCCCGCGCACCAACGCTCCCTTTCCTCTCCCCACTCACTAGTACTCACTACTCCCTCGCACCACTTGACTCGACTCGGACTCGGCACCGATCGCACCACGCCCGCCACAACTCGACGTCACATGCTTTCGCATCGTTCACATGCGCCATGCAATCAGCAAGATGCACCTCGATCTCTCCCAACTACAGCTCGACGTGTCACCTCAACCCGACTGATTCGGGCACGGTGCGACGTCGCACGACATGACTATCAACGACTCCAACATCGTCATCTTCAGCAAGATACGCTGAACAGGTTGATCTGAAAGGGCGCGGTCACTTTCAGCAGCGTGCTAGCTTACGTCGATGCATCGCTCGAGCGTACTCGGTCGGACACGTGTTCGGTCACCCAATCGCCTCGATCGCCCCGTTCGCCCTCTCGCCACTCGACCGATGCGTGTGGTGAGTACTTCACTCAGATACTTTCCAGCTCACACCCATCCGCTCACCTCATGTTTGTCTATGCTGCTCATCACTCTAGTTGAGATCGCGCGTTGGCCGACTCGCTGGCATCCGAGCTTCGCACCGAACCGCTCTGTGACTTGTAGGACCATACTCTGCGATCACAATGCGACTTCCTCGTCAACACCATCGAGGAGTCGCTCACCCTTGCCCAGGTCTCGAATCGATGCAAATGTCACTCGACCAATATCGCCGCACCTCGAACACCACTGTAGACCGGTGACGATCACCTCCGCCACCCCCACATCGTTCACTCGCGTCGTCAACGTCGACCGATCGCTCGAGTGCAATCACTCGCTGTCACATCGGGTCTCTTCGAAGAGCCTCATCGACGCGGGAAGCTCGGAATCTTTTGGAACATCTGTTGCTCGACTCGGCGACCATTTGATCGATGCCCGTCCGACGCTTCGCACCCATCATCGACCCTCGGTCCGATCGACCGATCAACCGACCAAACTGACAAACCTCTTCCGCCCGATCTCGCCACCGTCCGTGCTCATCCCATCACCACGACGTGCGAAGTAACAGCTCGTTCGCCCCTCGCGATGGCTTCCTCGACCGCCTCAACCGTCGACCTTCCACCGTACTCGTGCTCGATCGCCATAGACTCATTGTTATCAACTGACCTGATCTACTCATCATGAGCGCCGACCCCACGATTGCCCCATTCTCGAATCATCTGGCAATTCACCTCACCTCATCTTGTTCTGTGTCGGGCCGCACCCAGCTCGACACTATCCCGTGATCTTCGCATCCACACCGGCGGGTCAACTCGATCAATCAGGACCCCAGTCTGGTATGCTCTCCTCTCCAACCCGGGTCTCCATCGTCTCGAGTCCCTTCAATACTGACGCTTTTACAAACACTCATCTGTGTTTCACAGCATTTCCCCGACATTTAGATCCGACTCGCACGTCGCCCATCCTCAGCTTCGCACCGACTTGCTCAAACATCGCCCCCACCCCATGCCACGAGCTTGTGATTCAATCCTACGATCGCCAATATGACTTTGCTCGAACCGAGTTCTGTCATTTTCTTGGGATCAGCTTGACTCTTCGGCGCTCTTTTTGGCTGGCTCGGCACTCGAGCCATTTCATCGAGCAGCTTCGTCTCGGCTCGAACCGTTCGGCACTCCGATGATCAGCTGGACCCGTCCATCTCTCAGGCAACTTGCTTCGGTTATACCGAAGCGACGATCAAGCACTACTCGATGGACGATCAAGCACCAACTGACATGGGTCCGCCTCGATGTGCCCACCCTGCCCGAATCGCCACTCCAACTCGCTCGGTCAACTCGAGCTCTAACTCAACCATACTTCGAACATCGACAGCCCTTCCTTTCTGACAGCCGTCGCGACAGGACCACGTGCTCGACCACCGACGACGGGCTCAGACCGCCCACAGTGCACAGTGAGCCATCCAATCGGAGCCCTCGCTTGCGACTTGCACTTTTTGCTGATGCGATCAAGATCTGTCGCGTCACTGCACAGTGTAGATTGTTGGTCACGAACGACCCGGACTAGGAGCGCTCCTTCGAACGGAACTTCGCCGCGATGCTTACAAGCTCGCACGCCCGCATTCGAGCCCGCAGATCACTATCTCTCGGTACCTCTCGCCAGAGTGCGTCGATGTCGAGATGGGAGACCCGCATTGCCTCAAGCACTATCACCCCGTCTGGACCGCGCCGCGACGCACTCAATCGCCGGCCCGCGTGATCTGGCTCGTTGAGTCATCCGTCCACACCACTGAGCGCTACGTTTCACCTCATGGCACCTCAACATCCCACATTCCCGCTCGTCTTCCTTGCCGTGACGACTTCCGCACGCTTCCGACCTTCTTCGGCGACGATGAAAGTTTCGATGATATCGAGCCCCGGGCACTCGAGGTGGTCTTCCACCGTCAGTGTTATCGGCCCCTTAACACGGCGACCACGACCAGGGAACTCGCCCAGGCCGTACTTGGAGTCGTCACAGGTGAGCACGGGGATCAACTGGGCGGCCTTGCGTTTGCGCTCCCTAGCCGACACGCCCGTTCCCATGACAATGCAGGACACCGAAACCTCTACAGGCTGGGGTATATCCACCGGGATATTTCGTACGGTAACGCCGTCATCGACCGCGACGGTGTCGGCGTCCTTATCGACTATCACCTTGCCGTCCCTCATGATCGGCCTTGCACCGAGCTGCACCACAGAATACGATCCGTGCGTCCTCCCCTCTGTATGTTTATCCGAATGAAGTTTCCGAGAAGCACTAATCTTTGGACTATACGACGTCTTACAGGGCACCTGGCCCTACCTCGCCTGCTCGATCCTCGCCCAACCGAATGAGCGGCTCGGTGTTGTCCACGAACGATGGCACGACATCGAGTCGCTTTTTTACGTCGTGATGGAAGTTTCGTTCCGCGAGCCTTACCAGGGCAACAATGAAGAGCTTGTCATGACGCCAAAGGGTGAAACCATCTGGCGGGACTGGAATCGGCCAGAAGCGCACCTAGTCTATGCTATCAAAGATAGGCTTCGCAAGGACGAACCTTACGAATCTGTACTCGAAGGCTGCGCACATCGATGGACGAACATCAAGCAACTGGTCGATATCTTGCGACACCATTGTGGTCTTGATAACCAGTTCTATAATTTGAAGTTGGCTGCGGAAGAGGCCAAGCTGGGGGAATTGTGGGGTCCGTCCGGGACGATGTCCCACGAAGCTATCATCTCGGAGATTGAGCGACTAATTCCCTTGCTCTGACTGCACCACCGTATGCGATGGGCTTGTTGATTGTTGTTCTTTGCTAGTTCTGAGCATTGCAATAGATAGCCCAAGTCATTCTCCACCCATTCCAGTACAATTGCAGGATAAACGAATGACTGCGCCAGCTGTGCTTTCATTCGGTCCGACTGCCCAGACGGGAATAGACCTTCTGACAGCGCAGGTTTCGACAAAGCTGTTCGTGGCTAAGTCGTAATCTGGGATGGCCGCACATCATTCAGGCTTCGTTCATAATTTTCTTCTTTTGCAAATCAAGGTTATTGTCATACCATGTGGCAAAACGCGTAGCCTTGAGCCAACCAAATGAAAACCAAAGCCCCGCCTCAGAATCCTGTCTCTGATCTCACTGACCCTGCAGAGGGCCGAGCCAACCTAGTAGGTCAAGTGTGAGGACGGTCACGTTCAAGATACGCAGCGCTCGAACGAGACCCCATCATCACCAACTATTGATGCTTATGCTCTTTCGCAACATGACCGACTCCCAAAGTCTGTTGATCTGTAGATGCGCCGAGAACTCGGTGGGCAACTGGGCAGGGTATTCGATGAGCTTAGCTCGGGGGCCGCGACGCGCCCATAACCCTGCGTAAATGCCGTCAATGAACGTCGTTGCGAGCTCCGCCGCGGTGCACCGCCCGCACCTCCCGGAGTCCGGACCTTGGGTGAAAAGAAAAGATCGGCGCGCGCGCGCGTCTGAGAACCTTATCTCATGGAGGTGTTTTGTCGTGCAATCCAATATATGCAGATGTAGATAGATAGAACGATAAGTTCGCAGCTCCCAGTTACAAAACCTAAGCTACAAAATGACATGTGATTGCTTTTCCAGTGCAATCTAAAGGCCCTCCGGTGAGAGGTCCCGCCGAAGGCTGCTGAAATTAGGCTAAAATTGTGTCGAGATTTGCAAATGGTCCGAGAACCTCGACTTTCACAAAGGCGCCTCGACCAGATTCAGGATTCTGGGTCCTGAACCGGTCCAAACCGCGCACGCGCCTAGAAATGATTTCGGCCCCCAGCTGCAGAGTACTGCAGCAGACTGCAGCGCGACAGAGCGCGACGGACTGCGATGGCGGAAGGCGACCTGCATCCCTTCCTTTGATCAGCCACTGCAGTACATCTTCGCGCTCCCCCCATCCACCATTCTTCGTCTTTTCACTCGAGTCTCAACGTCTGCAAGATTGCACCAACAGTGAGTCAGAATGCCCTCCTACTGTTCGTTCCGCGTGGTCTGGCTGTTCAGTGTTGACCCAACATTGACCCATGGACTGGACCCGGTCGTCCCGATGGCAATTGCAGTGCCTAATTATAATCAGGACGCCCGGCGCTCGGGCCAAGCCGTCTCAGGCGAGCCGTCGTCAAAAAAAAAAAGAACGTCGTCGGGGCCCGAGCTCCGAAGAAGCCAGCGACTCGTCAACGCCAGAGACGGCGCGCCAGGCCCGTCGGTTGGCACGTCTGCTCTTGCGCCCCCCGCCCAAGCCGCCACGACCCAACTGCCCAGCTCGTCGCGCGGGCCAATCAACCGCAACAGCACTCGACCGGGACGGGCCGGTCGTGCATGTGAGGCCGTAGGCCTACCAGGCATGTCGGACCTCAGCGTTGCTACGACACAATCGAGCCCGATGAAGTCGAGCCCCTCAGTGTCGATGACGGCCACGGCGGAAGCGAGGGAGCAACAGCTCTTCGCCCATATGGGCAAACCTCGACAGTCAAAGGCGATGGACACATATTTTTTTGACACGCCTTCCACCTACGAAGCCAAGATCCCCAAACCGACGGAGAAACTGGGGACGGAGGCTGCAATGAAACAGATGGCTGACGCGATCAAGGATGTGGTGAGTGCCCCGGTGCTATCGCTTGGCTTCGACCGCACGAGTATGACTGACCACTGTCTCCCGATCATTGATGCACCCGGGTGTAGACTGGTGATCGACGTCTGGTCGGATGCGGCAACTCGGGTAGCCCCATCAAGCTGGCGCCCGATCGCGGGGAGCAGGAGAACACGCCCGACGCCGTCATCCTCACGCATGCGGCGGTGGCCGCTGCCCCCGATCTTCCGTTCGTTTGGGCGCAGTCAGAGCACCCAACGTCGATGGAAGGCACGCCCTCGTCGCCTCAACGCGCATACTCGCAGATTGCAGTGGCGATTGAGGTGAAGAAGAGCGACAAGAGGAGCGCAGAAGCGCGTAACCAAGTGATCAGGCGGCTACACATGATCTGCACGACCGCGCTCCGCGCCCACGCGATCGGGGTCACCCTTTGCGGGGACGTGCTTCAAGTCTACCTCGTCAACGCGTGTGGGGTGTTCACGACGAGCGCCCGCGAGTGCGGTCAGGGAGCCGTGCTGCTCCGGCGCGTGCTGTCACACCTCATCGAACTCGACGACAACGAGCTCGGGATGCTGGCCTCGACGAACGAGGTCGACGACGGTTTCGGCAGTTTTGTCGTCTCGGACAAGTTTCTCCCACCCCGCGCCCACGACTTCGAGTCCGAGCTCGGCGATATCTCAGATCTCGAGATCCAGGAGCTCCTCTTCCGACGCCGAAGCTGCCTGGGTCGCGCCACCTCCGCTTTCCGCGTCACCGCGCGACACGCGCCTGTCGACCGCACGTCGATCACCTTGCCTACACCTGCCACCGAGTACGCCATGACAGTCGCATGGGTTGAGCAATCCCGCCTCGACGATGCGATTGCCCTACGTCGCAACATGCACGCTGCGTCGCGTATCGACACCGAGGGTTTAAGCCTTAGCGCCGGCATCTACCGGGACGACTTCCGCACGCTTCCAACTTTCCTTGGTGATGATGAAAGCTTCGATGATATCGGGCCCCGGGCACTGGAGGTGGTCTTCCACCGACAGTGTTATCGGCCCCTGAACACGGCGACCACGACCAGGGAACTCGCCCAGGCCGTACTTGGAGTCGTCAAAGGTGAGCACAGGGATCAACTGGGCGGCGTTGCGTTTGCGCTCCCTAGCCGACACGCCCCTTCCCACGACATTGCAGGACACCGAAACCTCTACAGGCTGGGGTACATCCACCGGGATATCTCGTACGGTAACGCCGTCATCGACCGCGACGGTGTCGGCGCCCTCATCGATTATCACCTCGCCGTCCCGCATGATCGACTTTGCACCGAGCTGCACCACAGAATACGATCCGTGCGTCCTCCCCTCTGTATGTTCCCCCAAATGAACTTTCTGACCAGCACTAACCTTTGGACTATACGACGTCTGACAGGGCACCTGGCCCTACCTCGCCTGCTCGATCCTCGCCCAACCGAATGAGCGGCTCGGTGTTGTCCACGAACGATGGCACGACATCGAGTCGCTTTTCTACGTCGTGATGGAAGTTTCGTTCCGCGAGCCTTACCAGGGCAACAATGAAGAGCTTGTCATGACGCCAAAGGGTGAAACCATCTGGCGGGACTGGAATCGGCCAGAAGCGCACGTAGTCTATGCTATCAAAGATAGGCTTCGCAAGGACGAACCTTACGAATCTGTACTCGAAGGCTGCGCACATCGATGGACGAACATCAAGCAACTGGTCGATATCTTGCGACACCATTGTGGTCTTGATAACCAGTTCTATAATTTGAAGTTGGCTGCGGAAGAGGCCAAGCTGGGGGAATTGTGGGGTCCGTCCGGGACGATGTCCCACGAAGCTATCATCTCGGAGATTGAGCGACTAATTCCCTTGCTCTGACTGCACCACCGTATGCGATGGGCTTGTTGATTGTTGTTCTTTGCTAGTTCTGAGCATTGCAATAGATAGCCCAAGTCATTCTCCACCCATTCCAGTACAATTGCAGGATAAACGAATGACTGCGCCAGCTGTGCTTTCATTCGGTCCGACTGCCCAGACGGGAATAGACCTTCTGACAGCGCAGGTTTCGACAAAGCTGTTCGTGGCTAAGTCGTAATCTGGGATGGCCGCACATCATTCAGGCTTCGTTCATAATTTTCTTCTTTTGCAAATCAAGGTTATTGTCATACCATGTGGCAAAACGCGTAGCCTTGAGCCAACCAAATGAAAACCAAAGCCCCGCCTCAGAATCCTGTCTCTGATCTCACTGACCCTGCAGAGGGCCGAGCCAACCTAGTAGGTCAAGTGTGAGGACGGTCACGTTCAAGATACGCAGCGCTCGAACGAGACCCCATCATCACCAACTATTCATGCTTATGCTCTTTCGCAACATGACCGACTCCCAAAGTCTGTTGATGTCTAGATGCGCCGAGAACTCGGTCACCTCGGGCAGACAAAAGAAGGGACGATCTTAATCGCGCCGCGCAGCGGCGAAAAAAGCCGATCGGATCGGCATCCTGGGCCGGGAGCAAGTTTGGCCCACTCCATGGACTCAAGTCTCTCCAAGTCCGTCAGATCAACTACACTGACCCGAGTGTGGTAGTGACATCAGCTTCGGCAGTCTGGATGACACTGTCAATTCTCCAATTTACGACACTAAGCAACGAAAATGTTCATGTTCTTTCATTGGCTAGCCTACGGCACAAGCTTGGCACACTGACGCGCTGATCATGAGCCTGTGAATCCGAAGCACGTGACTTGCGATGGACACACGCGACCCCGAACTTCGAAGACCGCCAGCTCTGCACGTCTGCCCGGTGCCTATACTGCGTCGTGATACAACTTGCCAAAACCTGTCCACCCATCGTGCATCTCAACGTGTCCTCGCTCGTCTCCGCTTGTCCTGAGTTGCGCCACAGCTCACAGCCTCACACTTGCAGTCGCCTCGTTACCCGAAGGACTGGTCACTGGGGTCGTCTGTAGACTCGGCCCTGCTCAACTCCACCTTGCCCGAATCGCGCCGAGAGACTCACCTCGCCTACGATGATGTGAATTTGGAGCATATGTGCAATTCGGTGGTGAATGTACAAATCTCGGCCCAAGAGAAGGAGAGCGATTCGATCTAAACGGGGCGAGCTCACTGTCACTCGCGACACACCCAACTTCGCGGCAACGACTCAAGCA